GATCTATAATTAATCTAATAATATTATTCTTATTATTTAAAGTTAATTTATTATTATTAATATCCGGATATTAAATATATATTATAGCTCTTATTAAATTAAGAAAATTCTGCAGAGCAGAAATCTAGTCTATATATCTTAAATTATTAGATAATAAATATAATAATATTTTTATCTTATAAATATAATAATTCTTTAGCAAGACACGAAGGCCAGAATAGAAAATTAACTGTATTAAAAGAATATAATAGATCTTAATAAACTTAATATACTTAATAATAAATTTCTAACAGAATATTAATAATAGAATTATAAAGATCTTATTTCTTAATTATAATAAGAACTTATACACTTAATAATCTTAATATTTTTTAATAAGAATTTATAAGTATGAGTATTCTTTATACTATTAAATATTTTCATAAGAATATAAATCTCTTCGCGGATAGTTTATTTAATATTACTATTTTAATATTTTTTCTTCAGAATCAGAGTAATCTATTTAATAATCTTTATAAGATTATAAATATTTTCTAGCAGATCAGTTGCAGGCTCGAGAAATATTAGTAAATTATATATATATAATATAAAGTATATAAAACTTATAAGATTATAAGTCTTCTTTTCCGCGGAATAGAAATAATACAGAATAAATATCTTTATATTTAATAAATAACTAATATTATATAGAGCGCCCTTCTTAGAATTAAAATTATTATTTATATATCTTAAATAATATATACAGAAATTATAGCAGGCTTTAATAAAAATATTCTGCTTAAAATATACTGTTCTCTTTATCATTACAAAGTAATTAAAAACAAGACTAATATTCAACAAAAAAAGAGATAACAGTAATATAATATAGATAAAAATAACAAAGATTACACAAAATAACAAAGAAATATAAAGAAAATAATTACAAATTATTAAAAAAACAACAATCATAAAATAGAAGAGAAGAAGAAAAAGAAGTAATATAAAAGATTTTTTTATTTATACTTCTTCGCAGAGAATCTATCTATATAAATATAACTAAATATTTATAAAGCTATATAGAAACAGCATATAATTCTGTTTATATTATATATTCTATAAATTCTTTATCTTTTATTATTAGATTCTTACTGTTTTAAATTAGAAATATATAAGACTATTCCTAACACCCGAGTTAGATAACTTATCCCAGTAGAGAAGAATATTATTTATAATAAAATAATCCAGCTATCAGGATAAAGATTATTAGAATAATATATTATAGTAATTATAAGAGTTATATTATTAAGATAATATATTATAATAATTATAAGAGTTATAAGATTATTAATAGTGATTCTATATCTCTTTAATATTTATAAAATATTAATCTCTCTATAAAAAGCTACTGATCCTTCAAGAATCAGTCTATCTTATAAATATAGACTATCTTTGTTATTATTAAACAAATACACAATGTTTTATGATTGATTTCTTATCTAGTTAACAGGCTTTCTACCCTGACAAGTAGATCCTATCACAAAAAAATAGATACTTTCCAAAATTTTGTTAAGAATCTTTAAAATAAAAAATAAAAGATAGTAATTTTTAATAGAAATCTTATTAAGATCTCTGTAGTTTATATAAAGATATAAATTATTATTTTTTTTAAATATAAAAAAAATAAAGGCTTCAGCAGGGTTTTTTAAAGATTAAATTTAGTCTAGTTTTAGATTTTTTTTAATATATTCTTATAGAATCTTAAGTTTAGCTTTAAATAAAAAATATATTAAACTATAAGAAAATATTTTATTAAATTTAATATTAATAATATAATTTACAGGACTATAAGAAGATAGTTATTAAAAAAAATCTATAAAAAATATATCTTAGAACTACTTAAGTTTAATAAAAATTATCTTAGAATTTAATAATAAATTATAAGATTCTTCTTCTAATAGCCAGATATCTTTGAGAAGCTTAATAATAATATATACTCTTACTAAGTTTTAAGTTGCTTTAATAAATTAAATAATAAAAAGCAGTAAAATAGATAGTATATTAAATTATTACTGGTGGTTTTATATTAATAAGATAATATATAGATTATAAAATATAATTATTAAAAATAATACAGAACTATTTTCTAGTCAGAAGTCTTAATTAATCTTTATATAATATTATTTAAAAATATAGATATCTTCTTGTAAATTAATAGCAATAATAGAGACTTTCTATATACTATAGATAAAAATAATAATTTAATTAATAGTTTTAATTTTTAGTATAGTAATCAGAATATATTAGAAATTATAAACTTTAATAAATTAATAATTAATAATATTTACTTCGGCGCAGCTATTCAGATCTATAAAGATTTCAAGACTATTTTAGATATAAATAAAAATATAAAAATAATATATAATCTCTACTATAGATAAAGAAGTTAAAATTATAGAATTTATTCTAACTTCTCTATTTTTCTCTCTAAATCTAATAAGAATTAATAGATTTTAATAAATTAGATTTTTTTATCTTTAATAGAATATTAATTCGCAAGATATTAAATACTTTTATATATAAAATATTATAATTAATTATTATTTTTTTTAATAAAGTTTTTTTTATAATTCAGGATATCTTTCTTAATAGTTTTACTAGTAATTTCTTGAAAGTGCTTGCGTGGCTTATAATTACTAAATTAATTATTATTTTATTTATATTTTTCTTTATTTTCTTATAATTTATAATAATAAATAATAATAGTTATTATTTTATTCTACTTCTCTAATAAATAAAGAATATATTTTTAAATATAATAATTTAGATCTGATAATAACTTAATAAAATAAAATAAGATTTTTTTTTTTTCTGCTTGATAAGAAAAATATTACTTTAAAATATTAAGATAAGTATAAAACTCTCGCGGATTTTAATTATATTATTAATAAGTCTGTTTAAGTTAAATTATAATATCTAATTAAAAAATAGCAGTATTCTAAATTAATATAAGAGTCTAATCTTTAAATTAAAATTATAATTTCTTAAGAAATTATCTCTCTTCCAAACTTTTATTATTTATAAAATAATATTATTTTTATTTATATACTAGATCTATATAGCTGATAGCAGTAAGAATCTTATATTTTTTTAATAAATATTTCTTAAGTATATCTCTGAATATATATTTTAAATTAGTAATTTATTCTTAATATTTTTAGAGATTAAAATTCAGAACAAAGTAAGAAATATTTTTAAACTTAATCTCTTTTTTATTCTTTTCTAATTTGGGAAAGAATTAGTAATATTTTAAAAAGATTTTACTCAAAGAGCTATTTCTTTAAAAATAAGCTATTCTTTACTATAAGTTAATAGCTTATTTTAATTAATAAATATAATCTTCTAGCTATTAAATCTCTTTAATAATAAAAATAATATTCAGCAAGAATTTTGAATTAATTTAATTACTAAATATTTCTATTTTTTTATTATTTTTAATAAATAATATCTTTCTTAGATAGTCAAAAAAAGAAGAATTAAAATATAATAGAATCTATTTATTAGAATAAAAAGTCTATTAACTAAATAAAAAATTAATTATAAAATACTGTATATTTATTTAATAATAACAAAGATAGTCTATATTTATAAAATAAACTAATTCTTAAAAAATCAGTAGCTTCTTATAGAGAAATTAATATCTTATAAATATTAGAGAGATATAGAACCACTATTAATAATCTTATAACTCTTATAATTATTATAATATATTATTCTGATAACACAACTCTCACAATCACTATAATATATTATCCCAATGATCTTTATCCCGATAGCTGGTTTATTCTATCACATATAATCAGATAATCTTTAAAAATTATAATTAATATTTATTATATATCTATAAAATATCAGATAATATCTAGAAATTATAATTAATATTTATTATATATCTATAAAATATCAGATAATATCTAGAAATTATAATTAATATTTATTATATATCTATAAAATATCAGATAATATCTAGAAATTATAATTAATATTTGTTATATATTTATAAAATATAGTTTTTATTTATAAATAATAGATATCTTCTATATCTAATCTATTTTATTATAGAACTATTCTTATTAAATTATAATTATATAATAATTTCTGAATTATATTTAACTTTAATAATATTTATATATAATTATTCAGTTTAGATAAGATTATATTATTAGTAATTATTATTATATATAAATAATAATAAATAACTATTTTATAACTATAAGCAACTATAATATAATCTAACTATAATCTAACTATTACTATAGATAATAGTTTAATAACTATTATAAAATAATCAGTAAGTATAGTAAACTATTAAATATATATAAATAATAGTAAGCTATTATCTTTGACTTTTACTGAACTATGCTGTGACCCTCTCTACGCACGCCTCCGGGCCCCTATGATATCACATCATATCATTTTATATCTGCAGTCTACACCTATACCTACACCTACATCTACACCTAAATCTCCCACATAGACAGCATCGGTCCCTATCCCAAGCAATGCGATAGACATCCTAGTATCTACAAACAGCTAAACCGAAGCCTTGCCTGATACGTGGATAAATCGCTCTCTGCAGGGATTGGAACCAATTCCCGCCGGACTCCGGTATACTGACCTAGGGGGGGGTGCACGGCTCTTTCTTTTTTCCCGTGTTTAACACCGGATTGGTTGTTGTTGGTGGTGGTGGTGGTGGGTGACGGTGTTGGCATGATTGCTGCTGAGAGAGCTGGGGTAGGGTAGATACTACTAGTAGATAGGGCTCGGGCTCGGGCTCGGGCTTGGAGGAATAGTACCGGGTGCAAGGGGAGGGAGGTAAGCAAAAATGGTCATCAGTCATATGATACTACTTAAGGTTTGATCGGCGATTCGGGGCTAGAGATTGCCGGCACTAGTGATCGGCCAGGCTACTATATATATATATATATATGTGTGTGTGTGTGGGTGGGTGTGTGTAGAGGGGACTCATCTCGTCTCGTTGTATCATATTATATGATTGATTGTTCGATTACGATTTGAAATTCTATAGATCTAAATATATAGCTGCCCCTCTACACTGCTGCCACCCTCCATGACGAACCGCATCCTGATCGTTGGCGGCGGCCTCGGCGGCCTAACCCTTGCGCAGGGGCTACGACGACACAACATCCCCTTCCGGATCTTCGAGCGAGATGCAAAACAGGACTTCCGCGCCCAGGGCTACAGACTACGCGTCTCGCAGGAACATCTCCGCTCTACACTCCGGCCGGACATCTGGACGCTGTTCGAGAAGACCGCTGCGGAGAATGTTCCCCTCGTTGCTGGGGCCAGATTGGACGCCAGGACTGGGGAACCACTTAACCTTAACCTAGGCCTAGGTGGTAGAGGGGGTCCCCCGGCTAAAGCACATGGCCATCTTCCGTCGTATACGGTGGACCGCGGGACGATGCGCGAGGTGCTTCTCACGGGGCTGCACGAGTACGTGGAGTTCGGGAAGCAGTTCACGCGATACGAGGTCAAAGAGGACCGGGTGGTTGTGCATTTCAGCGACGGGACGGCGCAGGAGGGCGCGCTGCTTGTCGGGGCGGATGGAGCGCGGTCGCAGGTCCGGAGACAGCTGTTGCCGGGCTATCCGTTTGTCGATTCGGGAATGCGGATCATCTATGGGAAAACGTATATCTCGCGCGAGCTGGAGGAGAGGATGAATGCGCAGGCGTTACGCGGGATGTCGCTGGTTATGGATCGGGATTCGGAGGTTCCGAGGACGTTGTTGCTGGAGGCGATGCGGTTTCCCGAGGGGGAGGGGCTCGGGGTGAAGTTGCCCAGGGATTATGTGTATTGGGTGCTGGTGGTTAATCGGGAGGGGATTTCGATGATGTCGGATGAGCGCACGTTGCGGCTGAGTGGAGAGGAGTCGGCGCGGCTGGCCCTGCAGTTGGCGGAGACCTGGCATCCCTCGATTCGTGTGTTATTCGAGCAGCAGGATGTTTCGCAGACGTCGACCCTCCGGATCCTGTCCGTTAGGCCGGATATGCCCGACTGGGAGCCGAATGACAGGGTCACGCTGCTGGGCGACGCGATTCATATTATGCCTCCCACGGGCGGGCAGGGGGTCAATACGGCGTTGCATGATGCGGCGGAGCTGGCGAGGAGGATTGCTGAGGCCCAGGGGCAGGTGGACGGGGATCTCATTGCGAAGTATGAGGAGACGCTGCGGGTGTTTGCGCGGGAGAGAGTTGACATGAGTTGGCAGGGAGGGTATCGGGGGTTTAACCTGAGGCCTGTGGAGGAGTGTGAGGGGATTAAGTTGTAGTTGGGAAGAATCCGTATATTAGGGACGTGAAACTCTCCACTTGGTAGTTCTGTGCCTGCAATTGTTCAATGGTTGTAAGATGAGTTGTGGAAGAGCAATGGAATGAAGTGGCACGGGTGAAGACCGACCCCTCGGCGTGCAAACGCGGCAAACAACCGCCGCCAGACCGTCTCGAAGCTCCGTCGAAAATTCCCAGACCAGCTTCACGACAGCGTTGTCGCAGCCCCCCCCCCCCCATCCCCCCTTCCTCTCGATTCTTCCCTGTCCCTCAGCGGAAGTTTCCCCTCATCATGTCGCTGTCTATGCCAGGCCCCTCCCAGGCGGGTCTCTTCAAGCCTGGGTACCAGAGGTACGCGAAACCCACGGGCCCATGTCCCCCCGCCCCTCAGCTCATCCAACATACCGCCGCGAGTCCCCATATCAGGCACCCGCAATCGTCTCAGAAGGTGGTGTCCCTGGTTTGGTGAATTGTAGACTAACGAAACATCTTGCACAGCCACGATGCCGAGGATGGTGCGGTCATTCGCAACATCGAGGCCTGCCAGGCCATTGCCCAGACCGTCCAAACGTCGCTGGGCCCCTACGGTCGCAACAAGATCGTCATCAACCACCTCCAGAAGATGATCCTCACCTCCGACGCCGCGACCATCCTGCGCGAGCTGGATGTCGTGCACCCTGCCGCCAAGCTGCTGGTGATGGCCAGTCAGCAGCAGGATGCGGAGATGGGTGACGCCACCAACCTCGTCATCATCCTCGCCGGAGAGTTGCTGAAGAAGGCCGAGGAGTTGCTGCGGATGGGCTTGAAGACGAGTGATATCGTGCAGGGTTACGAGAAGGCACAGAACTTTGCTCTCCAGGTACTAGAAGGTGAGTGGTGTCCACATTCTTGATTCTCCCTCTCAGGGGCTATGAGCCGATCGCCCCCGCGGGTACCCCCGTTCACTGCCTGCAGCTACTGACATCTACGGAATCTCGCAGACCTCGAAGTCGATAGCCTGAAGGAACTCCGCTCCGAGGCCGAGCTCAGCAAGGCTCTGCGCACAGTCGTCGCCAGCAAGCAGTCCGGCACGGAAGACCTCTTGGCCTCGTTGGTGGCCGAGGCCGTCCTCGCCGTTCTGCCCAAGAACCCCGTCAACTTCAACGTCGACAATGTCCGCGTGGTCAAGATCATGGGTGGTAGCTTGGAGCAGTCCCGCGTCATCAAGGGTATGGTCCTTGGCCGCGAGCCCGACGGTGTGATCAAGAAGGCACAGAAGGCCAAGGTCGGTGTCTTCAGCTGCCCCCTGGACATCTCCCAGACCGAGACCAAGGGCACCGTGCTTCTGAAGAGCGCCCAGGAGATGCTGGACTTCACCAAGGGCGAGGAGGAGCGTCTGGAGGCTGCCATCAAGGAGCTGTACGACTCCGGCCTGCGGGTCGTTGTCTGCGGTTCTACCGTCGGCGATCTCGCCATGCACTACCTCAACCGCTTCAACATCCTCGTCATCAAGATTCTGTCCAAGTTCGAGCTGCGTCGTCTCTGCCGTGTGGTCGGCGCCACCCCTCTCGCTCGTCTGGGTGCCCCCATGCCCGACGAGATGGGCTCCATCGACATCGTCGAGACTACCGAGATCGGCGGTGACCGTGTCACTGTCTTCCGCCAAGAAGATTCCAACGCCGTCACTCGCACGTCCACCATCGTCCTGCGTGGCGCCACCCAGAACCACCTTGATGACGTCGAGCGTGCCATCGACGACGGTGTCAACGCGGTCAAGGCCATCACCAAGGACGCCCGTCTGGTCCCTGGTGCGGGTGCTACTGAGATCCAGCTGGTGGAGAGGATCTCTGCCTTTGCCGATCGGACCCCCGGCCTGCCCCAGCACGCCATCCGCAAGTACGCCGAGGCCTTCGAGGTGATTCCCCGCACCCTGGCCGATTCTGCTGGCCTGGACGCCACCGAGGTTCTGTCCCGTCTCTACACTGCCCACCACCAGACGAACAACGGCGAGTCGTCAGAGGAGTCGGAAGGCAGCTCCGAGGAGGAGCCTTACTGGACCACTGGTGTGGATCTGGAGATCGGTTCCTCGACCGGCACTCTGGACACCGTGGAGGAGGGCATCCTGGACCTTCTGGCGTCGAAGAGCTGGGCCATCCGTCTCGCGAGCGAGTCCGCCCGGACGGTGCTCAGCGTCGACCAGATCATCGTTGCCCGGCAGGCGGGTGGCCCCAAGCCCCCGGGTCCCAACCCCAACTGGGACGAGGACTGAATGTGCGATGACACGTGGTAGATCCGATGGGCCTAGGACACAAAATGTGATAGAGACACGATATTCATGAAAGAGTGTATAATGCCTTGGGAGGTAGTGGTAATAGTGTTCTGTTCATGTCAATAATTGGAGCCACGAACTGGGATTCCCGGACAGTCCAGGACGACGTGCCGTAGAGTCTCGCAGATGTGATTTCAGTCAGTAAATGGGTGGGAATGACGATAGTAAAACAGCAGAGTATACATACCGCTTAGTACTACTATACTATGCGGCCAACACGGCGGGCGGTGCATCACGTGACGGGAGCTGGATTTTCCGGGCCGACGCTCGACTTTCTTTTCCCGCAAAGGCCTTTTCGAGCATCCCGAGCATCTCGAGCAGCTTCAATTCCCCCGTCATCCCCTCGCGGTCGTTCGTCTGTCCCCGTCCCCGTCCCCGTCTCCGTCCCCGTCCGGATCGCCTCACCCGCTTTACGCCCATCATGTCCTTCCCCACCCAGGCCGCGGCTCGTTGCTGCAGACAGATCGTCCGCCCGACGGCTTCCCTGCGCCTTTCTCCCTCGACATATCTCGCCCAGCGCTCCCTCAGTCGGAGATGGCAGTCCACCGAGGCTGAGGCCGCTGCTGCCCCCGCCAACCCCAAGATCACCCAGATTGTCGACCAGATCAGCCAATTGAACCTGTTGGAGACCGCCGACCTCGTGGCCAGCCTGAAGGTGCGTTGTTTTGCCTGCCCGGTCCCATGTCGCAAACCCAGTCCAGGGTGCCCTTCTGGCGTGGCTCTCCTCATGGACACACTGGCGTGCGTACTGACAAGCTCTCTTTCATCTTAGGCCCGCCTGAACATCCCCGACCTGCCCGTTGGTGGTTTCGCCATGGGCGCTGCTCCCGCCGCTCCCGCCGCCGCGGAGGAGGAGGAGGCTGCCCCTGCCGCGCAGGAGAAGACCCTGTTTAACCTGAAGCTGGAGAGCATCGACGCCTCCTCCAAGGCCAAGGTCATCAAGGAGATCAAGACCATGCTCGGTCTGTCCCTGGTCGACTCCAAGAAGTTCGTCGAGTCCGCTCCCAAGGTCCTGAAGGAGTCCGTGCCCAAGGAGGAGGCCGAGAAGATCATGGAGACCCTCAAGGCCGTCGGCGCCAAGGTGACCATGGAGTAAACGGGCTTTGTTCTCTGCTCCCGGGGAATTCTTAATGCTGCCTGGTCACCCTTTTCTTTCCCCTTCCCCCCGTCCCGCCAGAAAGACAGCGGTGGGGGGATGTTATCTGGATGACCCTGGATGGATGTTGTGATTGGACTGCATTATCGAGCTGGAGTTTTGTCTCGCAACCACGCTTTTCGTTTTGTACTGTGTTTTTCTATATCTTTTTCTTTTCTCCGTCATATATCTCTTGAGACTCTTCTGATATAACCGGAAAGCGGGAAAACGGCGGCGAATGTACATTATCATCTCCTTGAATGGACAATGTGGAACTCTGATGGATCGGATGGCTGTTGTACTGTCTCCTCGTACGTGACGGGCATTCTGGCTGGCTTAATCGCTGGGATCATATTTAGACCTACCCTCCCCTCGATCGACTCTTCTTCACCCGTAGTATGCACCCCTGTTGCAATCTGGAGACGAAGATTGTCCTCAATCCACAATCCCGAGAACAGCTTCCGAGTTATGCTGCATTAGGACGTCTGGCAGTGGTGCAATCGAAATCCCTCTCGTGGGGTCACCGCAACGGCAACAAACAACGGAGCTGCGGCTTCCGAGTTGTTCTCCGCCGAGCTTTGCTCCATCTCTCACTTCTCTCACTTCTCTCACTTCTCTCACTTCTCTCTCTCTCTCCTCCCCTCCTCTCTCTCTCATTCCTCCCCAATCCCCCTCCTCACCCTCACGATGTCTCTCTTCCGCTCATCTCACGCCCTCCGGCGCTGTCGACTCCATCCCCGACCGGAATTCCGCCCCGCGACGAGCTCCAGCTCCAGCTCCAGCCCACCTCCCCATCCCCTCCCCAAAGTCCAATCTTTCCACACCACTCCCTCCAGCCATGCCCAACCGCGTCGATCCCCCGCCGCCCGGAGAGCCGAATACGACAAGCACTACGGCAAGCAAACACAGCGCATCCAGGCGACCGAAACTGCCCGTCCGGGTCAACCCGCAAAGCGAGCGTTGCCGTATACAAACGAAGGGATCTTCGCCGGTCGCGCCGTGGGCGAAGTGGACGAGAGTCTCCAATGGCTGGATGCGGCAGGGCCGTACTGCTGGAAGCAAATAAAGGTGCTTAGTCCGGACCTGGACGTTAGCGAGTCTGTGTTTATGGATGTTTGTCGACGCCTCATACAAACCGCGTATACTGAGCTCCCGTCCGCGGAGGCGATTCGGAAACTTTCATTGGGTGAGTCGATTGTCTATCCATCTATCTATATACATATCCAGTGCGAACTCAGTGGCGCACCGGGGGCGCCTATACATCCCCCCCTCCCCTCCCACTACCGATACCAAACATAAAGCATAGCATCAGAAGCTCACAATTCACGAATCACCCACTCACAGAACCCGAACAAGTCTGGACAATGGGCGTTTCCCTCGATCTCGAAGACAAAACATTCAAATACTGGCTCACCAGCTCATGCGCCCTCGCGGGCGTATCCCCCGCCCTCTCCCTCATCGCCATGACATACCTCAGGCAAGCCAAGGCCATGTCAACCCCTCCCATGCGCACCCGGATTCTCGAGCGCATCGAAACCCTCGCCCTGCGTGACCGCGACCCCTGCGCCATGGCCGTGCACTCGAAAGTGCTCGCCGCGCGCGAGCAATACGAAGACGCAATGACCATGTTGGACTCGTTTCTGACAACCATCCGTCCGGAGAAACTGCAAACCGTGGACAACAGTAACCTCGAGAATCTTATCGTGCCGACCCTGTGGGAGGACTATCTGGCGTTGAAAGCGAAGGTGAACGAGCGGGGTGGTGACTCCAAGCTGTCCAGAGATGAGCTCGTGGAGATGGCCGCCGTGCAGTTTCAGAACCCCCAGTATCTACCCCTCTACGCGGAGATCATGCTCGAAAAGGGGGACCATAAAGCCTACGAGGAGTCCATGCAGAAGGCCGCGATGACTGGGAACAAAGGGGCGTGTGAGAAATTGGCCAATTTCTACTACCTCACCTCTCAGGCACAGCTCCCTCGTCGGGGCGACAAGGACTTTGTTTCCGGGGCTGCGCTAGGTGAAAAGACGGGCTTGTTTGCCGAACTATACTCCGTTGCATTCAAGGGTGTGGCGCCGCTTAGTCGCTATTACCGCCTCGCGCTGGAGTGGTACGAGTTGAGTGCCGACATGGGCAATGCCTCTTCCGCAATCATTCTGGCCATGCTATACCGCCGAGCCGGCCAGGCGGAAAAGGGGGCCAAACATTTGGAGGTCCCTCAGAAGGCACTATTCAATCGTGAGCTCCTCGTGGAGATCCAGGAGTCTTGGGATAACCCTGACTATGTGCCGGAGATACCAGAGGAATTGTTATCTCTCACTGGCAGGAGTAAGCTTTAACGTACGTCGCGCTGCCGGCGTCCATCTATCTGCCCTACCTCTTGCAAGATACCCAGCCTAGACGAAGCACAGTCCGATCAATACTACCGTACCCGTCAGGAATTATATACAACGTGCAGTCTACCCTGCCGTATCTCCGAACCAGCCCATCCGCCTGTCGACAGCGCGCTCACAAAGCTAATAAGTACCTATAATCTGAATTTCTGCGTACACATGAACAGTGTCAAACGATTGATTGATTGAAGCGTTGAGAGTCGATGGAAAGCACCGTCGGTCCCTCATCTGACGTGACTGCACGTCTCTGTCGATATAACATAACCTTGATCCGAATCCAATCCGATATATCCAACCACAACAACTCGCCTCACTCGAGGACATAGCCCGTCTGTCATACAGTGAAACAAGAGAGAGCGAGAGACAAAAGAAACGAGAACAAAGAAACGATCGCGTCCCCCGGATTTGAATCCACGCGTTCCCTCGTTGACCAAGCCCAAGCGCGCTATCGCTATGGAATGCATGCATGCATACATCGTCACCTTCTCCTCCCCTTACCCTTCCCCTTCCCTCTGGTCTTCAGCTCGACGAACCCAAGCTCCTTCAGCCCTTCCGTGAGAGTCGACGAGTCCCTCATTCCCGGGAAGTCCTTGGCCGGGTACACGCGGAACGGATCCGACCACGCCTCCGCGATGATGGGCATCGACTGCCCCGTGTCTTCCACGTGGCCCCAGTTCATGAGTCGGAACTGCAGCCGATACAGTCCAGCTGTACGGACGGAGAGGTCAGAGAAGATGAAGAACGCCGCGGGCGGTTTCAATCCATTGGCCGGGGCTGGGTGCATCCTCCTGTCGGACGTGTGGTCGAAACTAGAGGGATGGTTGGGGGCAGTGGTGGGATCTGGATCCTCGTCGACAAAGAACGGCGAAACGAACGCTTTCCCCGATAGTAAGGGTGTGGATTGTCCGGGGGCGGTTCCCCCGACCCGGTCCTCGCGTAAGGCGCTGTCGCCGTCGGCATCGGATGAGAACGATCCCCGCGTCTCCGGGACCAGGAAGCAACCGACCGTAAAGCGTGGATCTTGAAGGATGTCGATATCGTCAGATGCCTGGGCGTCAAAGTCCGTTAAAAGCATCTGGATGATAGGAGGCGGGTCGACGGGTCGTCGATCTCGATCGCCGGCTCCGCAAGCCCGCGCCGCGATGGGCTGCTGTCGGATGTGTAGGTGGTACCGGGATGTCGTCGAGACTCGTCGTGGCGGCGGAGATGGCGTGGGGGAGTGATGAAGGAGCCGTTCGAATCCAGAGGGCATGCTGGATGTGGTGTGTCGTTGAGGCGGTTGCACCAGAGGTTTCACGGGAGGAGGCACAACAACCGCCGCAGAATATACTGCCGAGCTCTCATCGGAGTGCGCGGGACTTGGAAACGTCGTGGAGCTACTGCTGTACCTGCAGGGACCATGGTAAGTACTGTGGTCATGAAGGGGGGAGGGGAAACCGATGAGAAAAGCAAAAGGGCAGCGGAGCGGGCAAATGCACATTTCGGAGCATGTAGAGCAGTTGAATAATTCCTACTACTCTCAGGCAGAATGGCATTGGGGTCGCTGGTTCGACGAAAGAAAGGGGTGTTTATACTGAGATTCCACATCGTTTGCCCGTACCCCGGAGCTAATCGAGCCACGGCTGTAACTGGGGGATTCCTGGTACGGGCTGGACGCGGAGCCGTACTCCACGCTCCGGAAAACATTCGACCGCTGCTGCTGCACTCCATACTGCGCCGCGCCCAGGGCACTGGCACCGGCACCCGTGCTAGCTGGGGGAGGGGCGGACGAGAGGCTGTATTTGGGGTCGATGACGCTATCCCACGTTCTGCCTTGGTGAGGGTGAGGATGAGGAGGGGGGCCCTGTTGGTACGGAAATCGGGAGGAAGCCGGCGCCGGTGCAATATAAGTCGGATCGTAGCCCTGAGTGCCGGGGTATAGGAAGCGCGGGGGCTCCTCCAGGGCATGATGGTAATGGTGTGGATTTGGATTTGGATTTGGATTTGGATTTGTCGGCACTGCCTGGCGATCATCGCCTCCGGGTTGATGAGCTCTGGGATCCGAACGGTGGTGGTGGTGGTGGGCGCCGCCGCCGCCGCCGGATGTGGTGGGATGTCTCCATTGCGGGAGCGGTGTTCTCGACATCCTCTAGGCGGTTGGGACCAACACAACAGACTTTTTTGTTTTTCTTAATTAGCCCCCCCGTATAAATCTTTTTTCTTGCGTCTAGGCCCTGCGCTCCGGGTGGAAAAATGCCAGAATCCGATCTTTCGTTGTTTTTGCAGGCTAGGCATCCACAATAGGGACCCTCCGAATCGGTGAAGTAGGGTATCGTCGACTTTAAGGGAAGAGAGAGAGACAGAGAGAAGGAGAGAGAGTTTGCGTGCTGCCCAATATGGCGAGACAATCAACAGGGGGGCTAGACACTCCACTGGAACCAAACGGCCATGTGCTACGTAGTGGGATCCCCAGCGCGGAAAGGGTCTTCTTCACAGATAGATTGCGCAGAAGGCTTATAAACACTTTCTTAAAAGCCGAGGCAACTCAAGCAATAGTGCTCTGCCGTGGGTGAGATATTCCAACCTACCAGAGCAGCTGGGTAGAGGAATATGCATACGTTAGCTCTCTTGAACGATTTGCAAGGCTTGTCCACAAAGCAATTGTCTGGGGAGGGTCAAAAGAGGGAAAGAAAAAGAAAGCAAAAAAGAAAGCAAAAAAGAAAAGAGAGAAAAAAAGAAAAGAAAGCTGCCCACCACGACCCAACCAGATTGTAGCACGACTCACACCAGCGCAAGTAGCGGCAAGGTAAGCAACAGGAATTCGGGCCCTGAATCAGCGTGAAGTAAGTGTGTCTGATGACCCTGCGAGATGGGGAGGGAAGGACCAGAAGGGCTGTACAAACCCTAAAGCAAGTGGTGGTGGACTATTATCGGCACTATAGCAGCCTGTGGCCGTGCAAGAGAGGAAGCGGATCTGGGGAATTGGGCTGGCCGATGCTTTTGTGAGAGCCTGTGCGTGCCCACTGCGTATGTGTGTGGCATTGCGAGAAAATTCGGCCCATGCAGCACCACTGCGTCCCTGACAGGATTCGGTCATCTATATCCCCGACACCTGGGAATATTTACCCCCTCATGTGCTTCTCAGATTCCCCATATTTGACAGAGTTCATGGAATTGTTAGTGGCCACTGATTGCCTGGTGAGAGATCGTGATCCTGCGCAAACAGCTACCATCCTCAAAATTACTAGTATGGTTTCAGCAGGCGACCCTTCTCTGACATGGGCGTATGAGTATTCGGCAAAGATACCGTTGACCCCTTCGCTCGAACCAGACGCTTGCACCCCGTGGACATATGGCATTCGCCGCGGAGGTGATCGGTGTCATCAGAAGACACTATCTCCATCGCGACGGCCAATAATGATCTAGAATTCCCCGTATGCAGCCAGTCGCTTCCCAAGAAACTAGACAAAAAAGCCTTTCCTCTTTGCGCGCAGTGTGTTTACCAGGGCGCCCGAAGGATTACCCACTTCTCTGGGAGCTAGGGTGATCTGCTGGGTGACCTAAAATTTAAGTGCGTGATGGCCTGGAAGGCGAGCAGGAACCAACTGGTGGGTAGGCCGTGCAGAGCCAGGAATTCCGGGAGGCAAAGGGCGACCCCACGATGGATCTTCATCTAATTAGGTGATCACTCCTCGGGGACCATTATTGCAGGATGCCGGGAAGCAGTTCGAAGGACCGAACGGTGTTCTATGATCGCTACCATCATGAGACTGCAGCTCGTTCGCGCCATGCAGGCAGATGGGCCTCCGGCTGATCTGTGCAAGGAATGACGGTGCTATACTCATGATTTGCAAGCCCCGGCATTGCCCGATATTGGCGTCTCCTGCAGCTGGGAAGGAGAAGATGGAAGATGACGCTGCAAGATTCGTAGGGGAACCCACTAGAAGCCCGAATGGTGGAGCACTCATCCGAGAGTTCACCGTTGTTTCCAGCCATCGCCATATACAGAGGGCTATTTTTGAGACGCGGCGGTGGTAGATGTCGCTCAGGATACCTAGAACAACTATAAACCTTGTACAGGCTTCTTGACCGTAAATTCTGATATTGCCATTTGGTGTACCCCGGACGGTAGGCGAGTACGGGCTCTTCACTTGTTTAGCGTCTTCTAGGATCGCAAACTCCATCCGGTAGCGGACGGTGACCATATCTTACTCTGCTGCCACGTCTCTACCTTTAGCACATAGCCCTGCATAAAACTTGGCGCATATAAGAGCCAGGAGTGCCATTGGCAAAATGAAGAGCAATTAGAAGATATAGACAGAGCAGTCTGTAGCTCCGTACGGTGTGTTTCAAGGATCATTTCAATGGGCGATTTATCGTTGTTCGTCGTGGATACCGGGGCCATTGCACGGGCCACTTCGGTTGGCTAGGCTGTTCGAGTTTAGTACAGTGAGCTTTTCTCCGCAACTGCCGTACCTCGACGGCGGAACAATCAAGGACATTATCCGGAAGAATAAGAACCGAAAGAAGGAAGAAGGCGACCAAACTCACCCTGATGGCGATCTCCATCGTGTCGAATATTATTATCGGTCATATTGCCGCAGTGTGAAGTCAGCCCCGAGGCACAATTCTTGGATTGTTGTGGTTCGCAGAGCTTCGTACCAGGCGTGCCTTCCATCCTTGCCATGGGAGATCGATCGGTGGTCACCGCCACATATCACACTGGTTGTTTCATCTCAGCTGACTGGTACTATCGTAGCTCCCCGGTACCGCGGGGAGGTGTCCCCTAGTCACCGACGGGAGGTGCTTTTCCTGCATTAGCACTGTAACAGTTGTTCGCCCTTCCCTCTTTGGCGAGTAGGCTACTGCATGTGTGGTTGCCTTGCCGACAACGACGAGTGATGTGTCACACTCGCGATGGTTGGTGAAATGACGGAGATAATTGGGGAATCGGCTGTATACTGATAAGTCAACCGCCAGCGAGATGGAGCTACAAGCCCATGCGGCGTCCTGATTCCCGGAACTCGGGTGTGCCGCATGCACACTAAGGGTTTCCACTCTTGGGTTGGTTCCTATCCAGGTAGATAGTCCTCACTGGTCTGGCCCCTGAGATGCTAGAAGCTGCACAGCAGGCGCTTTTAGTGCGTGGGAGACTACTACAGCGATGATCCTGCTCGTACAATACCCGATGCTTTTCACGTATGACCCTTGATCATTCCTTTTCCCGGGATTTTGTTTTTTCTTTCTCTTCTTCTTTCTTTCCTCTTTTTCTCCTTTCGGATCTTCTTGGGTGGGGTATCTGTTCCATTCCTTCGTCGAAGGTCTTGTGTTCCGGTAGGAAGGATCTAGTCTGTGGCTCGAAGGAACCGAGTCTCAATTGACGCTGGGTGTTGCCAGCCACATTGTCATTGCCTGTAGAAGGCAACTGGGGAGATGCGTGGTGTCGGAGGCATGGGTGTACTCCGTACCTCACAGCGGGTTTGCCAAAGGCAACCAGGGACGAGATTTGTCGAGAAGCGGAGGACATCGACCGGTGGGATGCAATCCTGCGAGTATCCGGGTATGCAGGGCCCGTGATGGAGGCCTGAGAAGGGGCAGCTGGGGTTCCGATTGGGTTGGGGCCCGATCTCTCTCTGGCAACGAAAAGGCAGGAAGGGAGGGAAGTCGGAAGGAGGTTGAGGGCGGAAGAGTCGCTGAAGGAGGGAGTGATCAAGTGACTCGGCCCCATCACAACCACCACTGCAGCTTCCCTCTCTCTCCCTCTTTCCTACCAACCCCCTCCCCCTTCCTCAGAGTTCGACCGGGGAGGCAACCAGGAACCCGGTCCAGGAGAACTCCATCTCCCCGTCACCTTTCACCGAGTCTCCAAGCTACCGGGACCGAACCATGGTTCCTACGTCCTAGACAGAACCTTACCTCCCGGCATCATCCTCATGATTCCAGCAGCCAAAGTACTCTCTCTCTCTCTCTCTCTCCCCCTCCACAGCACAGCCTACCCGCCTCGCATTGGGGCCTAAGGGCCCAGAGGTCAACCCAAAGCCGGAACATGCTGCTACGAGGTCCTCTTAGAATCTCCCACCCACCCCGGGAGTAGATACAAGATGCCGCTTACTCGATCGCTGCCCGGCATACGAAGAAGCAGGGGTCCCACCGGTCCACTTCATCCATGTTCCTTCCTGGGTGAAAAAGCAAAGAGAGCAAAATCAAACCCGGAAACGCATGCTTCCCTGCTAGGGTCAGGCAGATGCCTCGATCTCCGACGAATCTGCACAACGAAGGATCTTCGAAAGTCTAGGGTCAGATGTTCAAGCAACTTTCCCATTCCGTCCATTGATGCACGCAGACAGAGGGCTGCTCAGAGCAAGGGAGCCCGGGATACCCTGACCTCTAAGGCAGATAAGCTTGCGCCTTGGCTCTGGAACGCCTGCGCCAGTCTCCCGCCCGAAGCCAGGGAAACCCCGGCACTCCTTCGACCGGCGGTTGGATCCGTCCCTCGGAACAATACGTATTCGAATGCTTGTAAGCCATGTGTGTACGTTAGTATTGGCGATTCTCTCAACCTGAAATCCAAAAGAACGGCCATTACGCCATAGTATCAAAAAAGTATGCTAAAACTGTTTCTATATGGGGAAAGAGACCCGTGATAACATGTAGATGAGACACTTAGATTAAGGCACTAGAACTCCAAGGTCTATTGTTCGTGGCCTGAAAGCCATGATGTCATTAGTGGTCTATAGTCACTTATCCGAGCCTTCCCACGTCTCAGCTCAGCTCGCATCTTCAACCATAACCAATATATTCTCTTTGGTAGGGTAAAGCAACAATACGGAGTGAGAAATGACGTGCTCCAAAGCAGAAAACTCGCAAGGGGCCTCAGCCAGCATGCATGATTATGCCAGTTGCAGTAACAGATCGTAGTGCAGAGAACTAGTCCACGAGGCTATGCTGTTTTCCTAGAGAGATTGACGTGGCTGAGCTGAGCTGAGCTGAGCTGGATGGACCCCGACAAGCACGATTTCCAAGCCGTGTTGATTGATGGTAACGAGATGCCGCGCAGTTGAGTATGATTATTCGGCGCGTATTCAACACTACGGTCCACTATCGCATGTGAGATTAGTCCAAGAGATACTCCGTACATAAGACTAAGACTCCGAATTCCCTAAAACTGCCGGCAGTATAGAGTGAGGCAGCATGGATTGTTTGGCCTATATCCTTATAGGCCGTGGAGTTAGGAGCCCATCAAGGTAGCAAGACCCTCACTCCAGAAATTGGAGGTAAAGGGAGCCATGGCTTGTGTTGATAGAAGGTACATGGTATATCACTATCAGTATGCCAGGAGGGTCACCGTATCAGGACGCTAGTAGACGCACATTGCCCCTACCGTGCTGGATTGGCGTGTTAACTAAAAGCAAATCACCTAGCTTAGAGGTAAGTAATAGGTAGTTGGCCCAGCATATTGCTGTGCTGTGATAGTGGTGATCAGTAAGGAGAGTGTGCATAGCTGTACTGGATATAGGGTGTAAATGCGATTGCATGTGGCAACATATGCTCGTCATAGAATTGTCAACACATGACCAATACTTTCGCCAGTCTGGACGATTCTTTCCCCAGATATACTCAGTACCTTACTTGTCATCACTGTATCCGTATGAGACCTATTTAGTACCGTCAAAAGAAAGGAGATGGAATCTGTCTGTAATAAGAGCATACTATGCAATTTTATTTGTAGCAGGTGAGCAGAGTCCCTAGGACTCGTTTAATCAATAAACAGACTCAAAGACGCACACATATATGGGTATAAGAAAATCAAGCGCTAGGCTCAAGGCATTGATATCGTGTTTGTAGATCCGGCGTCTGGAGATTGCCGGAGAATCATTGAACCAGGTGCCAGGTCAAGCCATTGGTTAATCATATTAATCAAGAACCCTCCGCTGCCAGTCGTCAAGGTATTAGATCTGGGCTCGGGTCCACCTCAAGGTGATACCTGGTGGCAAGCCTTGGCTTAGAGTAGGAGGGCAACTTGCGATCTCCATCACTTGGTAAAGACACGGTAGCCAATGCTTCGAGGCCGTAATTCCGTTCCTGCGATGGTGGATTGATGGTCTGCTCATTGGTATTATGACTTTTGTAGATATTTCCAACGAAAATGGCAACTAGTAGGTCATAAACCCGATCCCAGGCAACGATGTGCCCAGTTTCCTTCCAACGACTCTCGTTGGAAGCTGGTCTCCATGACAAAACACCAAGCGGCATCACATGCATGGAGCGCTCACCGGGAAGAGGGGCTTTAGTATTGTCAAAAGCAATCCTCAAAAGACCTAGATTTGATGGCGTCCAAGGTTTGCTTGCGTCGGTCGTGACAGGTAAATCGACGTTCGTGAACTGAACCGGGCAGCGCCGATATGACAAAGCAAATTTCATATTTGACCTTTGCTTGGGGACCATGACGGGAAATATTTTCCCTTCATGTTCGTCAAGCAATGTGGCAACACGACCGAGATCTGCCATTGACCTCGAGCACCGAAGAGCTTTAAGCTCTGCCAGCAAGCACCGGACATTACCATAGCCTGTGGGGTCATCATCTATTGTAAGGAGGGGCTTCCCAGAGGCAACCAAAGGTGGACCAGAGGCACTCATATGACGTGATTTCTCAGGGTGCCAGCGGATGCCTAGCCGATCTTCCATTTGTGACATTTGAACTTCTAAGACCTTCGGGTATTCCTCTTCGCCAGCGAGCTGCCGCAGTCTCGCACTAATGGCGTCAGACGTAAGCAGACAGCTTAAGTCACCAAACTCGGAGATTCCCGGTAGCCTGCCATTGGCGCGCCTTGACACTTGCTTCAGATAACGTATGGCTCTGGGGACATCACCTGTATCAACCAAAGCGGCCACACAGACATATGCATGCTGAAACCAACTATCAGGCGAGTTAGGCTTCAACCTTCGTATTGAACAGTGCCATATTTTATCCGCTATCGTTCCACCTTGCAACCTGACAAGCAAACAGATATATTTTGCAGTGAAGAGCGTTGGATGTTGAGCAGTCCGGAACAGGATGTTTTGAAGATTGCGGTCCGTGCTTTTATTTGTCCCAGTGACCAAGTTGAGGATTGCACTCGTATCGGGCGTCGGTTCACGAAACTTCAAAGAATGAAGAGAGTCGAGAAGAGCATTGACCAAAAGGATACTGTCACGCATACTCAGATATGCAGGCTCCGAGCGAACGACAAGATACCCTTTCATGAATCTTTCCAGAGCGGGCGCTGACAATGCGAGAGCTGCATAGTACATACCCAAGACGTAGAACCTTTCGGAGCACAGTCCGCTCAGCCCCTCTAACCTTGTAATAATAGCATTCAGGGCTGAGACGACTTCGCCGTAAGAGGTCCGGCGTCGAATATGCCGTAGGCTACGCTCTAAGAACGTAAGACCTTCTTCAGTTTGAAACAGCAAACTATCTTTTTCATTATTGACATACTTCTCGATGACCACCTGTAGATCACCAAGGTATCTCCTCTCAGTCATAGCGACGTAAATGCCGACATACGGGCCGCGACGTTCTGTCTGTGGTTGGGAAATCCGCATCAATGGCGGGCGCGGAGAGTTTCGAGGCCAATCGCCGAGCAAAACCTCCGATAGATTCTGGTCCAGCTCCGTGCTGGAGGGATGATGGTGGTCATTGGCAGACTTCGTCGTACCCGTCAGGGCAAATCGGAGTAGTTGGGACGGGGTGGGCTTCAGTATCGTCGTATATAGAGCTCTCCCGCTGACGTTTACCGAGACATGGCCCGGGCGGTACTGAGACGGTGGAGCTCGGAAAGCGGCGAGAAGCGGCCGTTGGCTTAGCAGCGCAGAGCGAGAATGAAGTAGCGAAGACATCAGATTTCTGTTCCTGACAGCATCAAGAAGAGATCGGCAACCCAGCCGAGCAGGAACTTGATCTGCGACCCAACAATACGAATCTGGGGTCTCGAAGGAGGAATATTTGGGAGGGGGGGAGATGTGGAGACTGGAGATGCCGATGGAGGTGGAGATGGAGATGGAGATGGAGATGGAGATAACTCCAGATTAACCCTCCAGCGGGGAAGGCGGTCGGCAGGGCGGTGGCAACGCCCGAAAGAACCGCGCGATCCAACTTGGAACAGTCTGCTCGGCTCCTTCTTCAACCATTTCCACCACTCTTCTTTTGATACAAATCTCCGGAGCCGGTTATCTTCGGGCTCTCTGTCACTTGACTTTGTTTTTCCCAATTTGACTCGCGAGCGACAAGTTTCCCGAGCAATATGCCTGCTGAGCATGAGGCCAAAAAGCCTGAGGCCAGCCCCAGTGAAACCCCGGGGCACGCCGCCGATAGTGAGCAGCCTGGTGATGATGTCAGACAGTCTACTACACCCTTGAAGGAAGACGAGGTGGAATCGACCCCAGACCAGACGGACAGTGCTGCTGCTGCTTCGTTGGCTCGCCAGCGACAGGAAAGATTCAAAGCCCTCAAAGCTCGCGCAGTACGTTTGCCGCAGATGATGAATTTCCCCTGGCCACGATTTCGCTGACTTGACATCAGAAAACTGCCACCGAGCGCAACATGAAAGAAACCGCCGCCGAAACGCAGCGTTTGGCAACTGACCCGTCGCTACTCTCATCCATCTCCCGCAAACATGCTTTTGCGTCACACAACCTCCTCAAAGCAGACACCGAGGCTGCGGGTGAAGATTTCGAGCGTAAACGTGCATGGGATTGGACGGTGGATGAGTCTGAGAAATGGGACAAGCGGATGGACAAGAAGCAGCGCCACCGGGACAACGTCGCATTTCAGGACTACACCCAAGATGCGCGGAAAGTCTACAAGAGACAGTTGCGAGAAATGCAGCCCAACCTGGAGAATTACGAGAAAGAGAAGATGGCTGCGATTGAAAAGGCTGCTGCAAACGGAGACCTTGAGATCGTCGAGACCAGCGATGGGGAGATGATTGCTGTTGACAAGAATGGGTCCTTCTACTCCACGGCGGACAGCGTTGGGTTTACGGAGAGCAAGCCTGATCGAGCTGCTGTTGACAAGCTGGTCGACAACTTGAGGAAGGCAGAAGAGGTCCGACTCAAGAAGCGGAGAGATCGCCGCGGTGACGATGACGGCGATGTCACCTACATCAACGAGAAGAACAAGCAGTTCAACCAAAAGCTGGCGCGCTTCTACAATAAGGTACGTCTCCAACTCTATATACCCCGCTGAATGTACTAAACTGACCTTCCCCTAGTATACTACAGAGATTCGTGACAGCTTCGAGCGTGGCACCATGATTTGAGCCGTCCTCGGCAAGATACAATTGTACGGCGCGATTTTGAAACAGTCTTGCGAATGTTCTCAACAACAGTGTCGTTTGTTAAGTTTGGTATTCGCCAATCTGCGCCCGCCAGCGCACCAATAAATGTCATGCGGGCTATTAGCCAGACCGAAGCCAATAGACTCACGACAGACTGGCGATGGCCCCCTTTTGCGAGGATACATATGCCAGCCCAAACAGCCGTCAGGCATAGAGCATGGAAGATGCAGCCATCCAGTCTCATGATTTCAATGACCTAGCGCATCATTTGCTTGTCAGTGTGCTTGCTGGATTGGCGGGCTCTGAGAGCACGAATTCAGGTTATGTTGATAGCCTCTTTCTATGATATACAGGATATGATATACATTGCGACCAGCATCACGAAACACAATTGCGGTTGGTTCGAGTCTGCCAAATCACTAGGGCGCTCGCTGCCCTGGAGACGGGGAAATCCCAAAGCAAAGCCAGCCAAGAAGGTTCCGGTCAGCATTCTGTGTTATCCCCGCCTGTCTTCCATTATTTGGTCAACGAAACAACCATCGTCGCCTTCGTTGAAACTTCCATCGAGGAGTTGGGCATTTCAATCGAAGTGGCCCGACAAGGATAGTCAATATTATGTGTCTTTCTCCAGAACCTGCTCAGAGCATGGTCTTTCTCCAAGCCTTCGTAGCCAGAGCCTCAATTTGCTTCACTCCCACCGTACCCCGGATGGATTCATCATCCAGGGCTTCCACAACAGCCTCGCCCACATCATCCACCTGGAAAGGCTTCGTAACCATAGATCCCAGGAAATCAAGCCTGTTACCCAGGAGCGCATTGACCTGGGACCCAACAAAGCCACCGAGAGCTATCGGCAGGGTAAACTTCCTGCTTTCATCGTACATAAACGGAGCGCGCAAGAAGACACTCCGCAACTCCGGCAACTTCGCCGCTATGATCTCTTCCGCCTCTCTCTTCGTCGTAATATATCGACTCGGAAGGACCGGCGCCCCCGACGCAGCGGAGATGTAAAGGAAAGTGGGGACATGCTCGTTCAAAGTCTCCTGTGCCAACGCAATCGCTACAACAAGCAGATACAAGTCAGCCACCCGCACACCCAACCAACAATCCAGCCCCATCTATCTTGATAGACATACCAGAATCCCGATTCATGAGCTCATACGTAAACTGCCCATTGCGCTCCTTCGCTTCCAGCGGTTCGCCCTCGCGCCTTCGCAGCGGATCTTGACTGCCCGGTCTCGAGGCGCTGAAAGCCTTTTGCAACCCGCTGAGAATCGGCTCCCTCCCTTGCACCACGCCCTTGTAGTCCGCCTCCAGGAGGATTCCCATGCTGTGAACGACGGCCGTAGCACCGCTGAGAAACGGCTTGTAGGTTTCCGGCTTCAGGATGTCGGCTTTCGCCCACTCGACGGAGCTTGCCCAGCTCGGACGACTCGTGGATTTCGTAACGGTATCCCATCGTGGTTCTCCGGAGCGACTGTCACATTTTCAAGTTGAGTTAACACCCTTGCACGCATGAGACATTGAGACCGTCTTTGTGATGCGTCGTACCTTAGCGATGTAACCGACCAGCCTCTAGCGACAGCTGACTTGCATATTCTCGATCCTGCAAAATAAAGGAGCCCGTTAGCATAATGCTTCTTCCAATGCGACGCGACGGAGAGGTAAAAGAGTATACCAACCCAAGAAGCCGTTTCCGCCAGCAACAACTACCCGTTTCGTGGCCATCGTGGGGTATCGTCGATGGCGAGCAAATATCAGAATAATGACTCAATTGAACTCTCATAGAAGGACCAATTCGCAAGAAAATCCACCTCGCCAAAGCTTGAGGAACGGGGAAAGCAGCAGCAGCAGCAGGGCCAACTTCCGCCCGCCGCTCCGCTTCCGACGCATTCCTTATCGTATCACCCGCCGCCGTCACGTGCCGGTGCAGACAGAGTTCCGCGGCGCAAGTCGCGACAGGGACATTGCATTACTCATACTCTTGCCCATCAACTCATTCCTCCCTCAGATCCCACATCAAAGCCAACATCCCTCGAGAATCACACCATGCCGTCCGCGACCGGTACCAAACGCGTCCGAGTGAGTACCCTCCCTCCCTCCCCAGTCCAACCCCAACCCCAACTCCAACTACGAAACCAAGCACACCTGCGCCCCAACCAGACAGCGAACCTAACAACCCCATCTCCATCACCAGGGCGTTTCCGTCTTCCGACCATTCGGTATGTTCCTTACTGAGCACACCCATCACAAATGCACATCCTAACCACCCCAACCCCACCCCGCAGTCTTCGGCAGCGAAGCGCAACCCTTCGACCCCAGCAAGAAACCCTCCGACGTGGCCCCGGACCACACACACCAGTGGCGGGTATTCGTGAAAGGCGTGAACGACGAAGACATCTCATACTGGCTGAAAAAGGTGCAATTCAAGCTCCACGAGACGTACGCGCAGAACGTCCGAACGGTCGAACAGCCGCCCTTCGAAGTGACGGAGACCGGGTGGGGAGAATTCGAGATCCAAATCAAGCTGTACTTCGTGGCGGAGTCGAACGAGAAGCCACAGACGCTCTGGCACAGTCTCAAGCTGCATCCGTACGGGCCGGACGCGGAGGCCAAGAAGGAGCGCAGGGAGGTCGTGATCAGTCAGAATTACGAGGAGGTGGTGTTTAATGAGCCGGTGGAGCAATACTATGAACTGTTGACGGGGGGAGGGGGCGCGGCCGGGGCGGGGCCGGGGCGGCTCAGCCGGCGCAGAAGGGGAAGGGCGGCAAGAATACCAAGCAGGCGCAGCAGCAGCGCGGGGGCAGGACCGCCGAGATTCCGTTTAATCAGTCGCCGCAGAATCCGTATAGTAAGGCTACGGAGGGGAGTGAGATCGATCGGTTGGGCGAGGCCAATAAGGCCGTCGAGGAGATGATCAGGCAGGAGAAGGAGAGGCTTATTGAGCGCGAGAAGAGGTTGGCGGAGTTGCGCGCTAGTGAGGGCGTTCCTACGACGACGAAGAAGCGTTAAGGCTGGTTGTTGGGTTGTTATCATTACCAACACTCTTCTTTTCGAGCTATGCCCTGCCCTGCTCTGCTGTCCGCGTGCGTGCGATACGCATTGGAAGCCTACTGGCCCTCCGAAGATGTGGCTATCGCTATCGCACACCCCCGGCGAGTTGTATGTCCGCGCTGCGTGAGTCGCGGCGGAATCTGGACAACTTGAGGCTCCTGTCAGAGGGAAGGATCCAGAGCCTATCTAGTGGGTAGCCAGGACCTACGTCAAGAGCCTCAAAGTGCTGTACCCTCACTGCGGCGGTTACTAGAAGCTGTATATGCTTGCTGCCGAGCTTGAGTGCAGATCTGCACCACAGAGCAATGTCCAGCACATCACCAGGACCTCACGATTTAACATATAGTTAAAGCCAAAGCCTTATCATAGCAAAATTAATGATATGAAGACCTATCAAGATAATCCTTGTCTTGTGGATATTCCAGAATCCCATCATCTCAGCACCTTTCTTTTCTATCCACTGCCCTCATCGAACTAGTTTGACTTCATCATTTCGCATATACTTTTCACTGTGTTGTAAGCCCAGCCGGAAAGTTATGCCAGCTTCGTGTGTTGTATCATATAGCCCGCGCAGCTCACCAACCCCAAGACCTCCGTCCTGAAGCATTTCCAGGATAATGGACCCACGCAGCCGTCATTTGTGCCAGGTTCCTATGGATAAAGGCTCGACATGAAGGAATTCAATCCACACTGGCAGTCAGTGCTATGGCGTAACGTCTCCAATGACACGACACGTCACTGCACACTTTAGTTCTGAGTCTGAAGGCGGGTCTCAAAGTTGTCACCCAGGACTAACTTTTTTCCTAGCCAGACACAAGACAATTTCAGGAAATGCAACTGCGGCATGTCTTTCTGGAAACAGCCATCCTTTCTCAGCATAAGGGTATTGGCTGTGACATGGTTGGTTATACAAGCCATTGTGTGAACTCTCTCTAATACTCGGGCACGCGTGACAGAGAGCTGAGCAAACTGCGGATTCTTGTCGTTTACCGTGAATTGGATAGGACAATTCAGTCCAAAAATACATTCAATAGTAGAATGTCAGGTAAGTATTGAGACCGTGGAGAAGCCAGGGGTTTGTATACCCATCACAGAATCTAATTAGATTCATTTGCCAAGAGATGCATCATTGATGCAGCAGGGGAAAGGTGTTTGCATCGACCTTCAAGTGAAGTCAAGTTCAGGCATGGAGCTCAAAAGCAGTGGCTCACTGCATGTCGGGTCGATATATGCTGATAGCAGTCCAGGTGAGAACAGTCCTTGAACATCGGTCTCTGTACACCGGATAAAAGGGTGATTTCCCGCAATAGCAGTCCACGCATTATGTTCGGCAGACGAAGAATTATTAGGGGCCTCGTTTCTTGCGGCAGAGGGCACGCCGCTGCTGGTTTGTGGGTATCGGGACTCAATCCAAGCGGTGAATGTTTCTGCTGCCACACACCGAAGATATTGATGAGCTCGGTTTGCAATAGGCCATTTCTGCCGCAATGTCTTAAGACACCCCAGCACAAGAATGATGCGATTGCAGTGGTGATCGGAACAGTCAGAGGAGTGAATCCGACTTGTAGCGAGCTGTACCATTCCGCATAGTACTAGGCTGAATACAACAAATGGGCTGTATCGCTGTACACTGGGGCGCACAGAGAGTAGATTAGACAGCTGTTTTGATGCTTCGGTCGTTTTTATGTCATGGACATGGCGGGTGAATGATGGGGAAAGGCGAGATGGGATCACCGGGCATATCGGGAATCCCACATCTGGACAAACGGGTCGCAGACTGCTCCTCGGTAGATGCAGAAGCATTGCCGCGTAGTGAATGGTGATATGTGCCTGAAAGAGTATCTCATCAACACTACCGTAAGTGTCGACAATATCAACTTTATTTGGCGGAAGATGGTTTGTCCAGCTGACAAGTGCGTTCTCCACGGCTTGTAGGTGGTCCCTGTGAGTCTCGGGCAGACTATTGAGCACTAGTACTCGCGCCAGGATGCAGACTGCCTCGATACGGTAGCTAAAGGATGAATACCGGGATTGATATGGCTCCCCTTCGTCGTCTGCGAAAATGCGCTTGTTGAATCCAGCAAGCGTTGGTGGCGAGGGAATATTGGTGTGATTTGCATACACTGATTCTTCACACGGCAAGGCCACATCATAAGGAACGCTACTGCACCGCAGGACGACTTTCTTCTGCAAAGCGGCCATATAAACATCCACGGTAAAGAGTTCCCACCAAGTCCGACGCAGACTTTCGGCTTCAACATCCTGCCCATGGGAAGAGATGGCTGCGAAATCCTTTCGGTACATTCCCAGCTCCAGAGCAATGTCGACGGCCTGCGAGAAGAAGGCATGAGCCTGTGGGCATTCGCCACGAGCACATGAGATTATGGAATGCAAGAGGAGAGCTTGAACTTTGCACGGCGTTCTCTCACCCCCGGCGCTCAACTGCACGGACGTCGAATCCGGAAGGGAGTTCCCAGATGGCTGTGACAGGAAATGACTGCCTATAAAGACGACAAGTTGATGCAAATAGGCCGGGTACTTGCGCTCTTCATATAATGCAGCGGGGACGAGGATGGGGTGCGCCGAGTGAAAATTGTCATAATACAAACGGACCAACCGAGCGTCTGAATCGGAAGAATCCTGGGCATCCTCTGACGGGGTCATACGTCGGGCTTGCTGTCCAGACACCATTGAGGAATCATCTGTTCCGCTCAGGTTCGTGGTGTGCGGGGTTATGATCAAGTCTGTGACAGATGAGCCCGAAGCAATCTGCTGCTGCAGGTGCCGGGGATAGGCGGGGGTTGCAGTAGACTGCTGTCGGACCGCTTCTCGAGTTCTCCGCCTCCCTCCCCGGCGCGATGGAAGATAGTTGCAGTTCAGGCGGTTCTGCATACAGCGGGAGCAGGCGGGGGTTTTCGCGTCGCATTTGAGATGTTGCTTGCGACATTCCGTGCAGGCCAGCGGGGATGGGCGCGCCATCTTATGGGTGAGTCTCCCTCTGGGGAAGAATCCTTTTCATCCTGATGCTTTGACACTAGGACATGCATGAGGACACGGTGGCATAAGCATGGAGCATTGTTCCGGTGAGTTGAAGTGGGAGGAGTTCAGAGTCCAGAGTCCAGGAAGGAAGGAGATGCTCAATCGCCGAAGCCGCGGTGGCATCCATCTGCGCATATATCGGGATGACTAAGCACATGTGTGCATAACTCTCAGCATTATCATGTGAGTGAATGGCTCCAAATATTTTCTATTTTGCTTCAATTTTGTAGTCCCTTGGACACACTGATACTCCTAATGCTCCCAGCTCGCTCTTGGAGACACTAACGGTACGAGTCCCTACGTCTTCGTACTTGGAAAGATCTTGCCATCCAAGCCTGAACACCTGATAAATAACCCAATGAAGAGCGCTACAATCTATGGGCCTAAAAAGATCAAAATTCAATGGAAAGAACCTCTTAAAATTCAATATTGCGCCAATTCGCAGGTCTAAACGATGACAGATTATTATATAGAAAGTCGTTACTCATTACCAATTGTCCTTCCTCCGGTCTCTTACGACGCCTGTTTGACATGGCTACTCCGTCCAGTTTCCCGATCATAGATGTGGTACCCAAAGTCCGCGGCATTGGGGGGAGTATACACTACAACAACAGTCAGTCAGTCAGTCAAATGGCCGCGCCCAGTAATTCTTGAAGTTACACTCACAATGCAACGAAACCGCGACCTGATCCTTCTGCGGGTTCATGACGCGATGCAAGCCAATCGTATCACAGATATACGCGACTTCATCGGGCTGGTACGTCGTCTCCTGCTTCACCGTCAAGGGCGCATCATGGCCCCTCGCGGGATCCGGGGTGTCGTAGATCACTTCATTGAGCTCGCCAGCGAGGATCTTCATGATGCAGTGCGCGTTTGCGTGGTCGTGAATCGGCGACCCCTTTTGTGGGTTCCAGACCAAAACCAGCTGCTCAAGAATGTCAGTCCCGTCACTGGATTGGGTGTTTTTCTGTTGAAGTCAACGGAGAGAGACTGACCAGGTTGGCTCGACCATTGATGTCGACTACCAGATTCCGGGTGTAGTTCTTGCTCAGGTCGTTGTGAGTGAATCGGGCCCATTCGACGGGGTTGGAGGCGTATTTGGACATGAAGGCCATCAGGACCCGGTGGTCGACGTCCTCCTCGGCAATCCCGCGGGAGCTGCCCAGGTAGCCTTTGAGATCTTGGACCAGCTCGTCGAATGTGTAGCTTTCATTGTCGGCCACTAATGAGACATGGTCTTTGCTCAGAGAGGATGTGTAGCCGGTGAGAGCACCAAGAGGAGCGAGGATGGTGGAAGACATGTTTCTTTTCTTTTTCTCGACAGGTATGACGTGAAGTAAGTAGAATTTGAGACTGATGATGGATTCAAAACAAACGGGCTTCCGTCGCTGGTTATAAGTTATCGAGGGAGGTGGCTTTAGCCAAAGTACTGTGTGTTCTGTTCGATGCCTTCTATGGGGGGGAGAATGTTCAATCGCCGACCGGGGTTTGCCATCGGCGATTCAAAGTTGGCCAATCGGAGGCCCACAATTCGTTGCCGGCCAATCAGAGAGCTCTGTTGACCACATGAATAGATTCACCCCTTGACGTCCAAGCCATGATCAACGCCATGTACGACGATTCCGCTCCTCCACACTACAATCTTTAGATTAAGGAGCTTTATCGCATGCATGGTGACGACGGATGGATTCTAGGCCACTTTGACCGCGCATTCCATTACGTGGGAGTGGGAGCTGCATACTACTCGTCCGATTTACGATGACATCAACCGGATGGATATACTTGTTCTTAATATACGGCAGGGATGGCTAAAGCTTGTCAACAAGCAAAAGTACTAACTGCGGAGTAAAAACTAATCTATTCCGATGATAAGCGGGCACATGGCTAGGAGTACCTGTCCAAAATAGCAGGAGCATCAAAATAAAAGCCTTTTCGTCAGCAATTACCTGTGCATCGAGCACTCATCCGCTATCAATAGTATTCACCTGCAACACCCTATGCAACAGACTTGCTTCAACCAACCCAGAATCCTTTCGCCGTCCTTGTCACACTTAATCCCTTTTTCGTCCCATATTCTCATGCTTATCTCTCTCATTGTGCTATCGAACTAAGATGTAAACCCCTGACTAACCCCGAAGGAATCTGCCAGGGCAGGGAGGGGACAACCGGGTCCCGTATACAACCGATATCAGATACGACGGAAGACCGCAGCTTCTGCAAAGATGAGAACCCAAGTCCGAGTATCGCAATGCAGTAAACTGCACCGTGCACTGCCCACACCAGGACTAAAGATAGTAGATTTGCCCCGGAACCGCATTGCTGCCTATCAAGTACCCACTGTGGTCTGGAGCGTAGCCGGGTGGGTGAGTGAGCGATATCCATCACTTTCAACCCAGTACGGAGTACGGGGTAGTCGAATCGATTACCCGTCTTCCTGGAAGAGTATTGCATCTATGTGAGAACATATCCTGGGCTTTTTGCATGATGCATAATGAAGGCCAACGATGAAAGTATTGCGGCTGTAGCATATCCAAGGTTCATCAGATATACCGTGATTCTGTGGTGTGCGTATTGTATTCTCTGGATAACCGGAAGATGTGATACCCGAGTGATGCGGTACGCTCGACAAGAACATCAGCTGATGTTGTTGGCCATTGCTTTCTCGGATATAATGAAGTCGGGGACCTGATAACGGCTTGACGCGTCGCAGGGCAAGCCCACAATGCATCTTGCATTTCGGGGATGGAAGTTGGAACGCACGATAAGCTCCGCACTCCGGATCTACATGTCGAGAAAGTAGGGCTACACGGTACATACCCGATATGATTGGTTTATTTATCTGCCATAGAAACGCGGTTGAAGTGTATACCATCAGATAGAGCGGAGTGCATGGGTTTAGTTACCTCTTCCGCCGAACTTCCCATCACCAATATGCCACGGTGGGCATCTCATGCCAAGTCGTCCCAGCTCCCCCCCCCCGAAGGTGTGAGAGCAATATAATTGTATACTCACCCTCCGCGCGAACAGATCGGATCTCCGGTTATATTAAAGCCCATCCATCCACCGATCGCTACTATAGACGGAGCAAGCAAGCAAGCAAGCAAGCTGCAGACAGAACCGTCCGAGGCTGCATCTGCAGCACCCACCAAACCTACCGAACACACTGCATAATGTTGCATCCAAGCGTCAAGGCCGTTGTTATCATATATTACTGGCTCGGAATTGCGGTGAGCGTCGCCATAATGGCGTTGATGGTGCGATAAGCGGGTCGCCGAACCAGCCAAGTTTCAATCGCCGACTGACCCTTACCTCTTGATTTTGGCCAAGCACATATGGTATGTATGCCAGGATGGATACAGTTCGGGACTTGTGGCCCGTCGAACGGGGCGTTAGATGCTTGGGAGCTATGCAGGCGGGCACCTGCCATGGATGTCGTGGTTCCGTGGGTAGACAAGTAGTTGATTCTGGAGGGCTGAGGAGAGGGGATGGTCACAAGAGCAATGGTTGCGGAGAACTGAGGTCAGTTCGCGGTCAGGCGCGGGGTTTCTCTTATTCACAGTATTGGGGTCTTGCCAATAGGCTGGATGTGTTGGTTTACGTTAGATTGTTTCTTGTTTGTCGGAGAATCTATTGAGATCATCCAAGTATGATCTGTCGGCGACTCAAGATCGAGGCCATGTGAACATGAGCGCATCTGCCTCTCCTCCTTGTTGATACCCGATGAAAGCATTCCAGAAGGTCGGAATAATGTGATGTAACTCTCTCTATTTGGGCAATCTCTGCATTCAAGTTTCTGGCGAGGAAGATGACTGTCTAGGGAAGTTTATAGGGCTTCGGACCGACGTTACTATATTCGGTGGCAACTAGACACCGTCGCGCAAACTACAGACGGGGCGTGTTCTAGCGCGATTCTGGAAGAAGCCAGGGGCAACGAACGATATCAACATTCGAGAAAGCTCAAAAGGGAAATCAAATGATCAGTTGAAAAGGGAGGCAATGCCAGATGACATCGTACAGTTGTTCTAACTTCTCGGGCCTGTATTCTCGGGCCCCTTGCGTTTAGTATCGATACCCCTTTCATTCTGCAACAAGTACCAGCTACCATCCATCCCTCTAACTACCTACCGTACTCCTTAGAGACTCACTGATACCGTTCTGCATATACACGGATCAGGGTAAAGAGCTGATTGTATGCAATTGGTTTGCCCGCGGTGCCAGCTGGTAACTTCAGTGGCTTTGGTGACAGATAGTCTATTCCGACAAGCTGCAGCGACAAGCTCATAGACTATGTACTTCGAAGAGAGCGAATGTTGTATCGTATCCTATACACCGTGATGTAAAAGGAAGCAGGAACGCGTACGCGATAGGAAATATCCGCCTGAGGTCCGGATCCGCTTCCGCTCCCGGCCCCACAAGCCGCGATGAAATCATCGCCTGATGATGGATGGATGGATGGATGGTTCGGAGACTTATCTCCGGGTTTTTATCTCTCCCATGCTTCAAACAGCGTATGCCGTGTTTCTAACTGTGGTTGTGATCGATGAGATATGGTGATAGTGGCCGCTTCTCTGTACGTGTCTAGGACGTAGTACAGAGATTGAATAATTTGCGCTACGCGTCCAGGCGCCCGTCCAAACACCGTCGGCTCTAAGTTCCAGTATAGCCTCAATACCAATATCAACAGCATTGATATGAGGGTATTCCTGCATAATTATGATCTAATCCATATGTAGAATAACCTAAGGCTGATAGCGACATTGCTGTACTCTTTCTCCATCAATCATTCGCAGAATATATCTATCTCGCCTACCATTTTTCTCCTAAGCACACAGAAAGCCAATATTACATCTAGTATAGAGTTTAATCGGAAAATGCAGTATCTCTGGCTTTTCAACATATTCTTTCTCCTTGCTCATAGTATGGCTAATCAAAGCGGTGGCCATGATCAGTCTCTGTTCTACATCAAATCAAACAACAACCTTCAGCCTGACTGTGTAAGTTACCCAAATGTATATTGTCTCTTCCACTAAGCTTACAGCGCTATAGCTTGACGCAGGTGCCATTTGTCTTGGATGCATCACTTGTTGCTGCGGCGACATGGGATGCCTTATAACACCGGTAAGTATCTGCTGATGTTCTATTCCATACTCACTTCATAGCCGGCTTATTCTGCTGTCAGGGTATCTGCCTCTAAACAGGCAGATTTGTCATGTTAGGCTATGAGGATGTATGCAGATACCCCGACTCAAGATTTAAAAAACGAGATAATTTAGGTCTTTCTTTAGCAGAGCTAAGACGAATTCTAAGTCATACAATCGAGTCTCGCATGACCCAAGTAAGTATATATGTATCTCCATGGATATTTGTGTTTGAACTACTCTTCAATTATAACTCCAACCGGAATAAGGGCTCTCCGTGTACTATCTACTTAGGCTTGGTATACACCCTCCTCTGATGGGTCTTTAAGGTAGTAAATGGAGAAATTGGAGAGTGGACTGGTCACTATCTACTATATTGCCAAGACTAGGTCATGATGCTATTCTCACGAGCATCCATACGAGATAATCGAACGAAGAAACCAGACTAAATCCCAAACAATCCCATCAAATAGATAGAAATTCCCACCAAAATATATACAATACAACACAAAATCGACATTTAAACCACCCACCCCACCCCACCCCCAAATGCTATACCACTCCGCCCCCACTGAGCTCTTGACTTTAAAACCCAGGGCAAGGAAACGCCACCCGGTACCAGTTACAGGCATAACCCGACTCGGTGCATTTACCCCAGACGCCACCGGCGGGGTCTCCGTAGCCGTAGGTGCCGTCGCTGTAGGCGATCTTGTACTTGATGGAGCAAGAAGGTCCACCGGTGGTCTTCAAGATATCAACGGTATAAGGCAGCTGGGAGTCGATGGCCTGTCCATCGACGAAGTTCTCCACATGACCGATGATGTTGCAGGCGTGGTCGTAGATGTAGGCGGCGTTGTACTGCAGGTCTTCGCAGGTGTCGGTGGGTTGCAGCTGGTAGGCGGCGAATTGGCAGCTGCCGGAGCCTTGGCCGACGCAGAGCGCCGCGCCGGAGGGGATGCTGGCGCTGGCTAGACCGAGGGTCATGGCTAGGCTGACGAGGCCGCTGGTGAGTCTCATTGTTGTGGTTTGGGAGGGTGGTGGAGAGGGTGGAATTGGATGGAGGAGATGAGATGCCTGTTGAGATCGGCTACTAGCAATTCATGGACTGAGGAAAAGGGAGGTGTGGAGTTTGACGAAGAGAAACTAAATGTTCAATTCTAGAGGACTATACAGAGATATTCCCTCGTTATTAACCTCAACTGTAGTTCAGTCTAGTACAAATTGAGTAACTCAGATGCCATCCTGGCCCCCACGCCATGTTTCGGAAACCGAGCGAGGATTCATCGGGCAGGTACGAGCCGGAGCAGTATCCTGAATACTGGCCGTGAGAAATTATTTTGTTGGTTTACATGCTAGACAGTCAAACCTTGAACTATCGACGCTAGAGCGTGGCTTTTCCACGTCTAGTCAATATATAGTGGGTACAATCTCCGTTGGAGTAGGGCTGCACCGGTTTAGGTTGATAGGACTTACTCACCCAGCCAGTTTAAGACAGACCCCTGACAATTCATTCGAGTGAGTACTGTGAAAGCCCGACCTGATATACCTCCTCTACAACATACACAGCTAGAAGCCGATACCTACTTACTCTAGCTAGAAACCCTAGGGCTCGGGCGCGGAAGGAAGGCTCGGAGGTTTGACCCGCGATCGATTCGCGATGAGAGTATCCACATCCCCAACCCACAGTCAACCCCGATGGAGTCGCTCCACTTGGACTTTCAAGGGTCCACCAACAACACGGCGTGGAATAGGGCTATGCCTCTCATTCCGAGTCAACCTTGCGGTGGACGCCGGGGAAGTTTGTTGGGGGCCAACTCATTGAATGGGTCCGAGTTTAGATTCATGGGAAGCGATGAAGCCATCGGGCCACGCTATACTCATACGAGCCTTAGGGTTGCCATGCAGACTTTGACCAGGGTTGCGTTCATTTCCCATTGCTATACCGTAGCTTTTCAGGTCCATGGTAGAGGTTTCTTTTGCGAAGTTGCTCAAATAGAAGATGGATTTGGCGAGTCAAATGCACACCTGTCTGTTGGAACGACAAGGAATTCATGTGCCTTATTCCATGTATAGGTTATCCATCGCACCTTTTAAGCCCATATGCAGGCTCCCCGGAGTGGCTGACGCGGTTCCGTGGAACCAGAAACCGGGCTTCGGCTTTTCCCAGCATCTTGAAGTGGGTTCGTCTAGCCCCCAAATTTATGAAACAGAGAAGGCCCCGCGGAAATAATACGTACTGTTCAGCAATGGTACAGTAATAGAGACGCTATTATTTGGCAGATGAAATATGTACATGGAAGTGCTAGATCATAGATACTTGGGATAAAAGACAAAATGACTCAGGTGGGGTGGGTTCTCAACAAAATAACAGGACGGGCTTGCTAATTTCATAGTGTCAAATCGTGAAGAGGGGGGGCAGGAAAATGTGAGCCTGCGAGTGTGGGGGGTTCTCAATCCACATAGCTAGCTGTTGCTTTGGTGGTATCCCTGGTCTGCTTGAGGAATGGGATTAAGTCGGTTCCACCCGTTCCTCGGACCCCTTCTGCAACCTTGTCGTGGGACTTGTCCATCAGAGTGGATGTTGTGGTGGCCAGGTTGACCAGTGAAGAGGTCTGGTTTGGTGGTGGGATTCTTGCGGCCATGATGATGTATCGGGTTACCATGCGAACGTGTCTGTCTCTGAAGCTCCCGAGCGACATGACCGCCGTGTTGTAGGCGTCCCTCAAGGGCGATTCGGCGTTATGGCTCAATGCGTATTCGCGGACGTTAGAGGTGCGTACGAGCATTTCTAGGAAACGTCGATGGGGGCCTGGCATGTAGTTTCGCATGCCCTGCATAAGGTCGGTTAGCGTCATCTGGGCTTGCTCTAAGTGCGGAATCTTTTATTGGCACTCACCTGCATGAAGCCTGTTCTCATTGGAGCTTGTAACTTGCCCTGCGACTTCTGCTCTCCCGTCGCCGAATGTTCCACGCCAAGAAAGATATCGAATGCCTGGATCAAGGAACTCTGCGCATTGCTGCCACCGCTGTACTGATGCCATTCGCCTTGCCCTCCCCCGAGGTCATAGAACACGCCGTTTGGTAGTCCTGATGAAGCCATGTTCTTGCTGCCTGCGAGATAAGGCCGTAGGACGTGATAGAACACAGCCGGTGCGCATTTTTCATACATCCGTTCTAAGAGCTCCCCAAGTTCACTAAGGCCATAGCTGAGCTGTTCAAGGAGACTGATGACACGATGGATATCATCGTTACCGGCACCGTGGATAGCGTCCAGCATTAGCTGGATGAGCTGCGCTCCTCTGACTTCAATAGCGACGGAGAGGACAAAAAACCACTCTTCATCTTTGGTCCCAGTAAACGAGGTCACCACGGATAGGTTGTCTGGATCGGTCATATCTGCATACACCGATGACACTTTAAAGTTCCAAAGATTAAGCGCTGCATATGTGGCACACGGCGGAAGTTCAAGGTGGTTCGCGATTTCGATGAATGGACGTGATATACAAGGAGGCAGTATCTATCGAATTTGACGTCAGTTAGCTCACAGACAATGGTCGCAAGGCTATGAAGGAAAGTAAATGTGGTTTTTCTAGAGATTATTACCTCTCTTGGCTTATCACCCCCCCATATGTAAGCGTGGGTAAGATAAGCAAGCACGACATATGCCCTCCTCCACTCAGGTTCCCCTCGCAATGTGTCTGTGGAAAGTATAGGCAGATCCTCCACGGCCTGTCTGATGTCGCCCGCTTTGATGTGAGTAGGAAGGTCTTGAGCGACCTCTTCCCATGGCGAGTAGTACGGATTTCCTAATCTCCGCAAAGGAGGCGCGTCCGGGACAAACCCGTTTTGCACGGAAACGCTGTATTCGACAAGCGAGATTCCTGGAGCGTCGAGCATGGTTTAATGTAGACTGTGAATATACCACAATAGAAGTCTGACAGGTCAGAGAAGAAGATCCTGCGTGAATAAAAGAAGCAAAGTGTTTATAGGGTATCTCGAGACTGGGGACGGAACAAAGACGGATCCAGAACGGATGGTGCTAGACTTGTGTGAGGGCTGGACAAAACCGGTTAGCTGACAGGTTAGCAACAAGAGACTACCACCTCTATCAGCCCCCAGGCGATAATCCGCAGAAAGCTTCAACGGTCATCCGGCCCCATCAAGCGGATGTTTGATTATGGCTCTATCCGTCGACACGGATGTCGAGGCGGAAGCGGAACGGTATCCGGTCCCGGTGGCAGAGACGGAAACTATTGTGTCACCGGGCGGTTTATAAATGTCAAGATGGCGACTGAAGATGCCCCGGGTTTTATCCTACTTCCTGGACATCCTACCGCCTAACCATCATTTCACTGTTCTCCGTGTCCTTCACCATGTCGAAATCGAACCATGCCAGCCTGGGATTTCCTGCCGAGGCAGCGACCCAAGAGTATGCCGCATCTCTCGATGCCTCAGACAGCCTAGCAGCGTTCCGAGAGAAGTTCATTATCCCTTCGAAAGCGAATATTGCTTCGAAGAAGCTTGCAAAGCCTGGTAGGTTTTAGTACGGTGCAGTTATCGCCCCTTCACTGACCAAAGTCGCAGGGCTTTCAACCGAACCTTGCATCTACTTCTGTGGTAATTCGCTTGGTATCCAGCCCAAGGCTACATCGAAGTACCTAGAGGCACAGCTGGACACATGGTCATCGATCGGAGTGGGCGGTCACTTCACAAACCTGGAGGGCTCGCCGCTCAAGCAATGGCAACTGCTCTCAGAGCAAGCAGCTGAGTCCATGAGCAAGGTTGTAGGGGCAAAGCCCGAAGAGGTCGCGGCGATGGGCACCTTGACGACGAATATCCACCTGTTGCTTGCTAGCTTCTATAAGCCGACGGAAACGAAGCACAAGATCCTTATGGACTGGAAGGCATTTCCTAGCGATCATGTAAGTCGGCAGGAGTGTGTCCTTTGCCAACAAAGCTAACGCCGGCATAGTATGCTATCGAGTCACATATTTCCTGGCATAATCTGGATCCAAAGGAGTCCATGGTATTGATTGGTCCAGAGGATGGCGAATATGAAATTTCCACACAGAAGATCTTCTCTTACATTGACAAGCATGCCGACGATGCTGCTCTTATCCTCCTTCCTGGTATTCAATATTATACTGGACAGCTGTTCGACATTCAGAAGATTACGAAATACGCACACTCGCGCAACTTGGTAGTCGGATGGGACCTGGCGCATGCATTCGCGAATGTCGATCTGAAACTGCATGATTGGAATGTCGATTTTGCGGCATGGTGCACATATAAATACGGCAACTCTGGACCAGGGGGCATGGCAGGCCTGTTCGTGCATGAGAAGCACGGCGAAGTCGACTACAGCGCAGGAGAAGATGCTCCCAAGTTCCGGCATCGTTTGACTGGATGGTACGGCGGCGATAGGTCGGTGAGGTTCAAGATGGACAACAGTAAGTGTGGACCTGCTATATCGCAGAGTATGAGAATCAAGTGAGCTAACCTCTTCAACAATCAGACTTCAAACCGATCCCTGGTGCTGGAGGTTTTCAAATTTCGAATCCCTCCGCCATCGATCTTGCGTGTCTCTGCGCCGCCCTGTCCGTCTTCGATGAAACATCAATGGCTGATCTTCGCAAGAAATCGGTAGCATTGACAGCGTATCTTGAATATCTTTTGCTTGAAGGTACCGATGACGAGTCGAGACCATTCCGCATCATCACACCAACAGACCCTGCGGCTAGAGGTGCCCAGCTTAGCCTGTTGCTCAAGCCTGGGTTGTTACAGAACGTTGCAAAGAGGTTGCAAGAAACTGGAGTCGTTTGCGACAAGCGGGAGCCAGGTGTGGTTCGTGTGGCACCAGTCCCCCTGTACAACAGCTTCAGTGAGGTGTGGACGTTTGTGAAAATCTTCAAGGAGGCCTTGGGAGAAAGGTGAAGTTTTCGCTGAATCATTATGTCAGTTGGCTTGGTCGGAGTTAGTTAGCGTTGTGTCGATACCAGAGTTGCCATAGACGAATATTAAGGAATAAATTCCCTCATGTTGCAATATCTTCGCCCCGTGCTTAAGACGATTCTGAATGCGACTGGGAAGTCAAGGCGTGACCAAAAGATGATGTGCCAAGTCCCCGGATAGCGAACATCGAGGAATAAATAAGTAGATGTGATCAAAGTCTAATTGCTAGCCTGCCCACTAAAGAGCATTTATTAAAAGTTCCCGAATCCTTCGCTAGGGTCACCTGTTCGTAGAAAGTCCTGAGCTTGGGAAAAGAAGTTCGCGGCGAGTATTGAAAACTCATCGTTCCAGACATCTGGTCTCGGGGAGCCCATTGGGCCCAGGGGATATTGTGCACCTGTGGCAAGGGGGGTTTGGATGTTGAACTGCGAGTTTGGTGACTGAGAAGTGACTTGCTGTGAGAGACGAAAAGGTTCAGGCAAGGGGGATGTCTGCGACACTTCGGCACCGAGTGTAGGAGCCTCCCTATAGAGGGAATCTCCAAACATGCGTCGCGCGGAATCAGTATCACTGTTGGAAGAGTATTCCAAAATCTCCCAAAACCGTGATAGGTCAATGAGGAGGTACTGATTCTGGGCGCCAGACTCTAGTTCATAGGACGCAGATACAGCATCTTCCAACCTTTGCAACCTGTCCGCCTATACCCATGTTAGCAAGCAACATAATCATATATCAAAATAACAGTCTTACCAAGCGTGCCATATGAGGCCATTTCTGCCCGAGAGTTTGTACAAACCCGACGCACTTGTAGAATCGATTGCGCTTCTCCTCGCAGATTGCAGCATTTTGCGTAAAGCTTAGCTGTAGCTCAATTGTAGCTACCACAGCAGCACTATACCCTAGGAAAGGGTCGGACACGACAAAGGACCTCTCCTCAAAATAGTTGATAAAATGGATGATCCAAGTCGTATGAGACGAAATCAAATCCGAGGTGTGCTGTAAGAAGATTTCGGGTATTGTACTCCTAAAGTTTCTGAGGCTGAGAGAGAGCAGAAGTGGGTGGTTGAGAAGACACAAGATCGTATGATACAGAAATTGGTTCAGTAACCATGGTCCCCAGTACTCCCTTCTGGTCTGAAGGTCTTCCAGTGTTCTTTGACTCAAGTTAGCGGGTTTGAACCGGTGGTGATATGGCATCTGGGTCTCGCGTTCCATAAGGGCAGTTAGTATCTTCGAGTATTCTGACTGCGATGACCATGGAGGAACATTGCTAGGTCTCCCATGACGTCTCACATATCTTGCAGCCTTTGCAAATATCTCACTGAGCATGATCACGTAGGCAATTATACCTTGGTCCTGCATGCCCACTGACCGGGCCTCGTTCCCCGCATCCGTGAGGGGACTTGTTGGCGGCGGTCGACTGGGGCTTTCTGGAAAAGGAGGGAAGCAGAAGTCTGGGAAATCCATGTTGTCGAAGTCAACACCATGAAGACGCTTCAGAAGGCATATACTCCAAAAACAACGCCTGCGTTCCTCGCGTGTGGCAGGAGTTTGCGCCAAATGGGACTCTAGGCCAAGATTGGCACATTGAGCCAAGTTGACAGCCAAGCTGCAGTGAATGCTTGATCGGTGTGTGTTTCCATCTGATACTTGTGTTAACGTAAAGTCATGCTATATCAGGACAACGGTTGCATTACTGGCAAAGTCAACCAAGCTTAAAAGACATAAGCTCTGTAAGGTTGAAAGCTCCACAGGCCCTTCTGAGACTCTTCGCATCACTAAGCTTCTCGCTACCTCCGTATAGCTGTTTATGAGAACCGTAGGCCCATTGGGGTCCGAACAATCGTTGCTCGAGAATCGGATACTCAACGCCAACATAGCATAGATGATCTCGGGGTCGCGAGCTCCAAGGCTATCGAGGAAGCTCTCTCTGTGAAAAAGTGGAAGTGGTTGAGAGTGGCAATATATCAGATACAGCTCTGCAATAGATAGCACCTTCTCCCAGGTAGGGAAGGGTGTCATTGGATTTGACGTTGCGGATGTCGCGGCATTGCTCAAGACAATGGGAGGAGGTGGTGGAGGCGGAGGCGGAGCAGTTGCCTGTTGCTCACGTCTGGAAGTATTTTGCCTAACATAGGAGGGTCAGATGCTGAAAACATTACTGTGGGACAGAACCAGAAGAATACCCCAAAGCGTCGAGAACTTCTCCCATTCGATTTTCTAGATTTCCCAATCGCTCCTCCTATTCCAGATTAGCCACCCATGGGACGGAAGTAGACAGAGTGATGGAATCACTAGTATCTGCGATATTCTGTTCTCCGAGCTGGAGGGAGTAGAGACCGGCTCTGCTGAGACAGGAAGACCATTTGCCCATGACCTCCGGTGTTCTCCAGCGTATGCGCATGTTTGGTTTAAGCGGGCGCACAGGGAGCAGATTGGCTGTTCCCCGGGACACTTGGCCTTCTTTCGTCTATGAAGTGTTAGTGAGTACTGCGTCATATAGGCCAGGGCCGGACAGGTATTCCGTCTGACCTGCATGGTTCACAGGCTTGCCGCACTCGCTTAGCCGGCCGCTCAGAAGATGCGGATTCCATGTCACACACTGATGGTCGTGTAATGTACGCGCTTTTGTGTCTAGCTTGTGGGATGCTGGGAAGAACAATATTAATCCTAAGGATGCTCCGGTAGTGGCCTGTGGGCTCATACTGATTGATGCGCTTCAAAGAAACATATCACCGGGCTATGAAAGCCAGTGGTGCCTGGAGCCTGTACATGTAACTCCAACTTACCATGTAGGATACGTCTGGGATGAGAAGACAGGTGAGACTTAGGCAGTGATCTCAAGGCAAGCTTATCCGCAGAAACTAAGGGGGAGAGTGATCGGATCCGACATCGATGGGGATCCATGGATGGATGGATACATGATAAGACAAGACAGGCCGATCGGAACGAACCGCAATACGTAGATGACTAATCCATTGCCTACCTGGGCTTGAACCTCTTTTGGACTGGAGTATTCAATGACGCTAAGTATGTTGGATTCTACTACTAAATGCTTTGTATGCATTGACCAATGACTAGGCCCAGTACGAATGCCCTCCACTTCTCACCTTCGGTGTGGCAGGACGAGTCCAAACTTGAACATTTATAGTATCTTCGAAACCCGCTCCTGTGGGCATCATCTACAGTCTTTTGCGTTAACAAGTGGGAGGATCGTGACGAGTGACCATGACAAATGGCGAATCTATTTGGATCAAATCTTTCGCAGCAGAGATATTGCATAGAGAAACGACTTCTCGCATTGACGCCTTAGGTTATCTTATGTACAACGTCGGCAATCTTCCTCTCAAGCCACTTATCGCAAAAATAGAGATACACCGCCAATCGAAGCCAAGAAGCCGAGTTGTTTTGACGAAATAGTGTCTAGTGAGAGAGGACTGCATTTAGTCCTTGCCGAACCAGGTCTTGTGGCCCTGTGGGAGCATTAGTATGTGGATGGCTCGACAGACGCTTCAACGCCAGGCAAGGTATGACCCTGCAGAAAGAACACTTACAAAGACCATGCGGCACATGGCATAGGTGGTAGCTAGCATTGAGTTAGTCGCAAAGCATCATCCACGCCAATAGCTGCCAAACGCTTACCAATGCCCATGCCGTAGACGGAGATCAGGTAGGGGTACATGACGTAGCCACTGCGCTCAGTCTGTGCAGAGAGATCCCAACTGTCAGAGTGCCATCGTTCTTATCGTTTGTGTGGGTTTATATTCGCGGATCGACTGACCTTCCACCACTGGCGCTTGCCGTCGGAGTTGTTCTGGAAAAGACGCTGGTAGAAGGGGACACGGTTCTCACGGAACACGAACCTAGATAACGATGAATATTTTTGTTAGCAAGCTCAATTCGTCTCGAAAGATCGTTCGGAAGCCGAATGGTAGAAACACCAGTCAATTGAGCAGCAGGCCATGCCAACGGACAAGCCGTCAGCCGGCAGGGCTCAAGACTGTGCGAGGGGGCATGGCCTAATAAAGACCAAAAGTGACGTACCCGGCCATACGAGGAGCAGTGCGGAACATTCTGGCGGTGCGCAAAAGCGACAGAGGAGGCTTGGGAGGGGATATGAGGGACAATGACAGATGAGAGACTAGCAGCAGCAATGATCAGTCGATGTCGTGAAGTGTGGACCCGAACGGTCCTTGAAGTCACGTGGTCACCCTCCCACTTCCGCCTTTAGGATGCAAGGATTAGTAATGTGCACGTGACTGTCCGAGCTCCTAGCCCGAGCGGGCATAGCGCCTGGAGGGCCGGCGTCTCCAGAAAAGTGATAGTAGCCTCCGCGGCACCTAAAAGGCGCGCAGACAGCAGAGCAAGATCACCATCCTCCTATCCTCACATGTGCAACGGACATTTACATTCTCTCACAGAGTGCGATTGAGGAGGATGTGTATATTTCTTACCGCCTCCCTTTCGCCCCCCTTCCCTCACGACCCATGCGCCCGGCTCTCCTTCGACTACTGAAGAGGCCGTCCGCTCTCTCGGTTCTCGACTCCCTGATATCGTTGCCCGTCGGAGTCGATCAATTGGACCTCGGACGTACCCCTAGATGTACCCGGTGCTTGTCGGAAGATACCCAGAGCCCAGGAACCAGGCCTCATTCTAAATCGCAACTCGCATCTGCCGAGGAACGCCCTTCCCCATCGCCAAAGCCAGCGTTCCGTTTCCGCGTCCACGACATCCGCGCGCCACAACGGCAAGCAACAACTGATACCGATGACCCTGATATTTCAATCCAAGATGGCACTGTCTTACGATTAGGGTGCTTGGGCCTACAGCCAGAGAAACTGGAATACGAGTCGGACATAGGACACGCAGACGACATCGGAACTCGATTGGTGGACGACCCCGCGCATCGGAATGATATCAAGCTATGGGAAGAACTTCTTCGTTACCGACAACGGCATTATGGGGATAAGGGAACATTAGAAATCTGGGAGGGCTTGACAGTCCGTGTGGATGGAGTACAGCTTCCTGTGGATGGTGAAGCTGCTGATTTCTTTTGGCAAAGCTTCGTGGACGTGAGCTTCAAGCGGGATGTCATCATGAATGAAATTGCCAACTATGCTCTAGGGCTGTGGTACAAGAGAGGGAAGCGTTGGGACAAGCTCTACGAGGCCGTCGTTGGTGGCTATATCGAACGCGGCATGACACAGCAAGCTGTGGAATGGCATAAGAAACTTCAACATCCACATTTAGCATGTCCCAATGATATCATACGCGTCCTTCAACCATGCATCGATGCCCAGCAGCGAACCCAAGCTCCTGGCCTGGTGCAGCCCAAACGTGCTGCGTCAAGCCTGAGGGTCTTCCGGACCATCTGCCGCTTGTCAAGGGGCCACCAAATATATGTCCCCATCATGTCCGAGTTGCTGCGTGGTGGTCATGTGGAGGAGGTACTTCGAATGCACAAGTTCCTCACTAAACAAGAGGATCATCCTCCTACTTTCAGTGATCTGGAGCCGCTACTCGAGTCGACAAAAGCGCATGGGCTATGGGAGATTTATCGAGAGCTTCATGGTTACGCTACTGAGCGGTTCCCCAACGAGATAGAGAAACCCGATGGATCCGACTCCGCGGCTCAAGCGGAGCTTAAAGGAAACGTCTCGCATGAAGAAAAGCCCATCAGAGACGAGCTTGGTGCACGGATCTTCGCCACGGAAGCTCTCAATTTTCAAATGATCCTCTCTGGTCTGCGGATGTTTCACGTGTCTGCCATTGGCCCGCAATCCTTGCGGGAGATGGCACTTCGGGCCCACGGGAGTCAAGATATACTAAACAAGCTCCGGGAGCTAGACCAAGCAGGTATCTCCATTGGGGATTCGGTCTTTGCGCGTCTTCTTCGCAAGCTAGCCACGGAGAACCGCGACATAGTTTTATCTGACTTGCTTCACAGCGATGAACATCCTGACGCACTTGAGGATGAACGTGTGCAGGAATCTTTGCTTCTCTCCTACTATTTGAGTCAAGACCGGCGCCCTTACAATATGACCTTGGCCATCCTAGGTGAGGTATCCAAGGACGGTCCAGACTTGTTCAACATCCATTTCAGGAAACACCTTGCAGCCAATGAATGGAGTTCGGCCTCCAAGGTGGTCGATGAAATGACCCTTCGCGGCGAAACTATAAACAAAGAAAGCATCGACTTTATGATCAACACCGTCCTGACGCCGCGCAGGCCCGGTGCTGGACCCGTCCAGGGGTCGAACCGCTCAGAAGTTGCGGAAGTCAGCTTCATGTTTCGCATATTGCAACGCATTATTCCTCTGGGGGCGACAGTGGGCCCTGAGCTCTGGATTGAATTGCTCAAACGCTTTGGAATGACGGGCTCCTGGGATGAGCTTCAAACCTGTTGTGTGTGGCTGGCCCGCCATTACTCCCCCACTTTGAAGCAGGCCAATACCCCTTTGGAGATCATCTCGTTACCCACGACCCCGCAACCCGCACACGCTGGTCTAATCCACCGACAGGGAAGTGCCCTGCTTGAGACCATATTCAGTAAACAGATGCAATCGGCTATCGTCGACTGGGGGTTTCAAATGCGGGTTTCCGCCAAGCGGGATGACTATAACCCTAGAGGTATAGACGGAGAAACCCTTGTGCCTTGGGTGCGCGGGCTCATTCTTCTTCGCGAGTTGGAGCAGAACGGCGTCCGGCTTTGGACGAGCTGGATTAGCAAGGCCTGCCGGCATCGGCTTGCCGTCTGCTTTGGACGACCCCGGCAGTCTAGCCGTCACATGAACCGCATGTTGCGACGGGAGACTCCATACAGTGCGGAGCGGGTCGTCGAGAACATCACCCGTGTCTGGGGAGAACCGTCGCTGTTTGGGGGTCAGGAAAACCTCGATTTCTATCGACTGATCAATCCTCCGAGCTCGAAGATGTCCCTACGCCGAACAGGCCGAACCCTCTGGAGGGAGGGTAGCCTACGAGGAAGGGCGTTTGTAAGTAGCCGATAGCGATCTACCACATGTACCGTATATATACGCCGTATAGAGCATAGAGCATAGAGCAATAGAGTCTAATGAAATGATACCCAAGACCTTTCTTGTGCAACCAGGCGGGTCTAGACGCTCGAGGGTGTCAGGGAGGAATGCGGGAATGCGGGACTGCGGGAATACTAAGTACGGAGTAATGCAGCGGGAATGCAGCCTGGATGCCTGACCCCAGACAGGGTCACATGACGTGATCCAATCAGCCAGCAAACAAACCAGCCAAACACGGTTCGGTCGGGCTGAGCCACGGCTCATGGCGTGTCGTTCTAAGAATAACCGGGCAGGCAACGCGGCCAGACTCCATCGCCCAGAGCCCTGAATGGCTTGGATGGAGGCAGCTGGCCCACCGTCGCTGGCAGATCCACGCCGATTTCTTACTTTCTTCTGACCCGAACCCTGGTTGCCGTGCAAACCACGGCAGTCCCATGTTCCATGTAGACCGTCTTTCAATTTCTGTTATTATTGCTTTTGCAAGTGGGGTTTATTGATTACTCCGCCGCATCAGCAGCAGCAGCAGCATCGTCATCCTCATCTTATGACCTACCTAACCTAGACCATGACTGCGTGTCTCTCCCTCCGTCTCTGAAACATTCTTTGCTCAGCACGCGCGGTATTCATCTACCAGACCCTTGGATTGAATACCCCGATAGACCCCCCCCCTTTGCCATCTACTATTACTACTTCTCCGTATACCACTTGATTTTCGCATCCGCGTTGTCGTGCGGTAATCCTGCAGCCCTTTCCTGCATGTGTCTCCCGTCACTGCCACCACTATATATCATCTAAAAGAGACCCTCAACGACCGACAGAACACGCGATCATCATGCGAGGACTAGGCCTTCTGGCACTCCTGCCCTTCGCGGCCGCAAAGGCCCTTCGGGCCCGGACAACAGCCTGCAACAACTCCCCGGATCTCTGCTCCAAATCCTACGGGGAGATCACCCACCTCGGTGCGCATGACAGCCCGTTCGTGCGAGATGCGACAACCGATTACTCCACCGCAGGGGACCAGTGAGTGGGATCCATCCAGCCGATGTCAGAGTCTTGCAGCGTACTGATGGACTTCCCTACAGATACTACAACACTACCCTACAGCTGGACGCCGGTGTCCGTCTCGTCACCGCGCAGGTGCACAAATCCGACTCAGAGTGGCATCTCTGCCATAGTAGTTGCGAGCTATTAGACGCGGGGACACTGAGCTCATGGCTGTCGGAGATCAAGACCTGGCTGGACTCCAATACCAATGACGGTACGTTCCCCATTGCTCCGTCTGCACCGACTCAGGAGAACGTCAACGCTAACTATCCCCCTCTCACTCAGTCGTAACTGTCTTGCTGGTCAACTCAGACGACGCAACCGCCTCGGACCTGCACTCCGAGTTCCAGACAGCCGACATCGGCAACTACACCTACACACCTACCTCGCAAACATCCGCGCCCAGCACATGGCCCACCCTGCAAGAACTGATCAACAACGGCACACGACTGGTGACATTCGTGGCCTCCCTGGACGCCTCCAACAACACGGTTGCCCCGTACCTGATGGACGAGTTCACCTACCTCTGGGAAAACCCATACGACGTGACCTCGCCGTCGAACTTCTCCTGCGAGCCCGACCGGCCCACCAGCGTCAAAGGCGACATTTCCACCGCGCTTTCTTCAAACCGCCTCCCCTTCATGAACCACTTCCTCTACCAGACCACCATCCTGGACATCGAATACCCGAACGCCAGCTACGTGTCCACGACCAACGCGCCCTCCGGCGGAACCGGCAACCTGGGCGACACCGCGACCACGTGCAAGAGCGACTGGAGCGGCCGCCAACCGACCTTCATCCTGGTGGACTTCTTCAACAAGGGCCCCGCCATCGACACCGTCGACAAGCTGAATAACGTCACCAACGCCAGCGGGCGCACCAACCTCACCTCCGTCTCCGCTACCAGTTCCGCCTCCACGTACTCCAACGTCTTCAAGGGCCTCGTCGAAGTCGTCCAGAAAGCGAAGGATGGGTCGAATCCCAGCATGGGCGAGTGGATCTGGGCTGGAGGAGACTGGGGCAGTCTGCTGAGTGGGGGGATAGCGCTCTAAGTTGATTGATTGATTGATTCATCGATCGCTGCTGTCTTTCATTTCTTCATACCCTTCTGCGATGCTGGTCTTTTTTTTTTCTTTTTTTTTTTCGAGGGGAAGGGTTCTCCCTAGCAGCATCTTTAGTGTTCGACCACATTTTGCATCTGTCTGTCTGTCTATCTATCTATCTATCTCCCATTTTGCACATTTGCGGGGTCAGCGCCGGGTTTGGGCAGGTCTTGGATGAGCCTCATGACATACATTCCTTTACTATACATACTACGTACATAACATTCATGCCATACTATACTATACTATACTATACTATACCTACCTACAAGTACATTCATTCTACCAGGTCTCTCTTGAGTAATTAAAATTAAGTATGGAAGGCGCTTTGGATGCTTCTCTCACGACAATATGAATTGTAGTACCTAACTTAGTAAGTAATAAGGTAGCCAGAAATACCGCCCACGTACAGTAAGCACATCCCCTAATCCTTCGCCAACAACTCCCGGACCTTATTCACCTTATCCTCAAACGACTGTTCCTTGTCGGTCCTACAGTACCACCATCCCACAGAGGGCAGTCAGTCAGTTAGTCAGTCAGTCCATGGAGTGGAGCATGTGCCAGCATCGCCCCCGCCAATTGGCTTACGCCTTTCGAATAAACAATTCCTCCCGAGAGAGAGAGAGAGAGAGAAAGAAGAGGAAAAAGAAAATAACAGACAGACACGGGTTGAAAAAGGAAGCGTACCTCGATCCCACCCGGATATCACTCTGTATCCGAACCACCCCCTGCTGGTGCAGTAGCATATGCGCCTGTCCAATGACTTGGTGTACTCTGTCCCAGGATCCTTCTGTTGATAGCGGGAGAGGGGGAGGGGTCCCGGTTGTTAGTTGGGTTTTATTTTTATTTTGGCGTATGTGTGTATATGTAATAGGGGGATAGATGGTATGGTTGCAGCATGCAGGATAATAGTATGTGGGGCAAGAGACAAGAGACCGAGACAGGAACAGGAACACATACCAAGCGTGGTCCCCGCCGAATGCATGACGTATTTCAGGCCCGACTTCTCAATGAGGCGCTGGACGTCGGCGACTTGGGCGGAGACGGAGGGGGAGGATGTGCCGATCTGGGTAGTTGTGTGTCCTGGTTAGCTAACTAGCCCACTAGCTAATAGCAGACATAGTACATGGTGTTGTGGGGTGATAAGATTTTGATGACTGAGCCAAGTCATGGCTGGCATGCAATGGATGGATAGATGGATGAACATGCTGAGGAATCGTTATGCGGCATTTTGTCATTCGACGCCGGGCCGGAGAATCCACGGAGATAACGAAGACAACGCGTGTTGCTGGCCAGACGGGTTGGAAAGGATGGACTGACTGACGGACTGGTGGTCGAAGTCCAATGGAGATGGGGTAGAGGGGAGGGGAGGGGCCAAGCAAACGCACCGGAATCAAGCAGAAATCGGCCACGCAGTGCGGGGGAGTCGGGAGGGAGGTGATGTCGGACATTTTGGGCGACGGGGTTGGTATTGGTTTTGGTCTTGGTATTGGGCTTTGTGGGTGAAGAGGAAAGAGAGCTGAGATGGGACGGGTTGGGTTGAGTTGGTTTGGATGGCAATGGGGAGCAGTTCGGTGAAGCTACTACGACTACTACTACGACTACTACGACTACTACTACGACTACTACTACTAGATACTGCTAGTCCAAGTCTCTCCAGCGCGGGGCCGATGGAGGGGCAATCACACCCTCCCAACATGGCACGGCATGGCACGGCATGGCATGGTATTACTACATCCAGATTGAGAGAACAACAGGACTCGCTCTCTCTCCCTCTCTCTCCCCCCTCCCGATTGCCTGTCCAGTCCATCCGCATTACAATCAGGAGATGATGCGTCTCTGCCTCGTCAGGATCGCAATGCTCGGGCGCCCTCTCTATGGTGGATTTTAATCCCACCCCCTCTGGGACACAGCTCCACCATGCACTCACTCACTCACTCACTCACTCACTAACTCGACTGACTGTCCTCAATCCGAGGCCAACTCATCCGGACGGGAATGCCAGATTCCAAATGCCAGTCTCTACGGAGTAGAGGAAATTGGATCTACACGCCAGGACGATCGGATTGTGAGGACTCACATCGGCGGCGTCAACTGGAGACCGACCGGGATTAGTGATCCTTCGCCGCGCCTTTTGCTTTTTTCTCCTCCCCCGGATTTCCTGGGCCTCGTCGCGATGTGATGCAGCGAGCGACTTACTCGATTGGGGTCGGGATCTAACCGTTCTAACGATCCTGGGGCTGCGACTAGCTGCCCGGGCGAATCGCCAGCCTGGCGGGCTGCGACCCTCTTTTTTCCCTTTTCCTTGGGATGGATGGTGCAGGCCGTGCAGGTGGGTGAGACTGAGAGGAATCTGCTATTACTATTGCAGTAGATATACATACGCGGGGCAGGAAGCAAGCAAGCAAGCAAGCAAGCAAGCAGGGACCAGGCAACCGATGGCCTCTGACACCAAAAGGCAAAAGGAAAGGAAAAGTCTGGGTCGTTCGTTGCCCGTCAGTTCAGTTCATCGGTCCACCCCCCTCTGGAACCTTCAAACCTACACCAAAGGTTCAACCGTTCAACTCCCTCAAACTCCCTCCCCCACTGCGATCAATCCTTCTAGGGACCAACTTCTCCTTCCTTTTATCTCCTGCAGCGACTGTCCCTCATTCCTCAGTCCTCAGTCCTCAGCCAGTCCTCCTCCTCGACCCAGCCTGCCGGGCGTGACGCAGCCCTGTTGGTCCGACCGTTGAATCGTCCAGTGCGCGTCGTTAGTCCTGTCCGATAGTTCACTAGCGACGACGAGTATCGCTCGCATGATTTAGCAGGTTTCGTGACGCTCGACGAATCTGCGCCTCACACTGCAACACACTGCAACACACTGCACCCCCTTAACCACTGGTTGCTCGGCTGCCTCTCTTTCTGACCGCCTGTTCTTACCTGGTCGCAGGCACGGCTCTGCCGACGTTTGCGTGCCCGACGCCCTGCGATACCACGCTCACCTGGTCTGCTCGGCGCTCTACACTGTCGCCGCTCGCGAAGCTCTTCTTATCGTCGCCGCAAGTAAGTATTGGCTCGCTGTTCGTGTCGCTTGAGGCGTCAGATGCGTGGTTTGGCGACCGTTTCCAGGCAGTTCGAGATACATCTGGCCGCCGTGATATGATTGGCATGGAATCCGCCTAAGACTCGCACGGCCAAGCGCCACGGAGGCTGCGACGACCTAATCCCTGCGCAAGGCTCGCCTTCCAGATCTGGCGACTCTTCCACTAGACGCAATCGGGTTGGGGGATTTGCCTCCCCAAAATCCCTGGGTTCATCATCACTTGCCATCTGTGTGGCTGGCCTTATCCCCTAGGATAGATCCCCTGGGTCCAGTGACCAGCCCTCTTCATCGATCTGAGCTGCTTATCCGCCGGTCTGCTGCCAGCCAATTGGCCAGCCGTAACGAGGCTCCGTACTGACAAAAGGGTGTGGCTCCCGGATCACTGGAGGGGATTATTGAAGAGAGCCGGTGGCACTAGTGTTTAGAACAGCTATTCCCGTCTCTCCACGTTCACGCGTGTCACTGTGCCGGACGCTTATCCATCCCTCCGGAAAGCCCAGCGTCCATTTCGAGTGATTTGCATCTGCGTACATAAAACAGCCTGCATTTTGCATTTTTGCTTTTTTCTTGTCAACCGCGACTGAAATATTCCCTGCTGCGCCTTCGGACTTTTGCCTGCGGGACTAGCCAGACCCACGTGACTCTATACATCACGTTGCAGCGAGTACCACTGGGCTGGATCGTTCGCCGCTATATTAATCGGGGTAGTAGGGATCTGGGGACAGCTGGCTGCGGAGTTGGTCATGATTTTCCCCCTGAAAACAACTTCCATTTCACATTCCTTGACTACTACTTGATCCATCCATGACACACCCCAATCTGCTGGAGCTCCCCGTAGGAGCTCAGCTCGCCTACCTTGCTGAAGGCGGCGCCAATGTTATCTATCGCATTGTTTCGCCGGCGAACCTGGACGCGGCGCAGCAGGAAGACCTGCCTCTGGCGGTCTCCAGTTTGCCGTCCAGCGCGATGGATGCGTACGATGCTCCAGCCGGGTTTAAAGGCAAATTACTCCGGCTTCGAAAAGATACAAGCTCGGGGATCTCGTACCAGGAGATTGCGCGAAACTTTGACAGGTGCATCCGCCCTCTGTTCAAACCTGGGGAGCTAGTTGACCAGGAGCTCGTCTACCTCCCAAAGGGACTCATTCAGACCTGCAACGAACAGTTACAGGCTGCGGAGCGAAACGATCAACGTCCCAAACGGCGTCGCGGCGTGTATCTCTCCGTTGCGGAGCCGTTCGGCTTGCTCATCACAGACATGACGACATTCAGCAGCCCAGGAACAACGCTCTCAGAATTAAAGCCCAAATGGCTCCTCCAATCGCCATCGGCACCACATAACTCTCGCAGATGTAGGACATGCGCTCTCCGCGATATGAAGAATCAAAAAGCCCGCAAGAAGGGTATGCCGGAAGACCAATCATTCTGTCCTCTGGACTTGGTGTCGGATAGGTTCGACAATGTGCTCCGTGCGTCCGAATTTGTCAAGGGCTGCAAAGACCAGGCGCGGCTGGCAAAAGTCCTCTACCGAAATGGCACGCTGCAAAGGCTTCTGACCCATCAGAAGGCCATGCAAGATGTGGGGCATTATGGCTTACCGCCGACGTCTCGAGAGAAGTCGCTCGCGATGACTCTGCGAGACTGTACGATGTTCATTAGAGTAGGTCCTGAGGCTTACTTGCTCTTACTTTGCCGGACCAGCCGCGCTAATCCCAATAGATACCTCGCGACGATTCCGGGCGTGTAGAGATCCGGCTAGGCGATCTGGACCTCAAGACTGGCGCCGGCGGGAAAGCAAAGTACTGGCTCGACATGGAGAACCAGTTGATCGGCGAGGGCTGGTACGCGGGGGCCAAAAGCAACGTATGTGAGAGTGCATGCGCATTGCAGAGCTCGCGGGTTCATTCACAGTCATCCATCTGAGACCTCTGAAGCCAGAATCCATCGCTCGATGAACCCATGCGAACACCAACGACGATGCGGGGACCACAGCACCCCCTTCCCTTCTCCTTGCGCCGGAAGACCTGGTATGTTATGATGGTTGCGCTTTAATGAGAATGATAGACGGCCTTTCCTCCCATTTTCCTCCTCTTCCTCCCATCTTCCTCCTCTTCCTCCCTCCTCTTCCTCCCTCTTCTTCCTCCCTCTTCTTCCTCCCTCCTCTCTCCTCCCTCCTCCCGCTTCTCAGTTCCTTCTCTCTCCCCCTCCCCTCGGTCGGTCCCTCACCAGACCTCCAAACGCAGGACACAAGGTCTCCCCCTTTCTGTTTCCGGTCCGGCGGCTTTCTGCGTTCTGGCTACTACGATTGTGATGCATGCATTTGGGTTTCAACTGTACAATATCACCACATTGCTTTTTACTACTTACTTAGTCGTGATTGATTAACGTCTTGCATGGAATGACACCATACCCATAATGTCTGTTACCATACATACACACACACAGTAAAGCCAACAAGAATGGCGAGATGACATCATCCATCACCAGCTCAGCCGGCTTGTTATCTCCGGATATCCGAACGGGGCAAATTCCCCGAACCCACTTTTTTGACATCACGTTGAACGGTTGAGAAGCCAACGGAGGAATAATTCTTTGCCCTTTTTCCTAGTTATTCTTGTTCCGGGTACTCCGTATTATGTTATTGATTGATTATTATTGACAGAATAGGTACGTAACAGTTGAGGTATCTACTTCTTGACAGAGGGGAAGGGAATGGAAGTTGAAGGGGGGGGGCCCAGTATTAATAAGCCTTCTTCCGCAATTCCGCACCGAAACGCTTACCCAGATCTTTGTGATCAGCCAGCATCCCCTCCGTATTGGACCTCTAATTTCTTATATACATTAGCTTATAAGGCCACCCGCGAGAATTGTCCACCGTCCACCGTTCACCGATCCCCGTATCCACAATCAATTCCCTCTAGTTTCAACCCCGACGAGCCCCGACAACCACATCCCGGTAGTACAAATAGCAGCATGTCGGCCCCCCGAGTCCTCCTCCGTCGGTCTGTACTATCGGCTATCCGTTCCCCCGCTAGCTTACGCAACAACACCACTACTACTTCCATACCCCTCCCCCTCCTCTCTTCTACCCCCAAGGTCTCGTCTATCAACCTCGCCAGGTCCTTCTCCTCGAGTCCCTCTGTCCACACACCGTCCAAGATGCCTACCACTGAATCTCTCGTCGAATTGGCCAAGGGCCGCCACTCCATCTACAAGCTGGGCAAGGAGAGCCCCGTCCCGGACTCCAAGATCGAGGAGCTCGTCAACCAGGCTATCCTGAGCGTTCCCAGTGCCTTCAACACCCAGTCGACCCGATTGGTGGTTCTGCTGCACAAGGAGCACGAGAAGCTCTGGGATATCGCTGCCGACTCGTTCAAGCCGCTGATTGAGAGCGGCACCCTGCCCGAGGAGACCTTCAAGAACCAGACTCAGCCTAAGCTTCAGGGGTTCAGGAATGCGGTTGGAACGGTGGGTGGCTAACCTTGCCCTTTCCATTCATGGTCAATGGTCGATGGACTGTGTATATGCTGATGCTGATTGGACGTGAAACTATAGATCCTCTTCTACGAAGACCCAGCCCACGTCAAGCCCTTCCAGGAGAAGTTCCCCACATACAAGGACCAGTTCGTGCCTTGGACCGAGCACACCAATGCCATGCACCAGTACTTCCGTACGTTTTTGCCTCCCCCTTTTTGTTTTGTTTCCATCCGCCCCCACACTAGTCTGCATGGCTCGCAAAGCTAACGCGGTAGTTATCTATAGTGTGGATCGGTCTCGAGTCGCTCGGCTTCGGCGCCAACCTGCAGCACTACAACCCGCTCATCGATTCCGCCGTCGCCAAGGAGTGGGATGTCCCCACCGACTGGAGACTCATTGCGCAGTTGGTGTTCGGTAAGCCCGAGGCGGGGGCTCAGGAGAAGCCCAAGAAGCCCGTCGAGGAGCGCGTGAAGATCTATGGGAGATTGTAGATGCTGGCGGTGTTGGTAGGATGGGATGGAATGCGATGGGATGTTCTTCAGCGATAGCTAGAATAGACGGACAGACGTGTCCTTAATTAGCGCAATGATGAATTAGAGGTTTTCTTTTGTGTGTGTGTGTGTGTGTGTGTGTGTAACGTAGCAGTAACACTGCACGGCAGCTTGCGTCCGTCCGCCCGTCGGTCGTGTTGCTGCGATCAGCCGTGCCCCTGGCCGGCCGTTCGTCCGGAGGGGAAGTTGTAGTCGGCGGAGAGACTGTCTTTGGCGGGCAGCAGGACGGTCCATTCGGCGAGACAGCGTCGGATGGACTGGATGAGGTGATGCGCGCGCGCTCTGAGGTTCATTGTGAGGGATTATGAGAAGGGTGAGGGGGGTGTGGGTGTCAAGTGTCAAGTGTCAGGCAGAGCGGAGAAAAGAAAGACGGACGATCTTCCGGGGGGGGCAGTCATACATGACGTCAGCCACCCTCTATCTATCTAGATCAAAACAACAACTCTTTCTATACAGAGGCATTGTGATTCCCAGAAGCAGCATTGAAGCATTGCACATGCCTCCATGTCTCCAAGGAGTCAACTTGCAACAACCAGTCCTGGATAATAAGGCGCACGGTCCCCCCTCCCCCTCTCCTCCTACCTTCCCAACCAGGATCTCAAAGACATCGATCTCCCTCCTTCCCAATACTGCAACCAACGTACTATTAACCATCATCAATCAAAATGGCTTCAATCTTCCTCTCCTCCTTGAATCCTCCCCCCGACTCTCCCCCACCACCTAAGACCCCCTCTCTATCCTTATCCCCCTACTTAATAATACTATTCTTATCCCCCCATCCACCATGATCCTCCGAGCATCCTTACTCCACCTCTTCCTCACCCTCTTCGCCCTCTTCGCCCTCCTATCGACCACCTCCAGCCACCCCACCAACCAATCCCTCCCCTACGGCACGGTGCTAGACCACTGCGTCATCCCCGGAACCATTGCCCTGACCTTCGACGACGGGCCCTACGTCTTCACCCCCGCGCTCCTGGACATCCTAGCCGAGCACGGCGTCCGCGCCACCTTTTTCGTCAACGGCTACCGACTCGCCGAGAACGTCGATGTTCTTCAGCGGATCGTTGCGGAGGGGCATCAGGTTGCTTCGCATACGTGCGTTTACGTTCCCTTCCCCAATCCCAATCCCATCCCATCCCATCCCACTCCCTAACCCCCTCAACCAGATACAACCACGCCTACCTCCCGAGCCTCGACTACACCACGATTGTGCAAGAAATGCAAGGGCTAGAATCCCTCTTCCGGTCCTTTGTCGGCATCGTGCCCCACTACATGCGTCCGCCGTATCTCGCTGTCGACGAGCGCGTCCTCGCCGCCATGAGCGATCTCGGCTACCACGTTATCGGCGCCAGCGTCGACACCAAGGACTTCGAGAAGGATGATCCCTGGTTGATTCACGATAGTATCCGGCGGTTCGTGCAGGGGGTTAATGCCGGAGGGTCGATTGTGCTCGCCCATGATCTTTATGAGCAGACCGTGTATACCCTCACTAGGGCGATGTTGAAGGAGGTGAAGAAGAGGGGGTTGATGGGTATGTTGCTTTTTTTTTTCATCGTTTTTTATTTCTTGGCTTTTGAGGGGAGGTGAGGGGAGGGGAGGGGAGAGAGGTTGGTTGATTGTGTGATGGTTGTGATATGCTGATGATGAGCTGGTTATAATATAGCGACGACAGTGGCCGATTGTATGGGTGATCCGAAGGAATACTGGTATCATCGCTAGATAGGCTGGTGGGGTAGGAGGTAGTAGTATTATTACTATGTGGATTGTGGTGTGATACCCTGTTTTGTGAGTCCGTCGTGCAGGGGAATAGACGAAGTCTTGGTTTGTAGTTGTACTTTCTCTGTAATGTGTGCAGACGCAACAGTATACAACAACAATAGAATTAGACATTGTATGGATATGTAATGTAAATGCCCATCCCAAACACCCCGGCTACCTTATGAGTCTATGACCGACCATACACCATAGTACCCAATGCAAAATAAATAACCCCACCCAACCTCGCAATGCAATACAATCGAGTCCAACCCAATCCAATCCAATCCCACAAAAAAAAACAATATCAATCAATCAAAAGAAATCCTGCTCCCCCAACCACTGCGTATCAATCGCGTACGCCACCAAATCCGCCGCACAGCACATATCCTCATGCCCGTGCTCCAGATCCAGCAGCTCCAAAACGGTAGCCAGTCGGTCCTCCAGCGTCTTCTTCAGCTGGGAGATATATTGCTGCGACGCGGCAGTCACAGTCCCGCTCACAGCCGTCTCTGATGGAAGGATCTTCGGCTTGGTGCTACGACTAGTAGTAGTAGTACTGCTCTCTTTCTTCTTGTCCGAATTAGCTGTGGATTTCATGGCCATACCCTTGTTAGGTGAGCATGGCGCGAGAGGCTGTCTTGTTGATGGAGGCAATGACACGGACGCGGACACGTCCTCGCTTTGCTTCTTGTTCTTCAATAGGTTTTTGAGCAGGAAGACGAGCCAGACTAGGTTCGTGCGCGGGGCGGATTCGGCCCAGATGCCTGGGATGTCGGGGCATTTCTCGGTTTGGAGGGGTTGGCCGTGGTAGAGTTGGGCGCGCATGCTGGGTGGGTGTTAGTTGAGGGGGGTAAGGAATGAGGGTATGGGAAAAAAGGGATGGGATGGGATAGGGGAGGCGGGATGGATTTGTGGCGGACGTACTATCGGTAGGTGTTTCGGAGGAGAATCTCGTCCTCGTCGCGACCTACGGCATCGAAGATCTCTTTCTTGTCGAGGTCGGAGGAGGCAACTTCCACCACTTCGGTGTCCTCGCTCAGGCGCAGCTCGGCGCGGGAGAGCGAGTAGTCGATGATGGTGGTTTCGAGGGTGCTGAGACCGAAGCCGCTTGTGTGGGAGTGGTTGAGCAGCTCGTGGTCGGTGGGCGGGTCCATGCGGCCTCCCGGGCGGGTGCTTCTTATGCAGACGTTTCCGAGATGGAGGTCTCGGTGCTGGGATTGTTAGGAACCATGTTTTTTTTTTTTTTTAGAAGTGATGTTAGGGGGACTTACTTCAAAGAGGGCGTATTCTTCAGCACGAGCGAGCGCCATCGCGACTCCCCAGAAGATATCGTAGATTTGGAAGATGGATGACCACGAGAACTTTTCCAGCTCGCAGCCCGCGTCGTCCATTTCGATAATCGCCCAGAGCTGTGTGTCGGGGTAGGCCCGTTTGCTGGATGGGTTGGGGTTAAGACAGTCGTCCTTGGTCTTCTTATAATGGTCCCATGCCTTTTGGAAAGACTCGGGGAACCGGCCCTGGACGACGTGGATTTCTCGGAAGCGGGCAAATCCTGGGATCGGGTCTAGGTATTTGAGCATCTTGACCTCCGATACGATTTCGTCGATGCTGGTGAATTTCTTCGAGCCGGGGCCGCTCTGAGCCCGCAGGGGCACGATCTTGAACACGCCGTCACCGTAGGCCTTCAGGCGCGCAAGCTTCGATCTGGACATTTCCTTCTTGCATAGCTCTTCTCGTAGGCGCAGCTTGTAGACCTCTCCGTAGGAACCCTCTGCGAGTTTCACCACCTCGAGGAAGTTGCCCGCGCGTGCAGCCCAAGACCCGAACTTTTGGGCGCTCAGCGCAGCAGCTGGAGACAACGCTTCGTTAAGGATAGACCGGACGTATGTATTGGCTTTTTCGTCTGTCACACATCCAGAGGACAGTCGAGGTGCGGGCTTGTCCTTCCTTGTTGCCCGGCGCCCGCTGCTTTCTGTAGTGGTTTCAGCGTCCTGCTTCGGCTCCTTGCTCTCTGTGGTGCTTCCAGTATCCTGCTTCCGCCTCCTAGTCTCTCTTGTTCTTGCAGTATCGTTTCCCTCTGTGGTGCATTTGGTACTTTGCTTCGGTCCGGCTTCTGTGGTACTTTCGGTATCCTGCTTCCTCCGGAGGGGTCGTTCTGATAAGACCTTCGGGCTGATTCTCACTTCTAACATTGTCTCGTACTTTGTCCTGGCGATGGAGGTATTCGTAGGAGGCGACGGCTTGGGATTCTGTTCGAGCGAGGTCTGGTCGCTTTGCGACTCGAGGTCCGGGGTGTGCGTCTCGTCTGGCACAGGTGCTTCATCCTTAAGTTCAATCGTTTCGGCAGCATTATCCTCCTCCTCCTCCTCCTCCTCCTCCTCCTCCTCCTCCTCCTTTGCTTCAGCTACAGAAGCCACGGGCGTCTCCTTTATCGTAACCTCAGCCAGCTTGGTCCGGATATCGTCCACAGCATCCTTTCCGATCTTCTTCGCTGCCCTTTCGAGATCTTTAGCCGGACTTCCCTGCTCGAAGACTGCCCTTGGTGCATCCGCCTTCCGTTTCCCGTACACCTTCCTCTGGGTGCCGGTGCGTGTTCTGGTGGCCGGTCTGGGGTTCCATTGTCCAGGGGTCGTGTTGCCGACGGGCGATGGGGATAGCATGGCGAGGTGGCGGTGTGTAAGTTTGAGTATCGAGGTTCACGTCCGTTCTCGACGCCCCTTGGAGCCTAGCGCCCGCGTATCCTGAGAATGTGGTGGATGTTAGTGGGATGTTCAGAATCACCGGCGAGATTCCGCGGAGGACATGGATGCTTGCCCGCCTATTGATGCCTTGCCTAATGCGGCATAGCGCGTTGTTGTCGGGGTTGCTGGGGTGAGCCATGCTTATCTAAGCAGGCGCTGCCTCCCACAGTGATTCACCTGCACTTTGACTCAGGGGGGGGGCTTTAAATGAGATAGATAGTGGTGACTTGGTTGATGAACTATCAATAGCCCCTATTATAGGTGATAAGTCCTATTGTGACTCTTTCCTATACATTTTTATGATGTAGTGTTTTGATCGTCCGTAGTGCGAGGTATATATTTGGTTCGGATCAATCAATGGCAGCTCTTCTACCCAAATTTCAGCTTGATCTGGTAAGCTTTTCTGGACCTAGGAAACGACAGAGAGCAGTGAACTCTAGAGCTTCTCGTTGCCATTGACTGAGCAGAGGAGTGATGTACAGCGCCATGCCCCGGCAGAGACAACACTTGGGTCGACTCGTGTTGCGGAACCGGCTGTCGGAAGTTTTCCGTGGAATACTTTGCTAAAGTTGCTAGAGACTTTTGAGGTCGATCGACCTACCGAATCAGGACGTTATAGCGGGATGTGTTGATCCCAAACGAGTAGCAGATAGTCGGTACCGTGCAAAATGACATGCTCTTCCGAATCCCGTCAATAACCACCATGATCCGTCCTATCCATGAGACCGGACAGGAGAGGCCTCGCTCCGGAGGAGGGAGTACCCCGTACTCCGTAAATAGCCTATGGAGTCGGGTGGACCGGCAGGAGATTCCACTGTGTCTGGCCCGGTACCCTACCTAGTAATAGATAGTATCTATCTACCCAGCACGGGCCTGTCATCAGGAATGAGAGGATTGGGCCAGCACGGCACGGGTCATCAGAGTCAGGGTGAGCGGGATGGAAGATGATGCTGCCCAGGGACCAGTAGGAGGCCATGGACCGAGGGGAGGTTGTATCATGCTCTCATGATGCGACAACAGACTTGCGATCGGAGGGGATCGGGAGCGAAGACTTGGGAGTGGCAGTGACTGGTGCCGCGGCTTACTAGTGCCGTACAGTCACACAGGCGCAGTGACGTTATTCGGCTGCTTTGACTTTTTCTCGTTTCTCGTTTCTCGCCCCAGCAGAGGCTTCGGATGAACACACACAACAGACATCACCACAATCACCAGCCAGCATTCAGTAGAATCAGGTAGAGTAGACTGCATTAGAAGCTATTCGGAGTCCTTCTCCCCCAATTCAAAACTTTCCAGGCTTCCAAAGCAGCAGAAAGCCCTCCAGCCGCCCCCCGAGCTCGTCGCGTAGATCACGCGAGCCCAGCCCACCGGGTTACGGGCCCTCGGGATTCCGCCTTCTTTTTTCTTTCCATCCATCCACCCTTTTCATCTTTTCCCTTCAACTCCCGGCTTATCGGCGCATCACTCTCCCACCCCTCCTTTCTCTCTCTCTCCACACGACCTCTCCTCCCTCCATCCCGTATATCTCCTCTCGACTCCTCCTCGGTCGACTTGTCTTCGCTTCCATCCTCCCATTGTCACCCATCACCCATGTCGCTTCCGCTGAGATAAACCGCCCCCCCCCCATCTCCAGGCCCTGCGATGGCGTTCAACTTCAACTGGTCGCCGCTCATGGCGGACGCGGGTTTCTACACTCGCGCCCAGGATCTTTTAACTGCCGCTCTCAATAAATCGCCCAAGCCGCCCATCATCGTCGATGACATTATCGTCACCGAACTCAATCTCGGCTCCATCCCCCCCGAACTCGAGATCTTGGAAATCGGAGACCTGGCCGAGGATCGCTTTCGAGGCATCTTTAAGATGTCCTACACCGGAGACGCCTTTCTCACCCTCAAGACTCGAGTCCAAGCGAATCCCCTCAATACCTACCTCGTCACCAGACCTTCCTTTGCGACGCCCCTGCCGGTCGCTGCAGCGTAAGTCGAAAGCGTGGTGAATGCGACCATGCACATGGTGACTGACTGCTTTGCTTTTCTCGTATAGAACTCCTCTCACCATCCCCCTTCAAATTACGTTATCCGATTTCAAATTATCCGGCTTTGTGATATTGGTATTTTCGAAGCAGAAGGGCATTACCGTGGTTTTCCGAAATGATCCGCTCGAGTCGCTCAAAGTCTCATCGACGTTCGATTCCATCCCCTTCGTGCGCGACTTCCTGCAGAGGGAAATCGAGGCGCAATTGCGAATCCTGTTCATGGATGAACTGCCCGCCATCATCCACCGGTTATCCCTTCGACTGTGGGTCCCCGAATATCGGACCGGGGAGGAAACGGAAAACGAACCGACCAACGTCGCGGGTGAAGGTCCTGGCCAGGATCCCTTGGCCAGTCCACCACAGGATCCCGTCGATGCGTCGGGCAATGCGCTAGATGAGTCAGAAATCGCTTCGCTCTCGCTCGATTCGACAGTCGAGACGCATTCTTTGTTTTCGCAGAAGAATTTGCTGCGGTTGGGCGCCCTGACGGATTCCCAGCGAACTCTATCACTGTTTACTCCGTCCATTCAGGAGGTGGTATATCGCGCATGGACTTCGCCGTCTGACCAGGCCGATGTTCCAGGAGGCGTGATGGCCCCCTTGAGTCCGATCCTCTCCCGGACCCATTCCCAGGCCGGCGGGATGTCCTCCTTCCAGGATACCGCCAGCATGGTATCCACCCACAGCCGATCATCGGCAAACTCCAACACATTCAGCAGCTATGGGTTGAGTTTGGGAGCTGGCCGCCATTCGAAGTCCAACGCCAGGAGGCGGAAGAAGCGCGTGGTGGACCTGCGTCGCCCCAAGGCCACGGATGATTCTGCCAGCGTGAGCGGCGAAAGCACTTTCACGGAGACCACCAGTGCGCCATCGATTTGCTCTGACTCTCTGCCTGTGGTGAGCGAACAAACCGATGACCCCGTGACGCCCCCACTGTCGCCGGACAGTGGACTCAACCTTCCCACGATCCCTGAACGACACCGTCTGAGTCTTTCGCGGCCGATGCCCCGCCGTGACATTGCGGCCGAAATGTCCCGGGAGACCGGCGAACCGTCTTCGTCTCGCCCGATTCATCATTCGGCAGCTGAAACGGAAACCACTCCTCGGGTCGCCGTACACCCCCACGTCGCTGCTCGACGTGACAGTGAGAAGCAAGACGCGGGTGTTTCGCGTCAACTCCCGTCGACGGCCCTTCCCTTTACCGACGCGAAGCCGACCTCGAGCATCGTTGACCAAGCGCTGGTGGAGCGGCTGGCGGGTGAAATCGCCCGTCGCATGCGAGACGAGAAAATGGCCCCGGGCAACCCCTGCAGCTCGTTTTGGGACCGTCTCAGCCATGATGATGCTCCTCCAGCGTATGGCCAGTGACTGCTCTGGTATAAGCGTCGCTGTACTTTTTCCTTCTCTTCTTTGAGGCATCGAGGCTGTTTACAGGACGATCCTCATGCTCCAGCCAGCCTGGAGCGTTTCATGACTGATACGACGTTGCATTTTAATCGTGCTGTGGTTTTCCCCTGGCCTTATCTCCGGCGTGACTTCTAGCGGGCTTTAGAACTTGTACATTGATTGGACTGTACCCATAAAAGAATCGGGCGTGTTTGTGCTTTTTTATCCCCTTCTGCTTTCTGTGACTTACTGTGTGAGCGACCTGTTTCTGAGGGATACCCCCTGACCGACTATCTTTAATTGTCCCTGACCATCTTTATCCTTTGTCTTTGTTATCTCTCATCGTCTTCTACTGTTATTGGGGTGGGATCAGGACTGGAGTCACCGTGCAATTGACGGACAAATTGCTGTAGAGATCCGTGAGCAATCAATGCATGCACGCTTGCTATATAATCTTAATCTGGACACCGTGCGTAATGAGTATGAGAAAAGAGTAATCTCCATTAATCTCCCCAGGCAATCTAGGCCATGGCTTATCTCCCTGTTGGGGTTGGGTTGGGGGAACTGGAAGGCCGGTCGGCTCCACCGCGGCTCCGATCGGTTTGCGACGAACGTCAACTAACAGCTAGTCCTGCTAGTCGTCTTCGCTTCCCTCTTCCTCTTCCTCTTCCTCTTCCCTCTTCCTCTTCCTCTTTCTTCCTCCGCCACGTCGCCAGTTTCCTGCCCGTCAACCCCCCCCAGACCGTCCAATTCCTCCCCCTCCACCATGGCGGGTCTGCTCAAGAACGTCTTTGGCGGCTCTCAGCCCTCCAACCCGGCCAAGCTCGACGATGGTAAGTCTGCCTGTCTCCCTCACACAACATCATCATCACCTAGCTCCCTCAACCACCACCACTACCCTCCCCCCAACCCATCTCCCATCCTCCAAACCAACATCCCCACCACTAACATCAACCCCCCACAGACTTCGCCGACTTCGTTGAAGCCCCGAACCCATCCCCAGCCTCCTTCGTCGCGGGCTCCTCCTCGACCCCAGCCCTGAACACCCAAGGCCTGGACTCCGCCACCCAAGTCCCCTACACAAAATGGTACCGGGTGTGGGAACGCACCTCCCCGAAGGACTTCATGCAGGAAGCCATGGTGATGCCCATCATCCTGCTGATCGTCATCTTCCACTTCTGGGGCACGCGCAAGAACCGCCGCAAGGCGCGCGAATGGGCGCAAGCCCACCGCACCGCGCTGAGCAGCGAGTTCGCCGTCGTGGGCTTCAACGGTCTCCGCGCCGCGTCCCCCGACGACATCACCCCGGAGTCTCTGATCAAGGAACGCTCGGCTCAGGAATTCGCCTCCTACGCCACCGGCCGTCAGAACGTGGCCTTCGTCGACGTCACCATCAAGTTGCCCAAGCGGTATAACCCCGTCACCTTCTGGACGGAGTCCGTGCTCGGTTTCCTGTTTGAGAGCTGGTCCGCCCCCGAGGAAGTCTACGAGGCCACCGCGTATACCTTCGACGGGAAGGAGAAGGATGTTGTCCCCGTGCCGGCTAATGACGGCGGCGCGTCGCTCAAGACCAACAACTCGACGTACGATGGGTTCATCTGGGCCGTTGTTCACAAGAATTACATGCAGAAGTTCAGGACCGATCGCTATGATGCCAGTATGACTTTCACGAGGGATAATAATAAGTTGCCCAACTGGGTTACCGTCATGACGGAGAGTGCAGAGATTACCGATGCCATGATCACCACCGAATTGGTCCAGGCGCTCGAGAAGGCCGGAAATGATTTCAAGTATCTGATTGTTACGGATCAGCCCGTTGATAAGCCTTTGAAGTGAGTTCCACCCCCTCTCTCCTCCGTTTGAAGGGTTGAGCCATTACGGGATCTAGGAAGGAAGGAAGGGTATCCATTCATGTACTAATCCTATTATCCTGCAGAATCGAAGAAACCCACCCCCGCAAACGGATCGAATTCGCCGCCTCCCTCCCCTCCTCCCCCGAAGGCTACACCTCCACCCTGCCCCTCTTCAGCCAATTCCTCCGTCTCGCCGACCGTCTCGTCTCCGTCGGCCGGCTGCGTCCCGAAGTGGTGCGCAAGATCCGCAACGCGCGCGAGGAGGAGATCAAGAAGCTGCGCCGCGCCGACGAGGAGGAGAAGGCCGAGGAGCGCAGGCTCGCCGCCGAGAAGGTCAAGAAGGAGGACCGCGAGCGTCTCCTCCGTGGTATGTCGGCCGACGAGCAGAAGAAGTACCTGGAGCGCGAGTCACAAAAGGAGCATCGCAGGATGATGAAGAAGAGTACCCGGCGGGCGTAATTTTCTTTCTTTCTTTCTTTCTTTCTTTTTTTTTTTTTTTTGCTTTCTCTCGTTTGGTGGGAGGGAGAGGGGAGGAGAGGAGAGGAGAGGAGAGAAGGGGAGCGGAAAAGTGCATCGTTGCGTTGTTGCTCCGAGTTGCATATCTTCATGTACAATGTATTCGTAATTCTTTTTGGTCCTGGGAGGGAGGTGGGCAGGTGGATGGGCTGAAAGATGATGGATGGATGGATGGATGGGTTATGGATGATGATGATTATGGATGGGGGTTGATACTGATCGTATCGTACGGATCTATTAATGTATCTTGATGGTATTGAAGCACATTGCTTCTTTACCCGGCTTTCTTTTTTGAATGTTGAGTATTGTGTGTGTCTGTTTACAAGACATCGTGTGTCCAAGTACTTGGCTGTGTACAGCCCAACCCATATTTGAAACGATTCATGTCCTGCTTGATATACCACCTCACCTGTGACAGCGGTTTCTACTCAAAACTACAGTCAAGCACCAATCTATTAACTGAAATACCCAACCAAACACCTAATATGCACCTCAATCAAAGATCCTACATCACGCACTGGAAACAAAAAAGCTCATCAAGCTCCCTGCAGTCAACCCGCCAACAAGCATCAATGCCATGAACCCACCCGCCGGTTCACGCTCATCAGGGGACACCCACTGCCCCGCCCCCATCATGCAATTACTGCCCAGATACCCATTGCTGACACCAAACAATATCTGCACAACAAACAGATAGAAGAAGTCACTCTGGATAACAGCTCCCCTGCCACGGATATTACATAGCAGATAGAGGGGGATGAACCCGGCTCGGGCGATAGAGAACACGAACAACGCCCACGGGCGATGAACCAGCGAGAACCGGGGGACCAGAACTAGCATGCGGCCGAGCAAATCGCCGGCATTCCAGAAGAAGAACGCCAGGGGGACGAACACCGCCTGGTCGAAGAGGCGCGACCGACCGGGACCGTCCCGGACGGATTCGATCTCCGCGGTGAAGACAGGGAATGTCATGGTGACGGTGAAGCAGAGGAAGATGGCGGAGGCCATGAAGCGGAGTTTCTTGAACAGGGTCCAGAGGCTGACGGCCTTGTTGGCGGCGCTGTCGGACACACCGGAGTCGCTCTGGTCATCTGTTCCCTGGAGAAGGATTCTGATTGAGCGGCGCTTGACGAGGGAGAGGAAGGCAAGAAGGGCAAACGTCGACACGGCGGTCGCGGTAATGAAGTACGCGAAGGCCGACTTCGACGAGTCCTGCGGCACTGGCTGTCCCTCCTTGCCCTTCTTACTGGGGACTGAAATCACAGAGAGAATCTGCACGATACATGGCAGAACGCCCGCCACGCCTTGCCCTCCCATGATCGCCTGGGTATACTCCTCTCTCCCGAAGCCGGAGACATAGGCATACACACCGTTCTGGTTGATGCCGGTGGCCAGACTAGCTCCGAAGACCATGACCATCAGGAAGCTGAAATACGTGCTGACCGCGACATCCTTCATCAGAATGGTGGAGAACGCAAGCAGCGTGAACACAACGATGTTGATAAGCAGCGAGATAGTGACCCGCTTCGGGTATGACGCGCCCTTCTGCAGCTTGGCGAGGATGAACGACGAGCCCAGGTTCGTGACGGTCGAGACGGTCAAAATGGATGACTGGTAATGGGCCGCCGCCCAGTCGTCCGAGTGGAATCGGCGGTAGAAGTACGGCGCTGCGGCGAGGAACATGTTCCTATATATTCATTCCATTGCGGTAAAGGTTAGACAACAAACGGGCTGCGGTCAATGCGAGAGCTCCGGCTGATGACGTACCACGCCCATAGCATGGACACTCCCAGGAGAAAGAACACGGCATATTCGTATTTAGAGAAGGGGGGTTGTTGCCCCTCTTGTTCTTCGTGGACGGAGCGATTGCTCTCATCTTCGGGGTCAGCTGGCTGCGAGATTGGCTCATAGGTCGCCCGGGGAGCGATAAGTCTCCGGATGCGTTCCATTGTTGGGGGTGTATAGGGGGGGGTGGTGGTCCCTGGTTGAGGGGTGTAGCGGGACAGATTCTAGGAAGGAACTCAGCCCATGGCTGGTGGTAGGGTTAAGAGAAAGGAAGAGCACGGAGAGGAGAAGAGGAGAGGAGGAGAGGAGGAGAGCAGCAGTCGAGGTCATGAGGGCGAGACAGTCGCCAAGAATGGAAGGTCGGCCTCGGTCACGTTCGGGTGGGTGACTAATAGACTCACCACCAGTCAGATAATATCACTAGTCAGTATGGAATAATCAGCTGAGATGGGAGATGGGTATTATATTTATCTATCCGGTCATCAGAGCTGCCCGTTCCAGGCAAGATCTCCCATATTAGATACATCCGCAGAAGGTGGCCCACCCGTCTAGACAAAAGTGCCAAAAGTGTATGTGCCCCAGGGGCCGAATACTCTACACTGCTGAAAGGAAAACCAAACCAACAATATAACAAACAATATGAAGAGAAATGTGCTAAAAAAAAGGATGATACCCTGGGCTATCCAGAAGATTCGTCGTTTCACCGTGTTGGCTTGGTGCCGTCGGCCTCTGCTTCGGCCTCTGCCTCGGCTTCCTCCTTCTCCAACTCCCACAGCTTCTCGGCAGTATCCGGGCTAATGGGAGCGTCCTTTGACGTAGTCTCGCCGCCGCTCATCTGCCATTCCATCAGCTTCGTGAACGCACCATCGGGACGAGCGCTAAGCTCTTCGAAGGACCCTTGTTCGGCCACCTTTCCGTCGGGGGCGAGAACAATGATCGTGTCAGAACGCTTGATGGTGGAGAGTCGGTGAGCAATGCTGATCGTCGTGTTGTTGCCACGAAGAAGAGCAGCAAGGGCACTGTTGACCAGTGTCTCGGATTCCGCGTCAAGAGCAGAGGTGGCTTCGTCCAGGATCAGAATATCGGGGTTCTTGATGAGAGCGCGGGCAATGGCAATGCGCTGCTTTTGTCCACCGGAGAGTTGAGCTCCGCGAGGTCCCACCTGAGTGTCAAGACCGTCAGGCTAGAAGGCGTTAGTAAAAGATACGGCAGAAAACAGGTTGGGAGGTACTTACGAAGTCGCTGATAAACTGGCAGTTCGCTTTCCTGGCGGCTGCAACAATCTCTGATCTACTCGCCCGTACACTGCCATAGGAAATGTTATCGGCAATCGATCCAGAGAAAAGCACAGGCTCCTGAGCGACAACACCAATCTTCCTGCGGAGGGACTTTGCGTTCATCTTGCTAATGTCCTTGCCGTCAATCAAGACACGTCCTCCAGTCGTGTTGTAGAATCTCAGCAGCAGCGAAGCAATGGTCGACTTTCCTCCTCCCGACGGCCCGACAATGGCGACGTTCTTTCCTTGCGGGATTTCAAAGTTCAGATCCGTGAAGATCGGAACGGCAGGGCGTGTTGGGTAGCTGAAGGTGACATTCTCGAAGCGGATAGGGCCCCGAGCGGTGTCGACCTTGATGCCCTTGGTGGGCGATATCGTCGGTTCACGGTCCTGCAACTCGAAAAGACGACTGGCCGCTCCAACACCCTTCATCAATTCGGAGTAGAAACCGGAGAGACCGAACATGCTGGAGCCCGCATAGGCCGTATACATCAAGAACGATGTTAACTCTCCTATCGTAATGCCACCAGATTGGACCAGGGCACTTCCAGCATAGAGGAGCACCAATATCGTCATGTTACCCATGAAGCCAGTCTGAATATATTGTCAGGAGTTTGCAGCAATCGACAGACGAGAAACACATACCGAACTGAAGAACGTAGCGCTAATCAAGGATTCTTTCTTGCCGAGTTCAAAGATTTTCCGCACTTGAGTGTTGTACCGGTTGACTTCGAGGACTTCCCCCGCAAAGGACTGGCTGGTCTTGACGTTGCCCAAACGTTCCTCTGCAATCTTGGTCAAAGTACCTAGGTTCTTCTGGATCTTGCGACTGAGGTTCCGGACCGCCCTTCCAAAGACCATGGCTGCAATGCCAATGGGAGGAAGCAAAATAAACAGCAGACTCGACAGTTTGAGACTGACATAAGCCATGAGACCGAATCCAGCGACACCGCTAACAGTTGCGCGCAACCCGTCGGACAGGTTTTGCGTGATGCTTTTACCCACGATGATAGTGTCAGAGCCAAGTCGAGAGATCAAGTCACCCACTCGGTTCGCATCGAAGAACTCTGCGTCCTGGACGAAAGTCTTGCGGAAAAGGCTCGAACGAAGCCTGGCCACAACACGTTCGCCAACAACACGTAGAATGACAATGCGACCATAGTTGGCCAGGGCTCCCAAGGTTAGAATTCCAGCCAAGGCGCCATAGAACATCGTTGTGCTCAAACCAAAGAGCAGGTCGCCACCACCACCTTCTTCAGTGGACTTGGTAGCTGCATCCATGATCTTTCCAATCGAGAAGGGGACGGACATCGTAATACCAGAGGAAATGAGCAAGAAGAAGAAAGCAAGCGAGAGCTTTTTGGCTTCGGGTCGCGCAATGAGCAGAAGTCGCCATATCTCTTTCCAGCCGGCCTTATCCCCCCCAGCTCCCTCCTTCGCTAGCCTCGCGGAAAGGTTGATCTTTGAAGCCTGGGCTGCTTTTTCGGAGAGCTCGAACCCCTTGTCTATATCTTCGTCTTCATTGTCCTGAGATATCTTCTTGTCCGTTTGTGTAGGTTTCGTGGAGTCCGATGACTTAGAGTCCAACGACCGCTGCGTCGAGGTGAAAAGCCGGGAGTGTGCTGCTAGTTGTGACTGTATAAGAGAGAACCGCGAGCCATTGCCGTGAGGGAAGCGTAGTCCAGATGTCAAGGAAAGGTCATTGCGTAATGGGCGCGAAAGTCCGGAAAGCTGTCGGCGGAAGCCACCAAAAACACCAGGTCCAGACCGAGGTGCCTGAGCTCTGCAATAGAACTCGTTCAGAATGCTTCCATGCACCTGGGTTCCCTGCTTGGGTAGGACCCCAGGGGCCCAGGAAGCCAGCAACCTGGCCCCGCGCATTTCGGGCGAGAGTAGAAGCGGAGTCGGATGGCTGCTCAGATGGATGCCTCACGAGGTACACAGGATGCCATGTCCCACTAGATAATGAGTGAAGGTCTGCTGTAAATCATGACACAGCCAAGAGCAACCGCTTTTCTTGGACACCGGCCGGACGGTAGGGAGGACCGAATAATGTCAGCCGTGAAGCCGCCAGTCCGGCCATCGCCGTTCGGCCTCGCATCGGCGGCCGTTCTGCCCCGGGCCACCGCCTGCCGAGATTCCGCCGCCGTCCAAGCCGGTCGAGAGCTTTCGATGAGGCCTGCACGATGCGGTGGAGGCTTCACTTCATAGTATTTCTCCGTTCTTGACTAGGTGACTCGCACAGACTCTCCCTCCAAGGTTGCTGACTCGTTGGTCATCCACGATCACTTCCACCTCACCTGCTCCCCTTCAGCTGCAGCCCTGTACATACGCATTCCATCCTCTACCCCACTCTCACCCCTCCTTTTACACTGTCCCGCAACCAGCAAGATGGTCCTCGACTACAGCAAATGGGACGCCCTGGAGCTCTCCGACGACTCCGATATTGAAGTGCACCCCAATGTCGACAAGCGGTCGTTCATCCGGGCCAAACAGGCTCAAATCCACCAGCAACGTGTGCAGCGCCGCCACGAGATCGACACCCTGAAGTACGAGCGCATTGTCAACGATGGCCTCCTCTCCCGCATCGATAAGCTTCTCACGTCCCTGAAGGAGAACGAAGGCTCCAAGACTGCCGACGAGGTCATCTTCCACAATCTCATGGAATCCGCCGCGAACCCGGCCCAGGACCAGGCCCCCGCGGCTCCGGAGGGTGTCCACACACAGGAGAAGGAGCAGCCCAAGTACTCACACATGATGAGCGCTTTGGTCGACCAAGTCAAGAAGGAGATGGGCGAAGTCAGCACCGAGAACGTCTACCAGGGATACCTTAATGGTGTGCAGGAACACAAGGGCAAGGTGCAAGACCTGCAGAAGGAGCTGCACCAGAGACTCGCTCAACTTGAAAAGGAAGAGGGCAGCAAAATCACAAGCGATCAGCTGCACGAAGGCTTCAACACTTCTCACGTTGCCAAGGCAGACGCGACCCAGAGCAAGGCAGCTTCAGGGCAGACGTCAACGGTCGAGCTCCTGAACCCCGGAGCGGGTTCATCCCAACCTGCCGCCGCCGCCGCCGATGACGACGAGGAGGAGGATCCGGAGGACATCAAGGCCAGCGACCTTGCCAAGCGCTTTGCGAAGATCAACCGCAGCGACTATCGCAGTCTGCTCCAGTTCATCTCCGCGAACCCGACGATTGTTGCCGAGAAGGAAACGGACGGTCTACTGGTCGAGGCGTTCAACAGCCAGATGGAAGGAAAGGACGACTACGCTCGCCAGTGTGTCCACCACGGTCTGTTACTGCAGTACTGCCGCTCTCTCGGCCGCGACGGCATCTCGCTTTTCTTCAAGCGGTGCGTATGCAAACCCCCTTTAATCAGACAACCTACTGACAGGTATATGTGTATAGTATCACGACGGCGGACCACCAGGCGGGAACCCTTTTCAGAAACGACGTCAACCAAACCTACAACAAAATCAAGACCCGTGCTGCGGAAATCGCGAAGGATAGCTCTGCGTCCAACGACCCGGCCGGAGTGGAGCAGATCCAGCTGCATGCGGTTGACCCCAACACCAAGATCACCATCAACCTTCCCTCTGCGGAGAGCAGCGAACCCATTGAGATTGAGGCGCGCAAGATCTACGACTCCTTCTCCAAGGACTTGCAGAAGGCACTGGCCTCGGAGTCCCTGGACGAGGTCAACAAGGTTCTCGGGAAGATGAGCGTGGAGGAAGCGGAAGATGTCGTCGAGAAGCTTGGCGAGAGTGGGATGCTGAGCCTTGAGGAGGGCATCGTTGACGCGACCACGGAAGAAGGCCGTAAGAAGCTGGAGGAGATCGAGGCGGAGAATAAGAGGGAAAGAGAGGCGGCACTGGAAGAGGTTGGAGAGCCCGGAGGTGATGTCACTGAGCTGGACTAAGGACATGTATAATTGGATATGCATAATCTGAATGACTGTAGCATGTATTGTTTGAGAGCGACTCTACCTTACTATTGGTTCGGCGTGTCCCAAAATTGCTATTAATAGTGCTATTCATGCGCCCATTTGCAGGGTTTAATGTGTCACTGTTTGTTCCTTGTAACATGTACATATTTTACCCACTTGATCTTGCGACAGCTTGACCAGGGATTGCCCTTTGTTTAGGTATAGTAGGACGTGTCAGAAGAAGCGATTAAAAGGTTCCAATGTGCATGTAATCTACCTAGGTCAAGGGAAATAAGCAAGATAAAAAGACATGCGTTTAAGAATTGAATAAAGACACATGTGTGGGGAAATAAGCCATTAGCTCATGGACGGGGAGTATTCTGTGTTAAAATGTACGGTCCATTTGAGAACGTGATATGCACCTGGAGGTGAGAGTAGATGAGGGTCGTGATGAGAGGCGCTGGAATGCAGAGGATAGGGAATAATCTCCAAAGGTGCTTCAATTCTTTTCCGCTTTCTGGGTCTGATACCATCGCTCCAAAGTCCTCTTTGGCAGATGTCGGCCCGTCCGCACCTCCGGGACGATTGCGAGGTATTCACCCTAAAGAACCAATTGCTTAGACACCGCTGACACCGGGGGCGTTCTGGTCCTTCTTGAGATCGACAAGCAACTCGCGGAACCTCTGCTTGCCAGAACCGCTGGCGCCACCCTTAGTTCCCTTGCCAGACACATCAACTAGTTTGGCAATACGTTCCCAGCTAGTACCACCAGAAGACGTGTCCTCCCGATTGGCCAGGAACTGTTCGGCTTCCGCTTTGGTTTGGGCACGGAGCTTGTCTGTCTTGTTGTTGTAGGAGACGTAGAAGTCATCGATATCCTCCTGAGCCTTCTTGACGGTGGCTGCCTTCTTCTCTTCCGAGAGCTCCGCCCGACGTTGGATATCCGCATCTCGCCGCTCACGCCATTCCCTAAGGGTTCCGGAATTAGCACATACTCCAATCGGTTGTTCCGGTAATGATGTAAAGCGTGGCTCTCGCATCGTAGATTTGACGTACCTGACGGGCTCTGGCTCCTCATCTGGCGCTTGGTAGGTGTAGTTGGAGTAGCCGGTAGGGGGGAAGGGAGCGCCCGACCCAGTGATCGTACCGCCAGGGGCAACTTGCTGTTGGATCGCAGAAACGTTAGAATCTGGACACTTCAATGATCGCGCGAGCATGCTTCTTACCTCATTCTGTGTGTCGAGAGCCGGGAAAGAAGACTCGAAACCCGCGAGCTCCTGAGGCCCAGCACCGCCGGCCGGAGCGTCATCCGCACCACCCAGTAAGTCGTCGTCATTGTTTACATCGTCGGAGGCGACGAGATCTTGAGGAGTAGCGAACTGCTCAGCATCGTCGCCGAGGGCAGCGCGCTCGCGAGCCAGGAAGTCGCTCTCATCGGCACCGTTGGTCTCGACAACTTCCGTCTGGCCTGGAAACCGGTTAGTGTCATGTAGCGTTGGGTTGGCGGCGATGATGCGGACGGCTCACCCGCAGAGAAGTCCTCCAATGAAGGGAAACGATCCGCCATGGTTGTTGATTGTGGTGATGAGAGTAGAGTAAGGTGCGATCGGTAGGCAGGTGCTAAGCAAGAGAATGGGGGGAAATGAGGGGAATCAGGGATGTGAGGCTCCAGCTGGCGTCTGGAGGATGCGGACGGGGCAGTTCCATGACTGGAGAACCCCCCGGATTCTGCCGCGCTGGGCGGTCGGCGAGCTTGAGTGCAGGTGCGACGGACGGACGAGCTTCACTCCCCTCAGGAGCCTTTTCACCTTCACTTCTGATCTCCCGAGTCCCAGATCTCTCTCAGCCGTCCTTCATCCTCTTGATTCGGACTCTGGCGGCTCTCTTTGCTGTCACTCTCTCCCCGGTGATTGAGCGATTGTCATTCATTTGTCCATACGCGCCCAGGGAATAGCTGAATACCAGCTACCCAGAGCTCTGGCTTGCGACGAGTGAGACATACTGTACTGGCACATTATTCATTGCTTTTTCCACCGACCCCTTCGTCCTTGATCATTTGATTCTCAATCTACAATGGCGTATACGGATGATGCTGTGAAAGCAAAGCTTTCGGCCCTCAACGAGACACAGGAGGGTATTGTCACGGTTGCGCAATGGGTTATGTTTCACAGGTAATTCGCCAGCTGTTTATCTATCCAAGATGTGCACTAATATGTCTCTGATCATTAGGAGACATGCCGAACGTACCGCGCAACTCTGGCTGCAAAAGCTCCGCGATTCGCCAGCCCCGAAAAGATTGAACCTGATATATCTAGCGAATGGTAGGGACCGCCCGCCTTGTCGGTGGTAGTCCGGCACTAACAAAGTTGACAGAGGTCGCGCAACAATCAAGAGCGCGGCGAAAGGAAGACTTTCTCATCGCGTTTTCGCCGGTCAGTGTCACCATACCGAGCCCAGGAAGATAGCGGAGGCTGACACGTACCAGATCATTGCAGAGGCCACAGCCACTGCGTACAAGGGCTCCTCAAATGACATCCAACAGAAGATTCGTCGGGTGGTCGAAGTGTGGAGGCAGAGAGGGATCTTCGAGATTCCGATCCAAGATGCCGTCGAGGCTCGAGTGGACGGTAAGGCGCTTCTGACCGTCTGTCTGATGTATTTTACTGATTTGGTTACAGAAATCGACAAATCGCGCTCGACCGGTAAGAAGCCATTGCTAGGAGGATCACTCTTCTCGACTTCGTCGGGCTCAACACCGTCTGAACTCCAACCTCTGGTTCCCCTGCAGGTAGCCCTCTCCAAAGCTACAGTGGCTTCCGCCGCGTCGGCCACAGCAGCCAATGCGGAGTATGATAAGATGCACGATCCCAGCACGCCGTTGCCCACACCTCCAGTGCACGCCGCACGGCTCAGCCAGCTGCTGAAAGCGCTTGCAAACGCCGAGAGCTCTGTCTCAGAGGTCATCAAGTCCCGCCTTGCGCTCATCGACGGCTTGGAGAAGCTTCTTGAAACCAATCGCTCGGCCCTGTCGAAGGAGCAATCTATGGCCACGCAGCTGGCGGAGAGAAAGGCGGAGACGGAAGTGACAAAGCGAGATGTTGAGGATGGGATCATGCGGGGACTGTCTGCTGAAAATTCGCCCGCGATCAATCATGGAGAGATCGGAATGGAGGCAGAATCCGCTGCCCGTCCTGAGGTCGAGGCTCTCACTCCTCCGCCCGTGGAGGCCCTTACCCCTGTTGGCTCTCCCAAACAGGAGGCCCAAGATGCGAACTTCGCTGCAGCAACCACTCAACCCCAAGTGCTGGGTGGCTTCACTCTGCCAGGATTCGGACACACCGCCAATCCTTTTTCTGCGTCAGACATGCCTCATGTGGCATTGGATGAGAACCAGCTGGATGGCTCCAACGGGCTGCACGCCAAAAAGCGCAAGGTCACCCATGAAGAGGAAGACTATGCGCAGTTTGCAAGCGGTGATCTGGATGCCGATGTTGCTGAGCTCCTGAAACAAGAGGGTGATGCTCAGCAGTAGAGCCATGTCCATGCACCGCACGGGCGACACCATATGCCCAAAACATTTCTTTGATTCCCTTTGATCCGAATATTTTTCCATTTATCTGCTCGGTCTGTAGTTATTTCATTCCTGGCAGGGGGGCACAGCCATCCTTGCTTGTTACGATAATGGCTGGATATCCAATGTCTATGAATCAGGAATATTTCTTTGTTTTTCTAAATCTGATGTCCGTTGGACAAGTAGCAAATCCCCAATCAATTGATCCACGAACTGCGTCCGTTGAATTGGTCTCATTATTATTATCATTGGAAATCTCGACATGCAAGCTATCGATATATGTCCGGATCCCCCCATTTGTTCCTTGTAACCCGGGAGGTAGACGGGCGCCTCCGCCGACGGTATATGGTTTCGAGTGTTGTCCGGGGTTCTATGGCGGGCGGCAGGTCATTTTGCGGGGAAGACGGCGGCGGTGGCGACGGCGGCGCTGGTGCTGGGGCGGGATCCGGGGAATCGTGTCTCTTCGGCTTGACCAGTAGAATGATAAACATGCCCGCGACCAGGATCGCCAGTAGTAGCATGACTTTACGCTTCACTGTGCGTCGTTGATAATTTGTGGCCTGCGCGGGGTAGATGAATTAGTAACTTTGACGTGGTACACACCGCATCGGACGCGAACGTACCACTTTGAGCTCTTTATCCGCGGCCTTGACCTCGGTGCCCATCCGCTCAATGTTGTAGTCTATCCGGTCCAGCATAGTTCCCTGGTCAATGACCATGGCTTGTAGCTCTCGGAAAATATCGGATAACTCGATAATGCCCTTTGCGATATCGTTGATTTCGCGCTCCCTTTGCTCGATGGCGGCGTCGTTCTGGCCCGTCAGTCGCTGCGACGTTTGCATAAGCGTCGACTGCGAGAAGGACTTGTCGGCATCCGATTCCATCAGGGACGGGTCTGTGTAAGGGTTCTGCATTGGCGTCGGGGAACGTTCAAACGGTGCGGATGCACCCTCCATGCCTCGTAACTCTACCGGTCCATGCGATTAGCTCACCAAACGAAGGAACAAACGGCAGTCCCGGAAAAGCTTACTCTTCAGGTAATTGCTCTGCTTCTTCCGAAACCGAGCGCTTGCCTCCTGCACCCTCTGGGCGAGCGATATCTGCAGGTTCTTCGCCATGGTCTCATCTCCACTGCTCGATGCGCCCTGTTGTCTTGCCTCCCGCACCATCACTTCGATCTTCTGGACGGCCTTCTGGCAATCGTGAAAGGCTCGCGTGATCTCCTGCGTGAATCGCTCTATGACAGCTTCTTCCTGCTTCCGTGCCTCGTCGTCGCCAAACCCGGGGAGAATGTGCTTCTGGTGGAGCTTGTCCAGGTGGGCGGATTTCTGGGCGATGTCGGTGAGTAGTTCCGTCACTTCTTCCTGTATATCGATCCAGCGCGGGGGCAGGACGTCCATCTCGATGATCGCGTCGCCATCGTCGTCGAGTCCTCCTGTCTCGGAAATGAGCCGGCGGCTTTCTTCGGGCTGCGACAGCGCGTCGGAGAAGCCATTGGATGCTCCGAGATAACGTGGCTTCTTGGCTGGATGATGCGTAAACGACTGCCGGTAGGAGATGTAGCTGTACAGTTTCGGGGACGGTTAGTTGGTTTGATTCGCTGCGAATGATGGACCGGGGTGTGATGTATTACAGGTTTGTGCGGTCGCGCCACATTGTGGAGGGTAGGTAGGTGGAGGGCGTGGGCTGTTCTGCGGTTATCCTTCGGCGGACGGGGGGTGAGGGCGGGCGCTCTTAGGCTACCCTGGTCATGGTCGGGTCAGGGATAGGATCGGAGGAAGTGCGTGAAAGCAAACAAGGGCGGGAAGTTTATGAAATGCCGCAAATATGGTATAGGGAAGACAGAGAATGAATGAAGAGAGAGGAGAGGCCGTGTCCGCGTAGAGAGAGTTGTATGCAGCGAGGGGAGTCCGATAGCACCTCTGTACTTCGGGAGCTTCGATCTCCATGTTGCACATGAAGGGACGACCGCCCCAGTCCCAATGCGGTATCCACGCTGCCGATCCAAATTTATTACGTCAGCCACGATGTCGGCCCTGATGGCTGGGCCCAATGAATGATGCAAGATGATGCATCTGGATTTTACAGAGCACCGTGTCCGGAATAGGATACAACCTTGCTGTATATCATGGGGATTGAATTATCCATATGACTCTTGCGTTCAAGTCAATCGGTATAGGGACTAAAGCTCATTCCCAGCATTGCTGACATCCTTGGTGCAAGCGCTTTTTCTACATAGTAGCTCAGGCTTGTACGGAGTACTTGTACAGGTCCTGCCACCTCCATAGCATGTCTTGGTAAAGTATTCCTTGGTAGAGCGGGAGTGTTTATTTCTCTCTAGACAGCCATAGAGCCGGCAATATAGTAGTAAAAACAACGGCAGTAAGAATTCATATTGACCGTCGGGCTTTTTAGATTAGCTGATGCCAAGCTTGTGACAGGTCCATGGCAGAATGCTTCGTCGTCAATCCTTCCCCGCAGGAAGTTATCGATCAGCATCGCGTCTATGCATATTGAGGAGGATTCATTGGGTGACTTAATACAGTACTGCGTACACATTTACCTAATCTTGGATGACAGATGATCAGCTTACTGCGACAATGGATAGGTTTACCCGGGTGTACCCCGTAGCTTTCAATGGAGACCCGACGAGGCTATAGTATTTAAGGAGGCTGTCAAACAATTGCATTGTCGGTTTATTTGTTCAGTCACGCTAGGTGCAGATATTATGTCTTCAAATTCTCAGCGTGCATGGATGCAGCATCTAGATATGCATTGCGGGTGGTTAACCCCGGGAAAACGGGGGGGGGGGGGAAGATTGAGAGGGACTGGGTGCGCTCGAGGATTCAACTGTATTGGTGAATAAACAGGAACAAAGATGCTTCGTGGGAAGGTTCGAAGAGAGCGGTTGAACAAGGTTGGGCCTGGAAAAGCAGGCGGGACTCATTGTCCTTAAGCTTTGGTACGGCCAGGGGTGACAGAGCCTGGTATACCATTCTACTGCTATAAGGCTGCACAAGGCTGCCCCCAACTTGCAGCCATTTGACCGAGCCTTGTAAGGCAACGGGGGATACGGCAGAACAGGATGTTTCTTTTTTTAAATACGTCGTTTTTAGCTGATTGAATGTTGTCTACTAACCAACAAGCCAAGCCACTAGCATAGCCAACAGTAATTGTAGAAGTGCATCACCACCAGGACGTGAAAGATAACGAGTCCCACTGTTTAGACTTGAATGGTAAATGTCTTTAATATCGGTTGGGTTCGCCACGTGCGTCCTACGGAAGTTGCTGATGATGCCTCAACCGAACCCTGTATTATTGAGTTGACGGTGACGGTCGCCTTTCGGCGGGCGGGCGGGCAGCAGCTGGCCTGGGCGGGTCACGTTTCACGTTTCAGGCATAAGCGACCGCCTTACCAGGCAGGCAGCTCAGTGGCCCTGGATTATTATGATCGATTCGGGTTCCCCTTAAATCATCTTCCACCTTCAGCACCTCCTCCTCCCCCACTACTTTTGCCGCTACCGTCAACCCATCAGCTTCCCAGCTTCTTCCTTTCATACCCGACAGCTCTCCTTCACTCCCTGTGACCTATCACTCTCCATATTAACCATGGTTTGTGCCTTCCCCCTCACCGTTCTCGCCTGCTGCGTCGAGAATCCCCCACTTTGCGGGGCAGATCTGCCTGGCACTCTCGACAGAATTGCTGACATCGCATCGTCTAGGCCGACTCTCTGACCGAAGAGCAAGTTTCCGAGTACAAGGAGGCCTTCTCCCTTTTTGTGAGTAATTCAGAAACCCCTTACTGGAACACAGGCTAACGAGCCCTTTTGCGTAAATAGGACAAGGATGGCGATGGTGGGTTCCCGCTCCTCACCCCTCAACGTTCGGCGTTGTCAACCGCCCCGACCGCTGGGCCTCGAAGGCGATAATTCGATGAAATAGACCCATAATGCTGATTCTATTCGGTGTACAGGCCAGATCACCACCAAGGAGCTGGGCACTGTGATGCGCTCTCTCGGCCAGAACCCCTCCGAGTCTGAGTTGCAGGACATGATCAACGAGGTCGACGCTGACAACAACGGCACCATCGATTTCCCTGGTATGTGATCGGCTCCATCCCACGAGGGGCAGGAATGCGGACTAGATGTTGACTTTGGCTAGAATTCCTTACCATGATGGCCCGTAAGATGAAGGACACCGATTCCGAGGAGGAGATCCGTGAGGCGTTCAAGGTCTTCGACCGCGACAACAACGGTTTCATCTCCGCCGCGGAGCTGCGCCACGTCATGACCTCCATCGGCGAGAAGCTCACCGATGATGAGGTTGATGAGATGATCCGCGAGGCGGACCAGGACGGTGACGGCCGTATTGACTGTTTGTTTCCCACCCATGCCCCGCTCTGCTTGACATACTAATCGCCTCCCAGACAATGAGTTCGTCCAGCTCATGATGCAAAAATAAACGGTTCTCCATGTTCTATTTCTATTGCGTTAGCGGAAAGGGTGGGAGCAAATGAAATCAACCTCACTATGTCCCGCCTTGTTTCTCATACCGTCGCCTGTAGTCTCTTCATTTGGCTATGACTCTCACTGCCTGTAACCGTCGAGCGTTTTCCATCATCATTGTTGGTTCTGTTGTTGCACGGAACGGTAGAAGTGACCTTGAAGTCTAGACTGGTCCGAGCGAGCTGGGGATGAGGTGTTAGATAAGGGATCAGAATGTCCCCCACGCTTGCCCGGTGTTTCTCTGTTGTGTCTTGGCAGGAATGCTTGTCTTCCTGATGCATATCTTTCCTCTCAAGTCTTTTCCCCGATGCACAAATCTCCCTGTGGCCTTGCCTTTCCGAGTCTGCTTCCCTAATCATCTGATTTTTCGTAGCGACTCAATTACATGAAGATAATGCACTGGTTAGCCGCCGGGTGCACTTGCAAACATACTTGACATAACTCGCGTCGCATTTTGTCAAAGCCAATTCGTAGTTCCAACTAGGGTATTAAGTACTTTCAAGACTTATGTAACGATAAGCACCCAAAATATGACAGGTAACGCTACGCGGCCAACTATTGTGGTCCTTGAGCGTTCTCGTATCGAGGCCAGGTACTGTAAGGGACCACACGCCGACCAATAAACCAGATGACCAAATAGGATATCGTTAAGAGGTAAGGGTATATCAACATTACTACAATCGCGAATTCTCCCCTTACCGATTAAATCTAAAGATCTCCATAAACTGCCTCGCCACATCGACCCCAGCATCAGGATCGGGATCCTCATCCACCTGAAAACCGCCCTTATCATCAAGCACCGTCTGCCTGACAGGCTGCCTCAGCTTTCTCAAGCGATCCTTCGCCTCCTTACCCACATCGGGCAACAGAATCGCCTCCCTCGCGCCATCCACGCCCAAACGGGCCCAAAACTCGCGAATCAGCGCCGCACTCGCCGCATACTCCGCATCAACATCCGCATCCTCGATGCCCTCAGCGAACGCCATATCGACCCCGGAGTCATCATCATCGTCGTCATCCAGGGCAGTAGCAAAGGCAGGGCCCATTTGCGCAGCCCTGGCCTTCCTGGCGAGACTCTGCGCCGAAATGGAATCCACTAGCGACGGACCCCGGTATTCGATCTCTACGACCGTGCCGCGGACTCTCACGGCCGGCTGGGTCTGCCGGACATCGCCGATGCGCACCCGGAAATCGCCCACGTCGTAGACCACGCCGGCGGGGACGGTGACCGTGTGTCGATGGCACCAGAGGGGTTGACACGCGTAGCCGAAATGCTGGAATAGAGCGCTACAGGAGGGGAGAGGCACGGTCGTCATGATCATTGGGCCGGAGGAGGATGACTGTGCGGGGTTGGATGGGTTGGGGGTCGTCGAGGCAGGGTTCCCGGCGGTGGGTGGATGCTGGGTGCCGTTCCCTGGTGTCTGTGAGGTGTAGATGAAGCCATGGTTTGAGTGGAAGGAGAGAGAGAGGAATTGCATGTAGCGCGGTTGGAGTTGTCGCTGGGAGGCGGAGGCGGGCACGCATGATGGCGTATCTCGCATTAGCTTGTGCTCGAGGAACCAGCGGCCTATGAGCGTGGGCTCGTCTGCGAGGGCTGTGTGGAGGCGCTCGGTGATGGTTGCGAGCACGGTGGATGCATTTGGGTTGGATGGGATGAAGTAGACCCTGGATGGGGGGTTAGGAGTTTGATCTGGTGCCAGGGTGGGAGGGCGCTTACCCTGTGATAGGCATTTTGATTGGGAGGTGACGGGCGTGACAGGAGAATGCCCTGTTGGCGTTTTCTTTGTGATCTAGCCTGGGGGGCTCTGGAGACAGGCACGTGCCGGTTTGGAGAATTGAGGTGGAGGATGCTGGAAGGGGAGAGACAGAGGTGGTGGTTCTACTATGTAGAAGGTAATGCACAGTAGAGATAGTAGGTGGTGGGTCAGAGTAGAGGTCCAATAGGACTGATTTGGTGTACTGTGTAGCTCAGATGTTAAATTGTGCCGAGGAGTTTAATTCATGTCATGTCTATGGGGGATTAGTCAAATATACATGGGTAATGGGGATTAGGGAGGGATCAGCATAAGGCTGATGCCTTGGCCGGGACCCTGAGTACTAACAGACTAATGGAATGATCCGAATGGGTGTTCGTAGCGCGAGAACTCCTCTGGCTGTTCTGGGTGTTGGGGTGTTGGCCGCGAATCATGATGGCGGTTTGATACTCGACCCATCAGCTTGGCGCAAACCCGTATCGCTGCCTGGAAGGGCAGGCCGCAAGATAGTGCAAACCAGGCAAACCGTGGCCTGCGGATTCGGGCGCCGCGCGTAAAGGATCTCTGGCGGCTTGGCTGGTTTCTGGCACTCCGAGTCTCCGACAGTCCGACCTCCGTCTCGACTCCGTACTTTCGCTCACTTTCGCCCACTTTCGCCCACTTTCGCCCACTTTTGCCCACTTTCTCCCACTTGCCAGGCCCGCCTCCACTCCACTCCACTCCAGAGATTAATCCTTGGTCCGTCTGGGTCCTGACTCCTACGGTTCCACTTCCCTTTCTTTCACCACCACCAACATTCTATCTATCCCCGACTCGACCCTTGATTGATCCATTCTGATTCGAGGCGCAGTTGGTCGGACGGCCCCGTCTCGGCGTCTAGTCTAGACTCCCATGGTCTTCAATCCAGGGGGGGAAACAATTTGAACCCAACGCCTGTTCTAACTTCAAGCAGTCTCACTATCTACCGAACTGACTGGCAGACTGCAGGCAACTCCCTCCGCCAAGACGCGGGACAATGCTCCGTTAATGAGGCTGAGACCACAAGGGGGTCTTATCCCGAGGGAAGGACGTCAAGATGGACAAGAATAGAAATCCCCTCCCCCCGAGTCGCCTCTCACGCGATCTCGACGGCCGGCCAGGGTCCAAGGGACCACTAGCTTACGCAATGGGCAGATCCTTTGCCCATATTGCTTGTTTATTCTCCGCTTTGCTATTACTTACTCCGGTAAGCTCCTTCGCCCGTGAATCAAATGCGGTTTCTTTGTCTCCTCTTTCAATTTGTGGTGATGATGTGATCAACATGCCACCCTTGACTGGGCGCTTATGAGATGGAGCAATAAACGCTCGGATGCAACATTCCTCCACCTCTCCGTTCATGCTTATTTGCTAGCCTTGAGAGGGAGAAAAGGACCGAACAGGGGGCCGATCCTTTACGGCAGGGTATATACACGGAGCCCACGCCTTGCCCAGCTCGTCCCGGAGTGCCCTTGCGAAGAACACTCGTCCTGATCTGTCGTTCCTTTTCAGACTTGGACAACCACCCCCTCTTTTGATTTCGTTGTCGGCGTTTCAAGCCGAAGTAACATCGTTTGGTCCGGCATCGAGCATGCCCTCGCCTCCCCCATGTTGCTCATCTCTTCTATAATATAGTCCATTGCTGTGCCCGAACAGCTGTCCTCTCCCTTAGCGTCTACTTCTCTTCGTTATATTAGCGATCCCCAATTGAGTACTTTACTTTGTTCGCCATGATAGTCTCTCGACGGAGCTATATGCTCCCCACAATCATTCTCATATGCCTTACATACATTCTTTTCTCTAGTCTGCCGCCCGGTGCGCGGACACCACATGGTCATCATCATCATCATCATAAGCAACACCTAGACGAAGAGCCGCCGCACAAAAACACCCGGTTTCGTTGGGTGAAGCATGTCGAACAATTCCCAATCTCAAAATACATTCCTCTTCCCACCGCTCCGTCGTCTCCGATCCCACGGATCCAATATAAATTCCCCAGAGAGTCGTGGTTCGCACGATGGGGAAGAACGAGAAGGCAGCGTGCCGTCAAAAAGGCTTTCAAGCATGCGTGGAAAGGATACAAGGAGAATGCCTGGTTGCGGGACGAACTGTCGCCCCTCAGTGGTGGTCATCGCGAGACATTTGCGGGCTGGGCAGCCACCTTGGTTGATTCTCTGGATACACTTGTCATTATGGACCTCATGGATGAATTCGAGGAGGCACTGGAAGCAATCGAACAGATTGACTTTACGACTACAGATGCTATCCAGATCAACGTTTTCGAGACCAACATTCGGTACCTAGGTGGGCTCCTTGGTGCCTACGACTTGACTCATGGTAAATATCCGATTCTCCTGCAGAAGGCAACCGAGATCGCCGATATGATCTATGGATGTTTCGACACTCATAACAGAATGCCGCAATCGCGGTGGGAATGGACCAGGTAAGGCATATACAAGGACGGGAAACCCATCCACAAAGCACAACAATGCTGACCGGTATCTAGATCCGCGGGAGGTTTGAACATCGAGGCGAGCCGAAACACCATTCTTGCAGAAATTGGGTCCTTGAACTTGGAGTTCACACGGATGTCTCAACTGACCAAAGATCCCAAGTACTTTGATGCCATCCAAAGGATCGCAAATTTCCTGGAAGAAGAGCAGCCAAAGACCAAAGTTCCGGGGATGTGGCCCATGATGGTCAATGCTCGGGACTTGGAGCTTGCTGATCCCCGATTTACCATCGGAGGAATGGCCGACTCGACCTACGAGTACCTCCCGAAGGAGCACATGCTGCTTGGGGGACAGACGAACCAATACCGTAAAATGTACGACTCTTTCATGGGGGCGATGAAAAGTCGCCTTCTTTTCCGTCCGATGACCGAGGATGGTCGCGATATCCTCTTCGCGGGAAACCTCCATGCCGGCGCCAGCAAAATAAACATGGAGCCCCAGTGGGAGCACCTCAAGTGCTTCTTAGGTGGCACTGTGGGCATCGGCTCCAAGGTGTTTGACCGGCCAGAAGAACTGTCTATCGCGCGGAAGTTGGTTGATGGGTGCATCTGGGCGTATGATGTCATGCCAACCGGGATCATGCCCGAGATTCTGCATCTTACAGTGTGCAAGGAGGGTAGAAGCTGCAAGTTGTCCCAGAACTCCCACTCGAGCTCAGATGCCGAGTCCATTGCCCAGGGTAAGAAGTTGCCGCCAGGCGTGGCTGATATTCCGGATCCCCAGTATCTCCTAAGGTATGTCTTACATCGGTCTGTGGTACAGCTCCTTGCATCTAATATCGCTTCTAGACCCGAGGCCATCGAGTCCGTCTTCATCATGTACCGGATCACGGGAGACAACTCTTTGCAAGACTCCGCGTGGAGGATGTTCCAAAACATCGAGCGGATGGCACGGACTGCCTATGGCCATGCGGCAATCGCAGACGTTCGGGACCCCGAGTCGCCACTGATGGACTACATGGAGAGTTTCTGGCTGGCAGAAACTTTGAAATACTTCTATCTCACCTTCTCTGAGCCCGATCTCGTGAACCTCGACGAATATGTTCTGTAAGTGTCTTTGCGGTCGACGTCGCTCATGTTCTACGAGTACAGTCGCTAACAGTAGCATAGGAACACCGAAGCACATCCATTTAGACGCCCATCTGCTTATGTGTAAATACGGCCGTCCGCCTTTTTCTTTTTCTTTTTTCTTTTCTGTCATAGATGTTAGCGCTGGGGCTTAAATTGGCGAACAGGTGTCCCCCCCCCCCCCCCCAGTGGTGTGTTTTTTTCAATCCGGATGGCATATGTACATACAGAAGACCAGCATTCGGTTGGAATTGGTGTCAAATAGTCATACAACATTCCCTTCAATACTCCAGAGACATATGTGAATGCGGAACCGTACTGATAAATTCCAACCTATCTATATACACCATCAAACCCAGTAATCCATACCTTGCCCACCCGCATTGGAGCTCTCACCGTTATACTCGATGGAATACTCCACATCCTTCCGAATAACCATCTTCTTCGCACTCCCACCCTCACTCCCAACGCTATCCCGCCCCCCTCTCTCCACAAGATCTAGCTCAAGCTCAATAGACCGCCCAGCAACACCATTCTGCTGTCCTCCGTCTTCTCGAACCCCCTCAACCCTCCCCAACACCAACCCCATCTCAAATCCCACGCCATCCCCCAAACCCTCCCCTCCCTCCTCCCATCCCTCGCCCCAGCCCCCGCCAGGGACCTCCCCCCGGACCCCTCCTTCGACGACAAGCCCCCGCGGATCTTCAACGACCTCGCGCCTCCGCTACCCTCCAGATTCGAGTCCCCCGCGGTCCCATAATTCGTGCTCACGGCGGCCATGAACGGTCGCAGGCAGAACACGCTGCACGCCACCAGGGCGTAGTTGAGTTCGACCTGCGCCCAGATGATGGGGCCCACGACGGCGAGCGTGGGGTCGGGATCGTGGATGTTCTGCTGGATGGTGATGATGTGGAGGATGGAGAAGATGATTAGGCTTTTGGTTTGTTTGGTTGGGCGGGTTAGTGATGTTACAGATGTGCGGGGATGCATGTATGCATGTATACATGTATACTAGGTAGGGCGACGGGCGAGGATGGAGTGGACTCAAAACTCACGGAAGCCGAAACACAAACGCAAACCCGATCATCAACTTCCGTCCTACAGACATAAACAACCCCCAGAGAAGCGCAACGGCCAGCCCAAAGAGGATCAGTTCCGTTACGATATCGAGCGCGACGATGAATCGCCACCGTTGAAGCTGCGGCGCATTCATTCACTCATTAGCTGTGTCTTCCTTTTGCCCTGGGGGATGTATATGGAGATATAAAGATAAAGTGTATATATACAAGATCCACGCATTGCGCCCCGAATCCTTCCCAGGGACGATTCAGCTCGCAGTTCACGGCGACGACGAGCACGGCGGCGATGAGGCACGCGGTGCAGAGAGCCAGGGTGGCCTGCGAGGCCCGGTTGTGCGGCTTCCGGGGCGTCAGACGGAGGTAGATGCCTAGGACGCAGCATTTGGAGATGTAGAGGGTGGTGAGGAAGAGGATGTCGCCGATGGTGGTGAGGGTTTGGATTTGGGTTAGCTGGTTGTTGGTGGGTTGGAGGAGGTGGGTGGACGTTCCCAGGCCGAGGGAGGTCGCGTCGAATAGGAGGGCGGATTGGATGATGGCGACGGTCTGGTGGCAAGTGGTCGGGGGTTATTTTCCTCCTTACTCTCTCTTCTGCTGGCGGGAACTCACCCTCGCTCCCAACAGGACATAATCATCATACGCGAAGGGCGGATGCAGTGCCAGCCGCACATACAGTCGGATGAAGAAGCTGGCCAGTGAAAGCACCAGGCCCATCGCACCGTTGATGATGATCCACGCTCCGTGATGCAAGTCGTCCACCACCTGGAAGGGGGCCGACTGTCCTGGGGGGATATCCGGACTCATGGTCGTGGCTGAGGAAGACAGGAAGATGGACGCAAAGACCACCACCCACAACATTGGCCGTGATGGCGGGGTTATATCCATACCTTACCATATATCATGCAAGCTAGATCAGCTAAGGTGATGTTTCTTTTCCTTTCTCCGATGTCTTCTTTGCGGTTGGTCTCTGACGGATCTAGAGCCCACGCGTTCGACGCAGCTAGATAGATATGTACATGATGCGCTTCCAAGAGCTTGCTCTCCTCCAGATACACCGGTCTTACATACTTGAATGGATGGCAATTTCGGGGGGAAGAAAAGAAAAGAAAGGATGTCAATCAAAAAGGCCAGACTACCCAGCCAAGCGAGGAGGGACGAGTTAACTCTAACTTAACTGCGATCGATCAGCCGGTCCGCTGCCTCGCCCACCTACAATGAGCCAATATCCCTCGCGACAGAGGTCCTGACACACAGCATCTCCCGACTCACATCAAACCGACCAGCTGTATGGACAAGAGCTCGATGCCGATCCAGACCCCCCAATTTAGGCTGCATGGCTGCCCACGTTAATGACGACGATCCGTCAGGCGGACGAATGGACACGACGCGGCTGGGGGCGATGGGCGATGGGCGATGGGCGATGCCTAGCCAGACTCCTGCTGTCACACCCATCGCCATTATTGCGGTGCGCGCATCAGACTGGACATCGTCCAATATCCGTCCAGGCCCACGTTACGCATCGGCTGAAGGACGCTCGTCGGTGAAACGAACGTGGGGGAGGCCCAGAGAGACTGCCTCGTTTTCGTTTTCTGCCCGGGAGGCCGGTTGCCTTGTCCGTTTACTCTTTTCGCTCGTCTCTCTGTTGGACTTTCACAGGGCTGTTGTTAATGAACCTGTCGACCATTGAGAAATGAGGACTGAGAAGTGGATGTCGCTACAATTTGGACTGGACGTCGTTGTCTCCAAATCATCGCAGCAGTTTCGAGTCCACGTCGTGACCGGATGCGAGCTCGTATCAGGATTCCGAATTAAAGGGAGAAAAAAGCAAAACCTGTTCGATCGCTATTTGAAGCTAGCCAATGCACACCTGCAATGCAAGGATCGACCGGCGGATTGCCTATTCATGAGATTCTAGGATTTGGCAAAGGAAATAGCTCACGTCTCACAAGAATGTGTCGCTTTCCTCGATGGACACTCGTCGTGGTCGGTCTAGGGCGAAGAAAACTGGGGATTGTCTACTCGCTGAACTCCTCAATTCGTCTTATTGTATCTGAAGCAGACTCTCTCGTCTCGCCTTTTTTTTCGATATGGCTCTTGGGAATGTCCAACATGAAAGGCAGTCGCCAGAGACATGCCCTGAAAATGGCGAGTATTCTTCAAAGGGCCTGGTTGCCCCCAAGTACATGGGTACTATCAGAGACCAACATGAGATGAGTTCATTGGGCCGGGTGCAAGTCTTAAGGGTGAGTTTATATATCGCTCTTTTGCTTTGATTCTGTGTATTGATGCCGGAAAGAGAAATTTCAAGTTCATTTCGATCCTCGGATTCGGCTGCACTTTGATTTCCACATGGGAGGTTATATTGACGTGAGTGATCTAACTGGTTTGAGAGGTTGCTGGACTGATTTCATTGCAGACTCTTGTCTAGTGGTTTGACTGATGGAGGAACTGCCGGGTTGATATGGGGGTTTATCATCGTCACGGCAGGGTTTGCTCTTGTATTTGCCAGCATAGCAGAGATGGCCTCTATGTACTTTACCCAGAGACCTTCCTGAGAATCATGTCGGTTCTAACGTGTGTCGATAGGTCTCCAACATCGGGAGGCCAGTATCACTGGGTATCTGAATTTGCTCCTCGTCAGGGCCAGAAGTTCCTGAGCTATATAACAGGTATGTCTGACTCTTCTGCCCCTGCTAGAGCCGAGACTGATGAAGATAGGATGGCTGTGTGCAATGGGTTGGCAATGTGCTATCGTGTCTATAGCATATCTCGCAGGCACAATCATCCAAGGCCTGATTGTCCTGAATCACCCGACGTACGTCTTTGAGCGATGGCATGGTGCCCTACTTGTTATAGCTATCACGGCATTTTCCATCCTCTTCAACACGTTCCTCGCCAAGAACCTTCCTATGGTGGAAGGTCTGATCCTGATAATTCATGTCGTGGGCCTGTTTGCCATCATCATCCCACTCTGGGTATTGGCTCCTCGAAACAGCGCCAAAGCCGTCTTCACTGATTTCTACGATGGAGGTGGATGGGGTAGCCCCGGAACTGCTACTTTGGTTGGGTTGTCGACCACTATCACCTCGATGATAGGATATGATTGCTCGGTCCATATGTGTCTGTCCAAGGACTCTTGTTACTCATAAATAACCACTAACATATAGCAGGCGAAGAAATCAAAGACGCGTCAGAGACACTCCCGAAGGCTATGATGTCCGCCGTCGGAGTCAATGGAGTCCTCGGGCTCATCATGGTCGTCACACTATGCTTCACCCTTGGTGATGTCAACGCCATCCTCAACAGTCCAACCAAATACCCCTTCATCCAAATATTCTACAACACCACCAACAACTACGCCGCAACAAACACCATGACAGCCATACTAGTCATCACGCTCACAGCCAGCACCATCACCGAGGTAGCCACAGCATCCCGGCAGCTGTGGTCTTTCGCGCGAGACCAAGGCCTTCCATTCTCCTCCTTCTTTGCATACGTAAGCCGCATAACCCCCACCCGCAGACCCCTTCTCCCCCAGACCCTAATTCCATGGATCAGGTAACCCCCGGCTGGAACATCCCCTTAAATTCCGTCCTCGTCTCCCTGGTCGTCACCGTCCTCCTAAGCCTCATCAACATCGGATCCGACGTGGCTCTACTCGCCATCATCTCCTTAACAATCACCTCCCTCATGTCTGCCTATATCATATCAATCGGCTGTATCCTAGTCAAACGACTGCGCGGGGAAACCCTCCCACCGCGGCGCTGGTCGCTCGGCCGCTTCGGAATGGCCATCAACATCGCCAGTCTGGCCTTCCTGCTGCCCATTTTCGTGTTTTCGTTCTTTCCATTGACGAAGCGTGTTGATGAGCAGACGATGAATTGGAGTGTGGTCATGTATGTGGGTGTGGTTGGGTTTGCGTCGCTGTACTACATTTTCCGCGGGAGATATCGGTTTGTTGCGCCGGTGGCTTTGGTTAAAAGGGATTTTGATATGAGGGATATATACTAGGTGGGTTTTGCTATTTTTGTCCTTTAGCTACTATGAAACTTGCGGGTTTTGATTATCAAGGAAGGGTTGATAAGTCTCTATTCGTCCACAGGAGCTGGTTTTCTCGAGCCAGGAACCGCATACATTCTGCGGGAACAAGAACAAACCACCCATCCACTCACAGCGGCACATACGCCATACATAGTGAGCATCATCCCAAATACCATAACAGGCAAATCAAACACCCAAGCAGCCCAGTCTGGATAAATCCCGGATGTTGGGTATCCATCCATCCATCCATCCGGCGGAAATGGCTCTCCGAGCTACATGCCCAGCATGCGCCTTTCCATAGAGGTGAAACATGCTACGCTGCGGATACTCCATCCCACTACTTCCAATTATATCTGCAGGAAAACGCATCTTCCCGATCCCCAGACCCCTGACGGTGACGGTGACGATGCCGATGACGGAGACGATGACGCTGGTGGACCATATCCGATCCTCATCCACACCCGGATATATGTCCTGTGCATCCACCCGTCTGCACCTCCAGTTAAACCACCCACCCAACCCCCCGAAAACGTCAAAAACCAAGATAAATGAACCTATAACATTCTAGCATACCTTGGGGTCCATGTCATCCATCTCCTCTAAGCAGCGCATCCAGACATCACTTTGACATTCACTCACTCGCCCCATCAACCCAAATCCACAGTGCAAGAGAGTACCATGTTTAGTGTAGTGTCCAGTGTCCACTCTCAGCCCGTCTATCCACCGCGAACCTAAAATTCTCGTGTCAAAGACGTCCGCTCCGTCTCCACTCCTCGTTCCCCCTAGCTGAAGAAACTTTACTGTACGCAGTATAGTACGTCTTCAGCTCGGTCAGTAGCTTGGGCCTTGGCTTCATGGATTATTCGGGCCTGGGGGTTTCAGCTCGATCTGATAAACCAGTTCAGCCCAGGCGCTATTATTGTCTAAGGCTAAGGGGGGCTAAGGGCCTAAAGGGGGGGGGGGCTGGTATTATTGCGTATCTAGTACGGAGTACCGTGGCTACTACTGGCTACTACTACTGTACTACTGTACTACTGTACTACTGGCACAAGTTCCAGCTACACATGTACACATGCACACATGCACACACTACACATGCAAGTACACAGGACAGGATGCTCCGGGTCGGAGTTCTCCTGACCAGGGATCTCCTCCACCATCCCTTTTTCCATTCCTGGCGTGCAGAACAGTTCCGTTCTGGTGTCTGCTTTTCATTCTCGTGGTCACAAATCAATTCCGGTCTGTGTGGAGTGTTGGGCATAGGTGCTAATTAGGGAATGAGTGTTGAGTGTTGAGACAAGCACCGAAAACTCGGCCTCATGCATACACATTACACAGTAGTGGTAATGATTGCTCCGTATTTCCGGCGGCCAACTGCATCATAATCAGATCATCATCCATCCATCCATCCATCCACCCAGTCCTCTCCCCCTGATCTCCCAGTCCCGCCCGCTGTAACGGGAGTCGGGAGTCGGGACCCGGGGACAGCTTCGAGAAGTCACCCTAGAAAACAGAAACCTGTTCTTGCCGTGTCGTGTTGTGGGTTCGACTAATTTATTCTGGAAAAAAAAAATACGGGTCATGGAGATGGAGATGGAGATGAAGTATTCCTTTTAGTCATGATTTAACGGATTTGTCTGTTTATGATTTACGGGCACCAGTAGGATCAAGGATGGAGACGGAGACGGAGACGGAGATGGAGACGCGACGCCGGGGCCTTTCCTTACCTTCCCTTCTTTTCTTTTCTTTCTTTCTTCCTACTTAAGTAAATCCCTCTTATTCTTCCTGATTCCCGGGGATAAGCTCGATTATTACATATTCCATTGTTACCATTATCATCAAGGAGTACAGAGTACGGCGTACAAACCAAGCCAGCCAAGGCCAAGAGCGAAGGAATCCGGGCGTGAAACTATCTATCTTAGGTTGGTAGGTAGGTAGGTAAGGTAAGGTACTCCGTAGGTACTATCGATCTCCCTATCTGATTGATTGATTTGATTGATATGGGGAAGTAGTGTCGGACTCGGCCGATGTCGGATTCGGAAGGGGAAAGGGATTAGGCCCTAGAGAAGAAGGGGGGCGCCCCACTCCACCGACTGACCGACCGTCTGGTCGCCAGGTGACCTGTCACACTCACCTGGGTTTGGTTACACGGGCGATTCTGGTCCGTGGGAGGGCAACTGGGGGGATAATTAGGGATTGTGTGGGGGGAGGGGGGGAGGTTGGGGTTCTTTTTGAATACTAATCAATCATCATAGTAAATGGTTGGGACCAATCAGTAAGTAAACAAACAAGTAGAATCAAGACAAGACAGGTGGCAAGGACAAGCAGGCAAGCAGGCAGGCAAGTCTCAGCGCGCCAACTGCCGGGGGAGTGGGATGAACCCGGAGCAGGAAATCCCGCCGGTCGCCGAAAAGTTATCTGATCCGGAACCAGAGTCAAAGACGGTCACGTGAGTGGGCATCGTATTTTTACTTTTCATGGTTAATTGATTGATTCCATCATGTTCTCCCAGCGACTAGACAGTAGAAACGATCATGGGGTCACATCCGGAACGAGTCTCCGGGACTTCTCCTGCACCCCCTCCCCTTCGAATTTGGAGGGGAAGAGAGAGAGAGAGGGAGAGAGGGAGGGAAGAATGTAACCCAGCGTGGTTAGCCGAGGACAAAGAGAGTTGCACCCGGATCAGATTAGATCGGTAATGTGACTCGGCTGCGGCGCTGTTTGGTCGTAACATACATACCGGTACGCGCGAGTCAGGCCAGTGCCGCTGTCAGGCCACTCCGGTTGATTGCATTTGCTCTCCTTCTGGATGCGACCGGTCGGCGGTCGCGGCGAAGCAAATGAGAGTCCAGAGGATGGTGATGACCCCGGGACCTTTGGTCCTTTGCTTACAAGAATATTATATGCCCTCTCGGGATAGGGATTCCATCAGCCCTGGAGGGGCAGTTCCAGTCGCCTTCCTCCAATTACTACCACGTCGAGTAAAATGTCCCGCTAGCTGCAGATCAGGCTGTCAACTCGACTCGCTCGCTCCCCACGGAGAAATGGAGGTCTGATCTCAGAGGTGATCTAATGGTGTCTGCTGAGATCATTTGTCGTACCAAGTAATTTAGCAGCTACTATTCCGTAGCCAAGATGAAACAAAGAAAGAATGCGCTTTTGTCTTTTGGCTGGGATAAACGTTCCCGGCGGTTTTTCTGGACGGGTAAAGTTACAGACGGTAATGACGTTTACGTTTACTCACCGAGTGGTGGCAACCGACCATGAATTCATGATTGAATAATAATCATCCATTCGTTGTGTGCGACTCTCTCTCTCTGGTTCTCTCCCCCGGTCGCTCGCACTTTATCTGATTTTTTCCTGATTTAACTATAACCCCAACCCCAACCCCAGACTCAGACTCAGACTGTTTGGATCTGATTATTATTTTTCTTCTCTACACTTACAGGATATTATTCTCCCCCTTATCATCCCGTACAGTCGGCCCACCGGCAACCTCCGCCCAGAAGGATCCCGAACTACTGGCAGTTAATCTGATGCACATCGTCGCCTAGAAGACTAGCGTATCGGAACCGTTCTCCCGGCACCGGCTGCCCCAGGCAAAGTTGCCTCTCCCGTCCTCAAGCAATTCCACCTTTTTTCTCTCCGTCTCCCGTCTCCAGTCTCCAGTCTCCAGTCTCCATTCTTGCCCTTTCCTGTCTGCCTTTGCTGCCCGCCTACTCGCCTGATTGCCGGTCGGAGCTGGATGTCAATCGCGCTTGCTGTGTCCACCGGCTTAATCTAGCCCGTCTGATCCTGTGAACCGACTTGTCCGACCCCTTTTCGGTGGCCAGTGCTCTTGTCTTGCTCGGACTACAATACCACACACCACTACAGGACTACACTACGACTAGTCATTGCCTTTTAAGCACATACACCCCTTATTCTCTTTTTATCAGTTTCGTCAATTGTATCATCCGCTTGCACAGACACCCCCCTACAGAGACAATGGGTATGGTTGACCTTCTCTATCGGATTCGCCACTCACTACTCGTTCAATGGCTAACCATCTGTCTCGGGACATACACAGTTCACGCCGTTCTTTCACAGCCCTCGAGGCGCACACCCTCGCGGTCTGCTCTTTCCCCCGGTCCTGACCATGCGAGCATTCCCGTATCGTCCACCTCCCACCCGGACAACCCGGTTCCGGAGGAGCCCCGCGGCGTTCGGTCGCTATCTATCACCGACATAAACTTCAGTACATCCTCTCTGTCTCTCTCCTCGCCAGACACCGACTCTACTGGCTCAGAGACACCCTCTGTCCAGACTCCTGCCACGGATTTCCAGTCCGACGTTGAGGACTTTGCCGGGAAGTCTTCCATTGATGATGGTCCAGAGAAGCAGCGCCGTGCATCCACGGTGCTTATCTCCCAGAACTCCGAGGACATGAGGCGTGTGCTTGAAAATGTGGGATCCAGCGGTACCCAGAAGCTCCAGCCTCTTTGCTGCGGTGGTGGATGCTGCCGTAGCCAGCCATTGGCGCGCATCGCTGCCCCGGCCCCCAGTGGGGATACCGTGACTCCTCCAGATAACAAGGCCTATCACGGCCTGGAGCTGCGGGTCGATTATCTCACAATGGACAGTGAGCTGACCAACATCGCCGATCTGCCGGAGAAGACTGTCTCCTTCTCCGCCATCCCAGCGTCGGCCGTGGACATGCAATTGGGCCCTGCCGACCATCCCCCTCCTTTCGTGCAGCCCCACCCCCCATATAACGTCTACCGGGCTCCCGTGTTTCATGCGCGCGAGCTGACCCAGGGCGGTGCGGAGAAGAGGACCTTCCACTTTGATATCGACGTGACCGACTATCCTACCGAGAGCGGCGACGTTGACTTTGTCGTGGGTGGCGCCATTGGAGTGTGCCCCCGGAACAAGGACGAGGAAGTCGATGACATCTTCAACCTGCTGGGTGTTCCCAAGTCCATCCGCGACAAGAAGATCACCGTTCGCACCGCGAACGGCCGCTGGCCCACTATCTGGGGCGACGACCAGCCCCGTGAGCTCATCACGACCCGCAGGGAGCTGCTCAACTGGTGCTCTGATATCCAAAGCTATGCCCCCACCAAGGCTCTGTTCCGCTTGCTCGCCGAATACGCGAGCGAGCCCAGCGAAAAGAAGATCCTCATGTTCCTGGCCTCCGCCCAAGGCCAGGGTGCGTTCTGTGACCTGCGCACTAGCTCGCACATCACCGTCTCCCAGCTGCTGCACGCCTTCCCCTCCTCCCACCCTCCCCTGGACCACCTCCTGTCCGTCCTCAACACCCTCATGCCTCGCTTCTACTCCCTCTCCCAGGACCCTCTCCTCTCCTGCAAGCAGAAGGGCACGGAGACCCGTCGTCTGGTCGAAATCGCCGTCTCCGTCGCTGAATCCAACGATTGGAAGGGCGGTTTCCGGACCGGCGTGGGCTCCGGTTACCTCGAGCAGGTTGCCCGCCAGGTGATCGAGGCCGAGAAGAAGGGCATCGACCCGCACACCCTCGACATCCACATCCCCATGTTCCGCGGCCTGATGGCCAACCCGCTGGCGAAGCGGTTCGCGTCCGACGGCCCCATGCTCCTGATCGGCGCGGGCGTGGGCATTGCTCCGTTCCGCGGCTTCGTGCAGCGCCGTCTGCAGTCCGCCAACTGCGCGAACAAGGTCTGGGTGTTGCAGGGCGTCCGCGACTCCCTGCTGGACGAACTCTACCGTGGCGAGTGGGGCGTCGAAGAAGAGAAGGTCCGCACGGTCGTCCAGAGCCGTCGTGGCGAGAGCAAGTACGTCCAGGAAGAGGTCCGCAACCAGGCCGATCTGGTCTGGTACGTTGTCAACGCCCTGGACGGACGTGTCTTTGTCTGCGGCAGTGGAAAGGGCATGGGCGAGGGCGTCGAGGCCGCTTTGGTCGACGTCGCCATGGCTAAGGGTAACCTTAACATGGAGGAAGCGAAATTGTTCTGGGATAACAAGAAGGAGGCTGGACAGTACATTGCCGTGAGTGCCCGTTCCTACCAATATATATATATATATATATATATATATATATATATGTACCTAAAGCACCGACTAATTCTCCCAACAGGAAACCTGGTAAATTCACCCATCCGAACATCCGCCGAATTGACTTCGGCTGTACAGCGAATCCGCATCGCGAGACCACAGCATCGCTTTGCATTGATATTGACATATCCGTATCCACCTTCATATCCACGTCCATTTCACTCCGAATCTTATCTCCTCTCGTGTGAGATTTGACATCTGTTTTTGTCGGTACATTTGATTTAATGATGCTTTAGCGGGATGGGTTGGTTTTTTACTTCATGTTTTCTTTTCTTTTCTTGTATCTACGGTTGATCCGGGATTTCCGTCATGAGACAGACAGACAGACGGTCGGTATGGTATGGTATTTGCATTATAGATTATCTGATGTGGTAGCAATACCTAATGCATGGATTTATACGTCACTCACTTCCTACTTACTTACTTACTAAATCTGCTTACTACTTTGTAATGCGCGCTTGGGTGGATGGAAGGAAGATGATTTGGATGGGTCAGGTGGATGTGACTGTAGGCTTTCGTCATGGGTTGATTAATTAATAATATCTTGTCTTTTGTTGACGAGTCTGCGGAGTATATACATCGGTGGATAGGTGAATAGATGGATAGGTGCCAATGATTGTTATCACCTGTCTTCTCAGCACGTCACGCGGCCATGTCATCGGCCCAGGACCCCCTGTTGGAAGTATTACCAGGTAAAATGGTTTTAGATGTCTTGGGGTACATAAGAGTGGTATGGGAAGGGATGGATCTGGAAGACTATTATTATTATTATTATTATTATTATTATTATTATTATTATTATTATTATTATTATTATTATTATTATTAGGTAATTGGTCTGTTGGCAACAGTATATATACTAGATACCTTTGTAACTGTCTGCAAGCCTGCAACCGGCTGGAAGGGAGCCTGGGAGTTGCAGCGGGATAGTATCATAGTACTGCTATGGATGGAGTATGTATGGTACTTACTACTGATTCTGACTGTCTCCCAGCAGGATTTGTTAGTGTATCACTATTATTATTATTGTTGTTGTTGTTTTGATAAGAAGAACGTCTATATTTATGACTACCGATGTTCAATCAAGTCACGGTCTTGATCTAATCCCCTGATAATGGAAACCAGATAGTATATATATATATATATATATACAGGAAGGATGTCGGATACCCATTTCGCTCCCACAATTACGAAAAGATAACCCCCAGGTTGAGATCTGATCAGGAGATATATCTGCTTCCTGTGCTATCTTAATTTGATATTTTAAATATTCCCTTGTTTGGTGGTTGTGAATAAAGGGATTGCTTAGGATGGATGTACTGTGGACTGTAGACTGTGGTTCATATAGATGGGTAAGAATAAGTATAGGGGTGGTGATTACTAGTATAAGAGATGTTTTTTTTATTCTATTGTTTTACTTATGAAAAGATGTAGAGGAGGTACCAACTGCTTGGTAACCCTAAGACCTAGTTAACAGGGGATTGTCACTATCTGGTACTCCCTCATGCTTGAGTTGGCTCAGATGTTTTGTATACGGGATGGGCGGGGAGTGGTGTCTATATTTGATATCAAGCATATATCAATTATAAACAAGAAACGTTTACACCGTCGTATCTATGTATGTATCTACCTTGGAGATATATTCATCATAAAAGTGGTCACTCATCTAATATTTATGGGTACGGTACCTACCTACCTACCCTCTCTTTCCGACCATTCTATCCACATAGAAATATGATATCCCCTCACCAACTCACCAACTCACCTACCATCTACCATCTACCATCTACCCTTTGCCACATTCTACATGCAAAGAAAATCTCACATACAGCCTCCAGACCCCTCCACAGTCTAAAGTACCCAGCAGAGCCTCCACAGGCACCAGCCATAAGCATCATCACATGATCCACACCACCTGCAGGAACCTGCTGGCAAAGGTACTGAGTACTAGTATATATGTACCACCTCGAAGCAGAATCCAGAGACACTCACGGATCCAGACAAAGCCACCCCCATCGTATCGCATGCATCCCGCATACCAGAGGGCAAATTACCCTGCAGGCATGTCTCACCACACGGACTTGTCCCTCCCAACTGAACCACCCCACCTACCATCCACCATCCACCTTCCCTTGTGTCTGTCAGATGCCACGGCAAGTCAGAAGAGTCAGTCAGTCAGTCAGTCAGGGATTGAATGAGTGAGTGGGCTAGTAGCTGACTGACCCTTGACACCTGACACGGCGGGCTAGGATTCATTTCACCAAGTATACTAGTAGTAGGAAAACAATTGTATCAGTGCATCCACACTCTCTCTATCTCTAGAGACAAAAATAATACGATACTAAGATTAGACTACTACACCCCCACAACAGGCTAGCAGCAGCAGCAGCAGAAGCAACATACCAGGCAGCAACCACCACCAACCACCAACCACCAACCAACCAACCAACCAACCCTGACACACACCCACCCACGTCATCGCCCCCCCCGACTGACCATGCAAAAAAGCAACAGCGCAGAAATGCGGACCAGTTTCACATGCGTATCAGATGGACATCCACCCCGAGGGAAAGTAGATCCCGACAGCCTGGATACCGGGTATGGGATTTGGATTTGGATTTGGAATTCGGACGAAGGAAGGGTTAGGGCTGGACTTGGACAGGACAGATCTGGGTTGCTTGTTTCGGGATCTCCTGGGGCACGGCATTCGAAACACACCTCACCTCGGGCTCCATAATCCCAACCTTACCCACCCACGCACACTCGCCACCGGAGACGGCTGGGGAGGGATGGATGGATGGTGCGTGAGTGAGTGAGTGAGTGAGTAGTGGTGGTGAGGGAGGAAGGAATGGGATCTATTAATATCGAGTTTCAGGATGGTGGTGTCGTGACGCAGGTGAGGGATGGGATGGGATGGGATGGGCTGGGCTGGGGTTCTGGATTTGTTGTGGGTGGATGGAGTATGAGATGAGTAGTAGATAGATGGGTAAGTAAGTGCCAGTCAGTCAGGGTCACTGTCAACACTGTCAACACTGTCAGTGTCAGTGTCAGTGTCAGTGTCGTATCGCTGCCAGTGCCATCCCAATGAGTCAGTGCTTGAGCCTTGAAAGGGCCTGGCCTGGATGGACACTCCCTGACTCCCAAGTGTGAGTGAGCGAGCGGACGTAGTATCCTCCGCGAGCGAGCCCGTAATAGTTTCCTTGGATCTGGATCTAGACCTTGCCCGGGACCTGGATTCCTCCCGTGTTCTCTCGTATGCGGTGAAGCAACCAACGGACCGAAATACGTACATACTAGATAATCAACAGCACTAGTATGGAAATGGGTACTCCGTTCCTTGGTGGTGTAACCCTCCCCATCCCTCCAGTTCACATATTTGAAGACGAAGAAAAGGGAAAAAAAAAAAAAAAAGCAGACGGAAGAGACCAGAGCACCCGATCCGCTAATGCAAGCCATACGACGGATTTCCACCCCTGGTTGCCTAATCCGATCACAATCAAAGCAATCAATCTTGAGCCAATCGAACCAAGGGGAGGAGGACAGGGAACGGCGAAGAAACAAGGAATTTTCCAAGCAGAACAATGGGATAGTTTGAGCGCTATGGGAAAACGTGGCTGATACTAGACCAGATCGAAAGTCCACCGGCCGCCCCAGTCACTCCGATCGATAGTCCATAAGGATTGAAGTTGGATTCTATCTAGTTTGGTGGGAGAGAAGCCCCTAGTGTCGCATGTGTCCATCATCCATGACTCTCAAACAACGGCCGTCATGTCTATTTCCGGAAGGTCGGCTCCCCAGCCCAGCCCAGTGGAGAGAGGGAGGGCCGGAGGAGCTAGGAAAGCCTGAAGAATCAACATCCATCCATCCATCACCATCCCCAGCGACGATCGATCAGCCACTTACTCATCGGTCGATCCTCCGCGCGTGAAAGACGAACTGATGGGTCCGGAAGAAAGGGGGGGATGGATAAAGGGCAGATCGGGGGGGGGGGATTGGCCGGGACCAAGATGATCGGACGCCATGGTTGCCGCAGGGGGAATATGGTCCTCGGGGTAGGTCACTCCTTCCATGTTCTAGAAGCCCATTGTGTTTGCTGCTGCTTGTTGATGCCCCCGGGCTCCAGTACTGTAGTTAGTTACCAGGGGGGGGGGGGGGGTAAACTTCCGGCCCTGGAGGCTGGAAGCAGCGGTTACATCCTGTGGTCGAAGGAAGTTGAGTTTGGAACTAGGGATGCAATAGAAGCTCCGGCTATTGGAGGCGCCATGCTCAACCAGGCAGTTGGTATCCGGGCAGGGGGGCGCCTCAAACTGGGGAAACTTCGGACATTTGGCAGCGTCAATCAATCCGTCGAGTGGCAGAGAGTTGCAGCCAGGCGGCACCAGCGCGTTGGGGGATCTCGTGGGCGATGAAGGGCGGGTGAGACATGCTGGAACCGGGTATGATGTCAATTGCGTTCCAGCGCAAAGTTTGTTTGAGTTTGGTGTGCCTTGGGGTAAAAAGTCCCGGGGATATGATTTGATGGGCTGCACATGGATGGCCATTCACGGCCCCATTGCATTGCTCCTCACATTCCAGCAGCAGGCGGTGATTGGTCTCGGTAGAGGGGGGGCTAGATGTGTGCCAAGAGGGGAGGAAGTAAGGCAGTGAATAGTGCTATCTTAGTCGTGTGTTAGTTAAGAGATATGCTGGGGCAGGTTAACAATTGCGGATCTGAAAGGCTGAAAGGCTGAAAGGCTGAACGGACGGGTTGACCGAGTCAGAGTCCATTGTCATTGTTGTGTCAAAATAATGCACGCCCCCAACCGGTGACAGGCAAGATGTGCCGATGATGCCGATGGGGCTTGTCTGGCGGATCCCAAGAACCAGGAACCACCGGAGGGTGACACCGCAGCATGTGGCATGACAAATACTACACCATGGCTTCCTTTCTCACTAGTGGCTTTAGTGAACCCCTGTCGTGGACTCCTTCGCGGTGAACTGCCGTGTCATCGTGTCAAGTAAGCACTCTGTACGCAGAAGTGGTCCTGTAGAATCATGGTCATAGTCGGTCGGTATGAGGGTCGTGGACTCGTGTCACACAGCCGAGCCGCGGCCGCAGTCAACCGACCCATCCTTGGGTGATCCATCCTGATCTATCCTGATCCATACTCTAATCGCCGGTCGCCCGATCCTCTTGCGACACTAGACAGGGGATGTGTTTCACCCTGAAGGCGCGATTTTTCTAGAATAACTGTTACCAGTCCTTCGGGATTTCCGACACGCGGCAGAGATCCCAAGACGGCGATAAAACTCATTGACCCGTGGGGTGGTGGTTCTGGTGGGAATGGCAGTGCCAGAGATGATCGAACGTAGTAGATAGCAGTAGTTAGTGGCCGGTCGGGGACTCGATTCTTCAGTGGCTTTCCCCTTTGGGCGGGATGATCCTTGTCCGACAGTCCGACTGGTCTGTCCTGCGAGATCCAGCCTGGATCTGCACCCTTGCTCCAGCCCTGCACGATCTGGGATCTGACTCCAAATTTTTCTAGGGAAAAAAAAAAGAAAAAAGAGAAAAAAAAAAGAAAAAAAGCAAAAGAGGCGCCAGCCCCTAGTCCCAGTCGGGCGTTCCGCTGCAGGCGCCCCTCCCGGTGGCAACCCAGTCTGGGCCTGTCAGTTGCAATGCAGCATGCACCACAGCGCAACTGCAGCTAATAGTCCATCCTGTTGGCTGCGTCATCGGTGGCTGAGACGCCGCAGCCACCTTTCCTTCGCGTTCCCAAAGGGGGAGGTGAGCCACCCCGCCCTACAAGTATGTGCAGCACTAGGCACGGAGGATAACTCTCCTGTACTCCGTGAATCCGTCTGACTGACAGCCAGGCAGACAAACAGGCAGACCGACAGACCGGGATAAGATTCTCTGAACATCCCCACCCTCCCTGGTCACCAGTGATTTGATATTAGTATTATTCTGTCTCTACAGACGAGCAACAAGGCAGAAAACAAAACCCTTCCTATTCGGGTAGGAGCTCTGCAGCCCCCAGCTGGAAGCCCCGGTGGGAAGGGAAATCCGATGGAGGCTGAACCCATTGACAAATCATCCACGACGGATCGCAACTCTGATCTGGCAAGCCACGAGGATCGCTCGTTTTAGTTTGCACGCGGAGGGCGACTGACGGGCTTGTTCGGTCTGGTTACCGGATAGCGTTGGTGGTCAATTATGGGTCTACCACCGCAAACTTCGACCGTCGCCTGGTTCGTACCGAACTCTCCTGTCAATTGGCGCGGGGCAGACTGCCATCTACAGCAAAAGGACAATGCTCTTTTGAGATACCACCCGGAGATTACTGTCACCGTCGAAACTCTGCTTGTCAGGATTCGATGGCTCCGGGATAGGGCTCATGGTTGGTCATCGGCCACATGCCGAACCTCCGATCTCCCCCCCCCCCCCCCCCCCCCCTTCGCTATTAAAGTTACCTTAGCCTTGTGCTAACCATTCCATCAGCATCAGGTTACGACTGCGCGCTCCGGATTGATTGGACCATGGCCCTCTCTGACACCAGAAACCATAACGTCTCCCAAGGCTGCAGCACTAATAGCCATGGCTCGTTCGAGCAAGCAGACCGTTGGGTCTTGGGAAGAGGCGCATGGCATACTCGCATCCTAGCATCTATCAACCACGAGTTTAGCGTACCCCGGTGTCGTCTGAAGCCCGTTGATGGCGCGAACCTTGGGGCCGGCCAAACCTTTGCTGCCGGGGAATCGAGACGCTAACGTTTAGCACTCTCGCAGATATACTTTCTCGGGCGACAGGACGAGACAGGAAAGCGGATCGACTCGGGACTCGCACGGCATGCTGGATCTGGCGGACTAGGCACGGTGTTCCCACGGAACCGTCGCCCATCATGATGACTACACAGTACCCTGTCACCATAACTAATGGTACCTAGTAGTATAGAAGCTGATACCTGCGGAGTCCTGGTGGCCGCAAAGTCAGACACTCCCGCCGCCTGGCTGGCCCGTGACTCTGTCATTTGTCATTGGACGTGACGGGGATTCTCCCGTTCCAGGGGCAAGAACCAATGAGCCGGGTCGCTTCGCTGGGCACTTTTTCCGATCGTCCCACCGGTGGAGTACGTCATAGAGGGAGGAACCTGGTGCCCACTGGCAATTGGCAAAGGCGCGTCCCGCATAAATTATGGGCTCGTGACTGGGCGGTGGGCACACCGAGTCAATCACCGGCACTAAGCAGAAGGGGGATTGCGCCCCGTCCACCTTGTCACTGCACACTCCATTTTTCAGCTCACTGCCATCTCAGCCAGGTATCTACTCCGTCGTAGCACAGTAGTAGCTCAGTCTAGTATCCGTGGGCGTGGCAGGATCCTCCTGACAGACCCACCACTGACCACAGTATGAGGATCTCTCTTTCTGGCGCTACGAACTTGGGTGTAGCCCTCGCACTTCCTAACTGCTAAACGATCAGGATCAGGTGGTGGCTTCTCCGTTGCCAGCACTATTGCCCCGTCAACCATGGATGCAGACCTGTCCCTGTCAGTCCTCACCGTCCGCATGTGGTTGTCATCCCTGAAACTGGGCCCTAAACTTTCCTCGGGACCCAGGTGGGATCAGCCTCTGATCCCAGGATCCCAGGATGACTCGCCCGAACTTTGGAACCGCGTGCTCCTCGTGGGCTGCCTCGTCGCCGAAAAGGGGCAGGTTTCAGGCCAACTTGCGACCAATTAATTCCCTCCATTGCAAGTCAACTGTCACTGCACATCATTTGCCGGCCGAGGGGCACCTGGGCACTTTTTTTTTTTTTTTTTTTTTTGCTTTTTTTTTCTCTCCAGTCTCCCCCGCCAGTCGCCTGCTGTTGGCCATCCGATCATCATAATTAAACCGAGTCATTGGATGGGAGGGGCTGACCACGACCCTGCGGGCTGATGGCCAACAATAGTGGCCCTTGCAAATGAATCTTTATTGTTACGGGGTAAGATAATCTGCAGAAGCCTTTCGCCGCTGGCCGCGGCACGTCAATTTCTTCCCAATACCCACCACCCTCCTCCTAGCCGACGACCTGAGATGTCATATGCACGGGCAATGGATCTTGCATAATATATGGGTGGACACCACCAATCACCCTTGGCCAGGAGGTGTCTGGACTCCGACCGGGGACAGCATTGGCTGACCTTGGCCGACTTTAGTCATGTTACCTGCTGTGATCACGCCGCCACGAAGGGGCGAGGGGGCCAATGGGGACGCCGTATGGCACTGTAACGAGCATGCGGCTCTCCCTCTCCGCTACACAGGACACAAGTCCCTCCGTACACTGTACTCCGACGGTAACTACTTTACTCTGTACACACTTACCAACCAGTATTAGTATGTAGTATCTACCCTTTGAGAACGACTGGACTGGTCGGTCGACGCGGTGGCGTCCAGAATCAAGGCTGGTGGCTCTATTCTCCGCCCTCTTTCGAGCAAGGTGGCCATGTCGCCGGTACCTTGATTGGGCTGCGCACTGTCTGACGTACAGTACACCCAAAGATGGATCCTGGCACACCACCGATTGCACCTCATCTGAGAAGCAAGTGGGGTCGGGCCCATGGAGAAGAACTCCTCGACGATCCGCCCTTTCCCTGTCCCGGAACCTGGAAATTCTTGTCACCCCAAGCAGATACATACTGTGTATCTAGCTATCTAGGTACTTACCGGCTTCAGAGTATCTACGGAGTACTCTGTATCAGTCTTCGCAATGTAGGACGGGCACTGGAGTTAGTTTGGTCGACTGTCACCAAGATCCCCCTCCTCCCTTCCCCGCTGTGCGAGGGTGTGAACTCGAAGAGGCGCGGACGTCTGTCACGGATGTTGGTCTGATCGATCTCGACGATCAACCCTTGCAACTGGATGAAATTGCCTTGCAGCGGGAAAAGCGCCATAGCCGTCGCGGTTTCCATCGCGCTGCAAGGCAGGCAAGCCGGTTTCTCTTTTTTTCTCTACCCGGTCGTCGTAAGTAAGTACCACTGACTGGCCAGGTACTTACTCCGTACTCTTTTTTATCTTTCTGTCCCACGCTGCACAAGGGCGTACTGATCCGGATAAGCTACTAACCTCTCTGACTTGTGATGCACTTGGAGGCCTCTCCTTGGTCGGCCAGTGGTGGCCCTCCGCGCCTTTTCTGACACCACCAGCGCGGTGGATCCAACCCGGCGATCTCCTCATATATTTTTGCTTTTTTGGCTCCCCTCTTTTTTTTTCATTTCTTTTCCCCCCCTTCCCATCATTATTTTCGTGCATTTACCCTTGTCTGGCTGACACCCATTGGCCCTGGAAACCGGTGCAGCTGAAAAATGAATCCGTCACCAATTTCGAATGCCCCGCCCCTCTCCTGCATCCCGGCTAAGATCTCTTTGGGCTAGACTTGCAGCTATGCCTGCTCCGGACCGTTCCTGGGCGAGAGGATTTGCTTCCTTGCTCCTCCTTAGCTCCCTCCCGTGCAGTGCGGGCTGCGTTGGTGCCTTGTCGTTGGTCGGTTCGTAAGGGTGCTAGCCGGGGATGTTGCCCGCCGCCTCTCGACCGCGTAGGGTATCTAGGGTGTAGTGTACACCTAGATACCTAGTACTAGTTACCACCACCCACCGACATCCATCCTACCCTGTGCGACGTAGGACTGGGGTTGCCGGTTAGTGGATAATAGCAGGGCTGCTATACCTGCCTAGCTACTCCGTACTGCCTAGTCCTCCCTTCCTGCCGGCCTGACGATATACCCGCAGGAAGCTTTTTCCGTAGTCGCTCGGCCATCTCACTGTCTCCCAGGCTTCCCAGCCCTTCGAGGCTTCCAGCACGGTGGACTCGGTCGGCCTTGTACTACACGCCCACTACAAAGTACTACTACCACCTCCCACCACCACCACCACCCCCACCCGATACGGCAGTTAATTAAGCAGAGACAGCAGTAATTAACTGAGACGGTAAATCCAGGGCCCGGTATTCTTCTGTTGCCACCGGACCGACAAAACTTCCCTCTGTGGCTGAAAAATGCTGCCGCCCATTCATTCATTCACCGACCGCAAGGAAGGAAGAAAACATTGTGGGTTATTCTTAGTAGGATAGTAGGATCAGGGGTTCCGAGAGAACATACTTACAGCGACTACTAGATACTTTAGATAGTAGGTACGGGGGAAGCACGACCGACCAGAACTAGCCCGGTCCCAGACGCGAGCCCGTGTTTCACGGGAATCCCTAAAAAAAGAAAGGAAGGGAAAGCGAGGGTGACAAACCGACTAAACCGATTAGCTCGTTTCTGGAAGTTTACTAGTTACGAACTTGTATGGGGGGGAGGGAGGGGAGGGGATCCCAGTTTCAGCTTCGTTTGGCCCTGGGGGGCGCTGGCCGCTACTACTTGCTAGCCTCGAGTCAAGTGGACTCCGGGCTAAGAGTAGATAGTCGACTGTCAACGATCTCCCTCTCTCCCCTCTTGCCCCTTTCCAGAATCAGGACGCCGTTCAATATCGGCCCCCAACGCCAACGCCAACGCCCCCCCCTCCTCTCCTCTCCCCGACATCAACAGATCCCCCAAGTTTCTTGAAACGGCCCTGAAGCATCGCCGGTCATTCATTGCCTGCCTCGGTAGGTACAGAGGTAGGGGGATTGGGATGAACCACCCAAAAAGCAAAAAAAAAAAAAAAAAAAAAAAAGGGCCAGAAATAAAAATAAATGAAATAAAGAAAGAAAAAAGAAGGTCAGACAAAAAAAGAGTTCGAGAGGAATGGAGATGGGAATGCACAGACTGGGGTTATTATTGCCCCTCCGATGGTGCACGATGAGCAGTCGTCGCCGTAGTAGTACGGAGTACTGAATACAGTAGTGGTAGTAGGTTGGTAGTGTCGTAGTAGCAGTGTTAACTATGTACAAGTTGGTCGCCTTTTTTACTCCTCACGACGGCATTTCGGAATTTAGCGCCGCGACGGGGCGTTCCCATCGCCATCCATCTTTCGATGTACATGCCATGCCATGCCGACTTACATACCGATCTGGTTCCTCTGGAAGTTAGGTAGGTATGAGGGGACCGGGACCGATGGATAGATCGGTACGGTACTTTCCTCGATCTCGACAGGCAGACCCTTAAGTACGTAGTCGTGCATACTGTCTCCGTCTACTAACCAACCCATTCCCGCCATACAGACGGAGAACACCTCGACAGGAGTTCCTGATGGAATGACTGGATGGCGGCAGGCAAGAGAGAGAGAGAGAGAGAGACACCAGGACTTGCCTCTTTCTTGCCTAGGGTGCTCAGTGAAGTGTTCCTCCGGAAGCGCCACCAGAGAAGATAATCAAACCTTTTTTTACTTTTTTTCCCTCTCTCTATCTTCCCTTCCTTACTGTCTTCTCCCTGCGCCCGAGTTGGGTAATCGCTACAGATCCCTTGGCTCCATCCCATCTGTCAGGACAACCTTAAGAGCGAGCGATGGATGTAGTACGATGTACGGAGTAGGAAGAAAGGGAACAGGCACTGACAAGAGCAAATTACAAACCGGTGGGTAAGCGAATCATGTTTTTTCCTTTGCTCTTTCTTTTTTTTGATTTTGTTTTATTTATTTTTTATTTTCTACCCCATCCACTTCACGGCCACCCAGGGAATCAAAGCCCCCCCCCCTCCTCCTCCTAGTCTCCTCCACCTCCTCCTACCTGGGTACAGTGCTACTAACTAACTAAACTCCTCCTCCTTCGCATCCATCCCCCTCTCCGCATGCATTTCTACTTTCTGCTGGTTAGTAACTACCGACGGAGCAAGTGACGGTCGTCTGTAGTTTGTGGCTACTGTATCCACTCCCTCCCACGATCGTCGGTTTTTCTTGGGTCCTTCCCCCCCATGTCTCTCTCTCCCCCCCCTGTTCTTGCCCTTTTCCATAGATGGCTTGGCCTGTATGGAACAGCTGACGGGGGCGGGCGGGCGTGTGTGCGTGCGTGTGCCTCGGTTCTGTCTGTTGTGTCTGTCGGTTCTGTCTGGGGTTGGGGTTCGTTCGGGTTCGAGGCCAGCGATTTGATGTCGTCTGATGCGTTGACAGGGGAGGATGGAGGGAGGGGGGGGGGGAAGGATGCTGACTTATGACGGACGGGTATTACGATTTAACATCAATTAATGATGGCTTGTTATTGCTCAGCTGGCTCATAATATGATTGTGTTTCTTATTGTCCTTCCCCATCGAAATGTCCAGGCTGTCTTGCAGGATCTCGGAGGTGGACGTGCATGATTCATTATGGCTATTGTCTCCTCCCAGGAAAGGGAAAGGAAGGGTCAGTGAGTGGAGGAGGGGTGTAGGAAGGGGAATTTAAAAAAAAAAAAAATTAAGGAACGAGAAAGTAGAATAATAATAATATTATTGTTATTATTAAATCTAAACCAAAATCCACGCGAGAAAACAAAAATGACAAGAATTAAAAGAAAAGTCAGTCAGAGGGAGAGGAAGAGGAACAGAGAAATGGCGGGAGTCCCGAAAGAATAAAAATAAAATAAAATAAAAAATAAAACTAAAAAGCGGATAATAAAAATAAAATAATGAAATAAAATAATAAAATAGCAAAAAAAAGGACTGAACCCCGACAACCTTGAAAGAGAGATCTGGTCCACCCAGCCCAGATCCAATTGTTGAGCTGCCTCACTCCTTACCTTGCATAACCTTGGTTCAGCTGTCTCCATCGTCATCGTGTGCGGCAATGTCAAGGTACTTTTAAACTCAGGCCCTGGTAAGTATATTACTGTTAGACGTCGCCCATGTCTGCTGTTCCTCACCACCACCACCACTACGACTCGGACTCAGTATCTACATGCTGAGTGTCCTCCTCCGCCCTCCGCTCGCCCATTCACCACCACCACCACCACCAACACCGCCGCCACCTCTTCCTTCACCACCAACAACCCGCAATCTTTCTCCGCCGTCCCTCGGTGCCTTGTCCACCACCAACCCTTGATATCCACTTCCATCCCTCCTCCCCGCCGTTTAATTATCCCACCATCCTCCCCCCTCCCCTCCTCAATTTTCCCTCCTTCCTTCCCATCAACCGGGACCTGATCTTGACGTGCGGGATTTCATTCCCTCCATCCTCTCTATTTCGTGAGAAAGCCGCAGGCCGGCTGTGCTACTGTGCAATCATCCCCATCCCTCGCTCTGCCCTGGTTTTGCAGTAACGGGTAGCCACCTTCCTCGCAACCACCGATCTTTCTCCTTGTTGTCTATGTCCCAGTACCGCGAACTGGGTGAGGGATCTGGAAAAATGGCCATTTCATACGCAAGTGGGATTCCAGCCGAACACACACAGGCTCTGCCGTCCTTTCGAGAGGTGAGCAAGGACCCCCCCCCCTCTGCAGACTGATTAGGAGTTTTGCGGCGAGAATTCGGAAACTGATTCCATTCCCTACAGTTGCTCCCAGCTCACCTCCATGACGAAATCGAGTCGACTTCATACTTCACCTCACGCCAACATGCCCGCGAGCGTCCGGCGTCAGCCGTCCACGAACTGACGTCCAACCCCCGCCCATTGTCGGACCGTTTCCCCTACGGATCGCCTTCCAAAATGCCATTGGACTACGGTATCCGGACCCCCGAACCGCTCTCCAGAGACCACGGACCCGTCCCCAGCCTGATGCCAGGCAACCCGTCGGAACCGTCAACGCCCCGGTTTGCGTCCCGCGGGCCCAGTCCGATCTTGCCATCAATCCGCGACCTTCAATCTTTCCCTGACCGAGGAATTAATACTGCGGCGGCTCCGTTCCCGGATTCGAGGGGCCTCGCGCGACCAGAGTTTGCGGCGCAGGAGTTCAGGGCTGGACCCATCGGTTCTTCGCACGGGTTTCCCGCGGCCAACATGGGAGGCGCAATCGGTGATCGGAGGAGCATGGATGCGTACATGGGAAGTGCGCCCTCGGTGATGCCCAATCAGACGGCGTATCCTTATCCCGCGATGGCCTATCAAAGCGATTCCGAACAAGCCTCGCCGCAGTCTCTCTCGCACGCCCAGCAATCCAACTTCGGCATTCTCGGCGACTCAATCGACCCCAAGAACAAGCGCAGACGCGGCAACCTGCCCAAGCCGGTGACCGACATCCTGCGTGCCTGGTTTCATGAGCATCTCGACCACCCGTATCCCAGCGAGGAGGACAAGCAGATGTTCATGACTCGCACCGGGCTCACGATCAGCCAGGTTAGTGTACCCCTGTCCATCCGCGGAATCCTGCATCGGCTAACCAAATCCTCCGGGAAAACAGATCAGCAATTGGTTCATCAACGCAAGAAGACGTCAACTCCCCGCTCTGCGAAACCAGATGCGAAACGGCGGCAGCGAGATCGACTCCCAACGGCAGTCGCCCTTCAGTGATATGGAACAGACATCTCCCGAATCCATGCCGTCTCCTAACCAGGTTTCCAAGTCATAGTGACTGAAGCCAGATCCGACGCGACGCCGGTACCGCGAAACTACAACAACCGCCAATCATGAATTATGGGGCCCTGGGATACGGAGAACCGAATAGAAACGAGACTTCACACCCATTTTATAATCTTTTTTCTCTCCTTTATGGATCATCAAGGAATTTTACGAGCCGAGCCGAGTGAAATTGACCACCACTCTTGATACCCTTTTACCGTTTTCTAATCGACATTAATCATTTGCATGGCTTCGACATGGAAGGGGGTATTGGCTTGGGTTCGGTGGGCGCGGGGGGGGTGGCATTTTCTTTATTTTGCATCTTTCAGGAATGTCCAGTCCGACAGCGCGACCCTGCCTCCATGATTACGACTGCCAATTGCGCTATTGCATCCAAGGTGTTTATGGACGGTTTTCTTTTTTTTTATGTTCTTCCTTTTTGACATTACATTACATCCGGCTATGCTACACTTTTTTTTTTCTTATGTTATTAGATCAGTTCTGTTCGCTCATTTGTCTTTTTCTTTTTCTTTTTTATTACTCTTGATGCGACTTGCACTTTCAACGGGGTTGGTTGGGTAGGAATTGGTTCCGATCAGGGATGAGGATATCAAGCATATACATGACTTTGTACAGTACAAGTATGGATGATGTGACCATGTCAAGTTAGACTGTCTTTCCGATGATTGCATTTCTTTTCCTTTTACGCTTTACTACTCACTACTTACCTTACTACTGCATCGGGGAGGCCACCTTGCCTTTTGTTTACTTAGACAGACAGACAAAAATTGAGACCGTTGGTTTAATATACCGATCCCCGTGTTGGATCATGAATCCGATAATTCCCTTTTGGTTTTCGCCTCCTCCCCTTTCCAAATTTTATCTCCTCCATCCGGACTTCAGTTTCCCCCCCCGATCCCTGTGATACTTAATCAACGGGACCATGGTTGGGCCACATGAGGTTCCGGAATCTCCCATCCGGCGGGTACCGTGCATATTCTGGCATTCGCAGAACCAAACCCGCGCTGTGGCTGGTTGACGCCGCTTCTGGTTCTGCTTTTGCTTCCCCTTCCTTCACTTTCTTTCCCGTTCTTTTCTTTTCTTTTTTTTTTTTTTAAAGAATATCTGACACTTCAGTCCCACTCCAGCCGATTGCGAGATAAACCCATTACTTCACTCTTCCATGATGATCAACCTCGAGGCGAGAGAGGACAGTACTCGCTAGGAGGAATCGAATAATCAACCAAGCGGTCGCCCCCCCCCCCCAACTCCCGCCATGGAACGGACCTCGCATTTTTCTGACCCGAAGGATCCATGGGTCGATGCGGTGCGATGCGGTGCGAGATACGATGAACTGCCAAATGGAGGGAAAGGATCGGCCCACCCTGGATTACTGGTGACTTGGGTACTTGCCTAGGAGGTTATTTGCTAGGTACTTACTTACTTTAATTCGGGAGGCTACTGATTATTGTGTTTACCTTGCGATGAATAAATGGTTCGGAAAGGGGGGGGGGGGAAGAAAAGAAAAGAAAACAAAACAAAACAAAACAAAACAAATGGATGTCACACGTTAACTATGTCATGGGGGAAGACTTTTTACCTAGTACAGGTATTTTAGGTACTTTACTTTTACTTCTTTGACATTTTCGGGATCCGACCAGTCGGGTCGAGTAGATCGACCGGTGTCGATGTATTATTATATCGATTATATCGATTATCTACTTGCCTCGTGGGAGTCAGACTACTTACACTACTTACTTACTTACTTACTTACAATCTACCACATACATCAGACTACTACCTAGGTAGATCGATCGGACTGACTGACTGAGTTCCAGTAGTGGGATGCAAGAGCCCTTTTTGCCATTCGGCCAAGTCTTTCTTCCCCCTCCGGTAAGGCTGTCCATCAAATCAGTCACCCGAGGAGGTCAGCCTGGATGGATGTCTGTGCGGGCGTAAATGTCGCCCATTTGTGCCGAGTTGTACCGAAAGGGGAGGGGGGGGGGGGCAGTCACTCACTCAGTCAGGGGCCACAGCATCTGCATGAAGCATGAAGAAGATATTATTTTATTTTCTCCCCGCCCCTCTTTTCTAACGGTCGCCCAGTGCGGGAGTCATGCAGGCCAGGAAAACAATCAGGCTCGACCCCAGCTGCACGAAGCACGGGGGGGGGACGAGGCGAGGGGCGGAAACAGCAGTTGCAGCAGTTGCAGCGGTTTGGGAACCGGGATCTATCCGATCTATCACATGGCGGTGAATCTGGGCTTCTCCGGATGTCACCTTCGATGCGAGGGGGGGAATGTGAACTGCATGGGATGGAGGGAGACACAAAAGAATAAAAATAATTAAAACACACAGACACAGACACAGATCCTCTGACAGGAACGCCCGTCGACGGACTCAGGGCTTGTGCAGACAAGACAGCTCAACGGTCGAACAATGCAGGCGCGCCCATCTTGAAGGAAATACGATGTGGTATTGCATGACACCTGTCCTAGTCAGAATCCTCCTCCTCCTCCTCATCATCATCATCATCGCCTAAAGTCCTCCGGGCAGTCCCATGCGACCGCCCCATCTGCACATCTGCCACCTCCCCCCCTCCTCCTCCTCCCCCGTCACGATGGAATTCCCCATTCAGCCCAGTCCAAAACCTGGAAACCATCTCATCTGCACCCCACTGTGGTGCGGCAGATCTCCCTTCCCTGGGGTGAGACGAGGATCGACAAGTCCAGGTCAATAATTAGTGCATTCTGCATTCTGCATTCTGCCCTACCTACTTACCTACTCACTCACTCACTCACTCACTCCCACTGATCGATTAAATTCACCGAGTATCGCCGCCCCAGGGCGCCGTCTGCCTTTCCAGCCTCCCCAGTCACCCCACCCCATCCCTGGCGGATACTACATCCTGCCTGTAAGGTGGTCGAGTTCCAGTTGGCAAGGAACAGTCCGCGCGATCTTATACTGCTTCCGGGGTCTGTCTCTCCATCCATCGCATCGCCACACCCTGTCCGTCATCGCCCAAGGGGGCATTTCCGGAGGCCGTCATCTGGACTACCCGGGTACATGGGATCATGTACGAAATATCAGTGGCCACTGACTGGACAGCCCGAGGGCAGGGAGGGGGGAGCTAATGCAAGCCCGTCCTTGATTTCGTTCCCAATCAACCCGAGGTCATAGCTCCCTCCCTCCATCCCTCCCTCCATCCATCTTATTTACCTTGCACCTTACACACCCCGGACCCCTGCCCGATCCAGTCAGAGGTTAGAGAGAGGGAGAGAGACAAGACAAGCCATGCACGCGCTCAGTTCCCTTCCCCCTCTTCTCTCTCCATAGTATCATCTAGTGACTGACGAATGACTTCCCAGCTCCGGAGTACAGCTAAGCATTAGCATTTAGGCACCGGGGTTGCATTGACAGGCAGGCAGGCAGGCAGGCAGGCAGGCCCATCCAATTTCGGTTTCAGGAAAACGACGGCGAGCGGAAGTAATTGCCGATGAATAACAACCAATCCCCTAGCCCTACCCCTGTCCTCTTTTCTTCTTCTTCTTCTTCCTCCTCCTCCTCCTCTTCCTCCACCTCCAGCTGGCACGCCAATGCAAGTGTTTCCCTCCCTCCCTCCCCCCACCTTCCCCTCTTTCCAGGGAAATCCTCACTAAGTACTTACGTACGGAGCACTACTGTATGTCAGTCCGTCAGTCGCGGTCGCCGCCGGGCTTATTTCTACCCAAAAGTTAAAAGAAAAAAAAATCTACGCGGGAAGGGGACTCGGGATTTGAAATCTAACCTACTCTCCATTTGTTTGATATCCGGTTGGTCGGGGACGGGTTCCGGGTGGCTGTCGTGTGTCCAGCCGGTGTCTGTCTCTGGCTGTCTGTGTTGGATTTACATATGTATGTTTATGTATATTCGGTGATGGATATGTATGTAGGTAGGTAGGTAGGTAGGTATATTTGTATGTGTATGTATCTCTATGTATGTATGTGTGTGGATGTGCGAACTACATACCTACATACCTACCTACCTACCTACCTACCTACCTACCTACCTACCTACCTACATACATACATACATACATACATACATACATACATACATACTACGTATGACAACAGATCTATTGTGTTGTGTTGTGTGGTGTGGTGTGGTGTGGTGTTGTGTTTGCGCCTTACCTTCCTTCCTCCCTTCTCTTCCTCCAGTTCCTCCTGTTGTGTTCCGTCCTGTCTCACCCTAACCCTACTCTCTATCTACCTACCCGACCTACCTAGTAGGTATTGTATACCCACCTTACCACCCCGTCTTATCTCTTCCTCCTCCTCCTCCTCCGCGACCCTGGAATGCATCCAAACCATGGTCCTGGTCCTGGTCCTGGTTCTGGTTATGGTTATGGTCATGATCATGGTTCATCATCCGTCCAGTCCAGCGATCTGTGCGCCTGCATTCGTTCGTCCATGTACAGTAGTCAGTAGTCAGAAGTCAGTGCCTTGGTCGTCTATATTCTCTGGCTCAGTTCTGTCCTTCCTTGAACCCGATTCGCTTCAATCGCTTCGGGAATCGCGGAATACATCTACCTACTTACCTACTTGCCTGCCTGTCTGTCTGCCTGCCTGCCTGCCTACCTACCTACCTACATGTCTGTCTGTCTGTCTGTCTGTCTGTCTGTCTGTCTGTCTATGCCTTTGGATTTGGCTTGGCTGGGCTTGGCTTGGCTTGGTTTGGATTATGCGTAGTATGCTTATAGTGTTGTTTTTGTAAGCGCTGTCGCCGCCGTTGCCGTTCCGTTGCCGTTGCTGTGTAGTGCAGTGTATATTTACTTCTTTACTTCTTTACTTCTTTACTTCTTTACTTCTTTACTTCTTTACTTCTTTACTTCTTTACTTCTTTACTTCTTTACTTCTTTACTTCTTTACTTCTTTACTTCTTTACTTCTTTACTTGCTTGCTTGCCTGCTTGCTTATTGACTTGTGCTGCGGAGATTAGTTTCTTGCTTGCTTGCGTGAGTGGGGGCTGGGGGCTGGGGGCTGGGGTTAACAGTTGGGGGGTGTTTGTGGTGGTTGCTAGTGTGCGCAGGCAGGCAGGCAGGTAGGTAGGTAGGCTAGTAGTTTATTTGCTTGGTTGGCTGGGATGGATGGATGGATGGTTGGATGGATGGATGGTTGGATAGATAGATGTATATATCATATATCACATATCACATACCATATATCATATATCAGAGGGATTGGTTCTCTGGATGTAGCTTTTCAATTTTGGTTCCGGTTCTGGTTTTAGCACTGGGTCTGGCTTTAGCACTGGGTCTTGGGCACACAATGTTTTTACTATATTGTCTGGCTGATGTTGTAGGTAAACTTGATTCGAGTTTTGATCTTGGTTTGGTTTGCGGTTGGGTTGGGTTGGGTTGCTTTGCTTTGCTTTGCTTTGCTTCTGCTATACGATACTATATGTGCATATGTAGAATGGAGAGATAGGTGTGGTTCCTTTTTTTTGTCCGCCTCTCTCTATCTCTATTATGGGGTCTGAAAGAGGGTAGGGGTGTGTGTGTGTTGAGTATTTGGTGATGTTGTGATTTAGCAGGAATGTTGTTAAAAATCTCATTAAATGGCTTCTTCTAGGTAGTGATGCTGATGCTGCTGCTGCTGCTGCTGATACTGATGACGATGATGTATAGATTTGGGCAGATACCCTACCTATCGCATCTTACAGCTCGGTATACCCTGTCAAGCAAGGTTTTTTTTGTTTTTTTATCTTTTTATCTTGTTTTTAATTGTTGAATATGCGTAAGCTTGTTTGATACTTGGTCTGGCTTGTAAGTGCTGGAGTAGGGTATATAGGAAGGCGGGATATTCTGTGTTATGATCTGGTTTGGGGGTTTGAGTTGGGCTCTTGCATAGTAGGATAACAGGGACAAGGATGATACCAGTTGTATATTATATTATTATTATTATTATTGTGGTGAGATACTAGGTCCCTCTTGCGTTGCTCTTGATGGGCCTCCCTGCAAAGACGTGCATAGACCTTGTCAATGATATGGAAATATCGGGCTAGTGGTTTGCTTTGTGGGTTGCGGAATTCGGTGCTCGCGGGTAGTGTATTAATAGGCAATGTCTATCTAGAAATGGAGAAAATGGCATCTTGTAGATTGTGTCGGGGAATAATAGATGCTGTCTGGATGTAATTGATGGTGTTGTAAGTGAGGTAAGGAAGAGTCTTTGATCAATGGACTAGTATTTAGCTCGCAATATATATGTGCGGAAAGTAGAAAGTGGAAAGCGATAGTCATGTAATACACTTACTACCTTGGACAGATGTATAGACATAGATTCATACCAAACCATATACATCCCTGACAGTTGTGACTGTAGTAAGAATGATTCATGTTTGTGGTCGGGAAGATCGTGTACATGTCACATCCAGACATGACACCTTCGTTCCGAGCTTATATCCTCCCGAGCTGTGCCAATGACATGCCCGGAACATGATCCTGGCCGATACCGCGGAAGGTACCTCCTTCACTAGTCATATCGGACTATACCTCTACCGTCCAGGATCATCAGACCCCTAGTTGCCATGCAAGTGCGGCAATAGTGACAGGGACATGACGCGCATGACAGTCCTAGATTGGCTGCTGCCACCTCCGTCACAGCAAATCTTGCTCCAGCGCCACCAAACATGCATTTCGATCACGATCAGCTGTGGGTAACCAGAGCTAGCGCTCAAGCCGAGGACACTATAAGGACCCTGTCTCGACAGTGCTTGTTTCAACACCGCATTGGAAAACACTGACAGGTGATAGGTTCGGTCTTCTGCCATGCCAGCAATGTGAGTGGCCGGAGATACATGCAAGGCCCTGTTCGGTGCCAATCTCGCGAGCCAGCTGGATACTAATACCCGATAGGATGCACCGGGGATCTCGACGAAACCCGTTCTCGACGCGAGGCGAATCACAGGCCCTGCATGTCTCCCATGACATGAGGCCAGACAGAGGCCGACCAATCGCGAAGGACGGCCATCTAGCGAAGGCCACTTCATCCTCGACAGTAGGACGGCTAGGATCTAGACTAGACACCCGGACTGGGCCAATGATTCCTGGCTCGCGGAGATCGATTCTGCAAGCAGCCCGCGCTCCCGTCTGCCGGGCCACCTGGGATCGGTAGTCCGACGTTGTTGCGAAATGCAACGTTGAAGCGCATCCTGCCATTGTGGACCTTCTGGAACTGGCTAGAAGCCCACATCATCACCGTCGGCTTGCTCCCGGTTCGCTGCCATATGGTGTGTGCACGGTTATACCTCCCCGGGCCCACCAGACATCAAGATTCCCCTGCAGGCAGACCAGACAGCCACAGAAGCTTGGCTACCAAGTCAAACTGAGCTTCCAGTTGTGATTTGCCCAGCGCAGACGAGCGAGCCTGTCGGGAGAGTCGGTATGTAGGCCCATGGGCATTTGCCGACTAGTACCCGCTTTTGCAAGGTCCCCGTGGACCCGACAGTGGTGAATGTGTTCGAAGCGAGATGAGGGTGCGAGATGCGCTCCACGGGCGTGGTGCTGTATGCTCGATGTGACTGGATCTGGTCGATAGATGTCAGATTGGCCTGCCTATGTAACCCAAAACTCGGACGGAGTTGAGCAGGTTCTCCGTTCTCCGTGTGCCAATGCCGTGGCTTGCCGACGCTTTCCGCACGTGGAGCTGAAGAGTGGTTAGATGCTGTTGCTGAGGGCTTAATTTCCAGACAGGTTATGGAGCATTCCTGGGCAGGCGTTGGGGCGGGTGGCATTGACATATAAGGTGGACACAACCTCCTGGTTCTGGAGGTCTGGGGAGGGGCGCGAGGACAGAGGGTCGAGCAGATCTGGGAATGAGATTTGGAGATTTGAGGGGAAGACGGAAGACGATCCCCGATCCCATCGATCAACAGGCAAAACAGACAAACCAACCGACGTGACTTTGACCGTGTGCCTGTGTGCCTGTGTGCCTGCGTGCCTGCGTGCCTGCGTGCCTTCGTGCCTTCGTGCGTACGAGTCTACTCCGTAGATCAGGTGCCTTTCTACGCCGCCCGTCGCTTCCTTTTCCTCATCCAACCTTCTCTGCCCCCCTCCCCTCGGCTATCTCGCTACCTACGCGTGTCCTCTGTCTACGACCTCACCCCCATTCAGAGCTTCCCTCCCCTCCCCGTCCTCTGGTCCGTGACCCCCTGAACGCTTGCCGACCTAATGTCCGCCGCTGACGACGTCTCATCTACACCCAGCTGAAAGCCGGTTTTACCCTTTGCCGTCAATAACCTTGGAGCCTTGAAGGATGACTCGGGGAACTTAGCCAGAGGTAGCCAGAGGCAGCCCATAGGTTGGCCAAAGGTTAGCTTCTGAGGTAAGCCTGGCAATACTCGGTGTTGCCACTCTGGTCGCCGGAGACTCGATGCGAGACGGCACACAATTCATTATTACTCTCTGATTAAACCCGAGTTTAATTTAGCTGCAGGTACCGTACCAGCCAGTGTCGTGATAAGCACGGGATCCAAGGCTGTCGCGACTCGGGAACTCGGAGTTTTCCGACTGGAGGAATGTCTTTCTTTTGACCATCGCCCAGGTGCGGAGTAAATGCCTCATATCGCAAGGCGTTGGTGTCGACTTTGCCCAGGTTTAACGTTAAAACATTGACACATCACTTGGTGATAGCATGTGAGACATGTGCTCTCCGACCCCCGATGCAACCATTCTATCAGCCCGGTGGGGACTGGCTAGCCTCGTTAACAGCCGATGGTTATACCCTTGAAACCCTCTGACTGGACCATCGCAAAAGAGGAGGAGGAGAAAAAAAAAAAAAGCAATGGCACCATCCCACCGCCAGACCGTCACTGTTGGCTGCCATTTTTCCGTCCTTTTTTTTTTTTTTTAAACTTTCCACCCGTCCCACGCATCCTTTCGACGGCCCGTGGAAGAGGAATCCTGAAGCAGAACAGGAATAATAATGGCGCTGGCAGTGGCTGGCCAGGTTGCACCTTTTTACTTTCACCCGGCGCTGCGAGCCGATGCGCCCCATTCCCAAAGAGGCCTAAGGGCCGCGAAGCCGAGGTTCAGGTCGCCACTAGGAATTGCTTAACAGCCTGGCGGAGTAATATTAACTCGCCGACCCTCACTCGTCAAGCAAGTCCCACCAGTCCCCAGTCCCCAGGGCCCAGCAGCAACCCGGGAGTCTGAACACGCAGATAGGGATACGGCTGAGCGTTGACATTCTCCAAGTCCAAGCCTCCATCCCCTCCACAATCTCTCCATAGACTGGGCTTGGCTCTGGGTTGCTTGGGGCTGATTTGCCGGACTGCCATATACTCTGGGGTGTCAGCGCCTAAGCAACCCATCCACCCTACCTAAGCCTTCGGACTAATTTACAGACACCCTGGGCTCCACAGCGTTTGGGCTCCACTATTGGTGACTTTAACGCGGGTGCCTGTCGATTATGGGTCCAACAGCCACTGCTGGACGCCCTCTCTTCCTTGGTCCATGATTGTGAACTTATGATAAGGAATGATGTGATAAGAAGGAAGAACAGTATGATCGAGCGGCGAGCCTTTTACGGACAGACAGGGATGGGTGGGCCAGGATGGAGCTCCGCCAGGATCCTGATGCCGATGGCTCGAATCAGAGCGGAGGATCCCCCACGGGCTGCGCTGCCGTGGGAGTTGGAACTGACCTGGGCTGACTGGCACCACAAACGATGGACCTGCATACTTAGAATATGCTTTGCTGGCTTGGGCCCTAGACATGGATAGGATAGTACTAACGGGCAACCTTGCCAGGAATCCAACACGACTTCCGCTGGTAACCGCATGGGCAAGAATTCGAGGTCGCATTGCAGCCTGTGCCATCTGGGAGTAGAGAAAAAATTTTTCATCGGGGGAATCGATTCGAGCCTACTTAAAAAAAGACAATGTCTATATTGAAATGCAGTCCGAGCGAGTTGGAGATGTTTCTTGTGATCGACAGGATCGGCTTGATTCCCTTCTGACTGGCACTATGGCTTTTCTCGCCCCCTACAACAGGCGCCCCGGATACGATTAACGTGTGTACGATGAATGAGCTTATGTCTGACGATCGTCTGTGCTACGGATAAGGAGAGAGGGGGGGGATATCCCAAAAAAAAAATCAAGAAGGAAGAAAACAAAAACAGAAAAAAAAAAAGGAATGGTGCCAGTATGATCCCAAGGCTCGACAACCAAAAGATACTCACCTGCTTATCCTGGCCTTCCGTCCGATCCATATCTTCATGATAAGGCAGAGCACCGAACAAATCAACGGATTTCAACGGCTGAAGCTCCTCACTAATTTCGCACCGGCGCCTTTTCCCAACCCAACCCCCTCCTTGGAAGAAGCGGGATTTAGTTTCGATCCGGTTTACATCGGCGACTCGGAGAATACCATAGCGCATGCCAATCAGACCCCTCTCGCGTTGCTGGACAGTATCGCGACCCATCGTTTCTATCTTTCTAGAAGACCTGCAGGGACATAGATTGGCTGGGTGCAGTGCTTCCGTCACTTAGCGTCTACCCCAGGTCAAGAACGGACTGGGCGGACCCATAACCAATCTAACAAAGCCAATTTCGTCAATTCCTGCAAGCGAGCATAATCTCATTTCCAGGGTTGGTCGCCAACTGTTAAAAGGGCTATCCGTCTCTCCACCTGCCCGCCCTCGATGGCCTGCGCGTAATAATTAACTCCTTTCCCACGATTCCCCTTGCACCGCTACCCATTTGCTTGCCATCAATTGGCAGTTGAAGAACATGACTAGAACCACTGTTGACGAGATCAAATACGAGGCCCCCTCGTGGGAGCACAAAAGCCTCGACGTTGCCGACGACGGCCGGAGACTAGCTCCCCATTCCGATGCTGCTCGTCCCAAGGGGCGCATCCGACGATCGATGACGGCCTGCCATACCTGTCGGAAGCTTAAAACCCGCTGTGATCTAGATCCGCGCGGTCATGCCTGCCGTCGCTGTCTATCATTGAGGTCAGAGAGCGATTTGTACCTACCCGTTGGCCGAAGGCTCGGTTCTTCTGACTGTCCGTAATCTCTCTAGAATCGACTGCAAGTTGCCCGAAACCACCGACCGCTTCCAAGACAACGCGTCCATGTGGTCCGACGCGACCTCCGCGATCCCCTCCATCGAGGAGCGTCTGAACTCCCTCGAAAGATGTATGAGGGAGATGACGGGCATGATGCGACAGATGATGAGCCAGTCGCCCGCCCTGTCCAATGGCCCCGTCCCGCACATGACGAGAAGCATCCCCACGGACGACGCTGCCTCGGTGGAGGGGAGCCCGTCCTCTCCCTTCCTGCCCAAGCCCGTCCGGCTGATCCAGGACCTCCAATCCGACTTCTTTGGCGAGACCGATTCCGCCCCGATTGACTCCCCTCTGTCTGGGGACAGTGTGGCCAAAGGGGCCATAGACTCGAAATTGTCGCTCAAGCTGCTGCAATTGTATGTTCTCCCGCCCGGGTTTATCGAGTCCGGACCACTGCTAATCCCTGGCCCCAAAGATTCGTCGACCACTTCGGCGCCTGCGTTTCCATATATAACCTCTCCGATATCCACAGCGAGATGAAAGGGCCCGACTCTCTGCTATACAACACCGCCTGCCTACTGGCCTCCCGATACGTACCGGGGATACCCTCCTCCGTCATGCACGCCATATATCTGCAAGTACGACATGCGGTGGTTAACATGCTGTGGGACAAGCCCCCGCTCAAGTACGAGTCGCTACAGGCACTTGCACTACTGTGCCTGTGGCCCGCGACCGTTCAGAAAGAACCCCCGATGGATAGCTGGCTATTGAGCGGGGTTTCGATCAACCATGCGATCATCTCCGTCGACTTCCTAAATTACGCGCCCTCCGAGCTCATGGTGGATAACGAGACGGCCGCACAGCTGCGGCTGTGGAATACGTATTGCTTGACGCAATTACAGTGAGTTCCATTGACGCCTCCCATCTCAGCCCTGGCTGACGAGACACAGCTTTGCCGTCGGAAACGCCCGCCCCTTTCACATCCAGCAGCGCTACCTTGACCACTGCCCGCGGATACTCGAGCACCCCGCGGCTACGTTGGAAGACGCGAAGGTCGTGGCAGAAATCCAGCTGTACCTGATCACACTACGGTTGCAGAGCAACGCGAGTCGGATGCGGCTGGCCGAGGTCGAGTACGAGGAGATTGGACGCTGGAAGGCGGAGTGGGCTCACCTGTTTAGTAAGGGCTCTCGACTCCTCTCACCCGAATGTACCACTAACGAAAAGCAGCTGGCGAAAACTCCACCCTGGAGCTGAGCCTTTGGTTCTGCCAAATCCTGCTCCACCGCACGGCGATGCGATTCCAGCCCCGGTCCGACCGGCTGGCGTCCGAGGTCCTCCAGACCTCCCGCCTGATCGTGTCCCGATTCCTCCAGATCCGGTACTCCACGGCGCTCAGCCTGGTGGACCAGGTCTACTTCATCGTCGGCTACGCTACCCTGAACCTGTGCGACTTCAACCTGATGGACCCGCTGATCGAGCAGGTGCAGATGTTCCTGCTGCACCTGTCGCCGAACGAGGACCACATCGCGTACCGGTTCTCCTGCATGATCGTGGAGTTCAAGCGGCGGTGCGCGGAGTGCAACGACCCGTCGGCCGTCAAGGGGTCCCCGTTGTCCTCCTCGTTCGGTGACAGTCGGAAAATGAGCATGGGGCAGGCCCCCCCGTTCATGGCGCCGCTGATGGATGGTATGATCGAGGGGTACGGCTTCGACCAACTGATGCCGGAGGTGATGCCAAACTCGTTCCCTGATGGGGTGCTCAACGGCATGACCGTCGCCGGACTATCAGCGTATCGGTCAGCGACGCTATGAGAACAGAACCTGGCAGGGTCGCAGGGGCAGGGGCAGCGTGATGGTGGTGGGGGGGGGAAGGGGGGGATGGCGGAATGGAATTTAGGAAAAGGGCAATCGGAATCGGGCATCGGACGTAAAGTGACCAGCGATGCGATGCGATGGTTCGGTCATCCGCTGGCCCTAGCATGATGACGTGCAACGAAATATATTTAGGCCTAATATGAACTATGACCCACCAATGCAGGCGTCTAACCACCTACCTACAAGTAGATAGTCACTAGTAAGCGTAACCAGTGAAGACCCTGGTTTATCTATCCACGAGTACTTACGAGACATCCATCCCATCCCACTCTCTTGCTTAAATGGTAAGATAGATAGACAGATAGATACATGGTTGATAATACATCCGAGAAGCTCTAGCTTGTTAGTTTTCCGTGGTACTCCATATCTTAGTAAGTATCTAACTCCATAGTACGGAGCAGTGCCGAGACCGAAAAGACCTACCAAGCCCAGTGACAGACAGACAGACAAACAGTGAGTGACACCCCCTGCCCCCTGCCCTTTTCAGTTTTCACATGCCGAAGGGACCCCCCGGCGCTAAGTCGAACTAGCACCACCGCTAGCAAACGTTACGGAAGTGTAACGGACCGTAACGAAATCATCTCCCCAGCAGACAGACACGCCTGCCAGCCAAACCAGGCATTCAACCCAGTCCAGTCCAGTCCAGTCTGCCTGACGCTCGGACCGTTCCGCGGTTTCCGCCAAGATGGGCGGTCGGTCGGTCGGTCGGTGGTGTTGGTGCTGGTGCTGGTGCTGGTGCTGGTGCTGGTGCTGGCACGGCGAATGCAGTAGGTCCAGCCTGTAACTAAGTATCTAGATAGTACTTACTATAGTAGTGCTGCTGTTCTGGCCCGCTGTTGTTACTATGGATGTGGATTTGTGGATTTGTGGATGAACATGATGAACATGTTCGGTCAGCGTCAGTGTCAGTGCCAGTCAGTGTCAGTCACCGGATCCACGACCGAGGACCGAACAACCGAGCGAGACCCGTGAGGCGTGAGGTGGTGGTGGAGGACCGTGGGTGGCTTGCTTAGTATCTATCTAGTATCTATAACTAACTTAACTAATTAACTATCTATAGTACGGTGTATGTACCGTACTGTGTATCTATTTTGTATCTATGTATTATATGTAGTTGTATTTGGTGTGGGTGTGGGTGTGGGTGTGGGTATGGTGTGGTGCGGGTGGAACTAACTACTACCTTCCCCTCCTCCCCCTCTTTCGTTCGTGGGAAATGAGCGACAGATTGAGACTGGACTGGACTGGACTGGACTGAGCTGAGCTGAGCTGAGAGGAGAGGGGAAGGGAAAGTAGAAGTGGGAGTGATTAGTGATTAGTGATTAGTGATCAGTGATTGATTCAAGTCTTGAACTAGATAGTTAGATAGACCTTGATTTTTTTTTGCTCAATCTAACTATACCCCGTACCCTTCCTTGCCTTACCTTACCTTACCTTGCCTGACTGGGTAAATCATGCGCAGAACGGAGTAGTGTAGCACTCACTGTGTAGATAGCAATGAGGCAGGCACGGGGGCGTGGGGAGTGGGTAGTGGTCAATGGTCACGTGACACGTATATGGGGATGGTATTAATATTAATGGGGGTTGAATACGAGACGAGGATCCAGTCCAGTCCATATTTTTTTTTCCCCCTCGTGATAGGGGATAATTGTTTAGACGGTATCTTGAGATGGGGGGTTGCGCTAGATGCTAGATGCTAGATACTAGGTACTAAGTACTATAGTTATTGCGATTGCATGTCGGTGTGCCGTGTGACATTATTCTCGAGGTCTGGATCCCGAACCGAGCCGAATTGGATGGATGAATAATGGGGTGTGTTTGAGTGGATAAGAGCAGTTCGTTGGGTGGATAGCTAGTAAGCTCGCTAGGATGGAGTCCGTATCGATGTTTTGGGGTCCGTAGATAGCGTATAGATAGATAGATAGATGATAGATAGAATGATATCTGAACTACTTGATATATATAAATAGCTATCAGCCGTCTTGCATAGCTTCTGTCTATAGAACCTCGCCTCCTCTCCCTCCAGGTAATCCATCCATAATGTCATTAACATCATCATCGTCATCATCACGGTCTGAGAGATAATAAAATACCCCCACGTCCCACTACTCTCTAACCGAGTCCATCGCGTAACAGAAAGCCGAATCGAAATATCCTGGCTTAATCGCGTCATAACAGGCAAATTTGAACGAGGAATCTGGTTCATGGGTCAGGTGAGACAGTGTTAGTGCGGATGCAGCAATATATATAACGTAATGGAATTCTGTGTTTTCTTTTTGTCTCACGTGTGTCTCACTCTCGTTCTTCTCCTCTTTTTTTAAAAAAATTTTTTTTTCTCTTTTTTCCCTTATGTTTCTTCGGGGGGAGGGAGAAGCTGGGAGATGGGGATATGGGATGGAGAAGAGAAGGACTTACGCTGCAAAACCCATGTATAGGGATGTGCTGCTGAGTGAAGTCGAAGAGATGGCGGAGTCTGGTGAGATGGGTTGTCAATATTTGCTTGCATAGATGGAAGGATACGGATGTGATGAACAGAAAAATGTGTGGACAGATGGATGGGGGAAAAGAACTAACTAGTAGTGCTGTTATGACCACACAGTGAACTGTTACTCAGTTTATCAGCCGGATACAAAACCCGAGGAAGACCGCTGGCCATGGGAACGGGGACAGAGCCGTCCGCATCAACAGTCACGTTCGTGCAGGTGTACAGCTCGGTGAGTTTCTGGTTGGCAGAGTAGCCGGTCCCGGGGAGGGAGAGGTTGTAGCTCCTTCCGGAGGCGCCGAGGTTGGAGAGCACGGTGATGGTCTGCGTGCCGTTGTAGCCTTTGCGCATGGCTAGGGTCGAGTTGTCTTGGTAGATGGGGTAGTTCTGGAGGGAGGGAGATAGGGTTAGTGGGTGGTTGGTCCTCAGAGATTGGTTGTGAGTAGGAACCCTACTTTGTAGGTGATATAGCCACTGTCCTGGCCGATGGCGTGGGTGCGGATTCTATTGGAGGTCGCAATGTGCGTGTATAGAGGGCTGGTGGTCGAGTACGAGGACAGCCAGGTCGCTTCGCGGTTGTATGGGTCGTTGCCGCCGTGATAGTGCTGTTCCTGGCCGGCGTAGATGATGGGGATCCCGTCCGCGAGGACGGTGAACGAGGCGGCATTTTTGGCGAGCGACATGTCGCTGGTGTAGCTTTGGGGTTGTTAGGTTAGGGCTTGCTTGGATGAGAGGCTGCTTACTTGGCAAATCGTGGGTTGTCGTGGTTCTCGACAAAGGTTCCCAGCAGGGTGGAATCATTGCACGTGGATTTGACAGTGTTGATCATGTTGTAGAGGTCGCTGATACTGCCGTTGGTTGATTCGAATGCCCGGAGGAGAGGGTAGTACCTGTTTGAACTGTTGGTCCAGTAATATTGGTGATACCAGGGGGAAAGGAGGGCTTACATAGGATAGTCGAGTACGCCGTCCAGGTCATTTTGATAGGGACAGGTGAACTCAGCATCCCCGTCAAAGACTTCTCCAACGCAGTATACACCGGCAGCTTTGTTGTAGCCCGGCCAGAAGTCTTTCTGGACATTCTTGACCGTGTCGATGCGAAGACCGTCAACTGGATTGCGCGTTAGTATTATTTGGTACTCTGTCCGGGGAGACGTATCTGTCTGGGGAAACCTACTCGAGTAGTTGGAAACGAGCGATCCGATCCAGTCATACCACATCGTCTTCACGTCGGAACGAGTGGTGTTCAGATCCGGCAAGGAGACGACACTATCAGCCAGCCAGCAGTCCTCCACTTGCGTCTGGTTATCATTGTTGGTGATTGAGCAGAGATTATGGAAGTATTCCTGCGAGTTGAAGGGGTTGTAGGCACTATAGGTGGTGGCATCTCCCGAGCCGTTAAAGGCCTATGCCCATCAATAGCCATTCAGTGTGAGTCTGGAGGACATGGGCACATACCATGTGGTTCGCAACGACGTCGACCATCAGGTACATGCCTCGTGCATGGACAGCCGAGGCTAGCTTCTTGAGATCATCCGCCGTCCCATAGTGAGAGTTGAGGGTATATCTGTCCGTAGAATGAGATACTGCATACTGCAGAGCAGAGATGGCCACTCACGCGTCCTGCTGCCAGTATCCATGGTAGGCTTCTCCGTACCCCGTCTCCTGGGGGATTTGGCCAGTGACCGGCGTGATCCAGATAGCCGTGAAGCCCATGCCTTGGATGTAGTCCAGCTACTGCTGTTAGCACGCACGTGCCAGGGGCCATGCAACTGTGGATATGCTGCTGCAGATCCGACCGACCTGATTGATGATGCCCTGCCATGTTCCGCCACAATATTGCTACTATCGTCAGCACGCCTGTCAATCGCTCTTGGCGAACGCCGTGACTAACCCTCTCCCCGGTGTTGCAGGCTGCAGTGGTGGAGTTATCCGTTCGCGCGAATCGGTCGGTGAGGAGGAAGTAGATCGATTGGGTGCGCCATTGGGCCGGCGAGGCGCCCAGCACCACCGTGGCCGCGAGGGCGACGATAAGGAGGAGGATATCTTTCATGGTTCAATGGCAGGTGGCGAAGGAGGCGAGGCGAGTCCCTGTCTGTCGAGGAGGAAAAAGTTATTTATGACAGTGGCAGTGGCAGAAAACACCGGCACTGACTGCCGAGAGACAATCGGTGGTGGTGGTAGTGGTGGTAATAGGCTTCAATATTTCTATTATTGACAGCAAGACATTGTGACTTGTCACTTACCACGGAAGGACCCTCGGAGATTTCCGTTCGCCCAGCACTCGGATCTTACTGATCGCCTGCGCATAGCCGCTCCTGGGCAAGAGTCTGACCGCTGGTTGGACCAAGCGTCGTGTCAGCAGGAGGAGTCGTTGTTGTTGTTGTTGTTGTTGTCTTGAATTGGGCTGGGCTGACGGGGGTTGTTTCGGATGGCCGATGGGCAGATGGGCAGATGAACCCTGTCAACCGCGATTCCCCTTTCGGACTCCTCCATCACCACCTCCCGGCTTACCCGGCCGGGAAATCAGAGACATGAAGAACAAACACGATGTTTAGAGTTTTGTCAGCGCGGACGACTGAGACAGACTACTGAAAATAGCCATGCGGCTTGACACTTGACATGGGTGGCGGTGAATCATAGGCTTGAAGGAAGCAACCCTTTTGGTCCTACGCAGATGGCGACCCCGGCCAGGTGGAAGTGGAATATGACATGAAATATGATTTGCGCATTGCATCTTCGACGGGACGCGCACGACTCTGCTACCATTCCAACACCCACTTCTCCGCCCAAGCTCCTCCCCTGGTCAGGTTCTGCAGTCCTCCCACAAACAGGACCTGCGATGTCGAGTTATACTGGACCGATCCCTGTGACACCTCTTGCCCATTCAGCGTCACCGTAGAGGGCTGTGCACCCACTCCCAGCACCGTTACATTCGCCAGCGGGTTACTTTCCCTCCAGGTGCCCCGTGCGGACGCCTGTAGACGGGAACGCGATGCCGTAAAATCAACATGGAGCGTGGCGTTGGGGTAGATGCTCTGACCGTCGTCCAGGTAGAGTTGCCCCGATGCGGTTCCATTACTGCCCAGTGCAGCCAGTAGAGCCCAAGGCGTCTGTCTGGCATCGCGCGTAGTCAATGCCGGCTCTTGCATCGGCAGGATGCTGCCGCCGCGGACATACACCGGAATATGGCCGAGTGGTGCCGGGATCGTCGTATTGACCCCAGCCTTTGCGTCGACCGCCGTCTGCGTGTACCAGTCATACCACACCTCGCCGTGTCCAACTCCCGGGAAGACGCCCTTGACCGTGTTCGCCTGCGGCTCCAGCACCGGAATCACCATAATGGACGGCCCGACGAGGAACTGGGTGTCCACCGCAGCCAGAGTGGGGTCGTTGGGGAATTCCCATGCAAGTGCACGCAGCACGATAGATCCACTGGTGTGGGCCTTATCCAGCAGCGTATAGAAGTAGGGCAGTATGGCATACCGTATTCTCATCGCGGACTTGGTCGCATCGATGACCGACGCCCATCGGTAAGGCTCCTGGGGAATGGTCGACAGCTCGTTGTGGTTTCGGTAGAACGGGAAGAAAGCCGACAGCTGCATCCATCGGTTGCAGAGCTCCTCGTCCGTGTTCCCAGTGAATCCGCAGGTGTCGGCGCCAAACATCGGAATGCCAAACAGGGAGAAGGACAACGCCTGCGAGATGGAGAAGTACATAGATCCCCACTTCGAATTATTGTCACCGCCCCAATGGCCCGCCCATTTGCCCGAGCCAGCAAAGGTGGACCGGCCAATGATGAACGGTCGGCGCTGCCCCGACCAGACCTGGAGCAAGGCCTGGTAGGTCGCGTTCAGCTCTTGGTGGCCAAAGAGACTGTGCACGTCGTACTCCAGGACGCCATCCACGTGAGTCGCGTTCGGCGAGACGGCATGGACGCTGAGGTCGTGTCCCTCCTGCACGTTATTTATCACGTAGGGTGGGTGCTCCACGTTACGGACGCTGGGGGTGGGCGTCGTGCGCAGATATGAGGTCGTGGTCGTGGTCGTGGCCGTGGTCGCGGTCGCGGCGGACTGGCTAGCAGCACCAGCCGAAGCGGAGGCTGCCTCGGTGGCGTTGGTGATGTTGAAAGCCTCGGGGTAGTCAAATATAATATCACCTGTCTCACCAGGCAACAGGAACGGGGGGTGTGCCGGGTTCAGCGACAGATTCCCGCTGCCACAGCTTCCCACGCAGAAGGAGGATACCTCATTCATATCACACCATATCCCATCGAATGCTATCTTCTTCGACCAAAGGACAAGCTCGTTTGTCCAAAAGTCAACCGCCTTGGGGTGATGCCAGTCAGGGAAGACTGTATATCCTGGCCAGACAGCTCCAATGTAGAGACTGCCATCGGGGTTTTTGAGGAAGACGTCATCAGCAGCACCTCGGTTGTAGGTCTCATATCTAACCCCCGCTAAGTAAGTAACCAAACAAAGCCTGGAGGGCCAAGATCAACTTACGCATCGGAGGCATTATCGGGATTCGGGATATAGAGGGCCGCATCAATAATCGGAACATAGTGGCGTCCACTAGCATGGAGTTTGTCGAGAAACTCCTCGCCTTCGCTGTAGGAAAAGCGATTCGGGTCGTTTTCAAAATTACGATACTGGAGCATGTAATCAATGTCGCTCCTATTCGGTGTTGTCAGAATGCAATTTCAGCCTAGAACTGGAGACCGAGACATACCAGATATATTCGAGGGGGATTTCAAATTTCTCAAAATTGGAAACAACATCTGCCACCTCGGACCAGTTGTTGTATCCCCAGCGACATTGATGAAATCCAAGGGTCCGGTATTCCTGCATTGTAGGCAGTCCCACTGTGCTGACCTGATATTGTCTGGTGACATCGGCCTGGGTTGGACCTGAGTAGAATGTCAAGTCGATTCCTCCACCTAGAGTCCGCCATGTCAAGCTCTGGGACCGCAGGAGTATCTCCAGTCCGTGAGAGTTTCTCAAAAACACGCCATGGGAATTGGAGATGTATTCTTGGGAAGCATCTGCCTCGCTACTCTTAACAGGGGTGTAGGTTCCATTTTGACCATCCGCCTTATAGTATCTGGTATCTAGGTAAAATGGATGTTGCCCGTAGATGTTGCTGTGAGGAATCAATTGTCAGTGATGATCTAAGAACAGAGGGTCAACACTCTACCTATCAATGGGATTTCCATCATCCGCAGGATACATGGTAAGATTGGCATTTCGAAGAAGACGAAGCTGGGCGATGTGCTCTCCCAAACCGTACAAATTATATTCTTCCGGCAACGCTGTCACAAACTCGATGAACTGATCTTCGTACACCAGGACGCTTCCTTCGGTGTCAAAGAGGACATCACCTGTAGCCTTCCGGACCACCTTGAAGTTGAAAGACGGCTCATTTGACCACAATACCTGGAAGTCGCTCTGGGAGACGGATGCATTCAAGGAGGCTTTGGGTCTAGGCACCAGGCTTTCCGAAAGAATGTACCAGGACGCATTAGAGGCGTCGATGTAGGTAGGAAGAACCTGTATATTCAATCGGTCCGAGTCCTGGTACTCCACAGTCAAGGTCAACGAGTCCACATCCGTCCCATAGACGTTGCACGGCTTCCCAGCGAGGTTCAGGTTGGCCGTGAAGCCGCCAGTACTCTGCTGCACGTTTGATGCCTTGTAGCCTGGGCAGACCGATTGGGCGTTGACAGCCTCCGGATCATCGATGTTGGCGATCAACTGTGCACCCACGTCGGCAGAGACAGGAATAGTGAACTGCGGGTGGTTCGAAGTGGATGTAGTGGTTAAGACTGACTGACTCGCACCATAGACCAAAGGCATCAGCCATGCCCCGGCCAGGAGATCCGTGAAGCCGACCATGTCGAGTGTAAAGCGACAGAAAACACGGTCGCGTTCTGGTCAATTCGCATGAGGAAGGCGATGACACCGTAGGTTTATATATTGTTGCTGCCAGCTGATTTCTGCAGATGATATCACTTGCACCTAAACTTGAAGCTGTGCGACCGTGAAGACAAGTCCATTATTGCCCCGGTGAATTCCCGACGTGTAAGGGGCCGACGGGGCTGCATTCTTTTGGATTGTCCAAACAGGTCGAATTGATGCGGGGAAGAGACGAAACTAGCAACCGTAGAGTTCGGGACGACTGAGGTTGAGGACGGGGGAGGGGAGGATGTGGATCTTGAGGATGTTGAGAAGGTGCATTGGAACCTACCATGGAAGCGAGGCGATGTGGATGACTGGGATGCGGAGGAGGTCCGGGGATTGGAGAGACCCGGGGCCGAGTGGGTAATGTCGGGGGTATGTGACCGTACGCTGTATGGCTGGAGTCACCCGGTACTGATGCCTGAGCCTGCGGGTGTCGAGCGGATCAGATGATGCGGGCGGGCTGATTGGCCGGTGGCCCGATAAATGGCCGCGACCCCCTCCTTCTGACTCGGGCTGCGTTGCCAACAACCTGCCCCATCCATACTAGCATCGACGAGATACTCCGTAGTTACTCCAGGCTTGCAATCTCCCTTTTGCACCTTCCCCAGAAAGCACCCCGGTGAGGGTGAAGAACCCGATCTTCCGCACTCTGGTCGGCCTGCACTCCAACTCCATCTCAAAATCCAGTATCCCAAGAGCCAAAGGCCAAGAGCCAAGAGCCAAGATCCAGGAGCTCCAAGGGACAGGCACAAAGAATGATGACGATGCTGAGGCCTCAAAGGATCCATACCGGGGTCTCTCTCGTCGCTAGCGGCGGCGAGGCGTTTAATGCCTATGATATCCAGCTTGCCTCTCGGCTTCCCGAGATGGAAGCTGTTCGCGTTCGCCTCTTTCGCCAGTGAGTGCTACATGACAGCCACACCGGGCCATCATAAGCATCACTTGCATCCGCAGTGCGCCTCAGAGTCTGTCAGCTTCTGGCACATGAAAGCACGGTGTCAAACGTTGCGTGCAGGGGTATTGCCTCCGACGAAAATGGCGCATGGCCATTCGGTCGAATGATCCTTCAGGCCGACGCAACGCGGATGGGTATTCTTTCTCCCTTCATTGACGGGCAACCTGGATTGGATCGGATCCTCTGCTGGATAGAAGTGTCTGCACCAATGGCTCCGAGGGACCGCCACAGTTCTACATCACCTGAAGAACAAGGCCTCGCCCTCGCCCTCGCCTTCGCCTTCGCCTTCGTATGTAGGTACATGCCCCTCGTCATGGCCCGAGGGAAGGATCCACTCGCCGGCCTGTTAGTGTTGGAGTTGGGCCATTCTGAGACTAAACGGCTAGCTTTCTAGCTTGCGAAGGGAGATAGCTGCCCTGGCTCAATCACCGGGCCGAAATTAACAGGCTAGTCACCGCTGCTAGTACTCAGTCGTACTATTAGTAGCAACTGGATGGGGTGGCATGCGGTTTGCGCCGCGGGGTCCGGGCAGGCTGGACTCTGGAGTTGCCGACTTTCGCTGTGTCGCTTCCCCGCTGCTCTTCCCCGGATTTCTTCCCTCGTTCTCTCCCCGAATCCCCCCCCCTCAAACCCCTCCTCCAGCAATCGCAAGATTCTCGGTCACTGCAACACCAACACATCTCTCATGCAAGCATTCCTCGCATGAAGTAAAATGAAGTCGCCAGCGTCTCGCACTATTACTGCCGGTACTGCTAACATCTGACGAGACCCGACTTCGCCTTCGCATACAAATGGACTCACACTCTTCCCCCGCCAAACCGAAATCCTCCAAGCAAGCCTGCGATAATTGTCGTCGGCGAAAGATAAAATGCTCGCGAGAGCTGCCTTGCGACAAGTGTCAACGGCTTCTTCTCTCCTGCTCCTATAGCGATGTTCTCCGGCGCAAAGGCCCTAAGTTCCGCACCCTCTATCCTTTGGCGCCTATCCATCCCCTCGTCTCGCGACAACAGGATGCATACCACCAGCATCCGCCCCAGGGCTCCCTGGAGAAACAGTGGACTACAGATGCTGTAGGATACCCGATGACAAGCTCGCCACCGTCGCCCCCCTTTACGGTGCCTGACCCTCCATACTCATACCATGACGCTTCTGAGCCGTTCACCCAGCTCCCTCCCGAGCTGGTCTCCTCTCCTAGCTCAACCAACTCATTAACGGACTCTAGCACACATCTAGTGCGCCCCTTCGCACGAAGATTGTCACCGCCGGTCCTGCTTGCTCATGTGAATGTCTACTTGAAGTATCTATTCCCCATAATGCCAGTGGTGCGAAAGGAGGAGCTCCAGAAAGACTGCCATCAGCCAGAACGATTGTCTCCCCAGCGTTATGCGTTTCTGGTTGCTATATGTGCAGCCACACATATACAGCTCAAGCTGGATGGCACAGCACCCGTCTCCGACCCCACGCATTTCCAAGCCGGAATCGACAGACAGTCTTGGATGTCTGGGGAGGAATTGCTGGTTGAGGCGGTACGCGCAAGGAAGGATTGCGACCCAGTGGACGGAATGAACATCGAGAGCCTTCTTACGTCATTTTTTCTGTTTGCGTCCTATGGAAATCTGGATAGACAGGATCACGCATGGTTCTATCTATGCCAGGCGACCTCAATGGTCTTTACCCTGGGCCTTCACCGGGAATCCACCTATGCGGAATTGAGTGTCGAGGAAGCGGAGGAAAAAAGGAGAGTTTTCTGGCTGCTGTTTGTCACGGAAAGGTGGGCATCATGCCATTAATCCATGTCTGATCTCTGTCTAACCTGATTTAGGGGCTATGCACTTCAACAGGCGAAGCCAGTCATGCTGCGCAACTCCATTCGCAAACCACAAGTTCTCTGTTCCGAAGATCCTATCCTAGCCTATGGCTTTATCAATCTCATCAGTGTCTTCGAAAAACTGACAGTCAATCTATACGACTGGGTATCCGCCGGCGGCATTGATGGCTCCTCCGAAATTCCCCCCACATCCGCTATCCAATCGAGTCTTTGCAACGCAATATCGCTTGAAGGAGTGTCTGAGATCCAAAAGGTTGACATACTCATCACCCAACAATGGCTACAAACCGTAATGTGGAAGCTCTCGATGACTCGCGCCACTCAGCCCGGCTCGCGGGACGAGGCAGTGCTCCCCTTCCATCTCCCTGTGCTGGTTGGAAAAGCAGTGATGAACACCATTGGCGCTGCCTCCCAGGGAGCTGTCGATGCGCATGGCATCGGAATGGTCCGTCTCCCTCCTCTCACCAAAACGTTGCACCTTACTAACCACTCCTTCCAACAGGAACAAAAACTCTTCGACCTAGGCACTTCCGTCGCAGATGTCGCCCGATCGCTCGGCACCAAAGCGGCGCACCGACTCACCGAAGCAGCCGTCGACCCCCGCGAACTCCTCTGGGGAATCCTCACCACTTTATCTCGCATCCGCGGCTCCCAGTCATACCTCTTTCCCTCCCTACTGGAACGATGCAAAGGCGCCCTTGATTTCACCTCCCCCACCTCCATGAGCAACTTCCTCCCTCTACCACCACCACAGCCACCGACCACATCATCTTGGGGCGGCGAACGTGGACTAACCGTGGTCTCCTTGCCCGAGAACCCAGATCTCCGTGAGCAAGATACCAATGACGCGGAATCATTGTCCCGTATTCTTGCCTCTTCGCAGGTACCATTTCACGACGGGAATCTCATGAATTAAGAGCAATGATGCATAGCGTTGATATGATTACGATATTTGTCCGGGTCTTGTTTCTAGTTTGCTTGCTTCGTTTGTGATACCAGCTCTTCTCTTTCTTTTTTCAATGAATATATATGGTGCTTTTAGCGATGATCTGTATGTAGGTATGTATGTATGTATGTATATGGATGGATGGTTAGATGCTGGGTAATGACACCGTAAGTTATGAGAGTAATTCTATATGGCCCACATCCTGTAGTTGTGTTATATTGCTGAGACATCTATCTCTAGACTCTGTTGCGCACACCAACCGAAGAACCAACTACACCTACACCGTACCAATCCAGCCAAATAACCAAAATACTTCATTGAATCTAATAGTAACTGTGCTGTACAAGGATAGAACCGGGGCCCTCATCAAGCTAAATGTACAAGTGGTATGAAAGAAAACCCAAGACTACTAACCTATATACCTGTATCGCACGAGTTGATATCATCCCAAACCAAACAAGCAAGTTTCATGATCTAAGCGCCGTGAAAAAAAGAAGAGAGAGATTAAAAACCGGGACCATTGGGATGAAGGGTTAAGGCCTTTTCTTGCATAGAAGCAGGAGAAGGAGGGTCGGATATGGTCGTGAAATTGCGGTGGAGTCTGCTGACAGGAGCAGCCCAGGGAGTGGATGATGATGGATGACGGTGGATGTTGGAGGTGTAGGTATGTATTGTTGAGGGATGGGGAATGGAAGAGGGTTGTGTCGATTCGCGAACCAAGGGGAAAATCTACCCTGATCGCCAAATCAACTCTAGGACCCGGTCGCCCTTCTCCGCATCACGATGGATGTACCATTGATGAACTTGGTTGCCGTCGACGAGGGCATCTTCGTGCAGGTAGCTGATCTTTCCGTCGTCTCTGGGACGGAGAGGGCCAAGCTCGTGTAGATACGATTCAAAGACCGCACCGTTGTGACTGTCCCAGGTGAGCTCCATGGTTCTGTCGCCAGGTTTCTTCTCATTGCTGTATTTGACGACCGAGAAGCCGTTCGTAAGAACCCATCCGTCCCCAAAGTGCCACTGGCGCAGAAAGCAGGTATCACCGCAGACTTCAGTGACAGCGCTTGCTTTCGCCATGTCGGCATGGAACCACGACTTCCAGTGATGCACGGACAGCGGTGGGGGGCGTTCTGCCTCGAAGAATCCAGACACGTCGCCCATCATATCGAGCTGTCGCAGGCGGTGATCGATGGTCAAGCGTGCGGCTGTGTACTGGTAGATACAAAGCGAAATCCTCCGGTCGCCAGTGAAGTCCATCCTCTGGCAGTCCTCGAAGACTTCAGGACGGCTGAGTTCTTGGATCAGAGAGGGAGACAGGAAGACGCCAGCGCCTCCGAATCCCATTAATCCAAACACACCGACCTGTGGGATGCTCTCCGATAGCCCGCCAACATACGTCTGTTTGGTATGGTCATACTCCTTGAGCCCTTTGATCAATGCCGACATTGAGGGGAAGAAGGTATCGTCATCCATGACACAGGACCACTTCGTCGTGGACCGCATGTTCTTGGCCAGATGAGGGACCAGCGAAAAGTACCGGCGCTGATATTCTTCACTGGACTCGGACACCGAGAGATTGATGCCAAGAGCATCGGCCTTGAGCAGCACCTGAGGTGTTCTGTCATCCGGCTCGATCAGAGCGAAGATGCGAGCATTTGTATATCCAGCCCAGTGGGAGAACGCGTCCAATGAATCGTTCAACCGTTCCAGCGTCGTGGCAACGCCAAAGTCGATGTGAGACGCATCCGCACGTTTCGGGGGGGCCAGGACTTGAACAGAAACCGGCTGGGGTATCAGGCAATCGTCATGCAGGTATTCTGGCGACGGGTGGTGGAAGTCGTCCTTGGGCTTTTTCTGGAACAAGGGAGCATCGAGGGATTGCGCTATGGGCAAGGAGTCGCTGGGAGACTCCACGGCGACGACTTCGCGGCGCACATACTGGCTCAGTTTCTCGACGTTGAGACGGCGGAGGGCATTGAAGTCCGGTTCGCAGTCGACCTCGGAGGTGATGGTGATGTTGGAGACGGTCTGGGTGGTGACGCGGTGGAAGTCGAAACGAGGCCAGAGGAAGATCGTGAAGCTGGTCACGAGGCAGCTCAGCACCACGAAGCGCAGGAGCTTCCTCCTCCACACCAAGGAGGCACCCATTGATGTCCGGGGCGACTCCCCAGTCTTTGCCCACATTTAGCTTCGAAATTATCCGGGTTCCGAACGACGGATGATGATGATCTGGGATGCCGCACTAGGAGTGCAGGAGCATCTCGACCCTCCGACACAGGGATGGGCGAGGGACAGTGGACGGGGGACGGGGGAGGGAGGGGAAGCCAAGGGAAGGGGTCACACACAGCCCACGAGGAGGGAGAAGTCTGGCAGTCGTGGAGGGTGGAAGAGGAGGAGGGGAGGAGGTGGAGGCGGAGGTGGAGGGGGGAAATCGAAGGATGAAATAACAGGTAGAAGATCCGTTGACTGTGACCCCGGGGATGGAGGAAGGAACGGGGAACGGCGGGCGCAGAAGCGGAAGCGAATGACGAAAGTCAAGCAGCGGGCAAGCGACGACAACGTCAATCTTGAGCCGACTTGGCCGAATCGAGAGATTTGAACGGGGAGGAAGATGGACGATCAACGGGGCTCAGAAAACCATTGCGACAGAACAAGCACTTGCACGGCTTGAAAATGGTCGGATCATGGCTGGGCGGAGAATGGCGACCGGCCAGGGATCGGCCATGGGACGGGTTTCCCTGGGCTTTCTTGCCTGGGCAGATCCACCAGCCATCAGGGCAACTTGAAGCAGACAGCCAGACAGCCATGCCCATTGCCTGCCCACAGGGGCGGATCGGCCACTCAAAGGCTGCAAAGGCCCGCCTAGGAGATTTTAGCCCGATGGGTTCAACTCCAGTCCCTCCAGGTGGCAGGTGGTGGGAGAAGTGACAGTCGCTTCCCAGGGTTGCGTTAGTTCCTGTTAGATTTAGGGGGTCTCTCCTCCATCCCATCATCTCCAACGTCCTCCCCCCTGGTTGTCCTGATGGTCTTCTTCCATGGATGAGGCCTGCAGGGTCGTAACCATCGGCGGCACAACCACATCGACTACAACCCCTGGGTACAACCATCCATTGACGCGCATTCCACCGGGGGGGGGCCATGGCTCAAACGGGCGGCGGGGCGACGGATGGATGACGACGGCTGCAGGCGAATCGCTTGGCTGTGCGTCTCACGATTTAGCGTCCGAGGGGATGGATATCCTGTTGGCCCAGCCGAGTGTCAGTTATCTATCAGTAGCACTTTGATAGTAGTACGGAGTAGATACTGTGCAGGATGGGGAGAAATGGATGTCACTGCTCTGGATGCTGCCCTCGTGGACATAGTATCTGCCACCTCTGCATGACTTCTCACCTCTCATTCTGTGCTCTCCTTTCTCTTCTCTCTCTTCTCAGTCCGACTCCAGGGAAATAACCTCATCCTGATCCGCCGTTGTCTTTTCCCGCCTGTATGTGCTTAGGTCAGCGTTAATCTCCGGCAGCCAATCACAGCACAGCTTGAGTCCCCTGGTGTTCAACCACCCAGCGATATGAACGACGAGATCTAATTGCAAATGATAATTATAGATTCTAGATGGTAACAATGAGATTCTATCGACTTCGTGCGCTCCATGCAGAATCCTTCCGCCTACGCATCAGTTGATGCCTATCCATGTACCGATGCTCTATGTTTGGACCCATCGTGATAATCCAAAGTCGTCGTCTCTCAGTGTAATCTCATGCAATCTCAAGGACATGTTGGTCTCAGGTTATCCGCCCCTGCATGGCACCCGAAGCGTTCGGGATGGATCGTGGATATAAATAAGCCAGCAACCCCTGTGGCGCTGCACGGTAAGGGGGGTTAAGGGTAGAAAGAATGTACGACAGCCATCAATCTAGAACACCTATTCATCCAGTGGAAGGGAGGACCATGGACCAAAACCCATTATAACATGTAGTCCACCCGGGTGGTCAGGAACCCTATACGAAGTTTCCAGAGCTTGAAAGAAACCATAAAACCATATTCCAGTGTCTGGACGGAGTGAACGGCGGTGATAGATGGGATGGCTACGGGGAGCGCAGTGGCCACGTGCGCAGAGTTCCCCGATGGGGCAATATCTCATCTCTCTCCCGCACAGTTGCTTCACCTCGGTCTGGCCACCTGGTTGATCAAGCTCGGTCTGTCCATCTTGCTACTCGGAGCTCTCCTTTACTGAATGGGACCTTTTCAGTAACTTGAACCTCCCCCTCATCCATTTCCGTGCCCTCGCCGGGCCTTTCGTCTCACCTCGCCCGCCCCTCTTCCATACCATGACTACCCAGGCGCTCAGCTCGTTGCTACAACGGGCGTCCATTGACGACCATGAAGAAGTCCTACAATCCTCCATCGCCGCGCTGGCTAAATCCAAGTCGGATCTTCGCGCCCAGCACGTGAAGGCAGTGGCTCTGCTGAAGCTCGACCGCTACGATGACTGCCTGCGTGTGTTTGAAGAAGCCGGCGATGGCTTGAAGAAGACCGCCGCCCTGGAGTACGCCTATGTGCTGTACAAGTCTGGTCAGCTGGAGTCGGCGATCGACGTGGTGTCCCGCTTGGCTGGGGATAGAGGTGCGCTTCATCTCGAGGCTCAGGCTGTAGGTCGCTCCTTCACTTCCCTCTGGGACGTTTGCTACCCCTGTACACGATCGTGCTAACCTACCTCCGTGTGAAGAGTTACCGCTCCGAGAAATTCCGGCGCGCAGCCGAGATCTACGACGAATTGTTCCAAGCCGAGGCATCCCAGCTCAACGAAGAGAATGATTTGCGCATCAACGCGTGGGCCACGGACGCACAGCTGCAGTGGAAAGGATACCCCGAGTTTGTACGACACAACCGGCCGACAAGAGAAGACCTGGAGGCATTTGAGACTGTCTACAATGCGGCTTGTCTGAGCATTGCCAAGGGAGAGTTCCGACAGGGAGAAGTGCTGCTAAAGCGGGCAAAAGGTTCGTTTGGTTGAGACCGGAGGGGCCGACAAGAACCAGCGCTGATCTTGATCCAGAACTTTGCCGCACATCGGAGGATCTTACACCAGAGGACCGGAATGCGGAGCTGCTTCCGATTGCCGTGCAGCAGCTGTACGTTCTGCTCCGTCAAGGCAAGTCCGAGGAGGCCCAATCCGTGCTGGAGGAAATTTCCGTCAAAGAGTACGCTCGTCGCAGACCCCCGCTTCGGAAAGTCTGAAGCTTACCTGGATATAGGATCCCCGAACTCTCGACGAGAAAGATCGCGCAAACCAACATCACTCTTGCTCGCGGCGCCTCCGCCAACCCCTTCGCTCTATACAAAGCTCTACACGAAACCCCCGAGACTCCCGACAGCGACAAGCTGTTCGACTACCAAGATAACATCACGACGGGCAACTCGCATGCGGCGGATCTTCTCGTGCAGAAGTACGACGGTATTATCCGCTCCACGTCCAAGGCTCTCTCCCAAGCCGCCTATCCCTCGACGGAACCCCGCGCCGGCCTGCTGTCCGTCTACAACGCCGCCGCCCATGCTCGCGGGGAGACGGGCACGAAAGCCCTCAAGTCCATACTCGCTGCCCTCGAGAACCGGCCCAAGGACATCGGGCTAGCCCTTACGGCCGTGCAGCTCTACGTGGCTGCCGGCAACACCACGTCCGCGATCACCACGCTGGAGAAGACCCTTCAACTGCTCGACGAGTCCACCTCGGAGCAGGACAAGGCCGTCCGCTTCAACCCCGGCTTGCTGGGCATTCTGGTCTCGCTCTACAAACTGGAAGGCCGCAAAGTCCAGATCAGGAGCGAACTCGCCAAGGCCGCCACCTACTGGCAAAGCCAGGCGGAACCCCCCGCGTCGCTGCTCCGGGCCGCCGCGGCCTCCCTGCTGCATTCGGACGATCGCTCCGACCTAGTCATGGCCGGCGACCTCTTCAAGTCTCTCTACCAGAAAGACACGAAGGACCGTTTCTCCGTGGCCGGCTACGTCGCCTCCCAAGCCACCCTCGATTACTCCAAGGTCCAAGCACAGGTCGACAGCCTCCCCTCTGTCGCCGAACTGATCTCTGGCGTCAATGTATCCTCCCTCGAGTCCGCCGGCATCTCCCCGTCTTCCTCCGCCAACGCTGCCGCTGCCGCCGCCCTGGCCGGCGCCAGAAAGAGACCCTCCGCGAACAAGGAAGATCGCGGGACGAAGCGCGTCAGGAAGTCCCGTTTCCCCAAGGACTACGACCCGTCCAAGACCGCCGACCCGGAACGCTGGCTTCCTCTTCGCGACCGCTCCAGCTACCGGCCCAAGGGCCGCAAGGGCAAGCAGCGCGCCGCGGAGCGGACGCAGGGTGGTGTGGTCAGCGAGAAGGCCGAGGAGTCGACCGTCTCTTCCGCCGCTCAGCAGAAGCCCCAAGGTGGAGGTGGTGGGGCCAACTCGAAGAAAAAGAAGAAGGGAAAGCGGTAGATGTGTTGCTGTCTTCTGCTGCTGCCTTGCTTTCTCCTATTCATGAGACATGTCTTGCATTAGATGGCAGAAATTTGGGAAGTGTGTATGTATGTACGCGTGTGTGTGTGTTGTTGTTGCATGAAATGAAGCATGTAGAATTAAATGCGAATGTTTGGCTTGGCTAATCTGATGAATGAACGGCCTCTCTCCCGAGAAGCAATCCGAGCATACTAAATGATACTACATACATATTGTTCATGGTGCCTCGTGCGCTCACTCTCTTCCATTGACGTTCTGGGTATGAAACATAAAAAAAGCACGAATCCCCTAATTCTAGAGCCCTGCGAATCAACCATTTTTCATCCGAACCAAGCTCACCCACCCATCCTTTTTCACAATCAGCCATTTAACCCAGCGGAGTCCGAATAGTCCCACACTGCCGATCATACTGCTCAAAGATGGTCTGAAACAGCTTCAGATCGAGGACCGCATCACGAGCAGTCGTCTTGACCGACTGACCCGCAGTCAAATAGCCATGCAGGGCGATCAACTCCTCGCGGTAACTCTCTTCCCAGCCACTAACGGTCTCCAGCCTCTTCATATCGCCATTCTCGTCCGCCGTCTCCACGACCACCCGGACCGGCTGACGCGTGCCATACGGCAAACCATACGACACGCTCACCGTCTTGGTATCCCCATACACGGCCAAATGGGCATCGCAGCGCGGCACGGCATCAACCCCCGTCTCGTACATCAGGGTGAACGGGTGTTCTTTCTTCCCGCCACTACCGGTGGAGTAATGGAACACGGCAGAGAAGTACGGCTCGTTGACCGAGATACTCGACACCGTGTCCGGGTAACCGATGGTATCGCGCATCAGACCAAGATCATGGCAGCCGAGCGACGCGAGGAACGAGGACAGCGCGATCCGCTCCTTGGTGATGTCCTGCCCGCGGAACATCTCCTGCTGGAGGCCGTGTTTGAGCTGTTGGCCTTGGGTGGTCGAGGCGTCCACCGCTGCTGCTACGGCGTTCACGTTGGTGTTCGTTCCCCACGGCTGCAGCTGCTTCCTGATAATCGGCTGGTGATGGTGAGCAGTGGCGGTATGCGCCGCGCAAGGACCAGCAATATTGCGGCAGCGCGCGTAGTAGATGCGATCCAGACTGGCGACTTCGCGCTTGAAGACCTTCTCAATGCAGGGCGCGTAGCGCCGCGCGCACGCCACGAACACCTTGGCGTTGTTGGGCGCGCGCGCCTCCGCGTCGATGATCCGCCGCGCGCTCGGGATGCTCAGGCTCACGGGCGTTTCGACCATCACGTTTTTTCCGGCGTCCAGGGCGGCGATCGTGTAGGTTTCGTGGTATTCGTTGGGCATGAAGTTGAGGATTAGGTCGATGGTGGGGTCACATAGGATTTCGCGAGGGGTGGAGGCACTGGGGATGTCTGGGGGTGGGGTCGTCGTGCCGTTGCTGCTGAGGTTGTCGTTGCAGAGGGTGTTGCTGGTGCTGGTGCTGGTGCTACTGCTGGGGGTTTTGTTCTTGTCGGTGCCGTTGTACAGCAGCTTCACTTGGTAGCTGGTTGGGAGGGCTTGCAGGGCCGGGAGGTAGATGTTTTGGATGGCTCGCGCGCCTTCGTCTGCGGAGAGGATGCCGACGCGCAGGAGGGTTGGGGTCGCGTCCATTTTGGAGGGGGGTTTTGGGGGTCGAATTGGGCTGGAGAAGGTTGCAGGAGTGTTAGATTGGGTTTGGATGGGAGGTTGGATGAGGGAGAGGCAATTCTGGGACTGGGACGTACATACTGGGACAATGGAGTAACTGCGCTTTTTTTCGATTGACTCAATCGGCAGGAAGGGAGATTGAGCGCGGAGGAGAAGAAGAAGAAGAAGAAGAAGAAGAAGAAGAAGAAGAAAAGAGCATCCTCCGGGGTTGTTCGAGGAATGAGACGAGGTCTTCTAGAGACCAGAAGTGCAGGAGTGAATGGAATGTTATGTTTGGCGCAAGGGAGACAAACAGTGGATTGATGACCCTGATTCTGATTGAGTTACCTGAGCTACTTACTTTACTGCCTTACCTACCACCTAGCCAAGCAACAACATATTAGAAGGGAAGGGGGGGGCAAGTGAAGTGAAATGAAAGAAAAGAAGAGAAGATTTGATTCAAGGGTTGGGCCAAGGCGGCTTTGTATTACAATTGCCGCTGATCTTTGTTGGGGATGGAGTGAAGCTTTTTTTTTTCTCTTTCTTTCTTCCCTTCCTCTTTGATTTTTTGGCAGACATGACATCAGTGGCTCCAATAGAATTCAACCCCAGAGTTACATCTCCGCCCGTCGTCAGGTTTATGCTTATCTCGCCAGAGCGATGGGATCCTGTTGCGATGCTAGCAATCCTCACTCCATGGAGATGCTCGATCCGTGCATTTTATTCGCGTTCCACCGAAAGACGAGGCCTGGCAGAAGGGTCATTTTTGATTCGCCAGCTCCAAGCGCAACCCTGCCTTCTGCAGGCTGATGCAGACGGAGTCAGTCGGCTTCCAGAAGCGGCACTACCAAGCGTCAGCTGGGGACCGCGTATGTTGTTGGGCCTTGAGGTCAGTCTGTAGTCATCTCGGCTGTTCATGTGCCACCGTTGGTCAGCTGCGGCGACCGGGTATTTGAAGTGTTTCCCTGCGGGTTGAAATATGCTGATGCAGGCTGATGTCACGGCTGACGATATTGTCTGCCTTTCAGCCTCGCGGCATGCCGGTCTAGCCTTGGGCCTCGAGGCTGGAAGACGTATGGAATCAGCCCTACGGGAGAGCCCTGCGGGGAAAAGAAGGCCTACACACTAGTAAGTAGATACTACTACTATACTATAGTTAGGGGTCTAGTCAGTCGCCCGTGCCTTGGGCCCTTGAGGGGCTGAAGGGCCGAATCTGCAGGCAACCTACCATCCTTCATGCATCATGCCATCCTGTGTGATAGCTCTCCCGGTGATGGGATCATGCTGTCCTCCCGGCTAGACTGTATAGATGATTGAATGACATCGTATATTGTATCTCTCTCTACTCCATACACAATAGTCCATCGGGTGGATCGCCCGTCGTCATCCCGGACGGAACTAGTCCCGGTCGGGGGTTTGGCTCGCGTTCGTCTGATCGAGATTGATGGCTTTTTGCGCGGCGGTGTTTTGATAGCGCGTTGTGGCTCCGTTCGTTCCTTCCCTTTCAGCTCCGCATTGGCGTCATCGTCTTCATCTTCCTCCTCCTCCTCCTCCTCCTCTTCCTCCTCATCCCCCTTCTCCTTCCCTCTCTTCCCCTCCCCCTCTCTCTTCCACTACCCCGATTAAGTAACCCATTAAGTCATCAACACACCGCAGTGAAAGATGGGGGTAAGCTGAATATGAATCCTCTCCTTCCTGGCGTTCTGTTTTTACCTTCGAGTTGCCCCGCGCCTGCCCCGCTCCTACCCAAGCTCTTGTGCTCCCCAGCAGAAATACAGCTACCACGGACTCTCCCTCTCCAGTGGCAGTCATCCTCATCTGCATTAACTAACCGCTGCATCCTGCACCCCTCCTCTAGTTCGCTTCCAAGATCGCCAACAGCCAGAGCCAGAACCCACCCCCCAACATGAGTAACAAGCCCGGCGTCTACGGAGGAGCCCCTCCGGCAGGCTATACTGGCGGTCCTCCTGCTGCACTGCAGCCTGGAGCTCCTGCTGGGAACAGTGGATATGTGAGCCCGCCCTGCTGCCCCTGCTGCCCCTTAGTGACTCCTCCCGCCCCTCATCCGTCACCACTCATTCCCCTCCAAATTATTCATCCCTTCACGGCTTCTTTACCCATTTTTAATTCCCCAAGGCTGACGCACCGCACCTTATTCACCTCTCCAGCAACAGCAGCAACCTCAACAGCAGCAGCAACAGCAGCAGCAACAGTACCGACCTTATCAAGCCTCCCCTGCTCCATCCGGCGCTTCGGTAAGCCAGACCTTTTTTTTTTCTTTTTGATTTTCTCATTATTTACCCCTTCGCTGCTGCCCTGTTTGTGTTTTGTTTGCTCCCTCTTCCCCTCATCACTGGGTCTCCCCTCTCCCTCCATCGCGAGACTCTCTCTCATCGAATGAAAGAGAGCCAGGGATCACTTGCCTCTCCACCTGCCCCCCCCCTTTTACCCCTCCGATCTTTCCATTTCGCCCGTGTCACACTCCTGGTTTCCTATTTCTTGACCTTCCCGCTCCTCCTCCGGTGATCTGGGCGCCATCCGTCAACCATGTCGCGACCTTATTATAACCAATCCGGCTATCCGCCCCAGCTTCGGCCTGGTTCAGCCAGCAGTCCCCGTATCCGACTTCGCCTCAGCAATCGTACCAAGCGTACGCGCCTCCATCGGTCCCGCAAAACAAGCCTGTTCCTTCGCCATCCCCGGGCCCTCAGTCTGCCTATTCGGCCGCCTATTCGACTCCCCAGGCTGCTCCTCAAGGACACTATCCTGGCCCTCAGTCGGGTTATGCGCCCGCGTATCCATCGCAATCGCCAATTCCCCAAACCTACTCTCCGTCACCATATGGGACCCCTGCACCACTGCAGCAACAAGGCTATTCTCAACCATCTCCCTACGGGACTACTAGAGAGCCCGCGTATGGACAGTATGGACAACCGCAGCAAGGATATGCCCGAGCCCCGCCCCCTCCACCTCAGAACCAGCCCTACGGAGCGCCTGGACAACAGTATCCTCCACAGCTATCCTCTCAAGTACATACCATATCCCAGCTACCCGCGCGTGCTTTTCATCTGCAATGTCGTTCTTTTCTTCTTCGTTTTCGCGCTATGATTTGGATTATGGTTGTAACCACGCCAGCATGCTGATCAGGGTTAATGCTTTAGGGACCGTCCTACCCCCCTCAGAATGCGCCTTACCCCGGCGCCCCCGGACGCGCTCCCCAGCCGGGTGCTCCGTCCGGACCACCGGGAGCTGCGTATGGCCCCCCTGGTGGTGCGCCCGCTCCCCGTGCCACGGAGCAGCAGGTTGCCGCATACAGACAACTTTTGATCGGAACCATCCAAGAGAAGCGCCTTCAAAGCTTTTGGCCCGCAGAGAAGCTGGACAGACTGGTCCAAAGCCTCTCCCTCGAGGCGCCTGCCAAGGTCAGCAAGCTGGTGCACGAGTTGGCTGTGCCCCAGGAAGTGGCTATGGATATCATGAAGCTATCTCTCTTCGACGTGATCCTTTATGTGGACGACAGTGGCTCGATCGAGTTCGAGGAAAGAGGCGTGAGAAAGGAGCAGCTGAAGCAAATTATCGAAATTGTTGCCTCTGCCGCATCCACCTTTGACGACGACGGCATCTCGGTGCGGTTCATGAACAACGCCGAGCAAGGAGATGGAATCCGCAATGCGGACGACGTCACCCGACTCGTCTCGCGTGTTCGCTTCCAAGGTCTCACCCCGCTGGGAACCGGCCTGCGCAACAAGGTCCTCGACCCGATGGTTGTGGGCCCGGCCAGGCAGAATCGCCTTCAGAAGCCAGTCCTGGTCATCACCATTACCGATGGCCAGCCTGCTGGCGAGCCTCTTGATAGTGTCGCCAACTCGATCGGCTATGCCGTGAATGAGGTCTCTCGAACCCAGTATGGACAGGGTGCCGTTTCCTTCCAGTTCTCGCAGGTGGGCAATGACACCAAGGCCCGGGACTTCCTCTCCGCGCTGGATGAAGACCCGCAGATTGGGGCACTGGTCGATTGCACTTCGAGTAAGTTCTATTGCTCACTGATCAAGAAGCGTGTATACTGATGACCCGGTAGACTTCGAAGTTGAGCAGGATGAAATGTCTCGCGCCGTCCCACCGGTGTACCTGACTCGTGAACTCTGGGTGAGTGCCTAGCAGCAATGTTGATGGGTTGTGGCATCCATTACTGACCACCGCAGTGTGCTAAATTGATGCTTGGTGCTATTGACGCTTCGTACGATACCAAGGACGAGAAGGCTGCGGGCCGAGGCCTTCCCCCCTCTGCTCCTCCCGGACCTCCGGCCGGTCAGTATGGAGGCTACGGCCAGCCAAGCTATGGCAGCCAGCCCCCGTCAGCTTCATATGGCTCCTACAACCAGGCCGCCTACCCTCCTAGTCAGGGCCAGGCTCAGGGTCAGGCCCCGGCACCGGGTTACAACCAAGCCGCTTATCCCCCTAGCCAGGGCCAGGCTCAGGCTCCAGCGCCGGGCTACAGTCAGGCAGCTTACCCTCCTAACCAGGGCCAAGGTCAGGCACCCGCGCCGGGATACGGTCAAGGCTACGGTGGGGGATACGGCACCCAGTCGCCTCATCCCGCCCAGTCGCCTCATCCGAGCCAGTCGCCTCACCCCGGCCAGGCTGGGTACGGACAGTCTTCCACCGGAGCCACCCGGGGTTATTCTTCCTACGGAGCCCCAGCGCCGCCCAGGTACTAGGCTAGATCAAGATGCGCGGCGCCATTGCCAAGCCAGTGGAACAGATTGACGGTGTTGTATTCTTTTAATGATGACTTCGAGATTTGCGGGAATCTTTAGCTTCAGGGTCTGGCATGGCAGGAGCGGTTGCGGGGGATAGACCCGGTTCTGAGGCTGCTTTGTCTGTAAAGGAGAAAATGAAAAATTGATTGCCTGTTGACTGAAAAAATTCTTCCGGACTACTTCGTGTCAGTGTCAATGCGCCGACGATTGACATGTTTTGACGTTGCGATCACACGAGGCGCGGACGATCGGCGCTCGTTTTCTCGGGTGACGTCACCGGTTCACGGGCGCCGCAACATCCACGTGACCGTGTCCAATCAAGGGGCCGGCTGAGTCAGACAGCCTTGCCTCCGTCCGGTTCAGGCAGCCAGCGATGGTCGCAGCATCGCCACGCCGGACCCGGGTTGTTTGGTCAAAAATAGAACCCTTCAAGGGTGCAGATAGGCAGAGATATTTCTAGCTTCTGTCTCAGATCTACCTATCCAAACCCGTCTCATTCCTATTAGCCCTCGTATCTATCACGTAGGTGACCGCACTCTGCAGTTAGGTGGGCCGAACGAGAGACAGATACGGAGTAGAGAGACAAACAAGCCCAACCCATCATGTGCCCCTCCCCCTGCCCATTATCATTGCTGGGAAATGCATCCATAGGTATGAGATGAGTCAGACAGGCAACTGTCAAAGAAGATCGTCACGGACAGATAGACACATGGACAGACAAGACAGACAAGACAGACAGACAGACAGACAGACAGGCTGCAAGGAATAATAATCGGTGTAAATGCACCCATCCAACTACCTAGGTCAACCAATTATCATACACTGCTAGATAGAGAGATACTATCTTAGCCCACGGAGATAGATGATACTAGATGATACTACCAATGAACCCCCCCCGACGGAGACCCGTGTGGCGGCGCGGCGGACAGGCAGCCGTCATGATATGACAGGCGATAGGTCAACCCATCTCAACTTCCCTTGGGACTGGGTTACTGTGTAGGTTTCAACCGGAGGGATGTGCTGACAGGGCCTGTACTACAAAAATAGGCTGCGTTTGAGTTTGAGTCTGAGTCTGACAGTAACGCTGGGTCCTTTGCCACGCCACGCGGATGGGCTGCGTATGTAAGGTGGGATCCGTGGGACTGGGGATGTGGATATGGATGTGGATGTGGATTGGGGGATTGGGGGATTGGGGAATTGTGGGTATGGTGGATCGGTTTGTTGAGGGTTGTTGACGAGTAAAGTAAGTGTTGTTCATGTTTGAAGTGCTGTCTGTGTGTTGTGTGCTGTGGTGTGGGATATGAGATGTAGACTGTCGACAGGTATAAGATATGAGGTATGGAGTAGTTATGGAGTATAGTGTGGAGGGGGTACTATATTGTCATATTAGTGGTAGATAGTTGTGGTGGTGGTGTGATATTGATCAGTATGGGTAGGTAGTACGGAGATTGTGTATGGTGGGATTGTTATTCAGATGCCTGCTATGCAGCAGGGAAGTATCTCCTGTTATACTCCGTACTGTCTGTCTAGACAATGGATGGACCCTGGACCAACAGGCAAATAACGCATGGAGGGGGTTTGCGTGGCCCCCAAGCCACGGTCGAGGCCGACGGCGGCCGATGACTGGCCCGCCCGCAATTAAGGTGCCTCCGCACTTCTCCATCCGTCAATTCGAGAACCTCTCTTCCTCTTCTTCTCTTCTTCCACTTCCACCACTCTCTCCAAGGTTGAAAGAAGGCCTGTTGCCTTCTTCTCTCACACCCTTGTTTTTTTTTTTTTTTCATGGTTCCTTCCTCCCCTTCCCCCCTCCCCTCCTACATTGACCGCATTCTACTATCCCCATCACATACACTGCAGCGAGGGTTGTACCTGCATCCATCCATCCATCCATTCCTCTCGATCGCAATCTAGTCTACTTAGTGGCGGCTGTTCGGGCCTCCTACCGCTTTCGGGTCCCCATTCGTATTATTTGCTGCTTCCCTCATTTCATTTCATTTCATTTCAGTTCAGTTCAGTTCATTTCCTGCGCTGGCCTCAGCGTCAGTTCGGTCCCGGTCTTTTCGCCGCCTGCGGGAAAAACCCAAGAACAAGAAGACTTTCTCGGTCCTCTCTTTCCTTCTTTCCCCGCCAGCCCTTTTTCTTCTTCCTTTCTTCGACCTTTCTCTTTTTCATTTAGGTTTTCCTCTCCGTGAGAGTTGGGGTGTTGGTGTACATACTACTACCAACTACAAACTACAGTGGATCTCTCCTCTCTCGTGCCCCCCCCCCCCCACAGTCGTTTCTGCCTCGTTTCAACGATCGGGCATTCGCCGGATAACCTCCTATTATCCATCTTCGATCTCACCCCTCCCCCTCCTCCTCCGTCTTCCGCCTCCCCAATTCCGCTCACATCAGAGCGACCCCGCGGGCGCGAGTCCGTCGCTTTTGTACAGTGCGCTGAGGAATCGGATGTTTTCTATACTGGCATAAGCGGGTTTCGATCGTTTGCTTTTTCGACTTCGACTCTCGATCGCTGGGGTTAAAAGGATGAGTCAGGGTTTCTTCCATCATCTCGACCCTTTTGCCATTACAACCGAGACGCCCTTTGATCGCTTATCCCGAGTTTCCGCATTCGCCGTGAATCGGTAGGAGGTTATTTCTATCCGGGCTACACCATCTCGCGCCATGTCCCGCCGCGATGAATCGCCAGAGTCGCATCGCAGTCCGCGGGAAAGTACGTCAGGGGAACAACCACAGGCACCCGAGGAGGAGGATTGGTCGGCCCAGGATCCCGCTCCCGCATCCGCATCGCAACTTTCACGAAGCCAATCCCTGCATATAGAACCGGACGCTGCTGCCCCTACCCGCCCGTCGATCTCTCCGTCGCGAACCCTGTCGGATTCCGGTCGTCGCTCGTCGCAGCACCATGTTCGCTTTTCGACCGACTTGGAGCGTCCCTCGGCGGAGGAGGTCCGCGTTCCCAATTGGGACCGACGCCCAGGGTCCCGCGGTTTAACCATCAATACCGATGTTGCACATAATCAGATTTCCCCGTCTGGCAGGTCTCCAGGCCAGGGAACCGCTTCGCCCTTGTCCCCGCGTTCCTCCTTGTCCCCGCAGAGCCCCGACACGGGCGGGCGTTCACGGTCGCGCAATCGTGGATACTCCCTCCGACGTACGATATTTGCGAAGAACATCGAGTCGCAGTCGGGGGTTACCTCTCCGGATGCGAATGAGTCGGGTCAACCTCAAACAGTTAGCCCGCAGCTAGAATCGACTCCTGAGGTTCCGGTGAAAAGTTCGATGGAGGAACCGCGCCGGTCAATGTCGACCGAGGAGAAGCAGGACGTGCTTGTAACACATGGGTATACATCTGACCCTAACCTGGAGGTAACCACGACATATTACTCGGATCCTTCCGAGGATCTCAAAAATGAAGGGCAAATTGCTACCGCCGTCTCGTATGAGCGCTGGCTCAAGAAGAGGGCAGCGTTCACCACGCTGATGGTCCGCGTGGAGACCATGCTCGAGACAGTCCGCAAGACCATCCTTCGCATCAAAGACATCCCCCCTAGCAAAGACGGTCGCCACATCGACCTCGATGCTACCCGCACCGAAGACCTCATTGATGAGAGGACAGGGAAAGTCTACATCGGAAATTACATCCGCTCCAGTCGCTATAGCCTGTGGAGTTTCTTTCCTCGTCAGCTGTTCGCGCAGTTTACCAAACTGGCCAACTTTTATTTCCTTATTGTCGCCATTCTGCAGATGATCCCGGGACTGAGTACCACTGGCTCGTTCACCACGTTGGTCCCGCTCCTGATTTTCGTTGCCATCTCCATGGGCAAGGAGGGGTTCGATGACTGGCGTCGCTATCGCTTAGACAAGGAAGAGAACAACCGCTATGCGCCTGTCTTGCGTCCTGGATCTGGGATGTTTTCGCAGTCTGCTCCCAGCGATGGTGTTTCTGTATCGAGTGATTCCCAGGATTGGGCACCGGTGAAGTGGCAGCACATCAAGGTGGGCGACGTCGTCCGGTTGGAGCGGGACCAACCTGTCCCGGCGGATATGGTCTTGCTCCACGCGGACGGACCCAACGGGGTCGCGTACGTCGAAACGATGGCCTTGGACGGTGAAACCAACCTGAAAAACAAGCAACCTTCCCAACCTGTGGCCAAGCTGTGTGGGACCGTTGAAGGCATCTGCAGCAACGCCCTTCACTTTGCCGTCGAGGACCCTAACATGGACCTCTACAAATTCGACGGAAATGTGACGATGTCCGCGGATGAGAAGCTGCCATTAACCAACAACGATATTATGTACCGTGGTAGCATTCTGCGCAACACGGAAAGGGCATTTGGCATGGTCATCTACACTGGCGAGGAGTGCAAGATTCGCATGAACGCAAATAAGAATCCTCGCATCAAGTCGCCCTCCCTCCAGGCCAAGGTCAACCGAGTTGTCATGTTGATTGTAACTCTTGTTGTTGTGCTGGCAGTGGCTTGCACCATCGCCTACAAGTACTGGGCGCAGGATGTTCAGTCTAAGTCATGGTACCTCTTGGACGCAAACGTGCCTATTGGGCCCGTTTTCACGTCATTCCTGATCATGTTCAATACGATGATCCCCATCTCGCTGTACGTGAGTATGGAGATCGTCAAAGTGGCCCAGATGCTCCTCTTGAACTCCGACATCGACATGTATGACCCGGAGACCGACACCCCGATCGAAGCCCGCACGTCCACTATCAACGAGGAGCTCGGTCAGGTCAGCTATATCTTCTCCGACAAGACCGGCACTTTGACAAACAATTCGATGCGCTTCCGAAAGATGAGCGTAGCTGGGACTGCGTGGTACCACGACTTCGATCTTCTCGAAGAGGCGGCCAAAGCGGGTGACCAGACGAAGCTGATCCACAAGAAACGCAAGGGAAAGAAGGCGATGAGCCGCAAGTCCAATGTTTCCGAAGCGCGGAGAGAACCTCCCCGAACCTCGACGTCGATGAACGGACCGCAAGTTCGTGGTATCTCCATGCGCAACCATCGAACCACCGATATGCTCAAGTATATCCAGCGCAAGCCATACACGGTCTTTGCCCGCAAAGCCAAGATGTTCATCCTGGCCATTGCCTTGTGCCATACCTGTATTCCGGAAGACGATGAAGCCGGGAATGTTTCGTTCCAGGCGGCATCTCCGGATGAGCTGGCTTTGGTCATGGCTGCACAGGAGCTGGGGTATCTTGTTCACGATCGGCAACCAAACACACTCACCATTCGGACGTATCCCAACGGACAGGATGACAAGGCTTGCGATGAGGTTTATGAGATCATGGATATCATTGACTTCTCCAGTGCTCGCAAGCGAATGTCGGTTGTGGTCCGCATGCCCGATCAGCGCATCTGTTTGTTCTGCAAGGGCGCCGATAGTATCCTGATGCGCTTGCTCAGACGTGCCGCCCTCGCGCAGGAGAAGGCGGGGGATATCGAGAGACGCGTGAGCAAACGGAAGGCGGCCGAGGCTGCCCAGGTCGTGAGGCGGAACAGCGAGTACCACAGCCGGAAGGACAGCGGCCTTCGGACCAGCTTCGGTCGACCGAGCACGACGCATCGCCGATCGAGCATCACCGGCGACCATGTCTCTGCGCTGAGAGAAAGTATCGATGTCTGGCTCCGTGACAGAGAAACTGACGGCGGTCGTCTGACCCGAGGAGACGATCCGGAATACTACAGCCCCCGGCCATCGGCACAGCTGGGACGGGCTTCTAGCACATGGTCGGACTCGGGAGTTCTGTCCATGATAACGAGGAGGAAGAACTTGTTGAGGAGGCGTTGGTTGTGAACGACGCCGCGGTGTTCGAGAGGTGTTTCCAGCATCTGAACGATTTTGCCACGGAGGGGTTGCGGACGCTCCTGTATGGACACCGCTTCCTTGACGATGCCACCTACAACGAGTGGAAGGCGGCCTATCGTGAGGCCTGCACCAGCCTTGTTGACCGGCAGGAGAAGATCGAGAAGGTTGGTGAGGATATCGAGCAACAGCTGGAGTTGACGGGCGCGACGGCCATCGAAGACAAATTGCAGAAGGGCGTCCCGGAGGCGATCGACAAGCTCCGGCGTGCCAACATCAAGATGTGGATGCTGACTGGCGACAAGCGAGAGACGGCCATCAACATCGGTCACTCTTGCCGTCTTGTCAAGGACTACTCGAACCTCGTCATTTTGGACCAGGAGACCGGAGAGGTTGAGCAGTCGATTGTCAAGATGACGGCAGAAATCACGCAAGGCACGGTGGCCCATTCAGTTGTCGTGGTTGACGGACAGACGCTATCGACCATCGAAGCCGATGAGATCCTGGAGGCGCAGTTCTTCCGGTTGGCCGTCCTGGTTGACTCGGTCATCTGCTGCCGTGCCAGTCCCAAACAGAAGGCCTTCCTGGTCAAGTCGATTCGCCGGCAAGTGAAGGGCAGCGTTACCCTTGCGATCGGCGACGGCGCAAATGACATTGCCATGATCCAGGAAGCGCACGTCGGCATCGGGATCACCGGTAAAGAAGGGTTGCAGGCGGCTCGCATCTCGGACTATTCCATCGCGCAGTTCAGGTTCCTGCTCAAGCTGCTCCTTGTCCACGGTCGGTGGAACTACATCCGCGCGTGCAAGTACACGCTCGGCACGTTCTGGAAGGAGATGCTGTTCTACCTGACCCAGGCTCTGTACCAGCGCTGGAACGGGTACACCGGCACCAGCTTGTACGAGTCGTGGAGCTTGAGTATGTTCAACACCCTGTTCACCTCTCTGCCGGTCATCTTCCTGGGCATCTTCACGAAAGACCTGGCTGCATCCACCCTCCTCGCCGTCCCGGAGCTGTACACCAAGGGCCAGCGCCATGGCGGGTTCAACATCCGGCTGTACCTCGGCTGGACATTCATGGCCGTGTGCGAGGCGATGTTGATATACTTCTGCATGTTCAGCCTGTTCGAGAACGTCATGTTCACCCACACAGGCAGCGACATCTTCTCCGCCGGTCTCCTCACCTTCACCGCCTGCGTTATCGTGATCAACACCAAGCTGCAGGTCCTAGAGGTCCACAACAAGACATATCTCTCCCTCATCATATGGATCATCTCCGTCGGCGGCTGGTTCCTCTGGAACCTGATCCTCACCGTGCGGTACAACTTCAGCTCCGGCGACGGCATCTACCACGTCCTCGACAACTTCCTGTACCAGTCCGGCCGCGACCTCGCCTTCTGGGCCGTGCTCCTCATCACCATCACGGCCGTCATTGTCTTCGAAACAACCGCCACCGCCCTCCGCGCCCTCTTCTTCCCCACCGACGTCGATGTCTTCCAGGAATACGAGCAGGATTTGGACATCCGCAAACGGTTCGAAGAAGCCGCCTCCGACGAGCTGCAGCAGGGCTGGGACCACGGGAAGAAGAAACCTAGCTTCGAGCTTGCGCGGGAGGAGGAAATGGAGGCCCGTGAGCGACAGGTGAGGGAGCTGCTTGCCCGGCCGAGGGTTATGACTACCAACACCAACAAAACGGGTTCCGGTGTCCCGGTTGAAACGGAAGACGTGGAACTCGAGGGTTATTATTCCTCGGGCGGGAATAACGGGCCTGATGGCGAGGAAGAGGAAGTGGAAGTCCCAAAGACCCCAAGACGGTCAGTCGAGGTGCATGAGTTGTTCTCGAAGGGGTTCGGGGCTATCCGGAAGGGTCATTTGAAGTGATGGGGGAAAAAGTTCAAACAATGAAGAAAAAGGGGAGGAAAAAGCAAAAGGGTTTGTGGATATTTGGTTTTTCTTGTTTCTGATGGGCACAGTACAGAGGTGCATTGTTGTTATTGTCTTGTCATTGTCCTTGTCATTGTTGATAATGATGATGATGATGATGATGATGATGTTGATGTTGTTGATTGAGCGTCCTGGCGTTAGAGTGGATACAATACCCCCCTGGTCGGTTCTCGTCACTCACTCATTTTTTTGTGTGTATATAGATATGTATTTGAATGGATGATGATGATGTGGAAGATTATGGTTATACATCGTTTTGATAGATCATTGCAGAGTGGGTGGTTTTAAGAAAAAGAGAGAGAGAGAGAGAGAGAGAGAGAGAGAGAGTAGTTAGTGTGTGGAGGAAGTAAAGTTGAGAGTCGAGACTGATGGACGGACGGACGGGTAAGCGGCAGTCCGGAGGGCCCGGAAGAGAATGCGGGTGTGGAGGCCGACTCCATAATCATCATATTATGATTAATTATTTGTTTGATGTGCTAGTTACATAACTTGCATGTGTTTGTTACTTTCACTAAGTTATCAATAATAAACAAGACCAGAGGGAGTTATGCCCCTAGGGAACCAAGTGGGGCAGGCAAAGTACACATACATATAGAGTATGTACTTGAATTAAGTACTACTACTTACTATACATGAGTTGAACTCGAACATCGAATCTCACGTCCGAGTGGGAGGGGTCACGGTGTTATATTAGTATTATATTTGTTTTATGCCTTCTTGCTTATCACTGTATGTATATAAGGCTTTTGGGTTTATTTATATAATAACTTGGTAGGATTAGAAAGAAGAACGCGGAGCGTGTACTAACTACTAAGAGGCGTGTTCGCGCAGGATGCTGTTATGCTGGGAAGTTCAACAACTTACCAGACGTCGCGTGAGGTGAGGTTGTTTACCTGACGGAGCATACCTAGGCCCCTTACTAGTAGGCTGCGTGGGTTGAGGTGGAGTAGGATTGTATATAGTAGGTGCAGCACTTCGAGCGGGAAGATGCTCACTCACTCAGCCTGGCACAGAGGGTTTTGAGGCTGTCTATATCCTGTGAGGAGCTTGGTAGAGCTTAGAGCTTTATCGAGCGGAGGTGGCGGGGATGTGTTGGGCATTTTGCTTAGGATAATGACAGCGGTAGGGTGTATCTGATGGCATTGAGACTGTTGGGAGGGAGGAGATGGATGGAGAGGAGAGGAAGAAGATGGAGAGGAAAAGGGAGAGGAGGGGAAGGGGGGGTGGAAATGAGTCGATGATGAGATACTTTGATTAGTGGTGACTTGGACGTCGTCGTCGTGATCAAAACGACCGGATTAGGGAAGTCGGGTATCAGACAGATGGAATTCCGCAAAAAAAATAACATAAATCATTCAGATCGTGAGATATCGACATTACATGACAGCCATGAGCCAAAGCCTCAATAATAGTTGTATGGAGTATACAGGCACAAAGAAACAGGAGATGGTATATTGTGCATCCACGGGGTATAGCCACATTGACGGGCTTCCTTTCACATAAATTGCTGCTCGAGGTAATTACCCAACTAGTCCTAGAGTTTATTAGCAAAGAGCCTTCTATCATAACTAGTGATTGGAAATCACCTTTTGCAGGACAATCTCTCCCTCAGCTCCCCATCTACGCAGCCAGCTCGTACGTGCGATACCCCCCGGGCAGTGACTGCTTCGTCGGAACTGGCAGCTCATACGCAGGTAGATCTGTAACGTTCCCCGATCTCTGCGATAAGGCGCGAGTCTTCCTCCGTCGACGCAGGAAGTAAAGCACCCCGAAGCATATGCCAGCCAAAGCGGCTGCTCCAACACCCACACCAGCCCCAATCGCAACAGTGTTCACGCTTGATGTATGTGTATGAGTATGAGAGGTGGCGGACGAGGAGGACGACGGTGCTGATGAGGTCGAAGAAGCGGTTGTAGCGCTGGTCATGGCAGTCATGGCCATGGTATTTGTAGCAGTTGCAGTCGCAGTCGATGAGGCATTGGCCTCCTGAATATAAAAGTCCGGGCTCCAGCTTTGCCATCCAAACAGGGCAATCCCATCGGCACCCAGCTCCACCGAGGCGTTGAACAGTCCGATCTGATACTCCGGGTCGGTTACGTTCAAGTCCCCCGGAATGGCCCAGCTGTACTGCTCGAGGGTGCAGTTGGCGGTTTCATTGACGACGAGTTGGTAGAGGGCACTGGTTTGGGTGAACTTGGCCCCGACTGAAGACGAAGACGAAGACGAAGACGCTGGGTCAGTTTCTGGTCGTCATCAAGAGAGAGTCTCTGGCACGCACCGACGATTTCATCGATGATCGACCCTCCCGCGCGGCCCAGGGAGATGTTCAGTGGCGTGGATCCGTCGTCGATCGCCCCCCACTGGAGATTGAGGGTGTCGCCTGGATTGAACTCGGTTCTGGTGAAGCCATACCACGTTCCGGCAACGCAGTTCTCAAAGCCCTGGGTGGACATCGCGCACCAACAGGGGCTGGATCGAGGGCAGAATGGGACGCTTGGGGATAGGGCTGGACGGACAGGCCAAGGAGGGCAGACACAGCAGGTAAACAAGCCGGCCAGCAGCAGAGCCCCCCCTCCTGGCGACCCAATATCCAGAGGTTCTAATATTAACCACCATCTGGTGGTCGGTCCTCTCCTGTTGCAGCCTTCCAGACAGCGTTCCTTATCCACGAATCGGACGCATGTCTTTGTTCCTGCGGCCACTGGCTTCGCAACGGAAGCGCTCCAGCAATTGGATACCAGCTGGATGGCTCTGGTCCGGACGACGTGGTGTGCTTCTGGTTACGGGCATTTCCGCGAACCACGATCGAGGCCTGGAGGAGTGACAGGAATCGAGCGGACCCAAGGCCACTCCCCGTCGCCGTTTACACGCGCCGAACACCCAATACCCCTGGATGCCCTGGTTGTGCTCATTTGCGAGCTGCATGTGGTGGGTCGGTCGACTCTGTGGTCAGCTGGTTTAAGCGCTGTTGGGTTTAGAGTGCGGCACGGTGTGCATTAGACCCTGGCTCTTCATTTAACCCCCCCCCCCAAAAACACCCAATCGTGGCACATGCTTAGCGCCCAGGAGCACCTGCTGCTCTTTTGATGGGCCTGGCGCAGCCTGCAGTCTGCAGCCTGATTCAAGCCGGGGCTTTCACTCTCTTTCGCCCAGTTCCGTGTCACCACCAACAGAAACTCACAAAACTTCCTCACTCTCAAGGCATGAGTGTCGGATCTCTTCTCCTTCCACTTTCACTTTCCCGTTCCTCATGATGGCTACTTTCCGAAGCCAGCTCCGGCGGCGAAATGCGCTCTTTGCCTTAGGGCTCGTGGCCATCTTCATCTGGACCTTCGCCTCGTTCTGGTCCCCCACTCCCAGCACCTCCTCCAGCCATGAGGAGTTCTGGAGGGACTTCCACCCTCTCTTGACGGCCTCGGCGCCCAGTGCCAAATCTCCAGTCCGACTGAGAAATGCCGAGTCGGTTGGCTTCGATCCAAAAAACACCGATCCCCTCCCCGATCTGCTGAAGCTCTCGCCGGAGGACGTATCAGACTTGAAGCTCGCCCATGGCAATTTCCTCGCCTCGATCAAACAAAGCCCCCCGAGTCTTCACTACCAACCTCACACCCGCGGCCTCGTTTCCACCGCCGGAGGCTCCTACCTGCCTGTCCTCGTCATGTCCCTCCGAATGCTCCGCCGCACGGGCTCGACCCTCCCGATGGAAGTCTTCCTCGCCAGCTGGGACGAATACGAAGGATATCTATGTCAGATCGTGCTTCCCTCCTTAAACGCGCAGTGCATCGTGCTGTCCGAGATCCTCGACGCCGTCAGCGACAGCAAGACCAAGATCGAGAAATACCAATACAAGGTGTTCGCGATGCTCTTCTCCTCCTTCGAAGAGATCCTCTTCCTCGACGCCGACGCATTCCCCCTCCAGAACCCCGAGATATTGTTCACCTCCGACCCCTTCCTCTCCAAAGGCCTCATCACCTGGCCCGACTTCTGGCGACCCACCACCTCCCCCCTCTACTACGACATCTCCGCCCCCGACCTCCCCCCAGAGACACCACGACCACCCAGCAACACCAACCCCCCAACCCAGCCACCATCCGCCAATCCACCGAGTCCGGCGAGCTCCTCCTCTCGAAGCGCACCCACACCCTCACCCTCCTGCTTGCAACCTACTACAACTTCTACGGCCCAAGCCACTACTACCCGCTCCTCTCGCAAGGCGCCGCCGGCGAAGGCGACAAAGAAACCTTCCTCGCCGCCGCAACCACCCTCCACCAGCCCTTCTACCAGGTCAGCGAGCCCATCCGCGCCGTCGGCCGCGGCACGCCCGACGGGTTCGCCGGTTCAACTATGGTCCAGTACGATCCGATCGAAGACTACCTGCTCACCACCAAGGGCGAGTGGCGCATCAAGGGTGACCCTGCGCCTGCTCCGCGTCCGTTCTTCGTGCACGTCAACTTCCCCAAGTTCAACCCCGCGACCGTGTTTACGGAGGGGCCGCCGAATCCTGTCGTCGACGAACGGGGGAAGTATACCCGCGCGTGGACGTCGCCGGATGATGTCGTCGCGGCGTTTGGGGGGCTGGAGACGGAGAAGGGTTATTGGACGGAGATATTGTGGACAGCGTGCGCGTTGGAGGGGAGGATTACTAGTTGGAGGGGCAGGGAGGATGTTTGTGAGAAGACGTCGGATTATTGGGATACCATTTTTGGGGATGGGGAGGGGGAGGATCATGGACATGGGTGATGGTAGTGGAGTTGGTTGGGCCTTGGCTCTCTTGCACAGGCTGCAGGACAGGACTCTTGAGATGACGTGACGATATGTACTTTGCTTTCCTTTTGTTTTCTCTTGTGCATAAAACGTGGACATAATGGGGACTAGATGGGTAGATTTCTAGAACTGGATGTATGTACAGGTAAGATATATCTCTGCCTTAGGACCATCTCCCTGAATTAGCTAACGTGAATACCATCATATTTTATCATGTCAATATATCTTAACTTGACAGTATCAAACAATATACATAAACTATGAGGTATAAAACTAGAGAAAAAGAAACTGATACTCGACGGGTGTATATTAACTGGTACCGTACTACCATTCCATCCTCCCTCACCATTCAAGCAAAAAAAAAAAAAAAAAAAAAAAAAAAAAAAAAAAAAAAGATAACGACAAGGATATATATTTCCCGCCCCCCAACTCAAAATCCACAAAATGCAAGCAAAATCCCTAACTATCTAATCCATCCCGTTGACTCAAAACGCCCAGTGATCAGTCCATCCATCCCTGCTAGCGGGCGATCGTGTCGCATCGCCTTTGTTTTCTGTCTTTGTTATGCATGTATCCTGATCTGTCCAGTTCGCTTAGAATGTTGATCTCGATCAACCACCCACCACCCACCAACCAACTAGCCAACTAACCAACTGCTAACAAACCAACTGCCAACCCCAACAATCAAGACCCTGACTCGCCACGTCAAACCTGCCTGCCTAAATCACGTCCAGCCGAGTCGAACCGCGTCGGGTCGAGTCGGGTCGAGTCAAGTCAAGTCAAGTCAAAGAAGCGAACCGTAAACCGTTCCTAGTCTTAACCCCCTGTGCCAGATACCCGTCTTCTTTGTTGCGGGGATATAAAGAGGTGTTTCAGGGTTGGAGACGGAGGATCCGGTAGATATGTCATGCATGCATGTGTGTATGCATGTGCATATAGGTCAGGGTATGTGTGCTGTAATAGGTAGTAGGTAGTAGGTAGTATAGAGAAGGATGGGGAATCCACCCGGGCACTCAGAACCTTGTACAGCCCACGGTGGTTAGTTAATGGTTCGATCTAATCCTATTAAATCCCAATCTAATGTGATCTTTGTAACTAAACCCAACCAACAGAACCCATCAAAGTGATGTGAAGATTATACGCATAACTACCGAAGTAAGTAGGTGGTACCTACCTGCCTACTATCTGCTTCATCTACTCCATCCTCTCGTTATTATTCTTTATCATCATGATCATACCCATACCTCTTCTTCTCTCCACTCACTAATCTCATGACCTCCCCGATGACAATCTGCAATATACCAAAAAAAAAAATTCCTCGTATAATTAATTACCTACCAAATCACCAAAGCATCCACATGCACCCTGCCAAGTCTAACACAACACAACACAACACAACGAAACAGCAAATCATAGAATAAAATAAAATAAGCTAACCATCATAATATAACATAACATACCAAACCCAACCCAACCCAGAGAGAACCAGACAGGTACATAATAATAAGTAGTAGATATAAATGTACTAGATAAGGTACTATAGATTACCAGGACCCCGATCCTGACCGCCTCCCCGAGTCCCGACATTCCCAAGCCGTCACAGACTGACGGAACGGCCGAATGATCGACTCTATAGCCGCATAGCCCGCGCTCCTGACTCATCACCTTAATTTGCGCGTGTCCGGTTGCGTTGCGTCCGTCCGTCTGTGTGTCTGTGTCTGTCGGTCTGTCATGGGAATGGGAATGTGGAGGTTTCCGCGCCAATTAGATTGGGAAAAGGGGGGGGGGGGGAGGGGGAGGATGGTGGGTTTCCGTTTCCGGGGGTCATGTTGGTGTTGGGAATTTCTGTCATATATGAAATGAAATGAATTGAATTATGGAGGAATGCGGGATGGGATGATCAGGGGGGGTATCTATATCTTGTTATGGAGTATGGAGTATCTATCTAGTGAATAGAATAGTGGTAGATGGAAAGGGGAAAGAAAGGAGATGGGGAGGATGAGGGATGAATGGACCGTGCATACCTACATGCTTACGGGGGGGGTTGAGCCTCAGGACACACTCCCTCCCTCCCTCTCTCCCCCTCAGAATGAATATGTAATCGGAATTCCCGATTCCTGAGCACAACCACACCCCTCTAACTGGCCAATCTATGTAGGTAGTAGTTAGTTTAGTTGGCAGGGTAAATTAGCCTAACTGAACATCCGACCTGCCCAGTGCCCAGTATCTAGATAGATACCTATCTAGTGCCCAGTGCCAAATGCAAAACAGGTTGGTTGGTTGTCCGGTGGAGCCTAGAACTACCTACTAGTATAAGTTATACTATACTAGGTAGGGGAGGGAGCGAGACACCACGCCTGCCTCTAGACCTTCTTCTACCTTCTACCTAGTACTCCGTACCTAGATAGAACTAGAGTGCTAGACTACTAGATACGTACCACGCACGCCTGCCCCGTGCTCTAGGCAACAGATCCTGGACCCGAATAAACACTAGCAATGGGCAGACTGGCGACTGGCAGGCAGGGCAGTGAGTGGTTGGAATCTTGGAGGGTACGGACTACGGACTACGGAGTACGGATAACTACTACTTAACTAGCAGAGTTAGTACGTGGTAGGGGTTTCGCCGCGCCGAAATCCGAGCACTAAGAGACACCGGTAAATGCCAAATCACGGGTGCAGACACTATTGAAACCAAATGGGGCAGATCTGGGGCGCGATCGAGTAGTAGGAGGGTATGTAAAGAGTTAGACTGGGCTCATAGGCTGACCGTGTGTGTGTGTGTGTGTGTGTGTGTGTGTGTGTGTTACGGTTACTGTTCCGGACGGAGTCGGAGCGTCCGTGTCGGGGATTCAGAGCGGAGAGGGAGGTATTCGGGTTGGGGTCGTACGATGAGGATGAGGACGATGACGATTGGCATGATGTGGATGGAGATACGGAGTATGGGTTGGATGAATGATGAATGAATGAATGGATGAAGGGGCATTCTTCGTGGGGAGGACTCAGGAAGGGAGGGGGGGGGGGCAAGTGATGCAGGATGATGGATCCAGGATGCAGGATGCGATACCGATACAGCGCACCCCTATCACATCCAGACTAAGCAGGCTAGCAGGTGCTGGCCGCTTAGCGCCAGCGGCAAGTCTCGACTCCTCCATCGGTGACTTACCCGGTGCGGCAAGGCGCGGGCGTGCCTGTCCTCGGGCGGTCGGAGAGAACGGCAGCTCAATCGTCATCCGGCCTATCACCTGCTGTGGCTGAGTTGGCCTGGACCAATGGCAGGGGTGAGATGCACGGATCACCTGCGGGTCCGGTCTAAATACTTGCCCGAACCGGCTTAGCCCAGGTCGTACAACCGGAAGTCAGGCAGGTACCTTCATTTGAGGGCCGAAGCGGATGTACATTCAAGTTTCCTGGGCGTGAAGGAAATGCGCTGCGTACCTGCGTCCTGCATCAAGCATCCAGTGCACCTGAAACGGAGGGGGGGGGAGACATCCCAGTCGGATGGATATGTGGATGGATAGAAAGGATTGATTCTCATGAGGATCCCGTTCGCCAGGTGGCCTGCCCTACCGTATTAATAGTAACAGGCTCGTGGGTTCGCTGCTATCTAGCCGCCAGGATTAATTAATTTGTAAATTGAAAATTGATAGACTCGATTGTAGTCTGACTGGTGACTGGCTAACAGCCTCTGTAGATACTACAAGATAGATAGTACTTAGTCTGTACATAAGGAGTTTATTGGGTTTGTACAAGTCAGCACGAGTGCCGAACAACGCTTCTCCACCCCCTAGCGCTGTCATGCACAGCCGCCCAATCAGCGCCGGCCGGATGGCGAGGGAGGGGCGGGTACCTGGATCGAATCATTGAAAAAGTGGGAGTGAATTGAGGTGCGGTCGGGTAGGGATGGGGAGAGGCGAGGGGACGACATATTAATAGAATCATCCACCATGTCGATAGCTGCGAGCCACGGCTGTCTGTCGCCTGTACCTGAGGGACTTCAAGTGTGGGAGGCCACTCATACGACCGAGGGCCGGGCAAGTGAGGTCAGTTGCCGGGATCCTGACCCGAATTGACTTTCCAACTACACCGGCGCCCTCCTGATTCTGTGGCTCTCATCCACGGTTCTGACCGGGAGCTGCACACAAGTAACCGTAAACAACGCCCTTTCTGCCAGTCCAACGCTGAGGCTGAGAGGGAACCTTAGTCATGCCCTTTTGGACTTCATGGTTCAGGAACCCGGTCGAGTGGCAGGTTCCCCCCCTCCTTCTTGGGCCTTGAGATTGGGAAGTTGGGACAAGATTCCCCTTGGCGTCGCCTCTTTTTTTTTTTTTTTTTTTTTTTTTTACCTTTCTCCCCTCTCTGTCCTTGTTTCGGCAAACGATGAGGTCACTCCACCATATTAAACCCTTTCTGTAGCTTGTCAATTGTCGGGCGCTTATGCGATCCCGCCCGGGCTTTCGAACGGTCCAGGTCACGTTGTGCCTGGTTCGCCGGCCCCTGTTCGGATCCCTCGGTGGGCTCGGCTGCGCACCATGTCTCTGGAAACTGGAGTATACTACGGAGTATCTATCTGCTAGTTCTGCCAGGCGAGAGGCGAGGAGAGCTATGACGGACGACGCATGGTAACTATTTATGGATGGAAGATGTCCGTCGGTTGCAGTGCCTGTGCCTGGTGCCTTGCGTAAGGCACCGGGTTGTCTCCGTCGCGTCCGCGCTGGGGAGGTCCAAGGCGCGAGGACTGAGGAGGGGCCGCGACTGGCGGGGGAAAAGTACCAAGTACGAGCATAACCTAAACCATCCTGATGTTGCAGTAGCAGAGCTGCAGAGGGTGGTGCAGTGCACAGTGCAGTAAGAGGGCTGCAGACGGACGCTGATTGGCGAGCAGGGATGCTAAACAGCATCGGGCAGCAGGTGTGAGTGTGAGTGTGAGTGTGCAGCAGCCGCGACTGGATGCAGGGGCTAAAACAAGGCGGTGGGCTGGTGGTGGTCTAGTCCGGGTCTGGTTGGTAACCTGTAACATTCTGGTCTGCTTCAGGCCATGTGAAATTCTGTAACATCCCAGACGTTTGACGAGTCGCGATGGAGACTCCTCGTCACCATAACAATCCCACAGTAATGCCTGGCGCCAAGCCATTGGAGATACTCGGTGGTAGTATTTGTAGATAAATACGAGATGCGATCAGTCGAGGTTGGATGGGTTACCCCTATACGGAGGACGACCTGCCTGCCTACCACTCACTCACTCACTCGTCTACTACCTACTGTACTCCTACAGCTACAGGCTCGTTAAAATACAGGGAGAAAAAACAAACGGATACAAAACGGAGCAAAAGGGAAAAGGGAAGACCGGCCAACCAAAAAAAAGGAAAAGGGAAGAGAAAAAGAAAAAAAGACAGAAAAGGGAAAAAGAAAAAGAGCGAGAGGCGGCCAGCCCCACGGACTGGAGAAGGTCAGGAACAGCCGGTGCCAAAACAGTCCAGCGCCAACCACAGGCCCGCTAACCGCTTCGGGCCCTCCCCCATCCATCTCCTGACCTTCTCGCTCGCTCGCCTGTCTCCTCCTCCACCCGTTTGTCTCGCTCTCTCTCCTCTTCTTCCCTTCTCTTCCCTTCTTCTTCTTCCCTTCTTTTCTCTCCCCTCCTCCCCCCCCCATCGGCCATCTCCACCTTCTTTCCTTTCCCCATTCACTCTTTTTTGCTGTTTTCTTACCCTTCCATTCTTTCGTTTAACCACATTCGCTCGCTTCAGTCGATCGTTACACTCTTTCACGATCCAACTTGATCTGTCTATCCATCTATCCTGCGTCTTCGCTTACCCCCCGGACGGTGATCCATCGAAGCATTTGTCATCTCAAAAACATCCTGCCTCGAAAGCTGTACCAGCCTGCCCATCAACGACACGTCCGGCTCTACTCTGGTCGCGAAGATTAGGATCTGTTTACCCCTTCCAGCTGCCTAGGTCGGCTGTTTATATTCTTCCACCTTTTACGCTTCTGCGACGCGCCCATCCGCCCGCGCTTTGCGTTCTGGAACCTCCGGCCCTCCATCCGGTCTCCAGCCAAAGCGCTTCCATTCGTTTGATACCTCCCGCATTCTCTGGCGCTTGACGCTGCTTCAGAGGACCGAATCCCCCCTCTATCCTCCACTGTCGGCCGGATCGTCACAAATCGTCTGCCCCCTTCTCCACCTGGGAACCCCCCGTTTTCAGAATTTGGCCGTATCTCCTTTTCTACATCTATCATCATTCAACTTCGCCCAATCCCTGCAAACATGTCTTCGAGAGACACCCCTGACCCCTCGACCACGTCGAACTCTTCTATCGCCACTGCACCCACCATGACCTCGTCTTCCTCCACCACGTCGAGCCCGTCCCCGGCCCTGTCCGATGCCACCATGACCCCCTCCGCCTCGGCACGTCGACCCCAGCGGAAGAGCACTTTGACCCAACAACAGAAGAACAACAAGCGGCAACGGGCCACCCAGGATCAACTCGTCACCCTCGAGGTCGAGTTCAACAAGAACCCGACCCCCACGGCTGCCACCCGCGAAAGAATCGCCCAGGATATCAATATGACTGAACGGTCCGTTCAGATCTGGTTCCAGAACAGGTGTGTAATCCGCCCTCGCGATGTCTGGACACCCCCGCTGACTTTACATAGACGCGCCAAGATAAAGATGCTCGCGAAGAAGAGCATTGAAACCGGGGAAGGCTGCGACTCAATTCCCGAGTCCATGCGCCAGTACCTGGCCATGCAATTCGACCCGAGCAAGCCCGGTGCGAGAGATCCTTTTGGCCGCACAGGGGCATATGGCGCCGGCGGCGTTTATCCCCACGAGGCGGCCCCGTCTGGCAAAGTTGGTATGTTTACGATGCCCCTTTATGTGATCTAGAGGGAATGCTGACTGCAAAAGTGATTCACCACTTCACATGTCGGTCCTTGACTATCGGAAGCTGGCGACGTATCGGACAGAATGCGATGGACCTGGTGGTCTTCTACTCCCCAGAGAAGGCCTGCATGACCTACTATATCAACAACGATTCTGCCGGTTACAAGATCGAATACCCCTTTGCCTACATCAAGAACATCACTCTGGAAACCGGCGACCAGACTCCCCAGACCAACGGCGCCCCTCCGCGGCCGGGCGGCCTGGTGGTGGAATTGAACCGGCCTCCTCTGTTCTACATGGATTCCTCCAACTCTGGTGGTTTCTACCAATGCGGTGATTTCACGGAAGACCAGCAAGCCAGCCAAATCATGGTCCACCACCTGGGGGGCCATCCCAAGGTTCTCAGCGTGCAGCTCGCCAAGCTGGTCTCGCTGGAGTCCTTCCAGAACCGCCTCGCCTACAACAACTTCGCGATGAACCCGCCCATGTCGCCTCCCTTCATCCAGCGCCCTGCGTCGCAGCCGAATCAATTTGCTCAGCCCGCCTTCTTGAACATCTACCCGGAAAGTCACCCTCATCTGAGCGTCCAGGCGATCCGCGGACACAAGCGTCAGCGCAGCCGTTCGGTTCCGGTAGCCGTCGACTTCTCTGCCATGCAGGCGCCTCTCACGCACTACAACATGCCTCAGACTCCCGCACAGTTCAACCATGCCGATACGGGCATCTTCGCACCTGTTCCTCAGTCAACTCACCCGTTGGCTATGAACCTCCGGATAGACACATCTGCCGCCTTTGGGTTCGACCCGCGGGCGCATCCCATGTCGGCCACGACGACGGCGTCGCCGTCCGAATTCGCCAGCCCCGGGCTTTTCAGCGCCGGAGCTGGCGGGGACTCGACCCCTGTTGCGACCAACATGGGCACCCCTTTCAATATGCCTTTCGTCTCGCCAGCGGTTGACTCAACTGTGGCGCCCCAATCAGCTTATTCTAACGTCAGTCATGCCGATCCTATGATTGCAAACCATTCTCCCCCGTTGTCGAACCTCTCCCACGCCTCGCAAGACATGTACCTTGGAAACGAGCACCAGCCCAGCTATGGGGATGATGCGATGTCCATGAATGGACTCTATTCCAAGCACAACATGAGCTTCGCGGTTCCCACGTCCATGGGCCTTGAGAGTAGCACCTTTGATCTGCCGATGCAGACCATGTCCGGCCACACTTCCCCCGGTGTCCACGGCGACTTCCAGGGCCTGACCCTGGAGAACGTCGATCCCAACTCCTTGGCACCCGGTTCCTGAGGGGCTTGAGTACTCCTCTTGCTCCCGGTCCTTTCTGGGTTGTATACGCCATTTCTCTTATTCAGCCTCGGCAGGATAGGTACCACCGAGCAGTCGGGTTTCCTACCAAACATACACATGGCCAGTTGCTTCGAACCCCCTCGGCCGATAAGACCATCCAGGCATGTGCCGGAGCTCTCGCCAATTGACAACGACGGGGAGGATGTCTTCCTTCCTGAATTATGTTCTCAGCGTTTCTTCTGTATTAATAACCTTCTTTACGGGGCTGGTCCTGAGCGTTCATCGCATTTTATCTTGTCCCCCGCCGGCTCGCTGGGGGGTTTCTTCACCCTTCTTCATTCACCCTTGACCACTTTTGATTTTCCTTTCTTTGTCTTCTATACCTGGTCAGGGGTTTTTTAACGTGGTTATGCCAGAAAGTCAGACTAAGATGGCGACATTCGGTTCATTTTCACTTGGTTTCTTCTGGGTTGGCGGGTTAGGAATCGTTTGCATATTCCCTTTGTGATGGTCATTTGTTGCCCTGAGAGTGGTGCGCCTCCCGTCATCTAGCATCTCATCTGTGTTGATAACTTGCCCGCGGTGCCGGATCGTGGCGGAGCTGAGACAATCTCCGCCTGGATCTCGAGCACCGCCGATATGGAGACAAATTCTCAGGTGCAACCTGAATCATGAAACACGATCGGTCCACATCCGTAGCACCGCCCGTGGCACTGCCGACCTAGAACCGAGGACGGCGCCCATCTATCTAGGACAGGGTATCGTAGTACTAGTACAGCCGGTAAACCTAATCTGAATTACTCCTGACTAGCAGGATGATTCGCATCCCACCCCCTCGGCAGCGGCGCCTTCAGCCCCCTCGACCCGCGCAGATAGCCCTCGACCCAAACCTCCATCTTCTCCAGCAGGTTCATCTGCCGCGCCCCCTCCGTCACACCATCGCGGCACCAGACGCTCCACGACCCCATCGCGGCGGCCATCAACACGTCCGTCCCCAACCGATCCCCCACCACGGCAATCTCATCCGCCCGCTCCACCACGCCCCTCTCCCGAAACCACTCCAGCACCTCCCGCCCACAGAACGGCTTCTTCTCGCTGCCCGCCGGCAGCACGAACACCGGGATCCGCAACTTCATCTCCCCCAGCTTCTCCTCGAGGGAGCGGATCTCCGCGTCGTAGCGCGGGTGACTGCCCGCGCGGTTGGAGACAATGAGGATGCTGTTGTCGTGCCGGAACGGGGAGGTCGCGGAGGTGCGGAGCGCGTGTAGTTTGTCGAGGATTTCGGGCACGAAGGTCGTCGTTTTCGGGTGGCAGAGTGTGTTGTCTTTGTCGAGGACGAGGGCGCGGATTGTGGGTGTTGGTGGGTGGGGGGTGGGATTGGTGCTGGTGGTGCTGGTGGTGCTGGTGGTGCTGGTGGTGCTGGGGCTGGGGGCGATGAGCGCTGGGCCGAGGTTCTCGGGCAGGTGAGTGATTGTTGGGATGGTGAGGTGGGGGAGGAGTTGCGAGGGTTGAGTGAGGAGGGTCGTTACGGCTAGGGTGAAGGCCCGGAGGTTGCTGTTTGGGGATTGCATTTTGGATTGGTTTTCTCTTGCTGTTTGGGTGGGCTTCGGGGTTTGGATGGAGATTTATGGAGATAAATGGAGATAGATGGAGATGGGATGGAAATGAGTGGGGTGATGGTGGATAGATCAGTTGCGTAAGTGATGCATGGTACACGGAACGTAGGGAGGGGAGAGACAGACGAAGATCCGGATCGATGTAGTCTAGAATGGATGGACGAGAAAGAACGGAATGAAGGAATAACAACTAGTTATGGCAGGAAGCTTCGGCTGACTACTTCCTTCCTTCCTGGCTGGTCTTGGCCGCAGAGCCGCAAAACTCTCCGCCGGCGGAATCAGGCGCGCGCCAACGACAGACACTCGCCAGTCAGTCATTCTATTCCCTCCGCCACTGTCCTGTCGCTGTCTTGCTCTGATATTCCCGATTCAAGAAGAGCCGTTCGTGTCTCTTTTGTTACTTCTTTCTGACCTCCCCCCCTCCCTCCGCAATGGGCAAGTTGACCAGCACGATCGGTATCCCGATCAAGCTTCTTAACGAGGCGCAGGTGAGTTCCGTTCCTGGAGACTATGTATATCTGTCTGTGCTTCTGGGTTAGAAGCTAATGGGTTGTTTTCTCCAGGGCCATGTCGTCACACTGGAGATCACTTCGGGCGTCGTCTACCGTGGAAAACTTCTAGAGGGTGCGTCTCCGAGCGACCGCTTCATCGACCTTCTTTCCTCCGTTTTTGCTACACTGCCGTCGCGATATACTATACTTCAAGGGAGACATACTGATACTGACTCCATCCATCCAGCCGAGGACAACATGAACGTCCAACTGAAGGACATCACGGTCACCGCGCGCGACGGTCGCGTGTCACATCTCGACCAGGTCTACATCCGGGGAAGCCATGTGAAGTTTTTCATTGTGCCGGATATGCTTAGGTTGGATCCTCCTTCCCTATTCCTCTTTTCGCAAACATTACTCCCGGCGTCATACTTTTCCGTTGCAAATAAGGAATCCTGGAACAGAAAGAAGCTAATAATACATCATCTAGAAACGCCCCCATGTTCCGCTCGAGAGGCCAGCGCGGTCGCGGTGTCGGTCTGGCTCGTGGTAAGGCCACGGTGCAGAGGGCTCGGGGACAGAGACGGGGCTGAATGGCATGAGGGTGTCTATCTATCTATCTGATCGGCGTTTTTGTTTTCTTTGTTGTGTGTGTGTGTCATATCGGGTCTGAAAATCAACTGAAATCGAAATCGGATTTGGGATATACCCTGTTTCTTGCTGGATGGTTGGTTACTGGGACTATGAGGGATATCGAGGGTATAATAGGGGTTGTTGCTGCTCAATCGAGGGTGATGGGGATGATGGCTACCGTCTCATACCGTACCATCTTTAGACGATTAAAAAAGGATGGGGATTGGAATGCGTAATAAAAGAATAAATGACCTGACATCATAACTAGCAATTTTGACCATGTGTTTGTGAGGTGCTTGGATCCCTCGTATTCGCATATTCGCCCCAGTCCTGAGCTGAGCTCCCCTCCTCCGTCCCCCGCACCTTCCCATCCCTCACCGTTCCATCATCCGTCTATTCTCCAACAATTCTCCTCTACAAACCCCCCAGACAGAAACCATGACAACAACAATCCGCAACCCCCGTCGCCTTCTCATCCTCTCTCCATCCACTCACTCCCCCTCAATCATCCCCCCGCTCCTGCACTCCCTAACCGGCGTCCCGGTGGCCGCGCCTCCGGCAGCGACAGCACCAGACACACCACCAGCAGGAACACAACCAGAAGCACAAACAGAGACAGAAATAGAAACAGAAACAGAAATACCCACCCTCTCCGACGCCGACACCCTCGCCCCCTCCTCCCACTCCAACGCCTCCTCCACCGCAACAATCGCCCCAACACCAACACCAACACCAACACCACCCCCAGCTTCAGCACCAGAAGCGGAACCACCCACCACCACAACATTCGCCGGCTACACCACCCACCCGCCCCTCCACATCAAAAACAAATACTACACCGCCGACATCCCCATCTGGGTCGACGAGATCCCTCTCTCGGCGCCCCCAACTTCCTCCGCCACCGCCGCCGCCACCACCACCACCACACCTCCAACCACAACCGCAACCACACCCGAACCCACCACGCCCCAAACATGGAAAACCTCCTTCTCCTCCCCGGAAGCCCAAGTCGTCCGCGAAGCCATCGGCGCCGTGATGATCTGTTTCCGGAACCCGGCGTCGAGGTCCATCCCCCTCCCTCTTCCTAACGGAGATGAGGATGCGCATGCGCATGCGCATGCGGATCTAGAGTCCCGGGAAGACGTGCGCCAACTCAAATCGTTCGTGCAGGCGGTAGGCGAGGTGCGCGCGCTGATTGAGGAGGAGAGGGGTGGGTTGGGGGTTGCGGAGGTGCCCGGGGTGGTTGTTTTGGTGGGTGGGGAGGGTGAGGGGCGTGGTAATGGTGCTGGTGCTGGTGCTGGTGCTGGGGATGGTACTGGGGAGGAGATGCTGGGTGAGGAGCCATTTTCGGTGGGGTGGTGGGAGGATCAGGTTTGTGAGATGGGGTTGATTGGGGTGGAGGTTGTGAGGTGGGATCCGAAGGGGGATGGTTCTGGGGATGGGGAGGGGAGGAATGTTTATGGAGGTAGGTTTTTTGTGGCCTTGTCTGGTCATCTACTTCTGGGGAGGGGGATGGGTTGAGTATCTGGTACTAACTATAATGCAGAGCTGCAGGGGATGCGTCGCATCAAGGAGGTGCTGGAGACGCACGATTGGGCTGTGACGGAGGGGGAGGACATGGGTATGGGTATGGGTATGGGGACTGGATTACTCGATGATGACGACCTGGAGAGAGAGCTGCTGGGTCTGGACGAGGGGGAACATGGGTTCGATCTGGAGGTGAATGAGCTGGAGCGCGAGATGGTTGGGCTGCGGATGGCGATTGAGCGAGGCGGGGGCGATGGATTTGGCTTTGATGACGATGAGGAGGTTGATGATGAGGAGCTGCGCGTGGACGCCGTCGAGGCGTTGCTGCTGCGCATGCGCGCCATTAAGGGTAGTTATTCCTTCCTTCCTTCCTTCCTCCCTCCCTCTCTCTCTCTCTGTTTCTTCACTTCTCTCCCTGAATGGCACGAACGCGGGCTAATATGGAGACCAGATATCAGCGACGAGTTACCGGAAACCGAGCGGAAGCGATTCGCGGCGAAGGCAGTGCGCGATATTATGAAGGAGTTGTAAGTATGATCGGAATTACTATATATTCTGTTCTGTACAAAGGAAAGAAAGGAACAGAACAATATCTATAGCTGCTGCGTCTATATCTGTATTATTATTATTATCATCATCATCATCATCATCTCACGCAGATCCTGTATCTATCTACCTTTTTTTTATCGTTGTATATGATGTATCCATCCATCTTTACATACCTACGGAGTACACATTACCCATCATCCATTCATCCATTCATCCGCATCTACCCACCACCAGACACCCACCACGAGACATATATCTAATCCTTCTTCTTCAACGCCTTCCGTCTCTGCGCAATCATATGCGTGTACAGAATATACGACCCTAAACAAACCCCGATATCAGCACCATGCATTCACCCAACCACGAATCAGAGAGAGAGAGAGACAAACTCACCAGGAACATAAATCCCCAACACGACGACCAAAAACCAGCGATAAACGGGCATCCACTCCGCGGCGGGGCCCAAAGCCATGACAACCATGACGCACTCGCTCGTGATTCCAAGAGGATAGAGCACATAGAAAGTGTTATACCTGCCACGCACACACAGAGATTAGCCAGGAATCCTCAAAAAACCAAATCCCCCACAGGCTGTGAAGTAAGGTAGTAGTAGAGAAGGAAGGAAGGAATGAAGGAAGAAAGGAAGGAAGGAAGGAAGGAATGAAGGGAAGGGAAGGGCAGGGAAGGGAAATACAAACCTCAACCAAGCCCACCACGCCGGCACACCCAGGCCAGAAACCTGAAGCACAAAAAACCCATACCGGATACACTCGGTAATTCCCCACGCAAACACACATCCCAGGAACCCGTAGTCAGCCACCTGCACCTGCACCTGCATCTGCTCTTCGCCTCCCTCCATGCCTTCCACGCCCACAATCCCCTTCCTACCAGCTTCACCAGCTCCAGCTCCAGCTCCAGCTCCAGTTCCAGCAACAGCCACCCCCCCCTCACGGAAGAGATACATAATCCCCCAGACCAAGAGAATGCGACTGGCGACCTGCATGGCGGTAGTGAAGACGGGGGCGCGCACGAGCCCGACCACGCTGTGCAGGATCTCGAGCAGGGCGAGGGACTGCGTGGCGAGGAGGAGCGGGAACACGGCGGTGAAGATCTGGGGGAGGGGGGTCTGTTGGAGTAGCAGGAGGGAGAGGGCGTGGACGGTGCTGGTGGCCCAGAGGGTGAAGGAGAGGAGGTTGTAGAGGGTGAGGTAGACGCGGGTGGGTTTACTGGGGGGTTTGGCGGATTTCGGTTTCGGTTTCGGTTTTGTGTTGGGGTGGTGGTTGTTGGTGGTGGTGGTGGACATTGTGGCGGTTGCGGGTGGGGGGAGGGGAATGAAGGGTTGTTGGTGGTGGTGGTGGTGGTTATGTTGCTGTCAGGAGCAGTGAGGGCAGCGAGAGGTGAAGAGGTGAGGATGTGAGGATGTGAGGATGTGAGGATGTGAGGATGTGAGGTTGTTTGGAGTACGGATGGATGGAGGAATAGTTGGGGCGGGGGCTGATTGGTTGGGGACAGCTGGTGGGTTAGGTAATCACCCCGGATTTTCGTTGAGGTCGACTTCTAGATAGAATGGATGTGGAAGGAATGCTTCAGATGCAGTGATCCTGCACAATCAGTGGAATCAAGCTGCACAGCTACAGGGAAAACACCACAATCATGCATTAGTCAATAAATTCGAAAATACTACGCACGCTAGCACATCTCCGACGAATCATCGCGGCCTGTCGCCGCCCACTTCAGTATTGAAACAAAAAATCAGACTCTCCTATAACAAACACAAACACTCGAGCACGCTAAATCAAGGACACAAATGCAAACACGCAGCTTCATGGGGCGAGGAAAGCAAGGCGAGAAAAGCCAGCCTCCACTCACGCAGGAGTCAGTCGGCAACTCACTCACTCGGTTGCCCCTCGCCATCCGCTGCCAAACAGTTCGTGACCGTACAATATCATGACATTCGTGATCCTCATCATCGCTGTTGTAAATACGGTGCGAATAAGGTATACCACTGAGAAGGGAAGGAAAGACAGATGCCGAGCAGGAGCCAGGGCGCTCCGGGCCAAAAGGAAAGTGACGTGACAAGACAAGACAAGACAAGAGAGAGAACGCTTCGTGATGACAAGGCGAAAATACGAACAGAGCGATGCGATCGCTAATTTGTTTGCTGCGAGTCTCATAATCATAAAATGCCGGCATATATCATGGTTTCGTATCGTGCACTGCTGTCATCTGAAAGCCGTAACACGTCGTTCAGTTTGCGCGAATCACAAGTCGGGAAACAAACTTGTTGGATAAACAGTCGAAGTCATTGCGGTTGAATTTGGATTGCGAGCGTCCGCGAAGGTAGCTCTCTGCGACGGGTTAGCATGTCTGTCCCCTTCCATGCGGGCTGTGGATCATACCAAAGTTGGTAACGTGCTGGCGGACCTCAGTCATCGTGTCGCAGACGTCGCGATTCGAGTGCAGCAGGTGGTGGTGCTTTTGCGTCTCCCAATCCGTGAAGGCTGGGAGCTTCTGGGAAATCGCCTGGAACAGCCCGACGATCACGCCCACGGGGGTCGTCTCCATATCGTTGCAGAACTTCTCCACCGCAGCAGCATCCTAGCGAAGTATGTCAGCATCGTCGCCCGCCTATTACATCAATCAAACTCACCGGAGTCCGGTAGTGGCAGTCAAACTGCATCTCCTCCCACACCGCCAACAGTATCGAAGCCAGAATGAAGATTGTCGGCCAGTTCTTAAGCTTGTCTCCACTGTAGACACTCGAGTAGAGACTAGACAGCTCTTCCAGCACATCTTTCTGCAGCTCGCGCCACATGTTCGCCATGGCGCACTTGATCTGGAAGTTGATCATGACCGGCGCCACCGTCTTGCCCTTGAATTTCGAGGTCTGATCCTGGATCTTGCCGGAGAACGGCTCCTCCTCGCCCAGCCCCTCCACCATGGTGACGTGGAGCGTCAGGTTGTACGCAATGACCAGCTTCAGCGCCTTCCGGATCACCGGCAGCTTCGTGCGGTAGTAATACCGGAAGGCCGTCTTGAGCATCTGCGTCAGGAACGGCGTACCCTCGAAGTAGTCATCGACAAACTTTTCAAAGGTGCCGTTGCCGTCGATGTGGCGATCCAGATAGTCTGACAGCATCGCATGCGAGATACCTTCCATTCCGGCGGACAGCTTGGCCGTCTCGACCTCGTACTGCGTGGGTTCCCGGTTCATGGATTCGACCCAGTCAACACCAAAGCACTGTTCGTCGCGCACGTAAACCTCGCGAGCATTGATGGGGAGGACGTGGCCATAGCCGTGGGTGATGAAGAGAGTCGTCTCGTGCTCGGAGAATCCCTTGATGTTTCCGACCGTAAAACCCAGAGCGATGTGGCGCTCATAGTCCGCCTTCCAGTCCTTCATGAAATACCCGATTTCCTTAATATCAATCCGCGTGCAGGGGACCTGCCACAACCGAGCATGGGAGGGCTGGCAGCCGGCGCAGGGCTCGCCTTTGTCGCACTGTTCTGCAGTCAGTACGGTGGCTTGACAGGCTGTGAATCGTGATCGGGTCAGTATCTTACAGTCTTCTTCAAGAACTTGCAGCGCAGGCATGCCCTCAGCTTACGGATCTCGCTCGCCTGCTTCCGCTGGTCCGGCTTGAGAGGTCCCTTGCGCTTGCCCACACGCTTCTCGGTTTCCGGCTTGCCGTTCTGGGACTGCTTGCGGACCTTGGTCTCGGCTGTCTTGGCGGCAATCGGACTCTTGCGGGACGGCTTCCGACTCGGCGGCGAGGCCGAGGACGCCTGGGACCCGGAGGAGCGCGAGGGCGGGGAGGACGCCTTCTTGGATGGCACCGGGATGGGCCGGACAATGGCTACAGGGCTGACGGCAGTCGGGGACTGGGAGCCGTGGGAGGTGTGGTCGTAGGAGACGCGACGGGCGGCCATGCTGTTGTTGAACGCAATGTCGAAGTTGCTGTCGGAGCTGGGCGAGTTGATGGGATTCGTGATCTCCACGAAGCTGCCGTAGGAGGTCGAGTAGGAGGACTCAGACAGACTGCGGTCATGCAGGGTCTGGGTGGGATTGATGAAGATCCCCTGATCCGGGAAGAACTCGTGGGAGCGGCGGGGCTCGATGGTGCTCCAGCCGTTGTCGCTGCTGGAGCTGGTCAGAGATCGGACCTCCAGGTAGGTGTCGGTGGGCGAGCTGCTCTCGATCACGTTGTGGGGGGCGCCGTAGGCGGTGGTGAAGTCCGGGAGCCCGTCGGGCTGGGGGAAGGCCATGAGGTCGGCCTGGAGGTCGTGGTAGGGGAAGGGCACCATGTCCGCCGGGGCAGACAAGGGCAGGTAAGGACCGTCCAGCAGGCTCGTGCTCATGTGCGCGTGGGCTCCGGACATGAGATCCACGGGGGACGAGTGGATGGGCATGCCATAACCGGCGGTAGTGAACTGGGGGGCGGAGGAGGCCTCCTCATGGGCGTAGTGGAGGTGGGGTTGCAAGTGCTGGAAGTGCCAGTCGACCATCAGATGAGGATCCTGAGCTACCGACTGTTCGTAAGCGTGACCGCTGGTTTGCAACGGCGAGATGTCTCGCGCTCCATCGGATCGCTGCGAGGCCTGGTGGTCCACCGCTACGGGCCAGGACTGCGCTTGGATGTAGGTTCTGGGGTCGTAGTCTAGGCCGATGAAGCCGTCGCTCGATAAGTCGACATTGGACATGATGACGGCGGGACTATGTACCACGATGAAGGGGAGAAGGTAAGGAAAGGGATTGCATGAAATCGAAGGGGGAGGGAAGGGAAGAAAAAAAGGAAAAAGACGGGACAATCCAACGGGCAGGTGGAGTGATAGACAGATGGAGAGACAGGAAGAGAGAGAGGGAGAGAAAGGTGGTACAAAAAACAAATAAGAGGGAGGATATGGGGGTGGGGGGGGGTGTGAGAGTGAGAGTGAGAGTATGTGTGTGTGTGTGTGAATTGGGGATGTGGATGTGGATGAGAATTGAGGATGGGGATGGGGATGGAGATGGCAATGGGAGGGGGGGGGGGGGGGGGGAAGGGAAGAATAGATTGACAGACAGGATAGACAGGCAGATCAGACAGACAGACAGGACAGAACAGGACAGGACGAGACAAAACCAGACAGTACAAAACAGGCAAGCAGGCAAGCAGGCAGACGACGGGTGAAGCCTGAGGACAGAGGCGTCGGATGAGCAGAAAGCCCAGAATCCGGGGGTGCAAAGCGAGAAGAAGAGGATGAGGATGAGGCCATGGCGGGCAGGCGTGGTAGCGGTGGGGAGCAAAGCAGCGGTGAGGCGGGAGTTGCGTCGGCCGGAGATGCGCTAGGGGATCCTCTATCGGAGTGGGGATTTCAGTATAGTTGCTACTTGGTCGTCCTCGAGTAGCAGCAGTCGCTTGCTGCCACGACGTCCTCGTGTGGCGTTGTCTATACTATCTCCCTAAGTACTAGATAGTTAGTTGTCGGAGCCCTGCCGACTTCCCCTCGCACGTACAGTAGTGTAGATACTTAGTAGATAGTAGATAGTAGTAAGTAATTGTCCACTGACTGACCAGCAAAACCTTGCCAGACTAAACCCAACTAAACCCGACTAACTCTGTTAGACTGTTCGTGGTAACCCCATCCGGGATGGCCCCGTCGATTGACTGGTCTCATGATTATCAGCCCCCCCGATCTTGGGCAAATGGCAGCCGCCGCCGGACGCCCAGCGTGGACCAGCGTGGCCCAGCGTGGCCTAGCGCCCAGCCCGGTATCGTACTAGTCCCATACCCCCATGCACCCGCGACCCCCTCGGTCGTTGGCCTGTCCCCTCCGAACCCCGTACCGCCATCGTACCGGCACTTCCAGCCTACCTTACACTGTGTTAAGTAACAGTACGTCCGTCAAGGCAAGTCAAATCCCTCGACAGTCAGTCAGTCAGTCACCTGGCAGATGGTTTGCTGGCAAAATGGTACTTCCGGGGGAGATCTGGTCAACAAGCCATGCTGTGCTGCAGAAGCAGAAGCAAAGCAGGGCAGACCCAAGGTGAGGCTTTCCTCATTTCATGGCTACGACCACGGTACCGCACGGAATTTTCCGTTGACGAGACACGGGAGCACATTCGGGAAGGGGGCGATCAGTGGAAACAGGAAAAACCGTCAAGATCGGTTGGGACTTGGCGGGCAGATGGAGCCAGCAGCTATTGACTAATTCGACACGATTATTGGCAAATGTCTCCGATCGGGGGGAAGGAGGGGGGGCGGGACGTGGCAATTACAGTATTACTGGGCAGGGTGGGCACCTCAGTATTTATTGTACGTGAGTCCTCGCCAGTCAGATTGCCAGTGACAGGATGACTCTTGCCTCCCCTATTGTCCTGTACGTATGTACAGACAGACATACATAATCGAACTATACCGGGAGGGCGCCAGCCAGGGCAACAGGAGGCGATTCGCGACGCCGGCCAATAGCACCGCCCGTCCCCAATCAGTGGTCAATCAGTGATGCACACATGTTGATTTGATTCCGTGCCAACAAGGTGGTGGCTGACGGTGCAGTAGCTCCATCCATGGCCATGCCAACAGGGTCAGGTTACTACCGCATACAGCAGCAACAGCAGCAGTAGCAGTACTAGTAATATCTACTAATAATCATAGTATGTACGGTGGCCCGTACCGTACCTGTGTACTCCTGTCCCCCGGTCCCCCGTACGCCCTCATTCTACTCCGGAGCCATGGAAAAGACATCCTTCTCTGCGGCCCTGGCCATGATGTCGTTCAGGTGGTGCTGCAATCCGGTTCCTGAGGGGGAGCTGCCGTCTTGCCTTTCCGGGTAGCCATCATCGCCCAGAAGCCAGTCGGCATCTGCAGGCCCCGGCTCACTTGGTATGCGCGTCCAGGAGTATGTGCAGTCATTCTGTCTCTTTCGTCTTCAGCTCGTACAGTTTACCGAGCAGGGCAGACAGGACAGGGTCTGACTCTGTGCGCTCGTTTTTTTCCCTGCCACTGCCGGAAGGAACCCCACCGGTTTAGATAATTTTAGCAAGGGTCGACGACGAGGCCATTCTCTCCCCGGCGGAGAACGCGTGATAGATCCAAAATTGGTCCTCAACAAACCTGCAAGATAGAAAGAAACCTGCTAGCACTTCCACGGGCCCGTGTATGAAAAAAAAAAAATGTAAAGCCCAAAAAGGCAAAAAAAAAAAAAAACGGGCTTGGCCGGTCTCCTCCCTGTAGGGAAAGACAGACAGAACAGACACCAGCTCCTCATTCCTCTCAAAGCGGGCAACGAGGGAGGGAGGGGGCCGTAAGGTCAACGTTCTGCATATGAACTCCAAGCCCGTGATCTCCACCCCGGTGAGTTCGACGAATCGATGCGCCGGCTCTGAAACCCATCGGCATCGCGGACTTCTGACTCGCAGCTTGCCACGCCAGCGGCCGCACGCAATCCTACCGATGTACGAGATGTACGACCTGGTAGCAGTGTAGCACCCTCTCACGGCCAGAGGGACGCGCCGGTTGACGACGTTAGCGCTGGAATCGCAGTGAGGGAAATCTTATTATTAGCACGACTTCTTTGTACCCCGTGCGGCCTATCTATCTACGCTGGGAAAGTTGAAAGTTGAAAGCTGAAAGCTGAAAGGGGATCTGCCGTCATCATCGATGATGGTCAGTGCCCGAGTCCCTCGGACTAGTCGTCAGGTCTTCCCCCAAGAAGGGACGAGGTCAATAACTTTAAATCCTAGCCGGCTGGCCGCAAGCGATCATCATTCCGGTCGCTATGGTCGGCTGTGAGAATGAGGGGGATACAGTTCAACTTTCTCCGATGAGTGAGTGAGTACAGAGTACAGAGTGGTACTCGGTAATATACCGTCTAGTGTCTGTACCGAAGAACAACAACAACACCACAACCCCTCCTGCCATGAGGATGAATCATTTCCCCAGCCATTATTATTTAACTACTAGGATTAAGAATCCGACTGGAATGCCCGCTAGCCGATCTGGGATGGACAGCCTGCCGATCCATTCCGCATCGGCGATGGCTGGACTTGCCTGGAAGCCTGGAAGCCTGGAAGCCTGGATCACGGGGTTCGGTCGGGAATGCCGCTGGAAGGGTGGAAGTGGCAGGCTGAACGTGCAACAACAGTCCAGGAAGGGATCGATTGTCTTGTCACTCAGGCAGCCAGGCAGCCAGGCAGTCAACAGATTAGTCAGACACGCAGAAACGTCATCCAAGAATCGCGACAATGACATTTCAGAATTCAGATGGGATTCTTCCTGCACCCATCCTGCGCACTTGGCCTATCCGCCCAACTTGAGGGGAGAACAAAGAGGAGAGAGGGGCCCACACCTGACCACCGACCAACCCGACCAACCGAACAATGGATTCTGCGGGCGGCGATTCCAGGCGCTGCCCCCATTGATGAGATCAGAACAATCGTATGCCCCGGATGCCTTCTGGTTCGCGCCACCCCCTCCAGAATAGTCCGCATCATATATTCGCGCAGGACCGTCCATGCCTATCGTTATTGCCGCCGCAGGGAAGCAACGTCGCCGAGTCCGTTTCGCCAGCCAAACAACAGCCACCACCGCCAGCGCCAGAGACGCCCGGAGCAAAAGCTCCCCGTCTAATTTGTCGTCGACTGGGAGCCGCCAGTCGACCCCCCGCGACCAGACATCGCTGAAACCGCGCAACACCATGTGTGAACCCCAGGCCCATCCCGGAGTGCCCTCCCTGTTCCAGGAGTCCCCTGTGCTCCTCGACGCCCTGACTACGGAGACCTCCGAGCTGCAGCTGGAGACCGTCAACAAATGCCTGCCCTTTTTGGGAGGCCTGCACAGCAGCCAACCAGGCCCCTTCAACCGCTTCGGAGTGCCGTCGCTGCGCCAGCATGAGCACATCGGCTACTTATATGAATCCCTGGAAGAGTATCCCGCGGGCTTCGCGGGCATGGATGCTAGCCGCCCCTGGATGGTCTACTGGGCCCTGGCCGGTTTGAGCTTACTCGGCGAAGATGTCACCAGGTTTCGTGAACGGTAAGCAAAGCAAGCAACCACTGGTTATCGTCGGGCGTGTCGCGGGGTCCCCACAGGTTTCATGCGTTCCTGTCCCCCCATCCCCCCCCCCCCCCCCCTTTCTGGCACGTCTGTTCTGGTATAATCGGCCCATCCCATTCTAAGCCATCGTTTAGTGTCATTGCCACATTCGTACCTATGCAAAACCCGACAGGGGGATTTGGAGGAGGGCATGGGCAATTGTCCCACTGTGCGTCCGGCTATGCTGCGGTGCTCTCCCTGGCCATGGTTGGGGGCGAGGAGGCGCTCAAGCTGATCGATCGGGAAAAGATGTGAGTGGGAGTCGGTGCCTTGGTGAGCGTCCATGCAGGCTGACTGCGACCCAGGTGGAGATGGCTGGGGAGATTGAAGCAGCCCGATGGTGGCATTAGGGTGTGCGAGGGTGGAGAAGAGGACGTGCGGTAATTTCCCTATCCGACGCGCTGCTGCACGCCTGTCCTGGACCGGTGCTAACCTTCGCATCAGAGGCGCGTATTGCGCGATGGTCATCATCTCGCTGCTGGATTTGCCACTGACGCTGCCCCCCGAGGCCGAGGCCCGGCAATACGGGCTGGAGACGTTCGCCAGTGGCCTCTCCGACTATCTGGCCAGATGTAGGTGCTGCCCGGGATCGAGCCGGCGACTAGGCTGATTGGGACTGCAGGCCAAACATTCGAGGGGGGTATCTCCGGAAGTCCCGGGTCTGAGGCACATGGGGCCTACGCATTCTGCGCGCTCGCATGCCTCTGCATCCTGGGCCAACCAGACGAGACGGTGTCGAGGTAAGAGGCTGCTTCTGGGTCGGACTCCCCCGCCTTCCGCTGATAATGTATCATGTCAGGTGCATGGATGTGCCTCTCCTCCTGTCTTGGCTCTCTGCTCGACAGTACGCCCCCGAGGGAGGCTTCTCCGGCAGGACCAATAAGCTGGTGGACGGGTGCTACAGCCACTGGGTCGGAAGCTGCTGGCCATTGCTCCAGTCCGCACTGGACGGGGTCCAGTCAGATGCAGGCCCGCGACGGGCTGCTGCGGGTAGTCTCTACAGCCGTGAAGGACTGACCAGATATATCCTTGCCTGCTGTCAGTCCAAGCTCGGGGGCCTCCGTGATAAGCCCGGGAAGTAAGTTGCCTCCTCGTCGCCATGCTACGGCCGTGCTAACTCGCAGCCAAGGCACCCGGACTCGTACCACACCTGCTACACCCTGACGGGTCTGAGCTCGGTTCAATATCACCACTACCACACGACGTCTAGCGTGAGCCCCAAGGGCGTCTCGGCCTTTTCGTGGAAGTACACCCCGATCAAGACGTCGGACGCGTCCGCCGAGCAGAATGTCTTCGATGAGAAGGATCGCTTGACGCCCTTCCACCCCCTCTACGTGATTCCCCATGCCGCGGCGGAGAACATGCGTCTGTGGTGTGAACAGCACCCGGTCGAAATCTAAGTTGTCCTCAGTATAACCGGAAGCAAAAAGAAAAGAAAAGAAAAAACGCCGGCAGTGGTATATAAAGCAGCGTTTTTGTATAGTATGACGCATTCCAAAAATCTACTCCTTTTGGCAGCTCTAGGATAGTATACTACGTTACACGGATTGTAGGAGAGTAGTATCGCATCCTCAGCGACGTAAGGGAACCGTCCTGGGGAATGCGCGATGAAGCCAGAGGGGAGGGGAGCGAACGTATCCATTCCTGGGGGTCGAACGGACGCTTAAAGCAGACGGGACTTTCTTTTTCTTTTTCTTTTTCTTTTTCGTTTCTTATTCTTCCTCCGCCGGATCCTTCTGGAACTTCTGCGCCGGGGCTGTTTGAAACGCCCCTGACCGACCCGACCCGACCAGCTTCTTCCTTCCCCAGCAAATGCTTCGTTGCGGTTTGGCCGGTTCTCTGCAGCATCCAAGAATGCACGACGACCAACCATCCCACTGCCACCCTACCCTCACCTCCACCGACATCATAGCACGGCCCATGTCACCCTCGCGACGCGAGGAAGAAGGCAGACAGACTTACACCATGCACAGACACAAGATGCTGCTGCAGCCCGTCCGGCAAAAAAGGGGGGGGAACGGACGTCAATCGAAGTCAAATTCCCCGAGAGGAAAGGGAGCAGAACGACCGTTGAGGAGGAAAAGGGCGCTGAATAAAGAGAGAATCGGTTCATCCGTGTCAAGGTGGCATGGAATCTGCCAACTCATCACTGCCTGCCCGTCTGGCTGTCAACTGGACCAATCTGAGCCCGGTCCACAAGCCTACTTATCTGCATTTCGCACGCGGCAGCAGCAGCAGCAGCAAGCAGAAGCAGCCTCTCCATCCAGGCCGGCATGGGTTGGATTCCGACTTCAATTCCAATTCCGATCCTAGGGTACTCTCTATCGAGTACTCGAAGAGCAGGTCCTACACAGTCCATCGCCATTTTATCCACCTACGCAGTACGACTAAAGGAGCCACCCGAGGAAGCGGTCTGCTAGGCTAATAATCCGCGAAGGGCCCGCGGATTCGGATGGCTTACCGAGTCATTGAGGGCCGTGATCGTCTCAGCATTGACCCGGTCAGAAAGTTACGGTCGAGTCCAGTCCAGCCCAGTCCCTTCGTCCCCATCGTACAAAGAAAGAGGTGTCCCTCCCCCTCCCTCGGTCACGGCCTCTCTCTGGCTGTCCCAGGCCAGGATTCCTCTGCGCGACATGAGCCCCTTGTTATGTACCATCATTCTGCATTAGCGGGATTCCACAAGGAAGGAGACTTTCTCCCGTGCTTCCATGATGTTCGTTGGTCCTCCGTCTGGGCTGCTGCTCGTCCTGTCAACACTGCGGGGTTTCTGGACCCATTTGCAGACCGACTGAGGGGGGCAAAAAAAAAATCAAAAGAAGAATAAAAAAAAAAGAACTAAAACTCAAAGGATCGCAAAATTGCTGACTAGACCGACGGAGGAATTCTTGCCCAGACCACCGGCCCTTCTTCTGCAGGAATGAAGGCAGACCGAGACGACCGATTTGCCCGGAAGCTGGTATCCTGAACAACATGTCAATCTTAGCCGCCTGGATCGGCGGCGAATTACACGGTGGCCGATGGGCCAGGATGTCCTGGATGATTCTGGGGCTGGATCACTGGTGAACAGCCATGCCAGCGCATCATGGTTTCGCCCACGCTTGCCATGTTCCTCTCTCTCCAAGCAGAAAAGAGACGGACAAGAGCTAGCGAGGCTTTAGGAATAGGACCGTTCGCCCTCGGCCAATCTGTGGAGAAGTCAATTCCTCTTCCTCTTACCCCTGTCTGGCCTTGGATTCTGTTCAATCATTTATCGACGAGCCCCACCGGTTTATTTGCCTGGAAGCCAGCAATGCCATCCGTCGCCTCTCTTTTCTTTTTCTCCTGCCCTCCGTCGCCAGTGTAAGGGCATGCTTGTGCTGCTGTGCTGCTTGTCTCCCTCTCCCTCTCCCTCTCACTCCCTCTCTCTCTCACTCTTTCTCTCTCCCTCTCCGCCGCTAGCTCCCTTCCCTTGCGCTTTTCTGTGCCCTTTGTTTGCATCGACTTGGCTTCCGTCCCTGTAATCCTCCTGTCCGTCATATGAACCGCCCGTGGCCATTGGGCATCCATCCTGTCTACATAGACCTGTCTCGATGCCTGTGGTGTGACTGCCAGGATCTTGTGCAGTCTTGACCGATCCGGGGCAGCGAATACTGGCTGGGTACCGTCCGGGGACCATACATACCTACCATTGGACGTTCGCTTGTCTTCACGATGTACTATATCCTCTATCTCGCAAGTAGGTAGCCATCTTTCTTCCGATTGCGATTCGCCAGTCCCCTCCCTTCTCACGTCGGACATCATCCTGAACATGCATGCATGTTGTGAGAGACGACAACAAAGAAGACAATGGCGCGCATCTTCCTCTACATCCATCCCCACCTCCCACGGGCATTGTTGGAGGGTTCCCCCGACCAATAACCCACCCCGACTAACCCTCATCGCAGGCCTCTGCCGCCGCCGCCGCTGGCCAGACCCCATCTACGAATCCTACACCGCCGGACCGGGCTTCACCTGCACCGTCCGGGTCAACAACCGCGAGTACCAGACGGACGCCGTTTGCGAGTCCCACACCCTGGCGCGCGAGAACGCCGCCATGCGCGCCTACCTGATCTGCCGCAACTTCTCCGTCAACGACGGCATGTACCCGGCCGGGACGGACCACGGCGGCGTCGTGCAGGGCATTCCCGTGGCGATTGGCACGGGGCGCAAGGCCCGGTACGTCGACGAGACGGACCTGTCGACCAGTGGCGAGAGCAGGAGTGGGGGGAGCAGTCCGGAGAGTTATGAGGGGCGGATGGAGAGGAGGGGGATGGGACCCAGTCGCGCGTTGGCGTTTGGGCGGTAGATTTTGCCTTCATCCTCTTGGGGATTGGTATATTCCATTCTTCCTGGGTGGGGGGAGAAAACTGAGATGAGGAGAGAAGAAAGAGGAGGAAGGGGGGAGGGGGGTGCTTGATGACGTTTACGATTTATGACATGACCCCAACAATACCAAATAGATCGAAATGCTTGCTTGTTTTTGTGTTTCTGTTTGTGTTTGTGATGATTATCTACTTGTGTTGTGTGTTGTGTGTTGTGTTATTGCATGATGTTAAGTCATGGAGATGAGGTGGCCAGCAGTCTTTTGGGGGGGGGATTTGGTTGCAATTGATGGATGGATGTATATACGCATAGTATGTATGCTGGAGGGGTACTTACGCACCCCGCAATCCACAAAGCACCTCCTGCACTACTCCGTACTACTTGCACATATCCCCAAGTCCCTCTTCTCAACCTTCTCAACGGTCTAGACCTCTTCCTCCTCCTCCACACCAACCCTCAGACAACACAAACACAAACACAAATACAAATACAAACACAAATAAATACACACCATCCAAAAACAGTCACCCTACCAGTAAACCAACCCCCCCCCTCTCTCTCCAATATTAATCCCCCATTGCAAATATAATCCCATTGTCCACAGTATGTACTGAGTACCCCCACAGTAACCGTACAATACTGTACAAAGTAACTAACTAACTAGTTGGTTAGTTAACTACACAGTCCCGCTGACTCATCATGACGTAACCCCCTCTTCCAAGGCACCTCCGCGTCTCTCGCCGACCGAACCGATGAGATGACACAATACCCAGATTATTACCTCCAGCTAGCCAGCACAATGCCTCTGACGGAGACCATATCCTCATCCTCTGACTTCCCGAATTTCAGACAGTCTACCATTGAGTACCAGCGCTGTTGATTGACGCCCTCGCGCTCTCGTTTCGCGTCGACTTGCAACCACGCTCATACACGGCAATTATATCCAGCACGCACAGAGTTTCATCCGATGACGCAATACTACTACTACTACTACTACTATCTTTGGTGACTTTCCGTGTAGCTATAGCTAGCTATACGTACGACACAGCACTATAACTTAATCAGTACACCACACTGCAACTGCAACATTACACTACACTACACCACAATACCACACCCGAAGCCGGAATAATCAGCTAGCTCAGGCTAGACAGGCTAGACAGGCTATACATGCTCGCGCACTCAACCCTACACCAGGGCCCGCAAGATGCGGGCGATTTTGGGACGCGTGGTGCGGGCGCCACTGGGACGGAGTGCTGGGGTGTTGCGGGTGGACACTGGTGCGGCTATGGGGATGTATAACCGGGGTGGATACGCATACACGCCTGGGGTTTCCGAGCAAAAGAGAGGGTTCGGTGTTGTCAAGGCACGATGGGATGGGAAGACGGGGAAGAAGATGAATAACACTGGGGAGGAGGTGGAGAGGTTGCGTGTCAGGAGGGCGCAGAGTGCGAGTGCCGGTGCCGGTGTGGAGGGGGAGAGTGGTGATGGGGATGGGGATGGGATGGGCAAAGGGAAAGGGAAGAAGCTTGAGGATGCGATGACGAAGGGTGAGTATCATATCCCTTATAGCTGCGACTGCTACTAACAAGGAATAGGAAAGCTTTTGACCACACCCTCGCGTCTGTTCAAGCTTCTTATTCCCCTGTCGACGAATTATCATCATAAAAATAAAGGTATCTCCGTCTCCCTCTCCAAGCCCTACAGCGCACGACATGAAGGCTAACAACCCAGACATCGAACCCATCGCCATCCTCGTCCACCCGCAACAACCGCTGTCGCACCTCGAACGCCTCATCCAGTCTGAACTGCCTCCCCTCAAAACGGCAGACAACCAGTCCCGTCCCCCAACCGTCTCCTTCATCGCCCTGCAACTCTCCGACGACCCGATCCGTCCCAAACGCACCGTCTACAAAGACCAGCAACTCCCCACCGAAGGCGACACCTACACCTACCTGCGTGACACCCCCAGCGCCCCCAACACGAAGAAAAGCAAGGACAACCACCGTCTCGTCCGCTGGTCCCAGTCCACCGAGATCGGGGACTTCATCCGGGATGCCGCGCGGGCCCGCGAGTTCATCGTCTCGGTCGAACAGGCCCCCGCACCGGTCTCCGCCTCCGACAACAGCCATTCCAACGACAACAACAACAACGACACCCCCCTCCACCAAATCCGGATCGCGGTCCCCTCCTTCGATGAACGAACCTACTTCCTGCGCATGCGCCTCCGCAAGATCTCAGGGCGCATCAAAAGCATCGCGGAGATCAAGCACGAATGCGACGCGCTCGCGCACCGCGGGGCCCAGCGCGTGGCGATCGGCGGCTTCGGCGTGCTCTCGCTGTGGTGGTACCTGGTCTACAAGCTAACCTTCGAGACAGACCTCGGCTGGGACACGATGGAGCCGGTGACTTACCTGGTCAGTTTATCCACGCTGATGGGCGGATACCTGTGGTTCCTATACCACAACCGCGAGATCTCGTATCGGTCCGCGCTGGACTTCACGATCAACGCGCGCCAGAAGAAGCTGTATCAGGCCAAAGGCGTGGATCTGCATCTGTGGGAGACGCTGATCGACGAGGGGAATACGCTGCGGCGGGAGATCAAGACCATCGCGGCGGAGTATGATGTCGAGTGGGATGAGATGTTGGATGAGCGGGACGAGAGCGTCACGCAGGCGTTGAAGGAGGAGAGGACGCAGAAGAATGGGTCCAAGAGGGCGAGGGATGATGACGATGAGAGGGCCAGGGATGATGATTAGATAGATGTCTTGGTCCATTTTTGAGCGCCAGCTGCATTGCATACACACATACTATTACATTTCGCCATTCGCCAACCTGTTAACAACAGTATAACACACAACACATTCCGATACATTTCAACACCAGATATAACAGTACAGCACAGCACAGCACAGCACCAACACACTCATCCGTTCCTCACCGGGTCATAATACTCCTTCTTTCCGCTCGTGTTGCCACCACCACTCCCACTGCCATCGCCCTGCGGTTTCAGCTGTCTCGGGGGTGACTTTGCGCGTCCTATATAGAACAGTTAGACAAATTGTACAATATCAACAGCAACAGCAACAGCAACAACAAAAATGCACATATCATCCACCCCCCCTTCCACCCCCCCTTCCAAGAGCCCTCCAAGAGCCCTCCAACCAACCACAACCCCCCAACCCCCCAAAAAGAACATCCCCCTCAGCAAGAAGAATAAAGAAAGAAAGAAAGAAAGAAAGAAAAAAAAAAAAAAAAAAAGAATACATACCCCCTTCCTCCCCCATCCCCTCCCCACCCCCCACCCCCAATAACAACCCCCCCCTTCCTCCTATTCCGATTATTCCGCACATCCCTCGACCGAAAAACGCTATAGAGCAACCACCCGGCGACCCAATTGGGGCCGTACTCGCCGGCGGTATTGCCGCGGTCGAAGAGGGCGCGCGTGAGCAGGCCGGCGTTGCGCGAGATCTCCGTGATGGCCCAGCGCTGGCGCTCGGGGCGGATGTGGTGCCAGAAGTAGGGCGGCTTGGTGCCGGGGTGGTCGGTGCGGATGCTCTCGAGGAGGTTGGAGGGGTCTTCGTTGAGGGTGTTGTAGGTTTGGATTGCTTCGTCCTGGGGTTGTTATTAGTTTTTTTTTGGGGGGGGGGATAAGTTGAGGGGATTGGGGGGAGGTATATGTATGGTAGGTGGTGAGTGGTGAGTGATATGGTGAGTGATATGGTGAGTGTATGAAGAAGGAGGAGGAGGAGGAGGAGGGATACATACCCTCATAGCCCGATAATACTGCTCATGCTGCGGATCATGAGTCGACAGGCCCAAAGCAGCCATGAATTCTTCTTTGGAGGCGCGTGGAGAGACGGGCATCTTCTTTCTTTCTTTCTTTCTTTCTTTCTTTCTTTCTTTCTTTCTTTCTTTCTTTCTTTCTTTCTTCTTTCTTTCTTTGTATCTCTCTCTCTCTCTCTCTCTCTCTCTCAAAATATAACAACAACAACGATAACGACAGTAAATATCAAGATAGTACGTCCTAGAGTACAGAAACAGAAACAGAAAGATAGTAACAAGCACGATCCAAGTCAGATAGATATAAGAGAAAAAGAAAGAGGGATGGATGGCAATATATAGATATACTATGTATAAAAATAAAGAAATATCCTCCCATCATGCCACCCACCGACCAACACACACACACACACACACACACACACAACCCCAGAAGAAGCACACTCACCCAAGACTTCAACCCGAACCCGCGGAAGGGATGGAGAAATTAAAAAAAAAAAAAGAAAACGCATCTAGAATTAGAAAGATAGTGAGTCGTACAAAGACAGGCGATAGGCGGATTGCTTTTACTTGATTGACCGGTATGTACTATACATACGGTAGTATGGATATAAAATGAGGGTTGGGGATGGGATTGGGATGGATATTCGAAATCATACTACTCACAACCTTGGCTTTTGGCCTTGGCCTCACTTCAACAGAACAGCCACCCCTTCCTCCTTCCTCCTTCCTCCCCGAAATCAACGTCATATGGATAAATGGATGGATGGATGGATGGATGGATACCAACTTCCATCCAACAAACCCAAACCCAAAGCGCATGCACTGCCGTTTTGTCCCAGTCCACTCGGAAATCCGTGCGTGATACTCAACCATCACCGGCACTACTAGCGTCACGGTAGCAAGACAACATGCCCTCCAAACCCCCCCCCCCCCCCCCCTCCCCCCCATCAAGTCCGCCACAATCAGTAAACGAAAAGCAAACCAAACCCGGACATCCGTCGCCTACCCGCCGTCCTACTCCCGATGGATGGGCATATATGTATGTAGCCGTGGTAAGTCAACGCATCGGTTCTCGAGGCGCGTCTGGTTGTCTGATCTCTTCCCTCCCTCCATCTCCGAGAACCGAACGGGGGTGGTGGTGGTGGTGGTGGTGGTGAGAGGGTGACAGACGTAGTTTGTCAGACCAGACAAGAGAAGGGCGCAGCTGTAGGCGCTCTCCACTCTCCACTCTCCGGGTCTCGTGATATCATCCACGACAATCGAGCTGATATGTTGATACATGATGGCATCAGATCGAAAAAAAAAAAAAAAAAAAAAAAAAAAAAAAAAAAAAAAAAAACCAAGGACGGACTGAGGGGACCCGGATCCCACGATGTAACCTGCACGCTCCGGTTTTGGATCACGATGGGGAGGTGATGTTGTACATCAGGCACACCGAGGAGCCGAGTATGGACTATTGCACTATGGAGCAGAGAAGGGGGGGAAGCCCGGGGGGGGGGGCGATTCTTGTTCCTGAACAACGGCTGCTTCCACTGTCCGCGTCATGTCATCAGTCCATGGCATGCACCGCGAAGGTTCTAGAGACACGTACCCGTCTCGATAGACAGACACCGGAAGTTGAAGTTCGAATCCACGGCTGCCCATATCGTTCACTCTGAACACTCCTAGCCGTCTGCCGTGCAACCATCCTGTCCCATCCCGCCAGCAGCATCCAGGTCGGCGCGCACCTCCTGAGTTCCCTGGAGCAGGCCATGAGTCCGTCCAGGGGATGTTGGAGGATGGGTGGATGCGGTGGCTAACCCTACCCTACCCGCCAACGGACGAACGAACGCGCCAGTCGGGTTCGCAAGATGCGTTTCCACCAGGTTCCCCGGACAGACGCCACGCCTCATATTCCAGGGGGAATATAATAAGGCTGGTCCACGGCCGTTTGCGAGCCGTTCGAGGCTCCTGGTCGCCTTCCATCGCCGTTGGAGTGGGGGAAGGGGCAAGGGGAAGTCCCGTTTGCAGGGAGAGAAAGAGAGAGACTCGGATGCCCTCGTGACGGGGGGAAACCACCAGCCCATCCACTTCATCTCCCGACGTTGCTCAATCACGCCCTTGTGTACAGGGACAAGGACAGCGACGGTGGTACATGCTCAACCATGTCCGACGCCGCGCGGGTCCCCTCCGTCCCTCAGCCCCGAGCCTGCAGCGAGCCAGACACCGCGAACGACGCGGCCTTGATCGTCCCCTGGAACTAGATAAAGTCGACTCAACTACCACCTACTGAGATACCCAGACTGAAAAGTCCAATGGGCCAAGGGGCTCGCAGCCGCTCGGGCTCGCGTACCTCGATCCGTGGATACAAACCTATGCCCGGCTCGACTTCATGTACGGCCGTCCGAACAATCCCGCCCCCCTGGCAGGCCTCAACTACCCGACCATGCCACAAGGCAGTGTGCATGCGACATCCGTCCCCTCAAGGGGTCTCGCGACTAGGCCAGCCAAGGCAGGACGGCAAGATTCCTATCATCTACCGCGGTTTGCTGCTTCATATTCCCTTGGTTCATGGTTCATACAAGTCTAGGAACAAACACCCCGGGCCCAGCCGAGAGGCACGTAAATCCACGTCCCCTCCGTGCATAATCGAAAAAAAAAAAAGAAAAAAGCTCTCCCTTCTCCTGGTGTCCGCCGTCTTAAAAGCATATTGGTTGCGGGTTTGCTGTCCTTTCTCCGTGATTCGATTCGCATTGGCATTTGCATTGGTCTTGTGCGGAGCGTGTGGCCTCGCCCCTCACGCGGTAGGTATATTGAGTTAACTGACAGAGTATTCTCGCCTGCTTCTACCTTCTGGTCCTTCTGCGTCCGCGCACCCCACACTCAAGAGGAGGTCTTGGGCTCGCCATAGTACTTGCGCAGGAACGCCTCGACCTCTTTGTAATCCTCTTTGACCTGCTTCAGGGTCTTCTCGATGCGCGAAAGCGACGTCTTCTTGTCCGGCTCGTCTGTCGAACCGGTCTCGTCCTTCCCGGCGCCGAAGTGCTGGATCTTCTCGCAGGCATCCTTGACCTTGGTGAGGCCCAGCGTGGCGGATGAACCTTTCAGGTAGTGACCCAAGGACGACAGTTCGGCCAGGTCTTCCTCCTTCCTGTAGGTCCGTTAGCGCGCTGGACGGGCCGCCCTCGGGACCCGGGGCCACTTACAGGCACTTCTCCATCTTCTCGAATGTGGTCTCGGCCTGGTCGAAGAACCCGATCACGATGCCCTTGCTGAACTCATTGTCACCCTCATCGTCCATCTCGAGAATCTGCTCGAATGTGGTCTGGTCGATGCTCTCGCTCATCTCGGCCAGCGTGGACGGGATCGGCTTCGTCTCCTTGGGCTTGGGGATGTCAGCGTCAGCCTTCGCGTCCGCCTCCGGCGACACGACACGTACAGGCTCCTCCACGGTCTTTGTGGTGGTGGTGGGTGCCATGGTGCTGAGGTACGAGTGTCTGGGGGTTTGAATGAGTTCAGGTGTTTGTTTGGACGTAGGAGCAACGCCTCAGATCAGAGTTCTTGCGGGCTCTTTGTTTCTGACTCTGGAGTCAAATCCTAGCCGGCTATTCTCTGGGAGATGGCGTCAACCGGTGAACACGGTATACTGTGGATTACACGGAGAGAACCTGCAGGCTAATTCCATGTCAGTGGTTGATCACGAATCGCGCGGCGACGTTACAGCTGCTCGACTGGAGTGTGATAAAGTTGCCCTACACGATGCCGGTATTACGAGGGAGCGGAGGGGCAAGGACAAACAGGGACCCAGCGCGATGCAGCAAAGGAGCAAGGGACGTGCAGAGACACACCGAGGGGATGAGGGTGTTCACCTGTGGCAGGATCGCGTGTGCGACGCCCAAGATGATGACGGGGGAGGGGCGGGGAGGGGTGCAGGCAGGGGAGGGGAAGAGGGGTCAAAGGAAACACACAGGAGTTCTAGCTATCTGAGGCTGAGGAAGTTCAGCAAGGACAAGGACTTGGTGTCTCAGCAGGGGGTGTGGATGGGGGTATTAGTGGGAAAGGACGAGGCTGGGGGAGGGGAGAGGGGAGAGGGAAAGTGTGCAGAGGGGGGGGCGACGGCTAGAACAGATGCGCGTATATCAATCATCCACCCACCACGGTAGTGACCACACACGCGCGCACCATGGATGGGTCCACATGGGGTGGGCAAAGGAACAGCTGTCTAGATCAGGAGGGATGAGGGGGAGGGGCAGCAGCAGCAGTCATGAACATTGGACACATGGTAGGAGATTGTCCGAATAGTGTGGGCAGCGCAACAGAAGGGGATCTCTCCTACCTGAAACCAGTTCTCCCCACCGCAGTCTGATTGTCGTAGATGAGGGTGTTTGTGGTGATCGTAGGGAGGGTGGTGATGGAGGTGAACTGAGTGGGACTGGCAGTGACCGAATTAAATTAGATTAAGGACACCCCGACGATAAGGCGAGAGAGTCGAGGGAGGACGAGGAGGATGAGGATGGGAATGGGAATGGGAGAGTGGAGGGAAAAGAGAAATTCCCGATTAGGACAAGAGACTAGATTAAAGACGTCGGCGACGGAGGAGTGGAAGGGGAGGGGGGGGAGGGAGGGGGGAGAAGGGGCTATGACAGTGGCAGTGGAAGTGGAAGTGGACGGAGGAAGGAGAGAGAGAGGGAGAGGAGGAGAGGAGAAGGAGGAGCAAAGAGGATGAGGTAAAAGGAAAGAAAATGACGATGGATGCGGGTGGGCTGCTCTGTGTGTGTGAGAGAGAGACACCGAACGGCTGTTCCCCGTCCTTATTTTTTCCCTACCTTTTTTTTTTTCTCTCTTCTGGTACTGATTTTTTATTTTATTTTTGTTTGTATTTTTATTCTTATTTTTTTTTCTTTCTGGTTATATTAATTATTGTGGTTAGAGGAACCAGAAAGTGGAGGGGGGAAGGAAAAGAGGAGGGAGCAAAGAGGGGAGAGAAACTAAGAAGGGGAGGGGCGGGCAGCCGATAGACTAAACCGGCCATTAACTTAACCAGTGAACCATAGGCAAGACAAGACAGGACAATAATCAGATTCGATCGGAATCAAGACCGAACAGTCACTCGTTGTGAATACCAACCTGGACAATGTGACCTCACCCAGTGCAACTCAACTCCTTCAAGGCTGATGCCCTTTCCCTTCCAGTTGACGATGATTATGCGTGGTTAGGCGCTATTTCGGAATGAATAATACGGTGGGCCAACAACCCTCATGGGACGAACCGTCAACCGAGGGGAAACAACAACAACAACAATTCAGACCATGTCCGCAACTGACAGGCCGATCTCATTGGACACCCGCACGGTGGGCTGCAGTCATCATACAGATGATCCAGGATGCAGAGGGAAAAGAAACCAAAATCGATTCAGTACCCAATACGAAAGCAGTGTGGCCTTACAAGTTACTTTGGACAAACCGTCGGAGTGGGGAAGAATTAAGGAAAACTGACTGTTGCAGGGCGCGATGATCAGGGGGGGGGAGGGGGGGGGAAACGGAGGTCTGCCATTATTTTAAACAACCGATGACGAGATCCTCTGGCGTCATCGGTGGTTGTGCCTTCCCTTCCCTCGGTCCACAGTATATAAAGCCGCGGCAGAGACATCGCGGCGACAAAAAGAGTTGCGGGTGTTGACTCGTTGTCGTTTCCCCCATACGCTCTCTCTTCTGATTCTCTCTTCCCTCTTTCTCAGGTCCCCAACTAATCCTGTCGACTGGACAGTGTGCTGGGGGAAAAGCGAGAAAAAAAAAAAAAGCCTCAACAACATCCAGGTCAAACATCCCACATACGGCCAGGCCCGTGATTGGTCTGATCCGTGTGGAGAAGGCGACACCCCCCCAAGGACAAGGGCAAAGTGCAAAAAAAACACCAATGCAAGTGAAAAATGCCTTCGTGCGCACTGCTGACCTCGCCGGGCTGATCAGAATTGCAACGCCTGCGCTGCAACGGCCCAGTCGGTAGGCATCATGCTCTTCCAGAAGGATTGTCGCATCCCTGTCAGATCGCAGCGTCAGCTATTTGCCCGGAAGCCCGCTCAGTCGCGGACCCAAAAAGGAGCCGAACCCCCCCCCTCTTTCACTCACTCGGGGATGATGCGCGCTGAAATCATAGGACCACAACTGACGTAGGGTGTCCGCCCTCGAATTTAATCAGTCGGGCAGGCGTCGATCCCCACCACCGGCCTTTGAGTCGCCAACCCACCGGCCTCGCCGTCGCATTCTGATTCCAGCACAGAGGCCGCGCCCATGGGTAGGTCGCCCTTTACACGTGGAGTCCAGGCTTGCCCGGGTGTCTTTCCTGGTCGAGGGAATTGTCCAGAAGGTCGATGTGCGCCAGGAAGCAGGAAACACAGGCCATGATTTCTTGCGAGCAGCGAGCAGCGAGCCAGGAAGCAGAGGCCGTCGGCGATGCAGTCATACATTCCACCAATCTCCCCGGGGGCATTGCGGTGTCCAGTTTGACAAATCGTCCGCAAACCAGCCACCGGTGGTCGCGTCAGAACCGAATCTGGACCCTGTTCTGTTCCCTTACCTACTACGACGTCCCGAAGGGGAAGGGTGAGTTCTGGCCCCCCTTCCAGGGGGTCGGCCAATTTAGCTGTACCAGAGGTGAGCCCAGTTGCCAGCAAGATGAGACAAGACGAGACGACAACCGAATCCTCCCTTCTCCTTTCTTTCACTTCGGTGATCCGTCCGCCGTGGCGGGGGTGTCATGGGCTAGGACGAGAAGGGAGAAACCGTAGAACCAGAAGGCGTTCAAATTCCAGAACCATGATGGCCCTTTGTTCTGGCTGTTGAAAATTCGGGCCAATTCCCGGGCGGACGATCAGTCAACCTTATTGAGTCTATAAAGTAGTGCGCGTCTGGGTTATGGATCTATTGAAGGCATAAGGCACAAAGCATATCGTCATGGCAGTTCCTGTCCTGTTCTCCCGTTTTTCCCTCGTTAGAGGGGCTGGGGGGGGGGGGGCATTCATGCGGTCGAGGCGACGCAATCCATGAACGGCGGCGAGAGTCCTGGAGTCTTCTCGGGCCTGGCTGAGGGCTGAGCCTATCAGCGCCGGGGCGCGGCGTAAGTGACATCATGGCGGGGCGGGTGGGCTGCCAATCATGAGCGCCGCTGACGTTGGCGGGGTCGCTGCCAAGCGCCGAAGCTTGGGCCGCCTTCCAGACACTTCGGCGCACGGTGGACGCCTCGGACGCCTCGGACGCCTCTTTTCGCTCTGCCAGTGTCAAGATGGGACGCTGTCAGTGTTGTTGTTGTATCGTAGACAAGTCTGTAAGTGTCTTCAGTCACTGCCCCTAGGTACGGGGTACTCCGTAGTCTGTACTACTTACTATCTATCGTGCAAGGCTGGGAACAGTGGGAAGACGACTGGAATTGCCGTTCCGGCCGGTTCTCGCCGGTCGATCCACTGCCGCCCGATTAGGAAGTCCTTAGGCTTCCATCTGAGTAACCTGCATCTCGCCAGTAAACCTATCAAGCCGCGCCGCTGCAAAGACAAACTCAACGCTCAACTGCTCTTCTAAGGAAGTACGGCAGTTCTCGAAGGAATCCAATAATCCAATGATGTGGGTCGGTCGTCCGCTCGGGTCATTGACCTTCTTTTTGACGTATCAGACCTTGCTCTCCAACCCTTCCTGACCCTCCGGTACAGTCTTCCGTATTCCTTCACCTGAGTAGTGAGACAGCATGGCCATACCGTCGTCCAGTCCAACCAGATCAGATGGGATGGAATGAATCTAGTACTTACTTATACAGGGCTAGTAGTAGTAGTAGTCGGGGATCCCACGAGCCATGACATCAGCCTGCATGACAGGGAACTTTGTTTCGTTCCGCCGTCGTACCGGCCGTACACGATGTACCACTGGACATCCACCCACCCACCGTACAGGAACGTCAGGCACGCATCTTTCTTACACTACGTACTATCTGATACAAAATAGTCGTCAGTATCTATCTATCTAGTCTCCGAATGTTCTCTCCAAATCAGGGATGGCAGGGACATCGAATCCCCGGCCAGCAGGGTCCCATTGGTCCGGTTGGGGAGGGAGGGACCCCGACGGATCGATATTAAGGTGTGCATTGTGCCCTAGGCTAGTATCTCAGAGGGGACCCGAGTGATGTATGTATGGGTGCTATATCTATCTATCCATCTAGCTATCTAGTATGGGCTGATGTTCCACGCTGCCGTCAGGGTAAACAACTAAGCGGAAGGTTCCATCCAGTCCCAGGGTTGAGTTCTTATCCTACTTTACTGTCTCTGTCCCTGTCCCTGTCCCTGTCCCCAGCCTCCCTGGCTATAACTAAGCATAAGCATAGTACTACTTATCTACTAATCTACCTAAATAAATACTTAACCTAGTATCTATACGAAAATACAGCCCATACGCCATATGTACAGCACTAGTAGTATCTTACCAATCCCCCCCCTGTAAGGTTATTTCTCTATAGTTAACTAGTAGTTAGTGCCTTTATCGGTCATCCCGTCGCCAATTCGCTGGATTGTTTCTCCGAACAAAAAAAAAAAAAAAAAAGATGCGCCTGCAGTTGCATGAGCCACCCTCCTCGACATCGGTTAATCGGTTGCATTCCGCGGAGTTTCAGATCTGTTGCCTGCGTCTCTCTCTATCTTTGGGTTTGGTATCTAGAGGGTGACATATACTTTCCTTGGTTGACTTGACTTGACTTGACTTGACTTGAGTCTTGTACTTGGTCTGGTGTCTGGTGTCTGGTGTCTGCACTCGCTTCGAGTTGGGGGTGGATCAGGTGTGCCACGGTGGCCGCCCTTCACCTCCTGGTTCGTTCCTTGATTTGGGCTGTGACGATGCGCGACTATTTCAAGCGAGCCAATCAAATGCAAAGGGCGGGTGGTTTGGTCACGCTCACGGCTTTTGATATATAGTATCTAGATTGACATTGGGGGTATAGATAGGGTGGTTGTTTGTCCATGCTCTGGAATCGGATCAACCAGGTTTAGATCCGAGTAGGAATAGGTAGCGGTGAATTTAATATTGATAATACTAGCTATATATTCAACCAGGCTGAATCTCTGTCTTTGATATTCAACAGGCCATGGTTTCCGAACCAACTATCTAACCCCAAAAAGATATTGTTGGATCATCTTGACCTGCCAACGCAGGTATATATATAGTAATAAAGGGACTGTAGTTGATCCTAGGGAAACATGCCAACAAACCAGCCAGCCGCACAAGGCACAAGAACCTCTCGATAGAAACTCTCCAACTACTAATTGGTCCCGAGTTTGAGTATCTTTCGGAATGACAGCTTCCCCCCCCAACTCTAATGCATGACAGGCCGCGAAGATGACAATCTAGTCCCATCGACTGGAATATAGTACTAAGTAAATGGCATATGGCTGCTTATCCACCAATCCAGATCAATTCAATCAGTCCGAAGCAGACACATGACAGTCCGCAATGCGTTGATCTATCGAGGCTTACTGTCCAGACATTATCTGATTCACCTCCGTGTACGGATCCGTCTACTAATACAAGGTGAGAGTCAGGACTGAGAGAGCTTCCCGACAACGGAGTTGGAAGGGTGTCCCAGAGTGAAAGGTTGGTATACTAGCCGTAGGGATTACTATTTATAAACAACCGAGAAAAGAACCTGGATCCCAGAGCAACTGATATCTGAAGTACTCTACTCTACTCATCTGTAAGACTCCCCCCGATTTGGAACTCAGATATCTCATTCCTCCAAAGACCAGGAGAATTCTTTATCCTCCTCGAGAAGTCATCTTTCCAGACCATGGCCGTTATGATCACTGCATGTCGAGATGCACAGCACAAAATATATCTTCCGATCGTCATCCCCCCCCTTCAATCCAAACCCAACCCCACCTTCCTATCGACATGGTCTCCCTTCAAGTCCCTCCTCATCCCATTCAGACCCCGTCGTGAAGGAACGAAAAGGCCGCGCGTAGTGAGTAACGCAACGCATCGCATCGCAACAGATCAGCGAGTCGGTATGATTGAATATGGTGGGAATCCATCCGGACATTGAACCGTCCGAGTTGGATCGGGTTGTCTCTTGGGAGGGAGGGGGGGGGGAACTCATGGATCAGAAATGCATTGGGGATCCCAGGTAAGGATTGATTTGATGGAAGCAAATCAGGATCAGGATCAGGATCAGGATCAGGTAGTTACGGGGAGTTGAATAGGACGCTGAACTGTTATCCTACTTCTGTTCTCACTTATCACTTGGTATGCTTCACGGAGAACAAACAAGCTTAGGAATATCCCACAAGGGTATAGAATGAATCCAGGGGATCAATATCAAATTATCAAATAATATATAGATAAGAAGATTGTTTCTCATTGAACTATACAGAATAGTCAACTCTCGCTACAAACACAGGAACCTCCATAAGTAAAATCAGGAAGAAACCCCCACTCACTATATATTCCCTACTCAAGGGGGGGGGGGGGGGGGGGGGGGATCTGGAAGAAGACTGGGTATTAGGGTATTAGGACCCGATGGCTTTCGCTGGATGATGGAAGGTGGTTTAGGGAGGGAGGGAGGGGTGTGTGGCGGCGTGGAGTTCTGTATATTCTGTGCTTATTTGATGGTTGAGTGAGCTGTATTTTTGGAGTTTTTGGCTTTGGGTGGGATACTTAGGATGAAGCGGCGTTGGGGTGCAGGTTTCTTCTTGATGCATGGTGAAGAAGTAGTAGTACCTTTGGGGGTTGGGGGTTGAGTGCAATCTATTTGGTTCCAAAGATATTTCGATAACTCGGTTCCAGCGGGGGTTTGGGTGTGGAAAAACTCATCAATGCACAAGACTATGAAACAAATAGACAGGACAGAATAAGTGAGACAGATGTTGGCGTGAAAGTACATAACCGTCGCAGACAGTCTGCATGAGCAGTAGCGTCAAGGTGAGAAAGTTGTTGGAAAGAATTAGCCCCAAGAGTCCGCTTCTGAAGCCTATTTTGCATCCAACGCCAGCACATCCCGTTGCTTAGAATGCAATGGATCTGCCGCTGGTAAACACACTTTGGATATGCTGCTGCACCTTTTCAAATCTTATGTAGGCACAGGACTCGGCCTCCAGGTGGTTGAACAGCCCCGCCAACGTAACAAACTCCTTCCCACATCTCGACAGCTTGTTGGGGCAATGGTACAGAGTCTGCTTATGCACAGGCGAGTTCAGGTGAGCGTTGAGCGCCTTCGGGGATCCGAATTCGCGGTGGCACAAATAGCATTCCCAATCGTAGCCGTTAAAGGCGTGCTTCGTGACGGAATAGTGACTACTCTCGCTTTCATTCCACTCGAGCAACCGGTTGGTGAAGGCACCCTGCGTATCACGGCTGTGGACGAACTCGTAGACGGACTCGCGGTTCAAGGAAGAAGCGTTGGCGCAGGAACCGGTCTCAACATGATGGATGACACCACTAGCGGTAGTATACGCTTTCTTGCAGAAAGGGCACATGCTGTTTTGGCTGCGGTGGATCCTCGAGTTCTGATGCTGCAGGCACGCATCCAAGCGTGTCAGCTATTTCATTCATATGGTGAGTACCACGGCAAGGGAAGAGTTCTTACCATCCGCAGGCCGTTCTCATTCTGGAAGTTTCGCTCGCAGGGATAGCAGTACGTCTTGGAGTGACGCTTGTGTCTCATGTGCTGCTCTGCCGCACGTTCGGTATGGAACATCTGGTCGCAAGTGTCGCAAGACCAGCTAGGAGCCCAGTGTCGCAGATCATTCATGTGCTGCTCTGCCGCGACCTGTGTGTGGAACAGTTCTCCGCATGTCTCGCAAGGCATCTTGGGTGCGTAGTGTCCATAGTATTCCATGTGCCGTTCTGCGTCGCATGCGGAGTAGAATTCGCTATCGCAGGTCTCGCATTCGTATCTATAGGCCCAATGATCCTTCGCGTCCATGTGTTGCTTACATGCCGATGATCTATTAAAGATACGGGGGCACGTCTCACACTCGTACATGACGGGCAACAGATTTTGGGGGGGGGGGGGGGTTGATAGATAGAATGTCCAGTGAGATGGGAGAGATACCTAGGTCCTGGAGTAGGTGTCAACTGAAGGGGAGGAGGAGGAAGAAGAAGAAGAAGAAGAAGAAGAAAAAGAGGGGAATAAAAAGAAGGAGAAAGAGAAGACGAAGGTGAAAGGGAGGGGAGAGAAGGAGGAGGAGAAGAAGAGGAGGAAGAATATGATGATGATAAAGAAGAAGAGGAAAAGAAGAAGACTGATTTGGTAAGTGACCGACTGTCAGCTTACGAATGAGAAGAAACCCTCCATACGCAAGTACACATCCAAGTTGGCTACCAGATGGAGGGTTAGACGGCCCAGAGTCCAGACAGAGCTGCCAGCATCTGCAGCTGCCTGGAGATGGGAAGAATGAGGAGGGCAGGATTGAATTTCGATGATCTGGACAAGCCAAGTTGTTGTGGGCCAAATATCCCGTGGGAAAGGCGCCGCTTTTCAGTGAATGAACATGAGGTAGTTTCTTTATGAGTCAATCGTAGAGCTTGCATCCCAGCGGATGCAGTGAAAGGCTGATGATGTGCTTCATCATCTAACCGACCCCTACGCGGCTTACCGCTACGAGGTCGCCCGTCGGGGTCAGTTAAACATATCTACCCAGGCACTCAAACCAGGAACAGGAAAGAAAATCTTACAATCGGTCTATAGGCTCAATGGCGAGTTCTGAAAAACCGGAGGTTGTGGGTTCGAGTCCCATGTGGATCGTCTGTTGTTACCAGCTCACGTCCAGGTCCATTGGCTCAATGGTAGAGCGCCGGTCTCCTATTATAGACTGATTTTTGCCATTTCCATCTTTTTTGGTTGGAATAATGTCTTGCTTGGGCTTGGGGATCCCCGGCTCGTCTGCGTTTTGAGGTTTCGGATAGCGACCTTGCAGGTGGCTTCACCGTTGTGTCTGCGGGCAATTGGCTGGGCTACCTGGTTTTGGTTGTACTACTCTGTGTGTAGTCGATGGTTGGACCTCCGATCTGACTTCTAGACATCAGTGTTAGTATGTTATTTGAACATCTAGGCTCTGGTGTACAGCATACCAGATCGCGGTGTTGCCTTGTTCGGTTACATATACCTCACATAGTCCTACGGGAACAAACAAACAAAGCAGGCTCAGGATCGGCATCCGTCTTTCCATCGCATTATACCCTGGCAACGGCTTCTTGCATACACCCACCGACAGGGTCAACGATATAGCCACTGAGGTACTCCGTATGTTTTGTTGAACGGCTTTGTTTGCCCCGGATCTGCGCAGTACCTATCAGCGCCTCGTTTGTATTGCCATGACTGGACGACCACGCCCGGCAGATTTCCGGCCTAGCCGTAGAAGGAAGGATACTTTCATGGTTCTCTTCTCGGGTCACCAGCCCCAAAAAGCAGAGCCACTAACTAGCCCCGCTAGAAAACCTTCCACTTGCCGGGACGGTCATATGGCGTTGTTGTGCGCGGGGAGCAGCGACATTGTTGGTCCAAATGATGTGGACGACAGCGGCAAAATCCTCCGTGGAATGGACAGCATGGACTGAAGGGGTAATCATGATGATGCAAACACATTCGCGGGCCTGCATGCATCATCGAGGGAGTCCCCGGGAAAAGCGGGGCTTCCCGGATGCGACGATCACCTGACCCTCCCCAGCCGCTAGGGAGGGCCTAAGGCGGCAAGGCCCATCCGGCAGAGGGGGAAGACGGTAGACGGGGAGATAAGGGGACGAGGCCATCCACCCTCGCTCGATAAGCCCGCCCGTCCCCCCAGTTCACACGTCATCGCCGTTGATCCCGCGCTGCATGGCCAGCTGTCGGGTTCCCTTCGGAGCACCGCGGTTTCGTCCAAAATATTAATGTCCGGGTATCGAGGAGAGACAGGAGGGGTCGCGACGGGACTGAATTAGGAACACGGGCGATGGAGGATGGATTGGGTCGGGCTGAGATACCGACTGGTGGCGTCAGTGGCGGGTACGGACGGAGTCGACCTGGCCGGTCTAGTGTCCCCCGGACTACTGATACCAGGCATCCCCCAAGGTTGCTGGAAGCTGCAAGCTGGAATGAGTCGAACAACTACTAGTTCCTTCCTGTGTTGATGCCGGACCTGGCCGAATTCAGGCAGAGAACTCCCTTCCTGAGTCACCCCCGGCCGAACGGTTCTGGTTCCTTCCCCTAAGCGCCCTAACCGTGAAGCAGATTGGAGGACCAAATGACGCAGGCCCGAGGGAGTCCCGTGAATGGCAGGAATGGTCCAGGAGGTGCCAGAAGCGTCCTTAGTAAAAGAAGCCTGACCGTAAATCTGACAGGCTTTCTTTCCCCCCCCCCCAACCAACTTAGTAAGGTTCCTGTCCCTTCCCTTGCATCACGTTATCGCCCTGCCCATCACTGCCTCTCTGACTAAGGCGCTTCGCCTCCGCCGCCTCCCCTCACTCTCCTCTCCTGACTACTTAAGCCTTCTCTCCTCTCCTCTCACGCCGTGTTCTCTCCTTCCCCCATACATCCACCTACCTCTCCTCCTCTCGCAGCCCCATCGGCGACCGTCTCCCTTCTTCCATCTGACACCCCCTAAGCGTCATATAACAGTGACTACTCTGAAACTACACTGAAACTACTCTGCTTATCGCCGTCAACATGCAGATCTTCGTCAAGACTCGTGAGTTCTCCCCCCTCCCACCCCCCTACATCCTGCGTCGTGCATCTCCTGACGCCACCCTTCTCATCTAGTGACCGGCAAGACTATCACCCTTGAGGTGGAGTCCAGCGACACCATCGACAATGTCAAGACTAAAATTCAGGACAAGGAGGGTATCCCTCCCGACCAACAGCGTCTGATCTTCGCTGGAAAGCAGCTTGAAGACGGCCGCACCTTGTCCGACTACAACATCCAGAAGGAGTCTACCCTTCACCTGGTCCTCCGCCTGCGTGGTGGTATGCAGATCTGTAAGTTTCCCGGAACTCTATTTTGCCACCTTGCTGGCCACCCCGATAAGGACCACTTACTGACTTGCCCTCAGTTGTTAAGACCCTCACCGGCAAGACCATCACCCTTGAGGTCGAGTCTTCCGATACCATCGACAACGTCAAGAACAAGATCCAGGACAAGGAGGGCATCCCTCCCGACCAGCAGCGTCTGATCTTCGCTGGAAAGCAGCTTGAAGATGGCCGCACCTTGTCCGACTACAACATCCAGAAGGAGTCTACCCTCCACCTGGTCCTGCGTCTGCGTGGTGGTATGCAGATCTTTGTTAAGACTCTCACGGGAAAGACCATCACCTTGGAAGTTGAATCATCCGACACGATCGACAACGTCAAGAGCAAGATTCAGGATAAGGAGGGTATCCCTCCCGATCAACAGCGACTTATCTTCGCCGGTAAGCAGTTGGAGGATGGCAGGACCCTCTCCGATTACAACATCCAGAAAGAATCCACGCTCCACCTTGTCCTTCGTCTCCGTGGTGGTATGCAGATCTTCGTCAAGACACTCACAGGAAAGACCATCACCTTGGAAGTGGAGTCGTCCGACACAATCGACAACGTCAAGAACAAGATCCAGGATAAGGAGGGCATCCCCCCGGATCAGCAGCGTCTTATCTTCGCGGGTAAGCAGCTGGAGGACGGCAGGACCCTCTCCGACTACAACATCCAGAAGGAGAGCACGCTGCACCTGGTGCTCCGCCTGCGTGGTGGAAACTGATGTCTTTGCTTGATTGTTTTTCGCACGGCTCATCTACGGTTGAGTGGCCTGCATGGCGTTGGTCGGTTTATGATACGGGTTCAATTGGGCATACCTTAGTGTCACCATCTTATATGGTGCCTTGCGACATTCTTTTCCTAGGAATATGACCATTGCATTTCTTTGCTACTATTTTATCCGCGTAGATCTCGAACCTAGGATATCTACGGAGTACTTTCCGTGTAATCGCAATCCGGGATGGCATCTCAGGTACCAGTTCGCCACCGGTGGCAAAGGCCGGGGTAGTTGGTTAAACACGGGAGGGTGACTCACCGCCTGTTGTCCGTTGCCACCCCGGACAGCCACGTGACCGGTGCCATCCAAAGGCCGGCGTGGAGCCCATCCATCGATGATGTAGCCTCAACCTGCTGGCCGACTGTCCCCGACGCGCATCGCGCTGGAAATCCGAGCATCGGCCGTGATGCCCTCTTATTTCTACCACCTTGCGATCGAATTGTTTGCTCGCCCCCAGTCCGACCTCAAAGGCGCCTGTCCAGGCGTGGACAAGCACGCCACCACCTCGCTATCTTTTGACTCCGCATGTGAAGCTCTCCTCCCATTCCAGAAGCGCTCACGACACTCCAGCTGGGCAAATCGATCCTCTCGCCATCAATCGAATGGGAAAAACCATCGCGCCTTGCAGAACCCCCCCGAGCCCCGCAGTGCAGACACTCCATCTCCCACACCAGACACCACTACCCCTCACCTCTACACGAGCTCGCCAACCAGCGCATCCCTCTTCGAAAAGGACTCCAGATTCGACAAAGTCTCGATCGAGTGCATTGATATGATCCCATCCGAACAAGATTCCGCGGCTACAAAGCGCACCGGCTGGCGAGATCCACGGGACAACCCCGTCGCGACGGGCATTGGCACCGATATCCTGGGTGGTCTGCGCACCAAAGGGAAATACATACCGCTGGACCAGAGCACGTCGGCGAGCGTTTGGGGAATCGTACACCTTTACCGGGATGCACAGGAGACGCCGTTTCTCATCGAGGATGATTACCCCTCGTACCTGAAAGGTTCCGCTGCCGCAGCGAGACAACAATACGATGAGTTGGGCGGAAGTACAAAGCTGTCGCGCGCGGAGGACCATATGCCGGACGAGGATTGCACGACACTCTGCATTCTAGCTATTCCGTCCTACATGTCGCCGTCTGATTTCCTGGGGTTTGTGGGCGAGGCTACGATGAATGACGCTAGTCACTTTCGGATGATCAGGACTGCTCGTGCGAATCGGTATATGGTTTTGATGAAGTTTCGGAGCGGGAAGAAGGCGAAGGAGTGGCAGAAGGAGTGGAATGGGAAGGTGTTCAACAGCATGGAGGTGAGTGCCTTGCGTTGCTTGTGGTGGTGGCCCAGATTCGTAATGCTGACGAGCGTTCTTGCTTAGCCCGAAACCTGTCATGTTGTCTTCGTGAAAACCGTCGAGATCCAAGCCGTTCAGCCGGAACAATCTGGCGGTTCGCAGAGCGGACTGCTTTCCCCGCACTCCGCGACGAGTCCTGTGCGCACGAATCCATCCTCGACTGCCCAATCGAGCGCTCTATCCTCAGCCACTCTTTCGACCCGACCCTTGGCACCACCTACACCCGCACTGATCGAACTACCCACCTGCCCCGTGTGTCTGGAACGCATGGATGAGACCACTGGCCTGCTGACGATTATATGCCAGCATGTCTTTCACTGCACATGCCTACAGAAGTGGAAGGGAAGTGGCTGTCCCGTGTGCCGATACACCCAGGATGACTTCCGACGGACCAGCCAGGGCGAGCCGTATGGAGATGAATCGGCCGAATGCAGCGTATGCCACACGGACGAGAACCTCTGGGTCTGTCTCATCTGCGGCTGCGTCGGCTGCGGACGCTATGACGGAGCGCACGCCTTCGAGCATTACAAGGAAACGGCGCACTCGTTCGCCATGGACCTCTCCACCCAGCGCGTCTGGGACTACGTAGGGGATGCGTATGTCCACCGCATCATCCAAAGCAAAACGGACGGCAAGCTCGTGGAACTCCCCGCAGCGGACAACAGCGCGCTCGACCCGCCGGACTGGACGGACGCCGTCCCCCGAGAGAAATGGGAGAACATGAGCGTGGAATACACCCATCTACTAACCAGCCAACTCGAGAGCCAGCGTGCCTATTTCGAAGAGGTGGTCGAGCGTGCCGTCGACAAAGCATCCCAGGCGAGCACAGCCGCGTCTTCCGCGCAGGAAGCCATGGAAAAAGCCACCGCGGGCCTGCAAACCCTACAGGCGCAGTGCGAGAAACTGACGAATGAGACCATCCCCAGCCTTGAGCGTGACAAGGCCCGGGCCGACAAGCGCGGGGAAAAGTTCGAGATGATGGCGCGCAAGATGGAGAAGGAGTGGCGCGAAGAGAAAACCATGAACCAGAGCCTGCTGGAGCGGGTCGAGCTTCTGCAGACTGAGGTTGAGGGCCTCAAAGTCGCGAATGCTGACCTCACGGAGCAGAACCGGGATCTCACCTTCTTCATCAGCGGGTCGGCGCGGCTGCAGGATCAGGGCGACGATGTGGTGCAGGGGACGGTCAGTGTGCCTGAGCCCGAGAAGCCTAAGAAGAAGGGGAAGGGGAAGAGGAAGTAGCATGGTGTTAGGATCGGCTCGCTGGGTTCGAGTCCCTTGGTCTCTTTATGGGGCTTGGTGAGGTTGTGTCGCATGCACAGACTGCCTACCTGCAACATACTGACTGGGTTTTGCTTGCTGACTCGAATCACTCAGGTAGCATACAGAGTAATCGCATACTTGAATAAACCAATAAGTCAATAAAAAAACCCCGAATTTCCCTAATGCAATGCAAACGTAACCCGTCTATGTATCATACAATCGACCACATAATACTATACATTTTATGCCCCCATCTATTATCCCCCCATCCATCCATCCATCCATCCATCCATCCATCATCCACCTCCCAACACACACACACACACACATTCATCCACCACACCAGACAACAGAGCAAGAAAAGAAAGCGAGAAAATCAAGGCCCCCTCCTCACCGCCCAGAAATAATTCCCCCAGGTCTCCGAGCCCTTCACCAACCTCCAGCCCACACCGGGAAAATACACGACGCCCTCACACCTCCAGCACGCGGCGTCCAACGCCCAGCCCCAGCTTCAGCCCCGGTCTCAGCATTCGCCCTACTCACCGCACCATCCTCCTCCACCCTCACCAGCCCCTCGTGCACCCACCCCTCCAGCTCCCCGGGGTTGACAAACTTGGCCCACTCGTGCGTGCCCCTGGGCACGACACCGATCGGCCACGGTGCCTCGGCGATGACCTGGTTGACGAGCCACGAGGGGAAGGTGCGCGCGATGGTCGACCCGATGAGCCATCCGCCGGGACGCACCATGCTCAGACAGTTCTGGAGGAAGGTTTGCGGGCTGCTCAGGCCGCGGATGTTGTCGATATGTTCGATAACTTCGAAGAGGGTGACGATATCGTAGCGGGGGTCGGTGGGTGTGGATTGGGTTTGGGAGGTTGGGGATGGGGATGGGGATGGGGATGGCGATGGCGATGGCGTTGAGGAAAAGGAAGAGGAAGAGGAAGCAGAGGAAGAAGTAAAAGTCGTCGCGATCAAATCCTCCAACGAACAATTCCGATACTCAAACACGCCGTTCTCCAAATGCGCATTCACCGCCGGATCCATCCGCGCATGGTCCCTTGCGATCTTGATGAGCGTGGGACTGGGATCAATCGCCGTTATGGATGCCGCGCGCGTGCGCGTCCGGTTCGTGATTGCTGTGGTGGTGCGGGTGCTTTTGCCGGGGCCGGGGATGGTGCGCGCGAGCGACTCGGCGAAGATGCCCCCGCCGCAGCCGATATCGAGGTACCGGAGGGTGTTGTTGTGGGGGGAGGCGGAGGGGGTCGGGGTCGAGGGGGTCGTGGTGATGGGGTCGAATTCGGCGAGACAGCCCGCGATGAAGTCGTGGCGGAGGGGGTTCATCAGGTGCAGGGCGCGCGAGGGACCTTGCGGGTCCCACCATGAGCTGGCCAGGGAGGAGAAGTGTGTGAGTTCATCGGCGGAGACGGAGGAGTTGTTGCTGCTCGTGCTGCTGCTGGTGGAGTGCGGGCGGGTGTGCGAGAGGGGCTTTTTGAGGGTGTGCGAGAGGCTGCGGAGGGTTGGGCGCGGGGGCATTTTGGGCGGTTCGGGGCGGTTTTGAGGTTGGTTGGTCGTTGCACGCTGGAGCTGGATTTGGCAGGCGTGAAGCCGAAGTTGCGGTGCTGCGATGCCGAGACAAACATGCCAAGCCTGGTGTTTAGTTGTTTGCACTTGTTTGCTTGTTTGTTTGTTTGCTTGTTTGACTGTGACAAGCTCTGCGACGGCGAAGATCTACAGTACAATAATAATACAAAGTTCATCCCACCCACTGGCTGCAGGTGTAACTATCATCCGACTAGAGGAGGTAGCGGAAGTCAATATTATTATTATTATTATTATTATTATTATGGCTCTATCAGGATGATGTGATAAACTCATATCGCGAGTTGATTGTTTACAGTCCATTAGTTATTGAGTCTCTCTCTACTCTGCTCTGAACCTCGGTTCTTTCCGTTTACCTTACCGTACTCTCGTTCCAATACCTACTATACCTGGAATACCTCAACTTCGTCCGTATCTGGACGGCTCAGCAAGTGACAGACCGAATTATTGCGTGTGGAATCCAATCCAATCCAGCAGCTCCTCCAACTGATAGGTAGATAGCATCTGTCAATATTATTTCCCTCATCGAGACTCCAACTAAACGCCCCCCCCTCTTCACCCATGTCATTCATCCACACCACACCAAACTCAGCATAAAACTCCGTCGGTGAGCCACAGAAGACTCCTCAGGCTACTCCACCCCCAAAGGATTCTACGTGTCTTCTAGAAACATTCCCTTTCCACAGGCCCCCGACGTACGAACCACCGGGTAGCCAGGGTTATGGGGCGGATGGAGGGCCGCCATTCCCTTCTCTGCCGTAGTTCGATGGACCGGGGCCTGTCTAGGCTTCGTTCGTTCGTTCTTCCCAGACCGACTACTCCGTATTCTGTCTCCTCCACAAGAGCGAGTAGATAGTATCTATCTAGTCCGTCCTAGACTCCTATTTAGACTCCTATACCCCCTCCGTAGTCACGGCACTAACATCGTATCGGCCGGCCGGGAGAGAGGGGAGGACAGGGGAGTGTCCTCGGCATAGGACTTACCGATTCCGTCTGGCGGCGTGGATTCAGAACGGCCTTAGTGACGTTGGTGACATTCTAGTCCCCTACAGTTCCGTCAATCCTAGGGTTAGTCTCGGGTCGGGACTCGTTTTCATGATGCCGGTGAAGATCATTCCTGCGCTGCGCTGTCTGGGTCGAGTAAGTCCACCGGAGAAGGGGGGGGGGGTTTATTCTTGGGGTTGTCGATCAGGAGTGTCAGTGCCAATGGTGAGGGGGACGGTTGAGATGGGTCTCTCGCCTTTGGATGGGGCACGGAGGACTCCGTACTACGACCGTGTAGGTAACTGGTAAGTGACTACTCGATACGAGAGAGACACTCCGAGTCAGAGGCGTGTTGAGTTGGGGTCGTGTGACGTGCTACTTCGCGACGGAGTAAAGTAATCTGTGCTGGATCCCGAGTTGGGACGACGTTCTCGGGCGATGGAGGAGAGAGTGTGTTCTTGGCTGTTGAGGTCGGGAATAATGATGCTGGCTCCCCCTATCTGGGGAGTGAAGGAAGGCGCCGTGGTACTGCCGCTGCTGCGAATCTGCCGTGATCCCATCATCCCAGGGCCGAATCAGGTAAAAGAAGACGGACGCGACGAGGGGAGCCAGACGACTAAAAGGGCTGCAGTCTGCACCCTCATCTGAGGCTGAGGGGTGTGACTGTCTTGCATAGGCAAGATTCCAGAATGAGGGAATCTGGCGCTAGAGCGATGCTACTGCATCATCTCCTTCAGGCTTCGGCTGATGATGCATAAGTCATCCATCAGCCCTCGTCAATCTGACGACTTCCCATATCTAGCTAGTCCTCACCACCAATTCGCCCAATAATTCATGGGCCAACACACCGTTAACTTTGACTCTCCGAGATGAAAGACTGCGAGTGACCTTCTTTCTTTCTTTTGCTGTCCCAGCTTCAACCCCAGCCACCGCCGACCAGCGACCAGACCACACCACCTGTGGAACTCTCCCCTATTCTCCTTTAGGCCGCTCCAGAGCGCCGTTCAATCGAGCAACTGAAACTCGCAGCGGCCACTCGCAATTAAGGCCAGCCCGTCCGCCCAATCGTATGGCCCGCATATTATTGGGATCTTGGTCGCTGCGGTTATTATCCAGGCCGCAGGACGTCATCCCCTCCGCTCTAGCCACACTTCGGGACCCCGAGCGCCCCTGAATTTACGTGGGCCACCCGGCCAAGTCGAGCCCGCCCGGAAGTCTGCCTGGGAGCTAGGAAGGAGACAATGTGATCCGCGACGTGCAGTTCCAAGCCAACGCCCGGGAGAGAGGCCAGCCGTGGGGCCGAGTGAATCATTCAACACGGATCCGCGGCCAACACGGACGCCTGCAGGGGTTCCTTTGTGCTGATGACGATGACGGTGCAGACGAGATTGCTGATAGCCCGATAGATACACAGTAGAGTAGTATCTAGTAGTATCTAGTAGTAGTACACCGATTTTTTTTTTTTTTTTCGGATAACACTGACCACTCGAAAGTCAATTCCGGGGGTCACTAGGAACGCAGCTTCACTCCTGTTGTACTCCGGTGTCTCGGAGCCCCGGGTTTGCCTAAGCCCGCGCGATCCTGAGCTGCAGCGGGCGTGGAATCCCGAATCCCTCAGGGATGTGACACGAGCGCCAGGAGAGACAAGGACCACCATCGGCCCAGAGTGGGTGGGTGACGCAGCCGCATTGGCACATGGAATGGACGCTTTAGAAGGCTTCCATGGCCCTTCCGACTTTTTCTAGAAGGTCGTCGGAAGCCCGACCGCGCTTGGCGGGCTGCTGTGACTGGTCCGTACCGGGCGTGTACGGATGTACGACTCCGTTAGTGCGTGTAGCGCTGCTGCAGTGGAGCCGGCCTCTGCAAGGGAAACGAACAAGAGAAGGGGAGGGAGGCCGGAAAAAGGAGGGAGGGGGGAAAGTTGTCGCAGCCTCCTCCGTCAGGTCCGTACACTAGCAACACTAGGCGACTAGTCGCAGGACTAGGGCACTTTCTCGTAGGAACCAGGCGGGAGAAGGACTCCACGGCCCATTATTACCGCCATCCGTATCATCAAACCCTGCTCTTGCGCTTCTGAGTTAGTCCATCTGGTGTTCTCTTTTGTTGCTGTCTCTTGCCCTCCCCCGTCTGTCTCTCCTGTCTTGTCTTGGGGCGTAGACCAAATGCTGTCCAACGTGGTACGCAGATCGGGGCGAGGCAGACGGTCCGGTCCCTGCAGCCCAGCCGGAGCCGGAGGGAAAGGCGAGTGGAGGGAACAGGAATATGGTGCGTCCAAAGCTTCCAGGAGGTCTTGGGCCACGCCCGGTTCCCCATCCTTCGAAACTTTCTAGAAGGAAATTAGCCTTCCGCCGTTGTTCTGCCGTAATCACAGGCCATGTTGAGACCCTCTCCCGAAAGGGGTAAATCGCATCTTCCGTTGAACAGCCGGATCGCCTGGGGTTAGTCTAAGCCCGCGATAACTGCCTGCCTGCTCTGCTCTGCTCTGTTCTGCTCGTAATCTGATTCTGGACCATCCTGGAACCTAACAACTGCCCAGCCCTGAAATTTCGTCCCAGGAGGGCCGTCGACAAATGAGGCCGCTCGCCCCCTCCCGACAGCCACGCTGTTGTCCATCTGCTGTCAAGGAATCTCCGCGCGCCCTGGATTCCTGGATCTGGAGGGGAAAAGCAATGCCACCATGAGATCATCCTGATTGAACGGTCGTTCCTGCGGTCGATGCCTGATAGGAGCCGGTGCTAAAGCCTTTGCATGTCGCACGATACATGAAGCATGCGTCCAGTCCCGTCCAGTCAGATGTTGTTGTTGTCCGCTTGAATTCTTCGTTTTATTTTATTTTATTTCATTTCATTTTCCCTTTCCTGTCCTTTGTCTCCCCCCCCTCCCCTGTTTCGGTTCTCCTCCGTGCTCTCCTTTCCCCTCGGACGGTGCACCAGGGGGCAGATAGAGGCCCCTTGAGAAACTCCTGGGGTAAAAAGGTAAGGTAAGCTTCCGAGCGGTTATGCGGTCCTCGTGTGCACCTGGTGCAGGAACTATACGACCTTGTGCTCCTTTACGTTATACCCTCCCCTCTCCTTCCCTCTTTCAGTCTCTCTTTCCAGTTTCCCTTCTCTTGGCGCATCATGCCTCCCGCGGGTCTGTAGAGTGAGTGAGTAAGTAAGTAAGTAGTAGTCATCGCTATCGCACGTCGCAGCGGTTCGGCGCACAAACTTTTCTGGCAAGGCGAGCTGGGCCGAAGGTCAGGCACGGCTCCTCTCTGCCTAGCTCGTCCAAGATCCTGGATTGGATCTCGCAGGCTCGCAGCATGACCCGGGACATCGCGCGCCTGGCGGGCGGGTGAGCGCCGACGGAGCATCGGCCGGGAGTCAGAGCCAGAAGCAGAATTAAAAAAATAATAATAATAATAATATGTATTGTCCTGATTCCTTCAGATCGGCATCATCCCGTACCCACCGCCAGGAGCGATGCTCGCACGGCCAGGGGACGGGGAAAGCCACGTTGTGGAGCCGAAGTGCTGACGGTGACCTTCTGGTGCCGCCAGCTTCATCGGGCGAGGAAAGTCAATGGAGCCACTTGGGGCCTGGAGTGGAAACGTGCGAGAGTAAGTCTGGGACTAGGGCGTTAGTGAGTGGTCGTCAGTCTGGCCATTATTATTATTATTATTATTATTATTATTATTACTATCATTCTTTTTTTTTTTCCTAAATGAAATCCACCCGACAGCACTAGAGCACTACTAATTATAATAACATTAATTTTAACTTACCTGCGCGCGGAGAGACCCCCCATTTGTGTCGAAGGGGAGCCCCTCCAGAGGGGGGGGGAGGGGGAAAAGGCAGAAGGAGGAGTGGGAGGAGGAATGAGTAGTGAGTAATAAATAAATAATAAATAATAATAATGATAATAATAATAATAATAATAATATGACCCCGAGGGGCAGGGCGAAGCACACCGAGTCGAGGTGAAGAAGAGCTTCGATGCTTCTATAAGAAAGAAAGCGCCCGGCCTTCGACTCGCTCTTACGGTTCCCCTTACCGTTACCGTACCGGCTGACAATACTTCCATACTTCTTCTTTCTGTCTTCCTCCCCCCATCGTCTCCTCCATCCATCATCCATCATATTCTTCTTCTTCTTATTATTACTATTTGTATCCTCTTCCTCCCCATCCACCTTCTCTCGGCTTTCTGAACTCCTCGCCGCTAGAACTCCTTTTCCTGCTTACTTCTCCCTTCTCTCTCCCTCTTTCGCCAGCCCCGTGTGGATATTTCCCCTCCTCGTCAATTGCCTCTGCCCGCAAAATAACCCCGAGAAGCTCCGTCGAACAGGCCTTCGATTGTTCTGCTCGGTCCTAACTCCTCGGAACCCCCCCCAGCGGTGCCACCTTTTCGCCCGTCGATCCTCTCTCCGACGCGCAGCATTTGGTTCTTTCCACGGATTGAGCGTGTTTCACCTGAAGCTGTCAACTTTTCTCCGTAAGTAAGTGCTTCTTCTTGGCTGCTTCGCCTCGCGCCCTGCACACGCCGCAGTTCCCCCTCCTCCACGGCTGGCTCAGCCCCGATCAGTCCGGCGAAGTCAGCGGCCCCTCGCCGCAAATTGGATGTGTAGGAGCGCCTGCAGAAAGCATCCTGGTGCGGGCCAGCGTCCTATTTGTCGCATTCCTGGCTCGAAAATCTGCGCGCGATCACATCCATTGAGCGGCTTCGGGCTGGTCACTTCGTCGTCGGACACTGGCGTATGTTTCAGTGGGGGGGAAAGCCTGAGACACCGAACAAGTCCCGCACACGAGACTGTCCTCCACTTTATCCTTCTGTCGATACAGTTGACTAACCTGGGGCTGGTGCCTCCTGTTCAGAATCGACCCATCTGGCCGCCGTTCGAGTCCAAATTAATTTGCGTCCTGCCCGCTTACCCCTCCTCTGGCGACGCCCTGAGCCCTGTCCGCGAAAAAAACCGCCGAAACAGACCGACCGCATACACATTCGCATTCTGCGATCGCAAACGACTGTTAGGCGACTCGAAATCTGTCGCGAACCGGTGTGAAAGACGTGGCGATACACTTGAGCAGCTTGAAAAGTCTCATCGATCTGAATCGCCTTGAGATTGTAACAGTGACCTCGGACTCCCTCGAAGTACACGTCTCGCTGCAGCTATCCGAGGAGGTTCTGGCTAGTGTCTTGGTCTCTGTTGGGTCAGTTCTGAATCTACACAGCAAGACCGCTGCGGACGTTCCGATTCGTGAAGAAACACCCGTTTTCTCAACGCATACTCGAGTCTGGGGTTTTGGAGCAGAAGCTCACCTGAGCGCTAAGTTGCTGGCGAAATCTTAGTAGTGCCCTTCAGGCTGGTATTTGTCGGCTGCACGGTCTGAGTTGCCAACTCGCCCTTGCCCTCGCATTCCTGATTACGAACATCGGAGATCCTGGTCGCCTTCGCCCACGTCACACCTGGTCAGGACAAAAGTCCCTCGGCTACGTCTAGCGCAGATTCAGGTGAGTACTGCAGCGTCATCCTGCTTGGCTTGTTTCCAGGATCTTCCCGCGACGGCACCCGGTTTTCGCGCCCTGGTAGGCTGGAGCTTCGGTGTCACTCGTCGTGTCTTACCCAGCGTTGTTGCTTGCTTGTTGGGGTGGCCACACCCAAACACACCTAGCCACGACTGCGGTGTCCGGATCCCTCTTGCCTTTCACGGCGCTTAGCTCGCAAAGCTAACTTCTCTCGTGTCTCAGCCATCCAGAACCCTCCGGAAGGAAACGCCGTGGAGATCTTCTACGGCTACGCGTCAGACGGGTTACCGTGGGTTCCTTCGACCGTCCTTGACCGCCGTCCCTCAGCCCTCCGCGGGGTCGGGTCATGGACATCACAACGATCCTGAATAGAAAGCATTCTGCCGCAATGGTTGCGCCAGACGGACAATTCGATCCACAGCATTTGGTTCCGAATCCTGGCTTAGACCATTCGCCGAAAATGAAGTCGGAGCCTGGCATCTCCGACGCAGGCGATCAAGCGGTTCTTGCCTACCCCCCTCATGCTCCCCTCAACCAGATGCCCAACATGCAACACGATATGCGCTATGCATCCCAGGCACACCCCGCCCAGGGGCTGCCTCTCCTTCAGAACCCTTTTGTCCCTGGAGCATATGCCACCGGCGCTCAAATACCGAATCCCGGCACCCCTCAGGGGAGGGCGGACCCTCCTCCCAAGACCTTTCATTGCGGTACTTGTGGCAAGGGATTCGCTCGACGGAGCGACCTTGCTAGGCACGGTAAGCTTATCTTGATCGAGAGTGGCTGGACGTCCATCTGACCGGATTTAGAACGTATCCACTCTGGCATCAGACCCCATGCTTGTGACTGGCCGGGTTGTGGTAAACAATTCATCCAGCGTTCGGCCCTGACGGTCCACTCCCGTGTTCACACGGGTGAGAAGCCTCACATGTGCGAGAGGTGTGGCAAGGTACGTGCGGAAAGCTCCACCCAGCTTTGGGACTCACTAACAAGCCTGTAGCCATTCAGCGATTCCTCCTCCCTGGCGAGACATCGCAGAATCCACTCCGGGAAGCGTCCCTACAAGTGCCCATACGCCAACTGCCAGAAGACCTTCACACGCCGCACAACCTTGACACGCCATCAAAATCATCATACGGGCACGATCGAGGAAGCCGCCGCTGAAACCGAGGCCAACCTGAGACAAAATAAGGAGCGGGCACGACTGCCTGGGGATATGTTCTCCGAACACGGCTCCGTCCATTCCACGCCCTCTCCGGGACACCACACTATGTCCCCAGTCAGTGATCTCCCTCCGTTGAACATGCCGCGCTCCGACTACTACATGGGGGGGAACGGCTCCATTCCGCCCCATGTCCGGGGTCCTTTCACTCAGGTTAGCCCCCGGGCTTCCCCGACTGCTTCGTCTCCATCGTTGTCGAGCTACGGCGGTGCTCCTCTCCCCCGCCCGTCCATGACATCTCATCCGTCTGGCTACGGGCCCCCTCAGCCTCTTGAGCCACCGGCCAACAACGACCACCGACCCAACAGCGTTAGCGGGAGCCCTCATATGACAAGCCTGGGCTGGGCCTCTCCTTCGCATGGCAGCATCCCCTCCCCCGGTTCCGCCACCGACTACTACCCCGAGCCCAGTGGGCCGTACCCGACCTCGATGCCGCCTCACATGTACTTCCCCAACTCAACCATTCGGCGGCCTACCAGCACCGAACCGGACAACTATGAGATGAAGCCCAGGATGGGTGACAGCGCATGGTCCACGCCGGTCTAATGATGGGTCACCGACTGGACTCCCCCAAACATACGGCAGGGCCGATGATATGGGGTGTCAACCCGGTCACCCCATCTTGCATAATCGTTTAGACTCCCTCGAATTGGAGCTAAACAAGCATAACCATTTCCTTTGTCCCTTTTCATTTGTTCCCCTGTTTATCACCTGATCGGTTTCAGCATTGTTCATCGCATGTTACACATGGCATACATCTGTGGATTTTCGATATACCGTCGTCATCTTAGCATTTCCCAGTGTGGGTTACAAGCGCTGGAAGGGAGTCCGGGCTAGCTGATTTGTCGCGTGCGCTGTTTTGCGTTGTTGACTGTCCTCTCTTGTTTGAAATTATTTCCTTGTTCCTTTTGTCTTGTCTAATGTGAGATATGACCACCAGGGCGAAGCATAAATAGAGAGAGTTGGAAAAGGGGTTTACTTTTTTTTTTTTCGTTTGTTTATTATTTCTCATGGCTCGGTTGGATGGGGTTTGGGAAACTCGGGGTCTTGGTTTCTGTCTTGGTTTATGCAATTATCCATTATCATTATTATCACTTACTTACTTCACTTTCTGGTGCGTTTGTTTGCTTGCTTGATACCTAATTATTTCCCCTTTTCCCTTATTGTGTTTATTTATCTATTTATTTATCTTCCCTTTTGTCTGTAGATAATTGGTTGGCATTTGTTATTCTTATGTATCATAGAACAACTGTTAATACCACCACAACCACACCACCACCAATTATCAATCACTACCACTTCCCCTACAATTATCATCATCATCATCTTCTTCTTCTTCTTCTTCTTCTTCTTCTTCTTCTTCTTCTTCTCCAACCCGCTGATAAAACCCTAAAACACACATTTCATCCATCCACGTGGAAAGTGGCGATAACACAATGACAATCCCTGTTAAAAGTGGATAACTATCTACTACCCAGTCAGTCAGTACCTTAGGTACCTCCCTCCCTCCCTCCCTACCTAGGTAGTTAAAGTACCTTACTTACCAGATACCCAAACCAGCAACCAGTCCGAATCAAATCGGTCCGACTCTAAGAGTCTAGACTATCTAGATATACGGAGAGCACCATCTACCACCAAACTAGAACTGTTATCAGCCAACGTCGTAGAATAGATAGATAGATCCATGCGTTGCGTATCCGGCCCTCCTCTCATGTCTCATGATTCTACTTGAAACACGAAACATTTCCCGAGCAAGGTTCTTTCTTCCCGGGCGATGCGATCCCCTCGGGTCACGGGACTGTAGAATGGAATTCATGTCTGAGGCTGTGAGAGGAAGGCTTCATATCAGGCCTGAGGCAGACGGATTTTTGGAGATTCGTGAGGCATGGAGAGATGATTCGGTCCTGGGGCACGAAAAAGTATTCCGTCCTGAGGAATGAGAGGTTCGGGGTCCTGAGGCGCCAATTTGAACATAGCCGATAGCCCTTGGCTGAGATAAGTAATGTACGGTAGTTAGTTAACTACACTACTTGCTTACGGAGTATGAAACGAACGAGCACGTCCATATGATGATGATTTCAATCTGACTACTACCCCATGTGATGGTGATAATGATAATGATGTGAACAATTCGGAATTAAGTACAAAGAACCAGTCCCCCGCCGTCACCGCGCTCTGGCATATATGACACACTTAGCAATAGAGAGATGATTACCACCTAGCCCTATTCCATGGTACTTCGTAGCTCCTGGGGATAGAGATATAGGGCTGATTGGGTCCGAGGAGCGGAAACTGGTGTGTGTATATAACACTCCATAATCGTGAGGAGTTTGAAGCTGGAAGTCTCCTGGTTTGGTGTAATGTGGCGTGGTGGGGTGTCGCTTAGGGGAGGGTTGGGGGGGGGGGGGGGGGGGGAAAGAAAGGTAGAAACGGTAAGTTAGGGAGGGAAAGAATTGAAGGTTAAAGATGTTTGTGTGTTTGTGTGTTTATGTTGAATGTATTAGGTAGGTAGGGTGCTAGATAGGTAAGGTAGGTACGTATGTAGGTATGATCAATAGGGAGTTCCCAGATCAGTCGCGTTCAACAGTCCGCTGCTGCCTGGGACGGTGGCCGGACAGGAGCAGACAGGGGCGGGACTGCTGCCGAAGGCTCGCGAGAGGAGGGTCGCGGCGAATGAGGTGGTTGTTGAGGCGCCGCCTTCGCGGGCGGAGAGGAGGCCGAACCGGAGGAAGACTTCGGAGGTGGTTACGAGGATGGAGATGATAATGAGGACGATGATGATCCAGGTTTGGTCTTTTCGGTTGTTAGTCTGAGTTAATGATGATGGAGGTGGGGACGTACGAGAGGTTTTGTTATCTGCTATGGAGTCGGAGAGGATCTCAGCAAGGTCGAGGAAGACGCGACAGCGCTCGTTGAGGACTTGGATCCGGGGCTTGATCTCGAGGTATTCGCGGACGGCGATGTAGAGCGGGTAGAGGGTTGGTTCGCTCTCCCAGAAGAAGTTGGGGACGTCGAGCATGTTAGATGCTGTTTGGTTATGGATTAGTTGGAGAAGTTTAGGTCGGGATTGGTGATGGGGACATACACAGGTTGACCTCGACTCTGCTCTTGAATAAACTGCCCAGGATGCGAAACACTTCATCCCGCTTCATGCCGAGGTTTCCCGTCATGGCAAGTCGGCGAGGAACGTCCTTGGCCTCGGCCATTTGTCGGGCCATGACTTCCTCGAAAAAGCAGAGTTTCGTGCTCTGCGCGATGCCATGACTGATGGCCAGTTTGATCATGTGGTCACCGCTCCGCAGCGTGATCATGTCGTTGTAGACACGCGGGCGTGAGATCTCAGTGGAGTACTCGAAATGGAATTCTTCCGTCTCAAAGTCTTCCTCCTGCAGAGGCATAGTAGCCAATGGCATTGGGGTTCCTGTCGCGGAAGAAGTCGCAAATGCCAGGTCGGCCAGGAGATCCTTTTCTTGCTTTTCGGAGAAATTCCAGAACACGACCACGCCGTAACTGAAGACGAACATCTCCGCCACGTTATAAGACAGTCTTGTAGACGGCGGTGTAGCAATCGGCGCATCGTGCGCAATATTGGAACCTTGAACAGGCTGTTCCCTCACGCCGGCCTCGGCTTGGTCTTCATGGACAGGCTGATGAATCCCACCGTCCACATGTTGCGACGAGCCATGCTCATGCCGACCCCCGAAGACCGAATGCTCATCCACCTCGACCATATAATCTTCATGATGGTCACGCAGCTCATTCCGCTCAATCTCCTCATCAAGGATCGACTTACCCCCAGGCTTCTTCACCACCGGACTACTCCTGAGTCTGTACCCCTCATGACCCGGCAACAAGGGTAGATGATACGCCGTATACAAACAATCATCATAAAGCTTAGTCCGTCCACCATGTCTGTCCTTGACAAACGACGCCAACGAGCTCATCTTATAAGCCTGGGCCGTGCAGTACGCCGTCACGCGCGCCAGTTTCTCCGCACGACGAGCCTTGGGCAATCTCTCCGCGTAACTCTTCGCCTTCTCCGGGGCGACCTTCCGACGACGCAGCAGCTCCTCGTCCGCCAACAAAGGCGCAATATCATTATCAACACCAAAGTCTCCGTCCAGCTTCTTCTGCGCCAGTAATGTCTGTCGGACCGAATCCGGATCAAGGTTCTTGTCCTTCGCGAGCTTCTGCACAAACTCCTCATCCACCGCGTCCTCGTCTTCTTCCTCGTCCTCGTCCTCGCGCAACTGATCGTCTGCTTCGGGCAGCAGGACAAGCTTCTCGCTCACTTTGGTCGTCCGGGGAGGTAAACGCGGCTGAGCGGCAAGACGTCCCATTGTCGCTCCTGTGCTGACAGCACTGACACCGCCGCTGGAGGCGCCAGCACCGCCAGCGCCGATTAACCCACCGGCCGCGGAGGCGAGACGGGAGCGCGGGCGAGCGCGGACACCCTGGGGTGGATGGCGCTGCTGCATCGACGGAACATCCGAGGTGTATTGAAGGACATTATCAACAGTAATGAAGCGGGTCGAGGGGGAACGGCGACGACGAGGCTGAGCGGACATTTGTTGGTCCCGGGAGTCAGTCACCTAAAGGGAATGAACGAAGGTGGTCAGTAACCAACAAATTTGCATGGTTTGAGAAAAAAAAAGGGAAAAAGAAAAAAAAATCGCGGTCGATATAGATACTCACCAGGACATGGGGACTCCTTTGGCTAGGACCTCTTCCTCTGGCGGGGGTCATATCGACGAACGACTTCTAGTCGAGTCCACGTATTCCCTCCAGCAGCGGGGTGATGGTCGAATTAGCGGCGATGATAGGTCTGATAATGGACACCAATGATCGGTTGGATTCTTGTCACGTCACCAGGGTGGTATATGCGGGATAGGGTGGATGGGTAGTTAGTGGTGGGAGTCTGGTAGAGCCAGCGGGCCAGCGTGCAGCCAGGTGAGACGACAAGAATCAAGCCCGAATCAATCGCCAGAGATGCGCAATCCGAGCAGCATCGCCTGAACGGGGAGATGGGAGATCAATGATCAATGATGGAGCAGGGCAGGCAGGCAGGCAGGCATCATCATCGACCGTTGTCCCGATAAAGCAGCCGATCAATCCCAAGCTCTGCTCGCCTCACCGCCTGGCGCCCACGGCCGTAAGCCCGATCGGGGCTAGCGGCAGGGTACCTTCCGGATGGGATGACGTCGGGGTCGGTCGGGCCTGTCGGGCCTGTCACGTCGTCCGTCGTCACGAGCCTGACGGGTCCGTACGCCGTACGGTAAGAATGGTATGGCTTTACCGTGTCTTGCCCGTTCTGGACAGCCGGCCAGCCACGTGCAGGTGGGGGCTAATCACTCTGGCTGATCCAGGTTGATCCGGGGTAGGTCATTGGCCGCCCGTTTCGAGGTCGGATCTGTCAGATCCGCGGCGGCCGCATTGGGGAGGCGACCACGAGCATCTATGTAGGTTGTGTAGGATAGTTTCTAGCTTTCGCGGTGGTTGAGATAGTCTTCGCGGGTGGGGATACGGAGGGCCCCGTGGTGATGCCGTCCCCCTCCCTTTTTTTTTTATTTTTCGGTGGTGGGGTACATACTAGATAGGTACATGGATACCTTAGGCTGACCAGGACAAGCCCAAATCAGCCACATGAGGGGCAGGTGGTTCGCATCGGAACTGCGCCGCTGGGCCCTCGGGACCGGAGGGAAGGGAATCAGGGCGGATGAGGGGCGGGAATTGCCTCCGTCGGACCACAGTGGCTCAGGATGATGACTTACGACTCTTACTAGCACGGCTTAGGAATGGGTGCGAGGGAAAGCGATGGTGTGGGAATCTTCGTTCTCATTGGTTTCTAGCTCGTGTCGGCTCCCCGCGGCTCCAAGTATCGAAGCCTCCTTGCAGATTCCTTGCGTCCTGCCCTCGTTGACAGCCCCAGCCTCTAATATATAGTAGTCGTCACTCCAATTACATGCATGCAGTTTGTCACGGCGTGATAGGATGCAGATATGCCAAGCAACAAAGGAAAAGAAAACAAAAAAAAAGTGAATAAATAAGAAAAAGGGAACACAAAAGAAAAGGACATAAATAATAACCCCTCCCCAAACGCCTCGAAGCACATATCCGGCTTCGTCATGCTAAGCGATACACAATGGTAGTCAGAGCTCAATATCTTGCAATAATAACAGGAACCCCGTTCTGTCAATGTCCGGGTTGAGGGAGTATAAGAAACAAGGGCGGAGAATTAAAGTTCATGCACATGCCATGATCTGTCGTTATGATTAGTCCCGGAGCCGTCGATCTTCGTCCCAAATCTCCTTCTTCATCCGCTGCAGCCGAAGGTGTTGCTTCTGAAGCCGATCCAAGTCCACTCGGGGTGGGTCGGCTTGCGAGGCCAATGCGTCATGTAAGGTGCGGTACTTGGTATAGTACTGCTTGAACTTCTGCGCCTTCTCGCGCAATTGTTGGAGGAGAATCTCGCGGCTGAGAGGGGGCGACGCGCTCCCCGTGCTCCCTGTGCTGCCACTGGACGTGCTCACGGCTCGTCGCCGCTTGTGTTCCAGGTCCCCGGTGGTACGACCAGCACCACGAGGCGGCACGGCAGGTCGCTCCAGCTCGGCCTTGCGCTTGAGAGGATTAGCCACGTCATTCGGTCGGGAAACCCCGTTGGGTTTGGCGACTTTCTTGACAGTGGGGGCACCCGTGGGAGGCCGAATTGGTTTGTTCACTTGAGTTATAAGAGGCGATGAAGAGGAACTAGATGAGTTGTTCTGGCTCGAAGAGCGGCTGCGACTCTGAATATCGGAGACATTGGTGGGGGGCGAGGACCCTAGAGGCGACGGCTTCTGGGGGGACTTCTGAGGGGACTTCTGGGCCGGAGGCCGCGACGAAGGAGGACGCTTCATTGCAGTAGGCTTACTGGAAGCCAGGGGTGTCGGTTCTGATCGTGGTGCAGGCTCCGGTGGTTCGAATTTCGGCGTCGGTACATGGGAAGATTCCCTAGGGGTACTCGAATCGGGTACTTTGAGCAATGGTTTAGGCTCCGGCTTTGTCTTCTCAGGCCGGGGCCTCTCCGTTGACGACGCATCGGGCATGTCCGTGTCATCATCGGAATCATGAACATATTCCGCCGATTTGAATTTGCCCTCTGGTTTCACCGTTGTCTTCCGCTCCGCCTTCTTGGTAACGCGCCCGGTCAAGGTACTATTAGGGGCAGCCTTGCTCTTTGCGGGAGGGCGCTTTGCCCCAGTGTCCTTGTCACCTGGCCGTTTCTTTTGCGCAGTTGCTCCAGGCTTGGGAGCCGACGTGGGCTCCGCAGCCTTGGGAGTGGGACCGTTCCCATTAACTTTATCGGTCTCCTGCCCGGTAGTGTAGCCCTCCTTGCCGTTCTCCTCAGAAGCGTGCACTTGTATCCGAGGGGTAGCGGCCTTCTTAATGGGGCCTGTCCGCAAGTCCAGCCGCGACAGGCACTTGCCCTTCCCGCGTTCTTCCTTGGGAAGAAGGGTCTGCCAGAGCTTGTCGGAACGTGAGACCCGCATGCGATCGAAAGCAGAAATTGCATTTTCAATGGCTTCCTGTCTGTCTTCCTGAGACGGGTACGGGAATTTCCACACATCAAGATCCCTGTATGTTTTATCTCTGAGATCATACTTCTCCGGGTTGATTCGATTCTCGGTGCCGTATTTCCGGGCCAGAGTTTCACAGTCCTCGATGGATGAGCGGGTCAGCCGCGCAAGGAAGTTGGCGGAAACAGCACGGACTGCGAGGAGGTGGATGAAGGGGACCTTGAGGGCTTCGAGGCGAATGCGATCTTTGTTTTGGGAGACCGGAGCGGAGGTAGGCGTGAGCGGAGGCATGGACACAGGAGAGCGGGCGACCCCCAACGCCGGGCTCGAGGATACGGAGCGATTGGCGGCATTGAGCAGACGATCCTTCTCGAGCTCCACCTTGCTCGCGGGGACGCGAGAGAGACGATGCTTTCCGGTGCTCGACCGACTATCACCAGCTCGCAAAGCCCTCACTTCGTCAAAACTGGTAATTATGTGCGTCTTCTTCGACTCCTTCCCTCGCTCGAAGGCGTTCAGGCTCTGTTCCAGATTGGCCAATGCCTGATCGGTAGCCGCAGTAGCTTCCTTTGCCTTTTGAACCTCCAAGCTATGACTCAAGAGTCCCGTAAAGTATAGATTTTCCTTGTCAGCGGCGCTGCCGCTGTATAGTTCGGATCGATGCGGTTCGGAGACGGAGTGGAACGACTGGGATTTGGAACCGTAGTAGAGGGTCTGGTGTTTACCCAAGCGAATTCGAGCTGTTTCGTCGGTGCGTAGGCTTTGGATCAGCTCGTCAAGGGTGCTCTGAGCTAGATTCAGCCGCATTATCTGCGGTGGCCTGCCCGTAGCATCATTGCCGTGGTTGTCTCTGCAGAGAGACAACCCGGTGTCGGGTACCTCCAGGGCGGGCATGAGGCAGGTATAGAGGGGCAATGAGGTCAGGCGAGACAGAGAGGTCGAGGGAGAACGAGGGCGAGACAGAATATACCGGGCTCGATCGGAGGAGAGGAATTGGGAGGGAGGAAGGGCTCGATATCCGGGAGAGAGGCGGATGGCAGCGTGGGAGCTGCAGGTCAGCGGCCGAATGCACGGGAAGGCGAGTCAAGACGATACGCCATAGATCAAGCAACGGCGGTCACAATGAGAGGGAAAGGGTGTCTGCATGTAGGAGAGCAAACAAGACCAGCGAACCAGCAAGACCCATGGCCAGAAGGAACGGTCTGGAAGGTGTAGGGGAGGGGAGGGGGGGTGGTGGGTGTTGGTGTGGTGGAGGAGAGAGATGAGGAGGAGTAGAGAGGAGGAGGGGAACAAAAGAGAGAGGGAAGGGGAAGGGGAAGGATGAGATGAGATGATGCCAAAAGGAACGGCGGCGTAAGGCGGCCTTGGAGCGGAGAGCGTCAGCCAGTCCGTCCGTCAGTCAACCTCCTACTGCGACTAGTCAGTGCCCGTAGGGGAAAGGAAAGCAGGTAAGAGAGAGAGAGAGAGAGAGGAGTGGGGAGGAGCGGTATCGTATCGTTCGGGGTATGTACCTTTTTTTTCCCTGGGAGGGAGGGTTGTCTGTCAAAGGGCCCGCCAAAGGTTAACCAAATCACCCGATAATTACAAAGTAAGTAATAAAAATAAAATAATCCTGGGGGGCAGAATAATCAGGACGGTAATAATTATAATAAAAAAAAATAATAAACGAAAATAAAAATAAAAAATAAAATAGGAATAATCCTGGGTTAGTTTAGGTAGGCACGGCATCTACCTGCCTACGTACTAGCCTGGCCCAAGAGCAGAACTCTAGCCACCCATCATCCTACGGATCACTAATTAATTTTACCACTTATGTTGACCTGCAGACATGTTGGGTCTACTACTACTTTGTAGGGAGGTCAAGTAGGGAAGTAGTACCAGAGTTCCTCCTCCCTCCTGGATCCTGTAGTTAACTGCACTCCCAAAAGCTACCGCAAGAGATTCCGCGACGTGTGTTTGGCCACCGCCGCCGGCGCCGCCGCTGAAAGTATATCGGACTTGACAAGCACCCAGGGACGGCGCAGTTGATAGGCTTTTAGGCGATGGGAGGGAAAAGGTGGCAAGGCCCGATGCAAGGTGTAGTAGGCCCATCCTAGGAATTCTACTATTGGGTACCGAATGGCCCTGTTCTTTGAACTGTACGAGCCTCCAGTGGCATACCCCGTACTTACATACATAACTACGTATCTAGGAAGGTACCTTGGGTAGTTAACTGAGTGCCTTTCTATCTGTCTGTCTGTCTGTCTGTCTATCTGTCTGTCTGTCTGACTGACTGACTTGACTTCGCCGGAAGAATAATCAAAAGGGAAATACGAATAAGATTAGGAAGGGGAGAAGATAGTACGGCCACTAGTACCGCGGCCGGCGTACCGTATGGAGTCTAACTTCAGTTACTTGACTTCCTTACCCTCTCCGTCGTAGCCCTGGGGTGCTAAGGAATTTCTAAAGGAGGTAGTCTGATCCTTGATGGAGTCCCAGTGGAGAGAGAGAGAGAGAGAGAGAGAGACTCTGAGACTCAAAGAGAGAGGGGAGGGAGATCGAGAGAGACAGAGAGAGAGAGAGAGAGAACGATGGCCAGGCGGGCTACGGTATTACACAGACTTACGGGAGGTGTATTACTATAATTATTACTTACTACATTATTCAGGTATTGACCCCATCATCCATCATCCGTTGACTCTCTCCCTCGCACACCCCGGCAACGATGAAGCCCAGGTCGATTTCTGGAACATTGATCCCTACCAACGATCGATCCGAGGGACGCATGGATAACAAAGTAGATCGCGAACGAAACCATCCATTCCCCTTTGAACCAGATTGATTCTATGTCCATAGTAGCCATAGACCCTTTGGGGCTTTTGTCTCTCGAACAAGGGGGCAGTGACTGTCCTTAGAATAGAGACTTCTTTTTTTTCCCGACCCTCTTGTTCCATTCTAGACATGTTTGAACTCTGAAAGGAAGGGAAGCGATGCCTTGGCTGGATCGGAATACGGGCCTGGTAACCCGTACCAGACGTGCCGTAACATGGGTTGTACGACCGACCCGTCTGGGAGGGTGGCCGTGGCCGCCGTGGAGGTGGTACAAAACGGAACTGCTTGTTCGACAACGCGACCGTCCTGCCCAGTCAGTGTGAGCAGAAGGAGCTATCTAGCTCTTACCTAGTAGGTAGCTACGGAGTAGATACTTTGAAAGTATGTAGACACCTGCCTTCTTCTTAACTTCTTACAGTTCGATACCAGTTTACGCCATGGCCATGCCTCTCTGCTGCCACCCAGCGCCCCCACCACAACTGGTGACAAGAATGGGTCTCCGGGCCTGCTGCTGCCTTGGTCTGGTTTGATTCTCGTGGACAACAAAAGATGAGCCTCATTGTTGTCATCAGATGCAGCAAGCAGTGCCTACTACGCCTTTAAGAATGAATAAATAGACAGGCGGTTTCGACAAGGCGATGGGGCATCCTATAAAGAGCGCACCTTCAGCTGACAAAAGCTAATTCCAAGTAACTAGTCATTATTATTCTCTGAAGAACTTGGCCGGTACTGAACAATACCTTGTTGACGGGGAGGAAGGGGAACGGACGCCCCAGCGAGTTTATTATTACACGCTTGGCATCTATGGTCGGTAAGGTGGTACTACGACTACGACCACCACCGACGACAACGACTACAAGGGCTAACTGAGTTTCTCAAAAGAAAAAGAGGGAGAAAGGAAAGGGCATTGTCGAACAGGTGGTCGACACTCAAAGCGTACAGAAACTAAAAAAAAAGAGGACACAAACACAGACACACAGACACAGACACAATGCGATCCGATATCCAGTTGTACCTTGCTTTGACCATGACCGCAAATCCTCCCCTTCCCCTCCCCCTCCCCCTCCCCCGACCCTGGTCCCTTTCATTGATTCATTATTCATCCATTCATCCGTCCATCCATTGATGGATGGATTCAGTCAAAGCCAAGTGACGGTCGGTAAGAGTTGTAGGCACTGCAGGGCAGGGTAGGGCAGGGCAGGGCAGGGAAGGGTACACCGTACGTATGGTTGGTTCCAAACGGTTTTTGAGGGTCGGCGGGCTACCCTCGTCGGCTGCCATCCCGTGATTCGATACCAGGTACAGGCCGTACCAAGTATACCAACGTCGTCACCGGATCCAGTACTGTAACCAAAAACACCGCGAGCCACTGGTTCAGCTCGACGGTAGATCACCCGCCGACCAGCCTCGACCCTTTCTTATTTCCAGCCCGTCCTCCCGGTGTGAACGTTTCCATGGATTGGGACGAGGGGGGGTTTAATGGGGACAAGGAAAGCCTAACTAACCTAGTAAGTGGTAACCCGTCCCCCAAACGACGCGCCGCCTGCGCGCCCGCGCGACATCCCGCACCGCCAGGAGACCAGATGCAAGATGGTCAACCTGCATGGGCAGGGGACCTGGCTCTCGTGCAGTCGAAACTTAATACAGAGGTCCGGGAAGCACAAATCGGGAGGTGATGTTCGGATCTCAGACAGCCAGAAACTACACGAGTTACCTAGTCGGGGTGGGACAGGTTGCCCGGGAGTGGTCAGTGGTCGGTAGTCACGGGTGACGACCGGATCTTACTCCGCGAGATTACTATGGGGGGGGGGGGGGGGTGGACTATATAGCATGGCTACCTGTTGGCTATGTCTATGGCTGTGGCTAACGGCAGATGTCGGGCCTGAAGAAAAAGGGTGGAATATTACACTTACGGAATGTTACGGATTATAGATTACATATTACAAATGACAGCGACAGGCGACAGGCGACAGGAAGTACTAGGTTTCGGTTGCCAAAATGGAGAGATCGTGGAGAAGGACTGACTCCAGACGATGGGGGGGGGGGATGATGATGAGGATGGCCCGAATGCCAGCTCCAGGTTACATACATACTCACAGCTCGGCCGAGGTCTAACCGAAACAGACCAACCAGATGATCCCGCTGCCGGGGCGTCCATTGGCTGGGAAGATCTCCTGCTGATGAAGATTAAGCAGTCCGTCGGGATCAGGAGGATCAGGAGCACCAGGATCAAGCAGGGGCAATACTACAGCAAGCCTACAAGGCCAGTGAGGTATGATCACGGATCACGCCCTGATCAGGGTCAAAAAAAAAAAGAAAGAAAGAAAGAAAGAAAATAAGAACAGAGGCCCCGAACAAAAAAAGTTTCATCTAGAGGGAATAATTGGTCCTTGTTTGCCCAGAACTGGATGAGCCGCCCTGTGATCATTCCAGTTGAGTAATGAAGGGATGGATGGCCGCTCAGCTCAACTTCTTGACCAGGATGATGATGGCGATGGCTTCGAAATGGGCGTTCTAGACAGAACAGGAGCGAACCATGCTTATTACGATCGCCGTGCTGGTGGTGGTCATCGAATTCTCTTTACTACAGGGAAAATAGGGAATAGGGGAGAAATAAACCACGCAGCGGAGTGCTTGCTATATGTACTGTCTACGGCAGTTTCTACCGGTCCAACGGGTGATATTTCCGTTCTCTTCCCAGTTCCCAGGATGTACGGAGTACATAAGTAAGTGCATGCATACAGTAGTTAGTCAACTGCTAGTCCAGCAAAGCAAGGCTCGTCCTAGCCCAGTTCCTGTAGGGTCGGGAGAAGGTGGGGAAGGAATGCGCACAGGACTCGCCCGCCAAACGATCCGGGAAAAGCATATCGATTGATAGGCAAGACGCAACCGGAGAGGGGGGGGGGGGGGTGACTAATCGCCAGCGAACATGGATGGATTAATGTGATGAATAATGAATCATGAATCACTTGGGCATTCAACTTGGTTTCATGTCGAGCGACCTGGTGGTGTCTTCGACAGCATGGCTTTGTTGTTGCTTGCTGCATTATCCGCCCAGCCAACGCGGGCAACTACTGGACAGGCAGCCTGAAACCGAGTACTCGTGTACTCGATGATTGGCAAGGCGGTCCACGTGTGTTGAGCCCCGGCGAGTCGCGACTGGGAATAATAATAATAATAATAATAATCATCGCCAGAATCGGTTCCTTCATTAAGGCATGTACCATTGGACCTATCGTACCCGGTCCGGAGAATCACACACACATCCCCCCAGGTGAGTTTCCAGATGAGATATCGACTGCCCGGAGTAAGGCAATACAATAATAAATAGTATGCTCCCGTAGTGACTCCGGCGAACCCAAGTAGGTATACCCAGTCGTTCGCCACATCACAGGAATGGGGCCCTGCATTGCTTTCGGAGTTACGGAGTACTACGAGGCGTAGCAAGCAAGCACTAGCCAGAGCAGTAGTAAGTAGCAGCAGCAGCAACAACAACAGTAAAAGCAGCAAAAGTAGTATCTCAGCTCCTGTGACTGAACAGATGTACTGGTACATTGCATTTACTTAGGCAAGTACATACTGAACCTCAAACATCTGTCGGTGACGTAATGAAATAACTTCCCTGTCCATACTACTCCATACCACCATGTCTTGTATGTAGGCAGCATGGACGCTACGCTACGTCGTCGCCACCCACTAGATACCCCAGACAACAGACGTAGTCGACATCCATGGGCGCCAGCCATCCAGTCTGTCGCTCAGCAGGACGCGATGCACCCTGTAGCAAATACAACAACAGCAGCAGTAGCAGCAGCAGCAGAGGCGAATTATTAGAGAAACAACTGGAATGCATCCAATCAGTTATTTCCGGGAGCTGGGCATCCCGAATGAGGCATGTTCTTTGCTGCGGTCGGAGTAGCCTTGAGGTTCAGAAGGTGCCGCCCGAACGGGCAATCGGCTGGCTGGCTGGCTGGCTGGTTGGCTGGTTGGCTGGGCTGGCTGGCTGGCTGGGCAATTGATCATTGGTGGGCCTGATTTCATGCGAGGGGAGGGCAGTTCGGTAAGTACGAAGTACGGTACCTGACCTGTGGACAGGGCAGGCCGTACGTAATTTTACGTTCGCTGCTGCTGGATGGAGCCTTTGCCAGCACATCATCACATCATGGGGGATTTACTACTGTATGTAGTAATTAACTAACTACTACCTTTACCTACCTACCTACCTATGCCTAGCGATGTTAGAACCAAGAGTGAGTTGGTGGATCATAATATGACAGAGAAAGGCAGAAAAAAAAGAAAGAAAGAAAGAAAGAAAGAAAAAGAAAACTCAGGACGAATCTCGGCGAAATCAAATCAAAATCAAATCAAATCGCCACAGCCACAGGGATCAAGAAACTTCAGGAACAATTCAAAGAGAACAAAGTATTCTAGTAGACCTCAAACACTCGATCCAATCCCCACATAAACCCCATCGGATAGCTCCCCCTTTCCCTACCTACGTCCGACAGTCCTACGCAGCACTACCAAGGTAGGTGTAGCTAGCTATGTATGTATGTATGTATGTATGTATGTATAGTATGTACATACCTACCATAGCTCCCCTAAACGCTGCAGTGAAACTCCCAGCAGAGTAGATACTCCGTAGGTACTCCGCTGAAACGTGCCAACCCCCCCCCCGTTTAGACCTGCTATCTTAGGTGCTACTAGGATCCAACCTTTTTTACCCCTGTCTCATCCCCTTCCCCAATAACAAGAACCACCCTACACAAACCCCTATCCCCTGTTGCTGTTGCTGTTGCTGTTGCCGTTGCTGTTGCTGTTGCCGTTGCCGTTGCCGTTCCTGTCCCTGTTCCTGTTCCTGTTCCTGACCGTCCAGTCCCTCAGACTCAAATCTCTCACTCAGTAGATAGATAGATACTCCGTAACTCAGACCATGTCCATGTCGAAGATCCGGCTCTGGACTCCGACCCCGATCCACTCACTACTTAGTATATACCTATCCATCCATTGATCCATCTACCTAACTAAGCCTAAGGACTAGATAGATAAGTTGCCGAGCAATACTAAGTAAGTCTAACAGCATTCCAAACTAAAAAAAAAAAAAAAGGGTTGCGGTTAGGTTAATGAATAGTAGGCACTACTATAAATAACTTCTAGTTGATGGGACCTAGGTAGGTACACCACATAGGTACATCTACTGTGTATCTAGTAGATACTGTGCGCATGGACACAACTACTACCTACTTAGTACTACATACATACAGTAAAGCACGCATCGCATACACGCATGCAAGAAAACAAGAAAGCAAAGCACCTGCTGGCTCACTAACTAACCCCCATTCTAGGTACGGAGTCCTAAACTGGGTATATACTCCGCCATCCGCGCGATCTGCGATCAGGCGGTTGCTTCGGCTGTCCGTCCGTCCCCCAAACCCAAGCCTTCAGGGCCACTGGCAGGCAGGCAGGCAGGCAGGCAGGGAGACCAGCCCTGCGCCTCGCTCCGGATGGGGCATGCTACTCTATATATTATACTAATTAATCCAAGGTACCGACCGGTACTCCGTACGGTAGGCAGTAACCTAGTATAGTGCAGTAGTTACGCAGTACATACTACCGATTACTACCTAAAATAGGATGGTGGATGGATGAGGCTAGTTATTTAAGAATTTAGGGCCTTACAGTTACCGCACATGGTATCTACAGGGGTAGGTATAGTAATTATCTAACTATCTATGGGCACATACTTACACAGCCATAGTAGTTAGCTGACCTGACTCTGAAGTACAGTCAGGTACTTTGTACATAGGCACATAATAGTAAGAAGATGAAGAATCATAATCATCAGGAGAATGAAGGGGAGGGAGGGAGCCATTAATAATTATAAGGTCGTACAAGACGAGCTCACTCAGCCGTGCTACGCCCGCATCAGGTGCTTACTTTGTCTTCTTTCGTGCTTGAGCTTTCTTTCTTTCTTTCTTTCTTTCTTTCTTACTTAGTACTTAAGTTACTTACTTATATGCATACATACATACATACATACATACATACATACATACATACATACATACAAATACCCTGCTCATCTACCTAGTGGAAATAACCTACTACAGACAGACAACATTCTAGAACACGACCAACCCACCCACCTTTTCCACCACCTTCCAAGACAAATGGATGGATGGATCCCCGTAATCGACTAGAAACCCGAGCTAAATGCCCCCCATACGAGAATTCAATATCGACAGTACAGTAGTAGGCATCTATCTAGTATCCGGTTACGGGGTAGATATATCTAGTGTATCTACTTTCGGAAGATAGATAGATAGATAGATAGATAGGGAGTCGTACATATCGACCCTGCTAACTACTATGGAGACCAGACCAGTATCTAGTTAGTTACCGGAGTGACTGACGGGAAGGAACCAAGAACCAAAAGAGGCCGTGGTGGATCATCCATCCTGAACGACTGCCACTAACGATAGATAGAGTATGAAGACCGGAACCGGGGGGCCCACCGAACCACCCAAGTGGCCTAAAGTGGGAAGTTCTGAAGGGCGAAGTCGGGGTGTTTTGTTCTGAATTTCCCGGACGGGTAGATAGATTAATTTATTATTCCTCGATATAGGGGGTTGCTTAGCATTACTGCCACCGGATACTTAACTAGATACCTAGTAGTCTAGTACCGAGGTAGAAACTCACCTTATGAGATGATTGTTCTCCGTATCGTATGAGATCCATCATCATCATCATCATCATCTGGTGCTGGTGCTGGTGCGGGTGCGCGTTTCAGGGTAAGAAGATGCGATCTACTGATCTCGGATGAAAGTGCCCGATATAACTAACTAACTAGCGAGCGATATGACTCAGGGGTAATGAAGGCTAACTAAGGTACTCCGTACACTCGACCGACTGACTGTTCCTCGTCGCAGCGTCGCAACAATACCACCTCGGGATCGCTTGGCTCGCGGTTGGATTGCCGTTTTCGCTATTATTGCTACTTACTGTGTTTATTTCCTGTGGCGAGGTTACTTGCCGGACCTGGTTGTCTGCTGAGCCATTAATATGATTGTCTTGTCTGGTCTACGTACACCCGCGGTTGTGCTCCGGAGCCCAATCCTTCATGCGAGCCAACTCACGCTTCCCGTGGTGGCTGGTGCCATCGGCTACACCGCTACATGCCCGTTTGTCTCGTGCGTTGGTGTGGCGACAGCTGGTGACCCTTGTCCGCGGGTTGTGACCTGTGGATGCCGATGGGGTCCAACGGCCGCGTCCGCGCTGGGCTGCAGGAGATTATGTTGTAGCGACCAATTGGTCGGTCCCGGGTTTATTGCATGTCGACTCGAGGTCATGTTGACCTGGCAAGTCATCATCATCATCATCATCATCATCATCTAAAACTTATCATTCAAACTATGGCTTAGATATGCTAATGTGACACATGGATATCAGTACAATGGGATCCGATCCCCGGTAGATCTACGGATATGAGCAAATGGCCTCCTCCCTGGCTGCTCACTTAACCGGTGATCTTGAAGATGGACTCGGCAAGACGCTGCACGTTGCCCGAGGTGATCCCGGCCACGGAGATACGGCCGTCCTTGGTGGCGTAGACGGAGTGCTAGGAAGAGTTAGTGCGTAGATCATGGCGTCGACTAGATTTATGCATACCTCCTTGGCCAGAGCATCCATCTGCTCGGGCTTGAGACCGGTGTAGGCGAACATGCCGATCTACCAAGGCTGTTAGCATGCAATCACCGTGATTATCGCTCGTAAAAACCTACCTGGCTGGTGATGTGAGACCAGTCGTGCTTGCTGCCCAGCTTCTCCAGGTTCGTGCGGAGGAGAGAGCGCATCTCGATGATGCGGTCAGCCATGTCCTTGACCTCACCCAGCCACTGCTGGTTGAGCTCGGGATCGTTCATGATGGTCGAGGCGACGCGGGCACCGTGGATGGGAGGGTTCGAGTAGAAGGGGCGGATGAGGATCTTGATCTGGGACTCCACGCGCTTCTTCTCCTCGGTGTTCTCGCAGACCAGGGAGAAGGCACCAACACGCTCACCGTACAGACCCTGTAGAGCAACTTGGTTAACGTCTGATCACCCCCTCAGAAAGCGAGTCGATCTTACCATGTTCTTGGCAAAGCTCTGGCACAGGGCAATGTTGTGGCCCTCCTTCACAAAGTGTCTCGGGGCGAACGCATCGCGGTCAGCGTTACCGCTGGCGAAGCCCTGGTAGGCCATGTCGAAGAAAGCAAAGTGTCCCTTCTCCTTCACAACATCGCTGATCTGGCGCCATTGCTCCTCGGTGGGGTCGACACCGGTAGGGTTGTGAGCGCAGGCGTGGAGCAGGATGATGCTCTTCTCGGGGGCAGCCTTGATGTCGGCAATCAGGCCCTCGAAATCGAGGCCAATGGTGTCCTTGTTGTAGTACCTGTACTTCTCGACCTCCAGACCGGAGTCCTTGAAGACGGCGGCGTGGTTGGCCCAGCTGGGGTTGGGGAGGTAGATCTTCTTGGCGTCGGGGTAGAAGCGCTGGAGGAAAGCTCCGCCGATTCTCAGGGCGCCGGTACCGGAGATGGTCTGGGTGATGACCAGGCGGTCCTCCTTGAGGACAGCGGAATCGGAGCCGTAGGCCAGCTCAGCAGCTGCCTTGGTGAAGGCAGGGATACCGGTGATGCCAGCGTATTCCTTGTCGTAGCGGGTGGCAACAACCTTGTCCTCCGCGACACGGACGGAGGGCAGAACGTAGGGCTTGCCCTTGTCGTCACCTATTGATAAATATGCTTGTCAGCGACCACCCGGGTGTCACAGCTGGCCGTTGCGCATTTGGCGTGGCCGCAGCTCAAGGCGAACAATGAGAGGCTTACGGTAGGCGCCAACACCGAGGTTGATCTTTTCCTTGAAGGAATCGGCCTTGTAGGCCTCGGTGATACCCAGGATGGCATCCTAAACATCCAATGGGTCAGCAACAGCATCCCAACGGCGTGGCTGCTGTATGGGAGAGCTTACCGGAGGACCCTGGGGAACGTTGGACCAGGCGGACGCATGCCTGGCACCGGCCAGGACGGTGCGCGCACTAGCGTCACGCGAAGCAGCCTTACGGCTGGCGACTCTGAGGGTGGACAACATGGCGGGATGGAGGAGTGGGAGGGGAGGACAGAGCAGAGAGTCCGGAAGGAAATTGAAGCAAGCACCCAGGAGGTCCAGGGAGGAGATGGAAGCGAAGAAGGAGAAGCTGTCAGAGCAGCAGGCGATCAATTGAGATAAATAGTGATGGATGGGATGGGGGTGGAATGGGATGGAGGTGCAGGAAAGACCAGACGGATCAAGTCGGCGGCGGCGGCGAGGCGAGTTGCGTGTATTTTATTTTCTGACTAGGGAGTTTCCGGGGAGCAACGCGGGCGGCTTCGGATTGGCCACGTCCTCCGCATTAGCGCTGGCTTGCCTGTTTCGGGCAAGAGCTGGCTGGCCGTCTGCTGGCCGTCGCTTCCCTTCTCGGGGCCGTTGCGTTCGGCTCCCTTTCATTTCGTGCGCATTTCCATACCAACTGACGTTTAGCTGTGTATTGTGCGTTTCATTCAGGGTCTTCACCTGCATTTTATACCAGGCGAGTCTCTCTGCCTGCACCCATGGACAGACACGCGCATCTCGGAAGCTAGCATATCTACACAATAGCATCCATCAGACAATGATGGAGTCGATGTCATCAGCATCAGCATGATCATCATGCCTGATCGTGCCACGATGAGCCCGTCCCGCTTCCGGTGAACTGATTGAGTATCGAGGCCCACAAAAGTGATTATTGTTTTGATGGCCTGAGGTGTGCTTCCCCTCACGAGGAGTTGGGGTAGTCCAGAATCCAAAATCCAGAATCCAGAATCCAGATCCTTATATCGCCAGCACAGACACATATTGGTCCCGGATGCTATGCTACGGTCGGGCAGGCCCAGACCTCAATTCTGAGACCCTGATATGTCGACTCGATGTCTACCGTGGTTGCGAGGCCGGTCTGGTCTGCTTTGCATTATTGTCGGACAATAACAATAAATACCACTCGGCCTCGGTTAAATTCCCCACAAACCCCCCCCTCCCCTCCCCAAGATCTCCGAGCTGGTCCCTGCTTACCAACATTGTTCTCCTAACTACTGATCTCTACGGAGTAACAAGGACGTCTTGCAGTGCGATTATCGTGATACATCATACCAAGAATCCTACGAGAAGATGAGATCCCGTGTTACTTCCACTGGACCGGAACGGATAGATGGAAGTGATGAGAGATATTTGAGAGATATGATACTATGTATGCGAGTTCTTGTGTGGTATAATAATCTGTACAACGTAACGTAACGTAAGCCTAGTCTGGCAGTCTGAGAGAGAAGAAAAGAAGTGTTACTCTCAGCCCAGTCGCACGCCCGCCTGGCGGTTCTTGCGGGCAGTCGCCCCCATGGCGTTGTTCATGCCCGTGTGCTGACTGCTGTCCAAGGCACTCATGGCCTCGCGCTTCTTCTCTTCCTCCATCTTCTTCAGCCGCTTCTCCGTCTTCATCTTTCCACTGCCCTTGCCGTGGAACTGGTGACTGAGATGCTTGAAGGCTTCCTTCTGGTTCATCGCCCGACCATACTCGTCCGTGTACTTGAGCTGCACATCGGGCTTGTATTCTCGGTTGAACACCTCCGCCATGTGGCGCGCATCCTGCTGGTCTCGCTGCTTGTTCTCCCAGCGAGCGTGTTCTTCTCTCTCCCGCGCGGACATCCGGTCCAGCTTGCCCGAAGCTCGATCACGCTCACGCTGCTGGCGCGCGCGTTTCTCGGCCTCCGTCTCGAGTCGAGTCTTCTCCTGTAGGAAGTTGTGACGATCCCGGTGTAACGAGTTCTTGTCCGCAGCGTCTGATCCCTTCACCAGCCCACGCTGTTTAAGCATAGACAATGTAGCACCCAGACCTTGATCCAGTGTAGCCTCTTCTTCTAACCCGGTGGTGCTGATATGCTGTCGGGATTGAGCCTCCTCGTCGCGCTTGATCCGTTCCCTGAGATCCTCGTCATCCTCAATATCATTGTATGTCCGCTCCATATCCACATCGCCAGCATGTTCAGGCTCATCCTGGCCTTCACTCTTGGCACGCGACTCGTCGGCGGGGGTTGATATTTGCCTCTCACGGCGCTCGGGGAGGGTTGGCTTCTGCAGGTTGGAGACAAACTCGGAGGTCTCGTCGATCACTAGGCCGGGCTCTTCCTCGTTTCCGTCAGGAGTGCCGACTTCCGTCGGGGTCTGAGATTCTTCTTCTCTGAGCTGTCTGGCAAGGTCCTCGGGACGCACTTTTTGCCGCTTCTTGAAGGCAGCGCGCCTCTGGCGAGTGAGGGAGGCCTGGAGATCGTCGTCATCCACAAATGAGATATCCTCGCCTGCCCACTTCCGAGGGGCGGGCGCGGAGACCGGTACTCCGTTATTAGTGTCAACATCCATTGCGTTGGCGTTTGGCGTACCCGTCGACTCGGCCGCGGGATCTAAATCTTCGTCATCCAGAACCGCCCTTCGCTTGGTAGCCTTGGCCTTCTTCTTCTTTGGCTTCTTGATCTTCACTTCGCTCACATCCATGTAGTCCGATGCAGGGGTCTCAGCCTCAAAGTCCAAACTGACGATGTTCATTTTCAACTTATTGGTGACCTCCTGTCGCTTGGCCTCCCGTTCCTCCTCAGTAAACCCCTTGGCATCGAGTGTGAACCGCTTCCGCTTTTTGCCATCAATTTCCTCGTCGTACTGCGCCAGAATACCGGTGTTCTCTTCCGTAGGATCGTAGGCAGGCTTCCGCTTCTTCAACTCCAACCGTTCTGTGGCCGCCTCCCTCTCCTTGAGATCGAGATTCTCGAGCTCATCGCCCTCCTCTTCATTCTCATCAATAGTCGTATCCTTCAGTGTAAGGATATGATCCTCGCCACCGTCGAAGTCGCCAACCTGATGTCCGACCTTAATACCCGCCAGGTCTGCCGCCGAGTATTCCGCCGCACGCTCGCGCTCTTCCAACTCCTCGGCCAGTTTGCGCGCCCGCTCCTTTTCGATCTTCTTCTGCCGCTTCTTCGCCTGCATCAGCCAGGCCTTGGTGTCCTCTGCGCCGCCCGCTTCTCCCAGTGTCGACCCTTCCAGCTTTGCGTCTCTCTGAGCCAGGTCACGCGCCCGTTTGATAGCGGCGTTTCGCTCCTCCCGCTTGCGCTTCGCCTCGGCGTCGTCCTGCATCTTCTTCCAGTTTTCCGACGCCATCGCCTCGCGCGACTCCAGGGTGCTCGCGGGGTCTTCATCTTCGGAGGAGGAGTCCGAGTCGTCGTGGTCAGCGCCTGGTACAGGAAGGGGTTTCAACCCGAGCGCTGCTCGGATTTTGTTGTTCTGCTCGATCGAAACAGCGTCCGCCATCTTGGGCAATAAGACGGGAAGATTCAGACGCGGAGAGGATGAAAGCAGGGGGTTCGGTGGAGGGGGGGGGTGTGGTTGATCAAAGAGGTGATCGAAGCAGAGATGAATGATAGTATCGCCTTTCCCGCCCAGCCAGCCAGCCCAGAGCGGCGAGAGCGCCGGTCCTTACATAATCCGATCCATCCTCGGTAAGGTTTAGCGCGCGAAATCCTTAGCGCGTTCTTGGCGCAGCCGATAAAAGGCTGAAGCTTCGGATTTTCACCTTCTTTCTTTTTTCTTTTCTTCTTCACCGAACAGACACACATGGATCTGTGTCCAGCGATCCTGTTCATGGAAGCTCGTCTTCTGTGTTTCGGTTGATTGCTGGCCAGTTCGACGACTTAAGGAGCCACCATTCTCATGGGTGGTCTTTTATTTCCGGTCGACAGATCTTAGATTAAATGTTGGTGCTGGGCGTCACTCTGACTTTGAGCTCCCTCGTTCTTGACTTGGTGAGCTCGGTTGGAAATCCCGGTTGCTGACGGCGTCATATTCCTACTCTCTTTACCGATCTGGCCGTCGGCCGATGAGGTTAGGGAATAACCATGACTAGCCAACATTCCTTCTAGTTACTCTAAAATTTGTAGATGGTGGGTTCTGGGGGTTAAAAGAAAACGAGTATTCCACGGAGTATTCGACTTCGTAAATGCCATATGCGTATCCAGTACAAAGTACATGCGCAGCAGAGCAAGACATGTTATGTTGTCTATCATGCCAGGACATTCATTGTCATTGTCTATCATGACCATGAAATCGTGTTCGTGAACTCTTCATGGCTCGAAATTTTATATTCGAGCATCTCAGCGCCATCGCGCGCGAGCAAAAACGAGGAAGGGAGAAAAACGGCCTGCCGTCTAGACAGACCGACCCGCGCCTGTCTCCTGACAGCTGCTGCACATCAAACCCAACCTCGTGCTCCGATATATCACATCAATAAAACAAGAAACCATTTTTATCATTTACAGCAGCTTCAAATGCCCCGTAACGCCATCCACCACACTCTTGGGACCCAAAACACCCAGCACCGTGCGGCTCCCACTGGCAATCTGCGTCCGTCCAGCATCCGTAATGACCCTGGCGCAAAGCCCAAGACTAATGGCCTTGGCCTGCAACTCCTCCATATCCTCCTCCGACTTCACCTGCAACGCAATCTTGGCCTGTCCTTGCGATTCCCAGCGGCGCAGAATCGACGATCCCGTAGTGTGAGCGGCCAGGTACTTATAGCACGCCAACGTAGCATGCGAACACTGGGCTGCGATTTTGCCTGTCGATTTCACCAACACCATGTATTATTAGCCTATCGCGCGACGGAATAGAATAGAAAAAGCACACAAGCATGGAGATGTTTTGGTGCAGATGCCAATTCATCAAACAAACACAGAACACATACCCTTGGTCATACCCAGATCCGTCCTCACGACCAAAACCAACTTCACTTCTTCAGCGGATTGGTCGAAGCTAGCGAGTTCGCTGCCGTCGCCTTCGTCTTCGCTATCCTCGTCGTCTTCCTCTTCCGAGGACTCGTAGTCCTCGTCCGACGAATCCCGGTGCACCTTCACATTGTAGCTGTTCGGCCAGCCTTCTTTTTCCTTCGTGGAAAAGAGCCCCAGCGAGCTGCCTTGGCCGATGAAGTAGCCTGTGATTCCGGCGAGGATGGCGGTCGCGACCACGTAGGCCGTTGTCGAAGGGGCTGAGCGGTCTATATCGGCCATTTTGGGGGGGGGGGGTGTCTTGGTCGTTGTTGGGTTGGGGGTTTGAGTTTGGTGGTTTTGCGATGGGCGGCGGTTGATTGATGGGCTGGGCGCGGCGGTGACGTTAGCGGGCCGCTCCAGGTCAGGTAGCAGCTAAGCTTACAGCTACAGCTACGGAGTACAGCAGGTGGATTTGCTGGCTAGCTTGCTTGCCAACCTACGTCGTGCTCAGGGGTACATTATTCATGCAGGCGCGCTGCCGGTAAAAATAAGGAGGGGGTTTACTTCAAAGCAGGAATTCTAGTTCATGTAAGAAGATTACGAGGTTTTGGTTCATGGAAAACAACAGCAACATTAAGAAAAAATAACCCAAAGTCAGCATAATCCAATTTGGCCAGACAGGCATACTGCTATTTCATTATATATACATCCCTGGTCATGCTAAATTGAAACGCTTATCTCGTCCCATGAACAGCGACGTCTAGTTAGAAGGAGCACTTGGGGCCGGGGCGCCGACATTTCCCATACGACGGCTCCTACACAATATCATGAGCGACCGGTCGCAAGAAGGGTTGGGGGGGGGGGAACTCACATGAAGGTGCGGCTGAAGAAGCTGATACCGATCATAAAGAGCCAGCTGGGAATCGAGCTGAATCCGTAGATGACATAGCCGAGAGGGAGCAGGAGTCCGTTCTGAGCAAGCCAGCCATCCGTGGGGTGGAGGGGACCCTCGTAAGCGGGCTCGTTCTCGTAAACCTTCTCAGAGTGCACCTTGTAGATGGTCTCAGGGGTGACAGTGGTCGAGTTCAGCTGCACAGCGTGGAGAGTGGTAGCAGGGCGCTCCTCGCCAAGCTGGGCCTGGGGGACCTGGAAGTAGAAGACCGAAGGGGCACCGGCAGCCCAGGCAGAGCAGAGGACCTGGTTGGTCTCACACTCCAACTTGGCAAGGTTGGGGGAGGTGGAATCGGCGGAGAACAGCAGCACAGATTCCTAAACGGGCAGATCATATTAGCGGCCGTCATTAATAGTTGATGTGGGCACGTCCTTCCCCCCTTTTCTGGGGCCTTACATTGAACGCCTGATCCGCCTGAGCACAGCGACCGAAGCAGGTCTTGTTTCCACCCGTGACGTAAACCAGCCAGTCCTGGGGCTCAGACGCCGGCTCCAGGATGGTCTGCCAGTTGGTCAGGTTGACGGGGGTGACAGTCTTGATCTCGATCTTGGCCGCCTTCTCGACAACCTTCTCGACGACGGGGACGGCGGGGACAACGGGGGTGGCAGTGGGCAAGTAAGACTTGGCCTTGTTGAACCAACCCTGAACACGATCCCCAAGGGGAACCTGCTCCTGAGCCACAGCAAGAGCTGGGAGGAGGGCGACGGCCTGGATGAAGCGCATGATGCTAGCAGTGAAGAAGACGCGTGGTCAGTCTAGGGGTCGGGAAATTCATCACCTCGCATCACGAGGAGGGGGAAAAACCAGGGGACAACCAACCTGAGCTGTTATTGAAGTGACGGGCGCGCTTTGGAGAGAAGAAAAGACTTTCTGAGAGCCAAAGGACGGACAGCAGGCAGCTTGGAGAGAGACAGACACTTGGGATGAAGTAGAGTGAAACAGCCACGATAGACGTAAGTGTCCGCGACAGGTGGCCTAACTCTAAACGGCAGGCCGGAGATCCAGCGACGCCGGGAGTGGGGAAGCCGCACTTCTGGAAGTCCCCATGCTTCGATCCCAGGCAGAGCAGACTGTCATTTAGAAATAGACTATTGGGACTAATTCCGATCACTCTAGCTACTTTCGACGCGTTGTGTGTAAATACAGTGTGCTGCGACTGAATGGTGGTTTGTTTACTCCTTGGCGGGGCGGAAGGTGCAACAAACAATAGGTATTATTACTAAGGGGGTACCACGAGGGAAGGTAGTAAGTAGTATCAACCAAGGCACGATCAAAGGGGCATGTAATATTCCCAACCAGTGCTTCTTTATAAAACATTGGAAGTTGCTGGGGGAATTATGTTGCTGCTATTTATGAAGTACTCAATAGGTCTATGATGGAAGGTGTTCTGGTGTTGCCACACCCGAGTGCTACCCACAAGTCGCTCCTTCCCTTCAGGTAATGGGGAACCTCGCATATATCATATTCCCCACGTCTGGGTAGGTACAGTAGTGTAGCAATGATCAACTCATACTCAGTCTTACACTTGTATCATCACCAGGTGCGATACCTTTCACCCGTGCGTTGCCTATACAGTGTACCTCATCAAGTATATTCCCGTGAGTGAATTGCTCTTATACCTCATCCATCATGAATATTATCCGGTCCTGGTGGGGACTCGGCTCCTGGCTTCTACTCGTGGCAGTCGCGGCAACTAGCTTGTTCGCCAGTGATATCAGCAATGTTGCTGGAGAAGAGAATGATATTGGCATCCATGGTGGGCACTCCGAATGGACCCCTTTGCGACTGTAGTATCGCCTTGCCTGACATAGCCCTTTCCCGCTTCTGCAACAGGGATGACCTGGAGAAATAGATCACTAGCAAACCGAACGGCCAGAACGATCCTCCGAACGCGTGCTTCCACAGTACCACCGGGCGACTTTCCCATCTGTACTAACCCCCGCGGTCCCTCGCGTCCATTCTGTCTCCCGGAAGATGGTGCGAACGTGACAGTGGAGGGGACTTACTACGTTACATGGAACGCGGACTTCTATCCCCTGAATGCCACGATCACCATCGAGCTGCGATACTCCGACTCCTCCGAAGGCGACTCGGCATTTACCTCGGAAAGGACGGACAATAGCTACGGATATACTCACATCCATATGCGCCAAGAATGGCTTCAGGGACGGCACCGAAACCTGTTGACGCTTTATATCATCGAGTTAGATCCAATATCAGACAAACGAGCAAGTGCCCGACGGGGCCCAACAATCACCCTTTATCCTAAACCAGTGGAGCATCGCATCCCTCCCCCTCGTGTGCGCTTCAATAAGCTAGCCCTGTATATCGGTCTTCCGGTGAGCTTCAGCGTTGTGGTGTTCGTTGTTGCAGGACTGTACTTCGGCATGAGGGAAAGTAGACGGATTGATCTGGGGTACGTCGCGAGGCCTGGGTACGGAATCGGGAAGTCCAAGATCCAGCGCCTGGGACGCCACGAGGGAGAGCGCAACGGGTCTGACTGCTCCTCGGCGCTGAAGAAGTATTCGGATGAGTTTGACTCGGGCGTCTCCGAAGCGGCCCACCCCGATCATTATGGCGATCTTGAGCGCAGTCCCACCTTGGGATTCAAGCGCGATTCGTCGAAGTTGAAGAGCTGGAGGATGTGAGCTCAAGCTGTTTCTGTCGCATGGCTGCGACAAGAGCAGAATTCGAAGTCTTTTTTGGCAGACCTCGTTCACAGTATGAGAAACACGCCTGCTAAGCGTTGGGTGGGACACCCTGCCGGTGCAATATGTTTTATACTGGACGAAATGGTGTTGGCCGACTGGCAGCATGAGCCATGGTAAAATGTATATATATCACCCTAGGCCAGCCGTTCTTTTGAGCAAAGGCAAGATACTATGCGACACGAACCCTTGATTATTGCCCGTCTATGTTGGCAGTTATACGGAGTGCGTACACCCGTACGATTTAGTGGTTAGTATAGAGTGTCTTGCAAGTATGTAGTTGCCATGGCATACCTGCAACTACCAACTAGTTCACCAACTAGAGTAGCATGAAGGATTGAGATGATGAATTTGGCAAGCCGCATCGGGCATGGCGCCCTGGGCCATACTGCAAGAGGACTAGTGTCAACAGCGGTGCAGGCCACTGATCGCCAGAAGATTTCCCGATGGGGAAATAAGATTACTGTCCAAAGAGAGCCGCCGGGCCAACGAAAGCCCAGGAAATGGAAATCCTGGGCGGTATCGGAATTCGGAAGGCTCTGACGTGGGTGACTCAAGCCCAGCGAGCACAAAGATTGAAAGAGTTGCCTTAGTCACGACTCTGGTTGGCGTTATTCAGTCCATCTGATAGGGGTACCAGGTCACTTGGAGACAAGCGTGAGCCATTCACCAATGACGACGACTCAGATACACCGGGAGAGGGTTGATTATCAATTTAAAGCCGTCTAGGCTTGGTTGCCATCTCGACGCGGCTATTGTGTAACGTCACTGTAACTACGAGAGACTCGCGGCGCTATCGGGAGCGGATGCGCGACCGGCCGATGTCGGGTCCGACTAACCCAGTCCTTACTAGCAGCAGAAGAAACCCTAGAGGCAAAACCCTCATAACAGGGGTTAAAAAGCCCCCTGGAGCAGACCAGCAGTGATAGGGCGCCTAAACGAAGATCTCCCAGCGATGAACTCGAGGACGCCCCGGGCGCCAGTAGTTGCACAGGTGGTGATGCCGTATCGATGCCTTCAGTGGCGAATTCGTAGCAGCGATGATACGGCCGGCCAGTTGGAGAAAGCGAGGGCCCTTAATAATGGTAATGCTGGCCGCGTATTGGCCAAACCGCCTCCAACCGACTGGGGAATGATCCTCTTGGGGCTGCCGGATGCGCAGGTGAACGGTCCAGGTTCCCCACAGAGCCAGGGAAAGAGGGCAAAAAAAGAGGACAGGCCCAGCGTGGTCGGCGAGTGAAAATTTCGTCGTTGCCGCAAGGAGGGCCCGTCCGAGCAGAGAAGAGTCATAGCCTGCGATTCTGTGACTAGACCGCCCGCCTTCTTAAACTCCACCCGCCTTTCCTTCTCTTGGGCCTATGACTCTTCCCTGCTTCTCTCCAAACTCCCTCCTTCCCTGCCATATAAATCAGATCGTGACTCAATCGCGGCCCAAGCTGTCAGTATACTTTCTGCTCACATCCCTCCCTCTGCCTCTTCCCATCCATAGTCCCTCTGTTCTAACCGTCCCGCATCCCCGCAGCTCTTTCTATACTATATCAATTTAGCTACTATTACCCCACCATCGTCTTCCTTCAACAACATGTGCCCCGGTGCTGAGAACGAGCCCAATGGGCAGGCCAACGGCGCCAATGGCAATGTCAACGGTATGGCTACATATTTAAATGCGATGAGCGCCAATCGCAAGTGCTGATGGACCCCCCCCCCCCCCAGGTGAACACCCCGGCTTCACTGCCGTCGAGACTCGCCAGAACCCCCACCCTTCCGTCTCCCGTAACCCCTACGGCCACAACGTCGGTGTTACCGACTTCCTGAGCAATGTCTCGCGCTTCAAGATTATCGAGAGTACCCTGCGTGAGGGTGAGCAGTTCGCCAACGCTTTCTTTGACACCGAGAAGAAGATCGAAATCGCCAAGGCTCTGGACGACTTCGGTGTGGACTACGTGAGTCATAATTGGGGGATGTGGGCGAGCGATCTATAAGGGCGTGTACTGACCACCAAGATTAGATCGAGCTTACCAGCCCTTGCGCCTCCGAGCAGTCGAGAAAGGACTGCGAGGCCATCTGCAAGCTTGGCCTGAAGGCTAAGGTATGTTGAACTTGCATGCAGCGACTCATATACACTGCCGGATTCTAACCTCCAATCAGATCCTTACCCACATCCGCTGCCACATGGACGATGCTAGGATTGCCGTTGAGACCGGTGTCGATGGAGTGTAAGTGATCATCGACTTACTGTATTCCCACGTTCAAAACCTAATAACTCTGCGCAGTGACGTCGTCATTGGAACGTCCTCCTACCTCCGTGAGCACTCCCACGGCAAGGACATGACCTACATCAAGAACACCGCCATCGAAGTTATCGAGTTCGTCAAGTCCAAGGGCATTGAGATCCGTTTCTCCAGCGAGGACTCTTTCCGTTCTGACCTCGTTGACCTCCTCTCCATCTACTCTGCCGTCGACAAGGTCGGTGTCAACCGTGTCGGTATCGCCGATACCGTTGGTTGCGCTTCCCCCCGCCAGGTCTACGAGCTTGTTCGTGTCCTGAGGGGTGTCGTCAGCTGTGACATCGAGACTCACTTCCACAACGACACTGGTTGTGCGATTGCCAACGCTTACTGTGCCCTGGAGGCTGGTGCCACCCACATTGACACCTCCGTCCTCGGTATCGGTGAGCGTAACGGTATCACCCCTCTGGGTGGTCTCATGGCTCGTATGATGGTCGCCGACCGCGACTACGTCAAGAGCAAGTACAAGCTCGAGAAGCTCAAGGACATTGAGGACCTCGTTGCCGAGGCTGTTGAGGTCAACATCCCCTTCAACAACTACATCACCGGTTTCTGCGCCTTCACCCACAAGGCTGGTATCCACGCCAAGGCTATCCTCAACAACCCCAGCACCTACGAGATCATCAACCCTGCCGACTTCGGCATGAACAGATACGTCCACTTCGCCTCCCGTCTGACCGGCTGGAACGCCATCAAGTCGCGTGCCCAGCAGCTCAACATCACGATGACGGATGACCAGTACAAGGAGTGCACTGCCAAGATCAAGGCTCTGGCTGATATCCGTCCCATTGCCGTTGATGATGCCGACAGTGTCATCCGCGCCTACTACCGCAACATCAAGCATGGAGAGAACAAGCCCCTCCTTGACCTCACGGCCGATGAGCAGGCTCAGTTCGCCGCCAAGGAGAAGGAGCTGGCCGCCCAGACTATTGCCTAAGTGGTGTGCCACCCATAATACCGTCTTGGTTCCTTTCTTATCTGCATATATTCCGATTGGAATGCGCCGTCCATATCTTTCGAGAGCTTTGATCATACCTTTTTAGCGGCTCCCTTTGCGGAAGACGTTCTCCTTTGCTTTTTTTTCTTTTCATTTTATGATTGGATGTTATGTGTCCCAGGATGTTTTTTTTTTCGGTTTCTACGGGGGGTTTTAAAAAGTCTTCATTGTCTGTGATGAAAAGAAGGGGGGAGGTCGGTGTTAGAGAGCCCTTGGTCCTTTTGGTTGGACCCTGTACATACGCAGTTCCGATGCTCGTGCATCAAATTTCCTACAAATACAGGACGATACAATTTAGAGTCACTTTGTTCACCTTGAAATGTGTCTTGTACGACCTGATAGAATAGAGCGTAGGGGTAGTCAGGGTACTATATCCGGATGCATGTGGGAACCGAGGCACGAATGTTGGTAATACATGTATCGCCGCTCCAAGCTGCCTGCATCATCCGACCGACCGGCCCTCGCCTCTCCGGCCCCGTCCGTCCTTCCTCCCCCGTCTCTTCGAGGTCGTCGCCCCCTCACCCGACCCTGCCCGTTCTCCAATTCATTATTACTGCAAGACAAGAATGGCCTCTTCCCTTCTTCCGGCCGCTCTGCAGAGCAAACTGCTGGGCTATAGCAGGGCCCCCAGCACGCAGCTGGCCGCTTTGCACCTGGATCTGTAAGTGGACGACGAGTAGCATTTCGTCATCCCCGCTCCTCAATCGCCGTTGGTATATTGAGTGTATCCAGACTTTGACTATTCCTTAACTAACTGGCCATCCACGCGATCCACAGTCTTCGCAATATTGTGTTTATCCTCTTCATACTTCGCTACGTTCGCAAGACATTCCATTCCGTCCGCGGTTACGGCATCTTCGGCAGCATTCGCAATGTCTACGCCGCCATCCGTCTCCGCCTCTATTCCATTTTCTTGCGCTTCCCCGGAGTCCGTGGTCAGGTCGATAAGCAGGTCTCCACCGCGATCGAGAACCTGGAGTCGAAACTCGTCGCCAGTGGCCCCGGTGTCACAAGGTATTTGAACCTCCCCAAAGAAGGATGGACCGCCGAGCAGGTTCGCGCCGAGCTCGATAAGCTGGCCAGTATGGAACACACGCGCTGGGAAGATGGTCGAGTTAGTGGTGCTGTGTATCATGGTGGTCAGGATCTTCTGAAGCTCCAGGCCGAGGCGTTTGGTCAATTCGGTGTCGCAAACCCCATCCATCCGGATGTCTTCCCGGGAGTTCGCAAGATGGAGGCTGAAGTTGTGGCTATGGTAAATGCACCCGGGACCTGACACGGACATTCTGGCTTACTTGGAGATAGGTCCTGGCGCTGTTCAATGCTCCTTCCGATGGTGCGGGCGTCACTACCAGTGGCGGCACCGAGTCCATCATCATGGCATGCTTGGGTGCGCGGCAAAAGGCCTTCCTCGAACGAGGTGTAACGGAGCCGGAGATGTGAGTGACGGTTCTTTTGATACATTACTTGTTAGTCGACTAACAAGGCTCGCAGGATCATCCCCGATACCGCCCATGCTGCTTTCTACAAGGCTTGCAACTACTTCAAGATCAAGCTTCATCGTGTTCCTTGTCCGGCGCCAGACTACAAAGTCCACATCCCCTCCGTGCGTCGTTTGATCAACTCGAACACGATCCTGATCGTCGGATCCGCACCAAACTTCCCCCATGGAATCGTCGATGATATCCCAGCTTTGTCTCGGCTCGCAACTTCGTACAAGATTCCTCTCCACGTTGACTGCTGCCTTGGATCCTTTGTTATTGCATTCCTCAAGAAGGCGGGCTTTGCATCGCCGTATGAGGAAGAGGGCGGTTTCGATTTCCGCCTCCCTGGCGTGACCAGCATCAGTGTTGACACCCACAAGTACGGATTCGCGCCCAAGGGTAACTCAGTGCTCCTGTACCGCAACAAGGCCTACCGCAGCCACCAATATTTCATCTACCCCGACTGGTCCGGTGGCGTCTACGCATCTCCGTCCGTGGCTGGCTCTCGCCCTGGTGCTCTGATTGCAGGATGCTGGGCTAGTCTGATGAGCGTCGGCGAATCTGGATACATCAAGAGCTGTCTTGATATCATGGGCGCGGCGAAGAAATTTGAAGCATCGATCAAGGAACACCCGGTTCTGTCGAAAAGCCTCGAGGTTGTTGGAAAGCCCATGGTCAGCGTCGTTGCATTCCAGAGCAAAAATGAGGCTGTTGATGTCTACGACATCGCGGACAGCCTGTCTGCGAAGGGCTGGCACCTCAATGCTCTTCAGTCGCCCCCCGCAATCCACGTGGCGTTTACTGTTCCCACTGCCGCTGCTGTTGACGAGCTCACCATCGACGTGGCCGTGGCCGTCGAGAAGGAGCTGGAGAAGGCGGAGGAGAGGAAGCGCCAAGGGAAGTCGTATGTTGTCAAGCGTGGGGATACTGCGGCTCTGTATGGTGTGGCTGGCAGCATGCCGGACAAGAGTATCGTCAGCCGCCTGGCCGAGGGCTTCCTTGACACTTTGTATAAAGCCTAGATGAGCTACTGACCCAGAAGACCTGCATTGTTGATACGTTTTCGAAAAGCGAAAAGACCCGGTAAGGTCCGTCCGTTGCAAATAGTGGACCACTGGTGTTATGGTGTATAGGCTTAGATATTGCATTTTTTTTTCTTCTTTTGTTCCTCTTCACGAGGAAGCATATTGTTAGCGATTAAACGAAACAACAACTTCAGGGCCCCCTATTCTTGGTATGTAAATGCCCAATTCCATATGACAGTATGTGTATAGTATAGTACAAGTGCAACGCATCGTCGTGCAGGACAGAAACAGCCCCAATCAGTGACACAAGTCATATCGTGATAGACGATCGGGTTGGTGAAAGCAAAACCGCTGCATGCAAGAAGAAGCTCTCCGAGTCGCCCTTCCAATAGGGAGACCTCAGTCCTCAACATTGTTGTTTAACCCCCCCGATGCAAATAGGTAACTAGGTAGGTATCCAGCCAGCTGATCTGATAATCAGCCAGACGACCCCCTCCCACCACCCATGACATTCCCAAACATGTCTGACAATCGACAATTCAACAAATCGATACCCCGACTCCGGTCGCAAAAACAATTAAAAAAAAAAAAGAAACAGAAAACGCGGTCAACAACGCAGTTCAAGAGACAAGACAGCCGTAGCGTCGCGCACAGGAAGAAAGCAAGTCCAAGTCCAAGTCCAAGTCAAGATCCAGTCACGTCAAGTCAACTGAGTCCAACTCCAACCCGTTTTCAAATCAAGCGCTGGTGTTCTCCTTGAACTCCGCCACCGAAGTCCTCTCAATGTAGTATCCCGGGTCGGGCTTGCGCTCCAAATGCACCTCTTGCTTCGTCAAACTGCGATCGACCTCCTGGACCTGCACCAGTTCCTTGACTTTCATGATTTGACCGGCGACGGACGGCGACACGGGGTGGAAGACGGTGGCCATGCGCTTCTTCAGACCGAGGGCTTTCAGGACGTCCGAGGAGCGACGAGGGAGACCGATGGCCGATCGGACCAGGGTGACGCGGAAGTAGCTGCTCATTTTGGTGTATGGAGGTAGGGCTGGCTGTAGGGATCGATTGATTCGTGGCGGTTGCGGAGGTCGGAGGATAGACGGTGCGAGGTGGACGGGGGAGGTTGAGGATAGAGACGGGCCCCTTATGTATGTATGTATGGATGTGTGTGATTGATTGTCTCAGTCAATCGCGAATCCCGAGTGTCTTTTGCGAAAGAAGGGACTGGCCGCAAAATTCCCGATGCCGTAGGCGGGGAGTCACGTGGAGGGCCCGTTCTGCCGGCATCTTTGTCTCCGGCGGGCGGGATTGCGGGTGTGCTGAGGCCCTTCTTCCACGTATTATTATACTAGGTAGGTGCTTTCCCTCCCCTGTCGAGCTAAGTGAGCTCTATTCATGAGCTGGGGTTAAGCTCTGGTAACATGTGCAGCGCCCGTGGCTAACGATTTCTGGTTTTGGATTAGAGATTACCCTTCACTTGAAGCGCTGCGCGTTTAGGAGGGGATACCGCTGAGGGGTTATACTATCTCCAGTGACCTGTTCTTTCGCTTCTCTCGCGGATTGCTCGCGGATTGCGACGGACGTGGTGGATTTAATAATACTGCTGTATTCAGGCATCGTGCTCGATTGTACGTGTGCGGTCACTCGGAGAATCAAGTCGTCGAGCGACTTCTTTCTATACCTCCTCGGAGCGAACATTCATGATTGGACTGTACGGACGGGGCACCCTATAATACCTGATTACGAAAACTCGACATGGCAATGGCTCGTGGGGAAGATAACAGCGGCGCCACGGTGACCATGCCGCGCCTGGAGGACATCCTCCGACACCCGGAAGACCTGGACAAGATTGCCGGGCTGAAAGCCGAATACTCGCGCAAGAAGACCGCCGTCGACGCACAGCTCCGTGAAGGGCTCCGGGATCAGCTGGAGACGGTCCAGCGCAGCATCAACGCCCTCACCGAAGGTCAGCGACAGGTCTCGAAGACCAAGGATGAGCTTCAGGGGATCGACAAGCTGTGTGCGGAGTCACAGACCAGCGTGGAGGACTTTTCGCAGATCGATAATCTGGCCAAGGTACAGAGGAATTTCGAGGCAACGTTGACGATGAAGAAGGGGCTGGAGAACTTCAGTGAGGATCTGGCCTTGGTCGAGGACTTGTTGCGGGAGGATGACGAGGATTTGGAGAATCAGCCGAATCTGTTGCGTGCTCATATGCAGATCTCGAAGCTGAGAGATTTCCGCGATGAGGCGATGGATCAGATTCGCAAGGCCCAGGATCCGAGTAGCGAGGAGACTTTGATGGATTACTTCCAGGGGTTGGATTCCGTGATTGATTGGTTTGATGATCATCTGGGCACGGCGTGCATGAACCTCATTCCTCTCGTGCAGTCGGATAACCCGAGTATGGTGGTTCGACTGGCCGTCGTGGTGATGAACGAGGAGAAAAATGATGCAACGGTTCGTGTGCTGCAGGAGGCGCAGAAGGACCATCAGGATCTGGCAGATCGATTCAAGTCAATGAATGTGGGCCCCAAGACGGTGAGGGGGTATAAGGAGAAGTTCCTACAGGCGATCGAGTTTTATGCCCAGAGCCAGTTCGAAGCAACCAAGGAGGATTTCCTGGGAGACCCGGACAACCTGGATAAGAGCTTCCGGTGGTTCTTCAACGATCTCTACACCGTCCAGCAAGGCATGCAAGCGCTTGTGCCGAAGAAATGGAACATCTACAAAACCTACGCGGACATGTACCACCGCCTGATGCACGACTTCTTTATCGGACTGATTAACGACCCCGAACTCCCCGCCGATAACCTGCTGGCGATCATCCACTGGACGGAGAAATACTACAAGAAGATGAAAAAGCTCGGCTGGGCACAGGCTGACCTCAAGCCCAACATCCTGGACGACCGCGAGCCCGAGCTCATCCGCCAATGGCAGAACATCATCATCCGCGCCGTGGAAGACTGGACGAACCGCATCGCCGAAACCGACCGCAAGGGACTGGTGGAACGCATCCCAGACTCCCTGGACACCAACCCGGAGGGCTGTTTCCGTACCAAAACCCTCCCCGACATGTGGCGTATGCTCCACGAGCAGATCAAGGCGTCGGGGGCCTCGTCCCGAACCGACGTGGTGGAAGGCATCATCGACGCCATGTTCCGGGTACTCAAGGGCCGCCAAGCAGCGTGGCAAGCGCTCCTCGACGAAGAAATCGCGAAATACAAAGCCCCCGGCGGCGACCAACTCGACGGCCTTCAACTCCTGCAAGACTGGCTGGTCGCCGTCGCCAACGATCAAATCGCCTGCATCGACGACAACGACGAAACGGGCCAACTCGGCCACCTCACGCGCTTCAAGCGCGAATTCGAGACCATCGTCGACCCGAAATACATGGCCTCGCGCGCGATCCCCGAACTCGAGGCCCTGCGCGACGGCTACGTCGATCTCAGCACCCACTGCCTCACCCAGTTCGTTGACCTCATCTTCGCCGTCGACTTCCGCGGCACCATCCCCGAATTCTTCACTCAGAAGTGGTACGGCGATTTCGCTATCAAGCGCATCACCTCCACCTTCGAGGACTACATGGCCGATTACAGCCCCGTCCTGCACCCCTCCCTCACTGATATCCTCGTCGAAGAACTCTCCGACGAGCTCCTCGTGCGCTATCTCTCCTCTGTTCGTAACCGCGGCGTCAAGTTCCGCCGCCATACCGACCCGTACACGGACAAGTTCAAGGACGATGTCCTCACGGTCTTTGCCTTCTTCCAGAACTACCCGGATTCGTTTGCCGGGACGATCAAGCAGAAGTGGCGGCTGGTTGACTGGCTGGTGCGGTTGTTGGAGTCCGAGAAGGGCCCGGCGCTGGTGGGCGTGTATGAGAACTTCAAGACGGAGTATTGGGATCTGCAGCTTTCGTGGGTCGAGGCGGTGGTCAGGACGAGGGATGACTTCGAGAGGAGTATGGTTAGTGCGGTGAAGGCCAAGGCGGCGGAGTTGTCGGTTGAGAGGGGCGTGGAGACGCTGATGAGTAAGGTGAGGTAGTTAGATGGGTGATGGGTTGGTTCATTGCATGGGGAAGATCTTGTCGTCTTTCAGCGTGGCGTTTGGTGTTTGCTGGTCTGGTGTATAGTACAAGTACAGTTACAGTATAGTAGCTTAGGAGAGTGGTTATTGTCGGTCGATTAGTTGGGTCATTCATCCATCCGTTATCCCGTTACCTCTATATACACAATGCGATCTGATCCTATCGTCTATCTACAACAGAAATTACCTCAGACCTGCACGCCCCCTTCCAAGCTGCCGTCACTACTATTCCCCTGTTCATCCTCCTGCGTATCCGGAGTCTCAAACTGCAAGCTTCTCTCCGCAACAACCCGATATTTCTCCCCAAGCCGCGCATTCAATCCATCGTCGTCTTCCTGGGGATCAAGTTTCTTCGCCCCCATCTCACAGATACAGACTGTTTCGATGGGGAAGTCCCTTGCCCACACAAACGGTTTTGAAGTAGCGGGTGTTGCTTTCTGTTTCTTCCCCGCGGGTACGGTCTTGATACTCTCTGCTTCCGCTCCAGAGTCACTGTTGTTCGTAAGATCAGCGTCCTCATTTGAGCTCTCCCGAACATGTATCTCTCCAGACCGGGGAACCGTCCTCTCCGCATCGAGATAGTAGTCCCGATAATGAGCGAGAATGTCTCGCGCATCGAATGTATATTGACTACTCCGATGGTTCTTGCTCCCCTGCTGACCACCACCGCCACCACCCCCACGTCGTTTCCCTTTCACGTAGATCGTATTCGCGATCGTAGCATGTAGCAGAAGAGGTCGTACATGCTGCGACTTTCCTTCACGTTTCGATCTCGGACTGTTTGGTGTGCGCGATTCTGCGACACCCTCGACGGGCCCTTCTACCGGGAGGAATGGTCCGTCAGCTGGAGGGGGTTTGGACGTTGCTTCCCCAGCAGAAGCATCTGGCTTAGTCTCGCCCTGCAGGAGCCCAGCCTCGAGGAACTTATCGCGCAGTCTCTCGCAGAAGGGATATAAGCGCGAGGTAGTGTCCACAGGGGCTGCGTGCAGGACTGTAGCGGCCTTTGCGCGGGGGAGGGCATGGAGGGATTCGAGAGAGATAGTAAAAGGGCTAGGAACAGCAATGTTCTTGTCTTGCGATGTAGTGCAAGGTTTCTTTTCAACTGCTTCTGGTGAGAGTGGTCTTTTCCCTCGTGGCCTGTTTGCGGATTTTTCAGCATCGCGGAGCATGGAGACTAGATCGAGGGATTGAAGGAAGTTGATAGCCTCGTTGAGTCGGTCTTTTGTGGGCAGGCTCATAACACCTAGGGTTAGGTGAAGAGTGCCCACGGGGCGGAGGGCGCCATGGGGGATGAGGGGTTGTTTGGAGAGCAGTTCTCGTAGGGTGGGGTTGGTCTGCTGCTCCGCTCCTGGTTTGGGAGGAATGGCAGCTTTGAATGTCGCTAGGGACGACTCGAGCTGAGGAAGTGAGATGGGATTGATGAGTGGTAGACAAAGAAAGTGGGTTAGCGGAGGCCTCTTCTCCTTCTTCTGCGGGGGGTTTCGGGCTGTTCTGTCCGACATGGTCTCGTAGTGGCGGGGATGCGAGCGTATGAGGGATGTTGAAATTGACCAGGATGAGATGCAGGGCCGGACAGGCCGGAGAGAGACCATCTAGCTGTTCCAGTCTGGTGTGATGAGAGGTAGATATAGCTCGGAGGAGTCAGAATGTATGGGGCAGATCAAGGGTTGCTGTCATACGCAGAACGAAACAAAGGTAGATTTGGGGAGACACTCGTTGCAACACGAGATAATTAAGAACAACCGACAACCAGCTACCAAAGAGTCGCGATGCGAATCTGGATGGAAAAGAGTTGAGGAGAGAAGAAAGAAGTCGGAAGAGGAAGTAAGCTTGCTTATAGCTCCGGCGGCAGCCAATGACGGGCCGCCCAACTCCGCACGATGATGTGATGCCATCATCTCCTCCTCTTTCTTTTGTTCCTCTTTCTTCCTCCCTTTCCCTCCCGTCTCCCCTCATTCCCAACCATCAGAATTCAATCACTCAACCATGTACTCCCGTCTCCCCCGAGCCATTCTCTCCCCGGCCACCACGGCCGCCCGCCCCTCCTCCCTCCGCCTCGGCGCCCGTCTCGCAGCAGCAGCAGCAGCAGCAGCACCCCAATTCCAAGTCCAATTCCAATCCCACCCCTCCTCCAGCTCCTCCCGCGCAGCCCCTCGAGCCTTCCACTCCACCCCTGCATCTCGCAAGGGCATTTTCCCCGACTCCGCGGACCCTCCGGCCCCGAACCCCCAATCCAACAATGTCGCCGGCGCAGCCGCCCACGTCACCGAACCGTCCCCGTTGACCGATGAGCAGTACTACGACTACGCCGAGCATTATCTGGACCAGCTCCAGATTGAGATCGAGCGGGCGCAGGAGGAGGGCTCGGACATTGAGGCTGAGTATAGTGTGCGTTTGTCCTTCCATAATAATTGACTGAGGCCAAGCTCAGTCCAATCCAGCAACATTAGCTAACAATGTCCTCTTTCTCTTGTTGTATAGGCCGGCGTTATGAACATCATCGTCCCGGGCGTGGGCACCTACGTGCTGAACAAGCAGCCTCCGAACAAGCAGATCTGGTTGAGTTCGCCGATTTCCGGGCCCAAGCGGTACGATTGGGTGGTGGAGGGGGACCAGATGCACGAGAAGCAGGAGTCGAGGCCGTTTGTCAATGGGCAGTGGATTTATCTGCGCGATGGGTCGAACCTGACGGATCTGTTGAATCATGAACTGTCTTTGGATTTCCCGAAGGATATCTATAGTGAGATTGAGGAGTGAGTGAGTGAGTCGATTTGCTCTTGAAATGATGCGAATTATGGGTGGATGAATGAATGAGTATGGGCGAGGATACTTGATATAGCCCGCTGGTTTATGTTACAGGGCTATGAGACCTCTCGTTGCGTGTTTGTGTCGCTGTGGGATTATGTAGGATATGATTTTTTTGTTCTTTTGATGCGAGTGCTATTTAGTATCTGCTAGATAAGACACTTCGGCAGCAGGACGTTCAGTCTCTTTGTTGCGCAGAAATACTAAGACAAGTTTCGGCTTAGAAACACCCAGCCTGCGAACTCAACAATCCAACAGTTCGACTACATGAAATCTGCGAAGCTGAGTAGCGTAAACCATAGTCATCTGGGTATCCTAGCAATAGCAATAGCAGTAGCAGTAGCAATATGTCTGTCTCTCTGGCGTGACATCAAGTCCGATAAACACCAGCCTGCAAGCTGGTTCTCGACCTCCGAGCAATCCACGATCGATTTCGCGCCATCACTCCCAGCATATCCGCAATGCGATCGACCGGTTTATATATCTTCGATCGGCAACATCGAGGGAGGTCCGCCCCGTCCGATCGAGCGTTCGTGAACCCATCAATATCCTGGCGCTAGTGTAGACAGTGACGTCCTTGTTCGCATTCAGAGCGACCGATATGTCATATCTTCGTTCTTGTTGCGTCGTGCGATCGGTGGCAGGCAGGCAGGCAGGCAGGTAGGCAGGCAGTCCAGCATAACCCCTCCCTCGACACAACCCCGACCCGATGGGTCGTATATTATCGCCTCGTCTTCATTCATACCAATCATCATTTTTCCAATCTTCCCATACTGACAATTTTCCCAGTACCTCAGATCATCAAAATTTCAATTAAGCCTGAACCGCCACGGCAGCAGACCCGGTCTTATCGTCATCATCCTTGGCCAAATCCGCCTGCAGCCGTTAGTTTCTCTCCTACCCTTAAACCGAAGAAGACGGAAAGCCAAAAAAAAAAAAAAAAAAAAAAGATCAAGTAAAAGAGAGAACTCACCTGGTCAAAAATCACCCGAATCATCAAACTGCAACTCGGACACACGGCAATATCCTCCCCGTCGCGGAGATCATCGATCGCGATCTCGAAGCGGTCGCCACACGGACACGGGTAGTGGTAGGACTGCAGGTTCGGGTCGAAGGTCATGTCCTCGATTTCGATTTCATCGTAGATAGAGAGGGCTTCGTCGGCCATTTTGGATTTTAGATAATTAGTGGTAGCTTGGAGGTTGGAGGTGTGGGAGAACTGAAGACCTGGTGGGAGTGGGAGAGGCAATAATTAATTGGTTGGTGGCTATCGGGGCTGTTATCGACGGAAAACTTTTGGCGGGACGGGTCAGGTGATTGCGGGGTTGCTGATTGGATGGCGTCCTTGCTTTGTAGTACTACACAGAACAGAGTGCACAGGGCAGAGGGGTAGGTAATCTTACTCAGGTACCAGGTACTTACTAGGATGACTATGATTGACCGTGTAAGAATAGCCAGAAACAATGTACTTCAAATGCAGTTTACAGTCATCACAGGACTCGAATTAATCTTCTCCAGATCGTCTTCATACCAGGGTATCATAAAACAAACAGACTCATACGCTCAATCGCTCAATCTCCATCCTCACGTCCTCGATATCTCGAATCAATGATCCATATCGTCGCGCAATCTCCTTCATGGGCGCAGACTGCTGAGCTCTAGTTGCGCGAGAACTCCCACCCCCGCCCGTATCCACCTCCTCGTAGCCCTTCAACTCCTCCAGCGCCAGTGCGCGTTGCTCCTCCAACCGTTCCCGCGTATCCCGCAAATGCCGATAATACCGACCCAGCGCAGCGACAACCTCTGGGGTATGGATGGTCGCCAAGATTTCCAGTTCCATGACACTATGGAGTCATTACGATCAGCCTTCTGACCCTAGCAGCTTCCCACAAAACAAGTACAAATACATACCTCAGCTTCCCTTCCACCCCCTGCGCCACCGTAGCAAGATGCTCCGCCCGGGCCTTCGTCGCTCGAGCCACCGCGCCGTGTTTAGCCCGCTCCAAGAGCATCACCGTCCGCTCCAAAACCGCTGCCCGGGTCGCAAGCACCTCCGCTGCTATCGTGGCCATCTGAGTCCGCGCGGTCGGAATCTCTATCAATTGTTTCTGGCGCAGCGCGCGTAGCCGGTCTTCCAGCTGCGCGGCCACCGGGACCTGGGCTATGGATCTGGCGACGGCCTGACGAGTCCGTGCGCGTGGTCGGGGGCGGTCGATGGATGTAGATCCAGCTGGACTGGTTCCTGCATTTGCGATCGCGCGGACATCGCTGAGGGCTGTCGAGAGAATCTCCGATAAAGGCGCTACCAGGAGTGGCATGTTGGAATAAAACAGATCGATGTCCGGAGCGAGGAGGACAGATGTGTCTGCGGCTTCGTGACTGCCATCATTGAGGGCGAGCAAGTCCGGACATGATTCGAGATAGAGGCTGACGATGGCGACAGGGTCTCGACACTAATGAAATTCGCATACGATTAGCCTATTAAGCTCATTTGTCCGACCGAGTTGTTGCGTGAGGGAAGGTATGGTTTCCAACATCGTCAGGTAATCCACTGTCCGGATCGAATGCCAATCGTCGTAAGGCATGCTGTTTGATCTGCTTCTTCGCGGCCCGTATCTGGCAGTCTCTTACTTCCTGGAAAGTGAAGTCACGGTCAGACTACTCGGTCCTTTCTCTTGTCCGCGGTGCAGGCCAGACGTCAACGTACTTCCCGCAGCGCTTTCCTGGCCGGTTGTGCATCGTGGGCGCGCGTGGAACCATCGGGGTTAAGTAAGGTGGTTGTCAGGTGCTGGTAGAGTCGCTTGAACTGAGGATTGTTTTCCAGGATGACCGGGTCGCACGGGGGTATCATTGTCTCGTTAGCATTTGTTGTTGGTGAAGCCGGAGGGCCGGAAGGATGCCTTGTCGGTTGGCTGGCCGCCCACCGCCCGGTCCCCGTGACTTGGCTGCTCGCATACTTCGTCTACGCAGGCAGTGGAATGAACAACAGACGTGTAGGAGCACAAAGCTTGGATTCTCGCTTCCGTTTTCACATTTCCTTCGTAATCATACATGCAGCTAGCAGCTAGTTCAACAACCTTTGCTCATCCGATTCAGATTAACGCGGCTTAATGAACTTGGTTCCCAGGCTCAACGGACTTCTTCCAATGGCCATTCAAAGGGAAATAAGTATGGCGGGATTTGGGATCCGTTGCGCACAGAGCCGTCAGACGTTCACTCAGCTTCAAAATCTCCCCAAGTATCACCATATGTACAAGCCTAGAGCCCGATGACAACCGAACCGTCCTCCAACATTAAAGAAAGTCGCTAGAAACAGAAGCAGGGCAACGGAAAATACAACAAATAACAACAGCTCATTAAGAGTTTGACGACACAAAGCACGGAGTAACACGCAGGGAGCCGGTGCGGATCAGCAGCAGGATCCCAGTTGCGGCGCGCAGGCACAACTGAGGAGATCAATGTAGCATTCTCACACCGAGCCCATTTACTCCTCCTCGCTCTCCTCTGAATCATCTTCCGAATCATCGCTGCTCTCGTTGGCTTCGACGGAGGGGACTGGGTCGGGGGAACGGCCGCCGCCACCACCGCCGCCGCCCTGGAAACGAGACAAGTTACTCTCAAGCATGTTGATCTGCGCCTCTTGCTCGTACTTGCTCATGGGCTTGTTCTTCTTCGGCTTCGGAGCGGCCGCGTTCCCTGCTGCGCCTGCAGGATCATCCTCGACAACGTGTGGTGCGTTCTTCTTGACGAAACGCAGCAACATAAGCAAGACATCATTGGGAAGCTCATCAATATCAAGTTCGATCTCAGCCTCTTGGGTACCCTGCACGGAATCATTAGACCAACACCTAGATGGCAGTATAGGGGCGACGGGGACATACCTTGAGGGACGGGACATTGGTTTGGATGATCTTGAGTGCTTCCTGCATCTTCTTATCCGGAAGACTACTGATCCCGTTGGAGATGATCTGCTTCTCGTGATAGCTAACCCAGTGTTGCTTCTCGGGCTTCGCAATCTTAGTGCTCTTCTTGTCCTTCTTGCTACCAAGATTCATGGGCCCAGGCTTCTTAACTTCCTTCTTCACGGGCTTGGGCTTCCCAACCTTCTTCGATCCGGGAGGGGTTTTCTTCTTCTTCTGCGTGATCGCTTCGATCTGGCGTGTCATCTCCTCCATCTGCTTCTGCAGTAGGCTGAGCTTCTCGGCATCGTAGTCGCTTTCTTCCGCCTCCTCTTCGCTCTCTTCCTCGGAAGATTCAGCGCTATGGTGCTCGGGATGTGGTTCGTGCTGTTCCAGATACCGCGATTTCTGGGCCCACTTCCTATTGAACTCTTCGTCCAACCGCTGGCCAGAAACGTAGGTTGGGTCGCCGGGAATGTTGAACTTGAAACAGTTTTTCAAAATAAGACGTATATCAAGCTCGAATTCCTTGGCGTTCTCATACTGGCCCGCCTTCAGCTTGGTCCCAACAGTGGCAAGATCCATTGGCTTCTTGATAATGCTGTGGTAGGTGGGAATGTTCAGGGCAACAGGATCAACGGGATAGTAGAAAGGTGCAGCGTAGCCAAAGTGCTTGGGCTTGTACAGCTCATCCAACACTTCCTGGCAGAAGCGCAATTCCCACTGGTACTTCTTCTTCTTGGGCTTCGTAGAGTAGGGAAGATCACGCTTTGGGGGGTGGATAGAACGCTTGGGACGACCGTCTGCATTGGCAGAATCGCGACGAATCAGTGGGAGGCCCTCCGGACCCAGAGCAAAGGTTGTAGCCTGAGGAGATGCAGCGGTAGCGCGTACGGTGTTGGGGCTCGGCGCCGCCCGGGGCTCTCGACGAGCTGCCGAGGTCTTGGGGGGTAGCTTCTTCGGCTTTTTCTCCTCGATTTCATCAGATCTGGGGATGTTGGCCATCTGCTTTTGAAACGTGCCCTTGAGTCTTTGGCCTTCAACAGTGACCAAGTGGTCCGGACCATTGAATGTCAAAGCGTTCTGAACCATGAGGCTGAAGTCATCGACAACAGCTTGGGCATTAGGATAATCATTCATTTTGAGTTTCCGTTCAATGGTACCAAGATCCATAGGGCGTTTGATGATTTGTGGGTAGTGAGGAACGTTTAACTTGATGGGATCCACAGGTTCTCTGTAGAAGCGCGAGTCATGCATCCGCTTCAGGCTTTGAACCGACTTGACGAGGAACTTGTGCTGGACTTTGCTCATAGGCCTCTCTCCGTTCGTTGCTCTTCCGGAGTGTCCAGAAGCAGGCGTGGGGATGCGAGGGACCTTGAATTCGGAAGACGCTGAACTATCGCCTCCAATCTTGGTACGTTTGGCGGCAGGCTCATCGCTGGGATCACGTTCGCGCTCTCTAGAAAGCTTGGTCGGTGAAACGGGGACATCCGGGACGTCGCGCATCTCCTGGTCAACGCTCTTCATTGAAGGAACCGAAGGAGCAGTGCTCGTAGCACCTTTGTTCGACGTGCTTTCCGGCTTTGCACTAGTTGAAGGATGGTGGGGAAGATCGGTTTTCACAGTGGCAGAATCCTGTGATGACTTCGCGGTGCTCTCCACTTTGGCCTCGGACGACGGATCAGTTGATGGCTTTGATGCGTCCTTGGGCGCCTGCGTGTCTTGTGAACCGGCGCCATTTGCACCACCACCATCGACCTGGGCAGCGGCAGATGGCTTCTCACTGGTTGTTTCCTTCTTGGCTTCTCCAGTCGTACCTGAGTCCATGGTTGAAGATTTACCTTCGTCGGACGCGGCGGCTGGCTGCGCTGAAGTATCTCTGGTCGACAAAGATGGAGATTTCGGCGGGGAGGTCGCGGTCAGACCATTGGTGGTTGCAGGTTGCTCAGCAGTATCCCCATTCGCCGTAGCAGGCTTTGTGTTCTCCTTTTGCTTCTCTGCGCCGTTGACGGTCGCGTCGGGTTTGGTGTTGGTTACAGCATCTTGCGCACTGAAGAACAGTCAGCGACAACACCATAGTGGAGCCAGAGTGAATGGCAGTAACACATACCCAGTGCGACCGATATCCGCGGGCGCAACTCCATTGGGCGACGGCGGCAGTTGAGGCTTCTCCTCTTTGAGAGCAGAGGGTGCCTCGGGAGGCGGCGTCGCCATTTGAGGTTGCTGAATGATTAAGTCCTCCGAAGAGACCGGGATACAAAGAATCTAACAAGCAGCGATTCTGGTGTGGAAGCTGGTCTCGGTAATCAGAGAGTGGGGGGGAGGGGTTTAGGGAGCGACGGCAACAACGATCAACTGAATAGGTACTCTCTGCGCTATCACAGACTAATGTATGGATTCGGTTATCCGGCGAGCAGAAAACAGCTGATTAGATGACAGAAGGCACAAGGCAAGACGGTTGTCCTGCGCAGGCAGGGTCACAAGTGTTGCGACGCCACGGGAGTTGCAGAAGATACAAGAAAGGATGAGGATTAGCGCGGGCCGGAGGTGTGGAGAATGCGACAGGAAGGAGGAATTTATAGTGCCAAGAGGCGGCGGGCGGAAACGCCGGTCACGTGTGCCGAGGACGGTTGACTAAGCGGGAGGCAAGGTCGCCGACGAAAGAGGCAAGTGAATTCAAAGGGAAGGGGCAAAGCAATGATGAGGACGAGATAAGGAGAAGGTCAGTTGAGGTTCGATGGTTGGGTCGCACGTGCCAAGACAGATCGTTGCCTGAGGCAAGAGCGAGGTGTGATGCCTGGAGAAAGGAGCAGGAGGAGGGGAAGGATGGAGACGATGAGGAGAAATACAGTCCGTGACGGCGGAAGCTTGGAGTCGTCGCTAGTAATATTAGAACAAAAAAGGGGGAAGAGGGGGGAGGGTGGGTAACGAAAAAAGGGAAATGGAATAAGATAGAATAAAATAAGCAGCTGCAGGAGCTGTGGCTGGGGATCGAGGAGCGCGCGACGCGAATGACGCGTTGATAGCGTGTTGGAGAGTTGAGTGACCAGGGGTAGCCGAGGGCCACAAGGTGTAGACAAGGGCGGTCGGGGGGGGGGAAGGGTAAAAAAGCGTGACCGGCGCGCAGCTCTCAGCTCAGCTCCAGAAACAGAGACTGAGAAAGTCGGAGGGGGTGCTAGAATCCTTAAGTACGAACGGCCGCGTCGCGCCCGTCCGCCCTCTGCCGCTAACTCCATCGGCGGCGCTAGTCCCAATTATTTTAGTTCAAGCCATTCCGCAGCCGCTGATTGGAGGGAAGATGACGCGTTCTACGAGTTCCGGAATCTTATTGGTCACCGCCAACCCTGGCCGGTGGACCCTTCGTACCAGAGGTCCCTTTGTCGGAAACATCTTCGAAAACACCAGAAAAAAAAAGTCTTCCGCTGGTGAGCAAAAGTTGAGGTGAAGTCGGGACTGACGAACTTCACCTCAGGCTGGTGGGACCAGCGATCTGCGGAACCCCATTCCTGAACAGATACATCATGGCCATAATTTTGTCCCCTGAGCGAGTTGTCAGATATGACATACCCCAAATCAAAAAGGCACGCGGTTGAAGAACTGCATCATGAAGTTGAGGTGAAGCGACCTGCCTGGTTGGATGCCGAGCCAGGATGTGTTTGTCTGCTGACCTGGTGAAACCCCAGGGTTAGGCCCTGAGCCCTCCCTTGCATCGGATCCGGACTAGACCGGGTGCTGATGTAACCAAACACCTTAGCGCCAAATGTCCGATGCCGATGCCGAGTGACAACAGCACAGTCCGTAACCTTGCTGGGTAACAGTGGTGTAAGTATGTATATGGCTGTAAGTGGAAGCAGCGGACGCTTGCCAAGATCAATCCCAGAGACTGAACTCAGCAGCTGAGCTGAGCTGAGCTGAGCTACCCGAGCCTATTGTCGATGCTGCAAATCGAGAGTTGACAAGTTCCATTCCTCACTTTTTTTTCTCGGTCGACTGGATGACTCGTCGACGTCCAGGCAGCCGTAGAAGTAACTGTGGCGCCTGCTGCACTCCTTGTCTGCTGGCCTGGATCGGAAACAACCCCAGTGTGCTCCATCATCTCGGATGTGCCTTGTCTCAGCATAGCCCCTAACTTTCGGTGGATCAAGACATGAGAATTCATACACGATTAGCATGGTAGCTTAAATGAGTCATTCGGTGGGCTTGCAGTGTGGTGTGAGGGGCTATGGGAAGGTTGATAGCCTAGATGGGTCCATGGAAAGCGACTGCCGCGAGTGGTTTAATAGCGCTGGACATGTGAAAAGAGATTGTCGTTGAAAAGATTCATCGAATGCCCCGCCTTCCAACAGGCCTGATGGTTAGAAAGTAGAGAAGTTCTTGGATGCAGCAGGACTGCAGCGACGGGTTGAAGTCAACTCATTTGCAGGACCCTGCACGGTCTGGATGGACAAGACTGGACATTTCTAACCCATGACCCAGATACAGTGTATAGTGTGAGTCCTGGGCATCTCTTGAGGGGAGATTGTGATCAAGCAGGATGGAGAACTGAGGGGTTGTGATGGTGAGTCTGATAAATCTAGAAAGTACGGAGTAGAGTAGTAGAGTGAGCGACCAGCGCGGAGGATTAGATAAGACGCCCGGAGCGGAACTAAGGTTCACAGGGCACTAGGCCCCAACGGGCCAAGCGCATCTCTACAGAACTTTTTTTTCCTCCTCCAGAACCCGGCCCAGAGACGCCGACGGACTGCAGCTCATCCGGTTTCCAGCACACGAGGTTTCCTTCCTATCTGCCGCCGGGTTAGGACTTCTGTACCTTTGGGTGTCTGTTTTGCGACTCACTCTCCTGCGTTCTCCCCCCGTTCGCGAATACACCCGGTTCAAAATGGGCAAGAAAACGTCTCGCCCACCCGCTTCGAAAACTTCCTCCGCTGCGTCGCCCGCGACCTCCAGCCTCACACATAACAGCACTAAGTCGTCGATACTGAAGGCCTCGTTTGCGCCGTCCGAATACCAATTGGCGCTTTTCGCATCGGTGATCCAGGGTCTCGATGCTCAGCACATCCGCATCCACGATACGAACACCGGACGGTTACAGTGTGAGCATGTCTTGGGCCCCAAGGAGACTGTCACCTCACTAGACTGGGGTTACTACCCCAGCAAGCAGAAGGATCGCGATCAGCAGGCAAAGAAGAAGAGGAAGAGGCATTCCGATGTCAATGGTGATGGACTCGACCAGGGCGATGTAGTTGTTGCATTTGGTACAAACGCCTCCGAAATCCGCATGTACTCGCCCGTGGAAGACAAGATTGTCGGAACTCTTGCAGGTGTTCACGATAAGGGCGTCAGAGACTTCAAGTTCACCTCGAGCCGGCCCGGTCAGGAGGGTTGGAGTATCGGCGGAGATAACAAGCTTGTGCAGTGGGACCTGCTCACCGGACAAAGCACAAGGTAGCCCCCCTCTCCGAACCATCGGGGTACACCCATGCCTCTTTTAAACTAACAATTATCCAGGATGATTACCTTGCCTTCGGGACTCAGCACACTTGCACGCCCACTTTCCTCGAACCCGCCTGTCATCTGTGCCTCTCAGACTCCGTACGTCGTTAGCGTGGAGAAGGATGAAGCCCCAATCACATTCGACGCGATGCGGAATCCCATCCAGAACCTCATCTCTTCTTCCACAGAATCTGCCGCCACAGGGCTGTTCCTTGCTTCCGATGGTGACCGCTTCATCACCATTTTTGATGCGCAGAAGCGGAAACTCGCCATGAACCTTGTGGCCGAGAACGGAGTGTCGTCGCTGTCTTTGTACACTGGTGCGGAAAGGGAGGACAGTCTGCCTTCGGAGAAACAGGTCATCGCGGCTGTCACGGAGGACGGTACCGTCGAATTCTTCACCCGGCCATTTGTACTACCGAACGACCAGACGAATGCTAAGGGCGCTGCTAGCCTCAAAGCCAGATCGAAGCAAGCCACCAGGAGAGCTGACGCTCTTCTCAAAGTCACAGTGTCCGCGTCGTCCAACGCCCTTGTTTCCATGGTGGCCGCCACCTTCCAGGGTCCGGAACTGGTTGTTGCGTGGGCGGAAGGAGGTGTCGTCCCTGTCTTCGAGCGGATCAAGTGGCTCAACGAAGAAACCGACGAGCTGCTCTTCACTGGTACCAAGACAGTTGTGAAGACCAATTCCGGCTCGGTGCTGGGGTCGGTGACCGTGAACGGAGCGAGAAGCGCCAACGAGAACCAGGTCGACGAGTCCAAGGCCGTGGTGGAACAAGGCAACATCATCGAAGATGATATTGAGATGCAGGACTCTAAGGACGCTGCTTCTGTGGCTGACAGCGACGAAGAGTCGGACGACGAAGACGAAGAGCCCAAGCAAACGAAGCTGCTGCAAAAGAAGAAGGACGATGACAGCGATGTCGAGATGGGTAACGCACAAGAGTCAGGATCGGAAGAGGAGGAGGAAGAAGAGACAGGGGAGCCCACTTTCGGGGAGCTGATGCGCGCTAACGAGGAGGTTGATGTTGAGGCCGAGCTCGAAGACGACGTCCACATGGGATCCCTCGTTCCGGGTAAGCCCAATACGGCCGTGCAGCAGATTCCCTCGGGCGTGTCCCTTTCCACTGTTCTCTCTCAATCCCTTAAGACCAACGACAGCGGCATGCTCGAGTCGTGCTTCCACACCGGCGATCTTTCCATCATCCGCTCCACCATCCAACGTCTGGACTCCTCTCTCGCCGCGACCCTCCTCCAAAAGCTCGCTGAGCGCCTCTCGACTCGTCCCGGCCGTTATGGACACCTTCTCGTGTGGGTGCAATGGACCTGTGTCGCGCACGGAGGAGCTCTCGCCGGCAAGCCCGAGCTCCTGAAGCGCATGTCCACCCTGTACAAGGTTATGGAGCAGCGCTCCTCCAGCCTGTCCTCATTACTCCTGCTCAAGGGTAAGCTCGATATGCTGGATGCTCAGCTGGGATTGAGACGGGCGATCCGCGGCGGAGAGGAGGCCCTGGAGAGCGAGGATGAGGACAACATCATCTACGTTGAAGGGCAGGAGGAGTTCGACGAGGAGGACAGCGATGCCGAGACGCCCAAGAACCCCGCCACCCCCCGGACCAAGTCGATACGCGACCAGGCCTTCGAGGAGGAGGAGGAGGAATCCATGATGAACGGTGTCCAGACGGCCGACGAGTCCGAGGATGAAGAGGAGGAGGAAGACGAAGAAGAAGAGGACGAGAATGTCCTCGACGTGGAGGCAGAAGAGTCCGCCGGCTCATCCGACGCCGAGGAGTCACTGGAGGAGGACGAGGACGAGGACGACGAGGATGCCGAAAGCGTTGGCTCGATGGTGGATTTCATTGCGGACACGGAAGACGAGGAGTCTGAGGACGAGAAGGCGACTTCCAAGCCGCCGCCATCCAAGAAGGCCCGACTGGCCAGTGGCGGCGGTGGTGGTCGAGGAAAGGGGAAGAACAAGGGCAGAAAATAGAGAAAAAGAGAGAAAACCATCCCTCCCTTTTTTTTTCTTTCAATTTTCCAATTCTATTTCGTCGCATCTCATCCCATCTATCCATCCCTCCCCACCATTTAGATCTTATACCCTGTTGTTCACCAGAGCACTGTGTGTCTCCGGATGATGTGGTCCTGATGTTTTTTCCTCCCACCAAAAGTCACAGAGAGAAAGTCATGTGTTCATTTATTTTATTTATCTACTTTAGTTGGTCTCTTTCTTTCCTATTCCACCATTACAGTCATTGCATGTTAGACCTGGGGGAGTGAATGGGTTTTGAATTACTATTTATTCATCAACATTTGCCTGGTTTTGACTAGCTGACTGACTGACTGACTGACTGACTGACTGACTGGTTTATCGATCAATCGATCTCTTGCCCATGTACTTTCTTACTGTCTTTCTCTCATGCACTTATTACTCATCGTTGACAGTCAGGTAAAGTAGCCAGCTAGCCGTTACGGACTTACCACGAATGGATGATAGCCAGAGAGGCAAATATAAAGGCACATGATATACTCCCCAGGCAGTGACCATATTCCTTTCTATATATAGTACTATCACATCTCCCCATCTATCATACCTATAAACCACCACCAAGCACAAGCACAGAGTACTTACCCCCCCATCTCCCCCTCCAAACAAGCCCCCCATGCAACACGCGATGCCCCGGGACCTGCACCAACGGCACCTCGACGGCAACCGTACTCTCCTGGGTCGGATACTGCGTGATATGGCCATCGACACTAACATCGGCGGTATCCAGGGCCAGGATGGCCCCGTTCCTCCCGCCCACGATCCACGCCTCATCGTCCGAGTGAGGCAGCGTGACGTGCGCTACGCCGGAGAGGAAGATAACCCACCTGTAGTTGACTGTCAACGCTGCTTCACTCCAATGTTCATTTTGAGGGAAGGGGGGAGGAGGAGGAGGAGGAGGAGAAAGGGATGGATGGAAACGCACTGAAGAGCCGGTGCATTATGGCTCCCACCATCAAAGGCACCAGGGACAATGATGTTGGTTACATTGCCGGCGACAGGGCCGAGGGAGATGGAGGCGGTGCCGGAGACGCCGGCTTGGTCGGTGGTGGTGAAGCCCGGGTCGAGTGCCCAGCATTCGATGGCGGATTGGTCGTTGTGGGCGGTGATGGTGGTGATGTTGAGGGTGCTGGGGATGGTGGCAGTGGCAGTGGTGGCGAAGAGTAACGAGAAGATGGTGGGGAGGACGGTCATGGTGATGGTGTTGTTTGATTTGTTGGTATAGAGAGGATTAAGGTAGATGTTTGGTAGGTAGGAGTACTATACTTCCGATGGTGGCGGGAGACAGATAAGTTTGGAGGATGGAGTAGTGCAGAGCTAAAAGGTAGTATTATAAGGGGTGCTGGTCTGCTACTTTCTGGGGACCTGGTCAGTCAAACAGGTTGAGATGAAGCAAATAATCAAGCAGGAACCAGGTTTATAGATTGAGTAAATCCGGTCCAGAAGCTTATACAATGGGCACTTTACCTAATCCGGCGGTTCAGTGGGAGAGAATGAAGAACAGTTGCTGACCATCAGGCACCGTAGCGATTCTTCTTCTAGACAAACTACGAAGGCCTTCAGCCTCGGGCTGCACGATCCGGACAATCGAGGCTTGACGGAGCCAGGCCGGATGCGCTATTGAATGAACGAACCCCAATCCGAGACCGATCGGCAGTTTATTGGGTTTCCCTCGAGTCCCCCCCACAGTCTATCACAACCCCATAAGGATACCGATACCGTACGGCGTACACGGCAATAGGTACATCCTCAGCACACCTCGCTGTAGGCCATTAAGGATAGTTGAAAACACATCCGGCATGCTAACCGATGCTAACAATACTTCTCGCTCTGCTTTACCTGATATCAGCGAATGATCTCGTCCCCCAGGATCTCCAGCCCTTCGAGCCCTTCGAGAATGCCACTGCCCCCCAAAGGCCCGGCCACAACCGTCGCGCTGCGCTTGGGTCCGCTCCAGACCTCATGGAACTTAACGCTCTGGTCACTGGAGGCCACGATGATGCACCCTTCCTGCACCGTGCGGGAGCACCACAGTCCCCCTTCTTTTGCCCGAGGTCGTACGACTGCTCGGCCCGTACTGCGTCGACCAGGCTCACCCCGGCTTTGTTCAGCTAGCCGGTCATGCATCACACTTGATCTGGCAGGCTGGTCTTCAAAACCGGGCCTTCGATCTTCACGAGTAGTGGGGCGGCCAGGATAGCTCACAGCGCAGAGTGCACGCCCGCAGTCAAGCACCATGTCGTCCTCGGGGCTGTCCCAACTACTGCCATGCGGCCCCCAGGGGATCGCTGCAAGCTGTTCACAACTGGGCCAGGCAAACACTGCGATGCGGAACGGATGTTCCGGCTGCGCGAACCCGAACGTGGCAACGATTTCCCGTCGGGTTCTGCTCCAAATCAGGCTTGTCACCTGGGCATACACGTTGATAGTGGCCAAACACGCGCCGGTTGGTGCATGGTAAAAATGAATCGCCCGGTCATTAGACCCGCCACCAGTGGCCAGGAGAGATGGTTGCCAAGGGGCAAACGCAATCGCCTTGACTGCAGCACCATGGACCAGCCGATGCTTCTGGCGGTTGGCCGGAACCAGCACCGTACGATCAGCCCCGGAGACCAGAGCCCCAGTATGGTTAAGGAGAGACGAGGACAGAGGCTTTGCGCACGAAAACGCCCAAGGCGGGAGCAGATGGCTAATAAGACTGCGTCTTTGGAAGAGTCGTTTGCCGGCACTCGCTGCGAAACAGGAGAACGTACCTGTGCATTCAGTGCCCTCTGACTGGCAGGATTGGTGCGACGGACAGCTCTGGGGGGGAGCCCGGGGGTCCCGTTGAGGGAGGATATCATGAAGCTCGAATATCAGACAGCAATTGTCATTCCCACCGGTTGCAAGGTAGGAACTGTCCGGAGACCATGTTATTCCACAGATCTGTTGAGTGTGCGCAGAGATCTTGGCAAGTAAAGTCATGGCCCCATTCCAGTCATATTGATCCCATGCCTCGTCATCCGGCCACTCCACGGAGTAATACCAGATATTTCCAAGGTCATCACCAACAGCGAGCTCTTCGACATCTACTTCGACGCTGCGAAGCCTCTCTGAGATCCTACGGGTCTTCGTTGGTCTAAATGCCACGCAGGTAATGGCGTCCGGGTGACTAATTTCGAACCGGACGTCTGAGTCAAAGGTGCTCCACAGATACAGCGTACCCGACTGCCTCGCAACAGCTAGAATGCTTTTGCCCCCATTCTCGGAGGAGAATGCTACTGACGTCACGTAGTTCGAGGGGTGTTGATCGCTAAAGGGGGGATGTTGTACACCCAAGTGTTCGGACCAGAGATAAACCCGGTGCCCCAGGCCTACAGCAAGTATGCCGGAAGCAGAAGAGTATGCCAGTGTCGAGCAATAGAAATCATCGCGAAGGAGCGGGGCGTCTAAGATGCGAAACGGGCGATTCGGCACTACTCGCTCGCCTTCCTTCGACACGACTGCCCCTGTGAGTGATAGCCAGCAGTTAGTATTGCCCACGTCATGTAATAAGGCTATTGAAATAAGGGCACGGGAAAGATGACACTGCTTTCCGGCAGTCTTACTCATCAAATGGTAACATATAGGCAAGATATATGTAAAAATAGATTACTGACAACACAGACAAAAGCCTTCTGCGTTCTGCATGACAAGGTATGCAGGTGTGATGCTCTGGAAGACTATGATATGGACCAAATTGCTGGTAAGGGTGTTAACTCACAATGATCTCTCTCGGCTCGCTTCCAGGCGTTGTCTTTCCATACGAATGGGGAAAATCGTTCGTAGTCTGGAGAGGAAGGGTTTGGTAAAGACCCAAGCGTAGGACGGAGCTGACAGTTCTTGAGTAGTCTTGTGGCCGGGTCAATGTCCAACGCAAGAGCAACCCTGGACTTGTGTCTCTCACGTTCCTCAGTCGACGCCACCTGGGGCAAAAACTTGGCATTAAACATCGGGGCTGTCGTCCCACTTGCAAGCTGCCCACCAGAACCACTGGGGGTCGCCATAGACCGACGACCAAGTGCAGCTGATGTTCCTCCTACGTTCCAAACAGCCCCATTACTGATCTGTCTGGAGACGTCTATAGAGCCACGAAAAAAATCGCTCCCCGCAAGGGCTGGGTCAATCACAAGATGAGGGCCGTGGTGAGTACTGCATATACGGTCTGATGGTATCCTCGGAGTGCTGACAGATTTTCGGAAGCGTGTGGGAAGGAATGGGTCCTCCTTTGGCGAGCGTCGTCGTAGAAGCTTCTCCTCCGGTGATAGTTCCCGTGGGTTCTTCCCTACCCGATACGGCGTTGAGGGCGTACTGCTTGATTCTCGCCTAGGAATGAACCTGTCTGACGACACTGGGGCTCTCAAACCAGTCTCTGGGGTAGCGCGGACAAGTGGGTTCCTGATCCTAGTGGCACTTTTCGCCGGTGCTGGGGAGCCTGGAGGATGTTTCGAATCACTGCCAGGTCTAATCCTTTTAACTCTCCTGCGCAGAGACGGGTGAGCATACTTCGCAACCTTGCCATTGTAGTTCTTGGATCCAGGTAAAGGAGTGTGTAAATTAAGCTCGGAAGGAGTGACAGGTCCTAGGAGGGATGAAAGACTGGCAGCCTTATGGGAGCAAGTCACGGATCCGCCTTTCCGAGAATTTGGGGCAGCTGTTTTGACTGGAGGGTCTGGATAGCCCTTCGCATCTGCCGGAGCCGAAATTCCTCTTGGATGTATTCCTGGACGAGCCATTTTCCCAGAGACCTCCTGGTCCCGTGGTCCACCGGCCATCGACCACTCCTCGAAAGAAACCGTGTTAAAGCGATGGATGGATAGCACTATGTCAGCTTTCGGATGATGCTTGTGAAGAGAACGAATGATCAGGAAGCCTTATCAATATACCGCCATGATGCAAAGATGGTCCTATAGATGCGGAACATGACAGCTGTGTCCCTGGCCGATGGGGGAGGGGCGCAGTGTCAGGAAGAAAGGCCGGCGGGGGACCAAGTATACAGAGCACGTGACCTGGCTGGATCCGGAAGGTGGACGGTGGCTGCGGCGTTCCCCAGACAGGCAAGTGTCGCCTGGCTGGCCCGGCTTCAACGTCTCCCTCCTGATCAAATTATCTCCCCTCTCCGATATTGAACTGTGCACGGGGACAGGCACATAGACTCGCTCGCACTCGACATGGCTGCTGTAAATGTCCCCCGTTCTTCGCCCTTGACGCACCCTTAACTGTGGACTGACCGCCGTGTGGCAGCATGGGATTCCCCGCTACACTCGCCTCGGCGAGAAGACCGAGGAAGTTCGTCAACAAGAGCTTCATAAAATTGAGAAGTACCGCGAACTTGATCAGTCGGTCCGTGACAAGGTAGGCCATTTTCAGTACGTGTCGAGTGCTCCCACCGTATGTGTCGGCTGATAGTCGGCTAGGTCGCGGCGCAACAGTACACGCCAGAGACTTTGCAAAAAATCACCGAGTTACTGACCAGCAACCCGGAATACTACACCGTGTGGAATTATCGACGTCAAGTATTGCGCAGTGAGTTTTCACGAGCGGCCTCTGCCGGCTCAGAGGAGGCTACTGGTGGCCAGATTGCAACTCTTATCAAGGATGATTTAATGTTCTTGATCCCCCTTCTACGTAGCTTTCCCAAATGCTACTGGATATGGAACTACCGCACCTGGCTCTTAGATGAAGCCAAGCGTCTTCTCCCAGTCCCTACCGCGCGAAAATTCTGGCAGGAAGAATTGGCGCTGGTAGGCAAGATGCTTAGTTTGGACAGCAGGAATTTCCACGGCTGGGGCTACAGGCTGTTTGTCGTGGAGACGCTGCGGGAGCTCAGGTCGGAGGAACTGGAGGAGAAGGACATGACCCGAACGGAGTTCGAATATGCGAAGAAGATGATCGGCGCCAATCTCTCCAATTTCTCGGCCTGGCACTACCGTACGAAGCTCATCCAGCGGCTGCTGAGGGAGAACTCGGCCAGTGACGAGGAACGGCGGAAAATGCTCGATGACGGTACGTCACCCCTTCGTCTCTGCGTGGCGAGAATCGCGTATGCATGTTGACATATCATACGGAAAGAACTGGACTTGATCCATCGTGCGTTGTGCGACCCGTATGACCAGTCATTGTGGTTCTATCACCAAAATCTGATGTGCACCTTTGATCCATCGGTGGCGGGCCAGACGCTGGCGCCGAATCTGAGTGACTCGGAACGACTGGATTATCTCCGGCGAGAAATCGAGGAGATCCAGGAGATGCTGGACGGGGCGGAGGACTGCAAATACATCTACCAGGCGCTCATAGATTGTACGATGCTGAGCTGGAAGGTGGAGGGAAGAGAGCCCAGTGGGGAACCGAAGACGCAGGTCTTGGGCTGGCTCTCGGAACTGAAGAAGCTGGACCCGCTGCGACATCAACGGTGGCTGGATTTCGAACAGTCACTGTGCCGCTGAGCCGATCATCCCTTGCCTGTCGATATGTAAGTCGGTAGACCTGGTAGGTACGGGGTAGTAATGCAAAGACGCCATCTGCGGGGAATTTTTTTTTTGCTTTGTTTCAAGAAATGCGGTGGTCATGATTTCTTCCCTTGCTTTTTCCGGGCCATGCTACGGCTGCCGGATGGACATGGCAGGATGATGGCTCCAAGCGCAGTGGGACCAACCACCGGGATGAATACCGTTGGTGAGTTTCAGAATAACAAGTTGGCCCCAGGACTGTTTACCTCCGCGACTCGTTACCCACGGGTTCGGGGAGAACGTAGATAGTCTAGTGGTTTCGATTATGAACAAAAAAAAAATTCGATTGTAAGAAGACAGGCGTCCCGGGGATCGGTTTCAGCCATCAACCATCCGAAGTGTCATTCATTGTGAGGAGAAGGGGGGGGGGGAAGTGAGTGACGGAGGGATGCAGCGACCAGCGAGCCAGACTAACAGCAACACTAGCAGTGCGTAGTGAGCTGCTAAGTATAGTGTACTTACTATAGTGTAGAGTTAAGGGGGAAGGAAAGCAGCAGCCTCCGAATCACGGGGTCGAGACCCGCCAAGCCCTTCCATCTTCTTTCGCCAGGAGATTCATGCAATCCATTCATTCAATTCAATCCCAACTCAATTTTACTCTCCAACTCTTCACCTCTCCTCTACATTTGAAGATCTCTTGCGGGAATCTCCCCTGCCCGTCCCGTGGTACAGCCTTTGGAATTCCACCCGCTGGCTCTGGGTCCATTCCACTCCTCCCAGCTTATCCAACCTCCCCCCTTCCTCGATAATTCGCCTATCACCACCGCCCCCCTCGGCACCACCACCAGCAGCAGCTCACCAGCGCAGCCGCTTTCCCTTGCTTTCCTGGAGCCATATCATGGAATAACGGTCTCGTCGGCCTCCGTCAATCAGCTCGAACGCCCTTTCCTCTCTTCCGCCTCTTGCGTGGTTCGGAATCTTGTGTCGAACAAACTAGCTGGTTCACATAGTTGGTGCCCTCCCAGGTGGTCGGGTCCAACATGTCTTCCAGGCGGGATAGCAGAGACTACGAAGACGTGAGTTCTCTCGGTCCGCCGATCGCGATTATGTGGAAATGCTCATCTCATCTCGTCCTCGCACCAGGATTCCTTCGACGATGCGCCCGAAGCCCCGAGTTCGCAAAACAGCCTGAATGTTTCCATCCCCCAGAGCTCTTCTACACGGTCCTTGACAGACAGCCCCCCCAGCGGATCGAATGTGGCGACGCCTCAATTGACGGAAGCTCCCCCGCTACCGGGAATCTCTCCAGACGAATACGATACGGCCGGCGACACAGATGATGCCAGCGCGGGCAGACAATCAGAAACGGAGGATACCCCTCGCAAACAGAAGAAGTCCCCTCTCCTGACCGCGCACCGGCTATCGACCACCTCCCTCGATGATGTCAATCTCGCCAGCAGCAACAAGGAGGATGGATCGATGGAAGACCAGCGTTTGAGCCAGGAGCTCAAATCCGGTTCCTCCCCCCCTCTACCTTCTCGCGATTCTATGTCGTCTCACAGCTCGCGCGCTCAGAGCTTCCCTAGCAACTCCTCCAGTGCGCCTGCGAATAAAAATTCAGCCCCCGTTGCGCCTCCGCCTCCGCCAACTAGGTCCTTTACCAGCCCGTTCTCCTGGCTTTCTCGGAACTCCTCGAGTGGAAAGGACGTCAAATCCCCTCCGGCACAGCCTCGCCGGAACACAGCTGCCTCTATCTCTACAATCTCGAGTAACCCGGACAGGCACCACGATGGCGAGGACGCGGATGGCCCGAGGAAGCCTAGACGCAGTAGTCTGAAGGACCAATTCAAACAGCTGAGAATGCGGGAGGAAGGACATGCGGAGAATGACGAAGGCAGTGTCGCGTCGGGACGTGCAAGTTTCAGTCAGCCCGCTGGAAGTCCTCCACCCAGTATTCCGGAGGAGGGAGAGAATGATGCTGCAGCCGCCCCGCGGGCGACATCACCTCCCAATGGGGCCGTCAACCCCAACCTTGCCCCGGGAACTGTTGCGGGTTTCTCAACATCTGCGACCGATGCGTCTGCACCGGTAGACTGGGAGCTCTGGCAGCAACTAGTCAACAATGGTACGCCGGCACTGAAGGGAGGGAGCTCGGAGACCTTGAATGCAGCCATCAAGCGAGGAATCCCACAGACCATCCGGGGAGTGATATGGCAGGTCCTAGCCGACAGCAGAAACCCCGAGCTTGAAGAGGTCTACCGCGATCTCGTTGCTCGTGGCACGGACAAGGAAAGGCAGCGCACCCCCAATGGTACGATCAATGGGGCCGCAGAGAAGGACTCGGTGGCCTCTTCGTCTCGCTCGTCTGTTCGTTCTGAACGCTCTCCTTCGTTGGCTCATTCTATGAATGGCTCACCGAGTCCTTCTTATGAGTTGGATCCCGAAAAGCTGTCCAAGGAGCAGGCTGCGCACGAAGCAGCTCGCAAGAAGAAGGAGAAGGAAGAAGTGACCAAGCTAGAAAAAACCATTCGTCGCGATTTGGGCGCTCGCACGAGTTATTCTCGCTATTTCGTATCGCAGGGGAACCAAGAAGGGTTGTTCGGCCTTTGCAAGGCGTACGCCCTGTACGATGAGGCAGTGGGGTATGCTCAGGGAATGAATTTCATTGCTATGCCGTTGCTGTTTAATGTAAGGCCTATTCAATATTACGCCACCGAGTCTATTATTGATGCTGATCATTCACCTAGATGGACGAGGCGGAAGCTTTCACGCTCCTCGTGAAGCTGATGAACCAATACGGGCTGCGGGAGCTTTTTATTCACGACATGCCGGGCCTCCATCGCTGTCTGTACCTATTCGAGCGCCTGCTGGAGGACTTCGAGCCGGCTCTCTATTGTCATCTCCGGCGACGCGGCGTGCCCCCGCAGCTCTACGCCACCCAGTGGTTCCTGACACTTTTTGCCTACCGATTCCCCCTCCAACTCGTCCTCCGCGTCTACGATCTCATCTTCGAGGAAGGCCTTGAGAACACCCTCCTGAAATTCGCGCTGGCCATCATGCACCGGAATGCCGACGCGCTGCTGGAAATGAAGGACATGGCGCCTCTGACAACTTTCTTGAAGGAGCGCTTATTCGACGTGTACATTGATAAACAACCCTCGGCGTCTTCAATCCTCGAGTCTGGTTTCTTCGGAAGCTCGGGGTCCGCGGACAAGGAGATCTACCGTGCCGACATCATGGTCCAGGATGCCTGTGCTATCCCCATCGAGGCCGAAACGATTGGCATATACACGGCAGAATGGGAGGAGCAGGTGCGGGCCGAGCGGGAGCGCGAAGCCGAGCTCGAACACCTTAAACACACCGTGGCGGTCCAGAGTGCGCGGGTCCGGCTACTGGAGGAGCAAGCGGAGGCCTCTGACAAGGAACATGTGCAGCTTGCATCCGAGCTAGTTCACCTCAAGGTGGAGAACGAGGAACTAACGGACATGAACGACGCGATGAAAATGCAGGTCAAGGAGCTGAAGAAGGTGGTAGACCAACAGCCCGCCGAAGTCGAAGAGAAGCTGCGGACTGAAATGGATCGCATCATGAAGCGCAACCTCGAGGTCCAGAACGAGAACCGATCGATGGTTGAGCAAATGGCGGAGATGGAGAAGGAGCTGGTGGAGGCCAAGATGAAATGGGCGGAGGTAAGTAAATATCCATCCCCTGACGTCTCTCCCATGACAGCATTCCAATCTGACCCGGTTGCGCCAGATTCACGATGACCACGAGAACCTGAAACAGAAATGGAGCGATCTCCGACGGGCTCTCGACTGAGCCGTGACATGTATGACCTGACTTTAGCGGGTGTTGCCTGGCTTCGCTGCTTTCCTCCTCCCTTCCTCCGTCGATCTCCGTTGCCTGTACATTTTCAGCGGCTGGCCAGAGGGGCATTCTTGGGTAACTGTATTTTCGAACCAAGGCACCATGGGCGAGGACTATGTTGTTAATTGTATCATGTTCATGTTTTCTCTTTTTTTTTTTCCCCGCTCGAGTCATCGGCAGCGAACCGGACCCGCATCTAGTGACGATGATCCAACATACAGCCTTGCATCGGGAACATCATGTCATTGCTTCACAGCCATCTCGTCTCTTTGGTTTAGGGATATTGTTCCCGCGTTCCCAAAAGGGCCCCTGAATTGTTTTCGTTGTTGGTTGTATCGGTTTGTAGCATGAGTGGGTGAGTGAGCGAGCGAGAGAGAGAGAGTATGTGTCCAGCCAGAGAGACATATCCATGTATGCCGTGTATACCATGAATGAATAGATTTAGCATCCATCCATCCATCATCTTCCACGCTTCATCGCCCGTGTAAAGTAAAGTAAATAACACCCCGCCTCTTGTACACCCAAGCCAGCAGAACGAACATACATCCATAATAAGAATAACAATAATAACAACAACAATGACAGTAGAAAGAAGAATCACAACACGCTCTGGAAATAACTCGTCAAGATATCCTCCCTCACGGGGCCCACCACCGCCTTCAGCGCCTTATGCGCCTCGCAATGCTCGTCGTAAAACTTCATGTCCTCCATCGACGCGAACGTCGTCTTCACGGATAGATTGAAGCCCTTGTTGCGCGGGTCGGGGAATGATGGGCCGGCGGCGGCATTGAGGATATATGGTTTTCCGTCCTGCAATTGATTGAATCAATCCAGTTAGTTGGTTGGTTGGTTGAATGCATCCATTGTATGTAGCGGGGCATTTTGGGTTGGGGTGGATGGATAGATGGATAGATAGATAGGGAGGAGAAAACAATGGAGAGTAAGAGGAAGGAAAGAACTTGAAGAATGAATACCTTCAGCGCCGTCTTAGCCATAACCTTATACTGCTCCAAGACGCGATCGCGATCAGCCTCATTGGGGATCTTGAAGAGGGTGATGCGTTCGACGGGGGCCATTTTGCGGGATAGAGTGGTGAGGGGTCGGAACATGTGGTTTCAATTAGTTGATGTGTTGGGGGATGGCGGGGTCGAGATATGTACTGTGATTCGGGTAGTTGAATTGGTTTCTTTGTCTGTTTGTTGGAGAAGAGCAGATGGAGGAGAGGAGAGAGGGGAGGAGGGGAAGGCGAAGGAGAAGGGGGGATATTTATAATTTATGTCGGCGGAGGTGGAATTGCGGGGTACATTTATGCGGGTGTCGGTGGAGGCGGACGGAAATTGGCAGGTATGACGGAATTGGTGCGCAGGGAGAATGTTTTACGGGTAATTATTGGAAGAGAACGATGGGGAATTGGTTTTCTTTTATCATCATTACTGCTGTTATTTGTTGATATATGGGTCTCTGGGTCTTTCGTTCGTCATGGATGGGATGGAGGAGTTCCGACGGATGATCGGATCGAGGCTGGGTTGAGCCCGGTTGAACCCTCGGGACGGGTCGGATGGAGAGTCTGTTTGTTCTATACCATAACCACCCTACGACACCCTGCTATTCGATTCGACCAGGTGAAACAAGATGTCCTCGCCATCCAAGATGCAGTAGGCTATTTCGTAGTAATCAGATCAAAGGGTTCATGGAAGTCTGACGTAGGCGTACTGGCGCGGAGGGCCAGATCTATTTCCCTACAAATCCGATGGGCATCGGATCTTCCCGGCCCCGGGACCGGAAAGTCCTAAGCAGACGTTGACTCTGCGCGTGGGAGAGCATTATACGGATGTGCCGGAGGGGTGGGATCCGGATTTGGCTTGGGTGTGGGAGTTGGATGGGTTTATGCATGTGGCGAGGGATATGATGCGGCTTGATGGGTACGTGCCGGCGTAGGATTGGTGTTGGAGGAGTTGGAGTTGGGGCTGGGGCTGGCTTTGGGTGTATTTTTTCCCCCTTACGGCAGGCGCTTTGGTTTAGGTATAGAGAGGTATAGATACGGAGTAGATGGTTGTTGTATCGCTGGATATCATCGAAGAGGGTTGGTTCGATATATTTCGGTAGCGGAATCAATTCCTCGCGCCAATTCCGCCCGGTTGTTTCTTTCCTTGTCTTGTCTTGTCTTTTCTTCTCGGTCTACTCTATGGCGATCCATCCCCGAAATGAGCTCTATATCATATCATATCTACCATTCTCCGCGAAGGGCTTGTTCGCGCTCGTAGGCCTCGAAGAGACTCTTAAAGTTCCCCGCGCCGAACCCGTCGAAGTTGTTGCGCTGAATCACCTCGAGGAACATCGTCGGTGAATCCACGACGTGCTTGGTGAATATCTGAAGCAGATATCCCTTTTCGTCGAAATCAACTAGGATATGCAGTTTCTGTAGCGTGTCGATGTCCTCCTTGAGTTCGGGTCCGCCGTCGGAAAGACGCTGTCGCAGGCCATCGTAGTACTTGTCTGGGACGCAGAGGAATGTCATGCCACGCTCCTGCAGTCGCGTGACGGCCGTGATGATATCGTGGGTTCGGAAGGCGATGTGCTGCACGCCGGCGCCGTTGTAGAAGTCAACGAATCTACCGGGTTTGTGAGTCTTGGCTGCTTGTGAGAGGGGCCTTGACACACTTACTCCTCTATTTGCGACCGCTTTTTACCCGGGGCCGGCTCGTTCATGGGCATTTTGATCACTTCGTTGGGAGAAGCGACCACGATGGATCGCATGGCAGAGAATTCTCCACACATGCCTGCGTCATCCACGGTCCAATACCGATGGAAGTCGAGACAGTTTTCATAACTGTCGCAATGCTTAGCTTTTGTTGATGCGTTATAAACGGGAAGATGACATACTATTGAACGGCTGGATCAACGCCATGCCACGGCTGATTGCCGACGCAGTGGTCAATCTCAATGAAATCGATCTTTGGCAGCTGTCGATTCAGAGGGTCGCGATCTGTTACTGCCCTGTAGCCTGGGAGGAATGGACCAGAGTATCGCTGACGATTGATCAACGAGTGTACCGTGTCCCCATATGTCCCGACCGTGGCTATGACGATGGCGCCCTTCTCACCGTCGTGCTGTATTTGGGGATGTTTAATCGCAGGAGCACCGTGCTCGACTGCCCTCTTCCAGACACTCTCCACATCGCCATCGATCCGGAATGCGACATCTTTGACCCCGTCACCGTGCTTCATCAGATGGCTGTGGATCTCAGCCAAAGAGCGCTTCTCTTCCTCGGGCAGATCCCCATATTGGTCGCTCTGGGCGATAGCACGGACAGGCGATGTCAGGACAAAGGCGGTGGCGTTATTCGACACCACGTATGACACTATGCTTCGAGAGCCAGTCTCGGGACCCCGATATGCGATGTGTTCGAACCCCATGCGGGTGATGTAGTAGCTGGCCGCCTGCCTGGCGTTTCCCACATACCAAGTGACATGGTCGAAGCCCACATATTCCGGGCCTAAATTGGAGGGGAAGATGTCCGCCGCTTCACCCATGATGTTCTTCTCAAAAGTTCTGCTCTAGGAAGATTGTGCGCACAGAAAGTGCTTGGAAGGCAGTCGGAAATCAGTCGTGACGCGCAATATATAACCCAAATGCCCAAGAAATTATCTCATAAGGCCAAGTTCGAACAAGGCGATCCAACGAGGACCTTTTCCTTAATAGGTAGCAGGTAGTATCCGCATCGCCGCCCGCGCCGAGTGATAGTTGCCTGCATCAACTCTTGAACCAGTAAACACTAGCGAAAACCAGGGATTGTTTGCCGTGTACGTGATATCATTATAAAAACCTTGACCCTCCCACCGCCTTCCACCAAACCAGGCATATAGAGTTCAGCCATTGACATCTGCATGACAAGGGTATCTTGAGCATGTGCCATAAGCCTGACCAAACAGCCAACAAGAACCATGGAAAACACCCCGCACATATCAACCAGGTCAAGAGTTCCGGCTCTCTGCATCTGCCAGTCGGTAACCAGTCTGCCTGGCTCCAGCCTACCTCTCACCCCCGAAAACAAGGCGACGCCCTCAGATGTCATTGACAGGCTCCGGTCTGCTCTTGAAGAAGATCTTGTACTTCACGACCTCGACGATCTCCAGTTCCTCGTCATCGCCACCCGCAGCACCCGATTCCTTCTGCCTCCGCTGCACGATGGCAAGTGGCTGTGGCAGCTTCTTAACCTCCCCCGTCATCCGCTGGTATCGTCCAACATATAGATAGACGCGCTTCATCCATTTTGTGTCATCCGGGGCCGTATACTGTGGCGAATAGTCCGGGAACAAGAGTTTGCCGATTGGGGTCTCGAAGACGGGGGCGGCGTTGGGGTCGTGGGGACCATCGGGTGACAATCTCGTAGACTGAGGATCGGGTTCGTTGTTTTCATGTGAGGGGATGTTGATCGTGCCTTGGAGTTCGAGGAGAGCGAGGCCAGAGGGTGTTTGTAATAGCTGGGGAAGAGGGTTGTTGACGCGTGACGGAGAATTGGACGCGCGGGGATGGAGGGTGATCGATGGCATTTTGAAGCTGGGTTGGTGGATAGGAATATGGTGGAATGGGATATTCGGAAGAGCAGGAGCTTCGCATAGGGGATCCCCAGAGAGTAATGACTGTGTGTATGAAGCAGGAAATGGGATCGCGATGAAGTTGGAGGTCCAGAAAAAGCGAAATTAGCGCGTCAGCAACTCCCGTATCTTATCGGCATTGCCGACGCCGGAGGGGGAGGCATGTGACTTGGCTACAGAATTTCAAGATTCTGGAGAGAAGAGAAGAAAACTAAATCTACAATCATCTTGCATAGTAATCAAAGAACTGCTTCTTGAATGGTGGGTTGGCCCTGATCCAAGACATGTCTCATAAGTTTCGTAATAACACCGTCTCCGTCCCAATTCTCCATCGGAGGGAACCCAAGACTCCATCATCCTTTCCTCCCAGATACTGCTCGCCGACCATCTGATGGTGAATTTGTAATTTGATCAGGAAGGCTCCAATCAAGTCACCCAGTCGCGATGTAGTGACAATCGATGAACTGCCTGTCGTATGAGACATCAAATATCGTGAAATAAGATGTCATCAATTGCGAAGTTGAGGAAAATGTACGAGACCGTACCACGCAGTTGGAGTTCGACATCTGGCTGAATGTAGCCGGTGCTGGCTGCTGGGAGCAAACAATTGACCATCCCCTGTCTGCAATAATCTGACCCGGCTGAAGGGGGAGGCCCTATAAGATATAGGGATGCGTCTGCAAACCATCACATTCAGCCTTCACGATAACAGGCATTCTCCAGATTACCAAGACCGCGGATGGCCTCGTTCACCATGTCTTCGCCGCTGGTGCTGGCAGGGCCTTGCATTTTGCCATAGCGCAGGTCGCTCATTTCCCCGACGGTGTGGTTGAGTCCCGACAAGAGCGAGGTTGCGTTTTCATCCACTTGAGCTACCTCGCGCTCCACGTTGGAACACGCCGTCTCCATAGCAGCCAGAAGACTGGATACGGAATGGTAGTCAGACATAGAGGAGGTTTGTCCAAACAATTGAACATCCATGTCCATCTCGCGCTGGTCATGGGAGGTCATGCCGTCGATGCCCGTTTTCGCGAGGGACTTGCGAAGCTCTGCTTTTCGGCTCTCGCCTTGGCGGACTTCCTTGTCGATGTTGCCATTGACTAGATCCATGTCATGTTCGCGTAGTTCTTGCAGCTCGCGGTACAGCGCCCGAATATGCGGGTGGGAGCGCAGCCGCTTGGGGAAAAGCTCCGTAAATTGCTGCAGTGATATGAGGGTGGGCAGCGGAGCCGGAGAGAGCAGAAAATTGCTCAAGATGGAGGACTCGGTGGGTGGCATGGTGAGAGGTCAAGACAGGAGGGAAAGATGAAAGTGAATGAAGGCGAGAGGGGGGAAGAAGAAGAAGAAGGATAATAATAATAGTAATAGTAATAGTAATATTGTTGGTGTTGGGTGGTGCTATTGTTCCCTGGCGGTTGTGTCACCCTCAATAGGAGTGGGCCGCGTCTGGCACCGAAAGTGTTATACTAAAGGCCGAGATGGCTGGGGGTTTTTGGGGCGGGGGGGGGAGGAATCAGGAACACCAGGTTTTCACCGCCAGGAAATCCCGGCTGCGGCAGACAGAACAAGGGCCGAGGAGTGGCACGAGGAGAGAGTTGGTGGTGGATCAACAGGCAAGAAAGACGACAGCCGGCGGCGGGCAAAGCAAAGCAATTAGAACTAGTCAGGAAAGTTCGTGACTTGCCCTTCAGGACGCGTTCTCCGTTCTCCCATCCAGTCGGTCCGCTTCCTCTTCCTGCCCCAACCACAACATGCGTTAATCCCTCACTCCCTCACCACCACCTGGTTTGGATCCCTTCTGCCCTGTTGGTTGTCGCCCATGTGAATCTGTGCCTGTGTCTGCTGCGAATCCTCTCCCTCCCTCTCTGTGTGACTGTCCGTTTCCACTCTCATATCAAGACCTTCTGACATTGCCCGACCTAGTCGAACATCTTCCTCTGCACAGTGTCAGATCTCCCTCTGAAGCAGCCTTCCTTTGAAAAGGCCGGAGTTGAAGACTGCATCTGTATCATCCCCTGTCTGCTTGTGTTATTACGCCCTCTTCTCTCAAATTTCTGTCCTGAGCTTGGTTGCATTGCCCGCTGCACCTACCGCAGAAGAGGCAAAAGGACTCGATTGAGCTTCAAATCCAAGAAGTCTCGAGCCCCACGGTGTTTCTGCTTGTTGCTTTTTCTTGTCCCCTGCGTGAAGCTTGAGGGCAGGTCATTTATACGCCCTCGACGGCCTTCTGCCCCTCAGCAACCGCCTACATCCCTTGATCTGATCTCGTACCACTCGGCCTGAAAATGGCTCCCACCGGCCATATGACCTACCAGAAGGACGAGAGAGTCCTCTGCTTTCACCATGAGATTCTGTACGAGGCCAAGATCCTTGACCTGAGGCACACGGATCCGGAAGACCGCAAAACCCCTTTCGAGTACTTAGTCCACTACAAGGGCTGGAAGAACACGTACGTCTGACTCCCCTCCTATTCTCACTCCCCCCCATCTTTCCCGGGAGCTCCATGCATCTCAGCTTGGAGTTAAATGCTGGGTTCAGCCACTGTTTGGCACCGAGCCTGGCTGACACCGTTTGCTCCTGCTGACGAGGTGGCCGCCACACGCTGGACGGGAGAGGTGGCCTTGCCTGAGCATGATCGACTGACGTTCCCCGGATTCTTTTAGCTGGGATGACTGGGTGCCTCAAGATCGCCTTCGTAAATTTACGGAGGAGAATCGCGAGTTAGCCACGACTCTCCGTCGCGAGGCCGAGGCAGCGTTCCGTCAGAAGAGCACCAAAACCTCCGTGAAGAGGAGGGGAGGCTCCGACCGCAGCTCCGCCCGGGACAGCGAGGAAAGGCAAACCTCAGTTCCTGGCCGCGGGACCAAGAGAGCTCGGGACAACGATATCGAAAAGGTCCGTCTGCTGCCATTGGCTGCCCTCAATTTCCTCTGTTGCCCTTCTAGCCCTGTCACGGTGCCGGTGGCGAGCAAAGCCAGGCCCACCATGTCTCAAGTTCACATGCTGACTGTTTGAACGCAGGAGGAGAGCTTCTATGTGCGGCCTTCCGTCAGGATAGTCATGCCAGATAATCTGAAGTCTCTTCTGGTGGACGACTGGGAGAATGTCACCAAGAACCAACAGGTTGTGGCTTTGCCCGCCAAGTCCTCTGTCAATCAGATTCTGGACGACTACGTCAACGAGGAGAAGCCCAAACGCGGGAGCTCGGTCGACAGCGATGTTCTTGATGAAGTGGCCATGGGTGTCCGCGAGTACTTCGAAAAAGCCCTGGACAAGGTCCTTCTCTACCGGTTCGAACGCGAGCAGTATCGGGCCCTCCGCAAGAAGTGGGAAACTGGCTCTGGCGACTACGCCGACAAAGGATCGCTCGACATCTATGGCGCTGAGCATCTGACCCGCCTTTTCGGTATGTCTCCGACTGACTCGATTCCAACCACTCACTAATCTTCTTCCCAGCAACGATGCCAGAGCTCATCGCACAAACAAATATGGATCTCCAGTCCACAAACCGACTCCGGGAGGAGCTCTCCAAGTTCACCATCTGGCTGAGCAAGAACTCCAGCAAGTACTTCGCCACGAGGTACATGACCGCCAGCAACGAGTACATCGAGAAATCTCGCGGTGTTCCTAACCCAAATCCCGGAACTGCCACCTCGCGTCTGGTCTGAGGAGCATTGGTATGCAGCTCAACTATGCATGCTTTGTGTTTTCTATTACCTGTTTTCTAGCACTTTCTTTCCCTTCTCTTTCCCCCTTTTTCTCTCCCGCGTTTCCTGGCCTGGTCTGTGATTATGGGTTGCGGCAAGAACATGGCCAATTGATGTATGCTATGGCGATAATGCTTTCTTTCTCTGTAACATTAAGATAGAATTGGATTTCTCTGGCGGGATCTGAAGTACTTTCTTTTTCTTTTTCTTTTTCTTTTTCTTTTTCTTTTTCTTTTTCTTCTTTCTGTTTTGTTCATGTCGCCATAGCGACTACCCTACCTCAACAGTCTGGTACTAACAGCAGATACAATGAGTATTCAATTTTCCGTACTTAAAAAAAGACCAGTATAATCCAAACTAGACACATCATAGGTATAGATGAAATTGAAAACTAACAAGAACTAACTCACCCCCACCGCAACCACCACTACTATAACCATACCCACCTATCTACCTATCAACCCCCTCGGCCTGTCCAAATAAAGTCAGAAAACCAAACAACAACAAACAAATGAACAATTAAACGAACAAACAAATATCAACACCATAAACAAGAATATCAACACCAACAACACGAACAACCCTCTACGCAACCAACACCCTCGCATCATCAACCGCGCACCTGGCCGCGCGCTTCAACTCCGTCTTCCAATCCGCCTCCCTATACCTAGTCCAGGCACTCAACCCCTCAGGCGGCTGAATACTGAGTGTCTCATACCCCTGCTTGATAATCTTATGGACCTCGCGCGGACTCAAATTCTTCTTCAAGTTGGCCGGGACCGGCGCGGCCTCGGCGCCCGGCTGCTTCGCGTCGACGTTCTTATCCGGGACGAACAGCAGCGTGTAGAAATGCGACGAGACGGCGATGAGGGTGTCGATGGCGGCGACGTGCACGTCCTTGTTGGCGGGCTCGGCGGGAATGATGCCGGTTACTTTTGTTGCTGTTGTGAAGGAGGAGGAGGAGGGGGAGGAGGGTTTGAAGTTGTAAACGTCGCGGAAGCGGGTGATGATGGGGCCGGTTTCGACCAGCTTGTAGAAGAGGTCGTCGTAGGAGGTCGGGTCCGGGAGGAAGGTATCGCCGGCGGACACGCAGAAGGCGATCAGGGTTACCAGGGTGGTGGTGAGGGTGGTGGTGTGGGGGTTGGAGGTTAGGTCGGGCGCGTAGGTGGTGAGGAAGCGCATGAGGGAGAGGAGAGCTCGCCACAGTTCGGACCAGTGGTATGTGAGGCGGATTTTGTTCATGGAGAGGTAGGTGAGGAGGCGGAGGAAGATCGCGATGCAGTGGCTGGGGGGTGGGAGGTGGTTAGTTTGGGTCTTCTGGTGAGGGGGAGGTGGGGGGTACGGGTTGGTACCTGTAGAGGTTGACGTCGAGACGGCGTTTGAGGTTGTGGGAGAGGGTGTCGATGAGGATGTCGAAGATGGCAGTAGCTAGGACGCGGTCGCCGGCGACGAGAGGGAGGTAGGGCTGTCTTTGGCGGCAGAGTCGGACTTTGCGCTTGCTTTCTTCGCTGCACAGTTGCTTGCAGAGGTTGCTGTCTTCGGTGAGGATGCGCATGGTGAGGAGGTTCAGTTCGGCGTAGTGCGCCCCTCGTGGCGACCTGTAGGCGTGCTGCAGGAGGTAGGATGCTAGGGAGAGGAAGGATGCGAAGGGCGATTCTTCGTTGTCCTTTTCGGGAGCTGCGCTGATGAGGTGGTAGCCGAAGAGCTTGTTGGCGTGGATGAAATCGTAGGTGGCCAGCAGAAGAGTTGCTTGCTGGGCGGGTCTGTTTGGTTCGTCAGTTGGGTGTTTCTTTTTGTTCACCAGGGGGTTTGATGGCTTACAGCGCTGCAAAGAGATCCTTGGCCTCCTCGACCGCTGGTGGACTGGATTTGTCTTTCTTCCCAGGGGCTAGTACGCCCAATCCGAAATAGATCAGGGTACCGATCAGACTCCAGCCCTCAGGGGAGTCGTCTTGCACAGCAACATAGCCGTTTCTCAGAGCACCGCAGGAAAGACCGACGCCCTTGGCGATTTTTTGGATGCTGGACTCGTTGACGAAGTCGTCGAGTCGCAACTGATAGGGGTTTTGGAATTCGAATTTGTTGTAGTTTGCCAGCAAACCCAGAAGAAGAAATGGCTCAAACACTTGGATGGGGGTATCGGATTCTTGAACAAACTTTTGAAGGTCAGCTTGTGTATGCGAATACTTTGAAGGGGACAGACCTTCATGAGAGAAGGAAACAGGTCCCGGTGCGTAAAGTAAGAGACTAGACTCGTCTTGTATGCGCCGCCAGTCATGGCGATGGCGGTTCGGATTGCCTTGAGGCGGAGGTCATCTGGAAACAGTCAATACAAGCCAGGGTAAGTGGGAGAACCAGTGCAGGCAGGCACTCACAGCTGCTGCCATTCCGGATAATGCCGTCGAGGACGGCGACAAAGTTCGAGATGGCGTGGTCCACATGGTCGAGACCAGCAAGAACGGTGATAACGTCGGCACTGGGGTTGGTGTATTTCTTCTTCAACACGCAGGCTAGGAAGACCGTCAAGGTCTAGATCGCTTTTAGAGACCGAAAGAAAGTTATCGTGTCAGTATACTTACCTCGAGTGCATAAGAATCAATGGGACTGGATGCAGAGGCAGCTTCGCGAATTGCCCGAGTAAAGAGCTGCTGCGTTTGAGTCTGATGAAGAAAGACAGTCAGTCACGACCATATCGAGCGATACGGCAGCAGAAGTGGCTGTGTGCCGACCTGCAAGTTGAGAGTCTCATCCGGACTGAGCTGGTCTAGGATCGCATTAAGCCGGCTACGATCCGGAGGCAGCAAGAAGAATTCCCTCCAGAAACCCTCCGAGGGCTCTGCATAGTCGGTGGTCTATAGGGTGTGTTAGGCTGGGACGTCGATACAGGCGTGGGGGAGGCACATACATTGAATAGGTTCTCGTATAGTTGGACGATCTTAGGCTTGAAGGTTTCGGGTCTACTTTGCTGGGTTAAGGGGGATTCCATTGCGTTCGGTCGGATGTTCGAGGGACAGCATAGAACATGAGATAGCAGCCAGCATCACAAGAGGGAAAGAGCCACGCCGATATGGAAGGTGTTCGGCCAGCAACGCGCAGGAGGGTGTCGCTGTCATGGCGCTCTCGCCTGGAGTCCCAGATGTCGCCGTCTTATTCGACACCACTCTTTTTCTGCCTATTCGGGCCACCCCCACCAGCCACGCAGCCCCTGCTTCTTGTGTCTACAGTACGGCCCAGCCACAGTTTCCTTGGATCGCTTGGACTGAAATGCGAGGCAGCCTGTCTTTGACGACTCTTAAATACAAAGGCTCATTACACCGATCTACCAGGGTGCTTCTCAAAGACTACGACACCTGCTATTGCCCCGTTAACTAACTACGGGGTCAGATGACATAATCAGGGGATAGGCATCCTGATGCATTATTCTCGTCCATGTAGATGAAATTTCCAGAATACAGAGGACGGAGGGGTGGCTGCCCACCCGTGGCCATCTCCGTGGTAACAGATATACAAGGCTCATGCAGATCAGCTGGAGGATGCGAAACGGGGGTCCTTCATCGAACACGAGGGAATCGAATTAGTCATGGTTGATTCATTGCATGCCTGAGGTGTTCAGGCAGCAGGCTGAGTAAGTAAGAGCGCCGGTGAATAGCCGACCAATCCCGACGAAGGATAATCAATTGGCAGCCAGTCCAGATTGATGACCCTGGGGAAGGCATGGTGTTCATGCGCAATCATTGGGCCCAATAAGAAGTGAAACAATCACATTCCCCAGAATTTCCAGTCCCGATCAGGCGTTCGATCAGGTGAGAGCAGTGGCGCCACTCAGGCCTGTGTAGAAACACCTGCACGCTGATTGGCCGGCCGGGTGGTGTCCCTGGTGCCTTTTAACCGACCGCCCGGCTCCTCTTCCGCCTCCCAAACAGAACTCAACTCCCGACCTCCATCATCTGCAAACTCACCTGTCTGGCTTTCCCTTCAGCGACAATCCACCGATAGATTCTATGAGATTTTGATTTCTCTCTGCTCCTGCCACTCTCTTGAGTATCTTTTTCAGCATCTACCACACCCCACCTTAATATGTCGTTCTGCAAAGCTACCATGCTCTCTCCGGTGACATCATCCGCCACGCTTCTCAACTTGTTGAGACAGTCGTCCACAAGACACTCCGCGCAGACATGTCGCCTGTTCTCCTCCTATGGAAATGCCCACCGGGCTTCGAAGCGTGATATGCAGACTGCCACTGCGTACCGTCCACACTCGCTGCCCACTTCCTTCCCGCCGCCTCGGAACCCCGGGGCTTCCGACTCCTCCATCACCGCAGACTTCCCCTTCCACGAGATCACACAGCCTCAGATGCCCGGACAGCAAGGCTTTTCGAACATCAACCTCCGGGAGAGCGAAGCACAGAAGCCCAAGGTCTCCGAGACCGCCTCGACGACCCCCTCCAAGCCCACCGAGAAGCCCCGGAGAAAACTGCGTGCGAGGAAGGCGGCGATGAAGTTGACGCCCATCGCGATCGAACAACTCCGCAAACTCCTCTCACAGCCCTCGCCCAAGCTCATCCGCGTCGGCGTCAAGAACCGCGGCTGCTCCGGTCTCGCCTACCATCTGGAATACGTGGAAAAGCCGGGTGCTTTCGACGAGGTGGTTGAGCAGGACGGCGTCAAAGTCTTGATCGACAGCAAAGCCTTGTTCAGCATCATCGGCAGCGAGATGGACTGGCAGGAAGACAAGCTGAGCAGGAGATTCGTTTTCCGCAACCCCAATATTAGTAAGCACCCCTTCCGTGTCTGGTGTCTTTTTGAACATGTTCGCTAACCTATACGCCACAGAGGAACAATGCGGATGCGGTGAATCCTTCATGGTATGATTTGATTTTTGAATCAGATCGGATTTTTTACGTACCTCCATCTTATGCGGATTACATGGGTTTTGCGTTCGTGCATTGGACGGCGTTTGGCGGGGGGGCTTTGTTGGGTTCGGATAATTCTTTTGTTGCTGGACATACCTTTTGATTCCCGGGTCTGAGAGCCCACGACTGTGCAATACATCATTTCCTTTTTACCTGGTTCAGCGCCCATGTCTGGGATCCGATGGCGTTTCATGCTTCATGACATGGGGCATATGGATCCGGTTACAGATTCGACTGGCGGTGGTCTCTTTGACCCTGACTACGAGCTGAAACAGAGTGCCAGACGAGTCAGATATGGGCAGTATGTAGATTGGCGTGAGATAACATAATGACAAGATACTCAATGATTCTTCTCTTTTGTATGACTCCGATTGGGGTCTTGATGCAAGCTCTCTCGGATTCAATATATCACACAAATCGACCATTACAACATTACAACTGCAACAATAAATACAAATCCATTCAATCTTGATATCATTCTTGCATTCAAAGTGGAGACCCACCTCCACAATCAAAATTCATATCAATAACTAATAAGCACCATACCCTTGAATAATACCCCCACTCAATATCATAACCCCATCCATACCGTCAAAGTAGAAGACCTCATCAACCACCCATCAACAAACATCCCAAATCCACAGACCACACCCCCAACCAACCAGAACGACATCATCACTACATCGCCCTCTCCCAAACCCCATCCACATCCTCATGCGGACTGATATTATCCACGATCCCCAACGCCGTCGTCGGCTTCTTATACCCCAGCAACTCCAACATCTTCGGCCCCATCTCACGGACTTTACTCCGAGGGACAGCCAGGAACTGATTCTCCTCTGTGCGAAGATACCCCCTCACGAAGAACAGACCGTGCATTGTGCGCACCGTCCCAGGGACGGAGTTATGACCGCCGCCGTGAAACGCGGAGGCAAGGAAGATCAGGGCTGAGCCGGCGGTCATTTCTCCATCGTGCCATGCCACCATAGAGTTAGTTAGTATAGGTAACCAACCAAGTAACCACCGAGGATATGAAAACCAAAGCTCCGAAAGATAAAATATGAAATAAGAAGATAGAGAAAGAGTGAACATAGAACATACCAGCAAAACAAACCTCCCCAGCCCCAGCTACCCTCCCATCCCCCCACCGATGACTCCCCGGCACAAACATCGTCGCCCCCATCTCCCTGCTGACATCACACCCCGCAATCAGACACCCAAACTGACTGACGTCGCCAAACCCCCACTCCTCGTTTTCGTTCTTGTGTCGAATATGGTGCACGTTGTCGTCCCGATGCAGTAGTTGGCGCGGCGCCCCGTATCCGATATTCATGGACGTGCTGAGGCTGAGCAAGGGATCGATGCGGTTCTCTTCGATGCTGCCTTCGCGGTTGAGCGTGAATTCTTCGAGGAGGATGTGCTGACGGAGGGATTCGAGGAGGGGGTGAGAGGCGCAGATGCGGGCGATGGTGGACGATTTGCCGACGAGGCCTGGGATGAGGGTTGTTTGCGCGGGGATTGTGGGGAAGGCGTCGTGGGGGTGGGAAGGGGGGTCAGTGGTGGTGGTGGTGGTGGTGGTGTATCGATGAGAAGGAAGGGTGCTCCATGGTTGGAGTTCGGTGGTGATGGATGCGAGGTCAGTTTGGGGGATGAAGTCTTTGATGATGAGGCCGCCGTCGCGGGAGAGGGTGGCCAGGATGTTTTCGAGGGGGGTGGTGAGGGGGAGGGTTTGAATGGTGGTTTGGGGTTGGTAGGAGGGTGGGATTGGAGAGGGGATTGGGAGGGGTGCGCGGATCGTTGTCATTTTGGAGATGGTGATGGTTGGTTATATGCGAGGAATTCGAGGAAGTATATCGCGTTGGCTTATACTGTATGCGCGCATCAGGTCTCAAGACTGGGACGAGGGCGTCGGCTTCTGCTCGGAGATCGGGAGTTCAATCCGGATAAGAAATCTGTCTTGTTTTGAATGGCGACGGGGGCACAGTGAATGGCAAGGAACTTGCTCTCGGATTTCCTTGCCGAGACAGGCATTCTGGTCCCGGATAAAGCAGCATGTTGACGGGAGGAACGGGGGACTTTGTTAGTTGCTGCTACTTACTTCTAGGGCCGTGCATGTTGCCTGTTGGCAGAGAGCATCGGTAGCAGTTTTGCGCAGGTTCGGATAGTGGTGAGATTGCTTGGTCTTCCAACAGGAATATTGGCTTTACTTTGTAGCTAAATATGAGATATCATATGGATGGGACTGTCACACGGAGAGCTTGATGGCTATACTAACTCATCTGGAGGAAATAGGACGATACATGTCTCAGCCCTAGATTCGATGTATGTAGGCAAGGTACGATGCAAAGACTATGATCCTAATCTTCACTGCTCTGAGCCATCCAGAACGATGGGCTATTACTGTAATCGAATTGATCCACAATGGCGGCAATATCATAAGATGACAGCCCTATATTAGAGAGCCCGTCCTGGTCATCCAAGATATCAATTACTCAGACTCAGCATTGCGTTTTTTTTTGGCATGAGTGACTTGGCGAGTCAACGAGGGTTGTAATGTCGTTGTCCTGTATAATCATTGGGATTGTTAGTGATGAAGAAAGGTGACGGTCCATGATATACAAGGACCACCAAAGGTTGCGGCATCTATCCAATATAGCAGACCCCAACTCTTCCTCGGGAAGCTCAGTGTGCAAACCCTCTAACTGCGCAACATGAATGGCTTGACTGGCCTAGAGCGGATTAGATTCTGGACATCATTCACCTCTTCCGTTCTGAGAGTCCAAAGATAGGTCGAGTTACAAAAAGGTGTCCCGACTCCCGTCGATCAATTGAACATAGATACAAAGCAGCCAGAGTTAGAACCTAAATTGCCAGAAATGTACTGGAGGGGGTAGATGTCGTCATCCAGGAAGTATGGGACATCATACGCCGAATCCGGATGGAGTCTCTGGGTCATCATGAGGGTGAGACGAGCAGTAGATGACCATGTTGATGTTGGGGATAACCAAACTACAAGGGCCAGGAAGCGCATAGATAAGAAGAAAAGCGGTGTCTAAGCACACCCAACTGAGATTGATTGTTGTGAGTATTCCTCATTGTCATTGAGAGAAGAGTAAAAGGACTGGACCAGTTAACACCCGGAGATCGTGGCTCAAAGCTGGCGACACCTGACAGGTTAGATTCGCACCTGATCACAATGATTGCTGATACCAGAAGTACTTCCTTCTGGTCTCCTCAAAGGCAACGTCGTGGGGCCGTTTCCTTGTTCCTTCATGTTGCTCTTTTGCCTGGACTTGCAGGTCACGGAAACATCTGTCATAGAGTATAAACACACACAATATATAGCTATCAGTCTCCAGCAAGTGTAGCTTTCCGACATCAAGATCTTACGGCTTTCTTCAGCAAAGCGACATGATATCGTACGTCTTTGGCAATTAACACAAGGTTCGTCTCAAGAGCATTTGATTTTGCTCTGGCGACAGGCAATACATCTGCACCAGTGGCGTCAGAATACGCAGACTTGAGAGTCCAGACAAACGAGCCGTTGTCTTACGCGTTTGCGGACTTTTCCAGCCTCCGAGGATCAACTTGCATCGTTACGTGACAGGAGACAGCCCCATTGGTTGTTACTTTGGTATAGAAACCGTTGGATCATCAGGGCTCCTAGTAGGAGCCATCCTCAGACCACTGATATTTGGCCAAGAGACAAGATTGAAGATTGACGGAGGCACGCGAGGACGTGGAGAGGGGATGATCCATGCCATGATAATCACAAGACCGGTCATTGGCCTGGGCTTATCAAACGCGGGCTTGCCAATAATGCCGGTAGTCGTTGCGCCTCAGCTGAAAAATTTCCTGATGTTCAGACTGCTTAATCCCTGCCAAAGCTGCTTGCTGACACAGGCTCATGTCTTTCTCTTGACTACAACGCGATTTATCACCAGATAAGAGGACGGGGATGAGTTGAACAGCCTGAATTGTAGTAAGCAGAGTAGCTTAATTTCTGAGAACAGTAACCAAGCTGATTGACCCATTGCAAATAATTAGGATTGACACCATTGAATACGGAGCCAGCCACGGGGTACAGGAAGATGGAGGAAACACAAGTCGAGATAGCTGCTCCCAAAGGGGACTGGCGTGCACGTGCACGGGCCTGTCCTCGGAAGCCCCGCCTGACCTTTTATGGCTTCCACTCCGTACGCTTGTCGTCCTCGGGAGAATCGCCCGGAATGTCGCCCCTGGGCATCTTGCTGACCGTGGGCCATGTTAAACCGCTGGATTTTCTGAAGATTTCTCCTTTCTCCACGTCGTTCGAAATGCCCGCTTCAGCTGTGTGCGGATCCCGACATCTTCTTCCTTCCCCATGGCGGCCTGCTGAGCATCAACGGCAGGACGGATCCATACCAAATCCGCCTCCTGCGGATGAACAGACCGTGTTCGCTTGGAGATCTTCCACCCAGTGAAGGTGAAGATGGCGAGAAATGCCATTGTGTAATCGCAGAAGAACGTTCCGGCATCCCAGTGTCCACGCAAGAATACCGCATAGCCATAGAAGATCTCCACTACCACGAGCCAAATCAGAGCAATCCAGGTTCCATAGGGTTGGAAATATCCACGGTATGGGAGCTTAGCACGTTGAAACCCCTGCGCTTTCAAGGCCCGATGAAAGAAAAGATAGTTGACACACATTGCGATGTACGTCACGAAAGTTCCGCCAATGATCAAGCCCGTGAGCCTAGAATGGTCAGCTACCTATAATGTCGGCCACTCAGCTAGGCAAGACTTGCCAATTCAGAACCTGCACGGACCCACTACCCAATTTCAAGTACGACAAACATGCAATTCCTAGCGACACCGCCACACAGTAAATCGGCACTCCGTCTCCGGTGCACTTCCGGAAGAGCTTGGGTGCTTGCCCCTTCATAGCAAGCCCGTGCAAGCTCCGAGACGCGGTGTAGACGTAGGCATTGCCCGCCGAGAACATGCTGGTCAGAAGGAGCGCATTGATTAGATGCGGCAATACCTCAATCTTCATGTTGGTCATGGCCATTACATAGGGTGATGCTGCACCAGTGCTCGTATCACCAGCAGCCAGCACTCGCAAGAGGGTTGGGTCATTTGCAGGAAGGATAATACCGGTGCAGAGGGCACCTCCGATGAAGAAAATGCCAAACCTCAAATAGACGGACTTGAAAGCAGTCTTCAAAGCCGTCCGGGGTCGTTGTGTTTCTCCAGCCACGCAAGCCAGATATTCGGGACCAACAATGGTGAACGTGGCCTGCCATAACGCGGCCAGGAAGCCCTGAAAACGACCCAGGTTACCCGTGGAGATATACTCGACAAAGGGCCTCTGCAAAAGTATGAGTCAATCGAGTCCGTCTAGTCATGGACATGCGTGATATCATACCGGTTTGGACCAGTTTCGAAACCCATATGCATCATGTTGTGGATTACCTCCCACCATGGTAATAGCGGTGAAGAGGAAGAGAATGATAATGAGCAGGAGCTTCCCTCCCGCTAGCCAGAACTCAGCCTCGCCAAAGTACTTAACTGCAAACACGTTCGTGAGCCTGACCAGCATATTTTAGCCTTCAGAATTTATAACAACTCATGAGTGGGGATATCATACGCATAGAAAACGATGCAAGCTGAAATGACAGCAGCCGATGGAATGTCAATGCGCCAGAAGGTTAAGACCATGTCCAGGGCCGTGATCTCAAACGGAATTGAGAGTCCCTCATATATGACAAAATTCCAGCCGCACATGAAACCCCAGGCACCGTCGACCCAGGTGCTGGCATGCTGGACAAATGCTGCGCTAACTGGCATGAAGATGGTCATCTCGGCGAGCGAGTTATTTACCAGGGCCATCATACATGCTTGGATGGTGAATGCTAAAAGCAGGCTCGCCGCCCCCTGCATCAGGGCATACCCGATGGAAACAAAAAGCGCCGTTCCTATCGTCCCTCCGATGGCAATAAATTGTATCTGGCGCGAAGTAAGATGGCGTTGCAGGCTTTCAGCTGTCGCGATTGTTTCGCTGTTGCTCTGGGGCTCTGACATCGAAACAGCTTTCTCGGTTGCATCCAGCTTTCTCAAGCGATGATGTATAGTGTTGGTAATGGATCAATGGCTTCCTTGATGGCCGCGACGGGTGCATCCACGCATGGATGATGTGTTTGTATAAAATATTGGGTCTATGTCTCTCCTTGCATGGAGGTGCAAGAGAATGCATGCTACCACGGGCCTTCCTTCGGAACTTAAACTTGAGAAGAAGGGAAAGAGCGAAGCCAAGGGCTAACACCTAGCACCATTTGTAACGAACTTCCCCGCATGGACCGCGTCAATGGGAAGGGACGATCTCTGTCAATAGAAATCCACTAGGGCTACTTATCTTTATCCGGCTGAAGCAGTTGGATTCGAAACCAGTGGCCCAGATCAACACATCAAGTTCTCGACCCAGAACCGCCCCCAAAGCACGGAGTACCCCCTGTAATCCAGATGACCATAAATCTGTCGATATCAGCTCAGGACCGGGAATAAGCGTGGAATACATCTGATTGGATGCACATATCCATGTCGCGCAATCCCAATTCGATTGCGCTATGTGTACTGTTGCTGGGTGTCTTGTAGCATAGCCACGAATGCTCTTTGGTACGCGACTGAGAAACATGCGACTCATTATTGTCATTCAACTGCTGGCCTGGGGGAAGAACTATGGGAAACCACTGCTACACCATACTCGATAAGAGCGGTTGATCTTTAATTCCACAGCTCAATAACTTCATTCAGCATCGAAGGGAGACCTAGGCCGGAGGCAAGTCACCATGCTAATGCGTTCGCAGCCTCCGAGCGCCTTCAATGCCTGATGCTCGAGGTATCTTCCTTGCATCACCACAGCGGTTCCCTGAGATAATGTCAGTCGTCGGCGCTGTAGAAAGCATGACTGCGACAGGGGCCATGGTTTCGCGATAGGTTAAGTGGTTTGATCAGAAGCAGTTAGACACTTAGAGTTTTGCAGCTAGTAATCTCGAAAGTCCTATGTGGCAGTATGAAGAGCTTATATGCCTGCTGTCCTCATATGTCACAGGGTACAACTCTCGGGATCTGGAACAGCCCTCGGAGGACAGGGACATCAGATCTGCTTCTCATACCCAAGCTTTACAGTAAGCGCATTGCCTTCAATCGACCGAAGCCAATTTTGGCCACAATAGAACCCGTATCAGGACCTGATCCCTGCTGGTCAGCGAGCTGATCGGGTTCCACGGAGGTCCCGATCCCGATCTATAGCTGATCGGCTCCTATCAAATATATCAAGGTAACACTGTGCTTGATTACACCAATGAGTGGGCACAAGTCTTCGCACTGATTCTTCTCCTTTTAAGCGATGATCCCATATTAACAAAACCCATCAATAATTCCCCGACAATCCTCCCTTGCAGCAAGTTGATATTGCTGACATCACGTGGGTCCGTCTCCGCCCCGGGCTTATCGGGACTCGGGATGTTCTACTTCTACACTCTTAGTACGGAGTACTCCGTAGTTTACCCCAACTTCCACTCACCCGTGACGTACTTCCATCTCACATCTCCCATCTCACACCACACCACACCACACCACACCACCAACACACCCTCACCCTCTCACCCTTCCTCGACACCACCAAACCCAAAGAAACATGTCGACCCCCTCATCCGCCAAACCAACAACCCCCCTAACCCTAGACGCCCACCCCCCCGCCGAACCCCTCTGCGTAACGATCCGTTTCTCCGCCTCGATCACCGACCTACCCCTCGACATCTTCTCCCCCGAAACCACCACCTCGGCGGGGCTCAAACAACTCATCCGCACGCGCCTACCCCCCAACCTCTCCTCGCACCGTCTCCGTCTCATCCACGCCGGCCGTGGCCTCGAAGACAAAACCCCGCTCTCCGTGTCCCTAAAACTGCCGCCAACGCCCACCCGAAGCCCCCGACCCGAAGCCAATGATGGAGAATCAGACAGCAAAGACAAGGGTAAGGGGAAAGCGCCGGTCCGCAACAACAACAACAACAAACCCCGTCTGTACATCCACTGTTCCATCGGGGATATTGTTCTCTCGGAAGCTGATCTCGCCGCTGAAGCTGCGATCGCGTCCACACTCCACGAGCAGCAGCGGGAACAGCGGCAGCGACGGCGGTCTTCGCTGTCGGATGGGGGACACAGGAAGGATGGTGCGCAGCAGAATACCCAGCAGCAACAGCAACAGGAAGGCCAGTCTAGCACTACGACGCCCGCGCCCCGGGGCTTTGATCGGCTATTATCGGCGGGGTTCACGGCGGCGGAGGTGGCGGGCCTTCGATCGCAGTTTCTGGCTGTGCAGTCGGTGTCACGGACACCGGATACGATGCCGACGGGGGCGGAGTTGCGGGAGCTAGAGGATCGGTGGATGGATGAGGGGTCGTCGGCGGCGGCGATGGCGGCGGGGGGTGGGGAGGCCGGGGACGGGGGGTGTCGTTTACGGATGATGATGGGGGGTTTGGGGCTGGGTCGCGTGGCGCGATGGATGATATGCTTTGGGGAGCGGTGATGGGGTTCTTTTGGCCGGTGGGGTGTGCGATGTGGTTGAGGCGGGAGGAGGGGGTTTGGAGTTGGAGGAAGGGGTTGGCCGTGTTTGTTGGAGTGGTGGTTAATATTGCCTTTGGGGCGATGAGGATCATGAATTGACGGTTTATTTGGTTGATTGGCTTGTTTGTTTGTGGATAGGTTGGATGGTTGGTTTGGTTTGGCGAGTCTGTCTACGCGGCGAGTATTATACCCCCCCTTTTGGATTTACTGGTTGTCCGGGCTGGATTGTCTCATTTGGCTCATTTATGGATTGTTTGCAATGTAACCGGTACTATGACATATGGCCTGATTAGAGCTGATGGATGCTATCATACAACGTTCCGTGATGTGTCTGCGACAGCAGACAGGTAGTGTCGTTAGAAGAAAGAAAAGAGAAAGGCAACCTGTAAATAACGCCCAGTCACAACCAACGCTCAATGGAATTTGCTGTAAATCACAGCGAAGATCAAGAGGACCAGGACGGTGATGATCGCGATCGTGATTATCCGATTCGTAGCCATCCTGCAGAGTGGTTAGAACCGGTGGTTGGATCAAAGGCTGCGACGATATAGCAAAGCCGGTGTGCGAAGGTGTAAGGGGACAGTACCTACGGGCCATGCCCCTCAAAGTTTTGATGCTGGTATCCACATATCCTTCGCTCTCGAGCAGCCGACCTCGAGCATTGGTGATGGTCTCCCGCTGCTGATTCAAGTCGGCCAAGGTGTTGCGACCGATGTCCTCCGTCTCGAGAGCGATGCGCTGACTCTCCTGGAGCCGGGCAGAGCTGCGCTCCAAGCGCTCCGTCCCAGACAGGAGCTGTTGTCTTTGTTCCAGATGCTCGTCCTGCGGATCATCTGTGTAGCGATCGCCAAAGAGCGCTTTCCGGTCGTCCGAGAGCGATCGCAGCTTGCGCTTGGCCTCGTCGACATCCGTCGCGTAGTTGCGAACCCGGGTGTTGACCTTCGACCGTGCGGAGGACGGGATGTTCTGTTTCTCCATGCGCATTTGATCCAACTATATAGCGAGAGGTGTTAGAGACGGCGCGGGGCGCTTCCCGGAACAACATGCGAGCCAGCCAACATACCAATTCCGTGGCCTCATCCAGAGCTCGCTCAGCTTGTCTGATCGCCGACTTCCGTTGTTCACCGCTCGACTCCGCGATCTGGTCCAGCTTCTGATTCAGGTCGGCTTGCACCAGCTTCAGCTCGGTCTCGTAGCTGCTGAACAGCTCCGAGCCGGCGTCGGTGTCTAGCGGGTTCGACATTCTGGGGTTGTGGCGGTCGAGAAATCGGGTGCTGGGTTATGTTTCACGGCAGATCGAAATCGAGTTCAATAGTGGATAGGGGGTTGCGTTGCGGATCCGAGGAAGTGGAGAGAGGAGGAGCGACCTTATCTACCTTCGTGGTGGCTGGCGCCCCTGCTGCAACTCAGGATAAGGGATTGGGACAACAAACGGACTGAGCCACGCTGTCTATCACGAAATGCAGCGATCGAGAATTGACGAATAAAAGCGCTGGTGGTTGACCGCGAGTCCGAAAGGCAGTACTAATGTTGACGATGAGGTGCAGAGGATGGAGTGAGTGCGTTGCTGGACTGACTAGTAGTACTGCCTGGCCGGCTGCACAGGAACCGGGCGCCCGCACGTGATCGGCGACCGAGGCAGATGTTTCCGGCTGACGTCGTCGGCCTCAACGGTCCAGCCATCTTCGGTGTATAAGATGAAAGGTATCTACTACCAAGTACGGGGCTTTCTTCATTGTTGAGCTCAACCATGCCTGGGAGCCGGAGAGCCGAAATGATTTAATATGGGGAGGGAGACATTGTCCCAGTCCAACCAGTCCCAGACTCCAAATTAACTCAACTCCCTCCATCGAAGGTGGGGCTTACTCCTCACTCTCCATCCGACACTTATCCAGGAACCCCCTCACCAGTCATCACTCCTCCAGTGACATGTCACATCTTGTGCTCACGGCCACACTTCTCAGTCTCCCGGCTTGAACTTCAAGAGGAAACTAACTACTAGGTCTACTGAACAAGGCATACCGCTGACTCACTCAGTCGATCCCCCGTCATCTGATGTGATCACACAGAACCGCCACATGAGGATAAGAGGGAGTAGTAGCGTAGCAGGCTGAGATCCGAGCGTGGATACTTCGATAAGTCTGCCGCCACGGCTGTCTACTCCTTTCTGTGAGACCTTCCTGTCACTTTCGTACCTCCAGTGTGCCTCATCCTAGCATCTTTGGATGGGAAAAGGAGCAATCAGCAATATTGTTATCGATCACTCCACAAGACCTTCCTTGCCCCTACCCCTGACCGTGGGAATCTCAGGCTCGACAGCGGAATCCGCCCCCAATTCTTTGAGCTTCTCTGGGGTAACCTGGTCAATGGCAGGCTTGACTGTTTGCAGCCATTGTGTCCATGCCGCTCTTTCAGTCCGAACGTGTCGCTGTCATAGGGGGAGGTTGCACGGGAATCACCTCGTTCTGGGCCCTGCAGAACTCCGTCCACGATGTCCATCTGTTCGAAGCCTCAGCCGATCTCGGTGGGCGTGTCAAGACTCTGCCGTTTGAGCACAATGGCAACCAAGTCGACGTGAACACAGAGTCGCCCACATTCAATGCTGAGGCTTCTCGTCAGTCCCATTCTCCCAGCATGTAGCTTTCAGGGCTAATGATTTGCTCAGCCAATCTGGTTTCATTGCTACGCTACCTTGGGATCACCACCTCTCAGGCGCAACTCTGCTTTGGAGCCACGGAGGGGACCTGCAATTTTCAGTGGTGCGGCAGCGTGCTGAAGAGCATTTTACTCCGCCCATGGGCTCTATGCAGCCTGGAGACCTATCGAATACTGTCAGATATTATTTGGCTAAGATACCTCGCAGTGGATGTGCTGAGTACCAAACTCGGCGCCTGTAAAACCAAGAATGTTCTGCAGTCCCTGTCTGCACATGACTATCTCTCAGGGGAGGGATATTCGAATAACTTCCGGAACAAATACCTTGCTCCAATGCTTTCCATGCTATGGAGCACAAATGCAGGGAAGTTTCTCCCTCAACTCCCTGTCAGAGCCCTTGTCCAGTGTCTGTGTGATCACCAGCTGCTTAAACCTCGTCAAGTGCCGCCCGATTGGCGTTGCATTAAACCAGGCACAAGCCAGCTCGTCCATACCATGAGTCAGCATTTTCCTGCCTCAAAGGTACACCTCAAGTCTCGAGTTGTGGAGGTGATACGCCATGGGAAGAATCAATATGGTGTCCTGACATCTGACGGCCAAGAGATGTTCTTCAACCACATCATCTTCGCTGTGAACGGCCCCGAGACTATCAAAATCCTTGGATCGCACGCAAGTTTGCAAGAAAAGGATATCATCCAGGGCCTGGGATCGACCCGGAACATCTCTGTTCTACATTCGGACCCTCTCGTGAGTATCAGCCCTAGAACTTTGCCAAACTGGCGAGACAGCTCTTCTTACAATCTCAACTAGCTCATGCCCGAGATCGATACCCCAGGGCCTTCGTGCAACTACATACTAGCTTCCGATGACCACCACCGGTTCTCACAATCGATCAAGGACCCGACAGCTCACATCTCCAGTCTCAGCTATATCGCAAACTCCCTCGAAAGCATCCCAGAATACCTCTTCGGTCCGGTATACATCACCCTGAACCCGTTCACCCCGCCCCACCCCAGCCACGTGCAGGGTGTATGGGAATTCGCCGATCCAGAGCCCAGTGCCAACACGCTGGTCGCGCAAAGCCGTCTGCCTTCAATCCAGAACAAACGGGGTCTCAGCTATGCATTCTGCTGGACGGGTCGTGGACACCTCGAAGATGCCGTGACCGCTGGCCTGAGGCTCGCCATAGACCACTTAGGTGCGAAGGTCCCGTTCGAAGTGCAGTACCATCAAGATCCCCTAGACGCAGCAAGTTCCTTGCCTCCGCGAATCGGCTTGAAGGATAATCTGGTTCGGACCATCCTCCGTCTGATCAGCGTTTATCTTCTCATCTTCGAGCTCGTTCTGGTTGGGCTGAGAGCTCTGCGAAATCCAGCTTCAAGGAGAAACTCTCGTCGTATAGAAGAAGAAGAAAAAACAGAGACTGCGTCCGGAGCAACCGAGACTCGTTAAAGAGACTACATCTAGATTTAACGGATGCAGCTTTCAACAGACATCCTATATCAAGAAGCCTCTCGATGGCCAAGATACTATATATAACAAGCGAACTTTCAAATACTTAGTTGGCATTAACGTAAAAATAGCTCGTTCATAGAAAGGCAGTCGCTCTTCCCAATTCACCATGCAGAACATACAGACAGTCACATTAGACGTGGTATACATATTGTTTGCTTGCTTGTATGTCTTTCTTCTCTCTCTCTTCCCGTCGACCTTTTGTCAATTCCGATGAAAGCACAATCCCAAATATCCGTCCGTCTCTAAAAGCTCACACTAACTCCAAGCAGCGAAGTGAACATGACGCGCTTTATTTGAGGAACTTATCGCTATCCTGGTTGACAATGGCGGCGCTTCTCCGCGCATCGAGGAACAGATCTTCGCACTCTACAACATCGGCCTCCTCGATACCGCCTGGGCGTCCGTTGACCCGGGCCAGGATACTGGCGGGGGTCAGGAGTTGCAGGGCATACCGCAGGCTGACCTTGCTGCCGTGCTCGGAGACCTTGTCCAGGGCGGGGTCGGTGATGTTGAGGCCTTCCGTCTTGGCGCGCAGGCGGATGATGGTCTTGATCTCGTCGGGGGAGTAGGCGTGGGTGGGGATGATGAGGAGGCGGGCGAGAAGGTCGGGAGGGATCCCGTGGGCGGCAGCGATGTCGTCCGTGCCGCGGATGACGGTGTGGCCGCGGTTGGATGCGAGGATGACGATGGGAGAGATGGAGGATTCGAGGGCCCGGTTGAGATATGTGAAGCATTCGATATCAAGCATATGGACCTATCGGCGGAGTGTCAGAAAATGTCGAATCAAGAAAGTAAGGAGGTGTGGTGTCTAGACATACCTCGTCGATGAAGAGAACACCAGGAACAAGCTCAGCAACACCCTGGTCAATGTACCGGTTGACAACCTTGTTGATCTCCTGACGCAGCTTCTCGGTAATCTCAGTCTTCTTGGGCTTCATGAGTTGTCCCATCATGCTCATCACATCCTGTCCACCCTGCGGCCTGGCGTTGGCCATATCCAGATCGTGTAGCGTCACATCTTGAACGATTTCCTTCTTCTTGTGGACCTCTCCCTTCGGTACGGGAACGTATTCTTCGGCTTCGAGATCGAACTCGGTCGCGTAGGCGTCGGACCGTCCCACACGCTTGCAGGCTCCGGTGTTAGCTTCGATGTAGATGACGTCTCCGACGGTAACCCGCTCCTTCTGGATGGCTTCGTAGATGCTGGGGTCCAGGCGCAGCTTCTTGGTGCCCTTGGCGGACTTGAGTCCGATAATCAAATGGCTGATCGTACGTCCGTATCCTCCGAGAGGGTTCTCCGTTTCTTCGGGGGTAAGCTCCGTCACTTCACCTTCGTAGACTTCCTTGGTTTCGCGGACACGGAGACCTATCCATCTGTTAGCCATAGGGAAATCGACGGTTAAAATGGAGATGTCGCTTACCAATCGCCCTCCGGAAGTTCTCCATCAGCGCCTCTGTTTTCTTGACCTCAGCGGAGTAGATCTCACTGCCGACAATCGGGCAGAATGGGACCTTGGTTCCCAGCTCCTGCGACACAGCAAGGGCAAGAGCCGTCTTTCCAGTTCCCGGTCCACCGGCCAGAAGAACAGCCCGACCGGCCATCTTCTTGGCCTTGATCAGATCAACCACGACACCGCATGCCTCGCGGGCGAGTCCCTGTCCAACGAATCCATCCGCATTGTTCTCTGCCGTACCATCAGGCCGTAGTCCCAGACCCTTGATATGCGTGTGCGCCGCTGTTCTGTTCTCGCGCGAGTTGCCCTTCACTTCGCTGATCTGGACCATGGTGAAGGGATTGCGACCTCACTGGGAAGCCACAGGAACGCGATAGTTGATGCGGGGAGTATGCGGAATGAAAATGAATAGATGAGCGAGTTATGAAGAGCCGACAGAACCACGCAACGGGGAGACGAGGAGGAAGAGGGACGAGACTGGCAGTCTGGATGCTGTTGCTTCTGGCCGAAATTCACGCGCAGCTCCCGGGTTCGATCAATGACAGCCGCCCGTGGCCAAGGCGGTCAGCGGGACCCCCAAATTCTTTCCACCAACCTTTCCATCCTGGGAGACCATCGATCGTGCTGCTGCTGCTATCGTTGCTCTGTCGGTGCCCCGTCATCGCCCTTTTCCCTCCGTCGATTTCTGGCATGGTCGATTGCCCATCGACCTCTTGATCTACACAATGGCCGGCTTACAGAGTCGATCGGCCATGTCCCTTCCGTTCTCCCTCTCTGCGGCGTTTCGCAACCTCTCCGTCACCACCCCGAAACGTTCCTTTTCCACGACATTGGCCGCGCAGAAGACGAAAACCCTCCCGGATTACATCCCTCCCTACCCCTACGGCCCGAACTATGTCTTCAAGCAGTCCAACTCCGGTCTCTACGGAGGCACCATGATCCAATTCGGAAACAAGATCTCCCAAGGCCGCAACGAGGGGAAAACCCGCCGACTGTGGAAGCCCAACGTTCGTCGCAAGAAGCTGCACAGCGAAGCGCTCGGTGAGGACCTGTTCATTAAGGTGACACGGAGGGCTCTGCGCACGATCTACAAGTCCGGTGGCCTCGACAACTACCTCCTCAGCGATCGCCCGGGGCGGATCAGGGAGCTTGGAATGTTTGGCTGGGAGTTGCGGTGGAAGGTGATGCAGACGCCCAAGATCCAGGAACAATTCAAGGAAGAGAGGAAAAAGCTGGGTCTGCCGGAACCGCCTACGTTCGAGGAGTGGGTCAAGCAGAAGGAGGCTGATCTCAAGGCCGAGGTCGAGAAGGGGACGAACATCAGAGATATCACGAAGCCTACGTTGAGCAAGAAGCAGTACTAGGGGTCTGGGAGGAAAGACTAGCTTCACGGCTGGGTCGAATTGGGATGGTCGATTTCGTTTGAATTATCTGGTGACCAACGGATGGGCGTCTGTTGTATTATTACTATTTGTCCGGCCATGGTCGACAGTGTCTGCATACCGCTTTGATATCTTGCAGATGGTGGAGATGACTGTACAGCCATTGAAATATTGCATTGACTGTTTTGGATTCGCATTAGTCGCTCTTCAGTGTATTTATATGTTGCCAATGCTATTGGGTTTGATCTATCTCCATGTGCTTATAGGACAGTTCCAGAGAAGGTCAATGATGGGCAGTTTGGCCAAGGGCTGGGAAACTGGAAAGGATGCGCAGCTCACGTAAAATTGATCAGTGTTCGCTCAATTGCCAGGGTTCTGGACTTTTGAGCCATTCCTGCCCTGCCTTGAAGTGATATAGGAACTACGCATGTATATATGTAGTACCGCGTCGCAACGGGATAAACGCAGCATAAACAGGGATCCGGAATACAAACAGCCGCAATCACACGAGAAATGAGCTATTAATATCCACAATCAAGGCCAGACCCCGAAGATCTCCTCCCATATCCAGGCCATTGCAAGTTGCAAGTAGTAATCGACATGTTCTGGAATGTTGCGATCTTTCGGACCAACGAAGATCCGCCGGCGGGTTGCCGGATCCGGGAGGGCCTGCCGCGCTGGAGAAGTTACATGCAGTGAGCATTGTACCTTACCTCTCTCTATCTACTAGTCCAGTCTACCTGCTAGAATGTACTAATCCAACGGGATCCTATTCAACTCTGACCCTTCTCCGCCACCGTCTCCTATACCACGCACTCACCTTGGTCACCCAGCATCTATCCCTGCTGGGGACAAATCCGCCCATCATGCAGTTCGCCTTACCCCCGCGGAAGACCCCGATTGCGCCTCCGTACGCTCGCTCGTCGCGATTCTCGTTACAGCGCAGGAAACAGTTCAAGGCCGTGGCCATCCTGAGCTTTGCGCTCCTCGTCGTCTTCTTCCTGCTATCCCAGCTCTTCTACACAAGTACAGGCACCGCCGCCGTACCGGTCGGAACCCCCGACGTCGTCATCGTCACCGTTCTGGACCGGGTGCGTTTCAGCGAGGGGTACACCCAGAAGATCGTCAAGAACAGAGAGGACTATGCGAAGCGACATGGTGAGTGAACCGGGGAAGGAAAGCCTCGTATCGAGGATTTAAGCGCTCAATAATGTCTTACAAAATGTAATCAGGCTACACGAATTTCTTCGCCAACCTGTCCGACTACGAAACCACCCTGGGTGACGCCCCCAAGAGCTGGGCCGTTGTCCCGGCCGTCCGTCATGCGATGGCCTCCCACCCTTACTCGCAGTACTTTTTCCACCTGGACGCGCATGCCCTGATCATGAACCCGATCAAGTCGCTGGATTCGCATGTGTTGGAAAAAAGTCGCCTGGAATCTCTAATGCGCAAGGACGTCCCCGTCGTCCCGCCGGATAGCATCATTAAGACCTTCTCTCATATCCAACCCCAAGATGTCGATATCATTATCACCACCGACAATGAAGACATGAGTCCCGGGAGCTTTGTCCTCCGACAAGGCGAATTCGCCAAGTTCTTCCTCGACTTTTGGTTTGATCCTCTGTACCGCACCTATAACTTCGCTAAAGCTGAGACACATGTGTTGGTAAGAAAAGCTCTTTGTCTTTTCTGTCTTGATCTTTATTTCCGGCTGGGATTGAATCTATGATCATTCAATCTGAGCCAGTGTCTCATCGTTTATTTACCTTTTGTTTTCGCTTTTTTCGTGTTACCTCGCCAGGCTAACACGTCCATTTTCGTCAGGATCACATCGTGCAATGGCACCCGACCATCTTGGCCAGACTGGCCCTTATTCCCCAGCGTGTGATCAATGCGTACAGCAAAGACTCGTCCGCTGCCGGCGCCGATGGGACCTACAAGGAAGGCGATTTCGTCATCCGTTTCGTGGGATGTGACACGGATACGAAGCGCAACTGCGAAAAGGAGATGGATCCATTTTATCGCTCCTGGGTGGGGAAAACGAAGATTGAGTAGACCTCATCTCTTCTTTTTTTTCTCTCTCTCTGTTGTGTTATGGGGACGATCAATGTCTCAGGAGTTTTGGGTATGCTTTTTCTTCCCCCCCCCCCCCCCCCCCCCGAACTCATTCCAAATTGGTGTTTGGAGTCCCACGTACGGTCTACCTTCCTACTAGTCTATTTGTATCATAGAGCGAGCGCATCGCATCCATTCCTGCATGAAGTAATGCATTCAATGTTTTGCTGTCTTGTCCGTCCTGATTATTATTCCCCCGCGTGAGGCGCGTATAACTCGTAGAATCTACAACAGACTATAAATCTGGAAAAGAGTAATAGATAGGTTACATGAAAAAACAAATCCACCGTCAGACACATCACGTCACGTCCGTCACATCTCCGGTCCAAAGTGTCGGGGTCAGGGCATAAATAAACCTTCACGAGGCTTATGCTTAGTTATGCCAGACAAGACACTGGATTCCCCACCCGCCGGACCTCCCTGCTAACATATAACATACGAGAGGGAGAGAGGGATGCAGATTAGCCCACCAATTCCAACCCCCATCTAGTAAATCCCCGGCAGGAGAACGAAGCGCTTACGCTTATACTTATCGCCGAACTCCTTCCGGTAGCGACGCTCCTTCTTCTTGGCCCAGATAGCCATCTGCGCGGACCCCACCACGATAAAGAGCATGACACTCCAGCTCATGCCACTAAGCAGGTAGATACCGACCCACGCGACGATCTCGAAGAAGTAGTTGGGGCAGGTGACGACCTTGAAGCCCAGTCCGGCCGGGATGCCTCGCTCGGTGGTACCGGGGCGACGCAGATCACGCAGGATCATGTGGGCGTTCAGGTTGGCCAGTTCGCCGATGATGTACAATGCCAGACCGCTGTAGAGCAGGAAGGAGTCCTGGGTGCTCACGGCGGGGGAGTCCGGTCGGAATACCCAGTACGCGATGTTCAGACCGGCCAGAACCCAGTAGTGGCCGCTGTTCTTGATGATGTTGCGCGCCGGCATGGTGGCGTTGCTGAATCGGTGCACGAAGATCGTTTCATATTCGCGTTTCACGAAGTGGAGGGTCAGGAGGGCGCAGACCAGGAGCTGGAAAAAGGATGGGTCCGGGAGAGGTTGCGCGAAGTTGAAGTATATGAATGGCCGGAGGGGGAAGAGGAAGAGAGCCGGGATGAAGAGCGGTCCCAGGTATTCGATTATGTAGACGGTGCGCCAGCCGAGTTGGGGGCCTGTTGGGGGAGGGTGGTTGTGTTAGTTGAGTGAGAGTGAGGGTGTACGGTGATGAGTATGGTGGTGAGTGGTGGGTGAGTGGTGATGTTGATGGTGATGATGGTGAGGAGAGATGGGCTAGCGACATACCGAGGTCTTTGACGTGAAGGACGCTCTGGTCCCTCAGCCCGGTTCCATCGACGGTCGCGTCCTTAGTGTTGGGAACTACCGTCCGGTCGCTTCCCTTAGTGATACGGAGACGGTGGATGGAGAAGCCCGAGACCTCCGCCAGCTTGGTGTAGATTTCGCCCGTCGAGGCATCGGAGGTGACCTGGACTGTCTTAGGGAGCTTCTTGATGGGTTTGCCTGGCGCAAATGTGAGCGGAGGTTGGTTATATCATTCGGCGGGCAACGTACCCCGAGGCTCAACGACCAAGGTGAGAGACGCCATTGCAAGCGACAGACAGATGCTCTTTGTCACCAAGTTACCTAGTTATCAGAGGACTTGTGATGGACGAATAGCTAGAGCCAGTTTGGGCCAATTGGGCAACGTGAATTAGTGGCCTGAGTAAGAGCTAGAAACACTGCAGGGGATAAAAGGTCAGATGGTTGGGGCCCGCGGGCGGCCAGGAAAATTGCCGCTTAATTAGTAGCTTTCTTTACCCCGGCCGGCTGAAGGACCTCGGCGGCCGATCTGCCGGCTTGCAACTGACTGACTGACCGCCTGCTTTCAACACAACAGACTCGGTGCAACAATGCCATTCAGTCTTTGGTTTGTTTGTTCACGCCGTTCCCACGCCTCATCTGCCTGGGATTTTCTTATTCCAAGGCTTACAGATCTACATCTATATCTAGGTACCGGTACATCTTGCATGTACATCGCCACATGATGGTGTACAAAAGTGTTAAGTGATCCGCATGCCGCCAAATAATACGAGAGTGTCATGGTATCAAGTTGCCCCGGCACATGGTGGCGCAGGCCAGACAGTCCAATTTCTGAGCACCAATTTGGGGCCAGATTAAAACAAGACTATGTGTAGTAGTATCTATCCACGTAGCAACAGCGACATGTCCTTGATAAGACTGATGTGTCCAAACAGACGCGCCCGCTCTGGATGCCTCGAGTTCTCGGGCTGGCCAGGCCTTGTTCAGGCGCCAATAGTGTCGCCTTAGCCTCGGCCTGTCAGCCAGCCTTTGCTCTTCCTCCACCATTTAGCATCGCTTTAGCTCTCTGCTAGCGGCATGTAAGTATACCCCGGCAATCTCAGGTTGGCTCTACAAATAGCAATGGTTCGCGAACTCGACCATGGCAAACAACTCACCTAGAACTTATGCACTTATGCGGGCCGGCCTTTGCGGGCTTGCAGCAACACAACCCACCCTGCCCAATGTCCTTGATTCCGCGACACCCGTCGGAACAGCTGAACGGCTGAGCGGTTGGCTGGACGGAGTACTGGGGACGAGCTTGCAGGAGGTTACGTACCGGTTGTGCTTGTAACCAAGTCCTCAATCGCTAATTCAGGCCCCCCAGGCGGCCTTTGAACCTTCAGCCGCAGCTTGTCGGCCGGTTCTTCTCTTCATCTGAAGCCGGCCTAGGCATCGATCGAGATATGGTCCGCCCAGCAGTGCAGGGCCCATCCCTCCCCTTCCCCCCCCCTTCCCTCCCCCATCTCGTATCCTCCGGTTCGACACCACCAACCCCCCCTTCCCCCCAATAACGACTGACGGAATTAGCGTCTCTTTGGATGCCACTTCGATCGGTTAGCCTTGCATGTGGTGTGTGGACTGAGCTGAGGCGATGTCTCATACGAATCAGAGAGCCGTCTGACGCAAAGGTACTAGTTATGGAGCATTCCTCCGTCGGAGACAGGATGCCAATGCCTACTGAACTTATCCAGTTCATCGGGGTTGCCGACTTGGCTGCCTCTCTTTGGCCGCCCTATAAAGCCCGTTCCTGGGGATACCTGCTGACTCTGTTTCTTCTTTTCCCTCACATGCATTTGCACACGTGTTTGTCATCACTGTGAATGTGTATTTACCTCCTTGGGACCCCGTTCCACACACACATTGGCTCGTGCCAGTTTCCTGGGCTTTGGGTTTCTCTTCCGGGTTTGGTTCTCCCCGCATTCAACATTGTCGCCGTCGCATTCCTCGGTCACCAGATCGGTTCCGGCCCATTGATTCTAAGGTGAGTAACAGTTCTTCTGCTCTCAAGGTTCACGCATCCGTCATCTTGAACCTTGTCCGTGGTCTTCTCTAGATCTGGACTCCCTTCTCCCCCACCAACGCATCTTATCGTTCATGTCGGCGAGCATCGATCGCATCACGAGGCTGATCCTGTTCTGCTATGTAAAGACGGCATTTTTGGCTTTGCTGGCCACGCCTTGCATGCTCTAGCACACAATGGTCGAGAAAAGCAAGCCGTCCATCATGAATGGCATAGGGAATACCGTTTCTCAGGTTGAAAAACTCATCTCCGCGTCCTTACGGCCCTTGCCGACTGCAACTGGTGATGGCTCATATGTGACAGAACCAAGCCAAACGGGGCTTGTCCGGGATTTGAAACATGTTGACCTCGCCGAAGTCAAGGCCCTCATAGAGTTCGCCAAAGATGCTGCTACGGGGGAGCCCGTCAATGATAGGCACTATATTATGGAACGAGTCATCCAGGTCGGTTTGTCAGCTTCTTCTTGAACATGAGGTGTAGAGCGCTTTCTAAACCCAATCTAGCTCGCCGCGGGTCTGCCGTCAACTTCCAGAGGTGAGACCGGATTGACGAATACGTTCCTGAAGCAGTTGTGGGATGACTTGCAGCATCCCCCTATCTCGTAAGCAAATCGTCAATCCAGGGTGTTAATGGTGGTCTTGTCGTTAACGGTCTGCAGTTACCTTGGTCGCGATAATGCCTACCGCAAGGCCGATGGCTCAGGAAACGTATTATTGCCTTACATCCTCTCGTATGATCATTATTAATTGTTCTTAGAACATTCTGTGGCCTCAGATTGGGGCTGCCAGGACCCACTACGCAAGATCTATACGACCAAAGACCCTTCAGTCCCCGACGCCTCCGGATCCAAATACGCTTTTTGCTTCTCTCTTGGAACGAAATGAGTATAAGGAACATCCGAATAAGATATCTAGTGTTTTGTTCCATCTTGCGTCGATCATCATTCACGGTAAGCTTTGAACAGCCTGTGTATTTTTGTAGTCTGTGACTGACATATACCAAGATCTGTTCCAGACGGACCGTAAGGATTATACAATGAGCCTCACATCGTCATATCTGGACCTTGCGCCTCTCTATGGTAACAACCAGGACGAACAAAACTTGGTCAGAACGTTCAAGGATGGCAAGCTTAAGCCAGACTGCTTCTCCAGCAAGCGTGTTCTAGGCTTCCCCCCCGGCGTTGGAGTGCTTCTGTTGATGTTCAACCGTTTCCACAACTATGTGGTTGAGAACTTGGCCAGAATCAATGAACGCGGTCGTTTCACCAAACCAGACGAATCGAATTCCGCCGCCTATGCAATATACGACGATGATCTTTTCCAGACTGGTCGGTTGGTAACGTGTGGTCTATACATCAATATCATCCTAAAAGATTACGTTCGAACAATTTTGAACATCAATCGAACAGACAGTGTCTGGAGCTTAGACCCTCGAGCTGATATGAGAGACGGATTGCTGAGCAAGGCTGCCGGTGAGGCCACGGGTAACCAGGTCTCTGCTGAGTTCAATCTGATTTACCGCTGGCATTCTTGCATATCGCAGCGGGATGAGAAATGGGCGCGGCAAATGTACCAGGAACTTTTCCCTGGAAGGAATCCCGAAGAAATCCCGTTGGACGAATTTCTCCGAGGCGTTGCTCAGTGGGAAGCTGGATTATCAGAACAGCCCCAAGAACGTCCATTCGCTGGGCTAAAGCGTAACCCAAATGGGTCATTTGACGAGGGAGACCTCGTGAATCTGTTTGCGGACAGCGTTGAAGATTGCGCAGGTGCCTTTGGGGCCCGCAACGTTCCGTCAATCTTCAAAAATATCGAGGCACTCGGTATAATGCAGGCTCGGTCCTGGAACTTGGCTACCCTGAACGAATTCCGCAACTACTTCAACCTCACACCGTACAAGACCTTTGAGGAGATCAATCCGGATCCATACATTGCTGATCAGCTTAAGAGATTCTACGATGTGCCCGATCAGGTGGAGATGTATCCAGGGATCCTTGTGGAGGATACAAAGGCAGCGCTGGTTCCTGGCAGTGGGTTGTGCACCAACTTTACGATATCGAGGGCAATTCTCTCCGACGCGGTTGCTCTAGTTCGTGGCGATCGCTTCTATACGGTCGATTACAACCCGAATCACCTAACAAACTGGGCTTACAGTGATATACAGCCTCTCGACTCTGTTGATCAAGGCCAAGTATTTTACAAGCTAGTGCTGCGTGCATTTCCCAATTATGTCAAGGGGGATTCCATCTACGCACATTTCCCCTTGGTCATCCCTTCTGAAAACAAGAAGATTCTGCAGAGTCTCTCGGTTGCTCAGAATTACAGTTGGGATCGACCTCACTATACACCTATGCCCCAATTTATCAACTCCAATTCTGCATGCATGTCTATCCTCAGCGACCAAGACACGTTTAAGGTAACGTGGGGCAAAAAGATCGAATTCCTGATGCAACACAGCAACCAACCTTATGGCCGAGATTTCATGCTGTCGGGTGATAGGCCACCAAACGCTGCGTCACGTAAACTGATGGGGTCCGCCTTATACCGTGAAAAATGGGAGAGTGAGGCCAAGAAATTCTACGAAGACATCACCTTGAAGCTTTTGCATCAGCATTCGTATAAAGTGGCCGGGGTCCACCAAGTTGACATCGTTCGAGACATCGCAAACCTTGCCCAGGTACATTTTTGCGCAAGTGTCTTTTCGCTGTCTCTGAAGACCGATTCAAATCCCAAAGGCATTTATACAGATACGGAGCTTTACGACATACTAGCGGTTGTCTTCGCCTCCATATTCTACGATACAGATGTTGGGAAGTCCTTCGAGCTCAATCAGAGTGCCCGCACTGTTACCCAACAGCTTGGGCGGCTGACAATGGCTAACGTGGACTTTGTCAACAATGCCGGTTTCATCGCTAATCTGATCAGCAGTCTACATCGCCATGATGCTCTCAGTGACTATGGAATCCATATGATCCAGCGACTACTTGCGAGCCATATTCCTCCTGCTGAAATAGTCTGGACGCATATCTTACCAACCGCGGGCGGAATGGTGGCAAACCAAGCCCAGCTCTTTTCGCAGTGCTTGGATTACTATCTGTCCGAAGAGGGGTCTGCTCACCTACCTGATATTAATCGGCTGGCCAAAGCAAATACGCCTGAGGCTGACAGCCTGCTTCTACGATAGTGAGTTTTTCCCAATTCCTTGCACTGTTGCCTATTGGTATTATCACACTCATACATGTACTGAATCTACCTGCAGTTTCATGGAAGGCGCTCGGTTGCGGGCTTCTGTCGCCCTGCCCCGAGTAGTGGCAAAGCCAACGGTTGTCGACGATGGGGACAAGAAGCTGACCTTCAAGCCAGGCCAGATCCTAGTTTGTGACCTAGTAAGCGGGAAAATCTACATCTCGATCCAACCACTGTATACTCACAATCACTTCTAGGTAACCGCCTCCATGGATCCCGTCAGCTTCCCAGAGCCCGAGAAAGTCAGGCTCGATCGCGACATGGGTCTGTACGCTCACTTTGGCTTTGGGCCTCACCAATGCTTAGGCATGGGCATGTGCAAGTTAGCACTGACGACCATGCTTCGGGTTGTCGGACGACTGGACAACCTTCGACGTGCTCCTGGAGTTCAAGGTCAGCTCAAAAAGCTCGCTGGGCCCGGTGGACTCGCGATCTATATGACCGCCGACCAAACCAGTTTCTGGCCATTCCCGTCCACCATGAAGATCCAGTGGGATGGCGATCTGCCCCCTCTTCCGACAAAGTAGGGGGGGTGTATGAATGGGGGGTGAAAGAATGAAAGGGACAAAGGGGACACATGTGTATCATAGCACCTTTATTTAATACCAGATGAGATATGTATGCAGAGGTTCCTAGTAAGTATATTGTTACACACACACACCAGATATATATTGTAAGAAATGTATCATGCTGTAGTGGAATACTATATGGACCTAACAGTGAAGTGACTTCTAATCATGGTAAAGATTCATGTCCCCCTTCCTGATGTCACTCATGCATCTCTCTGTTTGTCATTCACCCCACCTGCATGCCGGGTGAATCAGCTTCCCGAGGGCATATGTTGTTCACAGGTGATGGATGGATGGGCCGGTCAAATTCACCGGTGGTGATTGACTGACCATTTATGAAGTCCATCCCCCCAAGCCATGAGGATGGTACCCAATCCTTGGAATACAAATGAAAATCGACCAATTTGGGATGTTGGTGAGTGAGTGGTCTTTAGATACCAACTGAGGGGGGAGGGGGATGTAGACGGAAGTGAGACAAACCCAAGCAAGGCAAGGTCTTCGGAGGAGCGGCCTGATGCAGGTGCATCACCACACTAGCAGGCTTAGGCTCCGATGCAAGCCCAAAGTGGGAGGAGGGAGAATACAGTAGTGAAGGAAGAGAAGTTCAGTCATTCAGTCACCTCTATGTATGTGACTGAGTGCTGGCTGGCGGGGAAGGAAGAAGACCCGCTCCGGCCCTCAGTGTCTTTAGTGACTGTAGTACTTACTGTTACTAGCCACAGTCCACACCCGCGACCAGCTGGAAGCAGAGAGAGCCGCCCGGAGCTCCCAGCCCATCATCGGCATAATTTCACGAACCTTCCAACTCTGACCGGACTCGTCCCTACACCAACTTCCCTCCGCCTCTCCTCCTCCATCGACCCTCCCACCTTCTCCTCGCCTCCCCACGCCTCCCCATCGCGTGCTTCTTCTCTTCTCTCCATTCCCGAGCTTCGATCTTGTACTTGGTGGTCAACATCTCAGGCTGAAACGACCTGCACCATTTCCCTGTCATCCTTGACTCCCCTCCCTCCCCCAAGCGACACTGGCTGAAGCCGCTGCTCACCAGTCCTATCTGCCTTCACTTTCTCCGACCGTACGCGAGCCTCATCGATCGAGCAGAGATCTCTGCGTTCATTCTTTCCCCTCGCGCTCCTGTGACCTAGCAGGACTGCCCGGATTCACTTCCCTCTCTGCGTTCCACTTTTCGGTTTTTGTTGAGGCAGGAGGGATCCGAAAAAAAACGTCATAAGGTCCTCTCGCGCCTTGCTCCGCGACCCGGTCTCTACGACCTCCCCCACCCTCCCTAGGAGGCTTTCTCCTAGTTTCTTCAGCCTCCTCATGATTGCCAGTCTTTCCGATCGTCATCATGGGGAGAATTAAGAAGGCGGCGAGCCAGAAACACGAGGCTACGATCGTAAGTTTCCTTTCCTCGCCCACCCCGCGTGCTGTCTGGCGTCGTTGTCGGGTTGACTGATTTTTTCCCCTCTTCTCTTCAATATAGTCTCCCTACCTGTCAGAATTTGTAACCCGTGCCACGACTGTCCCAGTTCCAGAGCTTCCTTCACACCTCAACACCTTTTCTCGCATATGGCCATTCCCCAGAGGTGACCTGTACCACTGGATCAACGTCCTGAACCGCTTCGACGAGATTCTAGCGTCTGTCATCGAGAAGTACGCTCTCAACGATGGCCCCCAGACGAAGCCTTTTGGTAGAGACTTTCTGGTGGAGTCCTGTATTCAAAGTGAGAGTACAGCAACCCCTCAGGATGTCGATACCAAGCTAGCTACTCTTGGGTATGGTGCGGAAGGAGACCGGGAGCTTCTAGAGGTTATCATAGACTTCTCCAGGCTGCTGCTGGAGAAATGTGGCAACCGCAGTTTGTACAGCAGCAGTGAACGCCTGGGCGAACTTCTGAACACCACCTCACTGTCCCTTCTTCAGTCCACCCTCCGGCTGTCTCTCTGCTTGGCGCAACGGTATCATTCTCGCCAGCGGGGTGGATCTCACCTCCAGCAGAGCTTGCTAGCAGCCCACTACAATATCGACTTGGAGAAGCTACAGAAGATCGCCGCGCCGTTTCCCCGCCCTTTCGTGCTCGGCAGAGCGGCCGCGTCGTCGCCGACCGCAACGACTAAGCCGAAGGAAAAGGGACCTCAGACCAAACACAATGCCAATGATATGTCTTCGCTTGTGCGAGAGAAGGATGGTTGGGACGAGTGGGGTAATGTGCGCCTGCTTTACTACCCTTCTGGCGTGCCTGAACCCGTGAAAAATGCTCCAGAAGTTGGGGCTAGCGGACCATCGGCGCAGCCTACCACACCAACCCCTCTACGCAGAAGTCACACTCAACCTACCCCGCGCTTGAGCCGTATGTCTACTGCTGAAGATTCACCTACCTCTGTGGCCGGTACTCCCGGGAAACCCGACGAGGGGCTACAGGGTGGAAAGACTCTCGACATTCCCCACTCCCAGATCTCATCGTCAAAGCCCGAGGATCTCCTTGCCTTGCATGCAGACATACCGGATGACTCGAAGTATGAGCTTCTTCACAGAATCCGTACAGCTTATGGGTTAGCGACGTCTAGCTCAACCCGGGAACAAATTCTGGCGATCAAAATCTTGGCCCTTACCAATTTGGCTTACGTTTACCCCGAGGCTTTGTTTCAACAAAAAGTCCTCCAGTACGATATGGAGCAGCCTAAGCGTCTTCAACTCGCCTACCAGCTGGGTGAATTGGTTCATCTAGGCGCTAGCGGTGATCTTCAGGTTTCACGGACTTTGCAAACCTTGGCAATCCATGCCCTTGATGCTCTTGCAAAACATAAGGCACGGGCAATTGATGTTTGTGCTGCGTTGAGCGTCAATGTGAACCATGGTGTGCTTATGTTCCTAACCCGGAAAACGGTCAATGAGCTGGGCTCAGAGGACGGTGATGGTGATGATGGTAGCCAGGACGAGTGGCGGGACGCTTTGCTAGCTCTGTTGCGAACACTTCCAGGCTCTAGTACTAGAACTCCGGAGACCCTCGTTTCTGCTGGTTTAATCCCCATGTTCGTTGACGTCTTGAACCTCCGAACGGAGAAGGCCCGTCGAGTCTATTCTCGCATCATGGAGTTTCTGGACACCTTTGTTCATGCGGTCCGTGATGCGCTTGGAACCCTTACCAATGCCAAGGGATTCGATGCAATTTCTGATCTAATAGATTTCGAAACCAAGTCCTCATTCGAGAGTGTGTCCAAGGGGGCTGGAATACCCGCCCAGCACAAGACGCCATCTATTGACTATCAGATCCCGTATTTTCAGCAACAGACATTGCGCTGGATGTTCCGGTTCGTGAACCATATCATGCAGCACAATGGCGGCGGTTTTGACCGGGTTCTTCGGAACCTGATCGATTCTCCCCAGCTCCTGACTTCCTTGCGCCTGGTGCTCGAAAATGCTCGGATATTTGGTTCTCATGTGTGGAGCAATGCGGTCAACATCCTTAGCAGTTTCATTCACAACGAGCCTACCAGTTATGCAGTGATTGCTGAGGCTGGTCTGAGCAAGAGCTTTTTGGAAGCCGTGACTTCGTCTGAGCTCAAGACCCCAGAAAAGCCAGTTGTTGAGACGGAAGATGCTCAACCTGAAGGCGAATCCTCTAAGCCAGCCGATACCGGTGCCGCCGAGAAATCAGCAGATGATGGTCAAAAGCCTCAGGAGTATCCCGTTGTAAGGCCCAAGGATGTGCGCTTGGCACCTGGAATCATGTCCGCTGCAGAGGCCCTCTCATGCATCCCTGCCGCCTTTGGTGCTATTTGCTTGAATGCTTCCGGACTCGATCTTTTCAAGTCGTCCGATGCTCTGGAGAGCTTCTTCGAGATATTCGAGAATCCCGAGCATGTAAAGTGCCTCAAAGATGACCCCAATCTGGTCCGCACCCTCGGTACCACTTTTGACGAATTAGTCCGGCATCATCCAGCCTTGAAATCTCACGTGATGACTGCCGTCATCGTGATGGTTGCGCGTGTTGGGCTACTGTGCAGAACAAAGGCTTGGTCATCCGGTATGGGGGCGAAGTTATGGACAGAGGATACGCAGGGAAAGCCGACCATTTCTGGTTCTACCTCTCACTTGTTGAAGGCAATCGGCGTTGACCATGACGATCAGCTCGACAATGCTTCCACTTTCGGTGTCCCCCAATTGACATCCAGTCTGCTCCCCAACGGTGGAAAGCTGCAAATGGGCGATCTAGACCAGATCCTTCCATCCTCGAGTGATGCTATTGAGCCCAAGGATGTGGACGCAGCTGGTCTTACTGCTACTGATTATCTGTACCCGGTTGTACGCTTCTTGGGGGCTTTCTTTGAAAACCAGTCCAACTGCCAGTACTTTATTGAATCAGGTGCTGTTGAGTTCGTGTTGGACTTTGCAACTCTACAAAGCCTTCCTTTTGACTTCCATAATACTGATGCCAACCAGGAATTGGCTGTTCTTGTGCATATGCTGGCAGAAACGAAGCCTCACTTGGTCGTGCCTTCCCTCGTTCACCGAACAGAGCTGGCTATCGACAAAGTGTCTGCTTTCTGGAAAGAGCCTGAATACTTAGGCTTCTTTACGCCTTTGATCAAGCCGACTTCCGGAAATGCGTCCGAAGAGAAGGGCAAAGAAGGTCTCATTACCTCCAAGGAGAGAGGGACATACTTCGCCAAACATATGGGAGCTGCTCTTATCCTAACTGACTTCCTCCGTGAGATCTATTCCATGCCATTGTACCAGACTCGACCTAGTCAGCAAACTTCCGCTTTTGCACAGGTGAATCTAGCCGATCGTTATCGCTCTCTCGTCAAGAAGCTGGGAGGTTTGCATGCGGCATGTGTGTGGGAGGAGATACTACTTGAAAAGAACATCCCGGACACTTGGGATCAGGCAACAAAGGTTCAACAGTCCGGAACTACACCCGAGAGAACTAGCCTTGCTCCTACCAACCTGAACTCGGAAGGAAGTGCAACTGTTGCTGGTGCTGCCAGTGCGGAGACCCCTAGAGAGAGTACAGTTGCTAGCGATGCTCCGCAGCCGGGTGTGGCTCAGGAGCCTAAGGAGACCAAAGTCCCGGAAGATGGCGTAGCATTCAAAAATGTCCAGGCTCTTCGGTATCTTCTTAGCTCGCTACCCTCATCGATCACGGGATTTTTCCACAACCTGGGACTTGGTCTCATCGGCAAACGGAGAATCGATCTGTACCAGAAGCAAAACGCAACTATGGTAGCGGAGGCCATTGCACAAGCTGTGATCGAGCAACTGCAGTTCCAACCTCCAAACTCAAGTGATAGTGCCAAGCTTCGTTTCGCTTACCTTATTGTCATACTTTCTTCGTTCTCGCATCTTCTGTTCGAAGGTGGGTTCAGTCTCTTTTTCTTTGCTAATTACTGATAGATCAGGCGCTGACTGTGTAATAGCTACTGCAGATCGTCCCCACTCGCATTACCTGACGCTGGTCCTGTTCGCCTTCAAGAGACAAGGTGGACTCAAAGTCATGAGGGATATCTGTGAGCTCTTTGTCCAGGACGTCAAGGCTCTCACACCACCGGAATCTGTTTCGGACTCCGAAAAGGATGTCTCGGCGCGACTCACCTCTGCTTACGGTGGTATCAAGATCATCCTCAGCTTCTTCTCTGAGCTTGCTTCGGGCAAGAACATTGTCGACTCCAGCCAGACACAAGCCATGACGAGCAGTGACCGGGAGCGCGACCGACCCGACTACTTCCAGCCTGGCCAATTTTTGGTGGATCTTCGAATGGAAATCCTGCCGATGGCCCGAGACATGTGGAATTCAGATTTCGCTGCCCAGTCCTCCAGCTCTGTTGTCAAGTGCTTAGTTGATATTTTGCGTTCATCCCTTGACGGTGAATATGAAACGGGAGCTGCCCGGAGTTCGGAATCCGCCCCCATGTGGTCTGATGTCCCAAGGAGGACGTTTGGTATCAACAAGGATCGCTTGGGCACTTTACTGGATAGAGGCTTTGATGCAGAGCTCGCGAAAGAAGCGCTTTACCGCTGCAATAACGTCTTTATCGCCGCTGAAGAATATTGCAGAGCTCAAAGCTGGCTGCGGGCCCCGGAAAGGGCCGAAGCTCCTGCCAATGATATGGAACAGGTTCGGCCTACGGCCTCTGGGGCTGAGGCTTCGGATGAAGCTCTCGGGGACGCTCCTCAATTTGACAGCGGGTTCCTTGAGCGTTCTGCTCTTGCCATGCTGTTAGCACAAGCTTCGGGCAGATCAGGCGAGGACGGGTCGCGCCAGGAACAAGGTCAAGGCAGATCCGAGGACAGTGAAGTTAGACATGGCACAGAATTCTTAGCAAGAGCCTTGACTCATATCCTCAATGATGAGCATGGCCCAGGGGATGAGCACGACGATTCCTCAAGCCTTGCTCCTCGAAACCCCTCGGCTGCCGGTGTTAGCTCATCCGAGCCATCTGGTCAGACAGCAAACCAGTCCACAGAACAACGCTCTGAACAACCAGCAAGGCGACGGGAACTAACAACAGTTGAAGACTTGGACAAGGAACGTGAGACGGTCCGCTCCAATTTGATTGAGCGTTGTCTGGACATCCTGAATGAGCACCATGACGTTTCTTTCGAGTTGGCCGATTTGATCGCATCTGCGACGAGGAGACACCGTGATCCCGAAAGCTTTAGAAGGGAGGTCGGTGAAATTCTCGTCCAGTCTCTGGTCTCCCTGCAGATGGAGAACTTCCAAGCAGCTGGCAAGAAGGTGGCTGCTTATGCCCACCTTCTCGCCTTGGTTGTCCAGGACCGAGACATGTACACCGCGACATTGGGCGAACTCAAAGAGTGCTTTACGACTTTCCTGGGATTCATTCAAGTGTCAAACGAAAAAACGGCAGACGAATCATTCCCTTGGATCGGCCATGTGTTGCTTGTCCTGGAGAAGTTGCTTTCGGACGATGCCCAGCCGCCTCAAATTCGCTGGAGTCTGCCTGATAATGCCAATCCAGAAGATGAAGGCCCGGCTCATTTAGAGGAGTCCCTTGTGTCCCAGGACCAGAAAATGCAGCTTTATGAGGCGCTAGTCGAAATCCTACCTCGGATCGGCAAGGACGATACATTGGCCCTCTCGATTTGCCGGATTCTCGTTGTTCTCACTCGAAGCCGCAGCATCGCCGTGCGTTTGGGAGAAAAGCGAAGCTTGCAGCGTCTTTTCGTCATGGTCAAGCAATTGTCCAGTTCCACGAATGAGAAACTCCAGGGCGCTTTCATGTTGATCTTGAGACATATCATCGAAGATGAGGATACGATTCGGCAGATCATGAGAAGTGAGATCGTTGCCAACTTCGAATCGAAATCAACCCGACAGGTTGACACAACCGGATATGTTCGTCAGACTTACCACTTGGTGCTCAGATCGCCTGAACTATTCGTGGAAATTTCCAATGAGAAGCTGAAGTTGCAACGATATGACAGCCGGCAGCGGCCCCAGATTCTTACCTTGAAGTCTAACAAGAAGAATACCCCGCCAGACGCTCCGACGACCAAGGAAGAGGCTGGTGATTCAAGCAAGACCGAGGAGAACCAACCCAGCGGTGCATCTCCTTCTGAGGACAAGGGGAAGGGCAAGGCCACTGATCTGAAGCCACCTGTAGTGGAAAATCCCGATGGTGTCATTCATTACCTACTGTCTGAACTTCTGTCTTACAAAGATGTCGACGATAAAGAATCCCCGGCCGAAAGCACGGAGGCTCCTGCTCTTGAGCAATCGGAGACACAAACTGATGTCGAGATGTCAATCGATGAACCCTCTCCATCTGTCGCTAGCACTGATGCGCAGGGTGCACGCAACTCCAAGAAATCAGACAAGCCAACATTCAAAGCAGATGACCATCCGATCTATATCTATCGGTGCTTCCTCTTACAGTGCTTGACGGAGCTTCTCTCATCCTACAACCGAACGAAGGTTGAATTCATCAACTTCTCTCGCAAGGCGGATCCCCTCGCGACTACCCCCTCGAAGCCTCGGTCGGGCATCTTGAACTATCTTCTAAATGTCCTGGTGCCAATTGGGACCATGGAACATGACGAATCTGTCGCGTTCAAGAAGCGAAGTAACACATCTGCGTGGACCATGCGTGTGCTTGTTGCTCTGTGCACTAAGACTGGTGAATTCGGTGGGCCCGGAAGGCGACGCAATGAGCAGCCTCTGAATGAGGATGATGAGCCCGAGCTTGCCTTTGTGCGCAGATTTGTCTTGGAGCACGCACTACGATCATACAAGGAGGCGAATAGCTCGAATGAGTCCCTTGACGCCAAGTATTCTAGGCTGATGTCCCTTGCCGATCTATTCGACAAGATGCTGAGTGGTTACGCTTTCGTGTCGGGTGACACGGCTTTCCCTACGTCCACCAGACCGCTGGCGAAGACCATGTTCGAAAAGCACTTCATCTCCGCTCTCACGGCTTCCGTCGCTGAGATTGACCTCAATTTCCCGGCCTCCAAGCGAGTCATCAAGTACATCCTACGCCCGCTCAACAAGCTTACTCAGACCGCCGTCCTCCTGAGCGAGTCCTCGGACATTTCCACTCTCGGTGAAGCAGAAGATGATGACATTTCCTCAGCTACTTCCGTCTCTGATATGGATGATGAACGGGAGGAAACCCCTGATCTTTTCCGCCACTCTACACTAGGCATGTTGGAACCCAACCACGAGGAAGAGACTAGCTCCGAAGAGTCGGAAGGAGATGACGATGAGATGTACGACGATGAATACGACGAGGAGATGGATTATGAAGAAGAAATGGCAGAAGACGATGGCGAAGTGGTTAGTGACGAAGAGGATGATGACATGGGTCCCATCGAAGGCCTTCCTGGTGATAACGGCATGGATATTGAAGTTGTTCTCGATGATGAGGATGACGATGAGGACGACGAGGACGATGATGACGAAGACGACGAGTCGGATATGGAGGATGACGAAATCCTTGCCGGTGAAATTACTGGTGATCATGACAATGACAGCTTAGAGGAGGGCGATGATGATGAATGGGAAAGCGAAGATATGTCTGAGGACGATGAAGAAGCTGAAATCATGAACCAGTTCGAGGATGAGCTGGCCGATAGTCTCAGACAAGCCGAGCAGCGCGAGGACGGGCAACGCTTTGACGACCTGTTCCGCGTTCTCAATGAGGCGGCTGGCGGAGTTGAGGATCTTCAGGGTGATAGCCTTGGTGACATGCATGATGATATCGTCGACGACGACTTGGCCGAAGAAGAGGGTATGTAACTCCCGCGAGACTACTTTGAATGTGTCTCGGTTGCTAATATTATTCTAGAAGATGAAGAACTGGACGAACTTGAGGAAGAACTCGAGGATGCCGATGACGATCAGGGATCTTACCAGGGCTTTGATGATGAAGAAGATATGGCGGAGCCATGGGGATGGGAAGGTGACGAGCATCCACCACGTGGCCATCACCACCACCGGTTCCGTGGCACCCAGCCAGCTTGGGCTGCTGTTACTGGAATCATGCCCAGTCGGCACGGTATTGTTCCTATCCACCCTTACCGTCTTCACAGAACTCAAATCCCGGCTCGCGGAAACGACGATGGTACAAATCCCCTTCTCGTTCGAGCAGACCGTGGCCCTGAGGCGGCTGGTCAACCTCGTGTGCCTGGCAATGAGGCCTTCACTGACTGGGTCCACGGGATGGAGCCTATGCCCAACGGGCGTCTGCTCCCTATGGACAGCCCTGTTAGCTTCATGAACGCCATTATGCAGGCCATTGGGGGGCAAGGAGGCCCAGGCTTTGGGGTTATCACTCGCCCGGATGGTATCCACGTCCATGTCAACAGACGTGCTATTGTGCCAAACCGTATCCAAGACATTTTTGGGCTCGGTAGACAGCAAGGACCGCCGTCTCGAACCCGTGACGACCCCTCTCAGGCCGTGAGCTTTGCTCTGGCAACTACCAGAAGCCGTTGGCAAGAGGAAGCTAAGATCCTGTTCAGCACCACATTCGTTGAGAAGTCTCAGCGTGTGGTCAACTCTCTGCTGAAGATACTGGTGCCTCCTGCGATGGAAGAAGAAAAGTTGCGGGAGAAGCAAATGGAAGAGGAGCGCAAGCGGAGAGAAGAAGAGCGTGCGGAGCGCGAACGTCAAGAACGTATTGCCAAAGAAGAAGAGGAGAAGGAGCGGAAACGTAAGGAAGAGGAAGAGAACGCTAGGCGACAGGAAGAAGTCGAGCGACAGGAAGCGGAACGGCAAGCCTCGGGCATTGAGACTGAGCCCATGGACGATGTACAGCGGACCGACACTGCCGATGAGGCCGCAGCACCGGCACCTGAAACTGAGACAGGCCCGTCGGAGCCAACTCCCCGAGTGCACACTACAATCAGAGGCCGTCAGCTTGACATCACTGGGATGGAAATAGACCCTGAGTATCTTGAAGCCTTGCCTGAAGAACTGAGAGAAGAAGTCATCATGCAACAGCTTGCAGAGCAACGTTCTCAGGCCGCTGCAGCTGGCGAAGAGCCCAGCGAAATCAACCCAGAATTCTTGGAGGCCTTGCCCGCAGAGATCCGCGAAGAATTGTTGCAGCAAGAGGCGGCCGACCGTCGTCGCCGGGAACGTGACACTGCACGCCGACAAACTACGACTACCGCAGGCGCTCCTCCCACTATAGCTGAAGATATGGATGCTGCGAGCTTCCTCGCTACGCTGAATCCGTCCTTGCGGCAAGCGGTCCTGGCTGACCAGCCCGATGAGATTCTTGAAACTCTGGGTCCAGAATTCGTTACCGAGGCTCGTGCTTTGCCTGGCCGGCGACTGACGCAATTTGGCGATATCCCTCAGGTTGAACATCGTCACAGACATGAGCCGGCTGATGATCAAGAGCCTAAGAAACAACAGCGGCGTCAAATCGTTCAGATGCTCGACAAAGCCGGCGTTGCCACGTTACTGCGTCTGATGTTCATGCCGCTCCAAGGCAATGCCCGCCATCAATTAAACGACATCCTCCATAATGTCTGCGAGAACCGTCAGAACAGGATGGAGGTCATCAGTCTCCTCTTGTCGGTCTTGCAAGACGGGAGTGCAGATGTCTCGGCGATTGAACGCAGCTTCGCTCAGCTGTCACTCCGAGCCAAGCCTTCATCGGTTCAGAAGACCCCCGTCAAGCGGAATCTTTCTTTCCAGGGATCTTCAAACGTCAGCAATGAGGTGACCCCGATCATGGTTGTGCAGCAGTGCCTGGGAACCCTTTCTTTCCTTTCTCAGTACAACCCCCACATCCCTTATTTCTTCCTGAGTGAACATGATTCTTCGTCAACCCTGAAGCTGAAGGCTTTCCGGAAGGGCAAGGGCAAGGAAAACAGGGCTAACAAGTTCGCTCTGAACTCATTGCTTACTCTACTCGACCGGAAGCTGATCATGGAAAATCCGAACTGCATGGAGCAGCTGTCTAGCCTTCTCAGCAGTATCACGCAGCCTCTTACATATTTACTTCGCCGGGAGAAGGAGAAGCAAGAGGAAGAGGAGAAGGAGAAGGATAAGGAGAAAGAGAAGGATAAGGGCAAACAGTCTGAACGGACGCAGGATGAAGAAGCCACTGGGGAGCAGCAGCAGCCCGAGCCAGCGGAACCGGCAAGTGCTGCCACAGATACTACTATGACCGATGCTCCGCTGCCCACAGTAGAGACTACTGCACAAAATGCGGGAGCCGAAGCCCAGCCAGAAGATGGCGCCTCAGCAGAAGCCGCCAAGGAAGGGAAAGCAAAGCGAACCGAAGAGGAGAAGCACAAGAGAAGGACCATTGAACCTCCCGTTGTCCCCGACCATAATCTGCAACTGGTGGTTCATATCCTTGCAGCTCGTGAATGCAACGGCAAAACCTTCAGAGACACGCTTTCTACCATCAACAACCTGTCCGCAGTTCCCGGAGCTAGAGACGTTATCGGAAACGAGTTGGTCAGCCAGGCTCAAACTCTGAGTACAGTCATTCTTACCGACCTTGATGAACTACTTTCGCATATTCACCAGGCCCGTACTGGCACCGACATGCAGGGCTTGGCCTTGGCTAAGTTTTCTCCGGCCAGCTCCGATCAAGCGAAACTGTTGCGCGTTCTGACAGCCCTCGATTATCTGTTCGATCCCTCTCGGGCGGATAAGTCGAAGGGAATTGAGCAGCCTGACAGTGCAGCCAAGGAGGATGTTCTGCAAACTCTGTACGAATGCTCTACGTTCGGGCCACTGTGGACCAGGCTCAGCGAATGTATGTCCGTTATCCGGCAGAAGGAGAATATGCTGAACGTGGCTACTATTCTCCTGCCGCTGATTGAGGCCTTGATGGTGGTTTGCAAGAACACCACGCTGAAAGATACGTCGCTTGCCCGCAATAGCAGGGAATTATCTGTGTCCACTACTTCAGTCGACGCCGGCCTGAACATGGAGAGCCTTTTCTTCAAGTTTACCGAGGAGCACCGCAAGATTCTCAACGAGCTTGTTCGCCAGAACCCCAGGTTGATGAGCGGTACTTTCTCGCTGCTCGTCAAGAACCCCAAGGTCCTGGAGTTTGACAACAAGCGCAACTACTTCACCCGCCGGATTCACTCTCGTGGCGCCGAGCCCCGCCACCCTCATCCTCCTCTTCAGCTGTCGGTTAGACGAGACCAGGTCTTCCTTGACTCCTTCAAGTCATTGTACTTCAAGTCAGCAGACGAGCTGAAATACGGCAAGCTGAACGTACGCTTCCATGGTGAAGAGGGTGTCGATGCTGGAGGTGTCACTAGAGAATGGTTCCAAGTTCTCGCGCGCGGCATGTTCAACCCCAATTATGCACTTTTCATTCCCGTTGCTTCTGACCGGACTACCTTCCACCCCAACCGCCTCAGTGGTGTCAATTCGGAGCACCTGATGTTCTTCAAGTTCATTGGGCGCATCATCGGAAAGGCTCTCTACGAAGGTCGTGTTCTGGACTGCCATTTCAGCCGCGCGGTCTACAAGTGTATCCTCGGCCGATCAGTGTCCATCAAGGACATGGAGACCCTCGACCTCGACTACTACAAGTCTCTCCTCTGGATGCTTGAAAACGACATCACTGACATCATCACCGAGACATTCGCCGTCGAGACGGACGACTTTGGTGAGAAGCAAGTGATCGACCTCATTGAGGATGGCCGCAACATTCCTGTCACTGAGGAGAACAAGGAGGAGTACATTCAACGTGTGGTTGACTACCGTCTTGTGGGCTCTGTCAAAGAGCAGCTGGACAATTTCCTGAAAGGTATGCATCCTACCCTACTATTCTGATTTGCTAGGCAGGTGACTAAACTATATTACAAAGGATTCCACGAGATCATTCCCTCCGACTTGATCTCCATCTTCAACGAGCAGGAGCTTGAGTTGCTGATCTCCGGGTTGCCCGAGATTGAGGTGGATGACTGGAAGGTCAACACCGAGTACCACAATTACTCCGCCTCCTCGCCTCAGATCCAGTGGTTCTGGCGTGCTGTCCGCTCCTTCGACAAGGAAGAACGGGCCAAGCTTCTACAATTCGTCACGGGCACGAGTAAGGTACCACTCAACGGCTTCAAGGAACTTGAGGGCATGAACGGAGTCAGCCGCTTCAACATCCATCGTGACTACGGCAACAAGGACCGTCTTCCAAGCTCTCACACCTGTTTCAACCGTAAGTGCCCCACCCCCTACAGAGCCCCTCGATGGTACAGCATGCTAATTGAATGCCGTAGAACTGGACCTGCCCGAATACGAGAGCTATGAAACTCTGAGACAGCGTCTGTACACTGCGGTGACGGCTGGAAGTGAATATTTCGGGTTTGCATAAATTGGCGGCGCTAATGTCTCTCTTGTTTGCTTGGACGATGAGTTATGATTTGACATGCTTTCCGCACTCAAGTGTCCTCGCTCTAATGCCGAAGCATATGATGGCGTTCAACATCTCTTCATTTCTAGCTAGTTTGTATGTACAATTTGGGGGGAAAGGATAGGGATCGCGCCCGGGGGACGACCGGTTGAAGTGCAGGTCAGCCGGCCAGTTCTATCAGGGATCTTCAGCGATCGCGGGCTTTTCGTTTTTTCTTCTTTTTTTGTGTTTATTTTCCCATTCCAGAACCATGTACTTTCCTTCTGCTGTGTCAAAATTATTAGATTCGTTCCTACTTTGGGTGGTCGGGGATGTAGTCGGATGTAATTCAGTGTAGGGTAGGGTATTGCAGGACGGCCTCAGCCTAGTACTCCGTACAGTATCACCCCTGGGAAAAGTCGTCTATGCGACTGTTTGGCAGTGTGACAGCACCTCTGAATGAAGGTGGACGACCGCAAAGCCTTGCCCCCTTATTATCCAAGCTTTTTTGTAATCAGACTTGCTGGTTTGTGGCCGTGCAATGGAGTCTGGTGCCAGAACCGACGGCGAATTTGACGAAGATGATGCTGATGGGGATGATTATACGGTGCTATATGACGTTCTGCTACATCATTGTATATCTGGTCTGATTATCCGTACCTTTGAGCTGAGATAGTGCCTTGGATAAACTCATACGTGTTTGGCAACCTTCTTTCATTAAACAGTCTGCAACCTGCTTCAAAGTTTTTGCAAATGGGTCGTCTTTTGCATGCGCTCCGATCTTGGAGAGAAGTTTCCCATACGCCCAAACATCATTAAGTCGACGTTGGCTAAATGGAAGATCAAAAGGAGACAGTTCATCCTGAATCTCTGGGGAACACCACTGACGGGATATCCCTCCAATGCCACTGATGTCGATAACAACTGCATTTCCCTCACTGTCCAAGACAACATTTGAAGGTTTTATATCCATATGAGTTTTCGCTGCCTCATGAAAGCGGTTCAGAACGGTTTTAATTGAACGGGCCATTGTTTCCAGGGGTACTCTGCAGCACGATTCTCTAAAAAACCTGCTGCAGTGATCCTCCAGAATATGCCTCAAGTAGAATACCAGTCAAGACTAGTTGACCACCACTCCCATTCGAAGTCCTATAAGGGTTTGTAGATCCTGCAACCCCCGCTGATTGCACAATATTCGGCACACCAGCAAAGTACTCGAGATTCTGCAGTTCCTTTCGAAAGACATCTGTATCGCGAGGTTCGTAAATGGAGCGATTCACTATCTTAAGAACATATCGTATGCCATTGTTGTATACCCAAAATACCCCTTCCGTGATTTCAGCATCCCTTATTAACTGGTCGGTGGTGAACTTCCGAAAATAAGGGAACTCGTCGCACAAAGGATAGACAACTCTGAGGGGATCTTCTCGGATCCTGCATCTTAGGGACACATTGAGACTTTCCGTCGTGCCAGTGGCATCATCCACCGCGAACTTCCCTTCTTGATGACCTGTTGTTGCCGTATCCCCCAGTGTGATCTCAGTTACGGTGTCTGCGAGGAGAAGGATCGAGTCGTAGTTAATTCGCGTTACGAAGTCTTGGTATAACACGCGTCGTTGATGCTTTGAAGCCTGATGGATTTCGGCATTGTGGATGAGGTTAGTGATTGATTGAACCTAAGAGTGTCACTTTGATCCACCACCTATTATTATCTTCTGCATGGTAGATCAAAGTCTGCGAGCGACTGCTGGGTTCCGTCGTTTCTTGCGCAAGATAGTCCTAATCCTCTGCGTATGATCTAATCTCGAGACGGGGTGATGGCTGAATAGGAGCAGAAGACGGCTCGTTCATGTTTGAAGAACAAGGTACTTTATAGATAGATGGTGGTTGATCGTTCTGGACCCTCGGGCGGCCGTTGGTCCACCATAAACAATGACTAATCACTATGTCTTCATTAGTTATGCCTTGACACCTGAGGCTACGACATCTCCAGAGTCTGGAGGCGGTGAGGGGCGGTGGATCCGGGGTCACGGGATGCAGCATTTTTCTGCAGGGCGAAAAAGTCACCTGCCCGCGGGGCATCGGCTTGACTCTTGAACTTCTTCAATCCACTCTCCTCTCCGGTCGGTGGGCGTCTCCTATCTCTTGGGCATGATCAATCCTACATTTTGAATATCTCCAGACTCTGCCATCCTCTCAACTCTTCCAAACTCTGTTCTCTCACCTTCGCCCGCCCCCTCGTCACCCCTCATCCAACTCCTCTCATCCCCCCGGTTCACAATGGCGACCAACTCGATCAAGCTTTTGACTGGCAACAGTCACCCCGAGCTTGCGAACCTCGTGGCTGCTCGGTATGCGCTACTGCTTTGGATATTGCTCCATTGATCCTCTTGCGAGTCATGGGCTAACCACCGGTGTCAACTGGCAGGCTTGGCATTGAATTGACCAAGATTATGGTTCTGCAATACTCGAACCAGGAAACCAGTGTCACGATCGGAGAAAGTGTGCGAGATGAGGATGGTATTGTCTTCCACTCCACCCGCTCAGTCTCGGGCGCGAGAGGGCCCTGAGTTAATCTGTCCGTTCTCCTGCAGTTTTCATCTTGCAGTCGACGCGGCCCAATGACATCAACGATGGACTGATGGAGCTGCTCATTATGATCAATGCCTGCAAAACCGCCTCCGCGAGACGCATCACGGCCGTCATCCCCAACTTCCCCTACGCGCGCCAAGATAAGAAGGACAAGAGTCGTGCTCCGATCACCGCGAAGCTCATGGCCAACATGCTCCAGACTGCCGGCTGCAACCATGTCATCACCATGGACCTCCACGCCAGTCAGATTCAGGGCTTCTTCAACGTCCCTGTCGACAACCTGTATGCCGAGCCTAGCATACTGAAGTGGATTCGGGAGCACCTGGATGTGAGCAACTGTATCATCGTCAGCCCCGACGCTGGTGGTGCCAAGCGGTAAGCGGACCATTCCTGCGATCTTATATTGAGAGATGCAGTCCTAATCGATGACATTGGACAGTGCTACCGCCATCGCCGACCGTCTCGATCTGCAGTTCGCGCTCATCCACAAGGAACGTCCCCGCCCCAACGAGGTCTCGCGCATGGTTCTCGTCGGTAGCGTGAAGGACAAGGTCGCCATCATTGTCGACGACATGGCCGATACCTGCGGAACTCTCGTCAAGGCCGCCGACACCGTCATGCAGCACGGCGCCAAGGAAGTCAACGCCATTGTCGTTCACGGTATCCTTTCCGGCAAGGCTACCGAGAACATCAACAACAGCTGCCTCAGCCGTGTGGTTGTGACCAACACCGTCCCCCACGAGGATAAGAAGGAGCAGTGCGACAAGATCGAGACGATCGACATCAGCCCCACGCTCGCCGAAGCCTGCAGACGTACGCATAACGGCGAGTCTGTGAGCTTCCTGTTCTCTCACGCTGTCGCCTAAGCGACTGGATCGGGGAATTCGTTTTTGCTGGGGAGAGGTTGATTCAAGATGGTGTTTGTTATGTTGCGGCTGTCGCTGTCTGGAGGCAGGCAGGCCGATATCCTCGTTTTTTTTTTTTTTTATGTAGTGCATAGTCGGATACTTCTACTCTGAGAGAGACTGGATCATGACATCAAGGCTGTTTTTAGCCCTGGGATTGATTGACTGGATGGACATATCAGTCTGTCATATTTACTCTTAACGCAATGATTGGTTATGATGCATATGTTACGTTAACTTTTGAGAAAGTGGCACTGGAGGGTTGATGGATGGATGGATGGGTTGAAAAGTTGAGCGGCGCCTTGGGTGGGTGGGGGCATTGGGCTTTCTATCACCAGCTGAATCCAAGCATTTGTACATATATTACTGGGGGCAGTGGCTCCTTACTTTTTTTTTCTTTCCTTTTTTTTTGTTTTTGTTCTATATACGAGCGGATCATGTGAGTGAGATCTTGTCTTTGCGGTAGAGTAAGTATTCACCAGTCATAAAGTAAGTACCGTAGATCGAATATCGATTACCATCTATTCCCTCTACTAGGAGCGGAAATATATATTACTGCTGTCTGTCTCTCATCCCATTGTCTAGATAGACTTTTCAGTTTATGCAGACGATCTAGCCCTAACTCGATCCTGTTTAGCTGCGGCTGTCCATTCTTCCCGACATATATTTCCGGCTATTTCATGTGGAGGGATGCTTCAACCAACCCATTTATTGTGTTTATAACATGCCGGCATTATCTGGACCAAAATAGTAAAGTAAGAGGCCGCGGTAGTCCATGGATTCTGTTATTTATACTAGCAATAGATTGTAGATCGAGCCCAAGGCAACTGGTTGGTACTTGTTACTTAGTCCACAAACCCCCTCGTATAGTAAGTAGTACATCGATCCTGCGAGTCCAACAAACAAGCAAAAAGTACCCGAGCGCTGAGATATACCGATCTAGGAAATAAAAGATTCCTAGATATCATGGAAACACCGGACTTTTTTTTATTTTTTCTTTTTTTTATTTAGGTCTGTCATTTCTTTTGGGGATATGGGGATATTATGATTGTATATATGTTTTGGAACATTTGTCATATATATGTATCTCACTCATACCACATCACAGAGTCTATATTATGTGCGTAAGTACTATAAGTTCCCCCTGGACATGTTATGTTGTAGATGTATTATATTAAGTTACCTACTCGGGTTATCTTTGGCAAAAAAGAAGGATCCTGATAATTCATTTCATGGTAGCGAATAGATTAGCATACTATACGAAATAGATATTAGACAGACAGGTATGATCTCACTGAGCAGCTATCTGATCACAGTCATACATTGCAGTGACTATACGCATCTATTTAATTTAAGGCACGGATGTACCTTACCGTATACACTTGTTTTCACATGTTAGGTAGATAGTAGATAGTAGATAGAAGAGAAGGTTTATCAGTTATAAGTATGATCCATATATCTGTACTTCTAGATACATACATCTGGAATGTATCTAGGCCAAGAATGACTACAGAACCGTTTATAGGTAAGTACAGTATGTCACCGACCGCTCCGATACTCCGCACTTGAACTAGTTAAAGACACCGCTAACTAGTGGGATCTTTTCCTGCCCACTCATCCTTCCAACTGTATCCAGACGGTGGGTACCGACCACACAATCCATTAAATCTCTTAATTATTCATTCACCCATCCAATCCACTTATTATCGCCCGGGTAGTAATCGATGCTCGGACGTTGGAAATAGGGTCTGTGTCACTCACTCTCAAAGCCTCTCTGCATGAAGTATGACCAAAAAAAGGGGCATTAAATACGGCATAGTAGTACTACCAAGGATCAAGATCTGAAAATTGAAAGAAATTGAAGTACAAAAGTTTTCTCATTCATTGAAAAGCAAGACAGACAGATAAACCGACAGTCTAACAGAAAACCGAAACCATGATATCCATCCATCCCCTGGAGAGAAAGTCGTGGACACGGGTAAAAAAAAAGGGGAAACAAAAGAAAGAAGATACCTAAAGAAAAAAAGTCTCTTTTTTATAACATTTTTTGCCCGATTTCATTTTGGTCCACGTTTACGTGGAAGGATGGAGAGAGATAATAATGCATTTCCTCAAGTTTTTTTGGGGGGGAGGGGGTTGTGGGAATAAGACAATTATCGGCACGCCCAAAGTCTCGATCCCCGCAGACGCCAGGTTCTGTCTCCCTATCTCCTCTTCCTACCTCACTCTTCGCTCTTTTGCGCCTCGCTCCAAGGATGATGTTTTTTTTTGTTCTGGAGGGGTTTCTTTTTCGTTTTACTCTGCTGTGTTGTGGAAACATCTAGGTAACAAGAAAAAAAAAAAAAAAAAAGGGAGACCTCATACCCGTCGCTGAGGATTTTCTTTCTTTTTAATTCACTTCCTTAAAAAGCCATAACACAGAGAGAGACGTAAATAAACCCGACCATTAACCCCCGGACGAACACATTTACTTCCTCATCGAAGACGCTCTCCGCTTGCGGAGCTCATCACGCTTGGCCTTCTCCTCGTGGACACGGCTGGCGAGGAGCTTGGCGTAGTCGTTACTGTGTTTGTATTGATTGGTTAGAATCCGGCTGATTGTTTTTTTTTTTGAAAAAACACTGAGGTGTTAAAAAATAAACAGGGCTGGAACTTACGCAGCCTCGCGAGCAGACTCAGCACGGCGGCGCTTGAGGGCGACGCGCTGGCGCTTGCGCTGGAGACGCTGGGGGGTGACCAGACGCTGGATCTTGGGGGCCTTGGTGTAGTCCTTCTTGCCCTCCTTGGTGACGGTACGGCGGATGACGAACTTGCGGACATCGTCCTTCTTGTCGAGGCCGAAGAAGCGCTGGATCTTGGTGGCGCGCTTGGGGCCGAGTCTCTTGGGGACAACGGTGTCGGTGAGACCGGGAAGCTCACCCTCACCCTGCTTGACGATGCTCAGGGCGAGAACGGCGAGGTCCTGTCCGGTGATGGCTGTAACGAGAGCGTGTCAATCACGACTGATTCTTCATATCATATTTTTTTCCCAACATAAAACACTTTGGTATGAACGTACCACCACGGACACTCTTGCGCTTGCGCTCTCCGGTGCGGCGGGGGCGGTAGCAGCTGTGGCCATCGGCGAGGAGAAGGCGGGTACGGGTAGGAAGGAGAACTGGACAAAATCGATGAGTTTCTTTCTTGCTGGCTGTTTTGTTGTTGAATGTTGGAATGTCGGTCGGTTACATACCACCCTGCTTCATGGGGAAACCTATCGAAAACAGTCCATGTTAGCATATCGAGTCTTGTTGATCGTTTCGTTGGAACCGCCAAAACCAAAAAGAATCTCCATATCGAGTTCGAATTCCGGAGTCCTTCCAGTCCTGGCGAAAAGAAATACTCATAACAAGAGCAAAGGAATCAAAAGTCCATCCGTACCTTGCTTGTCGTTACCACCGGTGATCTTGAGCAGGTAACCCTTGAATTCGTCACCGAGAGAGTCGCCGACAACCTATTGCCAAAAAAAAGTACCCCAATCAGCCATTCTGCACTGTCTCATGTATATGTGTGTTTTGCGTATCCAGTTCTTCTTCTTCTTTCTTCTTTATTCTTCATTCTTGTTGTATTCGGGGGAGTCGGATATCACAAAGGGGGGATAGAGAGAGGGTTGCTGACTTCGGTTCCCATGCGCTTCTCCATGAAGGGACGGAGCTTGCGCTCATCGTCGATCTCGATGATCTTCTGCGACCCATTGGCCGGGTAGGAGATGTTGAGCTTCATCTTGACGGAGCTGCGCGGTCAAGACGGAGGGCGTGGGTTTGTCGACGGTCGAGGAGGTTCAGGTCGTCGGGGATTCGTGCTTCGTGGGATTTTTTTGGTGGTGTAGCGAGATTTCCCTCTGTGGGTGGCTGACTAAGGCCACTAGCCCGCCCGGGATTAGCGCCCTCGGTAGGGCTCTTATGTCAGCATCCCCGGCACCTGACTGGCCGCTTGCCTGTTTGGGAAGCACGGGCGCTTTCTTCCTTCTTTCCTTCCTTCCCTTTTGGTGGTCTACGGAGTAGATAGACACATCCTTCCAGACAACTAACTACTTACACACTTCCCCGGATCTAGATCACCAGACATGTTATGTATAACTTCCAACATGTGCGAAGCTATGCTCGGGGGATCCCTCCCCCCCCAAAAGTACTTTTGCCCTTCACTTCACTGTTCTACCCCCGGAACAAGCTGAAGTCAACCCGCTCTGAGACCATCACACAGCCATCAAACGGAGCAGAGTCTACCCTGTTCTACCTCAAACCTACACACGAAGTTAATCGGGAATCTGAATGTCTCAGCATGGGAAACACAGCAGACTGCCATACAGCATAGTATGTACGGTACGCGTCCCTCTTCAGACGCTCACAGCAACCAGCGATCTGGTCTGCGCGTCTCATTGCGCCTCCCCGAGTGTTGCTTGCTACTCCGGACTCCGGCCTGTCCTGAGTCGACGGAGTAGTCGGGAATGCAATCATCGTGTTTGCTGAGAGGGCCAGGTATCCCAGGCAGTGCACATGTTCATGTTCATTGTTTATGCAGGAGACATTGTAATAGTAAATAAGCGTCTCCATCGTAATCCAGTGCGATGGCCCATGAGTGGTGGGAGGGAGACCCAAAAGCCGAGTCGCACCCCTGAGCGCATCTGGATAGGGGAGATCCGCCATTAGTTACCAGGCTGGTCCTGGTCTGGTCAGGGTCACCACCATTTTATTTGATGAGGGTGGTCCACGAGCGCGCGAGATATAACCGGGGGTGAGGAGGGGGAGACACCGCTGACTCGTATTCGGTAACTATCTAGCACGTCGGCTGAGCTCTCGTTCCTTCATCAAGATGCATATTGCGCTCGGGGTGGCCAGCGAATGGAGGCCAATCCGGATGGAGATGATCCGTCGACTCGGACAAGTCGGGGCCTTTTGAGGCCACCAGTCCTGAACTATCTATCTATATTCTGTCTAGCAGCTAGCTAAGTAGATGCTAGATGCTAGATGCTAGACACTAGACAGATAGATAGATAGAGAGATACTCCTGAGGCCGTACGGAGTACCCGTTATCGATCACGAAATCCCCGCTAGCCAATGTACCACCGGATCTAGTGGCAGACTGTGGCGGCACCGCGGAGATGAGGGGTGTTCATGACACAGTCTGTCACTGTCACTGACATCCCAGCAGCAAGGGGGGGGGGAGGTTGATAAATAATAATCCCGACTCGCAGAACCCACGAGGTCAACGAGGCAGATCCACCAAGGGAAATCGAGGCCATGCTTCCCTCCTCCTTCTCCTCCTCCGTTAATCTGCACGGTGAAGATGAGAAGGATGGGAACTTGGGACTGACGCACGCGACTGGTTGCCGTCCCGAAGTCGCCGCGCGGCCACAGCCAACGCCAGACCAGAACCACAACCAGACCCAGACAGCAGACAGCCTTATGGCGATGAGGAAATTGGCACCCGCCTGGTCGTAACGCCCCGGCATCCTCTTGCCGCGCTGTTTCTTCCTCGCACATTTTCCTTTTCTTCTTGACTCCTGCTTCTGCTTCTGCGTCTTTCTCTGCATCTTCATCTACAACAATCGAACTTACCACCGCCCAAGTTCTCCAGTCCGTCCCCACTTCGTCGCCGGTCATCTCCATCAACCCGCTGCTAGTTTCTCCGACTCTGCACGGTACCGCCGGCTGGTCATCCTGTCCTCCCGGTTGTTTAGGGGAGGAAGAAGTCCCTGCTTGATTCGACGCAGATCGTTACGTGCGACTCTACCGTCCGACTTCCCTTTTTCCTTTTTTCGCCTCCCCCGGTCCCCTTTCAATCTCTCGTCAAACGCATCCCGCTTCTCCAACCCCGACTCGCCTCGGCTCTGCCATATCGTTGGGTGAAACCTCGCAACAAAGAGATCCCCGTCGATCGCCCTGCATCTACCGGCTTCGCTGCGAAGCCCAGCGAGCCCTCTCGCTGCCTCGCCCCCCCCCGTCCCTCCTTTGTATCCGTTCTTTATGCCCCGCCGCAATGCGCCTTTTCAGCAAGTTTCAAACCGTGTGCGCCTTGGCTGTGTTCAGCATCTTCCTATCCGCTTCGTTTCTCGCCTCCCAGCATTACTACCGCCGGGTAGTCCTGACGAATGAGCCGCCGTCCGATTTCCAGGTCGCAGCCTCATTCGACCGCCGCCTGGTTGTCTTCGGAGACTCGTGGAGTGATAACAATGCCGCGGAACTTCACGGTTCCGTTTGGACGGAATGGCTTTGCTCGTCGGTAAGTCCTCCTTAGAGCCCGTCGGCGTGATTGGAGTGACTCGCTAATTTCCCGGCCCAGTTCTCATGTCACCATGAGAACCTCGCAGAGACTGCAAAGTCCATGAAAGGGGACTACATTGGCTCCGTGGTCGACAACACCCAGCTGTCGGGCTCATTACTCAACCTCTACAAGTCGCCTTTGGCCGACATGAAAGCCCAGGTCCACAACTGGTTGTGGGCCGAGACGGAAGCCATGAAAGAGATGGACGCCGATGCCATTGCCATGCGCCAGAATCGCACTATCGTGATCGTCTCGTTCGGGGTCTGGGACCTGTGGAATGTAGTCGGGCAGAAGTACGACGACGCCGCCAAGTCGGTCGACCGCAGTGTTGGAATCATCATGGATCAACTCAATCTGCTGGCCGACGCCTGGGGCAGCAACGATCTCAAGATCATTCTGACGTTGGCCCCGGATGTAACCTTCCTGCCGGCCTATAGGGACCAAGGGGAGCCGCAGATTGCTAAGCACAAAGAGGCCGTCCGGATCGCGGAGCACTGGAACGGGCAACTCCGGAATTCCGCCGAGAATTGGGAGAATGGCACGGTTTATCTGTTCGACACTAATTCGTTCCTGGCCGATCAGATCCGCGACAGACAGCTCTTTGCCGCCGGAATCGAGGAGTCGAATGGGTTGGGCAAGAACGAGGATCCCGGCTGGGAGAACGTTGACGACGCATGCATCCAACACACGCAGCAGTGGGTGGTGACGTCAGACACGAAGCAATGCGACCACCCGGAGAAATTTTTATTCTGGTAAGAACAAGGCATTATAGTTGGCACTTATTGACTCGTTCGCACGCTGACCGTATCATCTTTTCAGGAACGCCATGCACCTCGGTCCCTCTGCGCATCGACTCCTGGGCACGGAAGTGTTCCACGGGATCGAAGAGATGTGGCTCCGGTAAAATCTTTCCTTTCAGATCAAATTCAAGAGCGCAATAAAAAAAAAGTTCCAAAATGCAGCCGATGCTGTTCTTTGCCCTTGCCACCTTAAGACGTAACTCGCCGTGCAAGGAAGCGGAGGTGTCTTCTGTAGATGATTAGACCACGGCGGCTGCTTCCCGAGACCAGCAAACGCAGCATACTGCATACGGACCCGGGCGACAAAGAGACGGAGGGGCCGGGATCGCATCCCCGGACAAGTCTTGTGATGTCTGAGACCATGTCTTTCTCACGAACTTTGGCAGAACAAATGACAGCACAAGTGGCCCCCCCGGATGGGATCCGGTGGAGGACCTAGCCGCTGTTTCGAATCACGAAGGGAGGTCTCGGATGGTGGTGGCTATCTACCAAAACAGGAACGAGGGACTGGCCAAGGTGGTATGTCTCATTGAGAAAGAGAGAAAGAGAGTAAGAGAGAACAAAAGTGACGTCCGTCCGCCCCATCCGGTGAGCTCGATTGTATGTAACGATGGCGATGGAGCAGGGATCGGAATGGGATCGCCACAGGGAAGATCGACCCGACTTCCAGCCAGGGGGGAGTTGTGGGCGGACGAGTGGATGAGTGGATGGATGGATGGGGTGGATGAAGGAGCCACCTGCAACATCAACGTGTCAATGGCCTCCTCTCTTCCCCGACGTGAACCTCTCCAGTGGATCGGGGGAACTATGGGTCAGATTTGGGATAATGGTACATGACCCTGTCTGCCCGTACATAGGGAGGGGTGGGTTTCTTTGAAGATGGTTGGGGGGGAGCAGGGGTATCTAGTGGGTGGTGATGGTGATGAAGATGGTGATGACAGGTGATTGATGGTGGTGGGAGTGAGGCTGGTACATACTGGGGTTTAGTTGTAGCGGTGGATCATGGATAAACTGTACATAATTCCGAATTAGTGTTTAGTGTTTTCCTTCCTTCCTTTTCCTTTTTTTTCCCTTTTCTTATTTTTTCTCTTTTTTTCTCTTTTTTTTCAACTTTTTTGCAATTCCGATCGGTTTCTTTCACCCGGCCAGTTTCTTTGTTCGTGAGGGGCTGAACTGCTGTCATTCTCGGGAAGATCTGTCACTAGCCATACTTTCCCTAGGTAAAAGTACCTTGGCGGGCTGGGTCCTCCGTAGCGCAGGATACCGCCACTGACACTGGGGGGAAATAATGGGGGGGGGGATGGGGGTGTACCTAGCTCCCTGACCTGAGCCCCCCAAGGGACCAAGGGACTAAACTGATTGACGGAGTACGGACTTTTGGCACGCAGAGTTGCAGTGGTTCGACAGGATCAAACTTGTCGAGGCAAGCAAGCCATACAATCAGTCCATACTACCTACCGACCTAAGGTACCTAGCAAGCAGGCAGGCAAGCACACAAAGAGCCCAGCACGCCAGGCGGCAGAAAAAGACAATCAAAACCATTTGCGCATGTGTCACATTGGCAGGGGGGCCAATGACCGGGGTCGGTTGGGTGGCATGGGCGGTGATTGGCGGGCATCCCTGCTGGCCACCGCATGCGTCGACGCCGAGCAGACAAAGGAAACCTGGGAGCTCAAGAGCCCAAGGATCGAAACAATAACCTGTCTGGCATCCACTCTCCCCATGTCCTGAGTTACCTCGTAACTTGTCGGCGACTCGACCTATACGGAGTACTACGACCTACTTACTACCTACCTAGCTGGGTAATAGGTAGCTCTGCTCGTACTCGCAGTTGTTCTTGGAGGTGAGGTGCTACTCCCTGTGTACTCCGTGCTCCGTACCTGGTTAGTATACACTGACAACTTGGGGAAAGGATCTATCTACTCTTATTGTCGCCATGTTTTAGCCAGACAGAGACACCTCTCGATCATGGATGGCTCTGGGCGGGCCCATTTCCCGCGCTCCCTGCTGACTCACCCCGCAATGGTTCGTTCGTTAACGTTCTTAGTGTTCGTTCTACTGGGTTAGACTGGGAGTTAGCAGTAGCAGTAGTACTGTCACTGTTAGCCCGTTGTTGTTAGGGTGTCTAGTGTCAGTGTTAGTTAGTTAGGGTCTCCAGGGGCCTGGGGCTGGGACGGATCTGCCCAGTGTGCCCACTGACTGCCCACTTTCGCCGGTACCTTCGTTCCGAGGGTGGAAGGTCCCCAGGTACATCCACTCTCCCCAGTCGTACTACTACGCCTGATGTATCCTTTCCCACCTCGATGAGATGATGAGGTTTCATTCATTCCCACCGCCCAACTGTCTCGGGTGGGGATTCATTCCACTCTTTCCCTCCTCCCACCACCTCTCTCCCTCTCTCCCCTTGTCACCCACCACCCCAACGATGGATGCTTTGAGGGTTTGGGTCATCCACCCCCGATGGGACAAAGAAATCGGGACCCAGCCTTTGGAAGGTGGTGAAAAGGAGGGAGGGGCAATGGCAGGCTCCAGGGTGTCCAAAGATAGTATCCCTCTTATAACAAAGCACTTTGAAAGGCCAAACCCTGCTTTATCTCACGCGCCTCCCTCCCGCCTGGTTGGCTCGGTCTGAATGGAAATCTCATTGTCAAAGAACGAGGAAGAGAGAAAAAAAAAAGAAAAGAAAAGAGAATTAAAAAAAATTAAAAAGGAAATTACCAGACCAGCAGGGGTCCCTGTCGTCACCAAATAATAGTATCCCAGGATTATTATCACCCTACCAAACCAAACAAAAAAGAAAGAAAGAAAGAAAGAAAGAGTCCATCGCCTCGATTGAAATCATAAAACAAGCCATTTCAAAAATACCCTGCCTCACAGCAAGCAAGCAAGCAGCAGCAGGCACGAGCACCAGCAGCACACAGGCAACACAAGCACGAGGGAAAGTCGCTCGCTCCGCTCGGCCTGGCCTCGTTTACCACCACTACTATAACCTTATACTGGCTTTCTTTCTTACTTTCTTTCACTCCCTCCAAGGGTTTCTCTTTATTCCTATTCTAAAACCCGCTGCTCTATAATTCTACCTAATTCGCACCCACCCACACCCTTCGCCCTCTCTTTCATCCCTCCACTGGCCCTTTTTCTTTCAGTTTCGCACGACCCTCCCTCCCTTCCTCATTCCACTAAGAAGCCCGCCTCTCTGCCCGCGTCCTTAAATGTCTTACGACCGAGTTCTCCCCAGGCCTCCGACCCTTAACCATCATGAACAGCATTTTGCCCGGTCGACTAATCTCCTCGAGCACAAGATCATGAACGACGACGTCTCCTCCAAAGTCGCAGTGATGGCCAAGGTCTCCATGGACCGCCATCATCATTTGGACCATGCTCCGGTGGGAGGGGCGCCTCGCCGGTACCTGAGCGGGCTGCCGCAGGTCCATATGATCAACCAAAGCACGATTGCGTTGAACAAGCTGGCATCCCCGTCTCTTGATGCCCCGAAGCCCTCAAATCTTTTGGCCGTCAAGGCCATTCCCCTTCGTGAGCGCCCGACGTTGTCGGAACGTTCGACGTCATCAAGCCCGGTCAAATCGAATGCTCCCACCCCGAGAGAGTCCGCTACCCAGTTCTGTCTCTGTCAGCCAGATCCTAAGATCCCAAGGCCTCGAAATGGTAAGTCAGCCTGGAGCAAGGTGGACGGTGGTTTCCCTCCGGAGGCCGGTGAATCATGGGCTAACCGAGTGAAACCAGCCTTTATTCTATATCGCCAACATTACCAAGCGGCGGTTGTAGCGCAGAATCCGGGTCTTGCCAACCCCGACATCTCCAAGATCATAGGGGAGCAATGGAGAAAGCTTCCACAGGAGACGAAGGATGAGTGGAAGGCACTTGCGGAGGTAGGTAGATTGCCCCCATATTGGCCTCCGATCGACCCTCTAACCCTCACTAGGAGGAGAAAGCTCGTCATCAGCAACAATATCCCGAGTACAGGTATCAGCCTCGCCGCTATGGCCGCGATGGGAACCTACGAAACGGATCCTCTGGCATCAGCCATAACCCCCCGGGCTCCACTGTTTGCAGTCGATGCGGCGGACGCGTGATGAACCCACCGGTATCACCCGAAACTCCTTTCACTCCCAGATCCTCGACATTCAATGGGGCACCGGCACAGAACGAAGCCGGCACAGCGCAGAGTAACCAGGGTCGAGGCAAAGGCGGCGTTCGTCCCAGCCTCATCAAGGTCAATGTCGACGGAGAGTCATGTCTTCCTCGCCAGCGTGAGTTTGAAGAGAACGGGGGTCGATCTCCCGACAACAAGCGTCGGCGGTTGGGTCATCGCATAGGGTACGGGCCCCATCGCGAGGGCCCCGAGTCTCCATACCCCCCGTCCCCGTACACGCCCCGCCCCAGCGGTCTAGACCTGCGCTTCCAACCGCCGATACGCTCGATCCGCAACGTCAAGGAGTATACTCCGCCGGACCCCAGTTTGAAGCTCCCCCCACTGCAGACGACCATCCATGCCCCGGGGGCCACCACGCCGTTGACTCCCTTCTCCACCGACTCCAGCATCGAGGCGACAGTGATGACCATCCCATTTCTCAATAAAATCAAGGTCCTCGCCAAGATATCGCCTCCACTGACCCCCGCATACCACGATGGGCCGTCACTCCGACGTGGGGCCGTGATTGCGGTGGATGGGCAGGATCCTGTTCTGGTGAAGCAGATGGTCGACTTCCTCAACACCACGCTTCAGAAGGAAGGCAAATATCAGACTCGGGTTTTCGGGGGACCGGAGGTCCGTTCGCGCGAGGGCCAGGGGGATTCCGAGCAGATGGGAGACGCCACGGTCGACTACCTCAACATCATCTCGTCATGGCACCGTATCTCCGATGAGATCGTCAGCTTCGTCAAGCCCTTGCGCGCGTCGTCGGAGGCCAAGTCGGTGGACGAGGAATCCACCCCGGGGTTGTCGCCAAGGACCATCACCCCCAAGACTGCAGACCTGCACATCAACTCGCCAGAACAGTCGAGTGATAACGGCTCCGTCTCGACAGTTTCGATGGGACCAGGCGCTACCGTCCCCGTCGCGCTGGTTCCCCGGTACCAACTGACCACGGCGGACGCATTTGCCTGCTCCGTCCCGATCGGGGATTCGTATGCGCCGCTGGACCATTGGCAGTGGATGGCATCGCTATGGCGTGCGTGCGTGGGGCCAGACATCACCGTGTATATCCGGGAATGCGAGAAAGAAGAATTAGAACGTGTGGGCGGGACCCCCGTGGAGATCCGCCTGCAGGACGCGCGAACGATCGTGTTGCGCAAAACCACGTCGTCTCCCAGCGAATTGGAAGAGAAGTCTCTGAAGAGGGTCGGATTTGAGATCGAGGACTTCCTCACCCAATAAGAAAGTGTACATTGGTGTGGATGTTTCATACTTTTCTCTCTCGCCGTCCGTTTTGGCATTGTTCGTGGAACATATAGGAGTGGCTCTATGTACTTACCTTGTTGGAAGTTATGATTTAATTTTCGTCGGCGTTGGTGGCAAGAAGTTCTGCGCTTTCTGGCTTTGGATTTGGGCTAGTGGTTGTTGTGTTTTGCGGTCGCTCTTATTATTTTTGTTCATGCAAGCAAGCAAAGCCCACGACTGACTCCATCTTTGGATAGCAAATACTACTATTACATATTATATATATTTTCTAACTAAACTGCAACCGGCTTCCCGCCCCTTCTCATTGTGAATAAATGTTGTGTTAGGAATAATCAAAACCACCCACGTTTTTTTTTTTTTTTGATTCCGAATTTACCTAGCACAGCATAGATACCCATGTAACACACATCTGCCTGGCTGCATTCACCTTCCTGTTCTAATCCCTCCTGATCTGTCATTGTGACACCGGAACTCTCTGCCTGAGGCATGAGCCCGAATGAGCCAGCCAATATAACCCGAACAGGAAAAGCGGCGGTCGATAGGCGGTGACCAATCTCCGCCAATCACCTGTCCTCGATGGTGGCATCTGATGGGGCCGCGTTCTTTTCTTATCGTATCGGGAGAGACTCAATGCAAGCAACTAACTACTAAACACTACCATCTCCCTTCCCTCTCTCTTTTCAATCTCAATTGATGCATCACCTGCAGGGACTGGTCCGGGTGTGTTCCACATTGTGTCGCGCTATACCTGACTGCACTTCTTCACTGATGATATCATAACCACCTCACTATGAATGGTTAACTGGTTGGTTGCCTGCTGGTATTCTGTCGTTTTCGTGGCGCAACCAAGAGGCCGTGAAGCAACAACAGCATCATATTATATTCAATAATATGTTGGTCACTGGGGATGACGGCTGTCCTGGTGCTGTGTCATCTTTGGGTCGGGCTTGTGAGGTAGGTAGGCAGGCAGACTGGCTTTTCTTTTCTTTCTTTTTTTTTTCTTTAACTGTTTCTTGTGCTTGATTGTTTGGGAGTTTGTGTTTGCGCTCTTGTCTTGTCTTGTCTTTTTTTTTTTTTTTTTTTTTGTTGCAAGTGCGCGCGCAGAGCTTTGAAGTGATCAGTTTATGGAGTTATGTTCTCATTATATTATTCTTGTTCTTATTCTTATTCTTTGTTTGCAGGCATCGGCTTCAGAAACACGCTGTGACGCGACCATGAAGGACAGTGACGCTGTGATTGTATCTTCGAGCGATCCTTATCCTGGCGTTGAATCCACCACCACCACTACCACTACCACTGTCACCATGACGGCGGATTCAACCCCCACACCTCCGTCGCCCCAGCTCAAACAGACATCCACAATCAAGAAGTCTCCGATAGACAGCATACAGGTGGAAAAGAACGAACTGCTGCAGAAACTCGACATCTGCATCGCCGCTGGTGTCCTAAAAAAGCGCAACCCAGATGCCGGTACCCACTCCGTCGTCGAAGCGGACGACTTCCCATCAGCAGAGATCGCTAGCCTGGAGAAACACCACTGGATCCGGACCGAAACCTTCCCCTATACTGACGATCCATCATGGTGCGGCGTCCGAGTCTATGTTCTCCCCGATGATATCGGGCGCAAGTTCATCCCGCGGTCGAGTACGGCGCTGAGACGCGCGCTCAAGGTCGTCATGACTAGGATTGATAGCTCGGCGGAGGCGTGGATGGGGAAGGGTTGTCTGGATCAGATTCAGAGGGGTACGGGGGGGTTGGCGAGCGGGCCGGAGGACGAGTCGCTGTGGTACATTTTCAATACGCTGAGGGATCCGGAGCCATGCGTGGAGAGTATGAGGAATCCGTTTGCGAGACAAGCCATGAAGGAGTTGCTCGATGTGACGGATCCAGGAGATGAAGAGTCCGGGACGGATTATTCGGGCGTGTTGGGCCTCAGAACGTCGCTGTATCCGTATCAGCGTCGGTCGGCGGCTGCGATGGTTCAGCGGGAAGCGCAGCCCGCGCAGATGCTGGATCCGCGGTTGCAGGCGTTCAAGAGCCCGAAGGGTCAGGAGTACTATTATGACAGGGAGGAAGGGAGTATTTTTCGGGAGAAGAAAATGTACTCCGAGGCTTGCGGAGGTAGGTTCTCTGCCCCTGCTGACGGCGTGGTGAATGGTCTTTTCTAACCTGGATAGGTATTCTTGCGGAAACCATGGGCTGTGGCAAGACTCTTATCTGTTTGGCTGTCATTCTAGCGACGCGTGGTCATTTCCCTGAGATCCCCTTAGAGTATCAAGAGATGAAGAATCCTGTCCGTCGAACGACTGGAAGTCTCGTTGAGATGGCGGCGACCGCAGCAGGCCGGCTCTCCCTACCGTGGAAAGCTTACTTCGATCCATTGAGCCGTCATGGTGCGTCTGAATACGACAGGAAATATACACGATGTACGGATGCGTGTGAGAGACACCGTGGCGAATATACTATACCTCCACCGCCAGCAAGACATAGAGGTCGAAGTGGCGTGGCGTATCCCAGGCCGCCGCATCAGAAGCTTCGTCTTTGCTCGGGGACGTTGATCATTGCGCCGCCTAATCTGGTCAGTCACTGGCAGAGTGAAATCGCCACTCACACGGACGGTCTCAAGGTGCTCGTGTTGCGGACTAGTTCTGATCTAACTCCTTCCCCGGATGACCTGTTACAATACGACATTGTTCTGTTTTCGAGGATACGGTTCGAGAGAGAGGCGGGCGAAGTGGTCCATAACAGGCGGGCCTTGACCACACCTGAAGACTCTCCCCTGACAAAGGTCCATTGGCTCCGGATCATTGTCGACGAAGGCCACAATGTCGCTGGTACCGGCCATCGGACGAACATGGTTCATATTATAGACCAACTGCACGTCGAGCGCCGGTGGATCGTATCGGGAACCCCATCCAGCGGTCTGTATGGAGTTGAGGTTAGTTTGGCTTCGCAGGAGACTCAGACAAGCGACACAGACTTCGCAGAAGCCACAACGGCCGCGCTTCGCGGTAGAAAGAAGACGGGCAGCACTCTAGACGCTGAGCTCAAAGATCTCGACAAGCTACGATACATCGTGATCGACTTCCTGAATCTGAAGCCATGGTCGAATTCTCGAGCCAATGACCCCGCCAACTGGACCAAATACATCAAGCCTGTTGGCAATGATGGCAGACGCCGAAAGGCACAGTCTCTCCGAGCCACTTTGCAGGGGCTGGTTGTGCGGCACCGTCTGGAGGTTATCAGTAATGAGAAGCCTCTTCCCCCGCTCCGCAACAAAGTCGTGTATCTCGAGCCTACATTTTACGATAAACTGAGTCTGAATCTGTTTATATTTATCCTTGCGGTCAATGCAATTACTTCAGAGCGCAAAGACCAAGATTACATGTTCAATCCTCGCAATCGGAGGCATCTTAGTCTCGTGATTAACAACCTTCGCCAGGCGGGATTCTGGTGGGCTGGCTCGGACGGGGATATCTCGCATACGGTGGATGTCGCCTCGAACTATATGAAGCAGCACCTGGACACAATGACCGAGGATGACAAAGCAACCTTGCGCGAAGGCATCCAGATCGCAGAGAAGGCTCTGGAGTCTGGAAGTTGGCATGCCTTTAAGAGGATGCACGAGCTTGGAGTGTTCGTCCAGGGCTTTCCTTCGTACGCCAGGAGCATGTGGGCTGTTGATTCCTCGATGCTAGACCACGAGCCTCTTCTCCTCGGCATCACTCAGGCCCGTCATGCACAGAAATTCGTCACAAAACATCTAAACGCGTACGACCCAGCAGAGGGCCTAGCTGGCGCAGGGATTAAGACGCGTCGCGAGCTGTCAGGGCGAGAAGGGGACAACACAGCACCCAAAAAGACCACCCCAGACAAACCCGCTACAACCAACTCGCCGAAGAAGGCATACTCCAAGGGACTTTTCAAAACCCTACCGGCCGATTCACCTCTTGCACAGACCAAAGTGGTCGCCACCGCATCCGCCAAGCTGACCTACCTCCTCGACCAAGTGTCGGAACTGCACAAAACCGAGAAGATCATCATATTCTACGACAACAACAACGCCGCATATTGGATCGCGGAAGGCCTCGAGCTCCTTGGCGTCGACTTCCGCATCTATGCAAACACCCTGAAACCGAACATCCGAGCCGAATACCTCGCTCTATTGCGGGACTCCGAAGAGGTGCGCGTCCTCCTGATGGACCTGCGCCAGGCATCTCACGGTCTGCACATCGCCAACGCCTCGCGCGTCTTCATCGTCAACCCTATATGGCAGCCCAACGTCGAAAGCCAAGCCATCAAACGAGCCCATCGGATCGGTCAGACGCGGCCCGTGCACGTCGAGACTCTCGTCCTCAAGGACACCCTCGAAGACAAGATGCTGCGGCGCAGGAAAGCGATGTCCGACAGCGAGATCCAGCACGCGGAACGGGACCTCCTCGATGACAGCACCATGAGCACCATCATCCAGAACGAGCGCTTCATCCCGATGCCCGAAGACGAGCACTCCGCTCGCATCGCATACCTGAATCACCCATCCGGCTTCTTCGACCGCCACAAACTGGCCATCCCCGACGACGAGGAGGGAAATACCAACCCACCGCCGCCACCACGACGCTCAACGCCGCGCAAGCCCAAACGCCCTGTCCCCCTGGATTTAGGCGAGAGCACGGACGAGCCGGATCTCATCACGCCCAAGCGACGCAAGACGTCCATGTCTCCGGGGTTGAGCTTTCTCACACCAGAGGGTATCCTGATGACGCCTCCACGGGCCTGGAGCCGGTCTCCTCCCCGGGCTTCGCCGCTGCCGATGATGCGTCCTTCCTTGTTCGACTCCACCACTGCACATGACGGAGGAGGGAACGCGTCGGGAATGAAGAGAGTCTCCCCTTTTAGGGGCTCGATCTAGACATGAGGAACTTGTATCACCGCTCAATGTACCCCATTGCTATGTACCTATTATCAATGAGGGATGATGGATAAGGAGAATCAAATTATGTACTAGAAAGATATAGTATGTACTCATAGTCCCGACCAATGAAAAAGCAAAGCAAAGCAAAGCAAAGCAAATCAAGTACTACCACATGCAACCCAGGAACATGAATACGAACACGAACACGAACACAAGCACAAGCACAAGCACCGCACAAGCCGTACCACCCGACCCGACGCCGTAGATCCATGCATTGCGTGCATAGCATGGCCGGCCGATGCAAATAAACTCCGAGTCCGACGATCAGCCATCAGATAAGCCCGCCCCACATGCCCCACCACCACCACCACCATTTACCATTATTTCTCCTCATTCCCCTCCCCCCCCCTCCTCCTCCTCCTTCTTCTTCACCTCATATCATATATATCTACCACCCAATCTACACCACAATCACAATCACAACCCCCCACCCACCCCTCCTTCTCCTTCCCCCGGTCCAAAATGCCAGACCCAACAACAAAAGCAACCCCCAAATCCAAACCCCAATCCAAAACAACCATAATCGGCATCTCCGGCCCCTCCTCCAGCGGCAAAACCACCCTCGCGCGTCTCCTCCAAACCATCTTTTCGCATCTCAACCCCTCCTTACTGAGGACATTCATCGTCCACGAAGATGACTTTTATCACTCGGATGATAAGTAACGTCCCTCCGCCCCATCCCAGCTCAACTCAACTCAACCCACACTCCCAATAATAACCACAAAAAAAAAAAAAAAACAAAACCCATTAACGATGAACCAGAATCCCCCTCACAACCCTCCCCACCGACCCCCCCACCACAATCCAAAACTGGGATACGTTGCTGGCGCTGGATATCCCGTTCCTCTCCGCCTCGCTGTCGTATATTCGCGCGCACGGACATCTTCCGCCACGGCTGCGGAGTAAAGAGGATTTGAACGAGGTGGGGGATTCGGGCGTGTCGGATGAGATAATTGGTGAGGTTAGGGAGGGGGTGAGGGGGGTTTTGTTTGGGTTGGAGGGGCAGGGGCGGGGAGAGGGAGAGGGAGAGGGACAAGTGTTAGGTCAGGAAGAACAAGAACAAGAACAAGAACAAGGACAAGGAGACGAGGAAGAAGAAAAAGAAAAACCCCAACACACAATCGTCTTCCTCGAAGGCTTCCTCCTATTCGCACCCCCCCGCGAAGAAGACCAGAACCACACCCACGGCCTACGCACCGTGCACGACCAAATGGACGCCCGACTATTCCTCCCCGCGCGGTACGAGAACGTCAAGGCCCGGAGGGAGAGTCGCAGTGGGTATGTGACGATTGGGGCGGCGCCGTCGGTGGATTCAGGAGACAAAGACAAACAACAGGAACAGGAACAGGAGAAAGAAGAGCGGAAGGGAACGGAGGAGGTGGATCTGGATCTGGATCTGGAAGCGGAGGATGATCGGCCACCGCAGAATTTCTGGACGGACCCCCCGGGCTACGTGGATGATATTGTGTGGCCGAATTATGTGCAGGATCATGCGTGGCTGTTGTTGCCGGAGGAGGAGGGTGTCTCGCAGACGGTCTTTGGCAGTGCGGATACGCAGGAGTTGGTGAGACTCGTGGGTCAGGGCGTTAAGCTGAGGACAGATGCCGGTGTTACTGTTGCTCCTGGGCAGGGAGGCACGCCGATGGCGGATATTTTGAAGTGGGCGGTCGAGGAGGTCTTGAAGCATATAGAAGGGATAGAGTGGCAACGAGGGTATAGAAACTAGAGTCTCATGATTCGTTTTCTACTCCATTATCTGTGCTCTACCTGGATGCAGTGTTCTTATTCCTACCCGTCTGTTTCCCAGAATTGCTGTCTTACTAGCTGACCGGCATTCTTACGCCGCTTAGCGATACACCCCGTCGTGGTCGTTACCAACAGGCCCTCGCCATCCAAGCCAGTAATCGACCCTGTCTCGGAAGCCCAGGGGTTGCTTCGCACGCGGTGCATCGACGTTAGGTACTTCCTCTGCCACTGGCCACTCAGGTCCAAAGTCTGCTGTAGTGGATGTGGGCTCAACACCAATAATCGACTCCCGTTCGTTTGAATCTGCAGAAGCGGCAAAGAACTCCTGAGTAGGCTCAAGGACGACTTCGACTTCACTACCCCGTATTTCAGCCAATTGCCCGGTGTAACTGGGCCAAGGCGCCATCCCACTCTGAATCATACGCGGGACGTCCGCCCCTTGGAAGATGACAGTAAATGTTGCTTTGTGTGGCCAAGTCACAGTGGTGAGTGAAGCATTACTCGCCCAGATCATCGAGTAAACCCAGGTCATTAAGTAAATGAAGCAGGCCAGCCCGGACATCATCGCCAGTGCGAGACGCCCCCATTCCTGACCGTCATTAGTCGGCAGACTTTCACTCAACGCCTCATGGTCAGTTGCGAGCGGAACAGAACCTTCAAGACCAGCCGTAGCACCCTCAGTAATGATTTCGTTCTTGGGCTCTTTTTCGTCTCTTGAGATCCTTTCTTCAATAGTGCAAGGAGATCGCTCGGATTTACATTCGAAATCTCCAAGCGGATGTCGAAGTTGGGACTTATTATGCTCCCAGGTACGAGACTGCGCTGGATAGACCTTTGGAAGCCATCCAGTTGCCTGGTGGAAGGGAAGCTTCACCATCCAGCTCAGGCAGAACAAGTCCAGGTTCTTTGGGGGGCAAACAATCTGAATGTTGCAAGAACCAATGGGGGTATCCTCATTCGCGTCGAGAGATATTCTATGTAGAGTAGCATCCTCAGAATCAGCCGCATTGAGCTCATATAGGAAAGAGTGCTCTGGCGCCCCATCGACGATAAGGGATACACGACATTTTTCGGCCCAGAAGCAACGGTTGTAAAGCCTGATCGAGCAAACCATGTCGTATTTCACCCAAAGCATTCCTGTACCAGGGATCGCCATATGATTGAACCTGACTTCTTGGTTCAGCGTGAAGTCTTTGACATCGCCGTAGAAACTCTTGCTGCACCTGCGAATTGGAAGCCGAAGTTCTGCTGTGTGACCGAATTCGGCAAAGAAACAGTTCTCCACGATCTTGTGTCGCCGAAGCTGTGTCGTACGGAACTCGAGACCGCAGCTTTCCGGGATGCGGAAAAGCAGGAACCCGCTCTCGGCAATGTCCATTTGGGGAAGCCCTCGTATCACCAATTCATTCCACTCCTTCGGCTTGTCTTGTCGCAAGTAGACAGATATGGTGACGACCAGCTTGTACAGGGCCGATTGAATATTTGAAGGGCATTTCACTGACAAGATCCCCTGGGAGAGTTTGAATCGAGGCTCGGAGAATTTTTGGGAGTGGGTTGACTGATTGCTCAAACATGTGGAAGTCTCTTGCCTGCAAGCGAATCCCACTGGTGTACTTGGTGGTATGGTGATCTTTAGGCGCTGCCTTGGGGTACCAAGACTTGCAGCCAGGATGTTTTCGCCAGTGGTAGTCTTCTTCTTGGGGTTGCTAGTGTCGAGACCGACATGTGAGCGACTGGAAGTGCTGCCCAAATTACTCGTCGAGAGCATAGGCACCGACTCTGCCGCAGGGGAGTGCTCATGTATGCGGTTTGATGGTTTGGGAGTAACCTCGTCCGCATGCTCGGGAGATGGTGTACTCTCAGAGGTTGGTTGGATGCCAGTAGCCGGGTTGCGAGGCGTCATAGCCACTGGTAGGTCGCAGGTAGGCTCAGGAAATACTGGGTCCCCAGCAGCGCGTAACTCTCCATCACTGATGCTCAACTGCGGTGTTGATGATGTGAGAACAGCATCTGAACCACCAGACGGCGTAGTGGTAACAACATCAGCTTCCCCAACGTCTGTTCCAGCTTTCACTTTGACAGGGGATGTGACGACGACATATGTATGGCTGGAAAGACTATCACTATCCCTGGAAGTCAAATCTGAAACCACCTCCTTTGGTGATTGCTCTGACCGAGTCACAGGCTTCGGGATCAAGCCAAGCATACTCGGATTATTGGTCAAAAGTGTAGATATCACCGACGGGGCTTTACTAGATCCTTTCAAGATCGTCCGTGGCTCAGAAGTACATTCAGGGTTGGTGGGGGCTGCGTCGCTGAACGGATCGAGCTCCTGCTCCTTCTTGTTTGGTTTCTCATGATCTGAACCACACTCGGAATCCGTCAGGCAAGCGGCTGCGGCACTTCGCTTCCCAAGACTCTGCAGATTCATCCACGTCTTATATTTGGAAGAGTGAATATGTAAGCCCGGTGTGAATGGCGAGTGCAGGCTAGAGGGTGGAATCGAGTGCTCGGATCGACCCTCCGGGCTGGATTGAGCTGCGGGTAACGCGTCATGGGTTGCGGCAGAGATTCCAGTATCCGCGACAGTGGATCCATGGGAGCTGCCAACAGCATTCATAGGAGATATCAAATCGGGGTCACCGGATGCTGAAGGCGAGAAAGCAAACAGAGGGCTGTGGGGGGAAGTTGAGTCCCAGTGATTGCCTTGACTCGATTCACTGGACTCGCTCCGGACTAGATGGGTATTCACAAGAGACACGCTTGGAGACTTGAGACTAAGAAGCTGTAGCCGAGAGTTTGGTACACACATGGCCTATAGGAGGCAAGAAACTCTCAATCAGCGGCAGCTCCAAGGCAGCTACATAAGACGACGATTTCACTTACCACCATAGATATCTTGAGGTGCACGGGCTCCTTGGGGTCACCACTCCAGGCCCCTTGGATCTCCAGACGGGAGACATCCGGGGACGGCTGGGGCAGAGAGGCCGGGCCATCTTCACCTGGACACGTCGCCGTGGCCATTTTCCGGGGCAAGTGACTGACTGGCTGTGGCGGTGAGCTACCCAAGATAGGATCGAAAACGAGAACACCGATTAAGAGACCAACAGGAAGCAGGTTAGATCGAATGGGAAATATGGGGAAGAATGAGGCAAGTGAGGTGAGGTGAGGTGAAAGCGAAGACACGGGCGGGGGGAGGAAGGAGCGAAGAACTAGGGAAGAACGAAAGCAAGCAGCGAGCGGCGGAGCAATTAGACCACCCGCCTCGCAGTCAAATTCTGGTGGTTCAAGTGAATAATATTATATGTACAGTGAAGGCAATCCGTCCATCCGTCGTCCATCTGTCGTCCCTCATTGCTGATCCCAAACCCTGAAACCATAGAAATAACAAAGAAGGAAGTAAAAAGGGGAAAAAAAAAAAAAAGAAGAAAAAAAAGAATAGCAATCGAATCCCTGTAGTATGGTGACCCATTTTTGAAAAAGTTCCCCAGGCGCCATGTATCCCCAGAGCCACCCGATTCTTGTTCCCAATATAAAGTAAAACACCCGTCCGATGTCTATCCGAGCAAAAAGCAAAAGACCCAAAAAGCACCCCGTGAACAAAGCCGCACAGAAAACCCAGAAACATGCAATCGAAACAGTTGGGAGACACACGCGGAAGCCCCTCAGCGAGGCGTCCCATTGGCAGAACCCGGATGATCGTAAGCCGACTGGCCGGGCACAGAGCCATATCGATCCGCGTCGTTCGATCCAAGGGGCTGAGAGGGGAGAATAGGCGTTGCCGCCTGAGAGGACTGGTCAAAGTAGCCCCGAGCCGCCGCACTGGTGGTGCCCTGTTGAAAATTCCGATTGCGTTGCAAAGGAGGAAGGATTGTAGAACCGGTTTGATACTGCTGTGAACGAGAATAGCCTTGCGGCATCATGGCCCCCGTTGAATCCGGTGTCTATCCAGAGAAATATACGGTTCTTAGCTTCTCGTCCTCAACGACGGGTGGTAGGCGGATTCCATACAGGAGTACCAGGCGGGTTGACCATTCCCAGGGACTGCATCGTGGCCTGCTGTTGTTGGCTGGATCGGCCGTGCGCCCCAGGGTCCTGCATCTGTGGTACCTGCGTGGATGAAGGGAGCCCGTACTGCATCTGCTGGAGATTGTGAGCAGGCCGCTGAGAAACATAATCCGCCCCGGAAGACAGCGGTTGTGGAGACGCGGAGGCCTCCGGATAGCCGCTGCTCAAAGGCGTCGATACGGGTTGACGAACCGCATAGTCTGGGACAGCTGCGTGTCCTGTGGGATACCCTTGCATCATGGGGGTCGCGTAGCCTTGGGGTTGATTGTAGAGGGCCGTTTGCGGGTAGGCATCCATCTGGCGCATTCCCCGTTCTGGATCATACATGCTCCTGGTCCCCATGTCGAGCGAGGCCATTCGTTGTCGCTTGGCCGGGTTTGCTTGCCCATAATACGATGCATAGTCTCGGCTTGTCGCTGTCGGATATCCACTGAATGCATTCCCGGGCATCTGAATTGACGAGCGATCAGGGGAGCGCGGAATCGGCTGCGGCGGAAACTCCTCGGGCCGAGGAACCGGTCGTTTTCTATCCCAACGGTCAGTCAAAAATTGGTCCTGGGTGTAATCGAATTGCACTGCTTCAGGCGTCCGCTTCTGTCTCACTGACATCAATGTTCGTGGCTCCTTCCGGATTCTCAGTTTCACGCCTTGGTCCGCAAACGATCTGGACAGGAATGTCGACTCGGCCATTCCCGGGAAGCTCTTCGGAGGATAGACTGCATCTAATCAGACATTGCACTCGGAGGGCAACGGATTTCAACGTAGGGGAACTCACCAGTAAATCGATCGGTGACTATGGTTTTTAATTGGGTGACCAGGTCCCTTTGATCGCTAGTTAGCCCTGACTCAGCACAGTCTCGACTTCCGCGGCCAACTAGCCCCCGGGGACAGAAGAGGGTAAGGAAACCTTACTTGCGCATTTCAAAGAGGGTAAACTTGAGTCGAAACTCGCCCTCGATTTTCACAGACAGGTCTCCCCACACAAAGAAGCCCCCATCTAAGCCAGCCAGGTCAGTCAGTGGAGCTCAACGGCGTCGCGTCCCTTTTTTAACGTACCGGAATTGTCCACGTCTTTCAATCGATGGAGCGAAGACACCAAGGTGCCCGTTAGAGCCGTTGACGGCGAGATAGGAACGGGGTTGTCATCCGAGGCATCGTAGAGACTGCAGCACATGAAATAGTAGGGACTCTGCAGGTAATGCCTGCGAATACCTGTTAGCGGACGAGTTCTGCAGCACACGCTCCCGTCCAGGCACTTCACTTACTGCGAGAGATAAGTCCCGTCATCCTTCACTCGGATCTGTACAATCGGTGGTGGGTCGACCGGCTTGCGCTCTGCAGCGCGGACGTGATCCCCAAGTCAGCCTCAGTTCGTCCATGGGACGCCTGTCCGCGGGACAAACAGGGAATGGAGATAGATCGACATACCTTTCTCCTTCCCACCAGCCACGCGCGCCCGGTTGGGCTGCTGGCGAACGATCAGGTCAAAGTCAGAGCTGGAGGAAGTCATAGTCAGTGGGTGGTCCTGGGATGCCGAGTAAGAGTTGGAAGCCTGTGGTCGAAGGAGCGGCAGGACAAACCTCTGAGAATCGCGGGCAAGGGAAGCATCCGGGTACGCCGGCACACTCATCAAGGCGAGCTCTCGGAGGAAGAAACCGTATAAAAAAAAAAGGGAGCCAAAGGAGCCAAAGGATCCAAGTCGGATATCCGCACGCAAGAGCGTCGCGAACCGTGTATGCAGGGGCGACAACGATCAGGGGAACGAGATAGGTTGAAGAAACAAAGAATGAACCGGCGGGTGCAGGGCAGGGAAAAAGACCTGGGTCTTGGGTCTTTGGAACCTGGCACCGGGAGACTTGTGGTTCACAGAAGCACTAGAAGAAAGAACGGATGATGATGCACCGGGGTGGGGGGTGGGTGGGAAGAGTGAAGAGGAGGATTGGGGTTGGTTAAAGATGGGCACGACGGTATGATTTGACTAAGTTAGTCGGTGCGCCAGAGCGGTAGGTAGCAGCTGGAGCTTTAGACCTTTGGGACCCAACAACCGGGGTGGAGTAAGTGGGCAGAGGGAAGTGGAAATCCAATGGAGGAGCGGAGGGGCGAGAGCTTGCCCGTTGCGGTTGAAAGCAGAGTTGAGTTGAGCTGAGCTGAGCTGAGCTGAGCTGGGGAGAAAGAGAGAGGAGTGGAGGGAGTGGGAAAATGGAGATGAAAATAGAAATGAATAATTAGTGGGTAAGAGTGGTAGCGGTAGTTGGTGGTAGCAAGCCGAGAGGGTAAATGGAAGCAAGTGAAAGTAGTTGGTGGGTGGGTGGGTGGTTGGTGGTTGGTGGTGGTGGTGGTAGTAGATGATGATGGATGTGGTAGTTGGCAGTTGGGTGGTGTAGTAGTTGGTAGAGATGGTGGTAGTGAGTGGTAGATTGGTAGATAGCATGCAGTTTAGCAGCAGCAGCAGCAGCAACAGCCGTCGTCGGTCGAGGCGAACGGGTACGAAAACGGCGCCGAGGAAAGAAGGAAAAAGATGGATGGTGTCGTCAGAATGCAAGCGGCAAGAGCCAGCCGAGCACGGTTCCAGACAAACCTTAACCAGCAAAAAACCACAAGAGTCACTGGCACTCGGGCTGTGGCTGCAGTGGCTTTGGCTTTCTAATGGGGCAGCCCTGGTTGCTGCTGTTGCTTTTAAATGTGAAGGGTGTTCGTCGTCCCTTGAGAGAGAGAGGAGGGGGGCGCTCGTCGTCTTTTTTGGGGGTTGGTGGCCTCTTTTTTTTTTTTTTTTTTTTTTTTTTTTTTTTTTTTTTCCTGTTCTTTTTTTTCTCTCTGCTTCTCTCTCTTTTTCTATTTGATTTCCTTTTGGGTCGTATCTTCTTGGTTGGTCTGTAGGGAGATTTCTCTTTTTGGTCTCTCGTGCTTTCGTTGCTTTCTTCCCTTTCTGCTTGGCTTCTTCTATTTTTCTGTCGAGGGGGAAATATTCCTCGGAAGGAAGAAAAAAAGAAAAGAAAAAAAAAACACTAAGAAAGTCCTCTCTAGAGAACGAAGGGTTTGCTGCTTCCTTCGCGGATGAAACGTCGTCTGGTACCTCTCCAATTTTCCCTCTTCACTGGAAAAATTCCCGAAATCCAATCACTGCTGTCCCCGACCGTGGTGTTGTCTGGTTCATGCAATGGACCCCCCCGGGGTCTAGACGGTACAGGTGCGGGCTGAAGGGGAAAATTATGGAAGAAAAGTCCAGCCAGCAAAGGAACAGGACAATAATAATTCACGCCTCCCCTCCACAGGTGGCCCAAAGTCAAAATAAGGTCGTAGTAGTGCAGAAGGCGGCAACAGCAGTAGCAGCAAGCAAAGCAGCAAGCAGCAAAGCAGCAGAGGCAGCAGAGCAGGTGTGGCGGGATCGAACACCGCCCAGCGATCAGACGGTAGCTGAACGATGGGTCAACAGGTCGCCTCTGGGCTCTGACAGGTCTCTGACGCACACACAGCTCCCGCAAAAATAATAAATGAGGGCCCCTCGGAGGTGTGTCAGGGAATTTGGCAGTCTAGGGTAGAAAAATTTACTGGAATCAGAAGACAACCAGCTGAAAGGTGAACCAGACGAATGGGCTGGTGGAGCTGTACCGGACGAGCAGAGCAACGCCGGCCACTGTTCGGCCGTCGAATGGTGTTCGCTCCCAGTCACGTCGACCACGGTTGGGCAGACGGGCTAAGGTGTGTATCAGCCTTGACGATCCGACAGGAACCGCAGCGACTTGAAGATGATGCGCACATTGGCAACTTCCTGGCCCAAAAGGATAAAAAAAAAAAAAGAGCCAAGCGGCGGAGAGAGGAGGGGAAAAAGCCGGAGGGGGTGTCAACAAAGTCGGATTCGACGGCGGCCACCTGCGCAAGGCTCGAAGTCTACCGTCGTCTGGGCCGGATCGACTGGGCAACTGACGGTTGACGAGTGACGACTGGTCGAGCTAATAATCACGAAATCCACCGCGTCTGCGGCAGGCCACCACTCGTGCTCACTTCCCCGAGCAAACCCCAACCCAGTACCTAGCCCCGAAGCCCACACACGCAACGGTTTGGCCTCGTGCACGCGGAGATGGAGCCCGGCTATGCAAGTGATCAGATCAGACCCGTCTCCGTCTCTAGTACGCGGCGCCACGCAGGGTCTCCAGCTGGAGATCTGGCGCCAATAGTCTGTAGTATAGTGTACTCCGTAGGGGCAGTCAGTCTTTCTATGCTGGTCGGTGCGCGCGCCTAAGTATTCCAGTCCAGGTCCGAGTCAGAGGCAGAGTCTTATCGCAGCACGCGCTGTCGTTACCCAAAGTGGTTCTTGTTAGGTAGAAGCCGGTCGTCTCAGCGGTTTGGTTCGGGCAGTGCGCGACACTTCATCCGTAGATTTTCTTCTCGTCTGCCTCCGCGTCTCTCTCTCTCTCTCTCTCTTGCGCGTCTACTATCCGCCTATCACCGTCGCTCTGGTGCTCTGGCAGAGCCGGCGAGTCAGCATCCACTCGCATAAGCATAGCATCATTCCCCGGAAGAGGAGGGGGAGGGGGTGGCATCACAAGGACAGACACGACGAACCTTTGACTGAGCTCTTATGTCATCCACGGGGTTCCGTGTTTCTAACAAAGAAGAATCCAAGGGAGAGCAGACGGGCAAAAGGAGGGGTCCAAGGGCCCCCCAGGCCCACTCAATATCCTTTGAGCCCTTTGTTAGCCTGGGGAGATCCGTCAATCGATTTGAGTTTCATCAAGCAATTGGAGCCTGTGGTCTTGCAAATACCTTTTTTTTCTCTGAAGTCGCGTGCCCGTGCGTGGTGGCTTTGTCCCTCGTTTGGCGGAGTCTCCTGAGGTTCTGGAGGCGAGAGGGGGGGAGGGGGAAGGCAAGCGATGCGATGCGATGCGAAGCGAAGCGAAGCGATTGTTGAGCCGGTCGAAGTTGATCGAGGACGAAGACGAGACGAAACGAAGACGAAGACGATGTGGTGCGGCCAACCCCGGTCTGTGTCACGAGGGACCATCCCCTGCCTGTCGGAGAGTCTGTGCCTTCGTCGCTTTCCTTTCCCCTCGTCCCAAGGCTACTGCAGCCAATTCCAAATCGGTCCCTCGGGGATTTTTCCCCTCGAAACTTCGTCGGCCCCTCGTACCGATGGCCCTGTACTGTACGACAGCGGGACCGACCTCCCTGGAATTGGAGTCTGCCGATGTCCTCCTGGTCGTTCGTTTCCCAACTTTCCCTTCGCGGTGTCTCCCGGCGACAAGTGACTTGCCCACCACGAACACGCCCCGCACCGAGATCAGACAGATCAACGGAGAGGGAAGACGGACAGGGACGGAAGGAGTGAGGGAGGCACAGAGGCACAGAGAGACAGAGACACAGGCACAGAGGTACAAAGGTACGAGGGCGCTGAAAGAATTATGCACTCGAGCACACACAGCCAAAAAGGAAGGCCAGACGGAGAGGTGGGAGTGGGCCTCTTTTCAACGTGCAGCCGTGGGGAAAGGTCGGGCTCGAAAGCCAGCCTTTTTAGCTGCTGCATCCTATCGACCTAGCTCGATGGATGCGTCACATTGCCTGGCTATCTGACACGCAGGTCGCAGAGGCCGCGTCCCACCCACGCCCATCTCCCTTCTCCATAGTCCATACCGTTGTGCTGGAAGGCGGATTCAATCTCGGGGAACGGAACGCCTCAGCGCTGCAGCAGCAGAACCGGGCCGCCCAGAGATCGGATCGCTGGTCTGATGCGGCGTTGTGGAAAGTATGGTAAGCATGCATGATTCGTTTCTGAAAGAGGGATTGTCAAGCGCGATTGTTCCTCTCACTAGCCTAGGTGAGATTCAGCAATGAAGAGCTAACCTTACTTAAATAGTGTTGACCGTCTGGTTGGACTACGCAGCCTCTCCATGCATAATCTGAGGGTCCCTGATTCACGCTGTGTAAGAGCGCGGCTGAGAATTACGCTTCCTGTCTGTCCCTTCCTTCTTTCGTTCCTTCGTTTTTTTTTTTGGTCTTCCCTCTCTTTCGTCTTTTTTTTTTCTCTCCCTTTCTTTTTCGGGGCGCCGAGGATGTCCCGGCACCATCCCCTCCAGATGCGCTGCATCCTGGGATGCGGTACGGATCCTGGAACTTATTAGGTGGTGGTGGCAGCTGCATCTAGCCGCATCAACTGCGAAGCTACTAGTCCCAGAAGCCCGCAATCGCCATCCTCGCAACCTGCAGAACGCCAAGCACAAGGGGATCATCGATCTCAGTTGGGGAGACTGTGTTCATTGTGTTCAGTACGGTAACAAGATCTTCTTATCTGGCTAAGAGGTCGATGCGACGTCGCTCACAAGTTCGAAAGCTCCCCGAGAGAATTATCGCGTAAAAAAAAGGATCAGCAGGAAGCGAGCGACCGAGGATTGGCAACCCCCATGCAAGGGTGGCATAGGCCAATGCCTAGATTTGTAAGGACATGGGGCAGAAGTCCAAAACGGAGCTTTCAGTTATGGTGTCTGGCAAGCCAGGAACAAACCCCATGCTGGGGAACGCGATGCCAAAAGGACGAGTACAGATAAGGGCAGCTCCCGACGACTGCGGTGGTTTATGGTGACCACCTCATGAGTCAGTCCGGCTCATCTGCTGAGGCCGAAGGATGGTCAAGGAAAACGGAAAAAAGAAGGCGAAGAAAATCAGACGAATGGGAGAACAAATGGGGGAAGACCGGGGATGGGCAGGCTCTGATTCATTTCACCATCTGTATGGGATTGGAGCACACAGTGCACGCGCGCGCACACACAGACAGAGAGACAGACAGACAGACAGACAGACAGGGCCTGATCGCCGCCATAGGGAGACCTGTCAGCAAGTCTCCGGATGCGATGCTACCATGGCGGCTGCTAGTCCAGAAAATTTCCTACATCATCAGGGTACCGATAATGCCACGTTTTGACGGAGCGGTGGTGTACGGAGTAAGTACGAGACCCTCGACTCTGAGGGAAGGATAGCGACAGACCCATTGGGGCCGAGTGAGGGCGATCTGATGGGCGCTGGGATGGGGATGGGGATGGGGATGGGCCAGCCGGAGGCCAGAAGAACCAGATTATTACGGGCAATAGCCATTAGCCACACACCGAACAGGCCCTCGCTGGAAGCCCGCAGGGAGTGGGTTTTAGACCACAGGAAGAACTCCTCCTCCGGATGGGATGGGGATGGGATTGGAACGTCATCTCCAGCAAGAGGCGGTAAAAAAAATCAAGGCCAAATCCTCACTAAGGTTGTCTGACACTTTTTTTTTTTTTTTTTTTTTTTTTTTTTTTTTTAATCAATTTTTCTGCCTTCCCCTTCCCCATTTCCCCTCCTCCGTCTCCTAGTTGTGTCTCAACCCCTCTCTTCTTTCGTCCATTTACATATCCGGTGGGGGGGCGATAGACGGACAAAATGCACGATGAAGTGTTCGGGGGGCTTTAGGCGGTTGCCTTTTCGACCAACTAGCACGGGGCGCGAAACCATTCCTGGGCATTGTTGACAGGCGGACCGCCGAACATCCCCAGGGTGAACCAGACTTTCAACAGCGCCTAGCCTACGCTACAGTTATGCTTATTCTGCCCTTGGGACGGTTCGGTGACCATCTCCCGGAAAGCATTCTCCCCAAACCCCTCCGACTTCTCCGATCCTCAGGGCTTCAAAACCCAGAAATCCCGACCCGTGGGGGTGTGTGTTATTGTGGGTTTTGCCCTCGACCTCTGCAAAGTTCAAAAGCTCGACAGCGAGTGGGTTCGGTTGGGTCCAGACCCTATTTCTGATTAGTGCCCTGGCCCTGAGGGTCGTTCGGCCGGAGTTCAAAGCACCCCTTGGTCCATTTCGATGACGATGCACACGATTCATTAACCTTCGCTAACCGCGAGTAATCCCTAAATCGCGACTCCCCCGACGGCCCGGCTAGACAGTGCCCGAACAGGGGTCCCCGACCTATCGAAGCCCGCGACGAGCCCGGGTCGAATCGATCAGAAAGAAGCAGCCGTAGTTAGGGTGATTTGTAAAGGGGCTAATCGATCGATAGCTAGCACGAAGCACGGAGGGGAGGACGAGGACGAGAGGGGGAAGGGAGCACCGCAGGGGAATTTTTTCGGACGGACTGACACATCAGATGCGCAATCCGAGGGATCAGACCAGCTAAGACGCCTCTCATCCGCTAATTGCTTCGACGATGATGGTCTCCGCGGCACGTCATTATCGGGTGACTGATCATGTCCAGACAGACAGTCAAGCCAGCAGAACAGACTCATGAAACTGGAAGGCGACCCCGTTCGCCGCCAACCCAGCGAAATCTCCTCCTCCCCCGACGACCCGAAATCCACACAATAAGCTATTGTCATGGGGCAGCCACAATTCCAAATTCCTCATCGGCCATGCAGATGAGATCGCGGGCTGCAACACCACAACTAGATTGCCAGAACCATTCATCAGTTCAGAACAATACGGACCAGGATCGCCATTATGCATATCAGACGGACCTCCCAGCCGCATCGCCACATCAGCAATGGACTAAAGTACGGTCCTGGTCCTACTCGGTACACGAGTAGAAGGGTAGATGAGCCACAGCTCCAGTCGGGACGGTCCTATCCATCCGTCATCTCGGCTTCGTGGTCCCACTCAGCACCCCAATGACTTGTTCCGTAACCATCTATCTATTTAATTCTATGCTACAGCCTACTGACCAGGTAGGGGCGACCTGCATCCCGGACATACTCCGGTATAGCCGATGTACGGATACCAACGAGACCCTCGCTACGGAGTATCTACAGTACTAACGACGCCGCTGCTGTACGAAGTAAGTACTTCAGTACTCACTGCCGACTGCAGTCGCAGAAACCGAACAACCGGCCCGGAAAAGGCTTCCTGAGCTTCTGCATTCGACTCCACATGCCAGGTCACATATCCGCCTTACCTACAGTACATTTCATACCGACCGTTCCGAGTCGAGCGATATTCCATCTCCATTCTGCCCGGTACAACTGTATAGTAACAGGCAAGGTAGGTAGGTAGGTAGGTAGGTAGGTAAGTAAGTAAGCTGAACCTAAACCAAAACTGCCCTAAACTCAACGCACCGCATGCACCCAGATCTGAGTTACCAGCGATGGGTTTCCTGGATTCCATCACGCCCCTCCCCTCCCATGCACCCTAAGCACCCGGTCGAACTCTAAGTCGCCGTAGACCTCAACTGACTTCAGCTGCATCGTTGCGACGGGCCTATAGGCGTGCAGAGTCGACTACTTCCGGAGTAGGTATCTACTGTGTACCTAACCAATATGCGGTGTTTGCTTCCGTTTTCATTTTCCCCTTCCTTCCTTCCTTGGTTCCGTCCCTTCGATACGGAGGTTTACTCCGCCTGGACCTATAACTACCGATTATCTCCGTGCTGTTTACCTACATACTTACCTACAGTATGTACGCAGTCACCTTCCCACATACAGCCACGGTCAGTAGGTGAGTCTTCTTCTGTTTCTTTTCCCTTTTTTTTCCCCCTCCCCACCTACCCCGATAGAGATAGAGATAGAGATAGAAAAATAGCCAGATAGAGAAGAAAGCCACCTACTTACCTACCTTACCTTACCTACCTACCTACGGAGTAGCCACCTACCTACTGTAGCATCTCAGAAACATTACCTACAATATCCAATATCTAATATCCAATATCCAATATACCAAACGTCACCTGACACGAGTCACCTGCACAACATAAATCAATTTACCTCCCTCCCTTCCTCCCTTCCTCCCCATCCCATCTAAGTACTAACCTAATTCCGCAGTAGACAGCCAGACAAACAGATACTACGCAGTATCTCTCTCGTTTATGCACGTACATCCATGCACCAAGTACGTACGTAGTACGGAGTACTTGTAGGTAAGTACTGTAGGTAGCTGCATATCATATTCATAGTATCCGACCATGCAAAGGCAGCCACCCTTCCTTCCTTCCTTCCTTCCTTCCATCCATCATTTCCAACCCTCCCTCCCCCCCTACTTCCTGCACCTGCGGTATGTACCATTGTTCGGAGAATGGAAGGGTTTCATCGGGGGGTGTTCTCCGCACTGTACGGAGTACCTAAGGTACGTATCTGGGTGAATATTGTACCGTAAGTTGGGTAAGGTAGTGACTATGCTGGCTGTGGGTGTGGGTGTGTATTGTATTTGTTTGCTGGTTGTGTGCTGGGCTGGGCTGTGGGCTGGGCTGTGGGATGTGGACTATGGACTGTGGACTGTGGCTTAGCCACGCCAGGCGTTCCATTATTTCCATGCATGTGTAATGTGGAACAGGTACTACTAGTTAGTTAGCTTACCTAGGCGTCCATTTAGTTATCTACTACCTACTTATATACCTATTTGGGTCGATAGATTGAGATAGAGATAGGTAGGTAGGTAGGTAGGTATACAGATACAACCACACCATCCAGACCAGAGGCAGTCAATTCAGAATGGCGTACCTGGTACCCATCCATAGATACATACATACTATAATAGTATCGTAGAAGGTACCGTGACCGTAAGATGGATAATTAATTCCGACAACCTCTCTCAACTCTCAACTCTCAACTTTCAACTTTCAAAAGGGAGATGATGGGGGGGATGCCCATAAATAATGAGATCGAGGAGGTACTACATTACAGACAGAAAAATCAAAAGTGATGAGGGAGGAGGAGGAGGGGGGAAAAAGAAGATTCCAGAGACATGAGACATCATCGAGTCTCGCCCAAGCATGGTGGGAAATAATATGACAAGACAAGACAGGCCAGGCCAAGACATGTCCGTCTTCCAGGTAGGTGGATGAGTGGGTGGATGGATAGATGGACCAATGTAGGGAAGAAAAAAGACCCCTGTTTCACTCAAAGACACATACGGGAATTGCTTGGTAGGGATATGGGAAGGTAGGTAGGTACATATCTAGGGACTAGGAAAGGGGGAGGAAGGGGGGGGGGACCATGGCCCAGGAAATAAATAGGTAGATATAGATGGTGAGTACCAGAAGATAGATAGGGAAAGGGGGAAGGGAAAGTAAGTAGTATATGTCGGATGTGTGTCTGCGTGTGTGATGTGTGTGTGTGTGTGTGTGTGTTGAACGAATCAAAACTCCTAATGTCCCGCCCACTCCTTGCTTAATACAACTGTGCAAAAATAAGAAGAGGAAGAGGAAGAAGTTTCGAAAAACCAATGAATGAGCCAAGCCAAGCAAGTCATGAAGTTTATCCCGTGAGAGAACAAAACACCGCCACTCCAAATTAGCAAAATCAACGCTTTGAACGCCCCCGGGAAATGCCGTGTGAAAGTCTGCGGTGAACAGAACATGCGTCTGTCTCGTGGGCGAGGATCAGGTCTCCTCCATGACTGCGTCGCCGTCCGCGTCGGTGCCGTTGAGCCGTGTCTTATCGCTGACGCCGTTCTCATGAGGCGCCAGAGCGCTGTCGTCGACCGGCACCATCAGCTCCAGCTTCTCGACATAGGATTTGCGGCTGACCGATTTGGAGACCTTGGCTTTCCCGTCGACGGCCTTGCCCTTGGATGGAGTGACGGGCTCCACCACCGGAGTCTCCGCGGGTTCGTCCAGTAGCCCGTTTTCGGGATCCGTAGTGCCGTTGGACGTGAGAAAATCCTCGTCGTTGGGCGTGTGGTTGGTTTTGGCTTCCGTATCGATCGACACTCCCAGGTCCATGAGATCTTCCCCGTCGGCCGGTGTGTCGTCCTGATCGTCAAGCTCTCCGTTCTCGATGCCATCGGGCTCTGCACTGGCGGATTCGACGGCCGGGGAATCTATCAGCTTCGCGCTGCGCCCGCGTCTAACACTCGACGGGTTTGCAGTGGGTGTCATGCCCAGCACGGAGGGTCGCCGAGGAGTGTTGCGACCACTAGTCCGAGTAGCCATCGGCGTGCCCGTGATTTTCAGGGGTGTCTTGCCAGAAAATGGTCGAGCACGCTTTTTGTGCGAAGGCGCCTGCACAGGAGGGTAGATCTCGAATCTCCAAGCCGGTATACTGCTAGAAGGATTCGTTTCACCGCGCGTAGTAGAGCTGGCCGACGTGGTTGGATGGCGGAAGCCGTTGACATTGGAGAGCATGTCAGTAGAAGGAGGTCCAGCAGGCTCAGTCGCAAGTCGATCGGGGTTATCGTCGCCGGTGCCATTGGTGAGCGGATCTGTGCCATTTCCCTTGGTGTCGCCAACATCCGCAGATGATTCGTCCTCGTTCCCCGACTCCTTCACATCTTCGCTTTCTTCATCCTCCAAGCCCTCTCGAGGTGCCACGGCGTGTAACGGGGCTCGATCAAATTGCGACTGATTGCTCCTCCCCATGATGTAAGGCGTCCACACCAGTGCATCGGGGTTGAGCTGAACGTATCCTTTGCTTTCCCAGCTGCCGATGCACTCTTCGAAATACCTGAAATCAAGGCGCAGGGCATACGCCTTTGTCACCGGGTCGCGGACGAGGGCACGCAACGCCTCCAGACCGGAGACAATATCATCGGCGGTCATGCCCGTCCGCTCCGAAAGCTCCGAGATACTGAGGGGCGATTTCTGGTCCCGTAATTGGTAGGATAAAATAAGTCGCCAGTAGTTTCGATACGAGACCAAGCCCATGTCCGACAGAGGCTTCTCGGGTGAGCCCGTCTTGCCTTCGATGCGCGTGAGCAGGTACGAAAAGTCAATGAGGAGGTTTCCGTAACCTTTTCGTTGGTGGATAGGGAGGGTGAGGATGCAGGAAACATTGTTTGCGGAGCTGGGGCGCTTTTCTTTGCTGAAATAGCCGACAAAATGACAGCCCAGATCATCGAACTCGGTCATTACATAGAATAAGAACGGCTCGACGTCGTAGTAGAGGGTTTTGGAGCCCAGGAACAGCTTGGCGAGCAAGCACAGGTTCTGGCAGTAGACGGGGTTCTTGCGCCCGTCGACTTCGAAGATGGAGATCGACCCTTCGCGGTAGATCTCGTCGCCGGGCGGGTGTTTGGCCGGGCATTTGAGCTTGTGCCGCCACGCCACGTAGTCCGAGTTCATGTATTTCAGGCAGAACTCGCATATGTAGAGGACCCGGTTGCGGCTGTATTCTTCGGGATACGGGGCGGCGTACCAGGTCTCGATCTCGTAGCCGCCAAAGTTGATGTATTTGATTCGGGATGGGGGGCCAGAGACCTTCTGCGATGCGTGCTGCACCGTTTCCCCGGTGCCCTCGGTCTCCATGACTCGTCGTTGCCACTCCTCTTCGGCCTTTTGGCGGGCCTTCTCGAACCTCTCGCGATCGAGGTGAGTCGGCAGAGTCTTGGAGGTGTCCGCGTCCGTTTCGGTCAGGATGCCGCCATACGGCTTCCCCTTGGATTCGTCCATCTCACGGTCGCTGAAGGAAGAAAACGGGTTGTAGTAAGAGGCAGGTGTTATTGGTGCAAAATGGGCCTGGGGCTCGTGCGCAACCGGCGGCGGCTTGGGGGTTCTCCGGCTTCTGTTCTGCGACCTGCTGCGAGTATGATTGTTGAATATCTTCGACATCTTGGACTCGTTGAGGCGGAAGGCCAGCACCAGCCGCTCGAACTGCTTCAACACCACGCGGCAGTTTTCCTGCTCGTTCCTCCGCGTGCGTCGCGAACGAGTTCGTACGGGGGACAAGCCATCGACGGGCTCGGCCATTTGGTCGCGGGAGTTGGCGCGGTCGAAGCGCAGCGGGGTTTGTCTTTGGCGTTTCCGAAGGACCGGGGTGTGCTCGTCGACCTCGGCGGAGAGGGACAGGGTCTTTCTCTTGCGCAGCGCCCGGGAGCTATTCAATAGATCCTCATTCACCGTCACGGTGTTGAAGATGGAATGAAAGTTGGAGCCATCCTCCCCCGTGTGGGCGGGTAAGAGCTCCTTGCTCATGTTTTTCTCTCTGTTTTTCCGCCGAGAAGCTGGCCCCTCCGAGCTGTGGTTCAACTTCTCGCGGACACAGGTCGGACATCGCCAGGGATGGGCGTCTAGATGGACGGGTCAGCACGAGGGCGAGCTCAACCAGGAGATAGACACGTACCGTCTATATCCCCCATGGCATTCTGCTCGCGGGCACACTGCCGATGCGCTACCGGGAGGCCGAGTCAGCAAGGATCGCCCAATATCCGGGGGAATTATAGTTTGGATGGGGCCGCAATCCTCCACGTACCTTGATCGCCGCAGACGGCGCAGGCCAAATACTCCTCGTACTCCTCGCTGGGGTCATTATCCTCGTCTTGCCCACAGAATCTGCACCTTGAGTTAGTATATCTTGCGATTGTATGACCCCCGCGCCAGCCTCCCCCCAGAGGAGAGCTACCCGGTGCGGTGGGCCAAAAGAAAAGTTCTAGACTCACATGCAGTTGCCGCGGACCAGGTTCTCCACCTCCGCATCTTCATGGTCATTGCTTTCCCCCTCCCACTCATCGTCCGATTCCTGGCTGCTGGACGAAGCCCCGTGGTCGCTATCACTCTGATTTTCAAAGGCCGGCTCGGCATCCGCAGCGTCTTCGTCATCGACCGAGGGCGCGTTATTAGGCAATTTCACCGCGCCCACCGGCTCGGTATCGTTCTGGTCGCCGTCCAAGTTCATCTCGGTATCTGGCTCCCCCTCTGCATCCTGGTCTTCCCCAGGGTCCCCAGTCGCCGCCTCTTCGGCAGCCTCGCCGGAAAAGGCACGGTGCACGGCGTCCTGGAGCTGCTGGTCCATTTGATACAGGTCTGTTTCCTCCTCCCCTTCGGCGTCCTGGTCGCTGTCCACCATGTCTGCCGGGGTTTTCAACTCCGGGTCCTCGGTGGCGGGCGGCACGATTGCCGGCATGGTGCAGGTCACTACGGTCGCCAGGACGAACGGCTCCCGGGCGCCTCGGATGGAATGGAGAGTTCGTAGTTCAGGCAGCCCGACAGTTGAGGCTATTAAGGCTCCCCGCGAGAGTAGACGATCATCCGGTGCCGCGGGAACGGGGCATCGGGAAGCATAGAACGAATTGCCTGGGGGCGCCGCAGATGGGTCGGCAAGGGACTGGAATTGAGAAATCGAACGGAGCCAAGGTCTAGATCCCTAGAGCAGGCGCATCCAAACAAAGGTCAGTTGATGGACGACAGAGGAGCGGGAGCGGACAATGGCAAACAACACGTGTAGCGAGCAGATTCCAGGATGGGGACAGACCTCAGCCACAAGCAGGGCAGGCAGAGCGAACAGAGAAGAAGTCGACGCGTGGATCCGCCGCAGAAACGCCGTCTGAAGGCCACTCGCGCAATCAACGCATTCGACGGCGGCGTCTTGCCCCTTCTGCTTGCCCGTGAGGTCGACGGCCGCCGCTGACTCAGCGCCGTCCACCGCCCGCCGCGCTAGTCCGCTTTGGGCCGCCCGCCAGACCTCGACGACGACCGGCCGGCGGATTCCCGCGGCCACAACGAGCTTCACCATTACGCATCCTCTGCTGGTGTGAGCGACCGGTCCGTTTCCCCTCTTTGAACTCTTCTCAATCCCTCCTGCTGGCATCATGGGTGTTCCCTTCGAGGCCCTCCTCCCCTTCGGGATCATCATCGGCGTACGTCCAGCGTTCCCCCTCCATCCCTCCCGGATATCGACGTGGTGACGGGTCGACTGATACTGATCCTGTCATGACAGTGCTTCGGTGCCGGCGGTTATGGCCTGATGGCCGTCAAGAACTGGACGAACGAAGGCAAGCGGGCGCGGTGGAACAGAGATGTGTGGGACAGAGTAAGTAGCCTTGCGCTGACATGATGCGACCGGGCAGGTTGGGCTAACTCTTACGCAGCAAAGTACGTGCTGGACGCTCGATCCCACTTGACGGTGACGCCCAATTGGACGCTTCCGTGCCCCCCCAAGGCCCCCCCAACCCTTGAAAACAACCGTGAACTAACCCTCGATCCCCGATCTAGTGATGGAGAGAGATATGAGACTCACAGGAACCGCGCGAGGACAGTCGTGCAACCACGAAGCGCCCCCGGGCTTCGAGCTGAGCAACCCATGGAAGGTACGGACTCCATCCTCCCAGAGAGAGTGGCGTGCCACCTCCCAGATCCATTGGACTCACTAACACGTTACAGCTCGAAAAACGCATCTTCTAGACGGGCGACTGTGTCTCCGCGCCATGCTTTTACATTTCCCACTGTTCCTTGTTTGTTCGACAGCATTACTTTCTAGAGAAATATCCACGCAATGAGTTTGGAGAGAGAGAAAACATTGTCTGTACCATAAATACCTGTTCCAGCCGGACGCGGCAGGCGGGTGGCCATCCTAGTCTCAAAAAATACTACTTGATCTCCGATACTAAACCGCGGATGCCCTGGACCTCATGCTCTTGCAGGTGCAGGCCAAACCACTCGGCCAGGGCCCGGACCCGGTCTTCTTCGCTCTGCAGCGTCGCGACCACGTCCGACTGCCCTAACTGTCTCCTCTTGACCTCCTTCCCGGCCAGCACATACAGCCCCTGCACGGCCGACTCGGTCTCGTCCAGGAACATCCGCGTACAGACCAGGGACTGCGTAAACCAGCTCGTGCGCTGCTGGCTGGTCGCGAAGCTCATGACCTCGAAATCCTGCGGGAGGAACTCGTTCCCCAGGAACGAATACATCGGGATCCACCGGCTGTCCGGGGTGTATCTGATCTGGTAGATCCAGACCTTCTGGGTCTGGTCCACGAACGGCGGGATGGCGTCGTAGACCAGTCGCATCTCGGTGGGCGCCATGCAGATCGAAACGACATCGGGTTTCAGCGGTAAGGGACTGGTAGGCCCGTTGTTCCCGAAGCCGACGTCAACCTGCATGTGCCATAGCCATCATTAGACGCATACTGTATCGACCCACTATAGAACCGGGCGCACCTACCGCGAACTTGGCCCCATTGACCATCACAATCAGAATCATATGCGACCTGTTTGTAGTTCGAGTTCACATCATTAGCTTCAGCCACCCAACCCCCTAGTATCTATCTAACCACCACCATCACCACCACCACCACCATCAGCCCGCACCCTCCATCCGCGGCCCTCAAGAATCCAGATAAAAGAACTCACAATCCCGTATACAACGCCTCCATCGCCGGATCGCCCGCCCCGGACGCAGCCAGACACACGCGGCCCCCCGTGGGGTAAACCGTATACCCCAGCGCGCGCAGGACATGATACAGCAGATTATTATTTTCCATACAATATCCATCCAGCGCGCGAACCACAAGCTTCTCGAACACGCTCCCCGGTTGCAGGGAGATGGTCCGGTGCGGGGAGTAGTGCAGGGCGGAGTTTCCCCAGGGAATGCAGGAGATCTGCCGGCGCTGTAATTCGGCCAGCGCGGCCAGGGGGTCTTCTTCGATGGCTTGTCGGAGGCGCTGGAGACGGGTGCTGGTGGAGGTGGAGGTGGAAGAGCCAGCGTAGCGAATGCGCTCCAAGTAGAGCTCTAGTTGGTGCGGGGTGTATGTGGTGGACATTTTGATTTGAGGGGTGGGGTTTGCTAGATCAGAGGAGAGACAAGAATGCAATGCGAATGCGAATGAATGCTTGCGTGGCAGATATGAGAGGAGATGAGATGAGACGATTGTTCTGTCTGACATGCGCCTCCAAGGCCCATAAATTGGGCGGCGTGGGTCTGTCTGTCTGTCTGTCTATCAGCAATCAATCAGCATGCATTAATTAGACCCCCCCCCTCTTCTCCTCTCCTCTCCTCTCCGCTCGCTGCCATTATTGGCCTCTTATCCTCCTCCGATTCGATCGGATCAGATCAGATCAGATCGTATCGTTGCGGATCTTCCTGTCACGCCAGGTGGTCGGAACACGGTTGTTGTCTGCAGTGTCTGCCGTGTCACCATTAGTTAGACAGACAGACACTAGATATTTATGCGCCCGGCATGATGTCAACTCCCGCGGAGGATCCTCGGTAATGCGCATCGTCCCGCCTATCTACTAGTTATCATCTACTACTCCGTAAACCCCAGTGGGACAAAGGGATCCTCTGTGCATTCTCTCATGCAGTTGTTCTGGTTCTTGAGAAGATGGTCACGTGGGTATATTTCTTTCTTTATTTTAAAGTCAGCATTCCAATTCCGATACTTTGAAGCTTGCTTTGATCATCTTTTCATCTTCTAATAGGTATCTTACCTTCACCTTAATTTCCAACTTTTGGTCCAGTTGATCAAGTCAAGCTCAGTCTTGTATGGAGTACAAGACCATACATACATACATCATCGATGATGACAGCCCCAGAAAAGAGGAAGCTGGAAGTACGTTGATCTCCAAGGCGGGGGATACACGTGACATAGCTGCATCTTTCGATCGGACGCAGAAAAACCGTCCACGGGCCTCGACAATGTTGGGTTGGGGTTTGTATGGTCTCTATACGTCCCGCTGTTCTACACATTTCAGTCCCTTTGACATCCGTTTGATGCTGTATTGAAGTCTATCGGGAGAGGATGGGACGCGTCCTTTCGTCACACCAAAGCCAAAGCCTTGGATCATGAGCATGGCCATGACAGGGTATAGATTGTAGGAAGGGTTGGTTGGTATAGTCACGAGAGTGGTGAAAGAAAAGTACGGCTGGCATGAACTGATGTTCATTAATAAATCAAAATAATGAAGAAATGACCATTTTGCAAGGGCAAGGGTGGCCCTATACATTACATACACTTAATTTGTAGTCAGTGATACATTGCCAAGGCTTGATGTCAAAGGTGTTGGCTGTGAATGAGAATGATGCATGTCGGGAGTTCAAGTCGAAGGTTTAGCTCGAGTGAGAGATTATACGGAGAAGGGAAGTGAGGGTATGTGTCATTCTTGGTGGTATACACTTAACTAACTAGTAACTGGTTTGTCTGCGGGATAGGGAAGGAAAAGGAATAAAATCGAATCGCTATACAGAATGATGAAATAACCAGGGAGATCTATGAATCCAGCTCATGTTCCCATTTCTTTCTTCTTCGGCTTTTTTTTACTCGGCCACCCACACGGCGGCCATGCCCATTCCAGTCCCAACGCACATGCTGCTGACGCCGATCTTCTTGTTGGTGCGGTGCAGCTCCGTCAGGAGCGTGCTGATCTGTCGGGACCCGGTGCAGCCCAGGGGATGTCCGAAGGCGATGGCGCCACCCTTGGGGTTGACCTTCTCCTGGGGAATTCCCAGCTCGTTGACACACCAGACGCATTGCGAGGCGAAGGCTTCGTTGATCTCGTAGATGTCGACATCGTCTTTGGTAATGCCAGCCTTCTCCAGCGCGACGGGGATGGCCTTCCACGGGCCGATGCCCATGAGCAGCGGCTTGACGCCGACGATGCTGGCGGAGACGTACTTGCCGATGATCTTCTGTCCGAGGCGCTCGGCGGTGGAGCGCTTCATGAGCAGGACGGCGGCGGCACCGTCGGAGATCTGCGAGGCGTTGCCGGCGTGGATGGAGCCGTCCTTGGCGAACGCAGGGCGGATCTTGCCCAGAGACTCGGCGGTTATACCGGGGCGAATACCATCATCGGCCTTGACGGTGATGGTCTTCTCCTCGCCGGACTTGGGGTCGGTCCACTTGACCTGGAGGGGGATGATCTCTTCGTTGAAAAGACCGGCTTTCTGGGCGTTGACAGCCTTCTGGTAGGATGAGGCGGCGAATGCATCTTGGGCCGCACGGCTGATGTTGCGGTCCTTGGCCATCTGCTCCGATAACACACCCATGGGGACCTTGCAGTTGGCCGACTCGGGGTGGTTCTCGAGGAGCTCGGAGAATTCGGTCACTGCGCCGGGGCTGGGACGGTTTGTCAGTTCTGTATGTTCTGGGGTTGATGTGGGGGTGGAACGGCGGCTTACCCGTACTGAGACGACATGCTCTCCACACCAGCACCAATGCCGACATCGATCATTCCAGACTTGAGGGCATTGGCGATGTCCACGATGGCCTGAAGGCCACTGGAGCACTGGCGGTTCAGCGCCTTGACGGCAGCGCTCTCAGGAAACCCGGCCACCAGAGCAGCAGCACGGAACTCGGTGGCACCGCCACCGGGGGGAAGGACGGAGCCGACAGAGATATCCTCGACCAGACTGGGGTCGATGCCGCTGCGGTCGATGACGCCCTTGAACACGCCCGCCAGCAGATCGGCGGCGGCGGTGTCCTTAAAGCCACCCTTTCCACCTTTTGTCAGGGCCGTCCGCAGAGCGCAGGTCACAACGATATCATCGGGGTTCTTCTCGGTGATGGCGGCGACGCCGGTCTTGCCCCTGGTGCCGAAGTGGGAGGCCACCTGGGTGAGACGCTGCTGGGCTAGAACGTTGCAGTCAGTACGACAGCCACTTCTGGTGTAGTTAGCCGAGTGAGAACTTACCAGAAGACATGATGACGTCAATAGATGTTCGATATGAGAGAGGGGAGTAAAAGGGAAGTGAGGAATTAGAAAGGCCTCAAGTAGAGTGAAGGTTCAAGATCAGTCGACGGATGAAAGAGGAAACGCCCGGCAGCTTTCCTGTCTTATAAGAATCCGGGGAGAACCTGGCAAGCAGCAGCAGCACTTCTGCTGCCCCCCGTGAATGAGCCGAGGCTCATCCGCGTCATTGTTGTTCCGCCGCGGAGGGTCACGGGATCCGGGGCAGTTCTGGGTTGGGGTTTCATGTGAAGATGCAGATGATCGGACAGAAAAAGAGTCCAGCTGGTCAGAGGGTACGTCATGCGATCAGCTGGAGGTTGCCCCTGAGGGCTGCTGATTAGTGATCCATCGCTGCATGAATTTGGGATGCAGAGGATCACATGTCACGATGTCTTAGTAAGGCTCACTGTACACGGAGAGTCGGACACTGAGACACAGTGCAACCTTTTACACGGCTGTCTTCGAACGTTGTACTAGTACTCGTGTTGTAACCCGTGTATGTATATAAGTACTTCCCCGCAATCCCCCCATGTGACAACCTCTCTTCCAGGGGGAAGTGACTCCACCATTTTATATAGACCTACAAACAACTCCATATCTTTCCCCCGGTATAGGAAACCACTATAGAACCAGAAGCCAAACCCATATCCTGTGTTAGTGATCACGAACCCAATATAGTTGTCAACTCTCCACCCATCCCCTCATACCGGCAGCAGCGGAATGCGCAAAGCGGCCTAGCGGCTTAGTCTCGGCGGGCGGAAACCCGCCGGCTGAACCCCGACAATCTTTTTCTCCGCATCCGCCATCCGCCATCCGCCAACCCTCTCCTCTATCAATCACATCACCCTTCTCCTCCATCCATACTCAACATCAAAAACAACAACAATGACCACAACCCTCTCTCTCCTCCCCAACGCCTCCGACTCCGCCTCCGCCTCCCCTCCCTCCTCCCCCGCCAAGCTGCCCCCTCCGCAGCCATCCAACTCACACCATGGCACCATCTCCATAACCAACACCAACACCAAGTACTCCCCCCCCCAAAAGAAAACCCGAAATCACCAAAACAACCAAACCCCAACTAACAACCCAAACCAATCTAGACCCAACCCCTCACCCGCCTCTTCAGCACAGCCCCCCCGCTCACCACCCCTCCCCCTTCCGTCTCACCTCCCACCCCTCCGAACCCACCAGCCACCACGAAAACAACCCCAACAGCACCGAATACTACAGCCCCTACAAACCCAAGCGCCAATGGCCTCCCGACATGACCAAGCTCTCCCCGAAACACCAGTTCCGGCTCGAACGCAAGTACCGGCGGCGCGCGGCGCTGAAATACGCTCGCCCGAAGTGGGTCAAGGCTACTAAGTTGGTGCAGTGGGGGGTTATTGGGTGTATGTTTTTTTTTTCTTTTTCCCCCCTTTTTTTATTTCTTATATTGTGTTTTGGGGTTGGTGGTTTTGAGGGGGGATGAGTGGTGCGGTGCTGATTGATCCTGGATCTGATGCTAACGTTGTGTGTTGTGTTTTATAGTTGTCCTGGTATACGCGATGCTGTTCATGGAGTGGGATGAGCGCGGGAGTCCGTTTGATGAGGTGAGTTTTTTTTGTTATTCTATTTTATCCATATCCGTGTCATGTTGTTTGGGATAGGAGAATATTCTATCTGGGTTGGAGAGGGAGGATAATGCTGACTGGATTCCCTACCTACCGCAGATTCGGAGAACTTTCTTCGCGGGCGTGAAGGGCGCGTTTTCGACACCGCCGCCGCCAGGCCCGAGGAGGTCAGGGGAGGAGTCGAGTCGGGAGTAGACTGACTGACCGACTGTATGTATACCATTCTGCCAGCTAGAGCCTTGGATGTTGTGGAACAAAGGCCCATCGATAGACGCCGCAACCACAGTGGGTTGACGTAGATACTCTACATACTACCTACATACATAGTGTATATTATTCTCTTATCCAAATATCCAAAAAAGAAAGGGGGGGAGTGCATGGCCAGAAACTCCAAGCCAGTCATGTTCAGGTTGATTGATAACTTCGTAATAGTAGTAGAACTAAACACAATCCCTATCAGATCGGTCGGTCACGTCGCGGTGCCGCTGGTAAACGCGTCCGTCTGTCAAAAAAAAAAAAAGAATGATCTGCCTGACATGCAATTCAAAAGAGGGTCAAATATCTTCATCAGGTCTGTGGGCCTGTGCCGTCGTGATTTCATTTCGCCGTGGCCGTCATAGGAAAACGGATACATATGCACCCAAAAAACACCTCGGAAATGCCAACGCCGTCCAAACCCAGGTTCTCCAAAGGGACAATGATAAAACAAGAAACAAGAAACAGGAAACAAAAACCAGGATAGCAGGTAGCAACAATAGTAAGCATTCGTAACGCCGTTCTTCAGTCGCGTAGCGTGGCTGACCCAACAACGGGCCCGGGCAGCAGGCGATATCGAAGTTTCTGGCCAACTCGAGCGTCTCGGCTGGTTTACAGCCAATTGCCCATGCCAGCGGGGCTGGGAGACGCACCGCTGCTGGCGGGGACATCCAGCGCAAGTTCCAGCTTGGGAGGCTGTTCATCCAAGAAACCCTTCTTGGGGCTTCCCGGTGCCTTGGTCGGGGACTTGGTCGGGGATCCCGGCTCAGGCCGGGGAGGACCCTCGCGAACCGATAGGTATGGCCACCCGTCTTCCACAGCCGCAGCCACCCATGTCTTCAGGCAGTCGTGGACGGAGGAGTAGAACTTCACCTTACACGTTCTCAGTGTCCCGCCCATCACCTTTTCGAATCCCGAAGCCCGAAGCTCCGCTCGCAATTGGTTGCGCTCCTCGACCGTTGCCAGAGATGCCACCAGCCCGTTAAGGAGATCGAGATGTGCGGCCAAGTAGTTGGTGGCATCCCATTCCACGCCGCCCACATACGGAGCTGCGGGAACTGGAGGCCTGGGGGATGGGAAATGGTGCTCTCGGAAACTGGTGTAAGGCTTGTCATCCTTGGCGATCGGAATCACATTCAGGTGGTGCAGGAAGATCCAGAAAACCTCCTTGGTCACATTGCTGATTTCCTTGAGCCAGATCCGGTATGGGCGCGATTGGTAGATGTTTGCAATAAAGCTCAGCGGCTGGTTGTCCTCCGGCGGCGAAGGGTCGCGTAGGTACGATAGGATGCGCGCAGCACGGCGGGCTGCCATCTCGTCGGACGACACCGCGGACAGCTGCGTGAAAAAAAGATTCATGATGATTCCACGAGTGGTGTACTCGCTGGGGCCCTTCTTTTCATCATCGAAGAGCATTTTTAGCAGCGCAGGGAATAGCTGGTCCTCGATATCGTTTAGATGCTGCAGCGCGATGGACGTTGTGCAGAGAGCCTTCAAGCACAGCAGTGTCTCGTGGAGCAGATTGTCCTCATGCTCTTCTCTGTTGACACATGAGCAAGGTACTCGTTTGGTACACTCGGGATGCTAGCGACTTACCTCCATTCAACTTTCATAATCCGGTAAAGCAACTGCACAATCTCGTCCATACCACCGTCCGCAATGAATGTATCAACCCAGCTGACAGTTTCATTCCGGAGGAGGAGCCGAAGCTTGTGCATTTTCCCTACCTCCACCATTTCTGGCTTCTGGATTTCCCTCAGGTAATGAACAAAGTCCGACGGATCTGCAGCAGTATCACAGGCCGTCGCAGAAAGGGAGGTGGTCGAGGTCGATGGGGTCCCGATCTTCGAGAATCCTGTGGGTTGCGAAAAATCAGCCGATTTCGGACGTCTGTAAAAGCTGCCACTATCCGGGCGCTGTTTCTTCGGCGACGAGCTGCCCTTGGAGAAGGTAAAGCCCCGACTTCTCGAGCGCGAGCGCGATCCTTTGCCGTCCTGGCTCTGTTGGTCCTCTTTCTGCTCTTTCCTTCGACCCCGACGGCCGGTGCTGTCGGTGCCACTGGCACTGGCGCTGTGTGGTGTGTTTTCTGCTCGATCTTTCCTGATGAAGTCGGCTTTGATATTGGTATCCAAAGATCGCATTTTGTCTCTCATGTTGTGGGGGATGTTCCTGGCATCCTGTGCCCGATTAGTCCCATTGTTCGTCCGACGCGACGATTAATGGTGAATATACTTACTAGGAGCTTTTCGAACTCGCTCTCGAGCTCTTTGCCGTTCAGGGGTTTCTTCGCTTCGGCTTCCTGCCCCTTCGCATTAAATGCTGAGATCGCCGCTTGCACGCGAGACACCCTTTTCGGGCTTGATTCCGGCTTCGGCTCCGCCGGCGGATGGTATTCCGGTCTCGACTGTGCCCGGGGTCTTCCATGCTTCTTTGCCGATGCAGGCACGGGCTGGATGGCAGGCGACTTGTCCGGCGACACACCACCGAAAGGATCCAAAAGTTCCTTCCCCTTGCGCTTTTCTGCGAGATAGTCTGACTTTGGACGGGGCTTGGGATCCGCGCGAGTTCTGAGGGATGGTTTTTGATAATCGTAGATATTGCGCTGCAGCGTCGGTCCATACTCTCTGGGCATGTAAAGCGAAACCTCTTCTTGCATAGTGCTACGTTTGTGGTGGGAGCTGGTTGCTGCGGAGGGGTCCGGGTACGATGATGTCGCGGATTGATGCCACACGGGAGAGGGCATGCTGTTGACTGGGTCCGATGGGCTACGGTTCTCCTTGTCGCCGGTGTTCTTGGAGCCTTCTGCCTTCCTTCCGCGTTGGGACCGTTTCAAGATAGCCGAGAGACTGTTGGCGGATTTCGCCTTCTTCGGTTTCAAGTTAGCCGCTTCGTCATCGGGCGGGTCGTCCGATTTATCCTTGCGTTCCATATAACTCTTCAAAGATTTGAGCGAGACGGCGCTTTTGGTCTTCTTGTGTAAGGTGTTTTTTCCGTGCTTTCCCGGTGATCGCGGGGCTGAACTAACGTCTGTGGAATCCCGGTTGGGGGCTATCTCAGCCAGCGGGTGTTGGTCCAGGAGAGGGTAGGCCCGGTCGGCGGGAGTGTATGGGCTGCCACCGGGGTGACTGGTATGGGAGGCCCGGGAGGCAAAGGCGTCATCGGCAGAGGAGTTCCGCTTGTGAGACTTGGATGACCAGATCGCTCGAAGCACCGACGGCTTGGTCGGACTGCGACTGGAGTCGTCGAAGATGCTGGGGGATTGCATGTTGGGAGACATGTCTTATCGCCTTTAACCCGAAACTGATTAGGAAACCACCCAATCCATCGTGTTAGCATCTGCGGACGAGACGGACGAGACGGAACGGGCAGGCGCAGGCGACTCACGGTGAAATGCCCCAGCACGACGATACTACTCTAGTAATGGTGATTGTGGGAGTCGGTCGCAAGGCAGGAAAGCGAGAAAACGGGATGGGATGAATTTCATGCAAAGCAAGGCGGCAGCAAGGACATGCACGAGGAAGGAACAGAAGACATTGACGAGCAACAAGAATGCAAAGCAACAAAGTCCAACATGTAACAAGAGAAGAGCACAGCACAGCACAGCACAGCACAGCAGAGCAGAGCAGAGCAGAGCAGAAGAGAAGGGAAGAGAAGAGAAAACGACACGCAGCGGCAGCAACAGCAAACACCGGAGCCAACCTCAGGTGGGTAGACCGGGAATTTGAAGTCTTCCAAAGCTCGACAACGGACGACAAGCGTCAGCATTCCCCCACTGCATGGCCCAAGTAAATCCGCCTGCGCCGTTACCAAACGGCTGGAGATCCGAGGAGGGAGGGTGTAAACAGAGTGTGGGCGGCGAGGTTGTCCGGGGCAACCAGTCGGCCGGTCGGATCGCCTTTGGGCCTTTGGGGATGCGTCCAGTGATCCCGCCAGTGCTCTCGCCGCAATCATGATCTCTTAGTCTCGTCATCCGCGTCTGGACCTCCCGTCATGACGCGCTGTTCACGTCGCGACACACTTGCGATTAAATTGCGGACGATGTCATAGTGGATAGTCGTATCAGACTTATCAGACCCAACCTGTGGGCGGACCCGTCGGATGGATCAGAATAAATTTCTTTTCTTGGGACTACTACGCTTCCCTTCCACCGTTTACACCGTCATCCTGATAATGGTCATTGTCCACCCGTAACAAGTAGATAGACATGGTACCACACGGGAGTGCCTGATCGTGCCTGATCGTGCCTGGCCGTGCCTGGGTGATGCCTGGGGGGGGATCTCGTATTGACTCCTTGCCAACGGATAAACTCAGGCCGGATTCCTCGAATCAGACAACCGCGCCGCCCGCCCATCACGGGACCGATGGACTGACAGACTGACGGACTGGCAGACTGACAGCCTGGCTGCCACCGTGTCGGGCTTCGGTTCTGTTTAATGTCGTGCATATATCCCTCGTGCCTGCTTTCTCGGTTTGCTCTCTTCACCATCCGGGTTGATACGGGGTATCCATGCAGAGACCGTGTTACCGCAGTAATGTGGCCGTCCACTGCGTTGAGAAGGATGGCTCGGCGGCCCAGTTGGCACTTTGTACCGCGAACAGCCTCAGCACCGCATGCCGTCCTGTCAACCACTGTTGCTGTCGGCATGACTTTCCTTTCCACCTCACTTCCTTGACACGGCTCCAGGCAGTGAAACTCACTTCAGACTCTTGCCTCGACTCATCGCGCGGTATTTGATCTCTCCATTCTTGCCATCCTCTTCCCAGTTTCGACCGCGACACGATCGCACTCGGGCAGTTTCGGGCAGGCTTCCCCGCAGGGTCCTCCATCGAGTCTGGACTGACGTCCCGAGGCGAAATTGCGGTTGCGGCGATTGCCCAATTACTCCGGTTCCGCCAAAGCAGCTGTGTTCCAGACACCCCAACTCGTGCCACGGCGATCGCTTGAGCCACTCGAACGACCCATAAGAACCCATCGCAAACCGGCCCCATGAATTGCCCCTCGCGAACTGACGACACCCTCGACCACCCGGGCTGGAACCAGAATCCGTCCGCGCTGAGTCCCGACATCACCACACGAAGCGACTTTAACGGGGTCGCCAACTCGAAAGTGCATCGGAGACATGCGCCCGGGATGGGGGCTGCAGGGGATGGCACCACGGCAATACAGGATCGGCCCCATAGTCTAGATGGAAATGAGCCCGGCAGCGAAAAGAAGACCCCGGACGACGAGGTTTCTGCTGCTCCCGGGGATCAACCACCCGGGACGACCAGCGGATTTCCTCGTCGTCCTTTCACACAATCAATCGCATCTTTCTTTCTCCATGCTGCCCGCAGCATCAAGAAGTTCGCCCGCTTCATAGGCCCCGGCTTCCTGATCGCCGTCGCCTACATCGATCCGGGCAACTATTCCACCGATGTCTCCGCGGGGGCAGACTATCGCTACGCTTTGTTGTTCATCGTGCTCTTGTCCAACCTATTCGCCATTTTCCTGCAGTCGCTCTGTATCAAGCTCGGTACGGTGACGGGGCTCAATCTGGCGGAGAACTGCAGAGCACATCTACCCAAGTGGCTCAACATCACCCTGTATGTCTTCGCGGAGGCGGCCATTGTCGCAACCGATATCGCAGAGGTAAATGGCACCCTGTCCCCGTTCCCAAGTCTTGTTCCAGCGCTAAGTCAAGACATCCTCACAGGTCGTTGGATCCGCAATTGCGCTGAACCTTCTCCTCAAAATACCCCTGGTGGCGGGATGTGCGATCACCTTGGCCGATGTCCTCTTCATCCTGATATTTTATCGCCCAAATGGCGCCATGTGGGGGCTGCGTCTGTTTGAAATCTTCGTCATGCTTCTAGTCATGGGAGTCGTGATATGCTTCTGCATCCAGCTGTCACTGATAAAGGAACAGTCGGTCGGCGACGTTTTCCGGGGCTACCTACCCTCGTCTGCCATAGTCCAATCACAAGGGTGGGTGGATACGCCCCGTCCCAAAAGATATTGACTCTCTGACACGCCCTTCATAGATTGTACCAGAGCTGTGGAATCCTCGGAGCTACAGTTATGCCCCATTCCATGTTCCTCGGCAGCGGCGTAGTCCAATCGCGCCTAAAGGAGTTCGATGTTGCTCAAGGCTACGTGGACCCGTCTGTCTGTCTTGGAAGCACCGGAGGGGAGGTCGAATACAGACCGTCCATCCACGCAATCCGGGACTGTATGAAATACTCCATCATCGAGCTCTCCTTATCTCTCTTTACGTTCGCCCTCTTCGTGAACAGTGCCATTCTCATCGTGGCGGGCGCCTCGTTGTACGGCACAGAAGGCGCCGACGATGCAGACATCTGGGGCATTTACAACCTTCTGTCCAGCTCGATCGCTCCTGCGGCGGGTCTGATCTTTGCATTGGCTCTGCTGCTCTCCGGCATCTCTGCGGGCATTGTCTGTACCATGGCGGGCCAGATGGTCAGCGAGGGAATGCTGAATTGGAGCACGAAACCCTGGCTGCGCCGGCTCATTACGCGCTCCGTCAGCATCATCCCTAGCATCATCATTGCAGGCGCCGTCGGCAAGGAGGGGTTGGACAAAACACTGAACGCCAGCCAGGTGGTGCTGAGTGTGATTCTCCCATTCGTCTCCGCCCCCCTGGTCTACTTTACCTGCCGCAACCGCTACATGACCGTTCCGACTGATCGCAACTTCTCTGGAGAAGACTCTGCGCCCGAGGGAATTAAGATGAAAAACAACTGGCTTGTTGCTAGCCTCGCCGTAATCGTATGGCTGGTCATTGTGATCATGAATGTTGCTTTGCTTGTCCTGGTCGGACTAGGCAAGGCCTGACATGCAGAAGAGAACAACAACGCCAAGACGATGTCATCGCCCTTAATCATGTATTCCCTTTTTTCTCCAGGAGGGATCGGACGAACCATCGCCATCTTGAGTCGTTGCATTGACCAGAAGAGGCTGTTGGGGATTTGGGGAGAAATGTACATAGAAGATCTAGCAATGGAGAAGCGAATTTCTTTCTTTTTTTGCCTGGAATTCCGGTCTGGTTTCCTGACACAGACGCGTTGTCCATTGACTTACTACTGAGCATGAACTGACCGGTCCAGCAGCCCTTGACCTTCCTAGCTGTCTTTTCAACAGGAACCTTCGCCCTGCTTGCATACCAACGTTGTCTGATCTGGTTCGTCATGTCCACCACAAGCCACAAAAAGCAGGCCCGCAACCTTCAGTTTGAACATTTCCCACAATGACTTTTTTCCACGTTTTCTTTAAAATATGGTTTATAATACGGCAGGACTACGACATTTGCTCTTTTGCACCAATGACCCTATGCTATCCTATCCGTTTCGGTATTATATTCCTCGACATCCCTACCCATTGACCCCGAAAATCCCACCCGGCAGTGGCACTAATCGAACAATGTCCCCTCGCACCCCTCAACGCCCACAAGTCAAGTCGAAGAAGGAGAAGCCCTCTGTGCGTCCACCAGTCTTTCTCGGAGTGCAAGGTCACCACGGCGATAGCGAGATCGTCACCCGACAAGCCTGCTACGATGGCGCACTTCGATGTCGAGGCATCCATGCTTTTGCATTTGTTCCAGCCGGGAAAAACTGCCCGCCCTGCTCAAATGGTTTACGAGAACAAGGCGTATACGATCACGTCTACTTATGTGGCTGACCAGCTCGCGCTGGAGTATGTCATGACGAGTCTGGGGGACTTGGGCGATGACCGGCATTGCGGAGAGTTTTCGGCAGGGGGCCACTGCGTATTGGACTGCGAGGGAGTGGGCGGGAGAAGTGAGAGATTGGAGTATCGAGTTGGCGAATGGAAGGGTGGGGGAGGTCCCTATCGTTTCATCATCCACCGAGTAAACAGTGGCATACTGGCACTAAATAGAAACGGAAGACAAGATGGATCTGCAGAGCCTGCACCATGGACAGAGAATATTACTGCTTGAATATGTTTCGCGCAGAAGAAAAAGAAAGTAACAAAGGCTTAGTAACGTAACCCCAATGCAATCGCCGACTCCCAACCATATCTTCATCTCCATGAAAATGTAAGTAAGTAACAATCAATCAATCAACCCAACCCCCCAGCCGGCTCCTTAACCTTAACCTGCTCAGGCGGCTCATCAATAAAACTCGGCGTCGCCACCTCATCCTGCAAGAAACTCGGCATGGCACCGCCCAACTCACTCTCCATGTACGTCTCCTCGCCCAGGGCCTCGAGCTCGGCATCCAGCTCCGCCTCATCCACATCCTCCGGCACATCGTACGCGCGCGAGATACTCTCCTGGATCTCGTTGCCGACGTCCATCAGATCGGCCATCTCGTCCTGCATGCGCTCGATCTTGTCGATGTCAATCTGCCCGTACTGTTTCTTGAGCGTCTTGGTCGTCGTCTTCATCGCGTCCACCGTCGTCATCACGTTCTTCAGGTTATCCTGCATCATCCCCGCCTGCTCCATGTTCCAGGATTGCTGGGACAGCTGGTCGCGCTGCGACTCGTACTGCTTGCGGCGTTGGAGGACTTTGAGGGCTTTCTGGCGGAGGGCGGTTTTGCCCGGTCCGTCGCGCATCTTGGAGATCTTGGTTTGGTAGGTCGTCAGTTCGGAGGTTAGGGCTGCGAGCTTGACGTCGATGCTGGCGATGCGGTTGTCGACCTGTTTGTTGGGTTGGGTTAGTTGTGATGCGATGCGGGGTCGAGGGAGGATGAGGGGGGGGGGGGGGGGTTGGGCAGCGCAACATGATGATCGGACGGGATGGAGTTACTCACGTTGGATATCGCGCTATCCAGCGTCGGCTTGGGCGCCGTGTTCTTGGACCCGAATAATCGGTTCATTATGCGATGTGGGTATGGATCTTGAGGGAATGAGGGAGGAGGGAAAGAGGGGGGTTGTGGCAAGGCAAGCTGGAGTTTAGATAGAAGGACGGTTGTTGTATCGCTAGTATGGGCTGGGCTTAGCTTAGCGGCCGCGACTGACTGACTGGCTGGCTGCTCTTGCCTCGCCGCCTTGTGATAGATAGTAGGGAGGAAGTAGATCCGGGCTGTTGCTCGGGAATCCAACCACGCGCAAATACAGATCAGGGTAAATGAATCTGGGAGTGGGTCAGATGGGAATGAGAGTTTTGACGGCCTTATTATTATTATTATTATTATTATTATTGTCCAGAAGACATGATGACAGAAACTCTGGCTGGCAGGCTGCTACCTAGAGTCGGCCCCACGTGACACCAGAAGCCCAAGGCGGCAGGTCCCGGTATTCTATGCTTACTTACGGGGTATTCTCGTGACAACATTCCAGGCAGATGGATGGAGAGTTACTAGTACGTAGTGATGGTTACTGCGAGCATCAGGTATTCCCCGGCTCTGATTCCGGGGTCTTCCTGGATGGGATGGCTGATTCTCTCACCTGACCCAAATCGGAGTGCAACTATACCTAGTTCCTGCCTAGTAGGCTGATCGGCTTACTGCGATGCTCCGTCTTGGACCGCATCTAGCCTACTGACTGACTTCCTACCGAGGCGTCTGGTTCGACCCCAGACACCTGAGACTGTTGCATAGTTCGGCTCGGATTCAAACATGGCATCCATCCGTTCAGGGCCATTATTACCCGGACTGTACTATTATTTCCCCCAATTTTGGTCCCTTTTGGTAAGCCCACGATCGGGGTGAATACCGCCTGTTACGGCCAGAGTATCCGGTACTTGGCTGGGTGCACGGGCGGACATGGCCAGTGCGGTACCTGATACTCTCGCCAGCCGGTGCCCCAAGCCTGCAAGGAAGCAAGCAATAGCCACTCGTGCGTGCTTTGCGTTACGCGAACCTCTTGGGGAAGCCTCATCATCATCATCATCATCATCACCACTCCTCCATACTCTATCTACGCCCTCCCCTCTTCCCCCCATTGATGTCTTGGAATACTCAGGTAGTTCGTCTCGCCCCATCTGGTTATTATTAAGCGTCGGAACTAACCCACTTGCCTCGTCCCAGAACAGAAGAGCCTGAAACCCCATTCGGTCCCCCTCTCGCGTATCTGGCTGAATTTCCCCGCCGTCGCTCCTCCTCGGGCTTGTTGCTTGTTGGGTATTTCCGCCCTGCTCGTCTATCGTCACCACCTTCCAGGGATCCGACCGACCGGCCGATCCAGACACACCCGCCAGCGCAGCACTGTCACCCTCATCCCGCGACTGTTAGCCTGTGATTCTGACTCTTAGCTATTACTTCCTCCTCTTTCTCCTCCCATCTGACCATCTGGTGTTACCCGGTGCAGCGCAGGGCTGACCCAGAGTGATTGCACCGCTCGTGGATCACTGCAGCCCCCAAACAAGGCTCTGCTTTGGTTTCCTTTTCATCGTCACTCCCTCAGGTCGTGAAAGGTATGTGGTCCGGAATAGAGTCTCCTATCTGCCTTCCCGGTGTCTTGACTGCAGACTCTGCTATTCTTTCCTCTCCCGAACCCCAGTGTTGCCGCCTTACCCAGTCTTGACCCTACAACCCCACCCCCCCCCCCTGATGATCTTCCCCCATCTTCACCACCGTTTCCCCATGCCACTTGAGGCGCATATAGTTTCGCTAATCTGTTTCGCGCCCGTAGCGCTTGGCCGCTCCGACCGGATTTATCCTGCCTATCATTCGCCTCGTGCGCCTTTGTTCGGGAACGATTCTAAGATAACGACCCAGTGTCTCCGTTCTGTCTCCATACACAACTCCTCCACGCCCACTCTTTCATACTGGCACCTTGCATAAGGCTCACCAACTAGACCGGCTCTGTATCATACGCATTGCGCCGTAACGACGTTCCGGTGACGATCTACGATCAAAAGTGCTCCCGCTCCTGCGATTTTCCATGACTCTTTTCGCCCAATTATATAATCCATCATGTTTTGGCGTTTCGGAGGATATGCAACTATCTCCACTATTGATACCCTGCTAGACAAGCCCGATGTCACCCTCGAGGAGCTGTTGGACGAGTCGGAGCTCATCCAGGAGCTGAAGCAAAATAATACGAAGCTCATAGAATTCTTACGAGAAGATAATGTCTTGAAACGATTGATGGAATATGTTATCGCTCCAAGCCTGGTGAATGACGACGACGACAATGATCATGAAAGCAATGCCGCGCAGACGACAGAGGACGGGGAGGCCAGGGGCGGGGATCCTCTCAGGGACATGCTGGACCCCGAGGACCTGGAACGCGCGGAGAAGGAACGCTTGAAGCGGGCGTACGTTGCGTGCGAAATTCTCTCGTCCGAGATCTGGTCGATACTGGAATCCATTATGCTCAACCCTGGCCATCTGCGGGATTTCTGGGGCTTCCTGAGGCGGTCGCAACCCTTGGATTCCGCACAGGCGAGTTATTTCACGAAGGTGAACGAGACCCTCTTCGATAAGAAGACCAGCGACATGCTAGAGCTGTTCAAGTCGATGGATGGCATCCTGCCCGCAATCCTCCACCACGTGGACAATCCGATGGTTATGGACCTTTTGCTTAAGATCATCAGTCTGGAAAAGGTGGAAGGTGGCCAGGGGATTGTTGATGTAAGTCAAGCAAGGCCCGTCCGATCGCTCTGAATATACTGACCCTCTTAGTGGCTGAGGACCCAAGACCTTATACCCACACTTCTTTCATTCCTATCTCCGGATCACCCCGCTTCTGTGCAGACCTCGGCTGGCGATTTCCTCAAGGCCATCATCACCATCTCCGCCAACGCAACACAGAATGACCAATCTTGTATTGGGCCCAATAGCCTCACTCGACAGCTGGTTTCCGTGCCGTGCGTGGAACGCCTCATCAAGGCCATGCTCCAAGGTGGCAACCCCCTGACAGTGGGAGTTGGGATCGTCATTGAAGTGATTCGGAAGAATAATTCTGACTACGACCCCGACAACCTCAACGGCCCGGATTCGGTCCCCTCCACGTACGACCCCATTTACCTCGGTAACCTGCTTCGACTATTTGCCAAGCACATACCGGACTTCATGGCCCTGATCCAGAGCTCCAAGCACACCGTGAACGACGGAGGCAGAGTGAAGAGCGTCGAGCGAGGCAGGCTCAATTCGGCGTGGGGAGCCAAAATCGAGCCCTTGGGCTTCGACCGATTTAAGACGTGCGAGTTGATGGCTGAACTGTTACATTGCAGTAACATGGGTCTATTGAACGAGCCCGGAAGTGACGAGTATGTGCGGCAGCGTGATGCAGAGCGCGAGAGGCTCACACGGGAGGGAATTTACAATCCGCACCGGGAAGAGACATCGGCATTCGATGGCAATGACTCCACCGTTGACTTTGTAAACGGATCCGTGATTGGATATGGCTCACCGGAAGGCTCCAGGGTCCTCGAGGTAGCGAACACGGGCGAAGAAAGCTTCGAGGACGTCAGCTCGTCGGGCGTTCTCGTCGATCAGGAGAAGGATGCGGAGGCCAAGGAAGCAGCTGGCTCCGAATCCAAGCCTGACCCTGCGCCTCCGTCAAACCCCGAGGAGTCTACAGAAACGTCGGAACAGACGCCGAATGACGCGGCTGAGACCGGTCCTCAAGAGGAGAACAATGGCCCCACGGGTGCTTCTGGTGAGGCCGAAACTGATACGCCTCCCTCCGAACCCGTCACCGCGTCTGGATTGGCAGCTCAGATTGGAGAGGTTAGCCTGGACGGCAGTCAGACGTTGGCGGAGGCAGCTTCCAAAGATATGGAGAACCCGACACCAACGACTTCTCACCCCGACGCGGTGCCAGCTCCTCTCTTCGCCGATCAACAGAATCAGGAACAGAACTCCTCGACGCCTGATACTGCTGGCCAGGTCGGCGATGCACCCAGCTCAGCCTATTCTGCTCCTAATGCGGCGTACACCCAGTCCACGGCGGGCCACTCGCGGCGGCAGCTGCACCCCGATATCCAGGTCGACCCTAACGGTGACCCCGTAGTTGGTGACTATCTCAAGATCATGTTCGTTGAAAACCGGGTAGTACCAACCATCCTGGTAAGCTCTTGTCGCCCATTTCCTCCACGATCACATCTAACTTGCTGTCTAGGACTTCTTCTTCCGGTTCCCCTGGAACAACTTCCTTCACAACGTCGTTTACGATGTTATCCAGCAAGTGTTCAACGGACCCATGGACCGTGGCTACAATCGCCTGCTGGCCATTGATGTCTTCGAGACTGGCCGGATAACACAGAGCATTATCGAAGGCCAGAAGCGAAGCGACGAGACCCAGCGCGCCAAGCAGATCCGACTGGGATACATGGGCCACTTGACCCTGATCGCCGAGGAGGTGGTGAAGTTCAGCGAACGGCACTCACCCGAGTTGCTCTCGCCGACGGTCATGGAGAACGTCCTCAGCCCCGAGTGGATCGATTATGTCGAGCAAACGCTTTCCGAAACGAGGGAGCGGGACAACGCCATTCTTGGGGGGGTGCGTCCCGACATGTCGATTGGGCATCGCCAGGGAATGCTCAATACCGGCCAGAGCATAAATGCGTCGTCAGCACTTGCTGAAGCGGGCCTCAATGGGTCGGCCGGGGGCACTGGCTTCCAGGGCTTTGACATGATGAACCAAGGAAGCGTGTCCGGCGGAGCCTTTGGAGCGGGCGGTGGGAGTTCCCTCCTGAGCGGGTTCGCGAGTTCCAGCGACGACGACGAGGACGAAGAGATGGAGGACCAGGAGGAAAGGCACCTGGCCGAACAGCCCGCCGACGGCGGCTCTGACAATGTGGGTGAACACCTTTTCACGGATGTTGACATGCGCGACGCTTGACCCAGTTCCCGATACCATCTTCCCTTCCCCTTCTACGAACATATTTTCTCGATCTGGGCACACCCTGTGTTGGTTCATCTTTGGTTTATGCTACGAGCTGTCATACATCGCATTCTACGGCTGAAGGGTTAGCGCATGATGGATGGGAGATGGAGGTCGTGAAGGACCTTCTTTGCACATAGAGCGTTCGGCTGTCCGCGCCTTACATACTTATGAAGTCATTCAAAGAACTCCAACTCCCGCCATCATGTGGCCACCCTTTGGAACAAGCGTGTGCTTGCTAGCCACATCAGTAGTTCTGGCTCTCTGGCCAGGTGTTGACATCGCCCTCCTGTATATCAGGGCCACCTTCCGAGCTGTGCATCCCCTGTTTTCATCCTCCCACCCCACACACGTGCATCCGGACTTACAGTCGTTTTCATACTGACTGAGAATCCCAGGCGTCTGCCAACTCCACCAGCCAGCCGATCCCGATCCTCCCTCCTCCCCCGGCTCCCATGAGTCACGGCCCCTCTCGGGCACGGCGCCAGCTTGCCGCACGGCTCGCCGCACAGAAGCAGCAGGAGACCGGAAACGCCGAGGGAGAGGAAGATGCGAGCCACGAGCAGGCCGGCGACCACGATTCCCAATGGCCAACCAACCCGTTCGTGATCGCCGGATTGGACGAAGAAGCCGACGGCACGCATTCACCCGCCAGCGCAGCCTTCCCGTCCAGCGACTTCCCCCCGGCCAGCAAGGACGAGCCTTTCTCCTCGCCTACGTTCCCCGACTCGGGCTTCAGCCCGCCGGACTCCTTCTCGACCAACTCGTCGGACGAGGACGGCGAGGGCCGATCGGAGGGCCTGCGACGCAAGGAGCGAGTCCCTCTGGAGGTCGACGAGGACGAGGACGACATGGGCGAGATGGTGGGCCCATCGCTGGACACGGGAATGATGGACTCGGACGACGAAGACGAGGCGATCATGAATGAGTCCCTGGGATACCCGGACGTTGGGTCGGGGCGGTACCGCAGCTTCCGGCGGTCTCGGATCGGGGCGTCTCCCTTCGGGGACGACGACGAGCAGAACGACAGCAGTGACGGGGAGGATGACGGGCTGGTCGAGATCCTCGTCCCCGGGCGGAAATCTTCGACCTCATCCCACTAGTTTGCACCCGCACTCACATGATCCTTGATGTCCCATTTCCCGTTGTTGTCATGTATGTGAAGGTGGTTGGTTTTGTGCGTGGCGGTGCTCTGCTTTGCTGTTTCGGCCCTTTTGGATTAGTTCAATTCCCATGACGTACACTATTTCTTTTCTGTTTCATTACCTTTTTCTTTTTTCCTTTTTTTTTTCTTTTTTTTTTGACCGCGTGCCATTTTTGTATATGTTCCGTTTTTTTCTTTTCTTTTCTTTTTGTATACCTACATGCGACCCAGACTCGGCGGTTCGAATACGACATGTCTTCTTCTGAGCCATGTGAATGAATGGAATGGACCCTTATGAACTTGGATGTCGTTGTCGCTCTACTTTTGGATCATCTGGCATGGCTGTTCTCATAGATGCGTATGTGGTTGTTGTTGGTTGTGGGGATGGATGAAGCCCTGCTTAGAGGGCTCTAGTAACTACTTAGTATAATACCGTCGATATCCAAACCATGCTGGTTTACCGTCCAGACCAAGGGTCGAAACGTAGAGCTGTAGCAGATGCGAAGATCCAGAATTATTATTATGATGTGACTGTTGTTGCGTCGATCTCGGGAAGCCCAAGTGGGACGCCGCATTCCATCCTTTCCTTTCCTTCCCTTCTTTCTCATCTCACTTTTTTCCCCTCCACCCGTTCATTCCTCGCCCGACCAGCCCGCGACTTTGGCACGGATGCTGTAGCGGACACTTCTTGGATAATCTGGTGGTCTATTTCTGGAGGATATAATATATCCCCCCCCCCCCGCCGCGAACATGGCCAGCGTGTCGATGGATTTCGCCAGGTGAGTTTTTTTGGGGGGATCGGAATTTTGACTATGACGTCGGGGTGCCGGTTACTGGCCAGCACTCACTATTGTCTCTATTGTCTTCATGCATGGCTTCTGCCTTTCATTGTTGCCTTCCGGGTTGCATTCTTTCATTGTGATATCCTCACTCCTGATGTTTAATTGATACACAATCATAACCCCCCCCCCCAAAACTATCCCCAAGCCATATCCATACCCAACATCCAACATAACTAACCCCCACCAGCCCCCCTCCTCTTCCTCCAACAACAACGACAACATCGACACCTCCCTCCAAATCTACAACGACCTCGTGCAATGGACCCTCCAAAATGGCGGCCATCTGCACCCGAGCGTGCAGATCGCCAAAGACGCCCAACGCGGCGTGCACTTCCAAGTCCGCAAGGACTGGACGCAGCGAGTCCCCACCGACACGCACATCATCAAGACGCCTCTCGCCACGACCATGTCGTATTTTAATGCCATTGACAAGGGACCTACCTCTCTATCTCAAAACCAACGTACTGCTGTTGATGATACACCCGGCTCCATCAATAGCAACAGCAGCAATGCAAGCTCCGTCTCCTTCAAATCCCACGGCGTCCACCTCCCCCACGCATTCATGCAGGCCGTGGGCCCCAAAGAAACTACCACGTTCTTTCTCATGGGCCAGTACCTGCGCGGCGCCGAGGGCTTCTGGTTCCCGTATTTGAGGACGTTGCCGCGCCCGGGCACCCTGACGACGCCGGTGTATTATGAGGGGGAGGATTTGGAGTGGTTGAGTGGGACGAGTTTGGTGGTTGCGAGGGAGAAGAGGGTGGATATGTTGAGGGAGGGGTTTGAGAGGGGGATGAGGGAGTTGAGGGATGCTGGGGGCGTGGAGGGGGTGGATGGGGGGGAGTTTACGTGGTGAGTTTTTTTTTTTTTTTTTTTTCCCTTGTTCTTTTTCTTATCATCTATTACTGTTTTCTCCAGGCAGGAGTGCATGTGTGAGAGTGAAGTTTGTTGATTCTGGTTAGGGATCTCTATCTCTGGGCTTCGGCTATCATTACCTCGCGGGCCTTCTCGGCCAAGGTGCTGTGTGGAGTGATCTCCGAGGAGGAGGCGAAGGAGGAGAATGTCGCCGTTTTGCTGCCGCTGATTGATATGGGGAACCATCGGCCTTTGGCGAAGGTGGAGTGGCGCGCTGGGGATGATAATGTCGCGTTTGTGGTCCTGGAGGATGTGGCTGCTGGCGAGGAGATCAGTAATAACTACGGACCGAGGAATAATGAATCATGTGGGTTTTGTGTCTGTGGTAGGGAAGATTTGGCTGAGTGACTGACTGATGGCTACCTAGTGATGATGAATTATGGATTCTGCATGCCGAACAACCCGTGTGATCATCGCATTGTCAGCCTACGGGCTCCGCCGGGAAGTCCCCTCCAGGTTGCGAGATCTCACCAGCTCCAGATGTTCCCTGAGCTGGCCGGTGCAGAGAAGGAGGACCATTACTACGTGTTCAATGTCTTCTATCCCCTCCTCGCCCCGGACTCGGCCATGGAGCATTCGGTCTTCTCGCCGGCCCTGCTCGACGCCGTCTCGGTGCTGGGTGCCAACAACCGCGAACTCGAAACGCTGGAGATCACCAGCCACGCGATCAAGATCCCCAACGCCTACGGCAACTCGCGGGCCCTCCTGGCTGCCCTGAGCCAAGTGACCATCGAACTCATCACGCATGCCCTGAAGCTGCGGTCTACCGGGTCCGACCTACAGACGCCCAAGAACCTCAAGCAGGCCCACGCGAAGGTCTACCGGGACAGCCAGATCCTGCTGTCCGAGACGGCTCTAGTCATCGCCACGTGGACCCTGAACCGTGCCCGGCAGCACAAATTCACCGGCACCTGGGAGGAAACCAAACGGGTCCTGGGGGCTCATCTAGCCCGGATCCCTGCCGGTCGATTCCCCCCCGAGATCATGTCCCGGATCCAAATGAGGATCCTGGAACGGCAGTCGCTGCTGACGCACAACGGCGAGCTGTTCACGTTGAACGAGCTCCCCGACCTCCTCCCGGCCGCGATGCAGCAACCCTGCAAGGCCTGCTTCCAGGATGTGCTCTCGGTGTCTGAGAACGCCATCCCCGCGCTAGCAGGCAGCGAGGAGTCGTCGCCCTTTGCGTTCCCGATGTTCATCTGCCTGGTCGTGGCGGTGCACCTTTCCAGCCAGTCTGCGGGGGTATCCCTTCCCTCGAGGTTGTCTCGCTGGGCGGCCTTCCTGCTCGAGAACTACCCGCCGCCGCCGACTGATGTGGCCTGGGCGGTGGAGGACGAGGACGACGAGTACTTACTGAGCCAGTTTGATGCGGCGATGGAGGACCTGCGCACGCAGAATAAGCGGGTGTTTGTCCCCCTGGAGCGGTTCACGGGAGACTGGCAGAAGGATGACTGGTGGCTGTCACCGAACTGGTTGCGGTGGGCGTGGATGGTGTGGGAGCAGGAGACGGTGGGGGTGCCGGAGAAGCCGCTGGGTTTGTTGGCGGGGGGGGGGAGGGGGCAGGTGCAGTTGGCGACGGAGACGTTCCTGTATATTCCGCAGGAGTGAGGCGTATAGTTACTAAGTAGTACTTGGTTAGTGTTAGTGACAGACAGTAAATAAAAGGAAGGTACGGACGGGCTGGCTGATCTGACTCAGCGGGTCAGGTGACCTGCCTCCGCCAATCACCAGGCAGGCAAAGGCGGATATTCAGCAGGCGCAGGAATTGCCGGACGGAGCAGCTCAACCCAACTCAACTCAACTTCGTCATCCCCGGTTCTCTCCACCCTCCCTCCTCTCCCCCTCCCCCTCCCCAAGCCATTGGGCCCTCGATCACCATGATATCAAGAGCCGCGGCTCCCTCGCCTTCCTCCCTCGCCTCCATCTCCTCCCGCTCTCTCCGCCCCGCGACCCGCTCCTTCGCGACCGTCCAGGACAACGCTCCCCCCGTCCGGCACCATGGCGGCCTGAAGGACCAGGACCGCATCTTCACCAACCTCTACGGACACCATGGTGCCGACCTCAAGTCGGCAATGAAGTATGGAGACTGGTACAAGACCAAGGAGATGGTCCTCAAGGGCGATGACTGGGTAGGCCGTCCTCCGCCAGCCCGGACACCGTGCAAGATAACGACCTGAAAGACGACCAATTGCTAACAGCTGCTTCTTCCCCCCGTGTACAGCTCATCTCAGAGATCAAGGCCTCCGGTCTCCGTGGTCGTGGTGGCGCCGGTTTCCCCTCGGGATTGAAATACGTAGGTGGACATCCATCCCTCCGCTACCAGCCGCGCCCCTCCCTAACACACCGCGTTCGCACCTGCAGTCTTTCATGAACTTCAAAGACTGGGACAAGGACCCCCGACCCCGCTACCTGGTCGTCAACGCCGACGAGGGTGAGCCCGGAACCTGCAAGGACCGCGAGATCATGCGGAAGGACCCCCAGAAGCTCATCGAGGGATGTCTCGTGGTCGGCCGCGCCATGAACGCCAACGCCGCCTACATCTACATCCGTGGAGAATTCTACCACGAAGCCACCGTCCTCCAGCGCGCCATCAACGAGGCCTACGCGTCCGGCCTGATCGGCAAGAACGCCTGCGGCACCGGCTACGACTTCGACGTCTACATCCACCGCGGCATGGGCGCCTACATCTGCGGTGAGGAGACCTCCCTCATCGAGTCCATCGAGGGCAAGGCCGGCAAGCCGCGTCTCAAGCCCCCGTTCCCCGCCGCCGTCGGTCTCTTCGGCTGCCCCAGCACCGTCACCAACGTCGAGACCGTCGCCGTCGTCCCCACCATCATGCGTCGCGGCGCCAGCTGGTTCTCGTCCTTCGGCCGCGAGCGGAACGCCGGCACCAAGCTGTTCTGCATCTCCGGCCACGTCAACAACCCCTGCACCGTCGAGGAGGAGATGTCCATCTCCCTGCGCGAGCTGATCGACAAGCACTGCGGCGGCGTCCGCGGCGGCTGGGACAACCTCAAGGCCGTGATCCCCGGTGGATCGTCGACGCCCGTCCTCCCCAAGAACATCTGCGACGACCAGCTGATGGACTTCGACGCCCTCAAGGACTCCCAGAGCGGTCTCGGTACCGCCGCCGTCATCGTCATGGACAAGTCCACCGACATCGTCCGCGCCATCTCCCGTCTCTCCACCTTCTACAAGCACGAGAGTTGCGGCCAGTGCACCCCCTGCCGCGAGGGCAGCAAGTGGACCATGCAGATGATGCAGCGCATGGAGACCGGCCAGGCCCGCGAGCGTGAGATCGACATGCTCCAGGAGCTGACCAAGCAGGTCGAGGGTCACACCATCTGCGCTCTGGGTGAGGCCTTCGCCTGGCCCATCCAGGGTCTCATCCGCCACTTCCGTCCTGAGCTCGAGGCCCGTATCCGCGAGTACCAGAAGGAGGTCGGTGGCGCTGGTCCCTATGCCGGTGGCTGGGGTCCCGAGGCCCGTGCCGAGGGCAAGTTGATCTCTCCTGGCATGTAATGTCCATGATTGGTTAGATTGATGGGTTGCTGTGTCGCTGCTTAGAGTGTGTGGGAAGAGAAAAAGAATAATTGATGCTTTTCTTTTATTTTCTCCGGGTGTTTCTTTACTTGATATCTTATCTTACATTACATGTCTGTTGGTTCGTGTACAGTCGGTAGCAATGAATCTTTTTGTTGAAGTACAAAGTACGCACGCAGTTAATTAATGTAGATCGGCCGCGTGACATGCCAGACAGACAGACAGACTCCCAACAACCAAGACACCACGACCCCAGAAATCCAGAAATCTAAAGAGAGAGAGAAATACACTCACTACACACCACGACCCCAGAAATCCAGAAATCTAAAGAGAGAGAGAAATACACTCACTACATACAACCTACGCCCCCACCCCACCAAGAAAAAGAGAATGAACCATACCATGCATGATTAAGCCATGCCATCTAACGTACACACACCGGGGAATGGAATGGGATCTCATCACCACATCACCACATCACCACATCACCACATCACCACATCACCACATCACCACATCACCACATCACCACATCACCACATCACCACATCATCACAAACGACATCCAAGAGGAGAAGCAGAAAGGCGCAACAGCATCGGGATCCAGGTAACGTCAAGTACCGTCAAGTACCGTCAAGTACCGTCAAGTCACGTCAAGTAAAGTAAAATCAGATCAGATCGGTAGGTAGGTAGGTAGTCAGTAGCAGCAGTAGCAGTAGCAAGAAAGGCTATGCCATGCTACGCCACAGCACAGCACAGCACAGCACAACACAGCACAACACAATACAGGACAAGATAGGTAGGTAGGTAGGTAGGTAGGTAGGTAAGTAGGATCTAGTTACACAATCGCTCATGTCGTCCGACACACAACAACAACAAAAAGCGCAAGAGAAAAGAAAAAAGAGAAAACAAATGTCAAAATACAAAACCGACAGAGACAGAAGAAGATAAGAGAAAGAGACAGCTAGCTTAATACCCCCCCGCCATGATACTGCGATAATACCTGCGACTCATCTCAGCGGTCTGCGCGACGCGGGCATCAGCCGTGAGAGGCAACCCAAGCACGCTCGACAGCTCGATCTGGTCCTCGTGCGCCGTCCAGCCGGCCACAGCCCGGCTCATTTCCCGGAAGGCCACGCGCTCCTCGAGTCCCTCGACGCCGGATCCCTGGCTGATTTTGTCGCCCAGCGTGGCCAGCGCCTGGACCAAGCGGTTGAGGCGGGTGGTGTCGCGCTTGCCCTTGGCTGTGGCCAGACGCAGGAAGTCGTCGTAGATGCCGCCGCCGCTGGCCCAGCCGCGCACCTTGCGGTCCGGCTCGTCGCCAAAGCCCGTGACTAGGAGCTCAAGCGTCGCGTAGTCGCCTTCGATGACGGCAGTGGGGCCGACGATGCGGCAGAAGGTCGCGTGTGCGTCGTTCCAGTTCTTCGCCCGCACAAGGTAGTCGACTTCGCGCGCTGCGTCGCCGGTGTCCCGCGCGTACAGCGCCTTGGACACCCACACCCAGCTCTCGGGCAGTTGGAGGTCCTGGGTGAGGTACTGCCACATCAGGTTGGGTTGTCCTTCCGACGTGAATGGATCGGGCAGCTCGGGTGCGAACCGGGCGAGAGTCTCCTTGACGGCACGCTCGCGATCCGAGGCGCGCGACAGGTGGAGGAGGACGAACAGCGTCCGGCCCAGCGCGCCGCTGCAGCACAGTTCGAAGGCATAGTCCCACACCAACTGGTCCAGCTGAGCGGTGTCGATACGGAAGTTGTCCGGCTGCCCGATGGCCGTAGCAAGCAGTTGACACAGCTGGAAGGAAAGTCGGTTCGAAAGCTTGTCGCCGCTGACAGATTCCGGGAGCAGCGCCGCCGGGAACTCCAGCGCAGGAATGTTGGTCGTCTTGTCAGCCGTGGTCGCATACACCTTCAGCAAGACCCACAGAGGGGACTCCTCCGGGGCACTGCCGTGGACAGGGCTGGGGAAGGCGGGCTCGTCTCCTTTGCTGAGGTCATCCACAAATTGACTGACGGCGGCCTCAATCGGCTCGTCCTCCGTGATCCCATACCAAAGACGCAGGCCGAAGGCCTGGAACCAATCCAATCCGAACCGTTCCGAGAGAGTGAAGGTGGAAATCCGGTCCTCAAGCGCACCGGTCGATTTGCCATCGCTGCGCAGCGCATTGCCGGCAAGCAGCTCGTACAGCGCCCGGACGGGCTCGCTCATTTCCGAGTACACATTGCTCTGGCGCCACATCTCGATCTGCTTGGTCATGTCCGCGCGCGTGGTCGGGTCGCGGCCAATCTGAGCCACCAGTGTGGCCAGGTGGTAGTTGTGGCTAGCCACGAGAACCTTGCACGCCTCTTCCACCCGATGCGAGCACAGCAGGTGTACCGCACGTTCTTCGGCCGAGGTCGCTATCCCAGCAGCCTGTGCATGCCTCTCGCGGGCGATGCCCTCCCACAGACGGCTCAGACGGTCTTTCTTGATGCGGTGGAGGTATTTCGGCCGGAGCTGGGGCGGCACCCCTGCGGAGATGTCGTCCTCAACATCGTCGTTGAACAGGATGTTGGCCAGCTGCCACAGCAGCCGCTCGTGGTCAGACTGGACCAGACTCGACGCTTGCGCGAATTGACGGAAATCAGCGGTGGCCAGGCGAGCAAAGGGCACTCCATCGACACGGGAAACGACCGACTGCTTCCTCTGCGCCTCCAGCATCTCACTCGGCTCCAACTCCTTGTTGAATGCAAGCAGAGAGACGTCGCGGCCTTCACTCGTAACAGAAAACTTCGACTGCCAACGGGCATCTCCAGCGAGGGTGCCCCCCAGCCCGTTCTGAACGCAGAGAAGGGAGTTCACGGGCCCCCAGCGGGGTTTGAAAGAGTGATGGAAAGCCATATCGTCGGCGCTTAACTCGTTCGCTTCACCAGCAAAGGTCTTGGGCTTCTTGTTGTAAGGCCACTGTAGGAATGGAAGTATTAGTTCGGTTACTATCAATTATACTCGCTATCCGAATGCAACGCGGGGCATCGCAGGTGCTAAATACAATTCCACACAACGACAAGCTATAACAGTGAAAGAAAATAGGAGTCAAACCTCAAGACCAGTAGGCCGCACGCTTTGCTTGAACGGAGATGGGGCCTGTTTCCGCGGCTGCTGGAACAAAGAGTTCATCAGGTCAATGCTGGTGGCAAAGCCCTTTTGCGGGGAATCGGCAGACTTCTGCGGGGAATCCTCAAACAGAGGCCGGTCGGTGAATGCGTTGGCTTGGATCTCGCGAAGTGCATCGCGGTCTTGCTTCCGGGGGCTGATGGTCCGCTGCAGATGCGCGGCCCAGTCGCCATTCAGATCAAGACGAGCCTTGGACGGCGTGTCCCAAGGCCTCAACACTGGCTGGGTAATTTCCATAAACGTATCGACGCTTTCGGTATCGTCGCGCTCCACGGTATGATGAAGATCCGGAAAGGTGCCCGCCATGTCCATTTCCTCGCCCTCATCCAATTCAGCTACTGACTCGCCAGAGTGCTGGCTTTCGGTGATATCATCGCCGTCTTGCTCAATAGTCGAACCCGTGGAGCTTTCCCCTAAAAAAGACTCCTCGTCCGCTGAATCCTCGTCCTCCACCGTCTCCATGATTTGGTTGCCAAACGCCCCCGGAACAATCTTGCGCTTTTTGAAATCGAACGTGTCGTCGTCGATGCCGGCCATGGACCCCACGAAGGAGTCGTCAGTGGAGAAGCCGGACATCATCTCCGAGCCCATGGTCGTGTCGGCGTGGCCAGGGGTTTGGTTCTTCGGAGTCGGAGTGTCAGGAGCAGCACTGAAAGTGCTTTGGTTGAGGCTCTCACCTTCTTCCTCCTCATCGCTATCATAATCAAGACCATAGGTCGTGTAGTGAGGGACCCGGAACACCCACGTGCCGGTCTCCGTTTCGTAGTCAACAAACTCGGTGTTGTGCACCTTCACCAACCGGTCGACGTGCTTATCGAACAGAGGGCCGCTGGTCAGCGGGGACGGGGATTTCTTGTCGCGACCGCGGGGCCAGGAGTTCTCGATCCGCAGGGTCGAGGGGACGTTCAGGCCCTTGCCCATGGGGGGCTTGATCGTCTCATCCGGGTAGACGGTGATCTTGCGCACTCCGATGTCCACAATGCGGTCGTAAAGATTGTCCAGATCGACGGTCGTCAGATCAACGGGCTCATCGAAAGTGACCTGGCCACACCGTTGACGACCAACCGTGAAGCCAACAAAACACTTCTGCCGCTCGCGGCTCAGCTTGCTGATTTCCGCGCGGCTGGGCTTCATCCAGTAGTCACCGGGCTGCGGGTCGGCGCCAGGAATGAAAGAAAGTCGCGAAGGGCCATCGGTGGGCTTGGCGGCCTGTTCAGCAGTTTCGGGAACCACGGGAAGTTCATTGCCACGAACAGACTCCATTTCCGGCTGCACAAGGCTCTCGGTCGACTGAGACAGGCTGCTGATGCCGCTGATGGTACCGCTCTTGCGGATGGAGCGCAGGAAGCCCAATTCCTCGGGAGTCGGTTCGGAGCTCTGGGTCTGGATAGGAACAATTTCGGCACCAGCGCTCGAAGACTCCAATGAAGTATCAAAGCTGACCGACTTCTTCTTCCCCTTGTCAACCGGCTGTGAGGCGTCTTCACCATTGGTGATCGGGGCCACGGGGGTACTGGCAGGGCGTGCGAAAAGGTCGTTTCTCAGGCTGCGATCAATGGTGAGACGCTTCAGGCTACCACTCGAAAGACGGGAGCTTCCCGAGGTAAGCGCCCCAGGAGACAGGACACTGTCGGTGTCAGGGTCAAACGTCTTGCGCAGGTTGCTGGTGGAGAAGCTCTTGCTGAAGCTAGAGGTAGAGCGCCCCAGGCTTCCGTTCATGCTGGCACGCATGCTGCCGCCCAAAAGGCTGCTGCCGAGATTGGGACTGCTGGTGTTGCTAGAAGGCGACCCGTAGTTCGAGTAAGAGAATCCGTAGCCTTGACGTTTGGGTGGAGTGATCAGGCGGTTGGCGGCGTTGGGAGTGATCTTGTAGACTGGCAGCGGAGTGCGCTGCTTCTGCTTAGTAGAAGACGAAAGAGGCGTGGCCAAAGGACCAGGACTGGAAGCACTCGGAGCAGGTAGACCAGAGAAGATGGACTGGTTTCCATAGGGGTTGCCGTCGAGAAGAGAGGCTTGGAAACTGCCCGGCGCCGGCTGCTGAGGTTGCTGAGGCTGCGCCTGCGCCTGCTGAGAGTTACCAAAGAGGCTCGAGGTGCCCAGTCCCCCCGCAGGCTGCTGCTGGCTCTGCGTGTTACCAAACAGGGACCCACCAGCGCTCGGGGCGGCAGTGTTTGCTCCTCCAAAGAGAGATCCACCAGTGCCGGTGGCCCCTCCGAAGAGACTCGGCTTCTGCTGCTGCTGGTTCTGTGCGCCACCAAACAGTCCACCTGTAGCTCCCTGCTGCTGCTGACCCTGAGTGTTGCCAAAGCCCCCGAATGCACCAGTACCGGTACCAGTGCCCGTTGTGCCGCCTCCGAAGAGACTCTTCTGGCCCTGTTGCTGTGCTCCACCGAAGAGGGAGCTGGTTCCGGTCTGCGGGGTGTTGGCAGCTCCAAACAGTGAGCCGCCAGCTGCCTGTTGCTGGGGTTGCTGGGTGTTCTGACCGAAGAGAGAAGAGCCCGTGGCGCCGGTGCCGGTGCCAGCGCCGGTGTTTCCGAAGAGACTTGGGGTGGTGCCCGTCTGTTGCTGCGTGTTTGTTCCAAAGCCACCGCCGAACAGGCCCTTGTTCTGAGTCTGCCCCGGCTGCTGGGCTTGGTTCTGCTGGCCAAAGCCACCGCCGAACAGGCCGGTGCCAGTCTGGGCTTGCTGAGGTTGCTGCTGCTGGCCGCCAAAGGGAGAGACAGTCGCAGCAGTGCCGCCGAATGGGGAGGCAGCGCTGGTGTTCTGCGCGCCAAAGCCGCCACCAAATGCGCCGCCCGTCGTTCCGGTACCGCTTCCGCCAAACAGGGGCTTGTTCTGCTGCTGTTGCTGGGCGTTGTTGTTACCGAACAGAGACCCGCCAGCTCCAAAGCCACCGGTTCCGGTTCCGGTTCCTGCGCTGCTACCGAATCCACCCGCAGTTGCTGTGCCGCCGCCGAACAGACCACCACCGGCCTGGGTCGTGCCTGTGGTGCCCGTGCTTCCGCCAAACAGGGAGGTCGCTGGCTTGGCAGCCCCAAACAAGGGATTGGTCGAGTTTGATCCAAAGCCGCCCGCGGTCTGCGTCTGGCCAAAGCCAGATGGGGCACTGGTGGCGGCTCCGCCAAATGGCGAGGAAGTGTTTCCGAAGCCAGTGGCTGCGGGTTGTTGTCCGAAGCCAGACCCCCCGAAAGCCGAAGAGCCAAAGGCACCCGCTTGTCCACTGCCATTCCCGAAGCGGCGGCCTTGGTTGTAATCGCCTAGGCGGAGCTCTTCAAAACAATACTTGCTGTAGGGCTGCATGAACGTGATACTCTGATAGTGGTTGGTCGCATTGGCGGTGTTGTCCTTCTCCGTGAAGGCGCTGAAGGGGGTGCTTCCGGTGCCATCGGAGGGAGGAATGGCCTGCTGGAAAGCAGTGCCTGTCCCACTACCGAAACCAGATGCGTTGCTGCCAAAGCCGCCGGCGCCGCCGGTTGCACCGCCGCTCGTGCCAAATCCAGAGGTGGTACCAGCAGAGCTACCGAAGCCTCCCGCCGGTTTGTTGCCAAAGAGTCCACCCGCAGTGCCGCCAGTAGCAGTGCCAGTGTTGCTGCCGAATCCCCCTCCGGTGTTCGTAGCTGCTCCGAAGCCGCCAAAGCCACCACCCGTTGTGGCGGTGTTGGTACCAGTGCCAGTGCCACTTCCGAAAAGAGAGCCTCCGGTCGAGGTGCCAGTGCCAGTGCCGAAGCCGCCGGCGCGATTCTGACCTCCAAACATGGGGTTCGTTTGGTTCTGGGCGCCCGCTCCAAAGCCTATAAAAAATCACTAGTCAGCTACACTGCAAGCTCCCGAGTATGCGTTAAGTCTCGGCACATGTAATTAGAGTCCATCCGGGGGCCGCGGGTCCCTGACGGTGAGCGGTGACTTCTTGTGGTCCATCCTGGGGAGGCAATGTCGAGTCGTCTTCAAGTCGCCAGTTGGGTTGCCGATCCATGGTCGCACAAGGAAGTCGAGAGATCCGCCACGGCACAAATGGAAGAGAAAGGATCGCCAAGCCCATTGAGACATATAGTCGTCAAGCACGTACCTCCACCGGAGCCAAAGCTAGAGGAGGTGTTTCCAAAGAGGCCACTACCACCGGATGTATTACCGCCGCCACCAAAGGGGGACGACGTCGTCGATCCAAAGCCTAGATGACGGGGGAGATACTGTCAGAGACTGTATTGAAGCTGCGATCCCTTCTCTTGCAGTACCGGTGAGCTGCCCAGCGTGGTGGCCTCCGCAAGGCAGTCGATGGGTTGAGTGGGTCGAATAGAACCGTCGCAGGTCGAGGGCCAAGAGCACCATCCAGTAGCGGTCTTTTTACACCGGAAAAGTCTCAAAGGAACAAGACAGATGGAGAAGAAAGAAAAAAACAAAGGGCCGGGGGAATCGAAGCGAGGACAAAGTCGCAAGCGAAGAAACCTACCTCCACCAGAACTCGTGCCACCGAAGCCAGAGCCCGCTCCGAAGCTAGAGCCTTGCTGGTTATTCTGTCCAAACCCTCCGAACATATTGCTGATCGATGTCGGGTGAAATTATGAAGTCATCCGGGGTTCCAGACGTCCGCGATCAAGGATCTCCACACGTAGGCTGGGATCGTGAGACGGACGAGAGTGGGAGCGTCCGTCCGACAAGTCGCTTGCGAAGTGGAGGATCGCCGCGCGCGCTGCAGGGAACCAAGCGAAAAGGTTATGGGAGTGAGTCGGGAAGAAATTCTCGACGCGCAGGTGACCGGTGTGTGTGGCCGGGTGTTTTGTTTTTGGGGAGTCCGAGAAAGAAAAGGGAAAAGAAAAGGCCACACTAGCTACAGACGGAAAGCGACCGTCAGAGCTAGGATGCGTTCAAGTCCGAAAGGAACTTGGGGTGGCAGGGCGAAAGGGCGGGGGAGAAGGTGAAGGGGAGGAGAAGAGAGAGGAAGAGGAGAGGTTGAGGTGGTGAGGTGAGCGAAGAGAAGCGCGACGGAGGAAAGAAGCTGCAAAGGCAGAAAGGTGTGTACGGTAACACCCTGACGGGTCCGGCGGCCGGTCATTTACTGAGCAGCCACTGGACGGGTGGCCGGGCAAGGTGGGCAGGGTGTATTGTTACCGTACCAGACCGTCACTTGGGGTGGGTGCCTGAACCGGGATGGCAGCCTGAGGAATGGAGGAATGGCCCTGGCTGCCTCTTCTGTGAAGGGATACTATATAACAGTAACCCTGACATTTACATGGACACCTAACAATAGCCATACACTTATTCATCCTATCATCCATGTCGTCCTCAATGAGGGTCTACTCGGCCCCTGCGAGTCCACAATCTACATAGGAGTACCGTCCCTTCACCGTCGAAGGCCGTCTACCCGGACGCATGCAGTAACTAGCTACTCGAGACTTACTATTAATGCCTAACCTACCTAATCACTACTACATACCACCACCTGCTCTTGCGATGCCCCCCACCCCTTCCTAATTAGTACATAGGCTTAGGGTATGTCTCAAGCCCAGAGGTGCTCACTCACACGACATCCTACAGTCGTCCCCCTGCCAGCACAAATGAATAATAGGAAAAATAGGAAACATGTATATTTTCTGGGCGATCCATCGATCCACCAGTGTTCACCTCTCACAGGTTGGGAATCACAAAACGGGGTTTATAGAAATAACTGCGCCTCTGGACATCATGTCCACCCAAAAAGGCTAATCAACTCGTCATGACATATTAATGGCTTCATCTCATCGGTTCCTCCCGGGGCCGTTTATTTGACTCGGGAAGCATGCACCGTGGCAATGATCTTGTCCACAACTCCAGGGTCCGACAGCTGTGGCCATGGTTAGTCTGCGTCAACCGATCTGCTTGGTAGGAGGGCATCGCTTACCGTTGATGTGTCGCCCAGGCTATCCTCCTCGCCGCTCAGAATCTTCCGGAGAATCCGGCGCATGATCTTCCCGCTGCGGGTCTTAGGGAGGTCCTCGACCACGAAGACCGCCTTGGGGGCAGCAAACGGTCCAATGGACCGGCGCACCTGCGCGATCAGGTCCTTGCGAACTTGGTCGGTGGTCTCGTTGCCCTCCTTCAGGGCCACGAACGCATTGACGGCCTGGCCGGTCAACTCATCGGAAATACCGACGACAGCAGCCTCAGCCACCTGGTCTGTCAAAGAGGTCAGCCGCGGATCATTGCCAGAATATTTCAAAAGACTTACGGTGCTCGATGAGCGCGGCTTCGATCTCAGCCGTGGACAGACGGTGTCCAGAAACATTGACCACATCATCAACACGACCGCGGATCCAGTAGTATCCATCGTGGTCACGGCCAGCACCGTCTCCCGTGAACTATCATTGCGCTTTCAGTCAGTCACGGCTCTTCGGTCGTCTGGAGGGATGGGATCACTCACGTAGTAGCCCTTGTACACATTCAGGTAGGTGTCCATGTAGCGCTTGTGGGCGCCCCACACCGTACGGGCCATGCTGGGCCAGGGCTGCTTGAAGGCAAGCACTCCCTCCACGTCATTTCCAGGGATCTCTTCTCCGGAGACGGGATCAATGATAGCGGGCTCGATACCGAAGAAAGGCAGCGACGCACTGCCGGGCTTCGTCGGGGTGACACCACCCAGGGGAGTGATGACGTTAGAACCCGTTTCGGTCTGCCAGTAGGTCTGCAGGGGAGTTAGAATATTACAACAAGCGAAGATCCGCCAGCACTTACATCACAGATGTGAGCTTCCTCCTTTCCGACCTTCTCAAAGTACCACTTCCAGACCTCCGCGGCGATGGGCTCGCCGACGGAGCCCAGAATACGCAGGTGAGCCATCTTGTGCTGGATGTGCTCGTCTCCAGCCCGCTTCAGAAGCCGCAGCGCGGTGGGGGCCACGTAGAACTGGGTCACCTTGTGCTTCTCAATCACGTCCCAGTAGCGGGAGAAGTTGGGGTACGCCGGAGTACTCTCGAAGACGACGGTGGAGCATCCGAGGAGCAGAGGCGCATACACCACATAGGTGTGACCAGTGATCCAGCCCACATCGCCACCACAGAAGTAGCGGTCATCGTCATGAATATCAAACACGTACTTGCCCGTCATGGCAGCTCCGAGCAGGTAGCCCGCAGTCGAGTGCATGACACCCTTGGGCTTTCCGGTGGAACCAGATGTGTAGAGCAGGAAAAGAGGATCTTCGGAGTTCATCGACTCGGGGGCGAGGTAGTTGGGGTACTTCTCGACCTCCTCGTGCCACCAGATGTCACGGCCCTTGGTCCAGGGGACCTCCGCGCCGGTGCGCTTGTAGACCAGAACGCTGGAGACATCGGGGCACTGCTTCAGGGCCTCGTCGACAATGCGCTTGGTGCCGATGACCTTGCCACCACGCTTGCCCTCGTCGGTTGTGATGACGACCTTGGAACCAGCGTCCAGCACACGGTCCCGGAGAGAGTCGGACGAAAAACCGGCGAACACGACGGAGTGGACGGCGCCAATGCGCGAGCAGGCCAGGAAGGCGACGATGGCCTCGGGGATCATGGGCATGTAGATGGCGACGGTATCGCCCTTCTTGACGCCCTGCTGGCGGAGCACCCAGGCCACGCGCGACACCTCGCGGAGCAGCTCGCCATAGGTGATGGAACGGCCCTCGCTGGGCTCGTCAGCTTCATAGATGATGGCGACCTTGTCGGGGTTCTTGTGGGCGTGACGGTCGACGCAGTTGTAGGAGGCGTTCAGGCGGCCCTCGACAAACCAGGCGCTGTCGCCGTTCTCCAATGACCCACTGTGGGTGGTGCGGAAATCCTGCTCGAAGGTGAGGAGCTCGCGGGCCATGCGCGCCCAGAAGGTGTTGGGGCTGCGGATGGACTCCTCGTACAGGGTCTTGTACTCATCGAGGTCTTTCAGGTGGGTTCCTACGGGGTGTTTCTCGTGAAATGCTTGGGGGACATGGAAAGTGTCGACTTCGTGGGCCTCGTGGACCTGAAACGACGCGGCGTTAGCACGGACACCGGAGATTTCTCGGGGGGGCGGGGCGGCGGTGTTCTTACCACAGCGGGCTTGGGAGGTTTGACACTACCGTCAGACATGGTTGCGAGTCCCAACAAAGCGCTGCGCTGGGGCTGTGTATGTTTCAACAAAAAAAAAAAAAAAAAAAGAATGCAGGCGACGAGCGACGGGACACGCGACGCCAAATGGCTGAGAGCAATGGGCTGCGGGCGAGCAGAAGGCCGGAGGTCAGCTCCGGCACCAAGAGCAGGTGAGTTTGTGGGCGGGGGGGGGAATTGGGGATTAAGCTCACTATGTCACCGAAATGCAATTGTGCTGGTTGGTGGGGAGGAGGCAGAGTTTGGCGCAATGGCAGGTTTCCTCGGTACTAGTTGTAGTTGATTGAGTTGGAGAGGAAGAGGAAGGGAAATGGGTGGATGACGGAGGGATAATGAATGGGGGAGGAGAAGACTGAGGGAAGTAAAGTAGGAAGAGGGAAGAGGGAAGGAGAAAGAGAAGAGGAAGAAAGCAGCAGTTGTTGCCCGGAATGGGGGAAACGAGGCCGTTATTTATCGCACGCACGCCCGACCCATGGAGGAGGATGTTTTATTATTATTCTTCTTCTACTTCTTCTTCTTCTTCTTCTTTCTTACCTGGGAGCAATTGTTGAGGTCCCGCTCCCCCGGCGTCCGGAGTGGAGGCGGTTTAGTTAGGTTAGCCTAACTTTGTACCGACTGTACCTCATTATTCCCTCCATCCGCGACCGTGTCGACGTGCAGCTTCGGCCCAGGGTTCCAGACACGGAGGCGTCTTGCCTCCCACCACCCCGGGGTTCCCAGCTGATCGACTGGATCGACTGGATCGACTCCAAACATGAGGTAAGGTGGTGGCTACAGTGGCTACAGTGGCTACAGTGGCTACAGTGGCTACACAGTATGCAGTAGCTACACAGTATGCAGTCACACAGAGAGGCTCCGTCTATCAGACAGTACTAGGCAGTAAGTTTATGTTAATTAACGGCTCTTTGGGGGGGTCGCTGCGGGTCATGATAAGGAGGGGACTGCTCCAGTCTACACTATTAGAGTCAAAGGCACAGTGTTTTCCCGGCAGAAAAAGACCCAGGATGGAGGGGTCCTCGGAGAGGGACCTTCTCGCCTAGATACTTACTAGTCTAGTCCGCTGCATAGCGTTTGATATTCTTGTGCCAGTGTGCCAGACTGCCAGTCGCCCATTCAGCTTCCAGCGCTAGTCCAAACGCGCCACCAAAGGTTGGGCTCGGCCATGCGGGGCTTGACAGGCTCTCGTTTCCGTTGCTCCGGGGAAGATCAGGACTGAGTAACTGGAAGTCACCGTGACCCTGCGGCTACTCTAATTGCAACCTTGGCCGACTCCGGTGTATGCAGGATGCACGATGCACGAGGGGTGTATGTATGAGGTTACGAGGTCGAGACTCCATCCTCCCGCAAGCAACGATCCAGTACTACTACGACGATTACAATTGCCAGGATGATTATTACGGAGTACTCCGTACGAGCACAAGATTGCCCCGGACAATGGACCGAGAAGGTTTTGGCGGGGAGACATCAGCCCTCAGCGCCATCACCAACAGTATCACAAGAACAGTTGCCAAGCGCTGGATCGGAGGGGTAATCTCGTACCGGGCCTCCCCCATCCTTTCGTGAGGCTTGTGCCGTGCGGGGGAGCCAAACCTTGCACCGGGATTATGGGAGGGATGAAACCGCTTCTCTGGCACGATGCCCCCTCGAACCGTGGATGTGAGGATACAAAGCCGATCTGCGGTGCCCTCGAGCTGTTGAGCTGCTACTGCACGCACTACTACTACTTAGTCGGTTAGTCGGGGGGGGGGGGGGGGATTACCTTATCTTGGCCCATCTGCCTGCACGGCAGGGGGGGACGGCCCAATGAGACGGGCGGCTTGGCTGTTCGCGGAAGATGCGCAGAGGCCGGATTGGGGCACCCCTGCCTGCAGTGCCTGACGGTCGACCTTATAAGACAATTAATTACTAGTCCGGAGTAGTAGTTAGTATTATAGTATTGTAGTATTCCCGGTGAGCAGGTGATGCATACTCAGACGTGTATCCGGTGCTGTATTATTGAGTTATGAATGCGTCTGCAGGATCATGAGAGAGTCGAGTCAGGAAGCCAACTGGGACCTGTACCTGTCTTGACTGATGTCTACCTAACTGGAGTATACCCAAGTAAGTAAGTACTATGACGGCAATACTTTCCCTAACGGGAATCTCCAACAACTCACCAGATCATCAGCATCAGCATCAGCATCAATAGCGCCAGTCTCCTGCCAATGTACCTGGTACCTCCAGCCAGCTAGCAGGCCTGCTCGATGGACTACTTACTGACTATGGAGGCCGGCGGTCGGCGGCCGGAGCCGTGGTTCTCCTTGCGCAGCTTCGGCTACCGCGCTCCTTCTCTCCGTGCCCTGGACGAAACTCGGCCCACGGTTGCGGAGAACTGGAAGCTCTCTCTAGTCTCTCGACTCGATGCCTTCGTCCTGCCGAACATTCGGTTATTGCAGAAGGATATCGTCATGAATTAGATGCTAGATAGTCCATGCGACAGCAACAGCTCGAACACATCATCTAGACTATCTACAGAACTCGGACCTGAACAGGAGAACGTCCCCACCATGTCACCGACCACAGTTCGCTTGCTGTGGGGAGGATTGTGGGAGTGGCCATAGTAACGACTGTTAATGCCATTGTGGAGGCGGCCGGCACATCCCCATTTGACTCCCGAGGCGAGGCCGCCAACTCACGTTGGATCGACACTCGCCGGGCGCTGCCTCCCTGCCTCTCTGCCTTCCACGCTCGGACTGCCATAGAGACCTATAGGCTTACCCATTACTCCGTATCAATGTTTGAATGGGAGGATATTAATATGGACACGGTGCCTTCTTTTCTTTTCCATGTCTTCTGTCCCCTCCTCTGCATTCCGAGTCTCCCATTGCTCCCAACAAGCAAGCATGCAATAACCACCCACTCTGAAGGTGAGTCTGCCGCTACCGGCCCCTCCCCACTGCCGAGAGCACCCCATATGCTAATTAATCAATCTTCTTCCAGACCCTCTTTACTAGTTACTTTTCCACTATGGCGAGGGGCGGGCAAATCAACGCCCTGGAATGTCGCTCACTCTCTGCTCTCTCGACGCGAGACTATCTAGATACCCTTAAGAGCATCCCGACAGAATGCCCATGTCAATGCCCACTCACATCTCGTCTTATCGCTTGGGATTGCTATCTTGCTCATCCTAGTCATCGCATATCCACCGGTGCGGGTACTTTTACGGCTCTACCAGTACTAACTCTACCCGAGCCTACGGAGTCCTCCGCGACAGCCTCCTGATCCCCATCCCAATCCCAACCGGTGAGACAGCACGCCTTCGGTGCCTCCCTGATTGGACCTCACTTTCCTGGCCAAGCCAGGATGGGACTCTGGCTGTCCCGCCAGCTGCAGCTTGGGCAGTAGTCTCTCCGCACTAAGCTTCTCGGTCCGCTTTTGCCAGTGGGAGGTTGGCTTCGAGCCCGCCACTAGTCGGCTCTAGTCGTGACCCAGCCGGCGCGGCTTCGGAGGGCGAAATTGAAAAACGGCGCTTCTCTGGTCCGTCGCCATCTCAAACACGACGGCAGGCTGCCTTTCAATTAATCTCCTCGCCCGGCCCTAGTCAGCCGATGGATCAGTACGCGTTGTCCTGTGTCCTGAGTCCGTGTCCGGTTGCCATGCTAGTGCGTGCTAGGGGCTGCGACTCGTCCGCGCCGCAACTAAGATCAACCTCTCGATCGGGTATAGATAGGGATGGCCAATGGTCCGAATCGGGGCATAATATAGAGAACCGGGCAGGGGGTTGGAAATGACAGACGACCAACCCTCCCTTTCCCGGACTACGACTGGTTTGTGTGACAACTGATATCATCTCAATCTCTAGGGAGTAGCCTGCGTCGGGGTGTACACCAGAAATCGACCAGGTCGCGCTGCGCAAACCAATTGTCTCGAGCCTACGAACCTTTTGGCGTCGCAGCTAATCTCAACCGCCAGGGATAAACAAACCTACGGTGTGACCTGAGTCGGGATTTAACGTACAGAAACCGGACAGACAGAGGCAAGGGCTGGTTGTCTGTCTGTCCTACCTACCACTACAACTGCGCACGTGGAGCGACTGCCTCCGTACCAACCGATGGCCACGAAGACCGGGATCATCATCGCATAGGCTTGGGGATCTACAAACTGTACACTATAGCTAACTAGCTACCCGATAACCAACCTCGCTGTCCCCGTAGCTATCATCTAGCAGTCCTCTACCTCGGTAGTAAACCTGCACCTCTCCCCACCATCCATACCCAGCACAACCTCATAAACAGCATATATCATATCATTAACACTCTTAACAATGTAACAAAGAAAATAGAAATAAAAATATAGTATTCACAATACAACCCTCCCCCCACGTAAAACCAAACATAGCTGTAATTTTAATTTCAATTTCAAACAATCCACTCCCTAGACCACCAACTCGCCACCCCAAACAAAAACACCACCAAACTGCCATCCCGAACCACATCCTTACCCACCTGCATCCAACCGCGCACGCCGCCCGAGCCCCCCAGCCCCAAAATCCTCATGGCACTCAACACCGCCTCGCCCGTCACAAACAGCACGAACGGGTTCCGGGCTGTCGCCGGCGGCGGCGGCTGAGCTCCATACGTGGACACCGCAGCCCCCATCAACACAAGCAGATAGACCCCGATGATGACGGAAAACAGCACGTGGATGTTCTTCCACAGCACGGTATGCTTCTTTTCCGATTCGCTGGGCGCGGACGTCGCGGAGGTGATTAGGCTGGCGAGGAAGGGGGGAACGCCGAGGCTGGAGAGGAGGGAGGCGGTCGGGTTGAAGCCTGCGCCTGCATCTGGTCCGGAACCGGAACCGGAACCGGGGAATTGGGTCGGGTTGTTGGGGTCGAGGTTGAAGCCCGCGGGGAGGTCTGCGCCGGCGCTGCTGAGGAGGCTTTGGAGGAGTTTGAGGGTTGGGTCTTCGTCTTGGCCTTGGGCTTGTCCTGGGAATTGGAATGGGGGCTGCGGTTGGAATTGCGCTTGGAAATTGCCGTCCTCGGGGTATGGCCCCGGCCCTGGGTCCATGTTCTCGGGCGAGAAGCCCGCGGCTTGGATTTGGCGGATTAGTCGCTGTTGGCGCTCGTATTCGCTGTCTGTGGACAGGATGGTGGGCGGTTTGGGCGGCTCGACTATGGAGATGGAGGTTTTGCGGGGCGTCGAGGTGGTGGTTGTCTGACTTTGTGGTGTTGGGGAGGGGGATGGGGATGGGGATGGGGATTCTGGCGCTGAGGCGAAGGGTGAGGTGGATGTTGGGTTTGCGGTTGAAGCGGAGGTCGAGGCGGATGGGGAGGGGGAGGGAGAGGTTTCTTCGCGGACTGGTGGGGTGTTCGTTAGTACTATTGCTTCGTATTGCTTGGGATTCTGGGGGTGAGTTGGGTTGGGGATGGATGCGGATGAAGATGATGGAGAGAACGTACGACTCGCCGGGGTGCGTCCGCTCAGACTCGTGATCTTGTCGAGACGCGCGGCGCCATCGCCCTTGATTTTGGCTTCGCGGCGCTCACGGCGCTGGCGGGCGGCCCTTTGGGCGGGGGATTCCTCGGTGGAGGACATGGTATGGTATCTGGTGATGGTTGTTGGTGATGTGGAGGGGAGGTTGTTGTGACGTTGCGGGTTCGTGAGGGTGGTCGATCGGAGCTTTGGTTGTGGTCGGGGTTGTGGTCGGGGTTGCGACTGTTTTGCGACTGTTTTGCGACTGTTTTGCGACGGGGTTGAGTCTGTGTGACTCGGGGAAGGAGTTGGGGATTCACCGCAGGCTGGCGGGCGGAGATGGAAAGGGTGGTGTTTTGGAGTGGTGGTGAAGGTGAGGTGGTGATGTTGGAGGCGGTGGGTGAGTTACGTTACTTGACGGTGGCCGGGCGGAGCCTCTCGCCTCGCTCTTCTATCAAGTCACTCGTTCCCTTCTCAATCACTGCTGTAATTTTTACAGCTTTACAAAGAATGGATTCTATGCTGAGTTGATTGATTCAGTAGCTGTGAGAAATATTCCTCAGCAGAGTGTAGGCTGTTCGTCATTCAGGAACTACTATATATTTTCGACGGCAAGCATGCTCTACGCCAGTAACTATCCAAACACAGCACTTTTCTGGAAATAACTAAAAACCATATATCAAAAAGTCAACCATCATCTCGACCATTTACTGAGACCGTCTAAGACCACTGCGACCATTAACCCCCCATAAACAGTCCTACTGAGACAAGAAGTGGATCGACTGTGTATACAGAGCGCCCTTACTGTGGTCAATCACCGCAACAGAAAGGTGGAAGAATAGCCCCGTGGATCAATCTAGGCACAAGGAAACCCGGTCTGCAAGGCCAGCCAGCCAGAACCGGGCAGAAGATGGCCTGATCCTAGCCAAGGCTGGGCTGAACGCATTGTGTGAAGATCGTGGAGTCTCATTGGCCTGCGGGAGTGACATCATGGATGGCATAACGTGTAACGGCTCTATCCCAGGAGGCCAGCATCCCGCACCCCAGACGGGTTGTCTATATATGATATTCGGAGGAGATCGAAGTGACCCAACTGCTACTCAGTCACTACCTGCAAACAAAGTGTAGCGTAAATCGACAGACAGTCTCTAGTGGTGAAAGTAAGGCCAGGATTCCGCCGCGATGACGGCGACCAGCGGAACCAGAACCAGATCCAGAGCTCCTTGTCGATCCTCCCACCCGTCGGGATTACATACTTTACTGCATGTACTCCGTACTATCTACTACATACTATCTATGTACCCTCCAACAGCCTCGGACGCGTCCGACGTCCATTGGCGGCGAGCTCTCCACAATGACGTAGTGGAGTCTCGTAGGGCAGACGCCTGCTTCCTGCTTCCTCCATTCAATTAATTCTCGCCAGTCATCCTCACCAGTTACTCTTCTCTCCTTCAACCACACTGCGGAGGCCGGCCTGCGAACCGAGAGATGAGACCTCATCTCCCCGCCCTACCCCCTACAGCCCCGAACCTGACACCACCACACCACCATCACCATGCCCCAGGATCACCATGGCCGGGATTCCCCCCGGTCTCATCGCGTGGGGGAGCACTGGAGCGGTGCCAACCCCGTCCCCACCATCGGCCGGTTCCTCGAGCGCCTCGAAATCGATAAGCAAGAAAGAAAAGCCCATGAGGAAGCCCTGCTGGCGAAGAAGAGGGAGAAGGAGGAACGCGGGGAGGAGATGCCCCATAAGCCGCGGAAGACCACTGGCAAGACTCGCATGGTGACCGACCCGACTACCGGAAATGATATCGAAGTCGAGGACCTCGATGCCGATGCTATGGACGCCGTGAAGGATCCCAAGGTATCTATCCCGGCGCTCTCTCCCACTATTGTCGACTGACTTCTGGACTCTGATAGCTCATTGTCCCGAACGCCAATGTCGGAAAGCCTACGGTGAGTTGAAGCTACACTGTAATCTGTATATACTATACCTGGACAATCGCTCATTCCGTAGGACGTCAAAACCGAAGCCACCCAGAGTCTCTCCCAATACAAAGAAAACCAGGATATCACCGCCCCCCCGGACCCCATTGCAGAGGGCACCACCTCCGATGTGCCCATCCACGGCGAGAAAACAAACGTCCTCTTCCACCCCACCCCGACGGTCACATACAAGCCCATGTTTGACCAGCTGGAGAGACGAGGCATGGGTCTGTGCATCGGCATTGTGGCAGCGATCGTCTTCCTGGGCCGCATCTTCGGCGGTTCCTTATGGGGCCTCCTCCCGCTGGGATGTGGGATTGCCAGCGCCATGTGGCTCTGGATTCAAGAGTTGATAAAAAGTGGTCGCGAAATGGAATGGAGCAGCGAGCAGATCCGAGGCCAGATGGTGGGCTCTGCGGTAACCTTTTGGATATAGTACAGTCGTGCTGACGGGTATAGGCCACCGCGAATCTGCTCCCCGAGTCGGTCGAATGGATGAACTCCTTCCTGGGCGTCTTCTGGGGCCTCATCAACCCGGAGATGCTGTCACCGGTCGCCGATACCATCGAAGATATCATGCAGGCGTCTGCGCCGGGTGTGGTCGAGAACGTTCGGATTGCCGAGATCGACCAGGGCAACAACCCTCTGCGGATTTTGAGTCTGCGCTCTCTCCCCGACTCCCATGTCCAGCAGCTCAAGGATCACGTCCATGAGGAAAACGTCAAGAATAAAGACCCCCAGGAGGCGGCTGCGGCCGAGGAGGGCGGCAGCTACTACAACATGGAGGTTTCCTTTGCCTACCATGCGAAGCCGAGTGGTCAAACGGCCTCGTCCAAGGCACGCAACATGCACATGCAGATCGTGTTCTACCTCGGAATCAAAGGCCTCTTCGGGGTGCCCTTCCCGGTGTTTGTGGAGCTGACAGAGATGGTCGGAACGGTGCGTGCAAGATTCCAGATGATGCCAGAGGCGCCATTCATGAAGGATGTCACCTTCAGCCTGGTCGGGCTCCCGCACATCAAAGCTGGGTGCATGCCCATGATCAAAGGGGGCGTCAATATCCTGAATCTCCCATTGATTTCGAACTTTGTCAACTATGCCATCGCCACCGCCTCCGGGCTCTTCGCGGCCCCGAAGTCCATGACCATGGACCTCAGCTCGATCCTCAAAGGGGATGACATCCTTAAAGAAACCCAGGCGCTGGGCGTCATGTGGGTTCGGATTCACCGTGCGATCGGACTGAGCAAGCAGGACCGGCGTGGTAGCTACGGCGGCGGCAGCGATCCCTACATCAACCTGTCCTTCTCGAAGTACGGCAAACCCATGTACTGTACACGAGTGATCTGCGACGATCTGAACCCGGTCTGGGAAGAGACGGCGGCGCTACTGGTGACGCCGGAGCTGATCAAGGCCGACGAGGCGCTCAGCGTAGAACTCTGGGATTCGGATCGAACTACTGCGGATGACATTGTCGGCAAGGTGGAGTTGCCGATCCGGAAAATGATCCAGCATCCGGGCAAAATGTACGCCCAAGTCTCGAAGCTCCAGGGCCTGAGCGAGGGGAGCGAAATGCCAGGAGAGCTCCACTGGGAAGTTGGATTCTTCGGCAAGCCCAAGCTGAGGGCCGAGTTGATGACCGACGGCAAGAAGAAAGACCTGCCTGATAACTTCAAGGATGTCCCGGAGTTCCAAGACGAGAAGGGCGTCATCAGCAACGAGCTCGAAGATGCCGTCACCAAGACCCCCCCGGACCCGTTATGGCCCAGCGGCATCCTGAGCGTCGTGGTGCATCAGATCGTCAACCTGGAGACCGAGAACGTAAAAGGCAGCAACGGCAACCGCAATGGACGAGAATACGAGCCGGCCAAGCCATTTGGCGAGCAAAAGGAGGAGCAGGGCGAGAAGCTGCCGACGAGCTACTGCAAGATCATTATCAACGACGAGCTGGTGAGTCCTCCAACACATATCCTTCGATTTCACTAACCGTCCAGGTCTACCGCACCCGCGCCAAAGCCCTAAGCTCCAAGCCGATTTTCAACGCCGGAACCGAACGCTTCGTCCGGGACTGGCGGTCTGCCTTCGTCACTGTGAGCGTCCGCGACCAACGCTATCGACAACACGACCCCATCCTCGGTGTTATCCCGCTGAAGATCTCCGACCTTCTCCAGACCAGCTCGCAGGTCACCCGGTGGTACCCTCTGGACGGCGGCGTCGGATTCGGACGGATCCGCATCTCCATCCTCCTCCGCCACGTCGAGACCCGACTCCCCCCCAGCCTACTAGGCTGGGACGTGGGCACCTTCGAATTCGCCTCGGACAAGATCACCATACAGAACTTCAACCAGCGGTCCAAGATCCGCCTCCGCACCGGAGGCAGCAGCGGCAAGATCACCCGCCATGTCTGCTCCGTCGAGGGGAGCAACATGAGCTACGACATCTCTGACGAAGCATTCCGCCGCAGCATCCGCCTTCCCGTCAAGCACCGCTACCGATCCCCGGTCGTCTTCGAATTCCACCCCCAAGGCCACCACCACCATCACCACCCGACTGCCTACGCCGTCTACTGGCTCCAACACATCCCGGACAACGAAGAAACCATCATCGACATCCCGATATGGGCGACCAAGAACGGCAAACGCCTCACGCAGAACTACATCACGGAACGCAACTGCGAGATCAAACGCAGCCCGGGCCTCGAAGACCTGCACGAGGTCGGCCGCCTGCAGTTCCGCGGCTACTTCAGCCCCGGCATCGACGAGTCCCACGAACGATTCGTCGTCGACAACGAATCGCGCGAGACCTTCGAGACCTGGGAAGCCTGCATCGCCGAGGGCGTCCGCTCGCGACGCATCTCCGCCGACATCCCCGAGGACGTGGCCCAGCTGCACGAGAAATCCCTCCTCGACGGCCGAGACATCCTCAAGCACGCGGAACCCCGCGAACGCAAACGCTGGATCGACAAGCAGGGCCAGGACTGGAGTGGGGCATTCGGACATGACCCCGGCGCGTACCTCAACCAACACGGCCACCAGGTGGCCGAACCAGGGCGCGAGAATCCCCCTCACGACCCGGTCAATCCGCCGCGTACCGTCGCCACCGCCCACGGCACCATGCACGCCGAAGAAGCGCAACACGAGCCCTCCCCTCCGCACCAAGAAGCCCAAGCCCAACAGCAAGCAACCCCAAACCAACCCCCCGGCCCACGACCAGTCGAACCAGCCGAACCGCCCGGAGACAACGGCAACGACGGCAGCGACGGCTCCTCCTCCAGCGAAACGGAAGACGACAACGACGACGAATACTACCCGCACCAACAACACGCGCAACAACGGGTCTCCTCCAGCGGCACCTTCACCAGCGGCGCGAGCGCGAGTGGCAGCGGGCCCAACCGCCAAAGCACCGACGGATCGTCATCCATCTCCTCCAAGAAAGCGAACAAGCGGAGCGAGCAGCGCCAGCAGCGCGGGATGATGCAGTGGAAGCCCGTCCGGAACGCGGTGTTTGCGCGTGACGAGACCAAGTTTGCGCTTCGGAGGGTGAAGAGGAAGTTTACGGGCGATTTGGCGGGTAGGGAGCCGGATATCGAGACGGAGACGGGGACGTGACTCGTTTGGTTGATGGAGTGGGTGAGGGAGAGGAGGGGGAGGTTGAGGGGAAGAGATGGAACGGGTTGGGATGGGGATGGGGGAGGAAATGGGGAAGGGGGAGGTATCCTGGTGTGGGTGGATAGGGACAGGGGGTGCATTGTACAAACTTTGGAAACGTGATAGTTGTATTGTTATTAGTATACTTGTATTATATGTGATCTACAGGTTCTAGGTAGCGAATGGGCACCGTTTATAGGTCAATTTGTGATAGATATGGATATATCGTTCATAAACATATTCAAACAGCTCAACCATCTTTCCACAGTTAGGCGCATCTCTAAGGGATATAAGACTATGAAGCATACATTAATAACAGTCTATGTGAAAATTAGCTAGTTAATTAAGATTCGTGATCAACCCCTGCGATAATGGCCCCCTTCATTCTGTCAGTATGCGACGTTGAGCTACGTATGGGGGGGCACTACAGCAGAGAAAGACCTGTCAGCAACAACTGCAACAACAATCGGCAGGTTAGGAACGGATGGCTTTTTTTCCCCTAACATCCCCAACCTACAACAATTCCAGATGCTATGATAGTATGTGAGAAACTTGGATTGATAGACTGTGCATCATCGAAGACAACGTGGAAGAGAAGATGACTCAAATCAATGCCATGGATGTTATCTACAGTTGCGCTATGGTTACATTGGTCGCTCTAGCCGGCAGAGATGCCAGCCATGGCTTTCCTGGGCGTTTCTATCCGAGAACGACCTCGATTTCCAGTTCTAGAGACACAAGGATGATACTATATGAAGGCGGTGCGGTGTCAGATACCACCGAGAAACAGCACCCCTAGCACTCTGGGCATTGTGTAGTCCGATATCTGCAGTACGGCAACCGTGCCATATGGCGGTCCGGGGATGGTCATCTCTCTAAACATGTCCTCGTGGCAGTCCTTGACGCATTGCTGGGAGGTTAAGTACTATCCAGTGAAACTACCCCCCCCACCACTAGACGTCCATGGGGAAAGAAGGCCGTATTGAGGGTTCCATGACGTCTTTAATGCCATTATACGACCTCTGCAAAACCGCCCACGGGCTCCGGGATGACGGTATCACCGCTGACTCTGACCCAAGCCGATATTTCCCTCCTTCTAGTCTTGCCCGTGGCTCTAAACCCGGGCGCCTCCTAGTCTATACCCGGTTTATTCAAGTCCCATTGAAGAACGTACCCCTCATACCCGAGAATAGATCAAAGGACGAAGTAGTTATGTACATAAGTAAACCACCTACAGTAAGTAAGGGTTAGAATGAGCAGATTAGAGAGTGGAATGGGGTAGATGGAAATACTCATACCCTGCTAGAATAGGACAGAGTACAGCGTACTACGATGTATGTTTCCCGTCTTCCAGTCCGCAAGATGCCTGAGTTGACTGATTCAGAGGAGATCATCATGTATTGAGGATGTGTATGGATGTGTATGGATGTGTATGGATGTGTATGGATGTGTATGGATGTGTATGTGTATGGGTGCTGAGATTATCCAGGATATAGGTGCAGATAGATAAATAGATAGATAAATAGACCACTAGGGGAATCACGGTGGGTGATAGTAAGAATAAGGGTGAGTGGGAGGATTGGATGGAGGGAGGGAGGGAGGGAGATAGTGTGTCTGTGAATAGGTAGGTAGGTAAGTAGGTAAGTAAGTATGTATGTAGGATAAACCATCATATGCCAGCAGTAAGGGTGCCCGCACCACTCACTCACTCACTCACTCACTCACTGCCAATCCATCTATTCATGCATCCACGCAGATGAAGATGCACATGCACATGCACATGCACATGCACCTGCACCTGTCGCTATTTACTTATTTATATCCCACATCGATATTCCATATTCCATATTCCACATCCCTATGCCACACAGCATGCATATCGCATGCATACTACAGTGACGTCACGTCACCGACCATCATCATTACTGATACTGCTACTGATACCGATCCTGTTACTATTTTAAGCGCGATCGGGAGATCGACCAGAGTCAGAAAGACAGCCAAGGCTAGATAATAGTTATAGAACCGAAGAATCTCGTATTCGAAATGATGCGATGCATGAGGAACACGCATGCATGCATGCATACAAGTATGCAAGTATATATGTATTATTGAAATAATAAAAAGCAAAGTAAAATATGTATAAAGAAGGAAAAGGAGTTGGTCGGTGGGTGTGTATGGATGGGTGGGGGTGGGCTCTGGCTATGGAAGCAAAAATATGAATGACATCATAGCGTCAGACTCGGATGGATCGGAATGTTGGCTGGCATTCAGATGGGAGGAATGAGGGTCGACCGGAAAAGAAGAAAGAATGAAGGGTAGGTAGGGAGGTAGCATAGTAAGTGGGTAGAAATGAGGTGGTAAGTGAAGAGAAGAAGAGTAGGTAGTATGCCGTCTATATGCATAAGTCGTGATCATCAATGCAAGGGGTTCGTAACCAAGGCATGGATGGGGGTTATCGTGGGTGATCGACATTCATCATGCATTCGGGTAGTAGTTGTCGTTCGTGAGTCGTGTCAGCCTGGGACTCGTGAGTGTCCCTCCCGGAGGGAACGGACGAGCTGGGGCTGGAGTGGTGGTCTGTATAGGTGGTGGTGGTGGTGGTGCAGGTGCTGGAGCTGGAAGCGGGCGCGTCGGTTTCGGACGGAGGAGGTATCGTTTCAGCGGCCACGGCCACGGAGGGTCTCGTCTCATCCTGAAGCACAGTTTCGCCCTTCTCCAACGGTCCCAGGGTCCATCGCCACTCGCAACGGCGTTTGGCCCGTTTCCTGCGCGGCGTCTGCGGCGTGAGGGCCCCGTAGTTGGTTCCGGCCAGCCCGTCCATCAGGGCCACCGCCCGCACCTGTCGCTCGGCGTTGTGGTGCTTCCGCTTCTTCCGCTTGATCGGAGACAGTGGGGTCTTGCCTGAGACAGTTGTTGTTCGCGTTGTGTCAGGCTCGTCCTCGGAGGTGGTGGTGCTGCTGCTGCTGCTGGAACCGCCGCTGGTGGTGGAATCCGAGTCATCGTCGGAGGTCGAGATGGAGGGCTCGGGCAGCAGCTGAGGGACAGGCTCATCGTGGAGATCGGAGTGGCGGGCAGTGTAGCGCACCGTCTGGATCTCCTCCTCCAGCGGAAAGCGATAACTGACTTGCTTCTTGGCGGGAAAGAAGACGCGGCGCGAACTCGGACCGCCGTTCGGGCCGTTGTTGGTGGCCACCGATCCGGACCGGCGGCGGCAGCTCGGCTCCAGTGGCGAGTTGCGCAGGATGCTTCTCACCCCGAGCGGCAGTTGGTAGGGGTGGTGGGTGGTGAAGGGCGAGGAGGGCTTGCTGAAGCGGGTGCTGGTGCTGGTGCTGGTGCTGGGGAATTTGGACGAGGGTGACGCGGTGGCGGACGAGGGGGCCACCTCGTAGGCGTTCTTAAAGGTGTTGCGCACCGTGGGCGACGCTGTTGGGCCGGCGGCCAGCGAGAGCGACAGGCCAGTCGATGAGGTGCCGAACGTGCGTGGCAGCGAGGAGGTTTGGAGGGTCAGTTTGGGACGTGAGGCGATGGCCGGTCGGGAGGCCGTCGGGGCAGTCGCGGCCAGACTGTAGGCCATGGTGGTGGAAGGCGACGGATGTGATTGCGGGGTCATGGGGGTCGCGAGCATGGCGAAGGCCCCAAACACAGAGGGAGAGTTAGGAAGTAGAAGAAGAGGAGGAAGAAGAGGAAGAAGAGGAGGAAGAAGAGGCGGAAGAGGGAGGGAGAAGGACAAAAGACGACGGTGTAACAGGCCCCGCAGTGAGGGTAAAAAAAGTAGGAGGGTGATGGGAGGAGGTGCAGGACGATAAGGTTCTGAAATAAGACCAGGTGGGAGCCAAATAATAATATTATAATAATAAGAATAAGAATAAGAATAAAAATAATAAAAAGAAGATGGGGGAAACCGACGTGGGCGCTTGTTGTGCAAGGGTTTCTATTTTCGAACCGATGCCTGGTCGTAGATCAGTTAGTTAGTGATCAAGTACTAGTTAACCAACAGTCTCGAATAAATTCAGGGCTTGGGCCATGTGGCGGAGAGCACAACGATCTTGACAAGAAGAAGAATTGTCTAGTTATCTATCTAGTGTCTACTGACTGTGGACTGGAAAGTGCTTAGCCGCTGGGGAAATTAGATTAATCTTAATCCCAAGGGCTAAATTTACGCGCATCGGGCCTGTCGACACTAAACCAGACTAATTATATCCCAACTATTGACGCCGCCGACAGGCCCCAGTTTTCCAGCGATCGAGAATGGCCGATCCTCACCCGGCTCCATTCCATCAACCTCCATCTTTCCATCCATCTTCCGGGCGAGACACGCGGCCCTGTCTGTCTGTGTCTCTGTCTGTGTCTCTGTCTGTGTCTCTGTTTCTGTTTCTGTTTCTGTTTCTGTTCTGTCCGTCTGTCTTCTGATCGGAATATCCCCACGAGCCCTGCTTTGGTCTGGTCTGACTCAACCCGGAGAACTGAGAGACAGTGTGTTATGTGTTAAGGTCGACAGGCAGAAGGGCAGCCCTCGATATTTATAGCACCTGCCCCCCCCAGAGCCAATCAGCGGTGACGATGACGCGGTGTTCTATAAATGGCTTAGTGCCTGCACGAGGCCGGTGGGGTCTTGGCCGTATGCGGTTAGCGTGGCAGCCGGACCGGTGACCACCGCTGAGTCAGCCAGGGTCCGGGGGGGGGCACCAGCCACCCCGCGTGACCGGCGCACCCCGCCACATCCCAGCCACGTCCCAGCCGGTGGTTTCTTGTCCAATCAGCGGGGCTGTCATCTTACAACCTTACAGTCTTCAGTCTTACAGTCTTACAGTCTTCCACTAGTACTAATCCTAGTATACTCCGGTGTACCGGCCGGTAGATAGAATATCTAGATACTATCTACTATCTATCTACTATCTACATGGTTAGTCGGGCTTGATATTTGCGACTAGCAAAGTCTCTTCAGCAGATGGCGGTCACGGTCGAGATCCATCGCCAGCCTCCAGGAATAAGAATCATCATCACCAGCAGAATCTGCAGTCTAGTCCATGGCTGTGGCTCCATCCAGAGACGACCGTCGAATCATCCTCCACTTTGTCAGTCTCCGTCTCACTCACACTCCCACAACCCAGCCCTGACCGCCACACTACAGGATTATGACTGTTTCTACGCCTCCGTCTTCGAGGCCGAACAGCCCGTGCTGAAAACCCTGCCACTGGCCGTGCAGCAGAAACAGATCGTGGTGACCTGCAACTATGAGGCCCGGCGCCGGGGATTACGCAAACTGCAACTGATCAGGGAGGCCCGCCAGATCTGCCCGGATGTCGTCATCGTCCTGGGCGAGGACCTGTCCAAATTTCGCGATGTCTCGAAGGCGCTGTTCCTGTTCCTGCGGTCCTTCGTCTGGGGAGGGAACGTGGAAAGGCTGGGGTTCGATGAGGTGCGTAAGCGGTGCTGGCTGTCTGCTTTCTCCACGAGTTCATGCAGAGTGCGCTGCAGTTGAGCAGAGCCCCCCCCCCCCCCCCCCCAAGTCTAACGTTGACCCGGCAGGTGTTCCTGGATGTCACCGAGATGATCCGCTACAACGTTGATCTGCTGAACCGGCATGATCTGGAACATTCATTCTTTCACCTGGACCGCCAAGAGCCCACGGTGGGTTTCACGTATGATGCCACCCGAGTCCACGGCTCCACTTATCCGGGCGCTGCGCCCTCAACCGCAGCGGAGACTGCTGAGTCTGCTGAGTCTGCTGCGCTGCGCACGCGATTGCTGGTTGCCTCGCATCTGGCCGGCTTCTTGCGCGCCGAACTCGAGCACCGCAAGGGCTACACTGCCACGGTGGGGATCGCGACCTCCAAGCTCCTCGCCAAGCTGGCAGGCAGCACCCATAAGCCCAACAACCAGACCACCCTGCTCCCGCCTTATGTCACCGTGCGCGACCGCAGCAGCAATGTCCACGACTTTCTCGATGCCCACGAGATCCGGCAAATCCCCGGACTCGGATCCAAGCTGACGGCAAAGCTCGTCAGCTACCTGGCCGGTGCTCGCGCCGACGGTGCCACGCCCGCTGACCGGGTCACCGTCCGAGATGTCCGCCTGGCGCCTGGCATGGGACCGGCTCGGCTGGATCGCATCCTGGGAGGACCAGGGGCGCCCCGAGACATTGGCGCACGCGTCTGGGGGCTCATCAATGGCGTAGACAATAGCGAGGTCGCCCAGACCGGCGACCTGCCCACCCAGATCAGCATCGAGGACTCCTACGGTCGTCTCGATAGCCTCGAAGCCGTCCGGAGAGCGCTGGACGCCTTGGCAGCCAGCCTACTCCGGCGGATGCGGACGGATCTGACGGAACCAGATGAGACAGGCACAGAATCCCAGCCTCGAACGCGATGGCTCGCTCGTCCGCGGACCCTGCGACTGTCGACTCGACCCAGGTCTGCCAACGACGCTCAGTCGTACCAGGGGAACCGCATCTCGCGCTCGGCACCCGTCCCCTCGTATGTATTCCATCTGGACGAGAGCGTGGATGCCATCGCCGAGCGACTGGTGCAGGAGGTGCTGCTCGCCATGTTTCGCCGGCTTCACCCCGAGAAGTCCGGGTGGAACCTGCGTCTGATGAACGTTGCGGTGACGAACCTGGTGGAAGCGGCAGGGGATCGCAAGCAGAGCAGCGGGCGCGACATCGGAAAAATGTTCCAGAGCCAGGGGTCGCGGATGGATGTGGTTTCCGACATGCAACCGAGTCTTTTGGAGGGCAGCAACCCGTCGCAGACATCATTATTAACTGGTAGCCACGGGCTGGCCGGTGGATCTCCCCGAGATGCTGACCCGAACCCAATAGTCGAGGAAGAGGAAGCGGCGTGGGAGGACAGCGACGAGGAGGAAAGCATGCCCAGCGAAGCATGTGGGGAGTGCGGGATCCTGATTCCTCATTTCGCGCGGGAGGCTCATGAGTTGTACCATGCGGTGCCTGACTGATTGGATGACATCATGATTGTAAGACACATATGCAGCGCAGTCTGGACAGACTAACGAAATGGCCAGAAGATAGTATTCTATCCTTCCATTATTATTATTATTATTATTATTATTATGCAATGATGCTGCATAACAGACGGTGAAGATGTAAACTTCGATGGAGCGCCATGGGTCTTGGCGGCCGTCCGCCCGCCAACCGATTTGGTGGTTCTTCCCCGGAGACCCTGTCCCGCCAGGGTCTTTTCTTCTTCTTCTTCTTGTCTATTCCTCCTCCTTTTCTCTGCTTTCTTCCACCCTCGTTCTTCGTCCCTCTCCTTAGCCTCTCCACCAGCCTCTTCACCAGCCTCTCCCTCTCTCCCTGTTGGCACCTCCATTCGTTGCAACGACTGCCCTCGTCCGCCCGCCAAGCCGGCTGCGCCCCCAGCCAAGCCGACATCCCCCATTCATTGCCTCCATTCCAAGCAGTGCCCGGGCAACCGGTCCTGTCATTGCGCGCGCTTCCGGTCTTAGACTGTTAGACTGCTAGACAAACCCCCAGGAGTCAGCGTGTGGCCGGAGGAGGAAAGAACACGTCCACCTGGTTACCCACCCCGTCATACATGATCGGACCCCCAGCCAAGATCGCGAACGGGTCCGTCGGAGCGTGAAGTCTCACGTTTCGTCGCTGCCTGTTGCTGGGCTCGAGTCCTACCTCCTCTCCCTCCCTCTTTTCTCCTCTCCACCAGCCTCGTCGGTCTCTGGCGGTGCATCACTGTGGCAGCCATGCGGTTTCTCTCCTCCCTTTCCTGCATTGCCACGGTAATATCATTCTTTGGAGACGTGCAAGGTCAGTTGACTCCCGCGACCGTCCGCTGCCTCAATCCGCGGGCATCGTGCTAACCAGACCAGCTCGATCGCAATCACCGAGCGCCATCCAGCACATCTCGACGCTGGACCACCCTACGATCAAGACCCCCTCGCAGCGCGTCGACCATCTGGCCCACTTCGACTTCACCTTTAACCTCCACGACAACAGTCAACGCATCAAGCTCGAGCTCGAGCCCAACCATGACATCCTCGCGGACGATGCCTACGTGCAGTACCTCGATGCGGACGGCAACGTTCGCCGGGAGGAGGCCATTGCGCGCCACGACCACAAGGTCTTCAAGGGCAGGACCCTGGTCGGCCGGGGCAAGGGCATGTGGGATCCCGCGGGCTGGGCGAGGATATACCTGAAGCACGACGGCCCGCAGCCGCTGTTCGAGGGCGTCTTCAGCGTTCATGGCGACAACCACCATGTCGAGCTCAAATCCACCTATCTGCAGAAGAAGCGCGAGAAGGATATTGACGTTCCCAATACCAAGGGGGACTATATGATCTTCTACCGGGACTCAGACATGGTGCGGGTGCACACGGAGCTGAAGCGCTCGTCGCTCGGGTCCACCTCGTGCCAGGCCGACAAGCTTGGCTTCAACGCAGACCCAAACCACCCCGTCCTGCAGTCCTTCGGGCAGGAGGACAGGAGCACATGGGGCGCGATGTCTTTGAACTCCTTGTTTGGCCTCAGTAAACGGCAATCGGATATCGGCAGCGTCTCCGGGAATGCTGGCGGCGTCAATCTGCAGTCCACAATTGGCGATACATCGGGCTGTCCGAGCACCAAGCAGGTGGCCCTGATTGGCGTGGCCACGGACTGCTCGTTTACCGGCTCATTTGACGACGAGAGCGCCGCGAAGCAGTGGGTGATCAGCACCGTCAACAGCGCGTCCAATGTCTACGAGAAGTCTTTCAACATCACCATCGGCCTGCGGAACCTGACCATCACGGACAGCTCGTGTCCGGACAACCCCCCCGCGGCGACCGCGTGGAACATCCCCTGCTCCAGCGGGAACCTCACGTCCCGTCTGGACCTCTTCTCCAAGTGGCGTGGGGACCAGAAGGACGACAACGCGTACTGGACCCTGATGAGCGACTGCGCCACCGGCAGCGAGGTCGGACTGTCCTGGCTGGGCCAGCTCTGCAACGCCGACGTCTCCTCGGACGGCTCCAGCGCGGTCAGCGGGACCAACGTCGTCGTGCGGTCCTCGGGGGCGAGCTGGCAGATCTTCGCCCACGAATCGGGCCACACCTTTGGCGCAGTCCACGACTGCGACTCGCAGACCTGCTCCGAGGATCTCGAGGCCTCCTCCCAGTGCTGTCCCCTCACCTCCTCCACGTGTGACGCAGACGGCAAGTACATCATGAACCCGACGACCGGGACGGACATCACCCAGTTCTCGGCGTGCACGATCGGCAACATCTGCTCGGCGCTGGGCGGCAACAGCGTCAAATCCAGCTGTCTCTCGGCCAACCGCGACGTGACCACCTACACGGGCAGCCAGTGCGGCAACGGCATCGTCGAGTCTGGCGAGGACTGCGACTGCGGCGGGGAGGAATCCTGCGGTGACAACCAGTGCTGCGACGCCACGACGTGCAAGTTCAAATCCGGCGCCGTGTGCGACGACTCCAACGACAGCTGCTGCTCCAGCTGCCAGTACGCCTCCTCCGGCACCGTCTGTCGGGCCAGCCGGGGCCAATGCGATCTCGCCGAGACCTGCAGCGGCAACTCCAGCACCTGCCCCGCCGACTCCTTCAAGAAAGACGGCACCAGCTGCGGGACCAGCGGCTCGGGGCTCGCCTGCGCCAGCGGCCAATGCACCAGCCGCGACTATCAGTGTCGCAGCGTCATGGGCAGCCTGCTGCACAACAATGATACCTACGCCTGCGACGCCTTCAGCTCGTCCTGCGAGCTGATCTGCACCTCCCCCAAGCTCGGGCAATGCCTCAGCGTCAACCAGAACTTCCTCGACGGCACGCCGTGCGGCGACGGCGGCACCTGCAACAACGGCGACTGCAAGGGCCAGAACGTCCGCTCCTGGATCAACAACCACAAGGGCATCGTCATCGGCGTGGCCTGCGCCGTGGGGGGGCTTATCCTGCTGGCCATCCTCTCGTGCCTCGTCAACCGCTGCCGGCGACCCCGACAGACGAAACAGCCCTCGCCGCCGCCCCGTCCGCCCTACACCGGCTGGAACGGGCCCATGTCTTCTCCCCCGATGCCGCCGCCGCCCATGAACCCGAACCAGTGGTCCGCCCCGCCCCCGACGAGAGGCTACCCCGGGATGGGCACGGAGCCTCCGCCGCCGTATCCGGGCGCGCCCGATGCCCCGGTCCCGCATTACGCGCCGCAACCGCGCTACGCTTGATTTTGCGATTGATACGAATACTTACGTGTGATATATCTAGTCTTGCATTATGGTTTGTGAGCACTGCTGACGATTCTGCTGTTCCTTTGCTTTGTTTTGCTGCTTTGTGGTTGCCATGCTGGATGAGGGATGAGGGATGAGGGATGTTGTATACTGGAGTTGGATGGAGTGGAGTTGGCGTTCTGTCATTGTTTTGGTTTGGTTTTGGGTTTGGTTGGCGTTTGGCTACAGGTCTAAGATTTTGGGTCTCTCTTCTTTCTTCCTTCTTTTCCTTTCTGTGCCCATATTAGACAGGGCTGGGAGTCTATCTCTTCTCGTGGTTAATGCCAGTGTATATGCCCGGTTGGTGGATATTGACTGTTGGCTGTTGGCTGATGGGTTCCATGCTATGCCGTCTGCTGTAAATGATTGTGGACTGCAGAGTGTATACTAACTGCTCAATATGTATCTCCATGAGGATAAGAGGTGAGCTTATGCTGAAAGAACCCTAGCCAATAAGCTAAGCTAAGCTAAGCTGATAGTACTAGTAATGGTGTCCAGCACGGATGATAGTACCTACTATCTAGATAGTTAGCTTCTGCACCAGTCCTCTTGTAAAAGACAGTATATAGGCACCGTAGTATATTTACTCTCGGAGCTATATATCTGTTTAAGGTAGTGTTAGTGTCTACTAAGATGGTGGAGGTGGAGGAAGGGATCGTGTCTCTCTTACTATCCTAGGTAGTTACTGTTATAATGTACGGAGGTAACTAGTTACTATATAGTAGTAGTAGTATAGTAGTAACTATGTACGTTCACCACCCTACATCTAGTACTAAGAGAAAGACGAAAGAAAAGAAAAACGAAGAATGGATGAAAAAAAAAAAAAAAAAAGAAATATCAATTTGCGCCGACCCATGCCTAAAATGCCTGACGAGAGAGGAAATAAGTAAAGTAACTGTAAGTAATTAACAGCAGAGCAGACAGAACCAGGAAGAAATATAGTAACTAACAGGAGCCGATAGGTGATACAGGTCCCAGGCTGCATTTCAACCATCCCCATCACCATCCCCATCCTCCCACCATTTATCAGGGTGGTATGTATGTATCTTCAGAACTGATGATCGGAGTTCATTTTAACCAACCCCTCAATTCAATTCCATCCCATCCACTTATATATCTCCAACCTACCCCCCGAAAAGACAAGACAAGACAGAAAAAAAAAAGACCCCCAAGCAACCCAACAGAAAGAAAAACAATTCACTGCCAACAAATCCCCACAAACGCCTCGCGGGTAACACCGCCCACGCCCTCCAGATCAAATTCCTCAATCATGGCCCTGAGCTCCTCCTCCTCGAGGCCCGTCTCGCCCAACTCCCTCGCGACGCGCCTCAGATCCTCCAGATCAATGTATCCCTTCCCGCCCTCATCGAAGAGCTCGAAGGCGCGCAGGATCTCGTCTCTGGGGTCGCGTTCCAGGATCTTCAGCGCGGTGACGGCTTGGAATGCGCTCAGCGGCATGAGCAGGTTGCTGGGGTGTTGGGGGTTGGATGTGGCGGGGCTTTTCTGGGTCGGGGGCTGTTGGTGCGGGTGGGCGGAGGATTGTTGTTGTTGCTGTTGTTGCTGCTGTTGGACTTGGGGTCGCGGGACGCCGTACGTCGTTAGGAGTGAGATCAGTTCCGGTTTGGGCAGTGTGAAGCCTAATGCGCGGAAGGCCACTCGGAGTTCGTGGTAGTCGAGGTGGCGGTCGCGGTCTAGGTCGAAGAGGGTGAACTGTATTTTGTTATTATGGTCAGTATTGAAATGGGGATTGGTGTTTTATGGGGTGTTGTTGGAGGTATGGTGGGTGGGTGGGTGGTTGCTTGGCTGGGTGTTTTATGTTTAGCACTGCAGATACCAGATACAGGATAATCCCAGTACCCAGCACCCAGCACCCAGCACCCAGAACCAACCAGTACAGCTCCGTGCCCATCTTCACCCGGGAAGTCAAGTCAAGTCACATACAGCCTCATTAATCTCCTCCCTCTGCTCCTCCGTCAACCTCCCCAACGGATTCGTATCCTGCGACGCTCCCCCGGGCCCACTAGCACCACCACCACCGCCAGGCCCAGCCTGCGTGTGAACGGGCGGCGGAGGCGCCTGTTGTCCGGCTTTCGCGTCGGGGAAGTCGCTGGCCCCCGGGCCGATGCTGCGATGGCGCGAGAACGAGGAGGCGCTGAAGGGGAGCGTGTTGGGGTTCGCGTTGAGTGAGCGGTCGGGTAGTTTGCCCGCGGCATAGGAGCGCGTGCCGAAGGCTTGCGAGGAGGCCATCTTTGTTGTGTTGTGTTGTACCGGCTCGCCGACCGGGTCGGGAGGGATTGAGTGGGTTGCCAACAGGCAGTGGGTGTGGGGTGGTTGGGTTGGCTTGGGTTGGACTGGACTGGGGCGTAGAGGTGGGGAGGTGTAGTCTGGACAGGAGGGTTGGAGATGGATGGAGGATGGATGATGGAGGAGGAGGAGGTGATGATGTGGTGTCGGAGGGAACAAACAGTGAAATGTGCCTGAGACGTCGAGTGGAGACGCGATGGGGACGCGAGGGCGGCAGAACCTCCTGATTGGCGGTGGGGCGGCTATGCTCGTGGTGCAAGACAACTAACTTACGATGGAGATGAACTACAGAGTAAATATTGACGATACTCATGGTTTTGTGCTTGTGGATTGATTCGATCAGGTCGCATGGATCTATTGTCTTTATCGGGGGGATTGACACATGTAGGCGCTACCTGTTCAGGTCTTCTGCCTCTGCTCTAGCTCCAATATCCCGTCCAATGCGGTCTTCGCTGCGCTACCCGCTGCAGCTCATTCTATTTTCTGGCATTTCTCCCAGAACCTGATATGTACAGCCCTGGCTCTCTGCCGGGATGCGCCTGGACTCAACCCGAGTCTCAATGTATGACTCCCTGACGGACGGACTGGGTATGGTTATGTTAAAAATGTACCAGAGGGTCTGCTGCCCACTGACAATACTCATGGTACTACCTCAGGTCGGGATCAACGCGATCGCCCAGATCCCGATCTTCCAGGAACTGCCGTCCCCGCAGCTTCTCCGGAAGATATTCTTGCGCCACCTCGCCGTCGATGTAGTTCGGATTGTACTTGTACTCCTTGCCGTACCCCAGCTCCTTCATCAGCCGCGTCGGCGCATTCCGCAGGTGGATCGGGATGGGGAGCCCGGCCACCCCCGGCTCGCCTAGCGCCGCGAACGCATTGTTCAGCCCGCGGTAAGACCGCGTGCTCTTCTTGGACAGCGCCATCGCCACCGTCGCATGGGCCAGGTTGATGCGCGCCTCCGGCAGCCCGATCTTCTCCACCGCCGCGTGCGTCGAGATGGCCAGCGTGAGCATGCTGTTGTCCGCCAGCCCGATGTCCTCCGACGCGACGACGATCAGACGCCGCGCAATGTAGAGCGGGTCCTCCCCGGACTGGATCATGCGCGCCAGATAGTACAGCGCCGCGTCCGGATCGCTGCCCCGGAGGGATTTGTGGAAGGCGGAGATGGTGTCGTAGTGCTGGTCGCCTGCGCGGTCATACACCAGCGTTTTCGTCAGAGACCGCTTGATCTCCTCCGTGGTGATTCCCGGCCGCTTCGACAGGTCCATGGCGAGCTCGAGCAGGTTGAGGGACGTTCGCGCGTCGCCGTCGGCAAAGCTGGCCAGGTAGTTGATCAGCTCGTCGTCCACCAGCTCCGTCGGCGAATAGCTGGGACCTTCGACCCGGAGAGCCCGCTGCAGGATCGACCGGATGTCGTCGTCCGTCAGCTTGGACAGTGTGAACGTCCGACACCGCGAAAGCAGGGCACTCTGCACCTTGAACGAGGGGTTCTCCGTGGTGGCGCCCACCAGCGTGACCTGGCCGCTTTCCACCGGCCCCAGGAACACGTCCTGCTGGGACTTGGAGAAGCGGTGAATCTCGTCGCAGAAGATGATGGTCTTCCGCCCCGTCAGGCCCAGCTCGCTCTTGGCGTCAGCGAAGATCTTCTTGCACTCGGCCACGCCGGTGCTGGTGCTGTTGATCTCGACGAAGCGGCTGCCCACCATGGTCGCGATGACGCGGGCAATGGTGGTCTTGCCGGTGCCGGGGCCGCCCCAGAGGATCATGCTGGGCACGCGATCCTGCTCGATCAGCCCGCGCAGCACCCCGTTCGGCCCCACGAGTTCCTGCCCGCAGACGTCATCGAGAGTGCGGGGGCGCATGCGCTCCGGCAGCGGCGCCGCCTTTTGCAGGGCGCTGATCTTGGGTTTCTTGGGCTCTGTCGGTTGTTCGTTCCTCGGTCTGCCGTTGGCCTCCGGGGGATCGTGGGTGGTCCGTTTGCCGTTGGCATTGCGCAGGGGGGAGGAGTCGCCATTTTGATCTCGCTGACCGTTTGCTTGGGCGGACGCTTTGCGCGCGGAGGTGGGCTGGAAGAAGCTGGGCACGGATGCCTTCGGGGCGGGGGTTTCGCTGGAGCTGGAGGGCTCGTCGACGAAGCTCTGGCACTCGGAGTCGATGTGGTCATTGATCTTAAGGGACGAGACGGACTTGCCGCAGATGGGGCAGGACACCATGATGGCGATGGGTCATGAAGACGGTGGAGGGAGGCCAGCTACCCTGTGGTGTGGCATGAGCAGAGCCGAGCAGAGCCGAGCAGAGCAGAACAGTGCCGTTGGATGCATCAACTCGCCTCGTCTCGCCTCGACGCGTCGACGCGATAAGTGTGCTGACTAAGTTGGCTGCCTGGGCGCCTGAGTGTCTGATGCATGCCTGAGGCACTCTGCATAGCAGCATTCCTGAAGCCATTATTATTCCAGGCCCGAAGAAACAGAATGTCTCCAGAAATGACCCGATTGGACGGGTGGGATGGGTCGATACCTAGTGGTACCAACCAAGGTTGAGCCGTTGCTGTTGTTGTAGATGTAGGTTAACACCCAGGAGCATCGGACGGCCAGCAAGCCATTGTTGCACTGCGAGGTTACCTCAGGCATCTTCTCTCTATAGATCACGGCCAATTCATTTCATCCTTCATGGTTGAGTCCCCCATCCCCTCCACTCGATTCGCATCCGACTGCCCTTATCCCCACCCAAGCACGCAATAACCTCCGATCCACCAAATCCGGCCCGACGTCAAATCCCCGGATCGGCCCTCTTTCTTCCTCTTCTTCTTTCTCTGTTGTCTCTGTGCCACTCTCCCCTCTTCTTTCTCTCCTCTCCTCCACCTGCTCTATGTTCTCGGGCCACCGCACCCTCTCCACTGCCACGACCACCGCCACTCGGTTCCTGACTGCATCCCCCGCAGCAACTCTACCCCGCCATCCCTTCCGCGCCATGTCGGCCACCACCCCTCGTCCCGACCCGTTTCGTCCGGCCGCCAGAGTCGCCGGCCAGCGACAGGATGTCTGGTGCGGACACTCCCAATCCATCGCAGTCGCAGTGTTGACGCTGACTGCTGCAGGTCCATTGTGAATGAAGCCGCCGCCGCCTCCCCCGTCCAGCCCATCGTGAACATGGGCCAGGGTTTCTTGTGAGTGACCGACCCAATTGCGACATCCAACCAATATCTAACCCTCCTCTCTCCAACAGTGGCTACAACCCCCCGAAGTTCGCCTTGGACGCTGCCAAGGAAGCCCTCGATCGCGTCGAATGCAACCAATACTCCCCGACCAAGGTATCCATCGCAGCTCCCCGCCCGCAACGCGCATGCTCACACACGCAGGGACGTCCGCGCCTGAAGCAGGCCCTGGCCGATGCCTACTCCCCTTTCTTCGGCCGGAGCCTCAACCCCGATACCGAAGTCACGATCACCACGGGCGCGAACGAAGGTAGGTCATCCGGATGGGAGGTTGGCCGAGGTTGCTGACGGAACAGGCATGCTGAGCGCGTTCATGGGATTCATCGAGCCCGGCGATGAGGTGATCATCTTCGAGCCTTTCTTCGACCAGTAAGTCCGATGCCTCGTGCGTTTAGCACTATGACTGACGCTGCGCAGGTACATCAGCAACATTGAGATGCCCGGGGGTACCATCCGCTACGTCCCTCTGCACCCTCCCAAGGACGGCGCCACGAGAACCTCCCCTGCCTCGGAGTGGACGATAGACTTTGAGGAGCTGGAAAACACCATCAACAGCAAGACCAAGATGATTGTAAGTCCCCACTGCTACTTTGACATATCAATGCTAACCACATCAGGTCCTGAACTCACCGTAAGTTCCCACACGACTCCTCCGGTCCGTAGCTAACAAGTCAGCCACAACCCCGTCGGCAAGGTATTCTCGCGGGCCGAGCTCGAGCGCATCGGCGAGCTCTGCATCAAGCACAACCTGATCATCCTGTCCGACGAAGTCTACGACCGCCTCTTCTACGTCCCCTTCACGCGCATCGCCACCCTCTCCCCCGAGCTCTACGAGCGCACGCTGACCGTCGGGTCCGCGGGCAAGGCCTTCTACGCCACCGGCTGGCGCGTCGGCTACCTCATCGGCCCGGAGCACCTGATCAAGTACGTGGCGGGCGCGCACACGCGCATCTGCTACAGCAGCGTGTCGCCCCTGCAGGAGGCGGTGGCCGTGGCTTTCGAGCAGGCGGACAAGGTCGGGTTCTGGGACGAGAGCCGGAACGAGATGAAGGGAAAGATGGAGCGTTTCTGTCAGGTGTTTGACGAGCTTAACATTCCGGTGAGCCTCCTCGATATGTGACCAACCATATCCCACTCATTCCATATCCCCCCCCTTCCCCCCAATCCACCTTTATTTTCCGCATCAAGATCTAATGACTGCAGTACTCCGACCCCGAGGGCGGCTACTTCGTCCTCGCTAACATGGCGTCCGTCAAACTCCCCGCCGACTACCCCTTCCCGCCGCACGTGGCCAGCCGTCCGCGCGACTTCAAGCTGTGCTGGTTCTTGATCCACGAGGTGGGCGTGGCGGCCATCCCGCCGACGGAGTTCTACACGGACGCGAACGCCCACATCGCGGAGGACTATCTCCGGTTTGCCGTGTGCAAGAACGACGACGTGCTGGAGACGGCCAAGGAGAGACTGCGTGGGCTGAAGAAGTATATCAACTAGTGGACATCAACTAGTGGGATACCGATTAGTTGGAGGGGGGTTACGGGATGGTCATAGAATGGGTGATATGCCCTCAACGGCATCGTCAGATAGAGCTCGCCTGAATAGAGGTAATTCGAGATGCTTTCTTCGTTATCTTTCTCTCCCTTTCATTCTGGTATTGTACATTATCTGGCAGATGAGATTGATGACAGGGTACCCCCTTTTATCATCCATCCAAATGTCTGTCCTGACGGAACACGTCTTCAAGACCCTTCCTTTCGCTTCCGTCAAGACCGGACACAAAAACCACCAAGCTCTTCAAACCTCACTCCGTTCAATAGAACCTCAACCTGACATCTCACCACCAATTTTTTCGACTTCACTCCATTCTTCGATCTCAATTCCCAATCCGTCAATCTCACATCCAACCATAATCACATCACCGCGCCAACAATACCTAACTCCTAACTCCTAACTCCCAACCTCACTCACTCCATAACTTGACCCTTTCCACCAACCTTCAATCAAACCCCTCCCCCTTTTTTCTCCCCCAATTCAATCCAATCCAATTCGACCCCCCGCAACTCAACTCGGTCCCACTCAACTCGGTCCAACTCAACTCGGTCCAACTCAACTCGGTCCAACTCAACTCAATGGTAGGAATCAACTTACTCCTCCATCTCCATCCCCCTCAACCCGGCCTCCCCACCCACCACCGGCCCAGCAACCCCATCCCAGCCCTCTCCCCGGCTAAACACCCTGCGATCGCCCACCACAACCTCCTGTCCCCAGCCATTGCCCATCATGCGCTCCCAACTCCCCTTCACCTCGGGGTGGGTGATCCGTGCCGTCCGCAGCACCCAATGCGACGCCTCGCGCACCTCGACGAAGCGTCCGATGCCGGGCCGATCCAGCGACCCCAGCCACCGCACGTACTCGCTGCGACACACGTCGTTGGTGCAGTGGCGCCGATTGCGGCCGTCCCAGTCCGTCTCGCAGGCGTGGCGCTGGCTCGGCTCGATCTGGACGTGGAACTCGTGTGAGAGCTGGTGCAGCAGGGACGGGAGGAGGTGCGTGCTGCGGCTGCGGCGGAGGTGGTCGCGGAGGAGCCGGTAGAGGTAGTCTGTGCAGCGGGGGACTTCGATTGTTACTGTTTATGTTTGTTAGTTTGTGGTTAGGTTTTTGATGCGAGGGTATATAAAAGGAGAAGGGAGGGGGGGGGAGGGGGGGGGGAATAGAACTTACAAAACAAACAAACAGCCAAAACCCGTCGAAACCGATCTCTCATGTCGACATCCTCGAACTTAATCACATGGATAACCTCATTCGAGCATCTCGATTCCAGATCCATTCCATCCACACCCTCCCCACCCCCACCAGGCCTACCCTGCGCATAATCCACCCAGTCCTTAAAAACAAAATAATCGCCCTCGTTGGCATTCATCCCGAAATACACCGCCTGGCGATGTCTCTCGGGGGTATCGCAGCCATGCAGCGAGGGGATGAGTGGCGGCTGGGCGTGCACGGCGCGCGGGATCGAGGTCGGATTGCAGGTGTTCAGGAACGTGGTGCGGCCGCAGCTCGTCGCCCAGTGCAGCTTGATGTCCGCGAGGAGGTGCGCTTTGCTGCAGTATCGCGTCGCGCTGAACGGGCCGCATCGGGGGCAGATCACCGTCGCGCCGTCCCAGAGGTTGCAGCGGGCGGGGCACGAGGGGAGTCCGCAGGGGAAGCCGACGCTGTCGAGGTTGTAGGTGTATTTTGGTTTGGGGGTTGGAGGGGGGCGAGGGGTGGGGGTGAGGGGGGTGAGGGATGGGAATGGGGTCGGGGAGGGGATGATGGGGATGAGGGGGATGGGGGGAAGGGGGTGGGCGTGGGTGAGGGTGGGAGTGGTGTTGGGGTTGGTTTTGGGAGGTTCCTGGGTGGTTTCTTTGGAGGGGGGGGAGGAGGGTGAAGCTGCGGTGGTGCCTGGGGTCTGGGTGTGTGAGGGCCAGTAGGTGGTTGCGGTGGTGGTGGTGGATTGGGGAGTGGAAGTGTGAGTGTGAGGGCTCGCGGAGGGATAGTAGAAATCCGGAAGTCTGGCAGGCGACTGGTTGGGTTTCTGCACGCCCTCGCTGCCCACTTCGGGGATCCGGGGGAGCTTGACCCGGGGGCTTCTGCCTGGGTGGCTGGGGATTGGAGGAAGCTCAGGGCCCGGGCTTGGGCTGTCAGGCAAGATCTCCTTGCTGTTGTTGGGCTTGCGGGTGAGGCTGAGGGTGTCCTTGGCTGGCTCTGGGTCTGGGGCCGGTCGAAACAGATTGGCCAGGGGCCCATCGTTGACTGCAGCTGCCTTGGGACTTCCCATCTTGTCTGGACCCTCCATCTTGCCTCTTTCTGCGGCGACAAAGGCGTACGATGGGCCGGTGACGGGTTTGATATTGGCCGCCGGCTGCGGTGCAGGGCCCTCGATGATCTCGTCTCCAGTCACCGGGTCGACTCTGTCCACTCGTCTCTTTCCCTTGTCCCGGAAATCCAGCTTGTCCATGGCTTCGGTCACAGCCTCCGTTGGGTCACCCTGAGATGATTCACCCTTGTCTCCAGAGCCACCCGCACCACCCGCGATATCAGAACTGCTGATCGACTCCTTCAGACCGCTGGCAGGCACAGACAACTTCCCCGGACTACCTTTCATCGATGCAGCCGAGGATTCACGACTCGATGATCTCACATCCGTGGAAGACTGTCCCGGCAGCTCTACTCCCTCAGACACGCTGCTCGTCTCGGTCGACTCGACTCCGGCATCGCCTGCAGCGCCGTGCTTCTTGTTCTTCTTTTTGTTGTACTTGTTCTTCTTTGGATAGCCTCGCTTCTTACTGGCCTTCGATCCGGATACAGGCTCCACTGGCGCGGCTGGGAGGCTCGCCGGCTTGCCTCCTGCTTGACCATCTGCCATGACGAACGGATAAGCTGTCTTCGCTGGGGACAGTCGCGACACGGTACGCTCACGAATCAGAGCGATGGCGTTGGAGCGGATCTGCGAGCTGGCCTCCTCAGTGCTGTCAGACAGAGAATCAGGCTGAGGGGTGGTTTGGATCCAGGAAAGTATGGTAGGAGGGCTTGGGGGAGACACAAAGTGAGCTGGTGCTGTTGTTTGTGGATCTCCGGGCTCTTTGTCTGGAGGAACGTGTTTGGAGGACGAAAAGGCGTGAGCAGACTGCGGGTCCATCGTGACGGTTTTATGTTGCGGATGAAGCTTGCGTTACGGATGAAGGTCGCGTTGCGTGGTGGGAGAGAAGGATGTTTCCTCCTCCTTTTGCTGCTGCTGGTGATGGGGGGCAGAGAGGGACGCCTTCACTTGTTGTTTTCTTGTGGGTTTGTGGGCTGGTTCCTCACTCCAGGGCTTGGGGCTTCACAGTGAATGTCAACCTGGGCAGTGAAGGACTGGAAAGGGCCGATGGTGTATGCTTCTGTTTTGGTTCTCTGCTCTGACTGTCTAGTCACCACAAAGAGGAGGGAGGGGGACTCCATGGCTGGTGTTAGATCCTACGGGGGCAATGATGACCACCAGGAACGGTGTTTCGCTATTGGGGATATTTGGATGTTTATCTGGGGGGAGGGGGGGAGTGAAAGAAAGGCTATACAAAGATGGACGAGTGGTGGCATCGAGGCCAACTGGGTTGTCCCCAGCATGCTGATGGGACTTTCCTGTCATCTCCAGGACCGAGGTAGAATATAAAGAGGAAGATGGAGTTGAAAGATGGAGTGTCGGAGGGGATCGATGAGACAAGAAGTAGAGAAAGCAAGACACTAGACTTGGATAAGACATTGGGACAGTCATGTCTATACACATATAAGTACTTGATGGATGTTCCATAGGGTTGGGCACGTGCATCTCCCGCTCCTCTTCTTTTTTCTTCCACTTTCCACTTCCTCAACTCTTCAACTTCTCTTCCACTCTCCACTTCTCCACTTCAACATCCCTAGTCTCCCTCCATAGCTGCTTCTGCCCAAATTCTAAATATAATCCAATGAATCCTCCACCCTTCAAGTTCTGCAGCATGAACTGCATCTGCTGCCCCGGGAAGCGCCGTCGCATCCAACCCGGGAACAAAGAACTCGTGTGCCTGGCATCAGCTGTTTAAATGTCAACCTGTCTGAGACGCGACGGAGGATCGCTGTCTGACCGACGGTCGCAGTGTTGCAAACTGGTCCGGGATGCCGAAAGGATTGGACCACAGCGCTGCCTGCTAAGCGCCGACCCGGGGCTATATTTGGCTCTGCAGAATCCCGGGAATAGCCTCAGTCTCTGCTTGCAAACCCGCGCCAGATGAAACAACCTCTGCAGAGCCATCCGGTCATCTGCAGCGGGGCTTCGCGCCCACTGGCTGCTGCTGGCTTCTTCAGGCCCAACTCGGCGCTTTGTCTCAATCATCCATTCACTCTGCATCAATGAGACAGTCCTCCCCCCATAAAGTGGGCAGATCCCCTGGCCCATGGGCCCGTCCTATTTCTCTTTCTTCTATTCAGCTATTGTTCGCCCGTGCTCCTTCTTTACCTTCTCATTCTCGCCATTATATCTTTCTTTTGTCCATAGACTCGAGCATGTACAATTCGGGATAGACTGCCTCTGTTCGTTGACATAATTACTGCTGGTCAGGGTTATCTTGCATCTCATACCCTTTCTTCTGCTTCCATCGTTCGGTGCGATAGATTTCTTTGTGTCTGCCATCTGCCTCTGCCTCTGCCATCTCGACCCCACAGCTGAGCCTGTTACTGTCCCACCCCAATCCCACTGATCTACAGACCAACCAGTCCGTCGACATGATGTTTTCAAAATCCGGACGGACGATCTTTCCTCTACTCCCCCCCTACGGCGCCCAGGACCCCAACGCCCAGGGCCGCATCATCCCTCCCCTCCATCCCGATGGCTACACCCCGTACCTCGGCCTGCGTGCCCGCCTTTCCCAGGTGTGGCTGAATCGATGGACCGTTCTGCTCCTGCTGGTCCTGGCCCGGTTGCTGCTGGCGGCCACCAGCCTGCAGTCCGACATGAGCCGAGCCAAGAGCGAGGCCCTGTCGGCCTGCACCAGCGTCGAGTCGGTGGGAAGCGCCATGGCCTCGATGCCCCATTACCTGGCCGAAGGAGTGAACGGGCTCACGGCCGACGCCGTCGACGCGGCCGTGGATGGCCTCAAATCCATGCTGATGCTCACCCTGACAGGTGTCGAAGAGCTGGTCATCTTCTTCATCAGGGTCATGTACCAGACCTACCTGTGTCTGTTCACCCTCGCCGTGCGAGGCGCCGTGGAAGTCGGAGTCGCCCTGCTGGAAGACGCGGCCGACTTCCTCAACTCCACCGTCAAGGACATCGGCAAGGACATCGGCAAGGCCGTCGAAACCTTCGAGGATATCTACGACGACTTCATCAAGCTCGTGAACACCGCCGCCAGTGCATCAGGGACGAGCGTCCCGACCCTCAATCTAACCACCGAGATCAACGAGCTGGAGAACATCCATCTCTCCTCCTCTCTCGACGAAAGCCTGAACAAACTCAACAGCTCCATCCCCAACTTCGACCAGGTCATGAACTTCACCGAGAACATCATCCGCTTCCCCTTCGAGGAAGTCAAACAACTGGTCAACAGCTCCATGGGCAACTACAGCTTCAACGCCTCCGCCCTAAGCGTCCCCGCAAAGAAGCAACTCACCTTCTGCGACAGCAACGACGGCATCAACTCCTTCTTCGCCGACCTGACCAAGATCGTCCTGACAGCCCGCAAGATCTTCATCGGGGTACTCATCGTCGCCGCCATCCTGTCCTGCATCCCCATGGCCTGGCAAGAAATCCGCCGCTGGCACACGATGAAAGAGCGCTCACAGCTCGTCCGCAAAGAAGCCCACGACCCCATGGACGTCGTCTACATTGTCTCCCGCCCGCACACCGCCGCTGTGGGCATCAAAGCGGCCAGCCGCTTCAGTAACAGCCGTCGCCAGATCCTCGTCCGCTGGGCCATTGCCTACGCCACCTCCCCAGCGGCCCTCTTCGTCCTCTGCCTCGCGCTCGCCGGCCTCCTCTCCTGCCTGTGCCAGTACCTCCTCCTCAGCGCGATCCAAAAAACCGTCCCCGAACTCTCCGCCGAAGTGGGCGAATACGCCGAAGAAGTCGTGCAGGCCCTGCAAAACGCCTCCGCCGAATGGGCCAACGACGCGAACAAGGTCATCCAACACGTCGACGACGAGCTGAACACCCACCTCTTCGGCTGGGTCAACACCAGCACCGTGGCGCTCAACGACACCCTCAACACCTTCGTCGACAAGACCATCGGCGTCCTCAACGACACCTTCGGCGGCACCCTCCTCTACGAGCCCCTCCTCGACGTCTTCAACTGCCTCATCGGTCTGAAAGTCGAGAGCGTCGAGAAGAGTCTCACCTGGGTCAACGAGCACGCGCACGTCGACTTCCCTCTCCTTCCCAACGACACCTTCTCCGCCGGCGCCGCCGCCAGCCTCAACAACTCCTCCGACAGCTTTCTCTCCGACGCCGGCTCCGACACCTCCAACAAGATCACGGAGGTGATTGACCGCGTCCTCAACGCCCTGGAGAGCGGCATCCGCGCCGAAACCATCATCGCCGCCTGCATCCTTCTGGTTTGGGTCATCAACGCGCTTATCGGCGGCGTCCGCGCGATGACTCTCTTCTGGTCAAGAGAGAAGATCCGCGGCGAAGGCGGGCCCGCGCCGTTAACCTCGCGTCCAAACCCTAGTTCCGGCCCAGATCAGCATGGCTTCATCGATGTCCCGCTGGTCAATCTGCCCCGCAATAGTCAACATACTGCTGCTACTGCTTCGCCTGCTATGAATGCGCATGCCCACGATGACATCGATACTTCCCGACAACCAGCACCCCGATACGAGGCCGCCACCTCGACCTCGACCTCGACATCCACCGGGCACTCGACCGCCGTGCTACCCAGCGAGGAGTATCCCGACGAGAAAGTCGGGTTTGCGGGCCAGCGGAGTGCGCTACAGGTAGACGGGGTGTCGGATCTGCGGGGGAGTAGCTACGTGGAGTATGGGATGGAGAAAAGTTAGCCAGTTAGTTAGCTAGCAAACATGACTAGTGATCGTCGAACTATTATGTTGCGCTGATGACACCCTTAGATCCGCTGATTTGTCTATTTCCTCTTCTGTACTTGTTCTCGAACGGCATGTTAGCGTTGACTGGGCATCACACACACACCCCGAGGGGGCATAGAACACGAATTCATATCGTTTCCAGTGCCCATAGGACCTGCAATCTGACATCTCCTTGGTATTTCCGTGTCGTGCTCCGTCAGTCCGTCTTGCTTTTGCAGTCATTCCGGGCTGCTCACAATGATTATTGAGTGAATGGAGGCATCCACTATGGGCGTGGGGTCCTGTTTTGGTTTAGGGCGTCTCTCCTGCCCTCTCTTTCTTCTCTCCTTCTCCTTCTTCCTCGTCTCTTTTCTCCCACTTTCTCTCCTGTTCTCTCTGCTGTCTCTTCTGCTGTCTCTTCTGCTGTCTCTTCTGCTGTCTCTTCTGCTGTCTCTTCTGCTGTCTCTTCTGCTGTCTCTTCTGGTGCTTCCTCTGCTGCTCCCTCTTTTATTTCTTTTCCTCTCACCCTCTTCGTTAAATAAGCTGGAACCACACAGGAAAACCAAAAACGGCCCCTTCACTACGGATGGACCTCTACTATACCATCAAAAACAGCAGTATGGAACTGAAACCCCAGATCCCATTCCCATGGAACAAGACCACATACGATGCGAAGAGTGCCGGGAACAGGATGCTCTGTATTCTACTGCGACCAAGGTCGCTGGAGCCGGAAAGCGTAGCATCATCCATCTTCTAATGAAACACCCATGGAATGCGTTCAAAGATGCCGGGATGATGGAAAGGCTTAAAAAGACGACGCTGTTCCTGTTATGGGCCAGCGCAATAGCACAGTGCCAACCTCTGGAGATATCCACCTCGACTGTGACATGTTACCCGAATCGTCGGACCTTTCACAGCCACTACTTTTGGCCGATTGTGAGGGTTTCTACGGGGGTTAGTCAACTACCAATCGGCCTCGCGTCTCAAAGAGTTCCGGACAATCTGGCTGGCAATGGGGACGGACAAACCCAGGGCATTTTAAAGGCGTGCGAGATAGAAGCAAGCGGGGCGCTTCTTTTCTCTCGGCGATTCTTATCAACGAACTTTTTTCCAAAGATTTTTCATCACGCTCTTGATTACTACTCGACAGGTTTGAATATATATATTCTTCAGCTTTCTTGAAAAGATATTTTCTCTTTATTCTCTGCCGAACCAGCTTGCATCAAAACTACTATGATATGACACGCACCTTGAGAGCCGTCGACCAACGGGATAAGACCTACAGATCAGCCAAAGACTTCTGTAGGGTGATCGTCCCAACGATATGCTCGGCCATTGCCCTGGGAACAACTTTGAATCTTTTCAGGCCAGATCCCATGAAATATAATGGGGAAATTATGCCAGGCCACCTCCCAGTCACAGCTACGAGATGCTGTAAAGATGTTCGAAAATGAATTGACCTGCGACTTCATATCTGCAAGCGGTCAAAAATGTGTCAGTGTTTTCTTGGCTCATACTCGACCAGACGTCCTTCCTTCACCAAGATGCTACAGGCTCAGTCATCGGTATTGGGTCCTTTCAATCACAGTTTATGGACGAAATGAATACGCGGCGATATTGGGATGCCCGCGTTCTTAAAGGACTGCAAAATGTGGATATGGAGCTTCCGTCGGCTGGCCATTGGAGATATATCATATATAAATAGCCGTTGTGTCCACCATAATGGCAACTAGTATTGGCACCTTTTGCTTCAGAATCGAGTTTGCTCTTTTCTTGGAGATGTCCGACGGAGTTCAGTATGCCGATAAAGTGTGTGTTCTGTCGCTAACCGACATATGCTGAATTGGAGGTTTAGGATCGATGTATGATGTATACTTTCAGTTATATATGGATGGTGGTTTAAACGGTCGACCCGTACTATTTAAGTTATCTAGTAGTATCTATCTATCTATCTGTATATCTATCTATCTATCTGTATATCTATCTATCTATCAAATTTATCAATCGGTGGAAGTGGCTTACCGCTAACAATATGCGATTGTTCATCAATCTCCTCATTCATCTCCTTGGTTTTTTTTTATTCTCCCTTTCTCTCTTATGATCTTTTTTTTTTTTTTTTTTTTGGCTCTGTGAGTGTATACGATTGTCGACGATGTGTCGGGGAAAAGAACGATTTTCGGGGTGCTTCTTCCTTCATCAGTTGATCGGTTTCTTGAGATGAACTAGTTACCTACCAATTTGACCATCTCATATGAGACTCCAACTCCCCCTTTAGAAAAGAAAAAAAAGACAGAAAATTGAAAGGGATTTCCAATTGCAATGCAATGCAAGACCGACACCGACCATCACCAGTCTGGTTTAATTCATAGGTATCATAACATAACTCATCATATCCACACCCCCCCCCCAACGGGCCAAAGTACCCTAAATAGCCACAAAAAAGCTCTCCTCCCCTTCCTTCGGCAACACCCTAACCCTCTCCACAATCGGATCCTTACAAGAAACCCTAATCCGCTCGGGCGTGGCCGGACTCTCCAGCCTCAACACCTCCGTGACCCCCCACTGCGCTCTCGCCGCCTTCAACGCATCCCGAATCGCAAAGAACATCGCACTGCCCATAAAAAGCGGCGGCTCGCCGACTCCCCTCGACCGCTGAATCGTCCTCAGATTCTCCCACTCGACGTCTTTCAGCAGACTAACATTGAACACTTGCGGGATATCCCGAAAGCCGGGGATCTTGTAATTGCCCGGCCCCTTGGTGACGATCTGGCCGGAGGCGCGGTGCCACAGACTTTCTTCGGTGGTGAAGAGCCCTTGGCCCTGGACGTAGGCACCCTCGATCTGCCCGTAATCGATGGACGGGTTGATGGTGCGGCCGACGTCCATTTTGATGTCCGCGCGGAGGGGCGTCCAGTCGCCGGTGAGGGTGTCGATTTGGACTTCAGCGGCGGTGACGCCCTGCGTGAAGTAGAAGAACATCTGGCCTTTGTTTTCGCCCCACACGTAGCCGATGTCCGGGGTGCGGTAGAAGCCTTGCGCGGAGAGGTTGACCCGGTCGAAGTAGGCGGCGTGCGCGAGGTCTTTCATGGACGCGTTGGGCATTTTGGCGCGGTAGGGTTGCAGGCGTTCATTGAGTTGGGTGCAGGCGTTGAAGATCGCGTAGCCGTTGAGGTCGGAGCTGGCGGATGCCGCGGTGGAAGAGGTATTGGCGACGGTGTTGGTGGCGGTTTCGGAGATGAAGACGCTGGATTGCGGCACGTTGAGCGCTTCGGCGGCAATCATGGTCATCTTGGTGTGCAGGCCCTGGCCCATCTCGACGCCGCCGTGGGCGACGAGCACGCTGCCGTCGTGGTAGATGTGGACGAGGGCGCCGGCTTGGTTGAGGAAGAGCGCGGTGAAGGAGATGCCGAATTTCGTGGGGATGATGGCCATTCCGCGCTTCGACCATTTGTGTTTCTGGTTGTATTCGTCCACGGCTTTGCGGCGCTCGTCGTAGGCGCTTTCTTCCATGACTTGCTTGTACATCAGGGGGACGTGCCAGTCTTTGAGCTCTTGATTGTAGTGCGTCTGTTCGCCGGGTTTGTACATGTTTTGCCAGCGGAACTGTTCGACGGGGATGTTGAGATGGTCGGCCGCTTCTGATACGAAGCATTCGGCGAAGAATAGGCCTTGAGGGCCACCGAAGCCGCGGAAGGCGGTGTTGGATACGGTGTTCGTCTTGCAGATGTGTCCCCGGACGTGGACGTTCGGGATGCTGTATACCCCGTCGATGTGGGAGAGCGCTCTCTCCACGACTGCGCCGGAGAGGTCCTGCGTGTGTCCGCCGTTGGCGTACACGTCGGCGTCAAGTGCGAGGAGTTTGCCCTCTTTGCTCACGCCGATCTTCCAGCGGCAGAAGAACGGGTGACGCTGGCCGGAAGTAACGATGTCTTCGTCGCGGTTGAGCATACACCGAACGGGTCGCTTGGCTTTCGTGGCAGCAACGGCACAGATACCAGCCAGCTGGATCGATCGAGTCTCTTTCCCACCGAATCCACCACCAAGGCGCTTGACTCGAGACACGATCTTGTTGGCCGCCACGCCGGTGACTTGAGCAACATACGTTTGCCTGGTATTGTTAGTTTGTTTTGTCTTTAGGGGAAAGGGGTTTCCCCTCACGTTTCAGTAGGATTCTGCGTCCCGCTCCAGATCTCCATCTCGCCATCTTCCAGCTTAGGAATCGCAACACAGGCCTGGGTCTCGAGATAGAAATGCTCCTGGCCGCCCATTTTCGACTCTCCCGTAAAGACATGATCTGCCTTCTCAAAGGCACTTTCCGGGTCGCCTCTCTTGATGTAGCGGGAATGCGCGAAGAAGGACTTGGCCTTGATGGCGTCTTCCGTGCTGAGAATCGCCGGCAGCTCCTCGTATTCCACCTTGACGGCTCTCACGCCCATCTCCGCGATTTTAGCGGACTTGGCGAGGATCATGCCAATAGGTTGCCCGGCAGTCGTGACCTTGTCAACCGCGAAGAACAGCTCGTCTGCATTGGGGGCACCCCAGTAATTGGCTTCTGGGTTGGGGAGATCGGTGTGATCCACGTATTCAACTACACCAGGAATGTCGAGAGCCGCGGTGGTATCCACGCTGAGAACGCGGGCATGTGCTTTGGTCGAAAGTACCATGCACCCATAGACTTCGTCCTTGCGCACGGGTGTGTCATCTGTGTACTGGGCTTCACCTGTCGCCTGCTTCAGGGCGGAGACATGGGGGCTGGCCTTTCCGAGGACTCTCTGTTGATAGGCCGCAGACGCCTCGTGGTCCTTTTCTCCCGAGGAGATGGCTCTTTCAATCTCAGCAATGACGTCTTCATCCACATCCGCGTCTTGGACCTCAATGCTAGACAGTACATCGTGATAGAACCGGTAAAAGAAGCCGAGAGCGAGAGACTTTCGGTACGTCGCCATTCCTCCGGGAACACTGAACTTCAAGTCGAAGTCCTGCCCCAGGGCACTCATGGTACCCTCAAGAGTGGCCGGGTTGGTGAATTTCTTGCCGACCAAAAAGGCCTCTGCGTTGCGGGCAGACACCGTCATCGGTGCCAGACCCCCGAAGACGAGGTTCACGCTGGTCACGTCATGCGACGGGGAGAGTGACACCCGCAAAGCAGCATTCACGATCGCGATATCGTCGTCCTTCCGCTTCGATTGCTTGTAGGCGCGCATGTATTCTCCCTCCGCGGACGCGGTTGGGATTCGCAGACCAGCAATGATGGCATTCGGCGGAAGCGCCGTTGATCGGTAGCCTTTGAAGAACTGGCTCATCGGGATCTCCACCACCTCGCCCAGCGACATGGCTACCAGGACAGTGTTAGTAGCCACAAACACCGGGTTCAAGTCTGAAATCGGGGAAGCCGTCGCCAGGTTTCCTGCCGGCGACGCAACGTTTCGAATCTGCCTTCCAGCAAAGTAGCGAAGCTGTTTCTTGATCGCGCTGAACGGCTGACCCCGCTGAGGCCCATACTTCTCCAGGGCCTCGTCACAGATCGACTCCAGGTCGGTCAAGGAGACATTCGCTCCAATGTCCAGACAATCTTCCTTGAGCGAGTATTGACGCAGTTCGGGGATATCACCCACATAGACAGAAGCCTTATACTGCATAGCCTTGAACTTCACCTCGATCTGCGTCTCCGTACTCCCCCCAATAATCTTCGCATCAGGGTGCACAGCCTTGATTTCCAAAAGCTGCGGGAGAGTCACCGGTCGATACCACTTCTTCCTCTTGTTCCCGAGCACCAACGGCTGGAACTCATGCTTGTGAAGATGAGGCGGGAAAATCAACTCAGTATCCGGCTTGTAGCTGATGAATTCCGGAGGCGTGAACTTCGGGCCATTATCGTCTGCCGTGTCCGCCGACTGCTTACAACATCCCCCAGAACCATCCTTCTTGTCCATACAGCAGCCCGTCCCCCCATTCGCCAGAGCTTTCCCACATCCTTGCACCGGAGCAGCAGCAGCAGCCGCCGAGAAACTCTGCGCGGCATCCAGAATGGGCCTGTACCCGGTACAGCGACACAGATTCCCATCGAACGCCTCCTCGACGTCATGCTCCGACGGTTTCGGGTTGTTACGCAGAAGGGCGTACAGACTCTGCTCGATTGTCAGCTGTCAGCTTCTCTACCCCGCTTCGCCACCATCCACCAAGGGAACAAACAATCATACCATCACAATCCCCGGAGTACAGAACCCGCACTGACTCCCATTCCCCACCGCGAGCCGCTGCTGAACCGCATGCGGATTCATCACATCCCCGATCCCTTCCACCGTGATAACATGTTTCCCGTCCACGCTGATCAAGGGCGCCAGACACGCATTTACCGATGCGTGGTAGAGTTTCTTCGTCGTTGGGTTCAAGTGCGATACCACCTAGCCCGGCCGGTTTGGTCAGAAAGTATTCCGATTTCGATGGGAAGGGGGCAAGACTAAGGTGGCAAGGTAGGATAACATAACATAACATAACATAGAACATACCACTGTGCAAGCGCCACAGCCACCCTCCGCACATCCCAGCTTGGTCCCCGTTAACCCGACCCCTCGCAGGTACTCCAGTAGTGTGATTTCGGGGTCGATCGAGTCCAGGACGACTTTGGTGCCGTTCAGGTAGAAGCGGATGGTGTCGTCCCAGTCCTCTGTGAGCTGGGCCAGCGAGGTGGCCTTGCTGGCGGCCTCGATGGGCGGTGGTGAGGCTAGAATGCCCGGAGCCATTTTGTTGGTCTTCGACTCAAGACAGGGGGGGTGGGGGGGGAGGGGGAGATCGGGTTCCCCGCCTCGATGGACCGGTGGCGATTTAGATGGGGGGAGGGGGTTCAGTTGGGTTGAAGGGGCATCGATGAGATGTTGGAGAGGTGAGACTTGGAGAGATCGGTTGAAGGTGTTGAAAATGTTTAATAAAAAAATATGAAGGAGGAGAAAGGAAGAAGGAAGTACTAGGGATAGATAGATAAAAGGGTAGGAATGGAGTCATTATTGTATCTACTTTTATCTATCGCCCCCTCACAGTCCCCGCCCAGCCCGGGGATCGCCACAGTCCGACACCCCGACGCCGGCAATCCGCGGCACTAGTCACCTGATCTCTAATTCCTCACCGCTCACTGGCTCTCACTGACCCTCCCCTCTCTTCTCTACTATAGAAGTCAAAGGTGTCAGAGGACAAGACTCAGTTGGATTGACAACAGCTAAGCAAGGGCAGGCAGGTATCTCAGATCAAAGCAACGCCGCTCCAGATGCTCCAGCCCTGAAATGGTTCAACACACATGCACCATAGTTCAAAAGGTTCAAAAGTTCAAAAAAAAAAAAAAAAAAAAGTACAGCCAACCGAAGGGAAGCAAATTTACGGTATACAGCCAACAAAAAAGGGGTATGATCGCAGCAAGAAGGCCATCTATGCTTTTAGCTTGACTCCAACAAAGTCTCTCTCGTCTTCCTCCCATTTCTTGCGTTCGACCACGCTTCGTGCCCTAAAGCGTGCGTCTGTTAGCTCCTGGTCTTTCTGGGCTCGTCTGCAGGTGATAGGTGTACATACCGGTATGCTCTTACGAACCGCCAGACTTCCGTGTCTGCCAGGTTCCAGGCCTCCGCGACGTCGGTGATGCCGATGCGGTTGCTCTCCTTGGGCTTCAGAAACTCCCGGGCCTGTTTCAGGATCTCGTACTCCTTCTCCACGCCTTGCGCGCTGGGGTTGGCCTGCTGTACGGATTCCTTCTTCTCGCCTTCGTTTTTGGCATCTACCTTGCCGTCTCGCGGGATCTGGAATCCGAACTGCCATTCGAACTCGTCGAGGAGCTCCGTCGGCAGAGACTGACCGGCTTGAGGGGGCATCGACTCGACGGTCATCCACAGCGCTGTGCCCACCACAGCGTCGTCAGCCACCGCTCTCTTGAATACAACGGCTCGGGGAGACCCTCCGATCTCAAGCCCCAGGTGCTCCTTGGTCACTTCCGCCAGCCACACATCGCGCTCTGTCTCGCGCCGAATGTGTCGCGTCGTCACGTCTGTGGAATTCTGCTGCAGGCTGATCAGGGTAAAGGGGTGGGGCAGTGTCCCGACCGTGAAGACCTGAGTGGTGTTCCGGTAGGTCATGGGCTGGCTGATTTGCATGGGCTTCTCAACATCGCAGGGGTGGCATTTCTGCAGGTTGGGGGGACACGAAAGCGGCACGGGGGAAATCGGGCATTGAACCAGGGCCTTAGCAAGCCGCAAGCCGGGTTCGACTAGCGCGGTGGTATGTTCGGGGAAGGGCTTCAGGACGGCAATGCCTGCCGGGAAGGCATTTTGGAAAGTGTTGTGCAAGTGGGCGTTGATCAGCTCCACCAGCGCCAGTCGTCCGGCGGTAGGCGACGACACAATCTTCTCGGCCACCGTAGGATAGTGGCTAGTAATGGAGGCCGAGTCGTAGACAGCCAATGCACTGGGCTCTTCTACCTTGAAGAACTCCGTCGGGATCAAGTCCACCATCGAGGTGGACTGGCCGTCCACCTTCTTCACGGCCTCCTTGATAGCCTCGTTGATGCGTGATTTCTCGCCAGCAAACAGAGCATTTTCAACCCGATCAAAGCGCGTGATGAGGGCGGGATCCGTACCCCGACGCAAGTACGTGAGCAGTGCGTCATCGTATCTGGCCATGGGGAAGCAGTGCCAATCCGCAAGCATACCATCACCCATGTGGCCCCAGGCTAGCCACCGGAACAACTCGCTCTCAAGTTCGGGCTTGAGATCCATGGGCTGCACCAGCTCATACAGCTGGTTCTTCATGGCCTCCCCCGAGCCCAGAATGACGGGCCGGAATCCCTGCGCGAACCACGCCCTCCGCCAGGCGAGAAGGAGCTGGGCATCCGCATTGTCTTCCTCCCGATCGTTTCCTTTGTTGGGCTCGTAGTAGGTGTAGATGAATGGTCGGTTACGTAGAGGGGGCAGGACCGATCGGTTCTCGTCGAGCGTGATGGACGAGGAAAAAGGGTTGATCCACGACCAATCGCTGAGCCACTTCGACTCGCCGCTCGTGCTGTTGGGTTGCGGCTCCGGAGGGGTATGCACCGTCGGGTGGAAAGACGGCAGGTGTAGGTCACTGAGCGAGGGGAGTTTCGGATGCGGGATGTATTTGGCTGCGCCGGTTGCTGGCTCTCCAGAGGAAGGGTCAGGGATCGGAGAGGAGGAGAAAATGACGAGAAGCAGGGCCACGAAGACGACGATCGTTAAAAGAGCTGTGCTCCGGTGAGGGATCATCTTGACATGGGACGCTCGACCTGAGCCAGGCCCAACACGCAGCGAAAAATGTGTCGAGCGGAGGCTGTGAAGGTAACCGGATACTCGAGGCTTCTGCCTATCCTGAAGCGGAGCGGATCAAGATGGTAAGGAACTGTGGAGGTTTAGGGGGTACGGCGTAGGGAGGGAATAGGTGGACAAGCGAGCGACGGGCGGGAAAAGTTTTGGAAGACAAAGTTGAACGGGCAAGCGTCAATGACACGTCTATATTGCGTAGTGTAGTTCAGTCCATGGCAAGGAATGGACCTGAACGGTCGGATGCGTGGGAGTAGCGTCGCACTCAGCCCCGTCGTTCCTGATCCCATCGTCGTTCCCTGGGAAGGGCGCCGCGCCTAGACCGAAGCCGGCAGTCGGCGGGGGACACGGGCCACTCCCAGCCACCGCCGCCGCTGCCGTGGCGGTGCGTGGCTGCCTTCTTGCCTGACTGGGCTAGGCCGGAGGGTGCCTGCGGGTGCCTAAGGCGACGATGGACCCCGAAGCGGCAAGCAATGCGGGGTGCCGCAATGGAATTCCGCTGTGGTATTTTTAGTCTTTCACTACGCTGTACTCCGTACTCTACTCCGTACTCTACTGGGATGAAATAGCGGATCAACTGCATTTCACATAGGAAAGAGCTATAATGAGTGACTAAGAAGCACAGCGCAAAGCAAGGCAAGCAAAAACAAAAGATATTCCATCTTGATCCGCACCGATCAACATTCACTCATAAGGGCTGTTGCTGCTGTCCAGCTCACCAGGTTCAAGGAGTCCTGATCGTTTCTCGGCTCCTCTAGTCGGTGGACCAGCTTGCATCACCGGTATTGGTGTTCTGGAAGGTGAAGGACGAGTTTGGCTGGACGATACGAGCAACCGGCTTCTCGGACGAATCGGTGGTGTAGAAGTCGATCACGAATTTCTGGGTCTCGGGTTAGTGGCGAGATATCCATGTGAGAATCACACTGAAGGGGATAGTGCTCACAGTTCCATCCATATAGATCTTGATACTCTGGTTGCCCTGGACGTTCTGCTGATCGTCATAGTAGATGGTTGCACTGGCCACGATTAGATGGGACCGGTGCCAGAGGAAAGCAAAGAAAGGAGAGACTCACTTGATATTGGCGCTGTTAGGCCGGAAGAACCCAGCAGCGTCGCCCTTCACGGACTGTCCCATGCTCTTGGAGATCAGGTCGAAGGACAGTTCAACACGGGAGATGGTGACTCTCCCGCTGATCCGGTCGTGGTAGTTCCAGTGGTAGCAGGAGCATCCGTTGCTGTGCAACAACGATGCCTCCAGCACCTGTCGGCCCAGGGGCCGACTGATCTCCTGCTGGAAGGCCCTCTTGATTTGCGACTCCGAAACATCATGGCCATCGGCGCTGTTGATGGTCACTTGGCGGAATAGCTTGAGGAGCTCATCGTCGGAGGTGCCCTGCTGAGGAAGTGCCTGGAGAGACATTGTCTGGGTAGAAGGGGCGGTGGTAACAATGGTAGACATAGAGAACCTGGTGGTATCTGGGATTGATATACGGAGCTGATGATGAAGTCGATCTTCTCTTATCTGTGCTTTGGGATTTTCGAAGGCGCTGGTGAGGAGAAAGAGGACAACGAAGGATGTCTTCCTCTCTTATATATCTACGAAAATGGGCACAGCATGGATCCAACTTTCAGCTCCGATTGACCATTCGGAAGTCCTGGAGGGATGACAATTTGCGAAGCCCAGTCATTTCGAGTACACTAGCCTCTCCCCAATAGCCTTTGGAGGATATGGAATGGGAGGTTCGCGATGACCTGAGAGATGCATGGTGAATCACACTTCAGCTGCTCTCTTCGCGCCCAGATCCTCGAAGAATGGTCCGTTGGGTATGAATTCTGCAATGCGACGGGCAATGACTCGCGCTGACGTTCCATCTAGAGCACATTCCCAGGTAGCCACAATCACACCCGGGACACGGGGTCTAGCAGACATTCGCCGACTGCAAATAACTGTTGATGGCAAGACTTCGATGGTTGGCCTGGGGCTTTAGAGTTCACGTTGTTGCTTTAGTGTGGCTGTTGCGCATATGCAGCTGGTTGTCGTATAGGAGAGCTGACAACGGAGATGCACGTTGAAGGCCTGGATGAAGCATCACTATGTGCATACAGATGTCCTCGATTGCTCTAAGTCGAACTTCCGAGTGAGGAATCCGATGCGGGCGTAGCTGAGCATCCGTCGGTTCCAGGCTGCGGTTCTGCTGATGACTTCAGTTGATATGCTTGAAAATGGCGCAACTTCAATCATGAAGGCAAACTATGGCGTTGGGTATACATCTCCAGGGGTATACAATCCATACCGGCGGCCACATGCAGGATAGTCGCTAAGTGTAGAGGTCAAGTATATCCGGCAAGTCAACCACGGAGAACAGGCTAATCACCATAGATAGAGGGAGAGTGATTGTCCAAGTGTCTATCACTTCGCATACATTGGGTTGTTAAATCAGGTGATTGTATCTGGACATCAGGCTTCAGTGGGTAGAAGATTACGGGACATCCTAGGGCTGCAAGAACGGCCGATTGGAAACGGGACCAGGGGAACTAGGAATCATGCAGCAATATCTGCAGAAGCAAGCTGAGTGACGAGCAGCCTCCGCTGGTTGGACTGGATAGGCTATGTTTGGGCCCAGCTCGGATGTTTTCACCCAGTTTTTCCAGAAGCGCAACGCCGGCGTTCCCGATGTACTCTAGCCGGCATGACACCTCGAGTTTGGCTGTGTCAACACCATATTCACAACGGCTACATTTCAGCCAGCCCGGCCCTGCTCGTTTGTGCCGTTGGTCATGTGGAAGGGGGACTTGGGCCAGTCTGCAGCCAAGCCATATGTTCTGTGAGACCTGCGCCACGTGCGGGGAGAGACACCGAATGTTACACACAGTCCCTCGCCTTGCTATTCTGGCGGTCCTGTCGCGCAGACATCCCCGGAAAAGGGATTCTGGGGAAGTACGGAGTATCTCAGATGTATCTGCAGTGGTTGCAGCCCACGTCACCGGGATTTCCTATTGGTGGGCGACCTTTTGGCTGAAGGAGTTGCTACTTTGGCATCTCGTTTCTTTTGCCGGTCTGATTGAAAAGCTTTGGGAGACATCATCACCGCTTCTTTCCCAGAGTCGATTGTGTCTATAGTGAAAGCGGTTTGCTCGAAGACGTCGACTGCATGTTGGAGTATGTGGACTGTGTCGAAGATGGGTAGCGGGGGGGAAGAGAGAGAGAGAGGGAGATGGAAAGACAAAGCAATGACAGCAGGGAATCCCCAATGGGGAAGGCTCCGATCACGGGAACCCCAGAACCCCACCCTTGCCCCAAATTGAACGCTTCACAGTAATTATTATTATTGACTCACCAACTCTCCCTCACTCCCCTCCCCTCCCCTCTCCACTCTTCTCTCCTCCCCAGTCTCAAGATTAAGTCAAGTCTTTACCGTACCTAGTACCATGGGAACGACTGATGCTGCCGACGATCCACCTCAGATGATATTCCCGACTTCCTGGCCCGAGATGGCAGCCGAGGGAACAGCCGGCAACTCATCGGCTGCCAGCCCCTGTCGCTTCACGCTTTCGGCAGTTCCCCAGCGGGGAGGAGCTTAATAATGATGCCACTGTGGATGCTGCTGCAACTTAATTCAACTAGCCGGTTTCCGGTTCATCTCTGTCTCAGTAGCTACCTGGATGTGACTGATAATCAGAGCAATTCCCTCTGCAAGTTGTGGGGTTCTTTTCATCCATAAATTACCTTTCCAGCTCCAGCTCCATCCAGCTTCAGCTTTCCGTCCATCCTCTAAACCCATTCTGTCCTCAATCGGTAAGCCAAATCCCAGCGCGAGATTTCCCTGCGGCCCGCTCGGGTGCAACCTAGGATGACATCATGGGCTAACAAAGGGCTTCGCATTGACAGCATCATGGCCTCCAACGAGATGGAATATGTCCGGTATGTCGAATCCCCAGCGCCGCCGGAACCCACTGGCTGACAACGTCACCATGTAGCCTGGGCAACTCAGGCCTGAAGATCTCCAAGATCATTCTAGGCACCATGTCTTATGGCGCTCGCCAGTGGCAAGACTGGGTGTTGGACGAGGAGGAAGCCCTCCCGTTGATCGAGCACGCCTACAAGCGAGGGATCAACACCTGGGATACGGTGCGTCCATCTAAGAAATGTACCTCCCTCACCTACGACAAACTAGACCACTGACCAACCCCACAGGCCGACGTTTACTCGCACGGTCGTTCCGAGGAAGTCATCGGCAAGGCCCTGAAGAAGTTCAACATTCCCCGTAACCGCGTGGTCATCTTGACCAAGTGCTTCTTCGGCGTCGATGACCAGGGCAACTTCCCCTCGATCGCCGCGTCCGGTCGTAACGATGGCGAATTCACCAATCGGGTTGGCCTGTCCCGCAAACATATCTTCGATGCTGTCGATGCCAGTGTCGAGAGACTTGGGACCTACATCGATGTGCTGCAGATCCACCGGTTGGATCGCGATACTCCTCGTGAAGAAATCATGAGGGCTTTGAACGATGTGATCGAGAGTGGAAAGGTCAGGTACATTGGAGCTAGCACGGTAAGATTTCCCCTTTTGCTTTTAAACCAACCCCTTCTCATTTCCAATGCTGACCCCCAAATAGATGGCCGCCTGGGAGTTCCAAACTCTCCAAAACATCGCCGCCCGCAACGGCTGGCACCAGTTCATCTCCATGCAGAACTACCACAACCTGATCGCCCGAGAAGAAGAGCGCGAGATGATCCCCTACTGCCAGGACACCGGGGTGGGCCTGATCCCCTGGTCGCCCATGGCTCGAGGCGTGCTCGCCCGGCCATGGGGCTCCCGGTCGACGACCCGTGAGGCGACCGACGGCGCGTTGAAGTTCCTGATCCGCAGTCGCGAGAGCGAAGCCGACAAGGCCATCGTCGACCGGGTCGAGGAGATTGCCAAGAAGAAGGGTGTCAGCATGGCGCAGGTGGCCATCGCTTGGTCGCTGAGCCACCCCAACGAGAACCCGATCCTGGGCCTGAACAACAAGGATCGCATTGACGAGGCCGTCGCCAGTATCAAGGTCAAGTTGACCGACGAGGAGATCCAGTATCTGGAGGAACCGTATATCCCTAAGACGATTTCTTCTCTGGAGCGGTAAGGACGTTATCGCTACTTGATGCCTTGCCTACCATAAGTATGTATCTATCCCTATCTCCCTCATTCGTCTGTATGAATCTACACCGACCCACGTCTACAACACAACACCAATAGAAAGAATATATTCTACTATTTGACATTTCACCCTAACTACCAACTACAAATAGATAGGTAGATAGGTAGATAGATAGGTCCTAAAAAATCTACTACAAAGAATCCACAACACGTAAAAGACCATGCTCGTCTCCAGAAATGAAATGTTTGTTTGTTTGTTTTATTTCCAAGAGATTTCTGAAATGTAGGTTGTTGGTAGATATCTACTTCTGTTGGAAGAATGTTTGTCCCCGGCAATCAATGCCTGGGTTCCTAGTTTCATACATACATCTATACACGGTCGGTAAGATTCCGACAGACAGTGGAATGTAGAAGATGGTAAAAGAAGAAAGTAGAAAGTAGAAGGAAAATGTTGTGTATATAGAAAAGAAAAGAAAAATGGGGCGCTAGATGATTGTGTCGTGGTATTCATGTTGCTGGTAAGCAAGAGCTGGGAGTTGAGAGGTGGATGGTGCAGGGTGGGTAGGGTGGGTAGGGTATGGTTGGGTAGTCACGAGAAAGAGAAAAAGGATGATGAATGGAATCAGAAATCCCGTGCTGTAGCGCTCGACTCTCCAGGAAGGGGAGGGGAGGGGAGGGTGGTCTTCGCTCTTCGCCACAGACACCGTGACCTAGCTAGCGCCTGGCTCTGTCTCTGGTCACGAATGGAGGTGGATTCTGAGGATGTTGTGCATGGTAATCTCGTGGATGGATGGTCAACACGAGGAGTTCTCTCCTCTGCAAGAGGGAGGGTTGAATCGAAGGTATGTATGTATGCATGCACGAATGCACGTATGCATGCATGGGTGTATGTATGGATGAGAGCGAGAAGGGAGAAAGAAAAACGAATTTTGAAGGAGTTGAGTATGTACGATAAGCACCAGGCTTCGCTCAATGGCTATGTCCGTTTTTACGGATGATGAAGTCGAATAGACTGCTGATTCGGTGACGACGCTTTCCTTTTGTGGGGGCGGGTTCTGGTTGGGATTTCTCGAGAGAGGATGGTTCGACGGGTCGCGACGCACGGGGGTTGTCCAAACCCCGGGACCGGTCTGGTTCCTGGTCCGGGGGCACGATTCGCTTGAGGTCTTCGGATTTCCGACTGTGAGGCCATATCCGCCGGCTCTTGGAGTCTTGCCGGGCGGGCGTGGCCTGAGTGGTCTCGGTCTCGTCTTGGCTCCGTTCGCGAGGCGTGGCGAGGGCGCTGTGTCTGTTGAGTCGATTGTTGGAGCTGGAGGCTCGTCGGTTGGTGCGCTCGATGAAGGCCGCTCCGGTGGAATTGGAGCGTTTGGATAGACTCCCATAAGATGTTGGCCGATCCGCAATGATGGTTTGTGTGGATACATAGGTGGCGCTGGAGAGCCGGTGTCGTCTGGGGCCGTTTAGCGCAGGGATATCTGCCGGTTGGCCAACCTCCATTTCCGGGAATTTGTCGGTCTCGTTCCTGCCCGCTGTCGGGGAGCTTTGTCTCGACGAGCACAGGGCCTTGGTGTTTAGCACCGCGGCCGTGTCATCGTATCCGAAGTTGTGCGACCAGCCTTCCCGGAACGCAACCCAGATGCTGGTGATGACGATCAACATGCGGAGGTCCTTGTCGGTTACCATCACCTTTCGGTCGAATAGATCATCTATCTCTGACGAATCGCTGATGACGGACATGGCGGAGTTGGGTGAGTGTGCGAGTCCACAATTCGTCGGCATCGAATACTCGTCGTAGACCTCGAGGTAGTTGCGACTCATAGTGGCGATGACAGGGTGACGACGAGTGTTCGGGTTGATGACGCTGAATGTGAACCGCTTGGTATCCTCCTGCATTGGATTTCCCGGCGGCGCAGACACGCGACGGGTCTTTGCTCCTCTCAGAACCCACCGGAGGACTTGGACCCCATGATCGGTATTGGCCACGAACTCGTAACAGCCATTGGCGAGGGGCGTGGCCTCCCATACTGGCCCATGGTTTAGGCAGATCTCGGCTTTCCCCTTCGAGAGGGCATCGTCCTTGAAAAGCTGACATATCGTTGCGACAACCTCGCGCTCCCCGCTCTCATCATCGGAACCCGGATACCTGTCGGCGGTGTTGCCTGGCGCACTGTCGTAGAGGTCGCTAGCGACGACGACAAGGTCATTGGGGCCCAGTCCCTTCTTGCCGCGAAAGATGGTCGGGAACTTGCGGGCCAATCTAGGCAGAAACACAGTCGACGGCAACACATCCAATACCGGAAGGGGGCGTGGGGTCTGCGACACTTGCTGGAGCTGCAAGAGAAGCTTAGGTCGAAGCTTGAGGCGCCTGTGACGTGCGTGGGCCGCGGGATGCGCTAACTGGTATGACGTTTTAGGCCGCGACGATTGTTTCCGAACAGATTGCGAGCGGCCGATCTTTGATGGAGCTAGAACTGATCCCACTGTCGAGCGCTCCTCATCACTGGAAGAGGCTGGCTCTATTGCCACTGTTCTCGGTGGCATCGTGCGCTGTTGCGGCATCTCCGTTTCCTGGGCCTTTGACCGACCGTAGATACCCCCTAGCCCCCAGGACGGCAGCGTCGCAAATGAGATGGATGGGGAGGAGTGGCGCGTCGCACTAGCGAGCGGCGTTTCGGACGGAGACCCGAGGGATTCGTGTTCGTGAGCTGCTGCCGCATCCGCTGCCAGGCCAAGGTTGAATAGCATTATCTCCGGGGATGCGACAACGTCTGCTTGCTACTACTCCAACATCAACATTGACACAGGAGGGCGATGGTAGCGACTCCTATTGGGGGGGGGGGGAGGGCGATCGCGAGCCACTAGATCGACGGGTGTGCAGGTCAACTTTGCGGGGTTGGTTGGACACAAGCTGTATGCCGAAGTCGCTGGGGTATGAAGAACAGGGAAGTAAAAGGGGAAAAGAGGAGAGAGGAGTAGGGAAGGGGAAGGGGAAGGGGAAAGGGGAGGGGATAGATAGAGAGGACGAGAAGGGAGAATCCAATGGGCGTGACCTGCACGGCGAATGTCGACCCCTCCACCTTAGTAAGGCTGAGGTTGAGTAAATAGAAGAAGAAGAAGAGGAGGAGAGAGAGAGAAGGAGGGGATTGAGGTCAGCGGCGGCACTCTTCACGCAGGAGGCAAAATGGATGCGGAGTACAAAGTACTACTAGTAGGTGATGGATGGAATTTCAAACGTCGTACGACGTGGGCATAGAGTGGGAGTAATGCAGCGAGTGGGCGGAAATATGTAAGGGAGACGAGACAGGTGGGTAAGGGGGGCAGAAGCTCCAGCAGCTGCGTGGGCGAAGCCCGCCTTAATATTCAGAACAATATCCGGACGTGCCAAAAGGATCGCATGTCAGATGGATCGCTGGATGGATGGAGACAGATGGCGGTCAGAAACCCACTGGCTGGCTGTATGTAAGTAACTGTGTATGAGATGGAAAGATGGGCAGGGCAACATTAGTAATTATACCTAAGCAAGAATCAGGGCCTGAGAGCAAAAGAGAGAATGACAGAGAAGCAGCAGAAGGGAAAATGAAAATAAAAAAAGAAAAAAAAGAGAAAGAGAGAGGGGAAAACCCACATGGACCAACCAAATTACTATTACAACACCAATGGAATTAATGAATAGTATCTCCTCCTAATTCCTATACACTTAGCTCCTACTTTACTCCGCAACAGTTACTACTAAGTTTGCCATCTGGTCTCCGGCAGGGCACACTCCGATCTAGAGCACTAACCCACTAGTACTACACCTGTACGTAAGTTCAGTCAACCTTACCATGTCGTGGGAATTTTAATTATTATTTTTCGGTCGGGTGGGTTAGCCCAGGGAACAAAGTCGTCTCCGTCCGCAATCAATCTGCATGAACCGCCTCCCGACCACCCATGGCTGGTACAGCGTAGTAGCTCGCGTTCAATGCCACAAGGGGCTAGCCGACGATCTTCGGCACTCCCAGAAGCCAGACGCCGACGCTAATTTGGACAGCTTGCCCCCCTGTGATTGGGTGATTCGTACGGGAGGAATACAGGCTGTGTCGTGCCGCGTAATTGTTCACTCGTATCGATCATTATTGTGCCTGTACGGAGTAATTATCTATCTGTTCATCATTGCCCTCCGACCACAGCGACTTGCCCTCGGCGTCGGAGACGGATTATGCAATGATGATTAGGTCAGGGAAGCTCCGGTATGCATGGCAGCATCAGGACATGTCATTCTGATACACTCTGATGTACTTGTGCGTCACTGCATGCTGCCCCTGGCTGAAGCTGTCCGAGAAGCAGGTGGACGGACCGTAGTACTTTTTTTACTTCATTCCCAAGCGGGTGTGTACTTAAGTGTAATATGACCGACTCATCAGCATATTTTGACGGTCCTTTACTCCCACCTTATTACTACTACTACTACTACTACTACTACGACTGCTACTACCACTCAGGAGGAACTCAGGCTAATGTCCGCGGACTTCGGATTCTGGAAGTCCATTATTCCCACGGAACCGGAAGCTCCGACTTGCCGGTAGGCTCCGTCCTTGGTTCCATGGCGCGGCGTCGGATTTTGCAGGCCGCGGGAAGGAAGTCTGCAAAATTATGAAAAACCCCCCTTGTAGTGTAGAGTCGCGCCGTTCCGACCAGAATGACTGGTGACACACTCAGTCGTCCCAAACCTTCGGACAGGCTAGACAGCTGCAACTTTCTACTGTAAGGCTGAGTGTGTACGTATTCCTGTCAGCTGGTACGAGGGACGCTGATCCTTTGCTAAATTGCGCCAACTGTTCCATCCTGGTATCTATCCACATCTATCTATCTATCTATCTACTAGATAATATCAGACGGCGAGGCTATGTAACTACCCAACGCTCCTTATATCGCTCAGCCATTGTACTAAGCCTTGCGCGGGAGCTTGATTCTCGTATCCACGGAGCCTGAGGCTATGTAGCTGGCACCTCTCGTCGTGTATCCGACCGCCGCCAATACGAGTCTCATACAGGTAGGTACTCTGGATGTTACAAGTTACAACTGTTAGTACAGCCAGGTGCCCGCCCGGAGCCCCCTTCTGAATCAGACCGGATGACTTTTTCTTCGGTCGGGCTTGGCATTACGATCCAACAAACGAGGGTCTGGTTCAGCGGGGACCCGATGGCAAACTTTTCCTCGATACGAATGCAGCGTGGAGCCTCCTAACATGAAAGGTTGCGACTTGATGCCGACGGGCGAACAGCCTTGAGGGCAGCTGGTTGGTCCGGTCGGTTCTCGAGGAAGCTCTCCGACCCAGCCCAGCACTACTCGGCGACTCGGTGACTCCCGTCGGAGTTCATCAGTATACCAAGAAGGCCAAAGCGACAGCGAAAGGCGAAAGGCGAAATGCGAACCCACCAAACTTCCGGTCGGCGCGCCCTTCCACCAGGCCATTCTCGCCCGATTGGGAAATCTGGCCCTGAAGATGTACGTCGATGTATGTAGGTCGAGCGTACATAGCGCTGCAGTTATGTGGGAAGCGGGGGCCATGGGCAATGGTGAGGAAAAATTCAGCAGGCCACAAGGACACCGCGTGATCCACAGGCTCAACAGGGACCTTTGGCTGGAAGCTTCGCAAAAGCAAAGGTGACAAAAACAACAACCCGAGATCGCCGTCCAGTGGAGCAAATGGATGGATGGATGGATGAACTTGGAGGTCTGTTTAGGCGTGTCAACAGGTGTGTGCCCTCTCGCTACCTATCAGTTGCAGATGGGCACCCCTCCTACTGCAAGCAGTCAGCATCTAGGTGCTTCCCATGAGTTCAGATGGTATGTGCCGCTCTGCATGGTGTAACCAGCATCATCCCAGATAGGTACTCTGTAAGTACTGCTTGCAGATTCGGTCATTATTGGAACCAGCAGCCGATATTATTATGCATCCTTCCCTACACAGAACTTACACACACACTCTCTCTCTTTCCCCTTCCTTCCTGATTTACCCCTCACGGCTTGAAGATCAACAATAGTTGCGGAGATGGATGCGATACGGAAGCCTCATCCAGACGTCTTCAGACATCCATGGGACACTCACCGTTAGCGGGATGCTGATGATCGTCATGTGAATCTGCAGGGATGAATATCCGAAGCATCACATTGGATTTCCGGACTCCATGAACTCCGGACAGTGCCGTAGGGCTGACCTGCTCGTTGGGTTGATCCAAGGTTTGATGGCATGGTCAGCCATTCCACAGTTCCAGAACCGCCGATGGATGGTCAGTTGCACAAAAAACCAGCCATCATCATTCAACAATATTGTTCATCTGTATTCCATCAGTAGGTACTCTGCATGCCTGGGTAGCTCAGGTGTGAAGCCAGATGGTCTGACATCACCTCGACATATCGCGATCACTAATCCTTCTGGACAAACAGAGAGATGATACCAAGCATCGCTTCATTCTGGTTTCTCGGGATTTTGAGACAGTCTGGGACTAGTCGTCGACCGGATCGTTCCCACCGAGACGCCACTGACCATTAGACTACTTAGTATCTACTTACTATATACCGAGCCTGAGGTTGCCTTCCCTCCCCCATTGGGCCATTACGTAGTTATGCGCGGCTACCCGCTGAATAAGAGCGAGTTATGCGTGCCGGGCCCTCCGATCGATCGCCCGCCCGCCCGCGCAGTTCGAGACGCGTTGCTTTTTCTCCAGGGTCGCTTGGGCTTTACCTCGGTTTCTCGCCAACCATCATGATTATACGCGTTTAATTCCCTCATTTGTCTGAGATGGGCGAATAGGATCGGGCCTAGCCACCAATCATTGCCTGACGATGAAGATTTTGCGCTACATTATCTGTTGAAAAAAAAATTACACTGAATCATCGTCTCTGGTGCGGTGTGCTCGGCGCTCGCTCCCTTCGAACCACGATGGGCTCGTCGCCATCTCCTCACGCGGCCTCTGCAATAATAACCATGGCGAACCGCCCCAGTCTCCTAGATCCCCGCCAGCCCATCAAGGCGTTAACGGTAGCGTTCTGCCTCTGGAAGGCCCTAGTGTACCTGGTGATAATCACCTCCCCCGGCCTTGGCTACGACACCTCAACCGGACATCTTTATCAACCCACCGGTCGCGCTGATGTCATACCGGGCGACATCAAATATGCTCACCTTCCCATCCCGTTAAAATTCGTCAGGTGGGATTCCATCTACTTCTTGCACGTGGCAGAGAGCGGCTATGTCTTCGAGCAGGAGTGGGCATTCGGCTATGGGTACACTCAAGCCCTGGCCTTCATCACATCCGGTACACCCGTCTCCCCTACCAGAGGGTCTCCATCCTATCCCAAGTATTCAGGACACTGATTGTTGATGTAGCGCTGTACCAACTATTTGGGATAAGTGGGCCTGCTAGAACTGCAGTTGTGGCAATCGTTCTGTCGCATATTGCACATTATCTCTCAGTCTTAGCCCTATATAGACTCTCTATCAACGTATTCGGGCGTGATACAGCCACCCAGAGACTCATCTGCTTTCTCTCTGCCACCCTGCACGTCATCTGCCCCGCGGGGGCCTTTCTTTCGGCGCCATACGGAGAGTCCCTCTTCTCTCTGCTCAACATCTCTGGGTTCTATGTCTACTCGTCGGCATTCCTCGATAACAAAGCGGGAAAGCGCTTCTCCGGGAACGCGAAATTACTCCTGGCCGCCGTCCTTTTCTCAGCGGCCACAACTGTTCGCAGTAATGGGATCCTGAGCGGTGTTTTATTCGCCTATGATGCCCTTTTGCAGCTTCGACGGGTCGTGTCCCAACGATTGTCAGTGGGTGCTTGTGCTCATCTTTGTACCATAATCGTGGGTGGCTGTGTCATTGCCCTAGGACTTATCATCCCGCAGGCCGTGGCCTACAAGACATATTGCACGCACCAAGATGCCTCAAGACCGTGGTGTCAATGGCTGATACCCAGTATATATGGTTGGGTGCAAGGGCATTACTGGTACGTTGCATCACCGGCCTAACATCGAAGACGCACGACTGATTTGTTCTAATAGGAACGTGGGTTTCCTGCGGTATTGGACTGCATCGAACATCCCGCTGTTCTTGCTGGCCATGCCGATGCTGGCAATCCTCTGCCGGTCGTCCCTCTGGGCACTGGATGTGGCAGTGCCTTTTATCTTCCCGAGAGCCTTGAGTGGGGTTGACCAATCGTCGTCATCAGCCACAACGGCCTCCTTACTTCTCCGACTGGCCGTGCCTCAGGGAATACTGGCACTCATGGCTCTGACCAGCTACCATGTACAGATCATCAACCGGATATCGTCTGGATATCCTTTGTGGTATTGGTACCTCGTATATCTAGTCTCGGGCAACTGGGGGCAATCCCGTCCTACCCTCCAAGACAGCCGTACTTTTACTGTGGCTGTGCGGGCCATGGTCGCCTATGCACTCATCCAAGCGACTCTGTTTGGGTCTTTCCTCCCGCCGGCTTGATCGGAGCCTGGACTTACCCTTAATACTATCTTGGGTCTGCATATTTCGTTTGTCTCAAATAGAAGAGAAGGGAGAGGAAGGGAGCCAATAGTTAGTACTAGTAAATAGGTACCTTGGCAGTATCCGGACAGGACTTAGTGAAAGGTAGGTAGGTCGGTCGGTCGATAGCTAGCTAGCTACTAGACAGACAGACGAATGTAAGAGCGGTGACCGCGAAAAGGGAGCCTGTGATTTGTTCCGTTCGCCCTTTGAGATCCTCCTTGGGCTGTGATTTAATGGGCTGTCGGAAGCGCGATGCATCGACCCCAGGATCTAGCCATTAGTACGTGCAATCTACTGCGGTGTTTAATGGTTGGGGCCCGATTCTTAGGCTGCTGACCGTTACGTCGTCGGTCGCCCGGGGCATTATGTCATCATCGATCTCACAAAACTGAGCCAGACTCAACCATGATACCTCTCAACACCGGATTGCTACGCGTGAGCTCGAGTTGTCCTCAACCCCGAGTGAATTTCTGAGCAGAAGAGCATTTACTCACCACACACGTGTCTCAGACAGAGGACACTTGACACTTTGCTATTGGCCCCCCCCCCTGTCTGTCGCCCTTTGAAGCTGTTCTTTCCGATCGCTTTACTAGACGAGACACCTACTAAATCGTCCATGCGAAGACTGGCCGTAGGTCACTGTTTGGGCATCGATTCCTGCAGCTTAGCAACTATCCACGACCTTCATGTTTAAGGTGCGACCCTCGTTTTCGCCCCCTATGCTTTCCTGGTTTCCTTGGTGATAAAGCCTCGCTGACCGACCTGGCCCCTAGAACTCCCCCGAGCCTCCTCCTCCTACTTCCCATACCTTTGCGCCCCAGTAATCGCCCGACTGACGACAATCAACGATGGATACCTCCGGTCCCAAGGCCATCCTGACGTCCGACAATTTTCACAATGTGCAAGAGATCTCCCGGGCTACCACGCCAGGGGGTGAGCCAGCAGTCATAAACGGAGACGGTGAGCAGAAGGCCCGGGTTCGCCCCCGTACATATCCGTATTTCAAATATCTCCCATATCCGATCGAAAACGAACGTGAGAGGGAACGGTCCCTACGAGAGATCTTGAAACAGCTTTATATCGCGGTGGAATCGGGCGATTTCAGTCCCGGGGCAGTACACTGGACGCGGGAGCTCAGAGGATGGCTATCACTCAAGTTCGATCCTACCCGCAAGGAACGGATCAACCTTGTCAGACTATACTATGAGCTGTCGCTGGCCCCTGGAATCGATCCAAATGTTTCCGAGCGGTTTTCGAGCATGTTCATGCTGCTAACCAAGTGAGTCTAACCTGTCTCTGCCTATCGTCTCTAAGCTGACGCCGGCGCCAGGCGCAAGCATTATCTCAGACCGGTCAAAGATTTAGTCCTCGACTGGAGACCGCTATACAGGGAGCTGAAGTCCTTCGTGCTGCCCACCGAATCGGGGCTTGTCCATTCGACGAATCTCAAGCGGAATGTCAAGACACTGACAAAGCTGTGTGCCTTTGTTCAGCTGTACATCGACCCATGCGAGTTGCCGGCGATGCTGGAAGAGTTCCTCCCTCACTACACGACGTCTTTCTCGGAGGGCGCATTTGTTGTTGTTGGGTTGATCAATCTGCTGCTTCCGACCTCTCCGCCGCCCGAGGATAGGGAAGATCTCCTACCACATCATTATTTGCCTACACACTTCCATCTTTGGTCACTAGTGAGTCGATCAAAGACCTTCGATGTCACCTACCTCGACTATCTTTCCCGGCTAGCTCGAGACTCATTGCCTGCCAGTCATATACCCTTCTCGGAGTATGGATTGTTCAGCAAGGAGCAGTCGGCGCTTATCTTTACAGCCATTCTCAGGCTATTGGAGATCCCAGTCGGGCAGTCGACTTCACCCTACAGTGCCCTTGTCGATATCTCCTCTGGACTAGGAATCATGCTTGATCGAGACACGCGGAAGCACCCTGTTGCTCATCACATCGCCAGATGGGTGGTGATGTCACTCTCCCCCGCATGCCTTGAGGCTGAAGAGTCCGTCCTCACTCAGCTCGAGGGTCTTATACAAGCTGTGGAGACCTTCTTTCACCCCTCCAATTCGGGAGGTTGGACTAAGACGCTGGCCCAGCTGGTGTATTACCTGGCCGACTTCTTCGTGATGCGTTGGAATCGTGAGCAGAGCGGGGAGATGGAAGTTCCAGAAGAGCGAAGGTTGAACGAGCCCCTGAAACGCCGCTTTGTGCTATGCCTGCGCGAGGTCATTTTCATGGGTATCTTCGCTAAGAGTGGCACTGCCATGAGCTTCTCGTTATCCACCTTGCAAAGCTTGGCCTACCTGGAGCCACATCTAATCCTTCCCGGCGCTCTACAGCGCATATACCCGTCTCTTCAAGGTCTTGTGGAGGTCCACCGTACAACCTCGTCGCTCCGTGCTCTTCAGGTCCTGTCGCGCATTATGTCGAGGACCAAAGGCTACCGCTGCCACATGACCACTCTGTTGGGACTTGCGCTGCCCGGTATCGATGCCAACGACCTCGAAAAGTCTCTGCATGCGCTGTCATTCATCCAGTCCGCATGCTACAATATCCCCATGGCCGACCTGACAAAGGAAGGAGACGATGTAAACTGTAACATGCTTGCAATGCAATGGGTTACTGGCGAAATGGAGCGGATGGAAGAAGAGGGCGTTGCGGTGCAGCTGAACTACGAAACTGAATTGGATGATGTGACAGAAGAGATGATCCTTCGCTCCTCAACATGCGGGTTCGGAGATTTCATCGTCTCATTTATGGGCCGTGTCTTTACGCTTCTAGAAAATCTGCCCGATGTGACTAGGGTGCGGAACGGATCTCCCGAGGAGAACATTGTCAACACTCTCCCGGCCACTTTCATGCCGCTCCTGTCGTCCCTTTCTCCTGACCTATACGATATTGCTCTGACGAAGGTTGTCGATTTCGTGTCGAACCATGTGATCCACCAAGCTCGGGACGCAATGGCCTTCATTTGTAACTCGGTGTGCAAAGTGAATCCTGAGAAGGCTTTGAAGCGCTTTATTCCGGTGTTGACACAGGCTATTCGTACTGAGATTGATGACAATGGCGCCGGATCAACTAGAACGACCGGAACAGATGTTCTCCCTCGCGATCGTGGTCTGGTGTGGAACGTGAGCATGCTGAGCATGTGTGTCGTCCATGTTGGGGATGCGGTGCTCGCTCACAAGAAAGAACTCTTCGACATAGCTGCTTACATGCAGCAGAAGTGTAGGGGAATTCCAACCGTTCATATCTCCAATTTCATTCACCATCTTCTCCTCAATCTCACGGGGACATACACTTCAGACTACAAATTGCATGAGTCTGATATTGTCGCCAAGGGTATAACCCCTGAGCTATGGAGCTACCGACAGGATCCTTGTAATCTGAATATAAAGTGGCATGTCCCGAAACGCGAAGAACTTGAATTTGCCGTCGATCTTTTCCAGAACCAGGCCCAGTCTGCTCTCAAGCAGCTAACGGCACTGACCAACGAGACTTCCACTGTTAAGCGTGATGGAAGCGGCAAAGATTGGTCCGATGAGGTTACCAGAAACTTGATCCTGCTTCGGCTCATTCTTTCGGGTATCTCTGTGCTTTTCGATTCAAAGGCGGCATCGACGACAACACTGACCGGGGCGTCTGATGTCCCCAGTGATGTTGGCATGACAGATAAAGACATGCCGAGCGACGATGCTATGGAGGATAATGATTCTGACGATGAGCTCGACAGCTCGGATGAGTCCACTATTCGGCCATGCTTCGTATACCCTACAGGCTATCCATTGCTTGAGACCGATCAGATGTACGTTACTATCCACCAGATTCGAGAACGGGCAGGCTGGGTTCTTCATGAAGTGCACAGATTCCTCTCGGACAAGCAAGAGGATGACGTGCCCTGCTTCGCTGCTCTCTACTCGGCTTACCGGTCCTGGTTTTCCGACGTTGGAATCGAGAAGTCCGCCCATGTTCTCGACAGGGTGACCCGTCTCCTTGCGGCCGACATACATCCGTATAAGATGAGCGGCATCCGCAAGGATTATCCGCGCCCTCTTCTCGTCCGCAGAGCCAACGTGTACCACTTACAACGCTTGAGGAACAACGCATCACCTCGACGTCGGTCTAAACTCGATGAGATCTTGCTTCTGGACATTGCCGAGTCGTGTGTCTCCGTTTACACAGAGACCCGCCGCAACGCTCAAAATGCGGGCGAATCCGCTCTAAAGACTGTTTGGGGCGCCCGTCTCCTCGTCATCCCACCCCTTCTCACGGCTCTCCAGAAGGGCATCAGGGAGAACGACCATGCGCTCATCAAAGGTGCTTTGTTTTCTTTGCTGCTCGGCAGTGTTGCCAAAACGGTCGGTCGTCATTGGAAACACACCCCTACCTTGGTCAGGACTTTCATAGAAGCAAGTGCTGTCGACAAGCCGTCTGTGCAGAGAATCTGCTCGGCTGCTGTTTTCCAAATCATGGACTATGGTCGTTCTATGGAGAGAATGGCTATCCTGGATCGGGACATCATCGAAGCAATCGCTCCAAAGGTCCCTGTTGACGCTCATATCGCAAACAAGCGGGCTAGTATCAACAAAAAGCGTGTTCTTATTGAGAAGAGGAAGGCTGATCTGGCTGAAGAGCTTGTGAACCTTGCGAGGGTATCTCATTGGAAGGTTGCCAGTCGTGCTGCTACAATCGTCATCACCATGGGCCTGAGATTTGATTATATCGCCAGTGAGAACCTCGTGGACCTGGTTACTCACGGATCCATTGATGATCACCCCGGCCTGCGTGGTATGTACTCTCAGGCGCTCATCGCCTTGTTTACGATGATCGATGTCCGGGCAATCTGCAATCATGACTACAAGAACTTTATCCTAGGACGCCAGCATTTCCCTTCCAAGGTCAAGGTTGCCACCAAGCGGCACGATGAAGGATGGACCGAGGAATACCTCGCAAGCTTTGCTAATCCCGAAGCGGAGTACTACGTTGATCATGACTTCCCCGGCTGGCTGGTGTGGGCGGACAGCATGCCTGCCTATAAGTCAAATGTGGCACGGGATATTGAATACGACGATGTAGAATGGAAGGTCCGGGAGTACATGGGTAAATTGTTCGACAGAAAGTGGTTCTCCAAGTTTTTCATGTACTTGAAGCAAGAGCCACGGGACCCTACGGCCGACAAGTTCCGCATGCCCTGCGCAATGATGCTTCTCTACGCCTTTGAGTTGATGCTCCGGGATGGACTCACAACTGCTACCTTCAAGGAAATCCAGGAAGAGATCGAGATCGTTTTTGAGGATGGCAGCGACAAGCACCAGCATCGGGCTACTGCTGAGATTCTTGGTGCTCTGGTGAGCTCTGTGGCGGACACAAGCGTAGAGAAGCGGACCATGGTCTGGGAATATGCCTTCCCCATCGTGCAAAAGATATTTACCGATGGCCTGACTCCCGAGAACTCTGGTTATTGGACAACATTCTTGCATATGATTCTCCAGTGCCGTGATCCTCGAAGGGCTTGGCCGTTGGTCGATTGGCTCGCCAGCTTCCGGTTGGATATGGGGACGAACGCCGCATTCAAAGAAAGCTCCAAGATCAATTTGCTACACCAGTCTATCATCGATGCAGGGTGGCACTTCCAGCTCGAGAAGCCGATCATTGAAGATTTTATTGCTCATCTCGATCACCCCTACAAGGGCGTTCGCGAAGCGATGGGTCAGACGATCGCAACGATATTCCGCACCAGATACCACGAGTCATATGCCGACCTCAAGGGTCTTCTCACAGCCCAGGAGTCGGCATCCACGGTTGGCACGTACCCTTACCTTCCGACAGAGGACTTTACCAAAATGCTTCGCGGCGTCTTTGAGCGCATTGAAAAATGGCGACATGAGAGAGTACCTGGTCAACAGGCACCTTCTTCTTACACGTCCGGCTGTAAGACAGTTCTTCTGTGGCTCGACTCTACCCTTTCGTCCCACGAGTGTACACAGCTGGTTCCCTTCTTCCCAGATCTGTTCACAGGACACCTCTTGCACATGATGGATGTGAAGGAAGACCCGGAGCTCCAGTCTCTGGCATACCACGTCTTCCGGCATTTACCCAACATCCCCTATCCTGCTGAGCAGGACTCTGGGTTCATCAAAACACTTATCCACATCGGCCAGACTTCGCCATCGTGGCATCAGCGCCTGCGAGTCATGATCAACATCCAAATCATATACTTCCGTCGTCTGTTCTTGCTCGCAGTCGGCGATCGTGACAAGCTGTTTGAATGTGTGGCAAGCATGCTAGAAGATCCCCAGCACGAGGTGAGAGTGGGGGCATCGGCTACGCTTTCCGGAATGGTTCGTTGTTCGCCTGTTTCTCTCCGGCAGGCGATGGTCAGCCGGCTCAAAGCACGGTTCACCAAAGGACTGGCCGAGAATCCTCTCCCAAAGAAGCCAAAGGGCCTCCGCTCCGGCCTGTCCACCCCCATCTCCTCAGGAGCTGGTACCCCGACTCCCGAGCACACGCGTCTCATCATTGTTCGGCACGGCGCTGTCCTTGGGCTCGGAGCTCTGATCCAGGCATTCCCATACAACAGTCCGCCACCGACGTGGATGCCCGAGGCGCTGACTACATTGAGTGTTCGTGCCGCAAGCGATCCAGGCATTGTTGGCTCGAGCGTCAAGTCTATCATCAGCGAGTTCAAGAAGACCCGGCAAGATACGTGGCATATTGATGCGAAGGTTAGTTGTCGCGAACATGCCGATCTTACTTATATTGAATAATCGCTAACCCCTTCTCTGCAGGCTTTTACACCCGATCAGCTCGAAGACCTTTCTGGAGTGCTTTGGAAGAGTTATTTTGCATAAAGGATGCACGAGAAGTGACGATCATTGCTGTTGTTTAATGAGAGTGATGTGCGCTGTGTTTATTCCTTCTAGACATGCTTGACGCCTACAAGATCAGTTTGGGTTTGCCTGGGCTATAGTACTGTCGGATACTGTTGAGATGGTCATTCAGCATTTAGTAGCATGTTGGGGGATTATCATGATCCAAATCCACCGAGAAACTTTTAATTCTTCTACTTTGAGCAATATGTACTGCTTGCTTGCTTGCTTGTTCTGTCCTTGTGGTTCTTGTGTCCCCATCACATGTCTGCCCACCATTCTTTGTGCCAGATAATAGTCAGCTTGCATGAGTAGAGTTAGCCAACATCAGACATCTCACGAGGTTATCAACTCACCATCCTGGCTTCTATACAGAGATCTACCAATCCCAATAGACTATCAATGCAGTGGTAGTCATCCCCCGCAATCCAGTATGGATTCAACTATGCGAACCTGGCTAGACCTTCACAGTACCACGCCACATCCAGCCAACTCGTCATAGATTGTCGGGCTCTACTGGTGTCTTCCATACTAGTCAATTGCTGCTAGCCCTCTGCCATTCGAATCGCCAAATACTCGTTTACACATCAATTTGATCATTGTGCTCCCTATTCATGATCCAGCCAGACCTTCAAAAAAAATCTATATCCCGCCTGCCCTCTAAGATTGGAGATCTTATAACCCCCTGCTGTGAAATAAATAGCCATAGTCCATCAAGACAAACTACTACGCCATTTCTCCGTCCATCTTAAGCCATACTCGCAAGTTCCTACCTTACTCCAGAGGTCTTTCGCAATGAAGCTCTACCTAATTACCCTCCTAAACCTATCGGTGGCCTACCTCGCCACCGCCTCGCCGCTCACTATACAAATCGTCGGCGAGCACAGTGAGTTCGCCCTTCGTTGCTCACATGTATCTCTTGCATTGTCCAGCGGCAAGCGCCGTGATACTGAACCCATCAAGACTCTCCTCAAGCTGGCTGCGCCAGTGATGGATGTATCGAATCCGAGGGGGTATGCTGCCGGGGCGAAGGGTGTGCATGGTGCTGTGAAGAGTATATGTTTGAGTGCCTCCCGGACTCGGTTGGTAGTTTCTGGGGACATTGTAAGTATGTTGGGTTTACTGCTGCGCCGCGGCAGCAGCAGCAGCAGCAAGCTATTGATGGCAGATATCACTAAGGTGGTGGTGGTATTGTTCTGCGGGCTTGCTTCGGGGTGTTTATCGTTTTTTGCTCCGTGGACGGATACGGATGGGTGGAGGGTTTGTTGCTTGAGTGCCATTGCCATTTCAACATGGTCGGACCTCTGCCTGTTGTTAGTGTGTATGCTCAGACTGCAGCACGATGTGATGTTGAAACATGACAATGATGAGCAGGACTCCGTACGGTGTAGAAGTTAGTGAAGTCAGGAAATAAGGCGTGTCTTAGTCAGCCGAGGTCCCGTCATCGCACGTGACCGCAAGCAGCCACGCGGCTCTCCGGGCGTCGACGCAGCATCACACCAACCACAGGGGCTCTCCGGACGGCTTCCAGTCCTCTCTTTCAGCTAAATCTCGGCCGCTCAGGCTTTGGATCCCTATCGTTATCTTGCAGGTACTTTGACAGTATCTGATATTGGCGCTTCCGCGCACGTTTATCTCTGTTGTGGTGGAAAGGAACTGCTCCAGGCAGCTGGTCTTTCACCATGGCTCCGAAGGACACCTTCTTCCGCTCGTCGGATATGAGCTTGACCCAGCTCTATATCGCGAATGAAATCGGACGAGAAGTCGTCAGTGCTCTGGGAGAGCTTGGCCAGGTCCAATTCAGAGATGTGAGTCCCTGCCTGGTATTGCGTGCTGGCTGGATGGATATGGATCGGAACTGACGTCGGTCGGTCTTGTTAGCTCAACCCCGAAACCAATGCTTTCCAACGGACTTTCACGAAGGAGATTCGCCGCCTCGATAATGTGGAGAGACAGCTGCGTATGTTTTGGCATTGCGAGATGATGTCTTCCCACGTGTTAATGTGTTGATTGCCGATGATCTAACCCGTCCTCTCCACGATAGGCTACTTCCACTCCCAGATGGACAAGGCCGGCATCCCCATGAGGTCTTCGTCTGAATTCTCGGACACCCTGGCGGCTCCTCTGGCTTCTGAAATCGACGAGCTCGCGGAACGGAGCGAAAGCCTCGAGCAACGCATCGCCTCCCTGAACGACAGTTACGAGACCTTGAAGAAACGTGAGGTGGAGTTGACCGAGTGGCGCTGGGTGCTTAGGGAAGCTGGTGGTTTCTTCGACCGGGCACACAGTCACACGGAGGAAATCCGCCAGTCCTTTGACAATGACGAAGCTCCTCTTCTCCACGATGTCGAACAGCAGACTCACCGCGGCACGAACGGCGACGCGCATGGCCAGCAATCGTTCCTTGAGATGAACATCGGGTTCGTGTCCGGTGTCATTCCCCGGGACCGCATTGGCGCCTTCGAGCGCATCCTGTGGCGTACCCTGCGTGGTAACCTTTACATGAACCAGTCCGAGATCCCCGAGGCCATCATCGACCCGACCAACAACGAGGAATCCCACAAGAACGTCTTCGTGATCTTCGCCCACGGAAAGAGCATCATCGCTAAGATCAGGAAGATCTCTGAGTCTCTTGGTGCCTCCCTCTACAGCGTCGACGAGAACAGCGAGTTGAGACGCGATCAGATCCATGAGGTGAACACCCGCCTCGGCGATGTGGGCAATGTCTTGCGTAACACCAAGAATACCCTCGACGCGGAGCTCACCCAGATCGCTCGCTCGCTTGCGGCGTGGATGATCATTGTCAAGAAAGAGAAGGCTGTCTACGATACGCTCAACAAGTTCTCCTACGATCAGGCGAGAAAGACCCTCATTGCGGAAGCGTGGTGTCCCACCAATTCGCTGGCCTTGATCAAGTCGACCTTGCAAGATGTCAACGACCGTGCTGGGCTGAGCGTGCCTACTATCGTCAACCAAATCCGGACCAACAAGACCCCTCCCACCTACGTTCGGACCAACAAGTTCACCGAAGCCTTCCAGACTATCGTCAATGCCTACGGTATCCCGAAGTACTCGGAAGTCAACCCCGGATTGTACACAGTTGTCACGTTCCCCTTCCTGTTCGCCGTCATGTTTGGTGATTTCGGTCACGGTGTCCTGATGTTCTTGGCTGCTTCCGCTATGATCTTCTGGGAACGCAAACTGCAAAAGACCAAGTTGGACGAGCTGACGTACATGGCCTTCTACGGTCGTTACATTATGCTCATGATGGGTCTCTTCTCCATGTACACCGGCTTGATCTACAACGATATCTTCTCCAAGTCGTTTACCATTTTCCCCAGTCAGTGGCAGTGGCCGGATGATATCAAGCCGGGGCAGGCGGTTGAGGCTTCTTTGAAGGGAAGCTATCGCTACACTTTTGGTCTTGATTGGAATTGGCACGAGGCCGAGAACTCTCTCCTGTTCTCGAACAGTATGAAGATGAAAATGAGTATCTGTCTTGGTTGGGCTCACGTAAGAACCCCCTTCTAGCAAACACGTGGGTTAACAGAAACTGACCATTTCGCAGATGACTTACGCTCTTTGCCTGCAATATGTCAACGCTCGGCACTTCAAGTCGAAGGTTGACATCATTGGTAACTTCATTCCCGGCATGATCTTCTTCCAGTCCATCTTCGGCTACCTCGTCCTCACTATCATCTACAAGTGGTCTGTTGACTGGCATGCCATCGGCAAATCCCCTCCGGGTCTTCTGAACATGCTTATCTTCATGTTCCTTTCCCCCGGTACCGTTGAAGAACAGCTCTACCCAGGCCAGGCCGGTGTGCAGGTTGTTTTGCTCCTCCTTGCGGTCGCTCAAGTGCCAGTCATGCTCTTCTTCAAGCCCTTCTACCTCCGCTGGGAACACAACAGCGCCCGCGCCCACGGCTACCGCGGCCTCGGCGAAGAATCCCGAGTCAGCGCCCTCGACGACAGCGAGCTAGACGGGCGGCCCCGCGACAGTGTCGCCAGCGACGGCGAAGGCGTGGCCATGATCGCGCAGGACCTCGGCGACGAGGAGCACGAGGAGTTCGACTTCTCCGAGATCATGATCCACCAGGTCATCCACACCATCGAATTCTGTCTGAACTGTATCTCCCACACCGCCTCCTACCTGCGTCTGTGGGCCCTGTCTCTCGCCCACCAGCAGCTCTCCATCGTCCTCTGGGACATGACCCTCGGCGGCGCCTTCGAGCAGGAATCCCCCGCCATCCGCGTCATCATGATCGTCGTCACCTTCTACCTCTGGTTCACCCTCACCATCGCCATCCTCTGTGTCATGGAGGGCACCAGTGCCATGCTTCATTCCCTCCGTCTGCACTGGGTTGAGGCCATGAGCAAGCATTTCATGGGTGAGGGCTTGCCTTTCGTCCCCTTCAGTTTCAAGACCCTCCTTGAAGAGGATCCTGTCGATTAGTCTAGTCTAGTCTTTTCTTGTATCGTACAGTCTTCTCTTTTCTTTCTCTTTCTGTTTCTGTTTCTTGAGAAAGAACTTTTGGATTAGCCATGAATGTTCCTAGGAACCAGACCGAAACTTGTTATTTATTTATTCTATTCCCTGTGGGAATCAAGAATAAATAAAATCTAGATCTGAGTGGTGTCGCTTATCCATTTTTCTTCTCTTTTTCTTTTTTGGCTGTGCGAATAGATGAACAGGGAATATATATAATATCCGGTAAGGTAACTTAAATTGTATAAATGCCTTCCTTAGTTGCCTGCCCTGCCTTCCCCCCCCCCCCCCTTTTTTTCTTTCGAGTAAATCAATAAGAATAATTGTAAATGCGTAGATAAAAAACACAACTCAACTCAATCACCATGTATTTATTCATTTCTTTGACCAAATCCTTACCAAAAAAAAGGGGGGGTTTCTTTTCGTATCTTTTGAGAGAGATACTGTAACTAGTAAGTAGTAGTAACAATGCGAGTTGCATGTTGGGCAGATATATATTCTGCCTCGGCCGCTATCTATCTACCTTGACCTAGCTACCTATCTATCTATCTATCATATGTATTACCCGCTCAGGAAAGGAATCTTTGCCGAGTCGTATGAGGGATTATTTGTTCCACCAATAGCAACGCAACGGAGCTTGTACGACCGTCGGGGGCAAGAAAGAAGTCGTATAGGAATTATTTATAGATACGGAGCTAGTAGTTACCAGTCAGTAGGTACCAAACTGAGGGAGGAAGAAGTGAATAAGTTTACAATTGCTTGTTGGGATTAATTAATATTTGGGAAGAAGTTGAGATGCAAAGAAATTGAGGGGGGATAGATATGAGGCGGGGGAGGGGGGAGGAGCGGGCATTCGCCCCGACCGTACGGAGTACGGAGTACTCCCGTATCCTGTAACTCATAAAACTGACTGGACTGACGGGGAGTGATAGTTTGGATTTTAATTTTGTTTGTTTATGTTGTCTCTACAAGAGGGAGTGTTCATTATTGAATTTTTTTTTTGGCATTGAATTTTTGGTTATTTAAATATAATCGTAGATCATGCTAACCCTGAGACAGTTGTCTGGTCAGGTAGCTTAGCTTAGCTGGGGGTGCGGTGCGGTGCTGTGTTGTGCTGTGCACACGGACCGATTTCGCGATAAGGATTCATCCATTTGCTTGAGTCGTAATAAGAAAATTCCAACCGGGTGGGGTACTGTACTGTCCTATCATGCGCGGATCATTCATGGCGGAGTGGTTTATTTCTTGTGCTTGTTGTAGATGTCGATGATCTTCTGGATTTCGTTCTTCGAGCCGAGGAAGACACCGCTGCGGTCGTGGATGTGCTCGGGCACGACGGACAGGAGGCGGTCCATGTGCGAGTTGACGGCCAAGCCGCCGGCGTTCTCGAAAAGCATGGCCATGGGGGCGCACTCGTACAGGATACGCAGCTTGCCCTTGCGGCTCTTGGTGTCGGCCGGGTAGGCGAAGACACCGCCGTACAGGAGGGTTCGGTAGGCATCGGCGACCATGCTACCGATGTAACGCGCGCTGTACGGCTTCTGGCCCTCGCCGGGGAACTTCAGCGAGTGGAAGTAGGCGTTCACCCACTCCTCCCAGTACATGCTGTTACCCTCGTTGACGGAGTAGATGGCGCGGGAGTCAGGGAGCTTCATGTCGGGGTGGGTCAGGATGAATTCACCGAGGGAGTTCTCCATGGTGAAGCCGTTGACGCCGCCATTGCGCATGGTGATGACCAGCTGGGCGGACGCGCCGTACATGGTGAAGCCGGAGGCGACCATCTCGGTGCCAGCACGGAGGAGGTCGTTGGCGGTGACCTTGTTGTTGGGTCCGAGGACCTCGTCGGGCAGCTTGAAGATACCGAAGATGGTACCAACCGAGACGCCGGCGTCCAGGTTGGAAGAACCGTCAATTGGGTCGCAGACCACGGCGTAGCGGGCGTTAGGGTGCTCGTCGAAGACAATAACCTCCTCTTCCTCCTCGGATACGAGGATACGGCACTTCCCGGAGCCCTTCATGGCGGAGATGAAGATATCGTTTCCGATGACGTCAAGCTTCTTCTGGTCATCGCCGGTCGTGTTCGAGGACCCGGCCAGACCAGTCAGGTTGATTAACGACGCGCGACGAATATAGTAGGCAATGGACTTGAATGCGAATTGCAGAGCGTGGCAGAGCAGTCTGGTAAGGCGGGGGAGGGGGGGGGCCCATTGTTAGATCTTGTGTTTGGGGGGAGGATGAGGGGGTGGCACTCACGTGAAGTCACCGGTGGCCTCGGGCACCTTCGCCTGCTCTTCGGTCAGGAATCGCGTGAGAGTGACGATGTCGGTGTTAATCTTCTCCTGCCCGACAGGGGGAGCACCGCTGGCGCTGTTTGAAGACATGTTGTGGGTGTGTAATTGGAAGGTGGTTATAGACACTGAAGGAGGAGGGGAGGAAGAAGGTGAAGGTGTCGGAGCAAGCGCAGACGAGAGGTTTAAAGTAAATTCGAACCTCGGGTCAACGGGGAAAGCAGGAAGATGCGGAGGTGCCCAGGGTAAAGGATAAAGGATGGTACGGGGGGGACGGAGAGGGGCGCTGGTAAGCGGTTCTTATATGGAGGAGGGACAGTTGGCAAGAGAGAGAGTATAGTATAGTATAGCTGCAGGAGAAGCTGATCTATCGCACGCTCCCTGAGGTTGGGAGCATCCTTTAAGGCATCCTGCCCGGCCAGCCAGGGCCAATCTTTTACCGAAAGGGCGTTTGTGTTCGGGACAACGTCAGAGAGCAAACAGGGACCGTCGGCATTATTGACGCAATGGGTGGATTGGGGATGGTTTTCGTCATTCCAGCGGGTGTTCCCCCCCCCACTCTCCCACTCTCTCTCAATCCGAACCCGGTTCCGGCCCCTTCCCGGCTTGTTCTCTGGCGACTCCCGACTCGCCCCCCGAGTTTCCCCGCGCAGTCTGGATGATTCCTTCACTGGGAGTAGCACCAACTAGTCCTGGTGCCTGATGGAGTCTCGACCCTCTCGACCCTCTCGACCCACGCAGACCATATCCTCCATCGATAATAATACGAGAGGCACTGGGAAGAATCAATTGTCTATCCCACCGGACAATCCAGATGCCTGAACGGTCTGGTACGCCTTCACTCCGGCATGGGTCGACCCAGACTATTGAATCCATCGGTCTTATGATTAGGAGGACCGAGGAAAATGTCGCATCCTCGCATCGAGAATGATATCCCACGGCCCGGTGCACCTCTAGGCAATCATAGCGGGTGGATTCTCAGGGTCAGCAGACACGCGAATTTTGGCAATCCGCGTCGAACTATGCCGGACTATTCGAGTCTCGCCCGTTCTGTCCGAGACCCGATGTTGGATCCTCCTGGGGGGACGGGATATAACCGTCTGCTCTATCGATCGACAAGGGGCAAATGTCTTGCATTGGAAATCTGTCGTGTGAACAGTGAACAAGGCAGAAGAACGTCGGGCAGTTCGACCTGCGTTAGTTGCACACTGTGTTTCCTGTCATCGCGACGACAGCAGAAAGCGGAAGGTGAGGCGGGGTCTGCTTACCGCTCTCGTCCCCGCCTTTGGAAATAGCCAACTGGGGGCAGAATTTACAAGCACATGATCTCATTACATAAGCACAACCGAAGTCTGCGTTCTCTGCGTTCTCTTCGGGACTAAACTGAATCCAGGCTAGTTTCTCGGTAAAATTAGCTCCGGTGGGAAAGCTTTAAAAAGTTTCGTCGCGGCTTCGATTTTGCTTTCTTTCCCACAACTGCAAGACACTGCGATCGCAGTCTTCCTCTTATGCCCGTGGAAGCATGCATCGCATACGCGTAGAAAAGGAGCCATGCTCTGGATTTGCTCACCTCTGTTGCTCAACTGACATCTCGCCTCGATGACTAGGACTATTGGTAAGTGCCTCAGCGCGACAATCCTTCCCCCTCCGATGCGAACCCTCTTTATGATGATACCTACAACCACATTTCAAACTAGAGTCTTTGACCCCTTCAGGGAATGAAAACTCACTTGTTGCACGTCAGTCTGATGCTTTTCGCTCAGCTCATGTTTTGTCACTTGAGATTGATTGCCTTGGCACGGTGCTAATGTCATACAGATACTGACCAGACAGAATTCCTTGCGACGACCAGAACACCCATCGCCATCATCAAATGGTATGTATATCATCGTGTTCCTTCTTTCCCTTCATTCCCCCTTGACTCGCATGATGCTTCTTTTTCAAATATATACGCTGGAAATTACCGACTGAGGCCTTCGGGTCATCGACGATACAATTGGCTAAATCTGATCCGAGTCCATTACATTGCTGTTGTTTTTCTTCACACGCATTGATGATTAAAAGCTAACAGCTATAAGATTGTCTACAGGTTTCGTTGCAACATGCTGATGATGGCGACCACATTGGACGGTAGAGGGTAAGCTTGTTCTCCTTTCCTTCGACACAACCCCCTTCGAAGATGAAACGGCACTGGGCTCCGACGGCATCAAAAGATGTCCGGTCATGATGGATACGCCCTTTTTGCGGCAGGCCTAGAAAACCTCGCCCACTGAGATACATTCTCGAGCAATGAGATTTGTTCATACCGACTTTTGGCTTGAAGCTAACTGTCAACCGCAGTGTGCTATGAACACACTCCGACAACTTTACCGCCCACTAGAAAAGGTAATTTCCAACCAGTGTTTTCTTTATTCTGCCCCACCCATAAAAGGATGATACCCTAGATGACGAGTCTTATTCGAGTTTTCGATGCAGACAACATATTTTTTTTTATACCATTCATGCATTTCTGAAACCCTTCTTTTAAACAAAACGTTTGTGCAATAAGCCAAAACAACTGCTAATGCAATTGCAGTATCTAGACAACTCCCTGCCAATCTGTACGTTGCCACCTGTTCTCAGCCCGGCTCCTCTCGCACAATGATGAAACGACACAAATTAAAGACAAGCATATGTCCTAGTCAGCTTGCTGGCAAAGACGATAAATGTCATGCCTGATCCGTCAATATGTCTTCATGTGTTCACTCACACGCGCATCCCCCGGATACTAATTGTCGCGGTAGGTGGATGTAAGCTGTGAGCGAGAAGGGTTAGGTCTTTCAGTCAAAGCGTGAGTCTTGCCCTTGTCTATTCTTCTTCCCGGACTCCCTTTTCATATGATGAGTTATTCAAATTTTTATCACGACGGTCAACATAAATATTTTACCTTGATGACCACCGCCTGTGACAGGGCATTGATCTGACAAGAGTCTTCCCACTATTTCTCATTGCATTGCAATTTATAGTCGAATTCTCGCTGACATGACTACTAGTGACTTGACGTGACCATCCGCCGAAGCCAGGAACCTGCTCACCGCGGGACTGGGGTTGTGCGACATGCTGGCATGCCTTCCCAACCAGGATCCTCTATAGTGTGCAGTAGTTCCGAGCTTCCCCAAGCTAAAATCAGAATTGAATCATTGTCCCATTGCCGTTATCCGCCTCGCTTGTAGGGCCGTTTGCCACTGTGTAATCCCATGTAGGCGCTTGGTTGCCTCTGGCCCGCGGAGTGTGGACAATCCATTCGCCCTCTCGCGGACCCTGTGTGATGATGATGGAGGGATGTTTGGACTACTGCACGGGCGGACCACCCTTAACCCTTTTGGCCCATCGTTGGATGTGACGGCGATGCTGGTTTGCCGGGCCAGGGCTGGGCGACAGGGAGGGCGGAAGGCAACCGGCCTCTGAGAGGACGCGGCCGGGGGCGGTTAAGCGCCAGCACCACGCCGTCTGTGATCAAACCGGCCGGGCTGCAGCTGGCGTCCTGCGTCCCTTCTCTGCAGAGTCAACCACTGCACCCTTTCCCAATCTCTCCTCTCCCGTGGCTATTTTTATCCTCCCCAGCACGCATCTGCCATCTTACAGTCCTATCGTCCCCCCTCCCCCCCCCCAATCCCCCCAGGCCCTAAGTGGATCCATCTCACGATGCCTCTCGACCGGACCATACGTATCGTCTGCTCGGCCTGCAAGCCTCCTCCGCATCTGGTTGGACTAGGGCCCTGTGCAAAGAATAGAAATCCGTCTGCGCTTCAGCTCTCTGACCTTCCCTCGACTGCCCGTCGCGTTGGCAGAATCTAATCTCGTTTCCCTCAGCTCCCAGCCATGGCTTCGTGTCCGGTTGGCTCTTGATCCTCCCGATAGTATGAATAGGTGCGCTCGGCTTCCCTCACATCGAGGTGGTCTTCGACCGTTCCTCGTCTGTCTCGAGACGGTGCAAGGGTACTGATCACAGCCTCTTTATAGCTGGCGATCTTCGAGCAATGCTGGCGACGAGCCGCCGTCCAGTGCATACCCCCCCAGCAGCTGGCCGACTCCCCATACCACCACCAGCAACCAACCGTCCCCCAGTCGTCGAGAGCATGCCCTACAGCCCCCTCCCCTGACAACGGCGTTGAGTGGTCATCAGTTCCAAGGTCTTGGCCTCGCCTTGGGCGCAGGCTATTCCTCCACCCCCCTCTCGACTACCTCGTTATCCAGCCCGTTCACACAAGGCCATTCTCCCGCCGTAGCGTCGCCTGGAGGGCCGGCAGTCGGATCGTCACCCATGGCGTCCAGACAGTACAGTATGCCCTACAATCCTCAGGACTGGGCCCCGGTGGGCAACAGGTCAATCAATGCTGGCCAATCTCCCTATCCACAACAGAATAACATGCTACGGATCGTCTCTCAACCACGGTCAAGCGGAGCTCACTCAGGTGTGTCACCCTCTTCCCTTGTTTTGATTCCCCTTTTGTATGGCATCTCAGTTGTCATTGTAGTCCTGGAGACGACTGGGCCCCTGTGACCTCAGTGGCTAGAACTTGAACCTAATATGAGCGTTGTAGATGTATCTCTGTCGCCCCCTCCGCCGCCATACTCACCTCCAAGCCAGCAGCATCAGAGCCAACAACACCAGAGAGATAATACCGGCCAGAATACTTCCTCAAGGGGATCCACATCACCGAGCCTCAGCTCTTCCTACAATGGGCCGGCACGCCCTGGTGTGGATGCTTCATTAGAATACCGTCAAAGACGCCTTCCCCGGACTCGACCTTTATCTATGGTGTTGGGGAGCGAGGCAGGTCACAATAGGCGAGTCTCGCTACCGCCTCCTCCACCGTTGCCGCAAAATGTGTCGACGTCCAGATCTTCCTCTCAAAATCGAGCCGACGGGTACAGTGAACCGTCATTGGCCATGGCAGGATCGAGGCCGCATATCGTGGTTTCGCCGGAGAATTTACGTCCGCTGCAATTGAGTAATGAGAACCATTTGTTCGAGGCTTCCCAATCATTTGATATGGACCGCCCTCCAGCTTCAAGAAGGGCTGTCTCTGCTGGGCCTGCCGTGAGCAGCGCCAGTTCATCAAGAGCCCACAGTCAGTCGGGAACCCGCTCTCCTCCCAGTACTGGGTGGGAACCGGGAATGCCTCTTCCCCCACCGCCTCCTGGACCACCACCAACCGCAAGGTCGCATAGTGTAAGTGGACTTAACGACCCAGCGTCCTTTCGAAACTCGCTAGCTCCCGCTAGAGGGGGTAGGACGCGGCCGCCCCCGGTTCTAGGCACAGGTCTGGATAGCATTCCGCCAACACCAGCTGGCTGGGTCGATGAAGGGGCAAGCGATGTCAGGCACAAGGGCGACCGGCTACCCCTCACGATTGACACATCAAATACATCGACTGCGAATGGACCAGGATCTCTTGAGTCTTCTCGCACTGCCCAAAATCCCAATAGTGGTGGCCTTTTCCGCAGCCCAGCGATCAAGGACCCCAACGCTAAGGGAATTCGAGAAAGGAGAATCGAACGGCGGAACCGGCAAAGCCAAGTAATCGATAGCCTTAGTGCTATCTCCATGAGCAGCAACCCCTGGGCCGAGGCGTTGGAACAACTCAAACCTTCCAATCTGGTTCTCGAAGACTCTGATGCAGATCTCGACACTGCTAGACCCCAGGCTTCAGCAAAGCTTGCGCCACACAGCAGCCGCAGTACGGGCTCTGATGGGCACCAGGTCACATCACGATCAAGAGCCTCTTCCGGGGGTCTGTTTTCCAATCGGTCCTGCTCAACCCCTAAGGCAGACCCCAGTCAGCGGGGACCATCTGCAGCGTTTGCACAGACACCGCCCTTTTCACCAGGCACAGAAAGGTCGTCTACAGGCAAGAAAACATCGCCGGCATTACCACCCAAAGCACTTCCGACACCTCCGCTACAACTTGGGCTAGATAAAACGCCTTCTCGTGTGATATCACAGGAAGAACGACCAGTTTCTCATATACTCCATTTGCCAAATGATACCGTCACTGCAGTGTCTCCCTTGGCGCCTCGCCGTGTGATAGCACAGCAAGGCCCTTCCTTGGATACTGTTGTCAATCGCGATGACGAGTTTGTCCGGAATTCCATACAAAGACACCGAGAGTTCATTGACAAGGAAGCCGATACTGCTGATGAGAAAGAAGCTTTGCGTCTGTTTGCAGAGTTCATCATAACAGAGTCCCAGATCAGGCGTGAGCGATACGCCAAGATATGGGGCCTCAGTTCGTTTGACGCCGATGATGTACGCCGTAGGTTGTTCGAAATGCCTCCTAAACCAGCAACGGAGCAGCCGTCAAGTCAAGTAAGTCAAATAGCACCTGCGCCAGCTGCCAGAAGGATGGCCAAACCTGGAGCACCAAAGCTGGACATACCTCAGAACCGTCCGGAATCGGCGTGGTGGAGCAATTACCAGCCTTGTCTCTCTCCAATAGCAAGTCTTGGGTTGAGCAACGATGAAATGAGCTCGAGAGGTCGGGCACCCAGTCGCTGGTGGGAATCGAAAACAGGCTCAAGCAGCGAGGGGGGAGAACGGAAAGTGCAGCGTTCAAAGAGGGAGACCAAATACATGGGCTTGCCGCGCGGAGCACTGCAATGGGAAGAAAGCCAGGCCTCGTCTGAAACCGGGACCGGTGGTGCATCCCAAGCAGCGAACCCGTATGCTGCGTATGGCCCTGATGAATACCCTTCCGAGAAAGTTGGATGGCATGAGGACCCTACTCTACCGGACTATTCCCGCACTGTAGGCCTTGGTTATAGCAGACGCCCCGAACAAAAGCCCAAGATGGATGTCTCGAGATTGGTAACTTTACCGCCGCCATACCCGCGACATTATCCCGCCGTCAACAATAGCCACCCTGACCTTGTCAGTTACCGGACGTTGGTCCGATCAATTACTGATTTATCCGAGGTCAAAGCTACCAGGCAACGACATCAAACAGATATGGCCAGTCTGTTCCAAAAACACGAACAACGGGTCAAAGAAGGTCGCCGGCAGTTCAAAGCCAACATCCAGAGTCAGATTCAGCAAGGAAGCATCACATTCGCAGAGGCCGCAGAAGCGGAGGCTGCGTTGGTAGTGGAAGAGCATAGCCTAGAGCGAGAGCTGACGAAGAGAGAGCTGGATGCTTACCAAGAATCCGTGTTGAAGCCAATGCGTGCGATATTGACGGATCGGATCGACCGAGCCAGCGTTTGTATTGATGAGCTACGCGGTCGATTGTTCGACGATGCGCGGTCTGGAACGCCCGATCAAACCCAAGAGGAAGGGGATGAGAAGCCCGAGCTTCTGGAAAAGCTTACACAGCTGAAATGGTTGTTTGAGGCGCGCGAGCAGTTACATCGCGAACTGTTTGATCTGGTCAGTGGGCGGGACGAGAAGTATCGCGCTGTGGTCTTGCTGCCTTACAAGCAGGCAGCGAACAATGACAAAGTGCGCGAGACAGATGATTTCTTTGTGAAAGATGCATTGGATCGCCGGGTGAACTACGAGGCCAGTGCCCTGACGCGGCTGGAATCTTTCCTGGACGTAACAGAGGAGAATGTGGCCCGAGGCGTGGAGATACAGCTCTCGGCGTTCTGGGACATCGCACCGCCTCTCTCCACGCTGGTTCAGCAAGTGCCCGAGAACCTTCGTGGCTTTCAGGTTCAAATCCCTTCCAACGAGTATGACGAGAACCCGAGTTACCAGGACCATCCGTTGCAGTACCTGTATACTCTGGTCTCCCATGCCGAGAAATCCAGCTACCAATACATTGAGTCGCAAATCAACCTCTTCTGCCTGCTGCACGAGGTCAAATCTGCCGTGATGAAAGCCAACTGCAACCTGGTGGAGGCGGAGCGGATCTGCCTGGGAGAGGCAGAGGGCAAGGTGCAGCAGGAGATGCAGGAGTCTCGTGCCGATGAGGAGCGCGCGCTGACAAGCGATCTGAAGGACAAAGTGGCTACGGTGGAGGGACAGTGGGCTGAGGCCCTGGGGAGTCAAATCCAACGGCTGCGCGAGCGGGTGAAGGAACAGCTGATGGTGGAAGACGGGTGGGAGGATCTGGAGCAGCTGGAGCAGACTTGATGGTGATGACTGATGACTGATGACTATATTTGTATCTTCTTGGTTCTGCGTTTGTGTTGATTTGTTTCTGTGTCGCCCAGAGATACCCACGTTCGTTTCTGCTACTTCCTCTCTGTCCATCTACTATGCAATCGAAATCCGGGGTTCCACACTGTCCACCTGCGCAGGAGGAGTGACTAACCGCGAACAGTTAGTTAACTAGTCCTTCCCGTATGCTTACTCATCTGTCATGTGACCCGTACGGCTTCTAGAGCTTTCCTTCCGGATCCTCGAACTTTTTCCTTCTTCTCTTCTTTCACCAACAGTAGACCCGACATTATTTAACGCTGCCTCCCCCCGCCCCCTTCCCTCCCACGGTACCTCCCTCTTTGCTCCTGCCTTCCATTGTCTCCTTAGACTTGGTTGATCTACCTTTGCTACAGCGTCTTTAAAGCCGAGACGTTTTTGTGTGACTGTAAGTCGAGCCTCAGCCTCTTCCTGTTCAACCCCCCCATTGCCCCCCTCCTTGACAGACCTGGTCGGTCACTCCCATTGACCCCCACGTCTGGAGGAGCTGCTCTTGTATGATGAAAATTCATAGCTGGCACCAGTCAGAGGAAGGTGGATCTTCGGATTCATCCTCATTGCTGATTAGTTTATGATCCGGGAAACGCTATCTGGATCCTGAAAAGATGCACATCACTCTTTTTCATTCCAAATCTACTTCAATGGATGGGATTTAATGCTAATTGTGTGTGCGATGACAGAACCCTTAGCTTTGGCGAAAGAAGGAAAAGAAAGAAGGAAGACTCGCTAAGATTTCCCCACTAGCGAAGCTCAGCCCCGCAATAGAGCAGCTTTTCTTTGCAACGAACTCGTTAGACCAATTCATAATTAAAATAAACTACCCCCTACCACCATCATGGTTCTTCACAACCCCAACAACTGGCACTGGGTGAACAAGGACGCCTCTGGCTGGGCCAAGGACTACCTTAAGACGAACCTCAGCGTCCTCGCCGTGGAGGAGAATGGCGTGACCGCCAAGATCTCCAATCTGCTGTCGATGGATGGCGATGTAGACGTCAGCCAGAGAAAGGGCAAGGTCATCACCTTGTTCGATGTCAAAATACAGCTGGAGTATGAAGGTTCGTAATCTTAGTGTTTTCGCTGTTCGGGGCACACCACTGAGACCTTTGGCAGGTAAGACTAAGGACGACGAGTCCGTTAGTGGAACTATCTCCATCCCTGAGGTTGCCCACGACACCGAGGAAGATGAGTTCGTCGTATGTTCCCTTTAGCCCTCCTTCCCTCGTATGTTGGTCGTCGTCCGGCCACTGACCCCTGGTCCTCAGTTCGAGATTGAGATCTACTCCGATGCCTCGAGCAAGCAGCCCGTGAAGGACCTCGTGCGCTCCAAGCTCGTTCCCCAACTCAGAAAGGCGCTCGCCCAGCTTGGTCCGGCTCTGATCGGCGAGCACGGCAAGGACATCCAGCACGCCCCTGGTGTTAACCCTTCCGCCGGGTTCCCTGAGTCCAAGGTCTACCCTCAGGTCAAGAAGGCGGAACCGGCCCCCCAGGCTACGACCACTACCACCACCGCGAACAAGGTTTCCGTGAACACTACCACCGTGACCGCGTCCGACGAATTCCGTACCACGGCCGAGGAGCTGTACAACACCTTCACAGACCCGCAGCGTATTGCCGCCTTCACCCGCGGTGCCCCCCGTCAGTTCGAGGGCGCCCACGTGGGCGGCAAGTTCGCCATCTTCGACGGCAATGTCACGGGCGAGTACGTGAAGCTCGAGTCCCCCACCCTGATCCAGCAGACGTGGCGCCTGGCCCAGTGGCCCTCGGGCCACTACAGCACGCTTGAGATGAAGTTCGACCAGAACGACATCGACGGCGTGACTCAGATGCGCGTGACCTGGACCGGTGTCCCCGTCGGCCAGGAGGACGTCACCAAACAGAACTGGGATGTGTACTACGTGCGCAGCATCAAGCAGACTTTCGGGTATGTTCCGTCCCTTTCTCTTTCTTCTTCACCTTCTTCTCTAGCCAACTGCGTCCTTACCATGACCCATCAGATCGCACGTCTCTGTCTGGAAACATCTACTAATCATCTTCCTTGTCCTCGGTATAGGTTTGGCACTATTCTCTGAGCGCATCCGCCAGTCCATATCCATAACACCTTGATGATCAACCCAGCACCGCAACGCACTAGCCACTCGGTCGGAGTATGAGGGCCACAAGGATCCACCAGTCAGTCAATCAGTCAGTCAGCGCGTCCTGGCGGAGCGGCGGACCGTATTTTGGATTCATACATTCTGTGTTTCTGGCAGATTTCTTGCCCCGGTTTACTCCTACCTACCTACCTACCTACCTCTCTCTCTCTCCCCTGATATATAACTCGCCCTCGATGCTAGGCACCGGGGGTATGTATGCGTCCAACGAATGCACGATAGAAGAACTATGAACATAAATAAGTAGACGATCTTCCGTTAGGATAAACAAGAGATCCGTGCAATAAACATACCTACGTATTTTACTTCGAGAGGATCCGTACTATAAATATAATTAACCATTCTTTTTCTGTATGTATTTCGTAATTCCGTAAGGAAACAATTACCTCACCACCAGTCCGATGAAACAACCTCGTACCTACCTAGGTAATTCACCTAAACATGTTCTTTCCCTGCCTGTATGTAGTATCTTTTTGCTGCGCACGGTTGTTGGCTTCCAAGTCCAAGCCCAAGTCATTGATTGGATAAGTATGCATTGGATGATGGATGCATAAAAGTATCTCCAATCCAATCAGAGCTACATCCCTACATATATACATACATATATACATACACTAATTCAGTTCCTTCCTAACCACTGTAGAGAGCAAAAGCTAAGCACGGGAATCGCCCTCCCTAAGGTACTAAGTACTACGACTACTACTGTAGTAAGTAGTACTGTATGTAGTAATCAATACCCCATTCACTAGGAACAGCGAATATATAGATAGATAGATAGATGAATAATCCCGACGTCTATGATATCATATAAATTAATGATCTGTCTGTCTGTCTGTCTGTCTGTCTGTCTGTCTTCTCTGTATCTTGTGCCTGCATGTCGGTATATACACGCCACCTCATCGAATCCCATCCCATACCATCCATTGGATTATGGATAAGGTAGGGAGGGAGGGAGGGGGGAGGGAGGGTAGGGTAGGGTAGGGGTAGGTAGGTAGGTAACTTTTCCATCTCGTCGCCATAAACTCTAGAACAAAAAGGTAATAAGTAGCAAGGGGAGTTGAGTTAAGGTGAGGTGGTGTGATGTGATATTGAAGTAGGGATAGGGGGGAATATTACTGATGCTCCCAAGTTTAGAAAACAATGCAAGAAAAGAAAGAAAGGGAAAAAAAGGAATGGAGAGAAGGAAATGGAAGAGAGAAACTCCAAACTCCTGAATGTGGGTGTATGAGTGTATGAGCGTAGGAACCCAAAAGTCCCGTTCTGTCCCGTCCTGTCCTGTCCCGGGTTGATCGATCCGCGAGATAGAAGGAAGGAGAGTATAAAAGAAATGATGAAAAAAAAAAAAAATAGAAAGGGAAAAAGTTTAACGATGAATGACAAAGATGATACAACTATAGATCCTTAACCTTCTCAACGACAACGTCCTCATCCTCCGGGAAATCCGAGACACCAGGCCCACCATCGAAATTCCCCTCCGCATCGGGGTTCTTCTTCGACTTGGAGATGCGGCGCTGCCAGCCTATCAGGACGGGAAGGAAGTGCCAGAGATCGAAGTCGGGCCAGAGGATATCAAGGAAGACGATCTCAGTCTCCTCGTGGCATTGCCAGAGCATGAAGTCGCTGAGACGCTCGACGCCGGACGTGCGCACGAGCAGGTCGAGCGGGGGGTTGTCGCGCGTGAAGAGGTGCGCGTCGAGGGTTTGGCGCGTGATGGACTCGGGGGACAGGAAGATGGGGGGTTCTTTTCTGGGACTGCTGTCCGATCCGGGGGTTTCGGAGGCGGCGGGGGGTTTGTTGGAGTTGTTTTCTTGTTGGCCGGGGAGGTGGAGGGTGGAGGAGGAGGAGAAGGAGGAGCCGTTCTCGTAGACGTGGTTGGGGGTGGGCTTGGGACCGCCGCCTTCGCCGGATGAGGCGGAGGCGGTTTCGGTGTCGCTGGGGAGGTCTTCGGTCTTTATATTCGTGGTGTTCAGCGCCTGGGCGCGGATGTTCTGCGTGATGTGTGTCTCGCAGAAGGGGGTTCGGGGGGAGCCGCTGGACGAGCGGGTGGAGGAGAGAGGCGCGCTGTAATCGGCCACGGTGTCGCGGATGGCGGAAGTGATCTCGTCGCGCGACGTATACGGGAAGCAGATGTTCAGGATGCAGTCGCCGTTCTTGCTGGTCATGTCGACGGCGCGGTTGACGGCCGCGAGCACGTCCGGACGCAGGAGGTCCAGTCGCCCCAGGACCCGGACCTTGGCTCCGTACCGATCGAGGATCTCGCCGTGCTGCGCCATCTGGGAGAGCTTGACCCGCGCCATTTCCATCAGGGCGTCGACTTCGAATTTGGACCGCTTGAAGTTCTCGATGCTGAAGGCGTAGATCGTGACTACTTTGACGCCGCTCTTGTAGCACACTTCGAGGATCTAAATCCGGGGGGGGGGGGGGAATGGGTTAGTCGGCTGCTTCTGATTGAAGGCTGCGGTGGCGACCTGGGTAGGATCCGACTCACCCTGGCCAAGGCCTCAAACCCCAGGTTATGTCCCTCCACGGTCTCGATCCCGTGCGATCGGGCAAACCTCCGGTTCCCGTCCATGACAAAGGCGATGTGCTGTGGCATGGGCCCCTGGCGGAGGGCTCCCACCAGCAAGTCGCGGACTTGGCTGATGGCGAACTCGATTGGCGGAGAGGCGAGCAGCCATTTCCGGAACCGCGACAGCGACGTCGACGTCGACATGGCGTCGGTGTCGTGTATGACAAGCTTTCCGACTCGCAACGGTGAGAGCTTGAGGAGGGTGCAGAGGAGGTTCCACAATGTTGGTGTTGTGCAAGCTGGTGTGGGTGTAGGTTGTGGGTTGTGGTGTGGTGCGGTGTAGTGCGTAGTGCTGCACCTGGTAAGGAAACGGGCTAAGGGACACGCTAGGGCGACGGAGAGGTATAAAAAGCAGCTGATGGCGCACCGGTCGGCCAGAGAGCCAGAAGCCAGAGAGGAAGGCTAGAAGCTGGGGAGGATTCCCAGTAGGGCCGTGCCCATCAGGCTACACTGTTCTTTTCCTGGTCGGTTTTTGAGGGGGGCGATCTTCCGGGAAGACGACAGCAGTGAGCAGCGATCAAGCCCTGCGAGGAGATGGGAATGGCGACGGAGAGAGAGGGATTGGTGAGCGACTGCAACAGAGACGAGGCGAGGCAGAGACACCGAACGGGCAACGGGCAACGTATGTGAAGGGTGAAGGGTGAAGACGGGGTGGGTCGTCGGCCGTGACTGGATCGGGGCGGTTTTCTCCACGTGTAAGCGCAGGCTGGTCCTGTCCGGCCGATCATCCCAATCCCAATCCAACCACCACCACCACCACCACCACCAATATCCCCCCTGCCTTCGTCGGTTCTCTCGAGTCAGGTCGGTCGTGAGAATAGTCTTCCTGGCGGGGCGTCAACCTGCAGCCTCCAGACCCTCGGATACCGCGCCGATACCTGGGAATACCGACCCGAAGGCAGCCGGGCTCCGTGGGACACCCGGGATTCCGGCTGCCCGAGATGATATGCTGCATGGTGTATACAGAATACACAGTATACACAGTATACACAGTATACACAGGATACACAGTAGGATACACAGCAGTATATGTATACAGTCGTGGTATACAGTAGTATACAGTAGGCTCGCGTGGTTTGTCGAGGTCAGGCGGTTCCTTCGTGATACATGCCGCAATGATTGGGCTGGTGACGGGGTACCATCTTGATGAAAAATCCAAATGTAACCCGGGGGAGATCCCGGGAGGTATGGCAGATGAAGCGCGAGTGACTGCAGAGGATGGCCGGGATTGCAAGCGCAAGTGACTGCCAGACGGCCCCGCGCACTCGGATCGATCCGTCTTCACGCTCCCGGCTTTGTTTCTTTGCTCGCTGCTGCTTCATACTATCAACTCCCTCCACTGACGGCCCCTCCTTATTCATCGGGTCCGTGCTGTGACGGGTGACTGCCTACGGACGACTGACTCCAGACTATCTATCTACCGACCACAGCCTCTCCATCTCAGTGTTTTGGTCCCTCTTCTCTTCCGCCTCCCCCGCCGTGGCCGTCTCGGGTGCATCGCATCGCATCGCATCGCATCGCATCGCATCGCATCGCAGTCCGCAGCCCACGGACGAGCTCCAGGCTGGTCCTGAGAGACTGCTTCCCTCTGACCGGTGGACTGGCGATCCAGACTCTGATCTGAACCGACCCTAAGCGTCGCCGCCCAGCTAGGGTATCTGAGACCTCCAGCTGTTCTGTCTGAAACCTGGTGTTACCATTAGCCTCTTGTTTCAGCCCAATGTGGCCCTGGCTCTACCCTGCGTTCTGAATCCCTTCATCTCCATCCCCACGATTATCTACTCTTCCACTTGCACGATATTCATCTGTGCAGCACAGCTGGTCCCCGGTACACGGGCCGCATCCTAGACTCGGTGGCCTTGAAAACATGTCGATCAAGTATGTAGATGCCCCTCACTGCCCCGGTCCCGCTTCTGCGATGGTTCCCACCTCCCTCTATCCCTGGAGCTTTTGTACGTTGCGGCCGCAAATGCAAAATAGCTTCTTCTTCTTATTTCGCTGCCTACTGTTGCTTTTCATGGTCTGTTCATTCAGTATGGCCACTGCCCTTGGATGTTGCCCCGATGCAAGCCGAGGAAACCCCGCTAATCCGGATCCCTGATGCCAGCTGGGTGATGCTGCACAGCCAGGACGGCTTTGTTCGCCTGCCCAATGAACAACTGATCATCACATCGCCGCCTCGGACCAGTCTCTCGCTGCAGCCCCTGGGCTCAAATGCCAGCAAAGAGAAGTTCTCCGTCCAGAGCGGCACCGGTCAAATATATCTCACCAACCAGAGGGTATTTCTTGTGCCGTGCTCCTATGCTTTATCCGACATCACCGTTAACGACCGTCCAGATTGTCTACGTCCCCTCCCAGCCGACGAAGGACCTTCAATCATTCTCTGCGCCCCTTCTCCATGTGCATGACACCCATGTCACCGCGCCATTCTTTGGGCCTAATGCATGGCTGGCCCTGGTCCAGCCGGTACCGGGAGGGGGCATTCCCGCGTCGTTGCCCGCCGTACAGCTGAAGGTGACCTTCAAGGAGGGCGGAGCGTTTGATTTCCACAACCAATTCGAGCGCATCAAGGAGCGGATGCAACAGGCCGTCGAGAACACCCAAGCTAGCAGTCGCGGGGCCCGAAACCTCGACCTGTCCTCCGTCCATCTCGACGAGCTGCCTGCGTATTCCGGTCCGCAGGGGGGCGCGTCTGGCACCGCTCCGGCGAGCGAGAACCGCCCTCGAAGCCCACCAGCCCACCGCCCTGGTCCTGGCCCGGAGACGGGGTCAGAACCCATGGAGCCACCGCCGGACTACGAGGAAGTGCAGCAGCAGAGTGTCGCGGAGGCACTCGAGGAGAGACTGCGTCGGGACAGCTGAGGGGGAGCGAGAGCCGGCATGTTTTCTCTGGTTATCTCGGGCCTGTCGTTCGAGATGGTTTAATTCTCCTGTATACTAGGTACTACTTGGACGTTCTGGTTGAATGAGCGAGCCTTGATTCTATTGATAGACCTGATTGAGAAAAGCATCGAAAAAAAAATAATAAACCGCCCCATGAACTACATAGACCTGAATGTCAATACTGAATAAATACTACTGCTGAAACCGACCCGACCCCCCGACCAATCACGTGTGCGATAATTGTGACCATCCCGGCGGCCGGGGCGTTCCGATTTTCCAGCGCCGGCAGAACGCCAAAGCTTCCAGTCGGAAAACCAACCAAGTCAACCTCACTCAACCCATCCCATCTTCACTCGCTGCCCTGCCCACCCCCCCGCTCACCCCCACACATTTCTCAATCCCTCCCCAATTGACTCTCACGATGGGTCTCGCCGACTTTTTCTCCGACGTTGTGGCCTCCTTCGGCTTCCCCGAGGCCCAGGCTGAGGCTCCCGTTGAGGCCGTCGAGGAGTCCTCCTCCACCACCAGCCAGGAGTCCGAGGAGGAGAAGCCCGCCGTGAAGGAGGAGGAGAAGTCCGAGGAGAGCTCCGAGGAGGCTGCTGAGGAGACCCCCGCTGAGGAGAGCGCCGAGGAGGAGGAGCAGCCCGAGGAGGCGGCGGAGGAAGAGGAGGAGGAGGAGGAGGAAGAAGAGGAGGAGGAAGAGGAGGAGGAGCCTGAGGATATCAAGCCCCAGCTGGAGGAGGGTGAGTTTTCCTTTCCTTTTTTTTTGTTTCTTTCTGTTTTGTTTTGAGGATGTGAATTGGAGGGGACTGCGGACAGACTCTGGGATGGATAGTCGGTCAGTGGGACACGGCATGGCATGTTCCCATATAACAGCAGTGTTATATCCGGGGAGGAGCCAGACCAGACCAGAGCCATTGCGCGCGCCAACACCCCCTCTGTTCCCTTCTACATCCATATCATACATGGGAAGAAGGAACCAGCTAACTAACATCACCAGAATGCGCCAACTCCGCCCAGTGCGCCCCCTACAAGCACCACTTCGATGAGTGCGTCGAGCGCGTAACCTCCCAGCAGGAGGACGCCGACTACAAGGGTCCCAAGGAGGACTGCGTTGAGGAGTGTAAGCACCGCCCATCTCCAATCCGAGACCTTATCGGGACCGAACCACCCCAATCAATCAGAGAATCATAATTACTAACCCACTTTGCTTGGTCCAGTCTTCCACCTCTCCCACTGCGCCACCCAGTGCGCCGCCCCCAAGCTCTGGAAGGCCCTGAAATAAGTGACTCGACTCGACTCGCCTCGACTCGACTCGACTCGTCTCCGCATTGTATCGCATCGCACCGCATCGACCTCGGCTGTTCTCTTCTCTGCTCGGCAAACCTATCTATCGATCACACTGTCCTGTCCTGTCCTGTCCTGTCCTGCTCTTCCCCGGACACATAAAATAGACATGATAATATGACACGGTACGGTATAAACGATGGGAAGAAAAGCACCGCGGAAGTCGTACGATGGAGGAAAAAAAAAAGACTCGGATGAATGGAATTGGAGTGGTGGGCTAGTTCAGTTCGGTCTGGTACGGATCGGGTTTCCGAGGGTGTCAGATGGAACTGCCGCTGTGTTGTGTGTTGTGTGTTGTGTATGTACAGATAGCTGCTGGTCTCTGCCTGTTTGAAACTGTGCTTTATTTTTTTATGGTTATTATATTTTCCTTTGTTGGTTTAGATGAATTGATTGTGCTAGATGGATTTTTTTGCCTTGGTCTTGGTGGTGTGGGGAAGAGAGGGAGGAGATGGGTTGTACTGTCTTGCTTCTACTTCTGCTTCTGCTTGGTTTGATATCTGCTCCCTTGCTATGGTGGATGGTGTGTTCACTATACAGGATACACACGTTACACATGTTACACATGCATTGACAAGCCCTGCTGCTATTGAATGCCAATTCCACGACTGCTAGGGTATCTGTCATCTTCATATATCATCATCATCATCATCATCGTCATCATCATCATCGTCATCATCATCATCGTCATCATCAGCCAGCCAGGACATCAGACATCAACATATCCCGAGCCAGAGTATATGTATATATATCTGAACCACCCCCAGAATGACTCTGGTATTATGTACTTCTACTTCAGTTCAATTCTACTTCCTCCACGCCACACCCCACCGAACCCCCCCCTTCCCAGCATCACCCGCACTTCCACTTCCACTCTCACCACCACGACCCCCAAGCTGTATCTCCTCTCCTCCTCTTCCACCACCACCACCACCACGCAACTCGATCGCCCTCTCCCTATCACCCTCACGACCATCAACAACCCGATCAACAACCCCATCAACATCGACCCTCCCCCTCCTCACCCTCCCCCCAACCACGCCAATAACCAACGGCGCCGGCACAACCACCACCGCCAAAGCCGCCGCAAACACCAACGCCCTATGCATACTCCCTCCATCCCCACCCCCCAACGCATCCATAACCACCACAAAAACGCCGCCAAACAACTGCCCCCCGACCCAACAAAGGGTACTCCCCACCCCGGGCTCAACGGGATACATGACCTCGACCAGAAACTCCAAGACCACAGGCAACAAGCCGAAGCTACTGGCGCCGAGCACCGCACACACGACATACGTGGGCCAGATGCCGGCGGTGCTGGCCGGGGCGTAGATCAGCGCGATGTAGGACGCGGCGATGACGGGGACGAGCAGTCGGATGGTGAGCAGGTATTGCTTGTAGCGGTCGGTGAGGGGGGAGATGACGGCGGAGGAGAGCAGGCCGGTGAGGATGAGGAGGCCGCCTGCGATCCCCGATTGGGTTTCGGTGAAGTGGTGCGGGGAGAGGATTTGGTTGAGTAGCGTGGAGATACTGTTGAAGAGGGCGACGTAGACGGTGAAGGGGAGGAGGATGAGGTGGAAGGTTGGGGTGTGGAGGAGGTGGGAGAGGGAGGAGAGCGGGGGAGGGAGGTGGAGTGGAGGGGGGTGGAGGAGGGGCTGGGTGGGGTGGGGGGCCGGAGGGGAGGAAGAGCGAGGGGAGGGAGGCGATTGTGGCCTGTTTGTTGTTAGTTAGTGTGGGTGGTTGGGTTGGGTTGGGTTGAGTAGACCCTGTATAACTCTCTCTGATATGGATTCCAACCAGAAGAAATGAAGGGGAAAAAAAAAAAAAACTCACAATAATAGTAACCCCCAACACCATCCCCGGCACATCTCCCGGCTCCGTCACCCAAAACCCATCGATCAGCTCGCCCAGCGCCGCGCCCAACGGGTTCGCCAGCGTCGCGACCGCCGTGGCGCTGGTGCGGCCCTGATCCGAGAACCACAGGTCGCTGTATCGGGTCGGCGCGCTGAGGCAGAAGGGCTGCGCCAGCCCGATGAGAATCTGCCCGAACATCGCGACCCCGAAGTTGCCCGCCCGCGTGCCGCCATAGCGGATCCAGTTGCCGATCAGCAGCAGGGCGGAGGTGGTGATGATGGCGGGCTTGGGGCCGCCTTTATTGAGGGTTATGATGACGATTCTGGGGGGTTAGTTAGGGTTGAGGGTTAGGTTTGGCTGGGGAGTTGGGATAGGAGGATGGGAGGAGAGGAGTGGGATCAACTCACGGACTCGAGACGCAAAAGGCAAAGAGATATCCGGTGCTCATCCAGTTGACGGCGCTTTCACTGACCCCGAAGTACTGCGCGGTGGTGGTGGATATCGAGGAGAAGGTGAGCCACTGGATGATATGATATCATGGATGGTTAGCAGGTGGATATTCAGATATTCAGTCATCCAGACAGAGTAGGTAAGAAAATGAAAGCGAAAGTAAGATGTAATAAAACTTACATCCCAGCTGACGACAATATTCAACAGCACCAGTTGTCCCAGCCCCCAGAACCGCCGCTTATAGACCCTATAGACCGGCGCCGAGGGAGGCAGTTCAACCGGCAGCGCTGTCGTGACCGATTCATGGTGCATGTCTAACGAGCACTGGGGAAGCTTGGAATCGGAATCCATCGCCATGAACTGACCGCGGGGGTGCAGGATGGACAGGGAGAGAGGGGAAGCAACGAAGCAATCACTCTTTATTATCTCTCTGGCAATCAAGAGCACACCACTGATCCGCGGGGTCGAGCCGAGGGCATCAACCGGTTTAATATATTCCTCAGCCAAGCACGGCTGGTGCGCAGCAATAAGAGAGATAGATAGGCTTTTTTTTTCCCACCATCTCATCGGTGAATCCGCCCGAGGTCTGGCGGGTTACGGGTTACATCCAGGGGAGGGCACCCAAAATTGGGGGGAGTGGTGGTCTGGTTGTCTCCTGATCGTCTGGGTCTGGTTTCAGGGTTTGTGGTTGCTTGGGCGGTTGAGACCTCCGCCGGTGGGAAGTCCACCTGAAGTCTTGGTTCCAGAGAGAAATAAAGAAAGAGTGTGAGACAGAGAGAGAGAGAGAGAGAGAGAGAGAGAGAGAGATCGGAAAAGACATCCTGATTGGTGATCTGAGGGTCCTATCGGCAGCGATTATCAGCTATTCACATGAAGAAATGAGGGGAGAAACGAGGGGAAGAGAGACTAAGGCCAAGACTAAGGCCAAGACTAGGGCTGTGAGAGACTGAGAGTGTGTCAGTGGTCAGTGTCAGTGTCAGTGTCAGTGTCAGTGTTCAGTGTCACCATCACCATCCATCCTATACCAGCAGTTCTGCTATGTACCAGGATCACTCATCGCCCAGAATGAGCACACGACAACCCAACCCCGCCAGCTTCCTGCACGTATCCATGACGAACGATGCCAGGAAAATGGAACCCTGCCTCTAGTGGTTCGGGTGGAGCCCAAGACCACTTTTAGTCGCTCGTCGTTTCAGGGGAATTCCGGGGTTGGAATTCGACCTGGACAGTGGACACTGACACTGGACAGCCATGACAACTGACAAGAATGCCCTGTCATATATCTATCTCTCCAGCGTAGACGCGTAGTGCTTTTCTTTTCTTTTCCCACCCCAGAGAACCAGTAAACCGACGCGCAGGGGGGTTGGGAGGCGACGATCGCGACGCGTCCCTGCTGGATCAGATGAATGGGAATCAAGGACGATGATGGATGGATGGATGGATGGAGTCATCGGACACGTCCCAACCACCTATCTATCTATCTATCTATCCATCTATCGACCGACGTAGGTACTTTGTCTCCGGAGGAATCGACTCGTTGTGGCGCTGCACGCAACGCCCAGTCGACCCGCCCTTTTTTGCTCCGGTCGGCTTTTCAGCCCTCTTTCTTTCTGCTGCAAGTTGGCGCCGATCCATCCATTGTTAACTCTCCGCCGCCTCTTTTCTCCCTCCCTTTCATCCTCCATTCTCCCACCGCTGCTGCTCGCCTCCCTCGCCTCTTCTCTTTGTGCGGTCTTCCCTCCAGCTCATCTCCAGTCCACTCTCATCCTCAATCCCACGACTGATTGTTCCTGGAACACCCCCCCCGAAGCGGAAATCCGGCTGTCGTGGAGGATGGATGCTGCCTGTTGACCCGCCACAGCTTCGTTGTATTGAATTGACTGCGCGACCGGCTCTTCTCCCCGTCCATTGTCTCCTAACCACCCCCCCCCCCCGTCTCACCATCATGACTTCCCTCGACTACCGCTCCAGCCAGTCATCTTATGGCGAGCCGACACGCCTGGCTGCCTCCTCCTATGGCGCTCCGCAGCCGCCCCCAACCAAGGTGCTGATGGAGGGCTACCGCGACGCCCTCGACCCCAAGCTGACCGAGAAGCCGCGCTTCAACCCCGTCGGTGCCCCTGTCCCCCTCCCCCTCCCCATTCCCCATCCTGATGCGACCAGATGGCTGACTTTCTCTGTCTAACAGCTCAATACCGCCCACCCTGAAAGCTCCGCCCTGCTCAACACCCACGACCCCGTGGCCATGTACCTGCTGACCGAGACCGCCATGACCGACAGCAACCACTATGAGATCCTGTCGCTGGAGGAAGTCGAGGGTCTGAAGAAGGAGCACAAGTTTCTGTCCAGCCGCCTGAACGCCGCCAAAGGGAACCTCGCCCTTGAGATGAAACTCCGCGATGCCGCCCTGTCGCTCAGCAGACTATATACCTCCAAGAGCTCCCGCGCGAGTGAGGACTACGAGCTGGACGGCTCCCCGAACTCCCGCCGCAGCCGCCGCAGTATCTTCAGCCGCAACGACACCACCCTGGACAAGACCGATGAGGAGCTCGCCCTGAGCACCCGCAAATGCGAGGAGCTGGCCCATGAGGTCTGGACCTTGGAGCGCCGCGTGCAACAGGTCAACAGCCGGCTGCTCGAGCATACTGCGGGCATCCTGCAGATGACGCACAAAGGCTTGAAGAAGAACCTGCAAGGCAACATCCCGCACACCCCCGAGAGTTTGTCCAGCCACAACACCCGCGCCAGCGTGGACGATTTCGACGATCGAAGCTTCTACAAACCCTCCGAGCACCTCGAGTCCGCTGGGTTTGCCCGGGAAGGCCTGGCCTTGACCGGAATGGGGCTGGAGGCTATCCAGGAGACGGAGAGGAAACTGGAGGATCTGAGTGGAAGGATGCGAGACATGATCTTGCAGTCCAACCCGGACAGCGATCTCGCGCCCATCCCGCAGCCCGCTCACGACGAAGGCCCAGTTAACCCCACGGCCACAGTCGAAGCGCACATCGCATACATCGAAAACGCAATGCACATGCTCGGTTCAAGTTCTTCAGGGAGTGCATCACGCGCCGTTGACTACGAGACCGAGCAACGGCTGGAAGAAACCACCACACGTCTCTACAACATCGTTCAACATCCGGGGCTACCGCATGCGCAAACACTGCCTCCCCCGGATTCTATCAGCGGCGACGTGACGGAACAGATCGCTTATCTCACTGACGGTATCAGTGGTCTCGAAGGCCGGATCGAAAAGCTTCTGGACCAAAAGAGCATTCTCACGACGCAAATCCAACAGCAGCGGGAGCTGAACTCCAAGTCGGACGCGGAGAGAGATGCGCACATCGCGGAGTTGGTCGAGCAACTGACCAACGTCCGGAAAGAACTCGATATCTCCGATAGCGAGTGTCAAAATTCCAGAGAAGCCTTAGATTCGGCCATGGAACAGCTAGAAGCGGTGCGTCAGGAGTTGGCTGGCCACCAGGAAGAGCACAGGATGGAGGACACTTCGGGTGCTTTGACGTCGGAGAAGGAAGCTCGTGAACGCGCCGAAGCCGAAATCGAACGCTTGCAGGGTGTCATGCAAGAGCTCCAGCGCGAAAAGGACGCCCAGGCGGAGGCCCACGAAGCCCGGGCGCGCGCAGAAAGTGAACTCGCCAGCCTCGAAGCCCATGTGGTCGAACTCCGATCGCAGAGCGACGCTCGCACGGAGGAGCTCACCGCCGCACACTCGCAGACAGAGCGCGAAGTCACCCGTCTGCAGGGCGTGGTCGATCAGCTTCAGGGTGAAACAGATGCCAAGGTGGAGGCGGCTACGGAGGCCCATCTCCAACAGCTTCGTTCCCAGTCCGATGCCCACACCGAGGAGCTCAATGCCGCACGCTCGCAGGCGGACACCGAAATCGCGCGTTTGCAGGGTCTGATCGAGCAGCTGCAGGGTGAGACGAGTTCGAAGGCAGAGGCCACGGAAGCCCACCAGCGTGCGGAGCAGCAAATCCTGGAGCTGGAAGCAACCATGCAGCAGATCCGGACTGAATCAGATGCCCAGATCAAGGAGGCAACGGACTCCCGGACACAGGCCGAAAGCGAGATTGTTCGCCTGGAGGCCCTGATGGGTCAGCTTCGTGCTGATATGGAACCGCAGCTGAGAGATGCTACCGCGGCCCGCATCCAGGCCGAGAGTGAAGTCTCCCGACTGGAAAACCTGCTAGGCCAGCTGCGAGACGACGTGGAAGTGCTGGAAACCCAGTTCAAGCAAGCCACCGAGGCTCGCACAAGTGCCGAGGAGAACGCCGCGCGGTTGCAGTCGGAATTGACGGAGATGGAAGGCGAAGTTGTCAGGGCTCAGACGGAGTTGACAATGGTGAAGGCTGAGCTCGACGGCGCTTATGGATCTCGGGCGCAACGTGCGGCGGATATCGCTGCCAACCCGGCCATCCAGAGGGAGTTTGATGAGCTGAATACCCGAAACCTCGAACTGACCGTAGAGCTCGCGGAACTCAAGGCCGGAAAGCCGGGTAGCAGCGATCTGCAGAACCGCGTCGAGACGCTGGAGAGAGAGCTTCGCGAAACGGTTGACGATTATGAAGCAATGACGAAATCGAGCATCGAATTCGAGAAGGAGCGCGAGAGGTTCGACAGCGTCATCGACGCCCTCCGGGACCGCTGCGAGCAACTCGAGACGCAGCTTAACGAAGAAAGAATCAGCTGGATGGGCAGTGGACGCGATGGACACTACGAGACCACCTCGACGATGGTGCTGAAGAATGAATTCAAGAAGATGATGCGGGATACGCGTATCGAAAACATGAAGATCCTCAAGGTGAGTGGTCGCAGCTCCTTTCGTTATAGTTAGCACCGTAAGCTAACCCACGCAACCAGGCGGAACACGAAGAACGCCGACGACTGGAGGCTTTGGTCAGGAATCTGAAGAAGGAGCAGGCCAACCTGAACGGCATCGCCAGCAGCCTCAACTCTACCGTCCCGGCTCAATGATCACGATTCCACGCGATTCTGCTTGCTGTGTACCAACGTCTCCTGTGTCTGTTTGCCTGCATCCATATTTCATTCCCCGTACATATTAATGTCTGTTAATAACTACCCCTGTGTTCTCTTTCTTTGGTCCCTGCCTTTTAGCTGGGTGGACTCTTCTCGGTTTCGATCTGAATGTGCATATAGAATTCCATTCACCTTTACTTCATAACCCATATGTTGCTTTTTGTACACGAGGTCGTTCCTTCCTTCTGTTGCACCTTCCATGCTCAAGAGTGGTCTGATCGGGCAGGCGCAATAGCTCGAAGGCCGCGATGACAATCACTTGCATTTCCCCATATTTTCCACATTGTCAACAACTTCTCACCAGCCTGTCTAGAGCCTGTCCTTTTGTCGTTCTGGTACCATGGTAATCCCTAGTGAAGCCATCCTGCCTGCCCAACGCGGTTCCGACGAGGAGGTTCTGGTAACAGAAGAGCCTACGCAAGCAGCTGCACAACTTGTCAACACGACCTTCTCCGAATCGGTTCTGAGCGAGGAAAGCTCCATCTTCAACGCTCCGAGGACAAATTCTGGCGCTGAAGACACTGGCCAGAAGTTCGGTCCCGACACTGGAGCTCATGGCAGTCTCGATAGCAGGATAGTAGCCAACATGGCCATGTTCATTCCCCTCGCCCCGGAAGCACCAGATCCCTCCCAGCGGCCGAATCGAGAACCGAAGTATCTGACGGAGCAGAAGACGCAGTCTTCTGGCTGGCATCCTCAGCTAGCACCGGACAGTCGTGTGCTATCTACAGACGAAGGCAAGGCGATAGTATTATCATCACCGCCGGACGAGTCACTGAAACGAAGTCTCTTCGACGCGTTGCGTTTACAGAAGGCAGCCAGCCTCAACGACGCCGATGACACCGGGAGAATCTTCAAGTGGCCCGGAAGCCTTGACTCCCCGGTGAGCCCTGTTCTCCCGACTTATCCGCCGCCGGTGAGAGCGCCTACGCCTCCTGGGCTCCCATCGTTCGGCACCAGGGAAGCAATTTACTACTCCGCTCAATATCCAGTCCACTCTGCCACGGCCAGCGGACATACCCAGCAACCAGATTCCAGCAGAAGCCCTGGCAGGCGCGGCATTCATGGAACCCGGACTGGGTCTTACGGCGAGGCACTGCGCAGGCTTCTCAGCTTTCCGTCATCCCCTCCGACACAGCCTAGACGGCAGACGTACGCCGTTGCAAGAGCAGCAGATGGCACGGCTGTTCAAGGTCGTTTCCCATATCGACAGAGTGGTCATGGGATGAATCTAGCCAGACGCTTGGAAGACCACCCGTTCCATCGAAGTGAGGTTTTGGCCGCTCGGGGTGACAACGTCAACGTTGAAGGGTTTGTTACACAACATGCACAGGTAAACCGGGAAGACTGCGATTTGAAACATGCCCAGCCTGTTGCTCCCTCGAGCCCAGGGGTAGACAGCACGCCCAGAGGTCGCCCCCGATTCGCCCTCAACAGCTTACTACCGGCGCCTCGTCCAGTGATGGCCGACACTGCACAGCGGCCTGCTTCGGCGAATGCTTCTCTCCCGACATATCGGGTCGACTCCTTTCATACTTGCTTTTCTCTTTCGCAAAGTCCTGGCGCACCAACCCCAGATACCCAAGGAGCGGAGAGGGTGAGCGAGTCTCCGGCGTGCTTCCTTGCGCCTACCCAGTCAGCCCCGATATCCGCGGCACTGGAGGCCTGCGGAAGGGTCAGCGAGCCATCTCCTTGGAGACAACCGCGACGCATCATGAGAACTTGGTTCTGTTGCTGCCCGGGGGAGAGAAATGAACAAGATGCCGCCGTGTATTCAAACACATCCTCCAATGAGACGTACACAACTGCGAGGACCCATCCAGGTGGAAACGCAGCAGACAATCCTCGCACTGGGGCTCCCGAGGATCCAGCCCAGCGCCCGATGTCGTGGCTATTGGAGACATGGAGGGGGTTCCAGGTGTTTGCTTCCCGCAATCTCCCGACTATGAGTCTGCTGCCAGCTTGAGTTACCTAGGACGGCAGCGATGTATAAATGGTTCCAGAGTTTGGTTGTAATTTGTGAGTAGAGGACAGCACGATTGGTGCACGGGAAGGACATGTCTCCCTTGGTGTCAGCACCAGACAATGCTCAGCAGCAAAAGTGTTCAAGGAGAAGGCGCAATGACTTCTGGCTGTTAGACTGTTAGAGCCACTAAACCATCCTATCCTACCCTACCCTATCCTCTTAACCGGGAAATAAAACAGCATACATCCACTGCAACTTCCATTCATTCATTTCTTCATTCTGATCTAAGCCCGAACAAACAACAACAGCAACAACAACAACATTAGTCATTTCGTATCTGCTAGACTGAATCAATCAATCAACCAACCAACCAACCAACCAACCAACCGACTCCATCGCTCCGATGCCGGGATGCTTTGAAAACAAAGCAGAGAAATAAATAGACGAACTATAAACAGACCGAAAGAGAACAAAGCCCGAAAGAGAAAGAAATGGAAAAGAAGCACATATGAACTTGCCATGTGGACTTCTACCCGTGGAAAGTGAGACAGCCAGGCAGCCAGGCAGCCAGGCAGCCAGCCAGGGAATCGACCCAATAAGCCAGCGGGAGAGAACATGGGGGATGCAATATAGACACTGGCATAGACGTAGACGTAGACGTATCAAAAGTATAAGAGGCAAAAAGGTCATAGAAATAGATGGATAGGTATGAAAGAAAGAGAAGAAAAGAAAAGGAAAGGAAAGGAAAGAAAGGAAAAGAAATGGAAAAGAAGTGGAATGAAATGAGACGAAGCCATAGAGTGAGTCATTTCACATACACCGATTGATGTTCAAGATAATGAGAATAAAAAAAAGGGACAGAGAAATGAAGTAAGAAAGAAAGAAAGAAAGAAAGAAAGAAAGAAAGAAAGAAAGAAAGAAAGAAAGAAAGAAAGAAAGAAAGAAAGAAAGAAAGAAAGAAAGAAAGAAAGAAAGAAAGAAAGAAAGAAAGAAAGAAAGAAAGAAAGAAAGAAAGAAAGAAAGAAAGAAAGAAAGAAAGAAAGAAAGAAAGAAAGACGTATCGATCCACACGGCCGTCAAAATGTCACTTTACGACCACCATCACTACCATCACCACCATCACTACCATCACCACCATCACTACCATCACCACCACTACCCACCCAGCCTCAACCTCAACCTCACCCAGCCCTATAACATAATGAGAATTATGAGTATGTCTTCAGCATCCTCATAGATAGATAAGTCAATCACAGCCCCGTAAAAAACTGACACGCCTCCCGAAGCTCCTCGTCATCAGCCGCGAAATCCCAGCCCACGATTCTCGGGTCCTGGCTGGCGCAGATGATCTTGTGGGCGTCGAACTGGAGTTTAAAGATGCGGGAGGTGGGCGGGAGGGCGGCACCGGCTACGCGGGTCAATCGGGGGTGGTTGAGATGGGCCGCGAGGACGGGGTTCAGGATGGGAGGAGGTCTGTTTGGGGGTTGTGGTTGTGGTTGTTGCGGCTGCTGTTGGTGGACTGGGTGAGGGAAGTGAGGGATGTCCAGAGGGGATGGGTTGAATGTTGCTGGGGGGGCTGGGTGTTGGAATCTCGAGCCTCCTCCTCCTGCTGGTCGTTGTTGTTGTTGGTCGGTGGTGGTGGTGGAGTTAGTGGTAGGCAGAGGCGGTGCCTGTTGCTGTGCTGCGGCTGCGGCTGCGACTGCGGCTGCGGCTTGGATTTGCGCCTGCTGGGCAAAGGCGTTCGACCGTGCAATTGCGTGGCGTGCAGCGGTGTCCAAGTCGCCGTATGAGGCGTTGGCGGCGGCATCGACCTGCCGGAGCCGCTGACCCACAACCCAGCGACCTTCGGGGTCCTTCTTCCAGATGATGATGGACTCATCGTATGAGCCTGACACAATCCGTCCCCACTGGCTTCCGCCTCCGCCCGGGGGAATCTTCGCTCCGAGGGACTTGATGTCTATAGGGTTTCGGGATCCGTGAGTGTTCTGGTGATAACCCGCGCGTCGGAGGGCACCAGGGCCAAGATCGACGTTCGCGCCGGAACGCTGAGCATCACGGAACTCGTTGTCGACAGCCAACGCTTCCAGCCGTAGAGCCTCCTCGGCTCCCGGGGGGTCTCCAAAACCAGCCTGGACTGTCCGGACGAGGTTGCCGTGCCCGTGGAGGCAAGCTACCTCGGCGCCGGAGGCGTGGTCGAAGATGCGGACTGTGTCGTCGTTGCTGCCGCTGATAATGCGCCTGTTGTCGAACTGGACGCATGCAATGCCCTTTTCGTGGCCCACCACGGTCTTCTTGCAGGCACCACTGCGGAGGTTCCAAATCTTAATTAGGCGGTCGCCGGAGGCCGAGACAATCTCGTCTTCATTCAGCTGGATAGCATTTACTGCGGCTGTATGCCCGTCGAGGGTCATCAGGAGTGAAAAAGGTGACAAGGTCCGGATGTGATTATTGGCGATTTCGGCTTCCAGGATCGGGGAGGGAATCTCGCGCGTGTCGACGATGTACGATGGGTATGTAATACCCGAGCCCTGGGAAACACTCGGATAGTCCTTATCCACCGGCGAGAGTTGACGCCGGTTCCAGACCTTGATGAGCTTGTCTTTGGAACAGGTAACGATATACCGTTCATCAAATCGGAGGTTCAAAACAGAGTCGTCATGGGCCGGGGCAATCTCGTGGAGCTTCTCTCCTGTAGAGAAGCGCCAGATAATGACATTCTTATCACTGCTCCCGGATATGATAATGTCTTCGGACGGACGAGGATCGAACTGGAGACAAAGAACCGATTTCGTGTGACCTAGAAGAGGCGGGTGCCACAACCGCTTGGTGTGCATATCCCAGACACGAACGGACCTATCCCGGCTGCCACTGACCAGCCATTTGCCCGTGAACTGGATCGCGTAGACACATTCCTGGTGACCCTCTTCCATATGGGACGGGTGGGGGAGCTGGAAGTTCGTGAAGCGGCCTTTAGCCCAGTTCTCCTCCAGTCGCCTTCGTTGCCGATAAAGGTGCGGCCAGTTGATCTTGGCGGCACCGTTGGGCATCCTGACTAGCATTGAGGAGCTCGAGCGATGGGAGGTCGTTGTGATTGCCTGTACGCTTGACTTTGAGTGACCAGAGTTTGACTGGGACTCACACCGACTGCCGGAGGTGGGTGATTGGTGCCCGGGAGAAGACAGTGTGCCCCGGTCGTTCGAAGCATCACTCATCAGGTGGTCCCCTTCGGTATCGGCGTCTGCCGTAGCCTGCAGGGCACTTCCCCGCACGGGCGCGTGATTGTCCAGGGATCCTGTTACTCGAGAGTCCAGCCAGCTGGGAGGTACGCGTTTCTTCTGTTTCGGTTCCCCGAGATCGGGGTCTGCATATCTCGACCGAGATTTCCGGAGTTGGGGGGAGGACAATCCGGAATGTTCCTGCTCGTACGTATTCACGGCATCGATGTCGACCCGCCAGCCTTCGCCGATGTAGAGGTCTCTCCAGAGGCGGGTGTCGAAAATGCGACTACGCCAGGCGCGTGAGGCCAGGGACGCCGTCAGGAGGGTCAAAGGGTCGAGGTAGGAAAAGATCTCGGAGGTGATTTCCGGGGGGAGCTTCAGCACAGGGTCCATATGCAGCAGAGGCGCCAGCCGTTCCACCACCGAGGAGACGGTGGAGGCGCGCAGGGTCCGGAGGAGAGTGTAGGCTAGCTCTACGTGAAACACCAGCAGCAGTCAGCATCTCGGACGATCGCACCCGGTTACTAAACAGGCGAGGAGGCGCCTTGCGCGGGTCGAGGGGGATCGGGGGGAGGGGGGTAGGGGGTGAATCTCACCAGCTCTCTCGGTCTCGCTGTGAGCCAGAACCCAGTCGGGGAGCGGCATCACATCATCCGGGGACGGATTCAGAACCTCCTTGTCGGACTGGCTTCTGGTTTCATCGGAGTACCCCTCGTCCAGCTTGAAGGGAGCAGCGAGCGAGGGGGCAGGCAACTCGGGGGGGTAGCTGGCGGTGCCCTGAAGCTGCCGGAGACGAGGGATGGTCGGAGTTTGCGCGGTGTCTCTCGCCATGAGTAGTCCCTTGATCAGCTATCGGCCTCTATTTCTTCAGACTCCTTTCCCCTGCAACTGCTCCGTCAGAATGGAGGGGCGAAACAGGGAATGATGGGCCGACTGGGGCTCTGAGGAAGGGCAGTCGGGTGGTAGTGGTATCCTATGACGAAAAGAGGTGGGCTGGACCACCCTTTCCCTCTAGAAGCCGGACGTGATGCGCTCTTGGCACCACCACATGAAAGGGGGGGGAGAGGCGAAATGCAGACGGGAGGGAAGCCGGGCAAGAAGAGGCGATGGGCAGTCAGAAGGCCATGACGAGCTGGAGATGGACGAGATGAAGCTGTCGGCTTGGTGATCGATCAAAGTCGGCGACCAACTACGCCGGGGCCGAGTGACTTGTCACGTCAGATGGGAGGTACCGCGTACGCGTATTTACCGGAGGGGGGGGGGGGGGAAGTCTCTCAGCCCAGAACAGGCAGGCACGGTATACTATCGCGGTACGGAGTACGGAGGTCGTACTACCGGGACCTACAGAAACAAATTGACTAGAGATGGCTTCCGGGGAATCGAATCTTCGATCCCTTCAGTGGAGATGCCATCGGGTGAGATTTCTTTGTTGATGATGGGCAGCGTTACACAGACATCGGTAGTAGCCTAGTACCTTAGTATATCCAAGGGTCCAGGTGGTGTTGATGTCCAAGTTGTCACCCGCAGCAAGGGGAGGCGGTATGTAACTTACGCCGATGATACCGGTACCTTACGATGCTGGCGATGCCTGCGATGCCTGCGATGCCTGGGAGGGCGTCGCACAAAGTACTGTCTGTATCTACTCTCCATGTAGAAATCCTGTAAGGTACCTCCAACTAGTGATGTCTGCTGCATCCCCCCTCCGAGGATGATTATTGCACTCCAGAAGGATCCGTCAGGCACTGATTTGGATCATCCCATCATCGTCATCCCACCCTGAAACTGGTCGACACCCACTTCTGTCAATTGCGCAGCCAATGGGCACACTGTTCTCCAGGGTCTGATGGAGACGGATCCAGTCTAGATACACACTACATATCGAGGCAGTACGGAATAGCAGATTACTACTTTGTAGGTACTCCGTACGGCAAGACATATGCTGAAGCTATATAGTAAAGGAGCAAAACACTATGCTTGGGCCAACACTTCGAATCTGGTTCGTGTCCTCTGGCCTGCCCGGGGAGAAAGGGAGGTATGTGCCCGTACAGTATGTATGTAGGTCCGGAGTACTACCAGAATGCATGCATGCATGCATGCACGCACGCATGTGCAAACACCTGGATCTGTATCCCTCCCTGACTACCGGAGATAGACGCGGTGAACACGGAGTACAGCATCAAAGGATGAAGGACGGACGAGGGAGAGACCGATCCTTTTTGAATTGGGTTGTAGAAGAAGTGGATATAGGACAGACGGAGTCTTGTCTACCCCCGAACTAGTCACAACCTCAAACAGTTGGTGTGAGAGGAGCCCTCATGCAGCCGCGGCAGTGGCCAATATCATCCTTCCTTTCCTTCTCGAATCCCTACTGGCCCCCAAACCCCAGCTTTTTGATTTTGATTTTGATTTTTTTTTTCTGGCTGTTGAATCGGCCTGGGCTTGCATTGGAATGAATTGACATGGGACAAGAAGACTCAGGATCATGAGGCCTTGAACTTTGAAGACCGATCTCCTGGGACCGATGGATCTTCCTCCTTGTTGCTGTTACTGTTGCATTCCTGGCCATAGTTACGGAGTACTAGTTACCAGTTGTGTGGTTGTGTAGGGGATATCGGGATATCTCTTCTGCCCGTCATCCATCCTGATCAATTTGATACTCCGTCCTACATCCTGATTCACCAGTGTTCCATTGATGCCATCCCTCCATCCATACATACTTCCCTCTCCGGTATTTGGCGCCCCCCTCTCTTTATCCTCTCCCTTTCTCTCTCTCTCTCTCTCTTCCTCCCTAAACTAACCAACTAATTAACCCCAACCCACACCACCATCATCCACCCCCTTATCCCACCCGTCCTTCCTTCTGGTTCTTCACTGTCAACGTCCACTGACGCGCGCTTCCACCCAACCGGGCAACCAGACTGACTGTCTTCTGCTGTCCCCATCTTTGGTCTCCATCCCCCGTCTTTCTCCCTTCCTCCCTCTCTCTCTCTTTCGGGTTCTTTGGTTCTTCTGCTTCCTCGCATTCTCCCTCCTTTCTCTCCTTCCCGGGTCTATTTTCCATCCCCCCCCGTCTCCCTCCGCTTCTGCCCTTCCTTCCCGTCCCGTTGGAACCTTTCCCATCCACGCTATCTACTCTCTCCCTTTCCCATCGGTCTCCGAGTCTCCAGCTTCAGCTTTCGCCGTTGAGGGGCAAAACCCGCCTCTTCGGAACCTGGATCCTCCCTCCCTTTGGTTCCAGCCCGATACTATCTATATCTACGTGCTTGCGCTTGCCTGGCTGCAGCCGCAAACCCCCACTCCCAGCTTTTTTCTTTTTCTTTTTTCTTTTTCGCGATTCTTTCCCTTTTTCTGGGTCCGCATTTTTTGCCATCCTTTAATCTGGAGGGGCGCTGTTGCCAGCAAGGGCCGGAGATTTAATCTGCCAGAGGTCACTCCTAATTGCTATTAAAAGAGCAGCCCAGCAATTTTTAAAACAAGAAAGAAAAAAAAAAAAAAAAAAAAACACATCCTTTTCTTCCCCCTCCCCCCTCCGTCCTCGCGCAATTTCGCTCGACCAGGGTATTTATTCATCATCGCCTGCGTTCGACGGCTCTGCGGCGAGAGTCGAGACACGGAAGACCTTCTCGCGGTTGACTCAGCTTTGGGGATAGTTAACGTACCACGATCTCCACTCTAAGGTTTCTTAGCTGCTCGCTTGTTCCATCCATCCCGCATCGGTCCACCGGCTCGCATTCAGTGATCCATGCTCGACTTGATCCTTGTGCAACCACGCCTGTCATTTCTTTCCACCTTCGCCCTCCGCCGGTCTGCTGTGCAGATTTGAAGCCACCTCGCCCCCCAGATTGTTGTCGGTGTCCACTCCCTCCGGTCCGAGTCGGCCGCCCGTCGAAATGGCCGAGACCGTCATCATGAGTGGCGCTCCGATCGCCGAGGACAACATCATCAACCGCCGCGGCGGTGAGTCGATGTATCAGACGTGTGTCAACCTCAAGAAGCGCCTGGCCGAGGTCCCGAACTTCGAACCCCACATGCGAGAGATGGAAGAGGCGGACATGGCGCAGGGAAACACCGACCCCGTGGCCTCGCTATGGAATTGCCTGCGGACAGGATACCCCTTGTTGACCATCTACAATGCCTCCGGTCCGGAAGAGTACCTCGAGATCGATACCACGAAAGTCGCTGAGGCCAAGCGTCCCAAAGCCGCCACCTTCAAGTTCCTGCAAGCCTCCCTGCAAAAGCTGGACTTTCCCCAGCAAGATTGCTTCCTGATCACGGATCTCTACGGCGAAAATACCACCGGCTTTACCAAGGTGATCAAGATGGTGAATCTGGTTCTGGACATCCTGGAGATGCAGGGACAGCTGAAGCGACCGTCCGATGACGCCTCCCGCGCTCCCGCGCAAGGGACCATCAAGCTCACGAAGCGCGAACATATCCTCAAGGAGTTGTTGGAAACGGAGCGCGACTACGTCCATCACCTTCAGAATCTACAGGCGCTCAAGAAGGAATTGGAGGAGACCGGTGCCCTGACCGGTGACGCCAGCCACCAGATCTTCCTGAACTTGAATAATCTACTCGACTTTGCTCAGCGATTCCTCATCCGCATAGAACAACACTACGCCTTACCGGAAGAGAGGCAGAATTGGGGCGAGCTATTCATACAGCACGAGGATGCGTTCCCGCAGTATGAACCATTCATCGCGAATCAGATGCGTTGCGACGAGGTCTGTCTCAGAGACTGGGACAAGATCCATGAGGCCCCGCGCTCCAAGGATCTGCTCCAGATGGTGGCACAGCCGGCAACCTTGAACGGATTCTTCGTTAAACCGTTTCAACGGTTGACCAAATATCCCTTGATGCTAGGGGTGAGGATCCTCGGCCTATGATCACGTTCACGATCGTTACTGACCGGTACACAGGAACTTCTCAAGCAAACAGAAAACCCCGATCTTCGTATCGATATCCAAAGGGCAATCGACACCATTCAGTCTGTCCTCGACTCCGCGAACGATGCGATTGACAAAGAACATTTGCAGACAGCCGTCAAAGACCTTGCTGAGCGCGTGGACGATTGGAAGACCCTGAAGATCGAAGCATTTGGTGATCTTCTTCGCTTCGGCACCTTCTCGGTCATTAAGGGTGATAGCGCAAAGGACTCTGAAAGAGAGGTTTGTAATATACCCAATCTCGTCGAGAATGTTTGCTAACGTTTGACTTTTACGCCTAGTATCACATCTATCTCTTCGAGCGCATCCTGCTCTGCTGCAAAGACATCAACCCGAATAAGCAAAAGTCGAAATTAAACCTGGGCAAAGACAAACCGGCCACGACCGCCAGGGGCAAAGCACGGCTCCAGCTTAAAGGTCGCATCTACATGGCAAATGTCACGGATGTCCTTTGCATGCCCAAACCAGGTATGCAACACCCTTCTCCTCCCATCCGGGCCGCATCTGACATGACCACTCTGCGACAGGCTCGTACCGGATCCAGATATTCTGGAAGGGAGACCCGAACGTTGTTGACAACTTCATCATCCGTTACCAAAACGAGAGCATTATGCGCAAATGGGCCAACGACATTGACGCCCAGCGGCTCATCCAGACTGAGCAACGCAACGTTCGCAACACCGGCACTTCGGAGACCGAATTCACCTACATGAAGTCCGTGACCAATATGCCGAACCCATACCTGGAAAACGACGAGGAACAGGCCGCAACCAAGGAGGCAGCCTTCTTCTCAGAGTTCCCAATGAGTCGCAATGCCTCCAGCACCAGCCTCAGAACGCGATCCGCGACAGGAGGGAGCGGGGGCTCCGGCCCGCCGCCGCCCTTGTCCGTCGGCCGTCCTCCGCGCTTCGCCGTCCCCGATCCGAGTCTGTCAGTTCACACGCATTTCTCCGGCGGCAGCATGTCACCGGCAGAGAGGAATGCCCCTTCGTACTTTTCGCCCGTCGCCGACACGGCATCTACCAGATCCAGCTCTCAGTCCACGGGATTCTCATACACCAGCAGCAGTCGTCAAACGACGCCGACCAACACCTGGAACGAGGAAAACGCCCGGTATACTGCGCCGGCCTTGTCGCGTGCGACGTCGAGAGATGGACCCAATTCGAATACGTTCTTCAGCGGTGCCCCCGGACGGGCTGCCCAACGGCCCTCTCTCCCTCCGATGTCCGGGCCGCAAGCAGCCAACGGCATCGCGCGGATGCGGTCTGCGAGCAGTCCAGACATCCATGCTCACAACCCGGAAATGCGTCGTTATATGGGCGCCCACACTATGCAGACCGTCGACAACGTGCCCGTCCCGCCGATCCCGGCGCACATGGCTAGCATGAAGGCGCCGGTCAACCGAAGCCAAACCAACTCCCCCACCAACGGCAACTTGCCTATCCCCAGTGCGAACCACCTTTCCAACTCCCAGCAACATCCCGACCAGCGACATATGACACCCACCCATTTCCACGAGCCCCAGTATTCCGACCACCGCCCCGGCACGTCGGCTGGCGACCAGCCGACCTCCCCTCTCAGCTACGAGCCGGACGAGGAGCCTCTCATGCCCACGCAACTCAAGGTCAAGGTGAACTTCGATGACAACTACGTGACGCTGGTGATCGCCAGCAACATCATGTTCCGGTCCCTGATCGACCGCGTGGACGCCAAACTGGCACGGTTCACGCACCGGTCCATCGGGAGCAAGTCGGTGCGGCTGCGCTACCGCGACGAAGACGGGGATTTCGTGACGATCGACAGCGACGAGGCGGTGCAGCTGGCGTTCATGGAGTGGCGCGAGCAACAGCGGGACATGCTCGCTCGCGGCCAAGTAGGGGAGATTCAGCTTTACTGCCAGGCGGTGGAGACTTAGATATGATAGGGCTGGAGCAATGAGATCTGTTCCAGTAGCACGATGTCGCGCGACATCCTTCCATCCTGTTTTCCTTCTTGAATTGTTTGCATCGGTTCGTTCCGCGGGCTCCCCTCGGCGGGCTGGGAAGAGACGCAGACGCGACCTCCGCCATCCCCTCCGTCGCCGCCGGCGCTGTCTCCTTGGTTCACCACCCCCGAACTCACTTCCAACTGGATTGGCATGAGACAAGTTGCGAGGCTATTGATTCTATTTCCACGGACAAAAGGGGGAGCGGAGCATGAGGACAAGTCGGGTCGATGCCCCCCCCCCTCTTTTAAGACATCCCCCCTCGCACGGTGCGCCCGGTTGTGTGGAAATGGCCCGGGCCATGTCGATTTTATGTGAAACTCCTCCATCCCCCTCCCTCCCCCCCTCCAATCACTCTCCCTCCGGGACATGTTGACGACTCTCCATTTGATTGATCTGATCTACGATGACTGCATGATGTATGTATGTATACCGCTGTTGTTTTTGAGCGGGCCGGGTTTTGGTTAGCAGAGACGAGCTGTACAGTGATCCTGCATTTCGCTCCGGGTTGGGTTGTACTTGTTCCGCTGTGGTCCTGTCTTCTCTTTTTTTTTTTTTTGTTTCTGTTGGTCTTGTTGTCCATGATACGACACATTTAGATATGGGTGCTGGGTTCGAGCCTATAAGCGTATAATATGCAAACAAAAATACTTTTTTATATTATTTTATCTTCATCTGATTCTAGGATTCGTAAAGAGTAGGTACCAAGATGTGTGATAGTCAGGCAATAGGACACGGTAGTCAATCGGTACGTACGGAGTAGATAGATAGCAAGTATACTTAGATAGGTAGACAACGTAGACAGGCAGGCAGACAGGTAGGCAGACGGGCAGCGTTGATGCCTAAGTCCTCAGGTACCTGACGGCGCAATTCCACGGATCGATGGCAAACAGAGTGGATCTCGGGCAGGCACACACTAGACTTAGGTAGAGAGGCTCACTCACTTCACGGGGGGGGCAGCACGAAAGGGGTCTGGCCTCCAGCCGATGAGAGTGAGACAGATGAGAACTCATCTGCCGGACTTCCGATTGAGCAGCGCAAACGCAACCGCAACAACAGCAACAGCAACAGGGGCCAATGGTGCGGTCATTCGTCAGGGGGTACTTCTTCGGGAAAAGTACTCCGTACTAATTGCCCAGTAGGTAAGTAAGTACCTATAGTTATTCTCCAGCGATGAGAAAGAAAAAAAATGATGAATAAATGAAGAAAAGAAAGAAAGAAGAAATGATCCCACCGCCTCGCCTCCTGTTCCTGTTTCTGTTACTATTATCATCCATGGTCATAATATAGTAAGTAGTGGACAACGAATCGATTAGTCCTGAGCCGATAACTGGACCCGGTGTCGGTGTCGGTGTCGGATCCCATCCGAAGCCAAACCAAACCACCCACTAGTATCTACTCAGCCCAGTCCAGTCCAGTCCAGTCCAATTCCAGCCCACTACTGCACTGGAGCCGTCGTGGCGATCGGGACGGAGACGGCAGAGAGTAGATAGATACCTCGATAGATAGTGTGTCTGGTCTGGACGGACCGTCACGGTTGGGTATTGTGATTGTGATAGGGAGGGAGGGAGCCTTAGTACGGAGTACTCCGTACTGTATCTATTTGGTCCCATAGTGAGGCATTTTCTGAAAATGATTCGAATCGGGAAGGGAGAGAGAGGGAGGGAGGGAGGAATTGACTGAGTGAGTGAGTGAGTGACTGAGCGCCTGACGGGTGTTGGCTGGCGGCAGTTGCGGGATTATTGGATGGTTGCGATCCATATACTTTGTACCTATCTGGTGGGTTGTGAAGTGACCTGCGGGGGGTCCTGTTTGGGGGGATTTGACTGGTGGTGGGTGGATGGGACTATTGTTTTTGGGGGGGGGGAAATGATGGATGGTGGATATCTAGAATGGTGATGATGATGCCGATGATGATGATGATGCCGATGATGATGATGATGATGTGGGTGGAGAGACACTGAAGAGAGAGAGCGGCGGTGATAGGGCGGGGAAGGAGACTAGCGACGAAGGCTGTCTGAGAAGAAGAAGGTGAAGCCGTTGTTGGGGTCACTCACTCGCATCCAGAAAATCTCTTATTAAATTCTTCTTCTTCTGCTTCTTCTTTCTTGCCACGCCTCTTCTCCCTGCTCCACGTCGTGTCTTGGGTTTGAGAAAGAAGTTATTCAGCCTTTTTTTTTTATTTTTCTTTTCTATTTATTCCATTATCCTCTCGATCCCCGATCCATACTTCCCCAGACTCGCCAAGCATCAGCAGCAGCAGCAGCAGCAGCAGCAGCAATCAGCATTCAAGCATCATGTCTTTCTCCGGACGTCGCCTGAGCATCCTCCGTCCCTCCGGCCGCCGTTTCTCGGTCGGCAAGGAGCTGTCAGAGAACGGTACTGCCCTGCTTCCCTCCGCATCTCCCTCCTGAATTCATTCCTCGCGATAAGCAGACAAAAAAAAAAATACAGCCTCAGCTAACCCCTCCTTTTCTTCCCCCCCCACTGCAGAACTTCGCTCCGAAACCCACCGTCAGTTCCGTAGCGCGCACGAAGGTCACCGTCCCCATGCCGGTCTGGATGCCTCGCGTGCCTCAACCGGTGTCGTCTGGTGCACGGAGAGAGCCACCGAGCATGGCTACGCCGAGGACCCCCACGCGTGGGCCAACCTGGGCCAGGGTGCGCCTGAAGCCGACGACGAGATCGAGGGCAGTTTCCCTCGTCCCACCTCCATCCCCATCACCTCCGCCGCCCGCGAGTACGGCCCGACCGCCGGTATCAAGCCTCTGCGCGCCGCCGTCGCCCATCTCTACAACGAACACTACCGTCAGGGCAAGGAGAGCCAGTACACCTGGGAGAATGTCTGCATTGTCCCCGGTGGTCGTGCCGGTCTGATCCGTATCGCCGCCATCCTGGGTAACTCCTACCTGTCTTTCCCCATCCCCGATTACTCCGCCTACTCGGAGATGCTGTCGCTGTTCAAGAACGTGAGTAACGGATCCCTACGGTCGGAATGGCCGTGAAAGTGAGCATGGACATGGTACATGGGCGTCGTATGGCTGACGACCGCAGATCGCTCCTATCCCCATCCCTCTCGCTCAAGATGACCACTACCACATCCACCCCGACAAGATCGCCGAGGAAATCGCCCGTGGAACTTCCGTGCTCCTCACCTCCAACCCCCGTAACCCCACCGGTCACTTCGTGTGCAGCGACGAGCTGGCCCGCATTCAGGACATCTGCAGAGACCGCGCCACGCTGATCCTGGACGAGTTCTACGGTGGTTACAACTACACGACCGACTGCGATGGAACGACCATCAGCGGTGCCACCAACGTCGAGGACGTCAACAAGGATGGTTCGCTCCCCCCCCCAAAAATCCCCCGGTCCACCGAATCCGCAGGTGCTGTCCTGCCATGCTGACTCTCACAGATGTGCTTCTGATCGACGGTCTCACCAAGCGGTTCCGTCTGCCCGGCTGGCGTATCGCCTGGGTGGTCGGCCCCAAGGAGTTCGTCGACGCCCTCGGTTCCGCGGGTTCCTACCTGGACGGCGGTGCCAACGTGCCTTTCCAGGAGGCCGCCATCCCCATGCTCGAGCCGTCCCTGGTGCGCGCGGAGATGCAGGCTCTGCAGGTGCACTTCCGCGAGAAGAGAGACTACGTTCTCCAGCGTCTGCACGAGATCGGCTTCCGCGTGCAGGATGTGCCCCAGGCGACCTTCTACATCTGGCTCGACCTGACCTCCCTCGACCCTCCTCTTCCCAAGGAGGCCAACCTCTCCGACGGACTGAACTTCTTCAATGCCCTCCTCACCGAGAAGGTCATTGTCGTCCCCGGTATCTTCTTCGACCTGAACCCCGCCCACAGACGTGACCTGTTCGACAGCCCTTGCCACCACTTCGTCCGTCTGAGCTACGGCCCCAAGATGGACGTGCTGAAGATGGGTCTGGACGGCATTGAGCGCGTCATCAAGCGCGCTCGCGCCCAGTTCGAGCCCAAGTGGGAGGATGAGGTCGCTGTCCAGGATGACTGAGGGGTTTATGCATACGTAGATCAATAGAATAGCGTGACGTAGGGAGAGCCTATTACATTAATCGTGATGTCTGTTTCGAATTCAACATTAACAACCAATTTAAACGACTGAAATCGAATCTCCATCCCTTACAGAGCACTCCGACATCGCCGTCATCTGATATCACGTGACCGGCCCGCTGTTCATCCCCGGTCGCATCCCTATCCCAAGCAATCGATCACTTCTACCACTCCACTTCAAAGAACAGGGAGGGTGCGCAACATGTGGTGCCCGCGACCATGGCCGTCAATGTGCACCGCGTTCTCCACACGACCGTCTTCACCTGCTTCTCCTTCCTCCTATTCCTCCTCATCATCCTGACCCCCGCCGACGCGATCTACCAATGCTACATCACGAGCCGACTGACGAACATCTTCATCATCACGGGCGGCTACATCGTGACCTTCCTCCTCGCCGTCCTAATCTACTCGACGCGCATCTACACCAACCGCAGCGTGCTGTCCGGGATCCCAAAGGCATGGATCCCCGTCGAGAAAGAAGACGTGGGGAAGAGCGTGCGCCGACTGGTGAAGGAAGGCCTCGCCCATAGCGCCATCATCGCCTACCAAGCGCGACCGCGCGACATCGCCTCCGACGCGCACAGCTTCAACTTCTCCGACTACGAATCCCTCCTCGTCGACCACGACCAGCCGCCCTGGGGCGACATCGAACACCCAGGCTGGTCCTCCCCGGGATGCCCGGACCTGCCCGACCTCCCCTACCGCACCGTCGTCCACGAACTCCCCCACCTCATCGAAGCCAAGGCCGTCTCCCTCGCGCCCCCGGACCCCATCTTCACCGCCACCCACCGCGCCCTCCGCGCCCCCTTCCCAGGCATCGAGGAATCCGTCCCCGACACCCGCGTCGTCGGCGTCCTCCGTCGACCCATCTCCATGGGCCTGAGAGGATACATCCAGCACCTGACGGGACTGAACGTGGTTCAGCCCGCAGAAATCGGCGCGGAATTCGTGGCTCTGTACGAGCGCGCGCGGTTCTCGGCGCGCGAGCTGCACGAGGAGGAGTTCCGCACCCTGATGCACGTGTTTGCGGAGCTGTTGCGCGGCATGAAGGGGTTGGATCCTAGGGTGTTGGATGAGTTGAGGGGGGGTAGTTCGAGGACAGCTGATAGCGAGTCCCTGATCGGGCCGTCGGATGAGGAAGGAGAGACCGATACGGTGGATTCTTTTGAGGTTGATGCTGATGGCGATGGCGGTAGCATTGAACGCGGCCGCAGCAATGGTAGTCTGCAGCCGTCGAACGCCTCGTCCACTTGGGATGGGAAACACGGTCGCTGGTCGCCGGTTTGGTCGAGACGTCATCAGACTCACGGCTCACGCGCACCGCCGCGGACGCCATCCATGCGCTCGCTTAGACAAGTCCAGTCTAACGCGTCTGGTACTTCGGGGTCAGGGTCAGGGTCAGGGGGGAGTGTCATTCGCTTGGTCGAGACGCGGAGTCCGTCGGATTTACCCTACGCATTCACACATGGTGGCAGCGCCGACCATCAATAGAGTGACTTGACTGTACCTAACTAGATAGATAGATAGTAATACATTAATAATATCTCAAACTGCAGACCCATCTCTAACCCCCCCCCTCCCCCGCGCACACAGCCAACAAAGAACCCAATGATCCATCTCAACCGCATAATCCTGTATCCGTACAGCGTATCTATCTACATAGTGTGAATATCAAACGAAGATGTGATTTCCACGCAAATGAGCAAACCAAACTATTATTTACATCGCGTCTCCCATTGGCCTTGAGCCGCCGCTGAGTCCAGCGCAACCCCCCACCCCCCACCTTCGATTGCGACAGCCAAGCCGTGACCTCCCGCCATCCACCCAATCGGAGCTCCGGCAGCGCCCCCGACAGCCGCATAACATTTAACATGTCGACTCGGGTGGCTTTCCGTCCGTCCTTCCTTGGCGAAGAAGTGAGACGAGGGGAGGCGATTGATAACTAACTGATAAGATCGGTCGGAATTTCCATTCCAGTCCTTTCGTTTTTCCTTTGTCAAACTGGCAAATTGGCAAATTGGCAGACTCCGCCCGCGCGCAAACCATTCTCTTCCTCTTCTCTCCTCTCCTCTCCCTTCCCTCCTCCCTTTGTGACCTGATCTCTCCTCCGTTTACAGGCTACAAGCTACAATACAAATCAAATCACCATGCAATCCTTCATCCAGCGCGGCCGGTCCTTCTTCACACCTACGCCCACCCCCACCCCGACAGACACACCCCAGGACAGCCCCAAACCCACCCCCACCAGCAGCAGCGATGCAAACGCAGAAGCGAAAGCGAAAGCAAGAGCGGCGATAACCTCCCCCGAAGACTTCAAGCAAGCGCCCTCCGCCGAGGCGCTCTTCACGAAAGTCGACCCCGCGATCGACGGCGAAGAATGTCTGCACGACTGCGCGTCCTGCACGGTGAAATACCCCGCCAAGTTCGACGTCGATCAGGAGGATAACATGTACGGGAATGTGAATGGGTGGGCGACTCATGTGCTTGTTGCCACGGGGAAGTCGGATTGGGTGCGCGATGTCGCGGATGAGGAGGGGAGCGTGATGGAGGCGATTGAGAAGGGGGGGTTGGGGGGGGATACGGGGAATGGGGTGAGTTATACACTGATACTTATACTGCTTTACCCTGCTATATTTATGTATCTATTTCGGTCTCGGCACTACCAGTACTACTAGTACTAAGCTGGGATATGATTTGATATATGGAAAGGATGTAGAGAGAGAAATACTAACAAAAAAAGCAGAAACTCAAACTCTCCGCCTCCAACATGCCCGTCCCAGACGAATACCACTACGCCGACCCCGGAAAACAACCCACCACCGTCCTCCTCCTCCCTGACTTCACCATCATCGATCAGGTCACGCCCGCTCTGGCGCCGGATCTGATCAAGTACTTTGTCAACCGCGCGAGCACGACCACCACGCCCCTTGGTGCTACCACCATCCCCCCTCTCTCTCTCCCAACCTCCCCCGACACTCTCCCCCAAGAAATCTCCCCCTCCAATCCCGCCCCTGCCCCCACTCAGCCATCATCCTCCTCTGCTCGCACCGCACCCGCGACGCCCGCTGCGGCCAATCCGCGCCCCTCCTGCGCAAAGAGTTCGAGCGCCATCTGCGGCCCCTGGGCCTGTACCGGGATCTGGACGACGAGAGGCCCGGCGGCGTGGGCATCTATTTCATCAATCATGTTGGCGGGCATAAGTATGCGGCGAATGTGATTGTTTATCGGCGGGGGGAGGGGGGTTGGGCTCGTGGTGGTAAAGGGGATGGAAATGGGGAGGGAGAGGGAGAGGGAGAGGAAGGGCAGGGCAAGGCAGGCGAGGGCGCTGCGCAGGGTATCTGGTTGGCGAGGGTGAGACCGCAGGATTGTGAGAATATTGTGCGGTTTACGGTGTTGCAGGGGAAGGTGGTTAAGCCGGAGGTGCATTTGAGGGGTGGGTTTGATAGGGAGATGGGGTTGGTGAGTTGGTAGGTTAGTGGTTAGTGCCTAGGTTGGTTGGAGGGGGGAAGATGATGGCTGTTTGGTTTGGATCTAGCTTGTTTCTTTGATATTGGTGTGAGGGGTGAGTTTAGAGTATGAGGGCGTTGTAGATAGTTATAGAGGAGAGGGTTATTACATATCTATTATCAATACTTGCTACTACTGCTACTACCACTATCACTATCTATTAGTACTGTTGCTGGTATTCTCCGCATCATAATTAAGCCAGCACCTCTTTCACATTATCTTCCCAAACAGGATATCTAAACAAGATATCAAACAAAATCAAACAAGATATCCACTCTACAAGATCCCAGACAGACTCGTCCCCTTCATCACATCCAAACAAGAGATCCACTCTATACAAAAAACCAGATTGAGCATATCATCTCCATAATCCTCCAAGAAAGGCCAACCACCACCCCCCAAACAGTTTCCCAAACCAGACGGACAGCGATATACCCTCCGCCATCAAGGTAAGCATAACACCATCCACGGATATCCACCATCTAAGCTCCAACCATCCCCGTCTCCCTCGCCCCCGGTACACGACAAACCTACTCTACCCAGATAACTTAACTTCACATCCAGATCCCTCCTACAAGACAAGGTCCCCGCCGTCACAATACCTACCAGAAAGATATGTCTCTCGTACCTGTAAGATCGCGCCGCCAACCAGATGCCCTCTCGTCAAAAGTTCCCGCATCGGGGAGGGATCTGCCCCCCTTCTGGACGGATACGGGGCGGGAGGGAAGATGTATCGTCACATCGGTAATACGCAGGTCTTGTATTGGTACTTTACAACACAGCTGGAGGACCCCGGTATTTGACGGTAATCGGTACATTCGGTGAGCAGTCGATATCGTATTTATGCTGCCTGCGAGGTACTACTTACAGTTGGTTGCACAGAGTCCAGTCCATTACTACAACTGAAACTCTGTGTGACGTTATTGATTCAATTCCTTCACCCTCAATTGCTGGAAGAGCTGCCCGGGATGTAATTAATCCTCATGGCATCCATGGACAAGACAAGGTAGACGCTGAAGCTGAGGATGTGGATGGTTCTGGTTCTTTCTTCGCAGATAGTCGCTGCGGTCGATTCGCAAACATAGAATGACTTCAACGTCAACGTCAACGTCAACATCAACGTCAACATCAACGTCAGCATCAACACTGCCGTCCAGGAGATGGATTCCATCCCTCTTCTTCCTCTGGGTCTTGTAAGCCACTTGCCCCTGGGCCTCACTCCACTCCCGAAAGCTAACCATCTCTTGCTTCCTTGCCATAGTCTCGTCCATACAGCGGGCCTATACTTCTTCACGCAGGGATTCCTTCTGACGCGTCAGGTTCTGGATGAGAAGAGCTCTTGTGCGGATCCGCCGGTAAATCTCTCTCCAGCACCATCATCCACATCAACATCAACATCCTCGAGATCATTAAAACCAACCCCACAATGCTGGTACCCCCCCACCTTCCCCAAAGCCGTCATCCTGATAATCGACGCCCTTCGCTACGACTTCACCGTTCCCCCATCCCCATCCCCATCCCCTCCCACCCCCAACCACCATACCCATATCCCCAAACCATACCACAACGCCCTCACCACCCCTTACCACCTCACCACCACCTCCCCGCAAAAGACAATCCACCTCCCCTTCCTCGCCGACCCCCCACCACCACCCTGCAACGCCTGAAAGCCCTCGTCACCGGCACCCTCCCGACCTTCATCGAAGCCGGAGCCAACTTTGCCACCACCGCCCTCACAGAAGACAACCTGATCCACCAGCTCCTCGCCGCAAACCGCACCCTCGTGCACCTTGGCGACGATACCTGGGACAAGCTCTTCCCCGGCAGTTTCCATCCGACGCTTTCACGCCCCTATGATTCGTTCTTGGTTGAGGATCTGGATTCCGTTGATGAGGGTGTTTATGGGGGGTTGATGTCGTTGTTGAGCTTGGACCAGGGCGGGGAGGGCTGGGATGTCATCGTGGCGCACTTTTTGGGCGTCGATCATGTGGGACATCGGTTTGGGGCGGGGCATGTGGAGATGGAGAGAAAGTTGAGGTGGGTGGATGGGGTGGTTGGGGAGGTGGTCGAGGCTGTGGATGCGATAAGTAGGGAGGGGAGGTGTTGTTGGTTGTGCTGGGGGATCATGGCATGGATGAGAATGGGAATCATGGGGGGGAGACGGACGATGAGGTGAGGGCCGCGCTGTGGATGTATACTGCCCGGGAGGGGGGGTTTGGGGATGGGGCTGGGGCGGGGCTTGGAGTCGAGGATACGCCGCAGGTGGATCTGGTGTCGACGTTGGCGGTGTTGCTGGGGGTGCCGATTCCGTTCAATAACCTCGGACGCCCGATTGAGGGGGTCTTCGCGGGGGATTGGAGGCGGTTGGTCGAGGTGAATCTGTTGGCTGCGGCGCAGATGGAGAGGTTTGTGAGGGAGTATGAGGGACAAGGACAAGAGGGGGGAGGGTGGGGGGACGTGCAGGTGGATTGGGGGGATGAGGAGGCGTTGAGGGAGCTGTATGGGCGGTTGAGGACGTATCAGGGGAGTGTTTTGGAGGGCTACAGGAGCGTTTGGGCCCAGTTTGATGTGTTGAAGATGGTGGAGGGGGTGGTGGTGTTGCTGCTGGGGGTTGTCGCTCTCTTGGGCTTTGATGGACAGGGAGGCTTGGGTCTGGGAGTGTCGACTGGGATGGTTGGGATCGTGGTTGAGGGTCTTCATGTCGCTGTGGAGGGCTGTTCCAGTCGTCCCATCGTGGATGGATTGATATTGGGAGCTGCGATGGGCAGTCTGGTGAGTCGCATCTGGCAGACGGGCTGGGTCTGCCGAAGACTCTGGATGATCTGGGAGTGGCAGGCAGTGGCCTTCACCCTGCTTCTCTCCATCGGGTTTGCGTCGAACTCCTACACCATATGGGAGGACCGTGTGGTTTTGTTCTTCCTCTCGACCTTTGCATTGTGCTCTCTCGGCGCGCATACAAAGCCCACACAGCAGTCTCAGTCGATGCTCTTCATGCTGCTGAGTCGGGCTGCCTCGCTCATTCGAGCCTGTCGGGAAGAGCAGCTCCCGTTCTGCAGGGCCTCGTTTTATATACTGGAGAGCAATGCCGTCTGGCGACTGTCAATGCCATTTGTGATCGCTGTGGCCGTGCTGTACACCACCAATATGACCCTTCAGAGCTCTGGTCTCAGAAAGCGACCCTGGTTTGCAATCTGTGTCCCCGTTGCGTTGGCATTCAACACCATATTCTGGACCCTGGAGACTGCTAACGAACAAGGCTGGTTAGCCGGTATCCTCACAGAGGAGATATCCAAAACACTACGCATGACCACAGCTCGAGTGGTGCTGCTTATTGCCCTGGTCGGACTGGGTCTTGCCTTCAAGCCCCGACCAGAGTCACCGACTGAACGAGCCCTCATCTTCACCACAGCAGTGCTCCTAGCAAGCATCCTAACCAGCAGCCCAACGGGTGGCCTCTCCCTGGCCATTCTCTACCACCAACTCATGAGCCTGCGACACCTCGCCCCCAACTCCCCCATCAAACCCACCATCGCCGCCCTCCTGGGCTCTCTGCACTTCTCCAGCACCGGCCACAACGCCACCTTCTCCAGCATCCAGTGGAAAGCCGCGTACATCCCATTCCGCGACCGGCAGCCTTTTCTATCTCCACTGATGGTGATCCTGAACACATTCGCTGCGCCAATCGTGTCCGCATGCGCTGTACCTCTCCTCTCTGGGCCATCCAGCACCAGCACAGCTAAACACACAGCCCGTTTACTATCCGCCCACAGCACAGTCTACGCTGTATGGACCGTCTCGACCGCGCTCTGGGCATGTCTCCTGCGGCGACATCTGATGCTCTTTGCGATATTCTGTCCGCGATTCCTCGTGGCAGCGGGGTTACTGCTGATCGTCGATGTTCTCGCACTGATAAATTCCGTCTTACTTGTCTGATGTCGCCACACTTTACAAAATCATATCACAAATCAAGCAGCTCAATTGATTAACTTAAAACGAGAGACAGCAGTTTGTGTTGACGTCAATAGGAACGAGCGAGCACATAGTTCCACATCACATCACTCAACCTAACCGGTTAACCAGCCAGCCATCAATCACTCCTTCAAATCATATCAGTTATCCCCACCGTCCATAAACCACACCATCCAGCTTCAATCTCCCAAGCACAGCGTGCTTAATTACAGTAGTGAGTCCAACAGGCCTGTATCAGTTAACATCCGTCTCATCCACACACAAGAAACCAAAAGTCTCCAAAAGTACAACTCACCCGGAAGCACTTATTCCCTCCATGGTTCCGACTGCAGCTCTATCACTTTATTAGCCCACCCTGACATCACCTAATATTTGACACGAACAAACAAAGAACACATACATTCATGCATTGCCGATACCCATTCCGACAAGCCTGCGGCTCCGGGTCTGCCGTGTCCACATCCACAGCGACGTCGTTGTCTCCCTCCGCGGCCGGAGCAGCCAGGGCCAAGGAGGCGAGGAAGAGGGCAAGGGGGATAGTGAAACGCATGTTCTTTTGCTTTCTGTCTTTTGTCTTCTTTCTTCGCTTGCTCGCTTGCTTGCTTGCTTGCTTGATTGTTATTCTCTGAGCCAGCTGAAGTACCACCCACAGACAGAAATCCAGGGACTATTTATACCCTGCTTTTCCCTCCTTCTCTTCTCTGCGTGCCATCGAGTGGGAAGTTCGTGGGAGGTTCTCGTGGCCTCTCGTGGCCTGTGGATACATTCCGACGTGATACATGAGACACCCGGCCAAACCACCGGGGTTATCTTCTGATGTCTGTGGAGGGGGTTAGAGGAGTAATGGGCATCGGATGAAGTCATTGGGAGGGGGAGGAGGAGGAGGAGGGGGAGGCAGGCAGGGAGGCTGATAGGCCGATAGGCGTGGCTGGGGTTTGTGAGAGGTGCGATGGGTGAGAAGTCAGCTTACTTCTTCTTCCTCTTGTTTTATCCTTTTGTCTTAGACTGATCTTGCGGATAGAGAGGTACCTATCTCCTCCTGTCTTGGTGATACTGACGCCATACTATACTGATACTGTAGACGGGTAAGGTAAGTATGCTCTAAGAAGGAGAAATCTTTCCGTAAACAAATACATCGTATAGCCTATATCTCCAGACAAGCTAGCTAGATAGCTAGCAGGTAGCATTCACGGCTGAGATGGCTTACCTTACCCCCCGACAGATCGGAGAATATACATGTCATGTCTGGTCGTACAGCCAGGAACTGAGTGATCCCATGAGGCGAGGGCTTCTGGGGATGCCAGGTCCTGTGGAACGGTAATCGGAAGGGATTTGGGGGTTCTGCTGGGGGGCGAATATTGTTATGCCTCTGTTAGATTTCGGGTATGGTGGTGGTGGTGGTGATGATGATGGTGGTAACGCTATGAACCTAATTGATCCCCCTTCCCCTTCTCTCTTTTGTTAGTTGGAATATGTCGGTCTTGGGATAGGATGGGGTGCTTACCATTGTTGGTTACATTGTGTGTAGAATGTAGCCTTCATCTTGAGAATGTGGTCGGTCATGGGATGGGTTCTTATATACTCCGTTTGGATACATTATGTATACCGTTATGGGATGATGCTAATTGTTGGATACATCATGTCTAGAATGGAATGCAACCTCCATCTTGGGGCTGTAGAATAATGATTATGCTTTTATGCAGTGGATGAGATAATGGGTAAGAATTGCTTATTCAGTCATATAGTAAGTGTTAACTACATCCTACCTTGAGGATCACTCGGTCCGTTCCTATTTTCTACTTTCGATCTATGATGTACTATATCTATCTATCTACTCCGTGCGCTCCCCCGAGTACCCTAATCTACCGGACACGCAGCCCGGCTGTCATAAGTACCTACCTTACCTATCTATCTGTCGCTGTTTCTTTCCATTATACAGCAATACACCCTCTCATCCATCCCCAATCCCAGCTCCAACCTGAAACCGGAGTCCTGAAACCGGAGACCCGCATCCTCAACTCCACAGCCCATCCCATCCATCCATCCATCCGGCCAGCCCGTCCGTTCGTACTTTCTGCCCACCACTCACAGCCCCTCACGCCCTCACGCCCTCACGCCCTCATCGCCCAAGAATCAGCCATCAGTATGGATAGTCAGAAGAGAGCAATGGTCGTGACAGGACAGGGATGAATGCATGGTACTTTTTCCTTCTCCCATATTACACCACACCACATAACATCACACCACACCACATCGCATCACTCCATACCATACCATACCATACCATACCATACCATATCACATCACACCACCATATATGGCCTCCACCATCGCCGCTGGTGCTAGTGCTGGTGCTGTCATATCATGTGTTGGTGTTGGTGTTGGTGGGTATTGGTATTGGTATTAATATTGGTCCTGGTAATAGCCAGATTCGGAGCCGGAGTCAGCGAGGGACATAGACAGACAGGCAGGCATACGTGTACATTTGAGATCCTTGCTGGCTGTGTTGTTAGAGGTTAGGTAGAGAAGATGAATAAAGGAGGGGCGGGAAGGGTAGATACTAGGATGAGTAGATAATAGATAATAGAAGTACATACATAGCAGACAGACATGGAGACCTGAAACGGCTCATAGATAAGACAGTTGGCCAGCAGAGAGTGTAGAAGACAATCAAGACAAACAAAACAGTTTAAGCAGCTAACAGCACATGTCATGTCATGTCATGTCAAACATGACATCCCATTTCATCCCATCCCATCAAGCAAGCAAGCAAGCAATCTCATCCCGTGTGTCTAGACTCTGGACAAGACCAGGTATGTATGTACACTGGGATTTGGGCTGGGGGGCAAACAAATAAATCATCTATTTACCTATCTACCTGCCTGTCTATCTAGCTTACTATATAGCTAACCACTCTATATCCTGTCACCTGTCACCTGTCACTGTGCTATAGGACGTTATATGGTAGGAATATAGGCATGGAATAGCGAAGGAATGGAATCCAGTCAAACATCGAACAAACATCGGCATCCCACGGTCCCACCACTTATGTCGCGAGCCGGTATCCGGTGTCATGTCTTTGCTCTGGTTCTGTCGTTTATCGAGTCTTGTTTATTTGCTTAGACTGGCTGGCTGGCTTATGTGACTGGGTTGGATTGCTAAGATAGACAGAGTAAGCTAGTTAGTCACTATGTAGATGTTATTAATAATATTGTAGCTACCCTACTTTATCCTACCTACCCTCTTACACAGTACCTACTTGGGTAGATAAATAGTACATAGGTAGATAGACAGACAGATAGGTGCCTTACTATATACACATACAAGCCTCTAATTATTAATATAATGTAGTTACCTACCTAAGTAACCACCTCCGTCCCCCTTACCCCTTCTCCCCTCCTCCCCTCCTCATCAGTGTAATCACCATCCCAACCCCATGGAACCCGTCTCATCATATCTATACATCCCTACATACATACACACACACCACCCACCTCCTATGCTCACAAACCCCAACACAGCACAACACAACACAACACAACACACAATCCAGCAAGCCACCGGCTACGATTTCCACCGCTAATTCCCCGAGCCTTGTCGCTTCGTCAGTCGTCACACTGTCACATTGTCACCTCACTTCGCCTCACCACCCTTTCTTGTCGCTTGCTTGCTTGCTTGCTCACTCACTCACTCACCGGGAATTGTTGGTGGGGAAGAAAGAGTCGGGGATAGAAAAGATAGGAGATAGAAGGCGTTTGTACATCCCTACATACTCGATCCTGGCTATCTATCTATCTATATATATATATATATATATATATATATATAATATATATATATATATATATATATATATCTGGTTATTCTATTTGGGATTGTATATATAAATATACGTATATCCAGCCATGGCAGGAATGGAAGATGCTCATAGGTACTCCTCCTCATCGGGAGTGATTGGATTGGATAGGTATGTAAGATGTTGGTAATATTTACCATACATATTCCAGCTCCTGTAAGGTAACTAGTAAGTATACTTACTGTATGGCTGTCACGATGTATGTATAATACCGGCGCGATGCTGACTATCTTCGGTTAGAGGTATTTGGGCATATGTATATTACAGGTGTTGTGTATGTGTATTGTGTATTGTTCTTGTATGTATGTACTGCTGTATGGATGGATGGATGGATGTATATCTGACGGGTGGGAGGGAGATAGGTATACCCCCTCCCATCTTGGTGTAGAAGATCGAGGCAAAGTGATAGAACTGAATGAGCAGAACAGATGAAAGATACTATGGATGTAGCATTACATTAGGTTGGTTGGGGCTTGGTCTGGTTGCCTTGTGAATCCTGTGCTGTGCTGTGCTGTGATGTGGGTGTCCTGTCCATCACCCATCATCCGTCCATCTATTTCATTGTTGCTGTTACTGTTACTGCTGTAGCTGTTGTTGTTGTTGTTGCTGCTGCTGCTGTCGTTGTTGGTGGCATAAAGCAATACTCATGTCGTACAACTGTTTTAAGTAGACCATGTTCTTGTCTCTACTCTACTAACCCAGTACCTTGTCTATACCCAGGGATGTAGGTCAACAGTCACTCTAATCTCAATCAGATGACCTCCTCCTGCCATCGCAGTACTCCGTACAGCAGTAGCGGTAGACAGTCAATCCGAATCAAATAACCATGTATCTAGCTACCAGCCACCATCTAGTATAGTAAGCAACCAAGCAACCAAAGAAATAAAGTAAGCTGCTTATCCGACTGTTAGCAAGCATGTTGGCAAGCAAGCATTAGATAACTACCTAAAGTAACTACCCATCCCTCACCTATAACCCGTCCGCTAAGAGCGATACCCCGAATCCCCGATGTCACAGACGGAGGATGATGTGCCGACATCCGGCCCAAAATAGATTGGCTTGCGTGGGATGGATGCGTCGGGTATCCCGAGCCTTTGGTGGCCCACTTGTCTGACTCTGGGGCCTGGGGCCTGGGGCCTAGCCTAGGGGCGGGCTAGATAGGGCTAAGTACGGAGTAGATGGATATTATCTGTCTGTCTGTGTGTCTGTCTAGCTAGCTGGTTAGTTAGTTAGTTAGCTAGTTAGGTAGGTAGGTAGGTAGGTAGGTAGGTAGGTAGGTAGGAGGTAAATGGATAGGTATAGTAGAGAAGCAGCCAGTCGACCTAATATCATAGTACTCTAACCTACTCCGTCGTCCGTACTCTACTCTAGATATCTATCTTACCTTACCTACGGAGTACTAGATAGATAGATAGACAGACAGATAGTAAGTAGGCAACCCGTCCCTTCCCTCCCCCCGCATCCTTCCTTCCCCACAGCCGACCATCTAGACCTTTCTTCTGCCCCCCCCACCCCCCCCCCAACACGAGACGGGGATTGATCCATCATTCTCACCGGATGACAGGACAGATCCCTCTGCCCGGTGGGAGTGACTGGAGGCACCCAATGCTGCCTGGTGGCATGGCCTGATAGCCGAGGTGTCGGGATCGTCAATCCGGCAATCCGTCAATCACCAGGAAGCAAGCGAGTGAGCAGGCATGTATCGAGCAACAGGAGCAGCAGGAGGATATATTGTACACGACGCTAACTGGCTCACCTAATTATTCGCTCTAGCGCCGTTCTCGTCCATCCGTGTTGTTTTGTTTTGTCTTGTCTCGTCTTATCCCATGATTCCCATCCATCCATCCCGTCCCATCCAGATCAGACCAGACAGACAGATATCCATATCTATCTCTAGAGTCCAGCAGTAACTCCGTAGATAGTCCAGTATCCAATATCCAGTATTCCAGATTCCCCATCCACCCACGCGCCCGCATCCAAACAAACTGCCACCTTACCTAACTACAATCGCAACTGACTAAATACCAACTAACCAACTCACTAACTATCAGCTAAATAACTAATCAACCAACTAACTAACTCACTAACTAACCCCCCCCCCTTTTACAACATAAAATAATATACCCATATCCATCCATCCTTTCTCAAAATTCAACTCTCCCAATCCCGTTAGCCCACCCAGTCCGTCCCTGGTTCCAGAAACCGGTTTTCTGCGCTTTTCTTCTTTCGCTTCCCGGAAGCTTTCTCCTCTCGGGCCTGATTTGACTGCCGATTGTGATCATCTATCCGCCGTACTGTACGGTCGATGGGATGGGATGGATGAGTTGCTCGCGTCGGGTCGGAGGGCTCCGTCCGTCTTGTCTTGTCTTGTCTTGGTTGTTTCCTACCTACTTACTTACCTACCTACCTACCTACCTAGATACCTACCTTACCTGTTTGGGTTGACAATTCAGTTTCTGGATGGGGGTTAAAGGGGTGATCGTGATCTTTATTTTTCTGAGGGTGGTTGATGCTTGATAGGGTGAGGGTAGGTAGGTAGGTAAGTAAGTGGTTGGAGTTCAGTGTGAGTGTGCGAGTGTATCTACCTCGGAATACTGATAGATGATGGGATAAATACTGTAGCGCAGGTAAGTTTGTTTAGGTATGTAGATAGATAAATATCCAGAGAGTGAGTAGTTAAGTATGACTGACTGACGAACTACCAAACAACACCGCGACAAGCGACCGTCCGTCCGTCCCGGTCGGTCGGTCTCTCTCGGTCAATCCCTACCTTCTCTTCTCTAGTCAGTCGGAAACACACAAACTAACACACACACACACACACGCTACCCAAATCGGGTAGATGGAGTCGGCCCACTCGTGTATCCATCGAAATCCTAGTCCTTTTACGGAGTACCCAGTAGATATCTAAGTAAGTAAGTATCTATAGTATCTAGCCTAGACTAGATAGACTCTAGTCCTGACCTGACGTGCTGTTGCTGGCCCGTCTCTGCAGTCTGTAGTCTGCCCAGCCCACCGCCCAGTGCCCGGACCACCAAGCTCCAATTCCAATCTCATCTCCAAAAAGCGAAGAGTCGCGAGATATCGATCTACTGTGTTCTACTGTATATACTGTTTCAGCCGTCGATCCTTGGCTGACGTTATGCCGTAAACCAAACCAAATCAAAAACAAATCAAACCAAATCAAAACAAATACAAAAAAGCAAAGAAAATGAAATAAAAGGAAGGAGTGGGAAGGAGGAGGAAAGCTCCAGACAATAAAGATAGACCGGGCATATCAGGGGTTCAACAATGGGCCAAGGTGCAAGCCTTTTCCGAGCCACGCGCCAGTCGGCCCTCGGCGTCCTTGTCAGCTGTTAGCTGTGAGCTGTGCTTGTTAGCTGTTGGCTGTCAGCACGGGATTGTTTCGCGGGATCGGCACTGCACGCTGCGCACTGCGCACTGCGCCCTTTATCACACGGGATGGGATGAGGCAGGGACCGGAACAGTACAGGGACTGGGCGATTAGTGGAAGTAAGCTGGCTGGGCATTGATCACCTCTCAAATAAATACATTCAAGCCCCGGTGGTGAACTTCAAACCATCCCATCGGCCGCGCGGAGAGATAATAGAGGAGTTGCATGGAAGAGGTAGAGAACTAGAGAAGTAGTCACATCAATTGCAAAGGTATCAAGATACGACAAAACACCGTTCCACAGCCGCGGGCTGGGATTCAACTGAGCCAAGATATCACACTCCGTGGCGAAAAAAAAAAAGAAAAAAAAAAGAAAAAAAGAGTAGCACAACCGGCAAGAGACGCCGTGGGCATGAGATGACGCAAATTAGGTGGGCAAAGGGGAAGGGGGCTCGTAAATGACAGTCATGATGGGGCATCACACAAAATTCACTCTCTCGTTAAACTCCTAGTCTGAAACATTTCCCTGTCGAAATTCGCATGGCGCTGGCCCGATGCGTCTGAATGCATATATGCTGCCGTCGGAGCAGGTCCCTCCGCATCCCCGTCTAGCCTATCCCCAGGAACCGCCAGTCCGTCCCCTCGGGTTGGTCCAGCACCCGAGTCGGTGGTTTGATATCGTGGTCGTACGCGAGCATCATCGGCTGCCCCCCGCCGGTGGACACCCCCGCATAGTTATGCTGGAACTCCGGCGGTAGATACCCCTGCCGCGTGGGATCATATCGCTGCTGCACGAGCTGCATGTATTGCTGCTGCGCCCGCTGCAGCTCGATCGGCGAGGGCACAATGTGATGCTGGATGTCCACCGGCGACGTGACCGGCATGTGCTGCGGGACGCTGACCGGCGACGTGACCGGGATGTGGTGCGTCACAAGGGGTTGCTGCTGGACTGGCGGGGGTTGGTGGACGGGGGGGATCTGCGAATAGAACTCATGCGTTGGTGTCGAGGTATGAGGGTAGAAGGGTTGCTGGGCCAGAAAATACTGATCATGTGCAATCGTGACAGCGACGGGCGCTTGGTAGGAGTGTTCCGACATCAAGTCCTCCGAGGGCAGTCGCGTCATCGACCGCCGCGGGTGGGAGCGGTTTTGGTGCTTCGTTAACGTCGTCTTGCGACAGAAGCTGCGGCGGTTGTTAGCATGCGGTCATGGCCATCAATCAATCAATGTCGGAACCACCCCGTACCTGCGCTCACACGTCGGCTCATGGCAGATATATGGCCGCCGGCCCGTATGGATCCGGCGATGCCGGGCTAGACTGGACGACTGCAACGGTCAGCACATCGATCACCTGTAGTGACGGGTCAGCTAGGCAAGACATACGTCAGAAAAGGCCTTCTGACATCCTCGGTGGTCACAGACATGAGGCTTTTCCCCTGTGTGCGTCCGCGAATGCACCGTCAGGGCACTCCGCTGGATGAAACTCTTGTTGCAGTCTTTGACCGTACAGTGGTACGGTCGCTCGTTGGTGTGGATCCGGAAGTGTCTGCAGAGATCCGATTTGCGATTGAAGGACTATGCCCGTTAGCCCGGAGCTACTCTATGGCCCAGGGGAGAGAACCCCAACGGACGGGAAGGCATACTTTTCCACACTGCTCCCAGGAGCAGTTGAAATCACGTCCATTTCCAGGGGCCATGGCCGCAGAAGAGGGGCGAGAGAACTGCTGTTTTTGTCGAGGCGGGACCTCGATACGGGGACCGCGGGGCGGTGATGATAACAAATGACCAAGCCAAGGCTCGATCCAGGAACACACGCAAGGCACAGATAATCACAAAGAACAGACACAGACAGAGAGAGAGAGAGAACGTTGAATCGGATGTGGGGGGAAAACAATCCAGATCAAAGAAGGGGGAGGGGGAGGGAGGGGGCAGGCAGGCTCTCGGAGAGAGAGGCACGCTGTGGTGGGAGAGGATAGGGGAGCGAGGCGGGAGAGAAAAAGAAAGAAGAGGGAAGGAGGAGAGGTCTGGACAAGCGGAGGGAACAGGAATGTCACAGCAAGTTAAGTCCGACGGCATGCAGCCTCAGCAACAATCATTGGAGGCCGGAGGCAGGCAGGTCGATTGGCAGCCAAGTCGCAGGCCGGATGATGGATCAAATGGGGAAGCGCAGCGATGGGCTGAGGCTAGAACATGACAGCGCTGGGTGTCCTCCGTATTGTCGGATCGGATCTAATAATAATAACGATGCCAGCGATCCTGAAACCAGAGTGCAACAAAGCTGTTCGGGCCGGGCGAAGTTGCAACACGGGGGTGATACAGAGAGACAGCAGGGAGGCAGGCAGAAGTGGTGGTGGTTGCTGTGATTATGTAGTTTGGTTGGTTTGGTGGTGGTTGCCAGGTACCATACAGTGGTACACACACGGTACGGGTACGGTGACCTGGGGTGGGTGTGGGTGGAGTTGGAGGGGAACCGGAGCTGGAGCCGGCTGGAGCTGGAGCTGGAGCTGGAGCTGGAGAGGAGACGGACGGAGATGGAGATGGAGATGGAGATGACAGGAAAGATGGGACGAAGGGAAAAGAAATACTGGGGGGGCGTCGGGAGAAGGATTCTGGCGCGCGGTATCAAAAAGAAAAAAAAGGAGCCGACGAGGGAAAGAGAAGCTGTTGTTCTGCTTTTCGCCCTTTTGTTTTATTTTTTCATTTTTTCCCTCCCTCTCGTGAGGAGGTCGTGTATTTTATAAACGCCGCATCTCTCCCTCTACCTAGTGGGTACCTAGTCACTACTCCGGGCTGCTCAGCTACCTGACTCCGGGCTCCCTAGTGGATGGATGATTGGGAGGAGGAGGAGGAGAGGGGGGGGGGTGATATGATAGAATAATATAATCCTGATTAAATCGAAATCATAATATAAGACCGAAAAAAAAAAATATAAAAATACCTACCTAATCAAAATAATAATAAATAATAATAAAAACCGGATTAATCCATTGGAACCTTCTGCTCTACGGCTCCGGCGCCCTCCAGACGGTGCAGTGGAGCTTTCGACGCCAGTAACCCAGGATGGTTAGCCGGGGAAGAATCGCCCACACCTCCCTGTAGGACGGGGAGTCGTCGGTAAGTAAGTAGTAAGTAGTCTTCTACAGTTTACTACCCCTACCCCGGACAGATTGGGCCAGAGAGGAGTTGACGCCGGAAATTGCAAACCCAGTCACGGCCAGGGAAACAAAAGCAACCAAAACACCGAACATTATTACTAAACCAAAACAGAGCCGAATAAAAAAACAGTACAGAACAAAACCCCAAACTCTGAGGAGGCGATTTGCCTACCTAGGAATTGGGCCACCGTTTTTTTTTTTTTCCCACCCCACTCCCCCCGTTACTGGACATGGGTTCGCTGTATCGTTGATGTACCTAAGTACTAGATACATCCGGGCAATCTGCCCCCCCCTCCCCCCTCCAGCCCAGGGACCAGCGAGTCCTCCAAGCGGCGGCACTTAATTTAGGAATCTCCATAGGACGTAAACTGACAGGCCAGACAGATGTCTGGGACGTGGGACGGGGGTCCCACTGTCGATGCCCTGGGGAAAGGAGGAGTCAAGTTGATGAACGGACAGCTGGGACTACGACAAGGTTAGCTAGCCTGCCAGTGGTCCAGTAAGCAGCAACAGAGTTACCCAGTAACCCAAGACCCCAAGCAGACCCAAGGTTCCAAGGCTCATCCTCCCACCTCAACGGACTGAACCGTCCTCCGGTCAAGAGGGGGACCCAAGGCCCCACCGGCCTCCGCCTGTGCTTCAGAACCGCAGGATATAGACTCGGCCAATCAGCGCGTCCCGGGGAAGAGCCTGGCCTTGGAACAAATCGGCTAGTCCGATTGGGGCCTAGCGTCCTGCCTCGTCGTCGACATACTCGACAGTTCCGCTAGTACCACCCCCGTACCGTATCTGGGATGCTCAAAGTTACCGGCAGGTACCGTACGCCAACGCGTATGTATCGTCTATACTCCGTCGTACCTGCGATCTTTCACCGGCGTCTCCAGTCTCCATCCAGCAGGGTTCGATGATTCGATCTTGCTTCCCTGAACTTCTGGAGCATCCTTCATCCTCCGCAGTCATCGGAAATGACGCTCGTCAACCATGGCATTTCCAACAGAGCCATCGACGGATACAATGGCACTCCCAAAGGAGTCAGAGCTCAGGTGTCTCACGGCAGGGTGACTCGAATCCAGCAAGCAGTGTCTGCGTACAGGAGCGTCTGTCCTACCTGGCAGGCAGGCATACTATACTACCACCACCGTGTATGTACCCCGTACTGACGAGGTCTGGGGCTATCAACCGATGGAGCTACTACTACTACTACTACTACTACTACTACTACTACTACTACTACTACTACTACTACTACTACTACTACTACTACTACTACTACTACTACTACTACTACTACTACTACTACTACTACTACTACTGCCTTACTATATTACTAACTACTATACCTAGGTACACTACCTACCTACCGGAGTTTCTACATACATCAGTCTGGTATTTCGGGTATCTGCGAGCCCCCGCCAAGGTAAGTACGGCCATACATCGTATCTCCCGCCAATCCTGGCGGTAATAATGGGGGATTACCAAAGTGATAGACATTGATTGACACTGATTGACATTCATCCATGGCAGACGCTGTGCTCTCCAAACGACGGTGCTGGAATTAAGTTCCTGACGTTTCTGGGAACCTCGGTACCAGCACTCTGGTCTGCAGTCTGCAGAGTGCAGCGAACAAGGCGAAGGGCTTCTCCCCAAGGGAGAAAATGAACAATGGCAGCCGGTCAGGCAGGCAGACAGCACACACCCGGAAATTGTCAGCAAGGGATAGCAGCGATGCGACAACTGCGGAGGTGTGGCTTTTCCCGTTTCGGGAAGCGATGAAACTGGGCCAGAACCCCCCAAATCCCAGGGCCCAGGGTCCTCGAGGCTCGACCTGCCTCACTCCGGACAACGACCGTCCTACTTACCTTGCCTACTTGGGTAGTAGGTCGACCGTCGCCATGATACCCTCATCCGCTGTCATTGGACGTGGGTATTGGTGGTTATCTTCCTGAGGTGGACCAGCGAGGCCGACGCTACGGCATTGAAGGTGACTTTTGCTGCGGCTATTCTACCGATTCGATTGCTAGATGACAGTCGGACACAAACTCAAATGCGGCGCTTCAACAAGCCTCTCTATCCACGTCGGCTTCATACTGGTGACTGGTGAGTGCAAGGCCTGCCATACCCCACGTGGCGGCTCCAAGAGGCATCCGAGTCGTAAGTCGCGAGTCTTGGAGGTGATTGCTCCATCAGCAGCCATCAGACCAGACCCAGCCTGTCGCCGTCCCGCGCCCCCTCCTTCCGCCCGTCCACCGCGACGGCGACGGGTAGTTTTTTTTTTCGCCCTGGATCATCACGAGGAGCTCCGACGCCAATTAAGCTCAGGGCGATCAGCTAATTGCTCGGGAAGCTGCAATGATAACATATGAAGGGACGTGCTGCCGCTGCTGAGCGCCCCGGTGAACACCTTCGTACCGATGCACCAGGAAATGAGTACGCCTCTATGCCCTTCAGCACCGTCAGAAAACCACATGGCGGGATCTGCCAGCTGCGTTATCTGCGACCACGGAGCGTCGTGAGGCTGCTTTGAATTCGAACCCGACTAGGCCTGGTGGAGCTCGATAGTGGCAGCGGGTCAAACCCATGGAACAGCTAGACGAAAGGCAATCGCTTCCCGCGTTTTATCAGTCAAATGCCGACCAATGCACTTAGACTTCGGCCACTCATGGGTTGGACCCTGGGATCCAGAGATCCATCAAGCGTGAAGAATGGGTGCCCGCGATAGCGATCATAACAACTGGTAGTATCTTAATCCCCCCGCGCAATCGATAGATCATCGTCTGCAGCGATAGAGTTCCTTCTCCTCGGGATTCAACAAACCATGAGCTTTCTTTTGGCAGTCAACATTCCAATTCCCCCTCCCTTCCCTCCGTCGAGTCTGGCAGTTTGACTGCTGCTCGGGATTTGCACGATCGGGGTGGCCGGTTTCTACGGAGCTTATACTTAGCACCCTTGGCTATTGCATCTGGTCAGCTTGGCTCCCAAACTATCCCCAGTAAGTACGCCGTACAACGTATCTCGACTCCGCCCGTGAACCACCTTGCCAAGAGAATCATCCTGATTGAAAGGCGCTACCAAGCCATGGCTGTTGACAAGCGTGCGGCGTGGTAGAATTTTGCTGCCGAGGAGGCTCGTATTTCCCTTCCCCCCCCCTTCTTTGACCGGCCCGGCGCTTCTGGGGCCCAGACGCCCTAAGGCTCCTAGCGGCGCGGTGGGCTCATACACAACTGCGGGCGCCATCCAGACTGGAACGCGAGTCATTTCAGATCGCCGAGGAAGCTCAAAAATGACTTCGTCGTCATCCTGGAGGGGTCGTACGTGTAAGCGCCTGGTCGGTCATCCACCCCAACAAGGGAATCCCTCTAGTCCTAACCGACCCGGTGAGGAGGATGAGTCAAGGCCTAGCCGCGGTGGCCCCCGTCATCTTCCGATTCTATATTCCGTACACATTTGGTAGGGCCGTACCAAGCGATACGGGTGGCAGCTAGTGAGGCCGTTCGACTTTCGAGGACCTTGGCCGAGTGGGATGGATGGATGCACCGCCCAAGAGACTAACCTCCCTGCCCCTGCTTGTACCGAGTACCTCCGCAGTATCCAGGGAGTACGGGGAGCTACTTGGGTTCGTTACCTCCTCACGTACGCATACGTACTCACGCCAGGCTCCCAAAATGAGGTATCCCCGTGCACCAACCCAGCTTCCCTAGTTGTCTGTCAAGCACGCCTAGCGGCCCCCATACTTCTGGTATAGGGTTATCTAGTCCGGTGCCACCGTACATGGCAGCTCTCCATCCTGGCCCCCCATTCAGAACCTTACTGGCTCGCCGGGTCAATGAAAGGGCGAAGGTGACAGTTGGCCGCATTGCTGGGGATGCAGGAGTGACGCCGGGGCTTGCGGCGTGCTGTATGTGCATCGCCGATCCTCAGGACCCCAAAAAGTGGACGGGCTAATGGCGTGACGTTCATGTGGCAGTTGAGTGGGAAGGAGGGAGACCGGAGGTGCGATTACGAATGCGCGCATCCTGCCTAATTATCCGCGGGAATTGGTGCATCGAGAGAGACGCCGCGACAGGCACCAAAAGAAATTACGAAGGGAAGGACAGTCGGCAAATAGACGTCCGAGGACACGAAATCATCGAAATGGGGCGCGAATCCCCGTCGCAGAGCAGTCGATAGTCGATAGTCGATACATGCTACTTGCTCCACTTCTCCGATCGATTTCCGGCCAGCTGCCAGCAAACGGGAATGTGTGGGAAAAACATCCGAATGGAGGCAGCGACAATGGACGGTTCGCAGTTCTTTCCTTCCTTCAGGGCCGCTGGGTAGACAATGACGTCGATCTGCTTACAGCTCCCATCAATCTGACACGCCAGCTCTAAACCCAGGCACCTGGGTCGATGGTTCTTCCGCAGCGCCCGTCGCCGTCGCAGGTCGGAGGCATCATGTGTCGGACGAATCCATCGGGTTCACCCACCAACGAGTCACTCGTCCATCCACCCACCCCTGGCAGCAACTGACGTAGCGGAGGGGGAGACACGCGGGCTGAGACGAGCTTGACCGTGATCAGAGTCTGCTGCTGGGAGCTACCCAGGATGCGGATATGATTCGCGATCCATAAGCTGTATGAGGGGATGGGATGGGGGTCATGCATGACCACGCCGCAGCCGCTGAACAATGAATGAGCTGCCAGGGAATGAAATTGAACTGCGAATCCGGCTGACTAACGGCAGGATCCGTCGCTTCATGCCCCATCCTAGCCTCGCCGTGTCCTCGCAAGTGCAACAACCAGGGACGGCGATAATAGGGTCATGTCTGTCTGCCTGGTTTCCCTGATCTTGATCCTGGCACTGGCCGGTGGTCAGGCAGGCGGTCAATAATCTGTCGCCTCATCGATTCGCTCGATCTCGCGGGAAATAGGATCCCCCCTCGTTGACTCGTCCTTGGCCTCATCTTTCGGGTCGCTCTTATCAGCGCCAGCCAGGATCAATTGGTTGCCTTCGACTAGTTGGCTAGCGATGGCCAGTACCCCGCATTGTAGGAGAGGATTTTCAGTGCCAGCAGCGCTCGTCACACGCGGGTTTCGCAGCAGCAGTAGCAGCAGCAGCAGGAGAGGATGGCCCGACTACGGAGTAGTGTCTCCTACTCCTCCTCTCCCGTCGTCACCGAAGAAGCTAACGAGGTCGCTCGTTGCTGCCCGTCAGCGCACCAGGCCAAGGAAAATCGCCATCCGATGCGTCTTATGATGGCCCCCGTCGCTACCGTTATCATTGGAGGCGCACCGAATGACGCGCAGCAGGCCGTCGACGGCCGGGTTAGGCGCTAGCAGTCAGTGGCCGGTTGCACTTCAGAATGAAGTTCCAGTTGTCCTGTCCCAGAAATTCTTGGGCGGCGGAGCTTCGATGCTCCATAACAAATCCACCCAGGGGTCGCGCCGGCGTTGGGATGACCCATTCTCCGCGTCCCCGTCCACACTAACCCTTTACACTACCCGTACGCGACCACACACTATCTATCTAGAGCATGCTGGGGAACAAGTCCATTGTGCCAGATCACTGCCAACCACATGCGACGCAGGCTCGGTCCAGAGTGCCAGCCAACCAATTTCATCAGCTATTCCAGTCTCCGAGGTGCTGCTGCTTTCTGACGATGCTAGACATACATGCGTCGGCACATCGGACGATAGGCACCTAGTGCCCAGTAAATCTCCGATTTGCATGCCCCATGAAGCGAAACGCTATGTCGAGCTATGGCCACGCACGCCTCTCGCCCAAACGGCTGCTCTCGGCCCGGGGTGATGATGGAGGGGGGGGGGGTAGTAGTCTCAGTCGCGACATTTACGCTCGAATAGCAACGGCCGCTGTCCCCAGTAGCGAATGATGACCAAGCATGATAGCCTTATGGGAAGCCAAGAGCGGGCGTCAGTTCGATCAGGCAGTTTCCCCTCCTTCCCTCCCTCCTTTGATGATCACAGCCACGGAGACTTTGGTGGCATCCTGGGCTGGAGAGGCCAGTCGTAAGCCGGGAAATCCCCAAGTGTCGGTGAGTCCTCGTCTCGCAGGTAATGGGCCGTTTCTACGGAGTACCTTCCTTCCTTCCTTTGTTTGTTTTTTCTTTTTCCGTTGGCGTGTCGCCGGGGATCACCTCCAGACATCCCGTCCGCAATCCCCAGATAAGCGTGGGCTCTAGCCCCCTTGCAGGCGCCGGGCTTTGATGCGGTCTGGAATGTGGAATAATTGGGGGGGGGGGGGGGGAAGTGGATGGATCGATGGAGTTACTAACTGGTTCATCGGTCCATCGGGATTGCTGACCACTTTGTCTCGCTTGCAGTGATCGCGTCGCCATCAGTTTAGCCACGGATGGCACTATCCCCCGTCTCCTGCTGATTCGGGTCATTCATCCTATTGGGGAGACGGCCTGATTGGCCCCTCCGTGTGTTAGGGACTCCCGAGGACAGCATACGATCTGATTGATCTCCTGTGAACTTTAAACACCGTGATCCGACAGGCGCAGCTTCAAAGTGGCTGTGTCTCATCCTGGTCCTCGTTTCCACCCTGACAGGCTGGACGCGCTCACATGGCTTTTGCCTAGGCGCGCCCATCGGTCGGTTGCCGAGTCTCCCCCGGAGGAAGTAGGGACAAATAATGGGACATGACAGGCCCATTGTGCCAACGGATTGGCACCTTGGTGGTTTCTGTCGGCGCCTCGCAATTGTGGAATCCCAAATCCATAGCGCATTTGGCTGCTCGCTCCGTCTACTCCTTCTGACGCCTGTCAGATTGATCTAACTTTGTCTTTGCGGGCTGTCTGACTCGTACCGTGGGGGGGGGGGTATCTAATTCTAGATACCAGCTACCATCTACCATCCTCCTGGGTCCTTCGGGGTAGGTGGGTGGGTATCGAAGCTACCCAGAAAGGGCAGTAAACAGGGCCACAGTCCACCGTGATTCTAGCCCGAGCTCTTTACACTCTGTCGCTGTCACCCAGAGCTTCTCTCTGTAGGGAGAACTGTACCTTGCCACCGGGTCGATACAATACGATTGTCGGCCATAGATACCACTCGTCTTACAGGTGGCCAAAGTCTAAGGATGTAGGTACTCGGTATGGTAAAAATGGGTATATTTCAATACCTATACGAACTCTATTCCCGCCACACGCATCCCATCCTCCGGTCTAGAGCCTCACCTCCCCATCACATCGCCGTTCGTCCAACCCCGTCTGTTAGTTCTTCGGTCTTTTGCTTGCATCGCTGTCTTATAGCCGCCCGCCTTTTCGTTCGTTCGGTCGTTCGTTCGTTCATTCCATGCAAAGGTACCACCGTCCCGCCTGACTGGTATACTGTGCGGCATTTGCCTTGCTGCCTAGATACTATTTTTATGTAGTGCTTTTGATACCTACTTACTTACTTGTATCCATCGTGATAGTCTTTCTTATGTCTGTTCGTAGTGCATAAAACTTCTCGGCCGGCATTCATCCAACTCTGAATATGGTTTTGGGCTACAACTTACCCAGAGAAGCAGCCATGTCCTTGGTGGATGGGTATGTGTCTATCAGGGAAATTGCTGTTTTTGTAAGATGATTGATAAATTACTACGGAGTATGTAATTGGCATATCGCGGTCCTCCAATGCAGATATATTCATATTATCGCGCTGGGCGGTGGCGATAAGGGCACCTTGTCACTGGATTTAAAGCATACTGTGCTGTAGATCGATCGCTGTTACAATCTGCCTAATTATATATAAGATAGTCTTTTCAATCCTAACCCCTAACTCATCCCACCCTTTTCAACGATGACCTGGACAGACACATACATGTGTCATGTATGCGTGTTATTCGACATCGTTCCTTAACTTGAGGAACACTATGACTGACTGTTTGCTCCAGGTTCGGGGAGGGGTTTTTTCTGAATGATTTCGCTATCAGAAACAGCTTTTTGCGCTGCGGGATATGTTTTGTCTGTCTGTCTGTCTGTCGTGCTTCCTGTGAAATCCATGGATATATTGATTTATTCTTCCGTCTGGAGTCTGGATATCATGGTCTTCTGGGTATATTTGTATCTAGGATACTTAACCTCCCTCCGGTCTCAAAAACACATAATATGGAGTGCCTTGCGTCCATGGACCCTAGACTATTGATTTGGCGTGTTTGCATTTGCCGTGGAAGATGGGTAGGTCAATAACAGGTGTAATTGCCTCGATTTGGAAACTTCCCGCGAAGAGTTCCGTGACCATCTACCTCTAGTTCAGAGATAGGTAGATATGAGTCACCTATGTGTAGGGTAGTTGCTACTTTATCTCGAGGTGTGTCTGTCGTACCAGATGGAGACGTTGGTCGGCTTGACAGCTGTTGTTTAACCAGATTGGTTGGGGTAGGAGTAGGTGTGTACTATAAGTTGGTAGGTCCTTTGCGATGTGTACCCTATCACAACAGAGATATTGAAGAATGAAGCCATTATCATGGTTTGGATGTATATCTACTGCACTGCTGCAATGTCCTCGGTGCAGGTCAGGTGCTGAGTCCTTGAATGTTGTTGGTCATATATTCTTGAAAGGTGTTTGACGCTGATCTGTTCTGTTCCAGAAGGATCGTTATGATAGTCTGTTGTGTGAATGATCGTCCCGTTAGATAGAAATTGTAAAACCGGACTCGATCCGGGCAACGTTATCCAAAGTGTACATACGAGTCAGCAGGGTCAACCCAGACCGCTTGGATCCAGAGCATAGCCAGGAAGATGACCGTCCTGTGCTCTGTTGTGGTGGCAAAATCCCACGTGGGTGGGATGGACTTTGCTCGTTCTGCTGAGGCTGGGCTATCCATATCTTCCATTTTCCATTAACTACTGATGGTTTTGATAAAGGGGGTCTGTATTAAGAATGGAAAATGATGAGCCGTATTTTTTGCATCGATCTATCCAGAATCACCCGGTGAAAGGACAAGTCACTGAGTTTGAGTATCTCTAGTCCTCAACTTTTGATAGTGATCATGGAACCTGAATCTGAGAAGTCCTGGTTGTCCCGTTTATATTCTGGAAATCGTATATTTGGGTTCCGATGCGTGGTTCTTTCCGCTCTGGATAGAAGCCAGGAAGTGACTTGTCGTTCGCTTGGTCTTCAAGGGAGGGGGGAGTTGATAGTCTTATGAGAATGATACTTATCTGATATATTCTCATCATCGCATCGATAGCTGTTTTCTTTATATCTACCCCGAAAAGATGCACGTGTAGATCCAGGCAGACGAGCTAGGCTGGAAGGAATTATGAGCAAGGTAGGTATATCTTGGAGGTCGTGTTCTGGGTATTGCTGTATTGGGGAGTTTGGTTTCCCATGGTGTTATGGCGTGATGTTTGGGTGTGATAGTCCCCTGTTTTGGCTTTGAAGATGGGCTTTATCTAGATATGAACCCATGTCTGGATATCTGGGGCCTGGTTGACAGGACTAGGAGGGATGCGAATGAGAGAGAGAGAGGGAGAGAGAGGGAGAGATGGAGATTGGATTTTATAGGGATGAAATAAGGGATATCATAGCTGCTTAATGGAATTCACGTCCATCGATGTGAATGGCCTTGATTTTGATTGAGTATTTCACTATCTTAACTATACCAGTCTGTGACACACATATATATATCATGATGTAGTAAATAGCATCAAAATGATATTATTAACTCTTTCACGGACTATCCAGGGATCTCATTACGAGGGAGCATTCCCACTGAACTAAACGATAGCTCAAGCTATGTATATTGCCCTGAATCATGATATCCCATGATCTTATTGCACTAGGGCAAGAAAGTGCTCTACCAATAATCCATCCACCCCATCACACCTCAAAAGACACCACCATCTACCATCCATTCCCTCGCCAAATAGGCCAAATCCCAAATCCAGCAAGCCTAACCAGTCCAAAAGCAGTCAATAATTCCTCACGGACATGATTAGTACCACTACCACCACACCCACACCCACACCCCCTTCTTCATGCATCACCGATCCTGCAATACCCATCTCCCTCATTTAATCAAATAGACTTTCTTCTTCTTTTCCTGCTCACCTCTTCCATACCCATTTATCTACTTACCTACTTACCTACCTACCTGCCTACCTGCCTATCCATCCACCCAATCTACGCCATCATACATACCCTCGCATTTATTAACTTCGCCCCCCCTCAGCCCACCCTTCCCACTGTAGCCGACTAGACCCGCCCCCAGTACAGACTGAGTACAGAGTACAGTAAGTAAGACCAGCTGTCCCTCGCTCTATGGACAGGTTTCTATGGCTTACATCTCCTGCGCGCCTTGTAACGTAACGTGCAAGATGATCTCACGTCTCACATCTCACATCTGGTGAGCGGAGTGGGTGGAAAGCTTGAGTTCGTGGTGGTAGCATCATACCCACACCGAGGCTTGTTTGGGGAATAAAGCCGCATCATCGTCATCGTCATCATCATCATCATCATCTTCTTCTTCTTCTTCTTTCGGGTTATTCTACCTCCTTACCTACCTATGGTGTGTGACTGCGCTGTATATATTTAGGTAGCTGGTTAGGTAGTTGGTGATGGTGGTGGTGGTGGTGGTGGTGGTGGAAGAGGATACGAGATACGAGGGTTGGCGGGCGATTTGGTTGGTGGGGTCGGGGGTGAGTGGTGAAGGACAATTGGGTCTGGTTGGGTCAGGGGGTGATTGTCTCTGGAAGGTACTGACGAGGTCACTTCGGTTTGTGGCGAGGGTGAGTGGATTATGCTGTGTTGTGGGTTGGATGAGACTGGAAGATAGATAGATATATTGGTTTGTCAGCGATGCAGATGGTTGCATTGTTGGGCTGTGCTGACTGCTGTAGGGGGATTCGGGGATTCTATTCCCAGAATTGTGGGTAGTTTCTGCTAGTGAATGCAGGGATTGGAGTGAGGGTCTGTGAATGTATTCTGGGTTGATGTCTTTGGGTCTGGAAGCTGGTGAGTTGTTAGTTGTATAGATCGGATGGTCTGGGAGATGTGGGGTGGTTCGGTATAGATGTGGGGGGGGGGTTTCACTCTGTAGAGAGGAGTGTGTTCTTTGCATACTACACACTTGCTTGGGTGAGCTTCAGACGAGCATGTTGATATTGATAGTCTCGAAGACAAGTCCCCCACATCTTGACCACAATATTCCAACATAACATGCATCCAGATGATGCTGATGCCATCAACCCTCCCACCCCATCACCTGACCCTGACCCGCGCGCGATACACGCCTTACATAAGCGCGTCGGAGTCGGTGAAGTCGCGGGATTGTTTTCCTCGATTGCTTCACTTCAGCCAAACAATCGGTCCAATTGACTGAATCTCCCCATCGCCATGGCCAAACCCACACAGGAGGACCTCGACAACAATGTCTACCACCTGGTCACCGGCGCAAACACGTACCTCTCCCCCAAACACCCCCACCACCAACTAACCACCAACTAACCCCCCCAACAGCGGCCTCGGCTTCTCAATCTGCTGCCGCCTCATCGACGAATTCCTCCTCCAAACCGCCCCCTCGCCCTCGCCCTCCACCCTAACTATAATCTTCACCACACGAAGCGCCAACAAAGCGAGCGACACGCTCCGCCGTCTACAAACGCACCTGCACACCACGCACCCGTCGCCCGCCTCCTCCTCGCGCATCACCCTGCACCCCGAAACCCTGGACCTGCACAACCTGCTCTCGACGCGTCTGCTCGCCCGCCGTCTCGCAGCCACGATCCCGAAACTCGACTCCGTCGTCCTGAACGCCGGCATCGGCGGCTGGACGAGCATCGACTGGCCGCGCGCCATCTGGGCCGTCTGTACCGATCTCGTGCATAGTGTTTCGTGGTTCGAGCATAAGGTTGCGCCGAAGGGGGTGCTGGCGCCGGTGCAGACTAGTGGCAGTGGCAGTGGCAGTGAACCCCGTCTGGGATCCATCTTCACCGCCAACGTCTTCGGCCACTACATGCTCTGCCACAATCTGATGCCTTTGCTGCGCAACAACAGCCCCGAATCCCCCGGCCGGATCATCTGGGTATCCAGTCTGGAGGCCACGCTGGCGCATTTCGACGTGAATGATCTGCAGGGTCTGAGAACAAAGGTCTCGTATGAGTCGTCGAAGACCCTGACGGATGTGTTGGCCTTGACAGCTGATCTGGACGGTTCGAAACCATGGGTGAAGAGCTTTTGCACTGCGGACGGTCAGAGCGATGATAAGGAAGAAGGAGAAGAAGGCCCCATGCCAAACATCTACCTCACGCACCCCGGCATCTGCGGCACGGGGATCCTCCCGCTCGCGTGGCCGCTGTTCTACCTCATGCTCTGCGCGTTCTGGATGGCCCGCTGGATCGGCTCGCCCTGGCATACCATGTGGACGTATGTCGGGGCGTGTGCGCCCGCGTGGGTGGCTGGGTCGAAGCAGAGTGTGCTGGATGATGCGGAGGGCCCGTATCGCGCGAATGGAGGGGGGAGGGTCAAGTGGGGGAGTTCGACGGATCGGGTGGGCAGGGATTGTGCGGCGTCGACGGAGATAGATGGGTGGGGGCATGGGGGCGTGGTTGGGGGCGCTGTGGTGGAGGCGGATCGAGTCAGGAGGAGGAAGCGCGGGATGAAGGATTTGACAGCGCACGAGAAGGTCGAGTTTGAGGTCTTGGGGAGGGAGTGTTGGAGGCAGATGGAGGAGTTGAGAGGGGTGTGGGAGGGGGTTTTGGATCGCGAGGAGGGGAAGGCTGAGTGAGTGAGTGTAAGTCAGGGTTGATCAATGAGTGTGGTTGGTATGAGTGAGTGAGTGAGTGAGTGAGTGATGGATGGATGGAAGGGCAGTGTACAGCAACATGTTCATTGTACAACAAGCAGCTCATAGAACTAGACAAATAATGTAATGTGTATAGTATAGCAGCATAGGTAAGATACTGTAGGTAATCAAAGCATGATGGTATTCTTTTTTTAATTCCTGCCTCCCGTATTTACATTCCTTTAACCCATGTCCACATACGTCATTAAAATCAGATAGAGTATTAGTCCATGTGCTCGCCATTCCCCAGGAAAACAGAAGATAGAAAAAAAAAAACGAAGAAGCGTCAAGAAAACGTCTCAGCGGTAAAGAGAAAAAGGGAAAAGGAAAAGAAAAGCAACGACGCTGGATGACAGGCAGCGTCGTAGGAAAAGAAAGAAAAGGAGAAAAGGGTGAATAAGAGAAAAGGCAGCAAGCAGGCCAAAGGGTTGACTGACTGGTCGGCAGCAACACAGCAGCAACAAGCATCACGAGGGAGGGAAGGAGGGAGGAAGGTGGGGAGGGGGGGGAGAGATTATGAGGCTGTAAGGGGAGCCCGAATCAGACACGCTTCTACCATCAAGGTCTCTAGCATGCGGACACGGGCGAGCGAGACGAATGTAAGGACGCACGGGGCGAGAAGGGAGATTGTTCGGGAGGTTAAGACCGCAGCGTATCCAAGCAGAGTCCCGTGTTCTTGACCAGAACCCGCGCGGGGTTCTCACTGCTCGGAAGCAACAAAGAGGCAATCAACTCCGGTTTCTATGCATGGCGGTTTTGAGATATGGGGGTTTATATCGAGGGTGGAGGGCGTGTCAACGTGAAGAGGAGGGATTACATGATGATAGCAGGAACTGTCGCGAGCATCGTTAGTAACGTTTTCATCACACGCAGGAGGGTTGGCTTACCATCAACGTTCTGCTTGATGCTCTTGTGGGGCAGGATCGAGCCACCGTTGACGTAGACTTCGTCGGCGATGGTGACATCGTCACCCAGCACCGTCACGTTCTCCAGGCGAGCCCAGCGGCCCACGGAGCTGTTCCAGCCCACGATGGTCGACTTGACCCACGCGTGGTCCTTGACCTTGCTGTTCTCCATCAGCACACAGCGCTGCAGGCGCACACCGTCGCCGACCACGACGTTAGGGCCGATCACGACATTGGGCCCGATGCGGCAGTTCTTGCCAATCTTGGCGGAGGGGTCGACCATGACATTTCCGCCGTACACGTAGGGCTCGCTGTGGGGCGCGAGCAGCTTGGAGTTGCGCTTCGCGAGGGAGGTGAGGTAGAGACAGGTGCCGCTCAGGAAATCCTTGGGCTGGCCCACGTCCATCCAGAAGCCCTCCAGATCAAAGGAGTGCAGCTGGCCATCCTTGACGATGGCGGGGAACGTCTCCTGCTCGATGGAGGTGGGGCGCAGCTCGATCCGGTTCAGCACGCTGGGGTTCAGGATGTAGATACCAGCGTTGATGCGGTTGCCGACGAACTCGACGGGCTTCTCGACGAAACGGTCGATGCGCGTGGGGTGGTTGGGCTTGTGGACGACGACACCGTACTTGGACGGCTCATCGACCTTGGTGACGACAATGGTTCCCTCGTTGCCGTGGTTCTTGTGGAACTCGGCCAGCTGCTTGAAGGGGAAGTCGCAGATGATGTCGGAGTTGAGAACAAAGAAAGGACTGTCGTCCTTGCCCAGGATCTTCTCCGCCAGCTTCAGGGGACCCGCCGTGCCCAGGGGTTCGGTTTCAACGGAGAATTCAATTCTGACATTGTAGATCTCTTCGTACTAGTTGCGACAATTGGAATGAGCATGCGCCATCTTTGTTTCGTGTAGATAGGACAAGTGTACCTTCTTCAGGGCCGAAACCATCACATCCGGGCGGTAGTTGACAGCCAGGACGATATCTGTGACACCCGCAGCAGCCAAGCTCTCGACTTGGTGCAGGATCATGGGCCGGTTGGCGAATTCCACCAAGGGCTTGGGAAGGGTCAAGGTCTAAGGAGCGCATTGCGGTCAGTCTGGGGGGATGGGTTCCAAGCATCGAGATCGACAGGTATGTTCGACGTCACGATCATCGGCGGGGGAATCGACGCACCAAAGGACGCAGACGGGTACCGAAGCCTCCGACAAGAATGAGGGCTATATATAGAAGGTCAGTCGAATGGCCACGGGCGCATTGGATGGCTCTGCCAACACGAGGGGATACCCAGGACGTACCCTTCATGATGGTTGTGAGGGGGGGTTAGTTGGTGGTAGGGGGATCGGGAGGGAGGGGCTTGCTCCAAACGAGTGACCGGAGCAAGAGATGGACAGGTGGAGGAACAGATAAAGAGAGCCCGCGGAGGAGGGGGAGAGAGTGTGTCGAAGCTGGAGAAGCAAAGCAAGACCCAAGGGGAACCGAGGGGGAGGATGGCAGGACAGATTAGATCGATCGATTGAAATGGTCTCAGACAAAGGGGAGAAAGAGGGAAGGAAAATGACGGATGGTTTATAAGAGAGCGAGCGAGTGAGTGAGCCAGGAGACACCTGGCGTTGCGATTGATTCGGGGAGAGCGGGCCGTAATGGGAGTACGTTACCACTTCCCGACGTGTACGGACCCCTGATTTGGGAACGGTCGCAGCCTTACAGTGTTTGGCGGTGGTCTAGGGACCGGGCCACTGAACGCCCACGATTCGGGGGGTGCACGTTTGCGGCCGCCACGGGGGGTGGTCACCACCCCCAAGAATTCTCTGCCGGCCGTAACTTGGTACCGCCCCCGTACAGGCGGTGCGTATTGCTGGTTGCGGGCCTAGAACCGTTCGGGCGACAGGACTGGTCCGATCAGGTGCGGCGTGGGGCTTTTGCCCCTGAATTAAGTATTGTACCAATACCTGCGACAGACTGCATCGCATCGGATCACCCTCTGGGAATTGCCCCCGAAATTGGCCTCGCAATCATACAGCTTGAAACACGGCCTTACCAACTCAACGATACTCCATCCAGGCCCGTGGGATCGACCTCCCTCCCGATGGCCTCCCACTCACCTGTCGGGTTGCATCCCCTCCTTAGAGTTAGCACGACGTCGCACAGCGGTGGGAGGCAAGTCTGGTGTATGCAGGCTGGATAAGCATCCGTCACTGCGGTGTCTCCTGATCACCCGCTGGGGGCGAGGTTGTCACCATTCTTGGTCCGCCCCCGCAGACATACTGGCCATTTCCACGGATGCAATTTTACGGAGTACATCGAGATACCTGGTTGTACTTGGTCGCATATACATACTTCTATATAGAGACTAAAGAGATTGGTGCCGGGTTTCAGAAGTCCCTCAGAACTGCAAGTGAGAGATGATCTTCCAACCTTGCATATACCGACGTATACCACTACCACCTAAAACATCCCCGACCTCCAGGAAGTCATTCCTGCGTGTCCGGGGGCAGCCGATGGAGGCCGCCACTGCTGCTATTTCCAGCCGGGCCACGTGCGAGGCCTCCCCGGCCCCCCTCACCGCCTGCCGCATCCGGGGCCCATCTCCTGATCCACTCGCGCACCTTGCTCGCCTTCAACATCGGCACATCGTCGTCGCTCTTGGCGCCAGGGTCCTGCTGCATTTGCTGCTGCATTTCTCGCAGTCGCTTCGCGCTGTAAAGTCCGCCTGCGTCCGTTACATCGACCCGCTGGCGGTGCAGTAGGTCGACCTTCGTGATCCCCTTCCTGAGACTCTGCCCGTACACCCGTTCCCGGAAGGAGCCCAGTCCTACCATGCGCATCAGAACAATGTCCCGTGGGCGCAGACTCGCTAGAGTCTTGCCCAGTGCGTCGCCGTCGCCGTCGCAGTCGCCGTCCTTGTCCTCATGATCCGCAACTGGGAGCCAGAACGTAACCCCAAACCCGCTCCTTGTATCATCCCCCACCACCACCTCAATCAGGTCGAATTCCCTCCTCCACTGCCGTGTCACGACCCGGCGCGGAGCGTTGACAGTTAGGACCGCCACAATGAGATTCACCGTCATCGTCTGCGGCACAATCGAGGTCAGGTATGCGGCCGTGGGAATATCCCGGAGATCGGTGAGAGGGCCTTGGATGGGGAACCCTGGGGTCAGGCCGTCTTTCTCGCTGCTGGTCGCGAAGGAGGTCCCGGCGCTGTCCGTCCATAACCCACTACCTTGCATGGAGTCCCCAGGATAAACTCCTGGGGTCGAGATCTCCGACGTTTCATGAACGGTGAAGGAGTGGTCGTAGAATTGGGACAGCGCTGAAGTGTCCGAGATCATCTTCGACCCGGCGAGATCCCAGGTGGTCAAGAAGCGAGCGTCTGCACTGGGTTTCCACTCGTAGATCTCAGGCTGCAGCGTCGGGGCGCCCAGGTCCTGCAATAGCCTCCATTTCACCGGCTGGGTATCGGGGAACGGCCAGTCCCCTTCAGGTAGGATATCTAGACCGTGGAACGGGGCTATCGGTGCACTGAGCAACTGCTCTTCATCCCACTGGAGGCTCCGTGACGTGGGCGCGCCCATGAGAAAAATGACCTTCGTGGACATCGCCGGCGTGGGGCAACCGAAGGAGGCCCCGGAGCATATTATTCGAGGCTCTGTGCGTCGCCAGGTCTGGGAAACGCCGTCCAGGATCGAGCTTCAATGCAGATCCGCCAAGAAACACTTAAGCAGCCGCTGGGTTGTGAACGCGCCTGGCGCAGGTGGCCAGTTATATGGCCGGCAGGGAAGGAACGTCGTCCTGCGACTCGGTGAGGTCAGTCCGTCGATGATGAGAGTTCTTCTAGTCATCGGGGATCCGATTGAACCACGGATGGCGAAACAGGCAACGACAACATGTTGTACGGTACCGCGGATACGGTACTACTGTACGCGGGATGGCAGGATGGCAGGATGGCATGCAGGATTCCGATGGCGCAAGTGCAAGTCAAGGCATATCTAGACAGGTCCGATCTGGCTGCACGTAGCCATCGACAGCATCGTGAATATGCCTTCTAGCAGTAGTTCTAGAATGCGGTCGGGCGGGGGAAAGCCGGCGAACCGGGCGGAATCCGACGTTGCGGCCTGAGGCATCACTACGGGCGGCGCCAGTAGCCAGAGTGGCACCGGGTCGGGCGAATTTCGCCGCCGCGCGAGGAACCAACCAGCGGGCGTCGTCATTGGTTTGGCCTCCTGCTTCTTCTCCCCTCCGCAACTCCCCATCTCCTCCCCATCCCCATCCAAACAACCTCTGGAAGTGGTCGGGGATGGCATACATCCCGACTAAAGATTAATCCATTTTTATTGCCAACCCTCGCTCGCTGTACATCTTATCAAAGGGCCATTTTCATCACCCTTGCGGCCAAGTGCCGCTGTGCTTCGGACAACCATGGCCTTCCAAGCTCCGATACCCAGGCCGGTGAGGACCATCTGTTCGCCCCTCCCCCTCACAGACTAGATCCCGCTAACTACTTCCTGCGCGGCAGAGCCTTGGGGCTGTAACATCGGATCTGTGGCCTTCAATGTCAAAACTGCTGAATGCGCCGTGGAAGAACGCCGGGCATACCGCTCCCCAGCGCACGATTGCGACTTCAACGGTATGCTGTTCCCCGTCGGTTGATATTGGATCGGGGGCCGACATATTGATACCCTCGCAGGTACCAAACACTCTCCCGCTACCGGAATGCCTGACCGCGGTGTCTTCGGAAGCTTTGAACTCGAGCATTTTCGGCACGCCTCTGCGAAGTGGATGGGCTCGTTCCTTGTACTGTGGTAAATATCCAACTCTATCTGGGGAATAGTGTGCATGATAGATTTATGCTGATTTGTGTCCCAATTCCAGAACCAACAATGTGGGCGACCCCGTCACTTGCGACCCACCGTCTTCCCTCGTCGTCTACCCGGTCTTACTCTACGTTAACTACACCTATGAACCGTCTTCGCCCGGCGCCCAAGGTCAATGGCCTCTCTCGGTTACAGCAGCAGCGCTTTGTGTTTGGAGGTCCCTCTCACAATCTCTTGGCCCAGAAGGAGAAAACTGCCACCAACAACCCCAACAGCGCGAACGCCCAAAATGCTTTCTACCAGGCTCTTCTCCGTGCCAATATGCCCTCGATTGTTATTGAACGGCACAACTGCGGTCATTTCGCCAGTAACGCAGTCACGGCTCAACTCTACACGCAGGCATTGCAGCGCGCCGGTGTACTGGGTCCCACGTCAACCGCCCCAGGCCCCAACCAGCCCATGAGTCCTGAACATCTGCAAACAATCGGCGAGGCTGTCGCAACTCAGGTTCGTAATGGAAAGCCTGCATCGACTGCAACAACGCAAAGTGGCACCGGGGCGAAAGATGCTCCGCTGTACGTGGTTGTGGAGGAGTCGAAGACCAGCCACATCTTCCGATGGATGAAGGTTCTGGTATGGATGGTGTTTCTCTGGTATACGATCGGTGCTGCTTTGCAATTCTTGATCGAGACATCCGGCATGTTGAAGAATCTAAAGGGCGCACCGACGAATGAAGCTCAACCTCAGCAGCAAACTGTCCGCTTCAGTGATGTGCACGGTTGCGATGAAGCCAAGGAAGAGCTTCAGGAACTCGTTGAGTTCCTGTTGAACCCTGAGCGCTTCTCTTCTCTTGGTGGTAAGCTGCCTAAGGGTGTTCTCCTGGTCGGCCCTCCTGGTACCGGAAAGACCTTGCTTGCTCGTGCCGTGGCCGGAGAGGCGGGTGTCCCTTTCTTCTACATGTCTGGCTCAGAATTCGATGAGGTATACGTGGGAGTTGGAGCCAAGCGTGTTCGTGAACTGTTTACACAAGCTCGGAGCAAGTCGCCTGCCATCATCTTCATCGACGAACTGGATGCCATTGGTGCCAGGAGAAACGACAAGGATGCCGCTTATGTCAAGCAAACCCTGAACCAGCTTCTTACCGAACTCGATGGCTTCTCGCAGTCTACCGGCGTGATTATCATTGCCGCTACCAATTTCCCTCAACTGCTGGACAAGGCTCTGACGCGCCCTGGTCGCTTCGACCGCAAGGTCGCTGTCAATCTCCCCGACGTCCGTGGACGTATGGATATTCTCAAGCATCACATGAAGGAGGTCCAGATCAGCACGGATGTTGATATTGCGGTAATTGCCCGTGGTACTCCGGGCTTCTCCGGTGCCGACTTGGAAAATCTCGTTAACCAGGCTGCCGTGTATGCCAGCCGAAACAAGAAGTTCAAGGTCGGGCCGAAGGACTTCGACTGGGCCAAGGACAGGATCATCATGGGTGCTGAGTCCAAGAGCCGGTTTGTCCAGGACAAGGATAAGCTCAAAACGGCATACCACGAGGCCGGCCACGCTCTTGTTGCTTACTTCTCGCCGGCTTCTACGCCGCTTTACAAGATCACCATCATCCCTCGCGGTATGTCTCTGGGTTCGACGCATTTCTTGCCCGAGATGGATATGGTTTCGAAGGACTACACGGAATACCTCTCGGATATTGATGTTTCCATGGGTGGTAGGGTCGCTGAGGAGCTCATATATGGCTACGACAAAGTCACCAGCGGCATCACGGCGGTAAGCTGAAGTTTCTTATTGTGGCAAAAGTATCCATCGCTAACGCACCGTAGGATCTTCAATCAGCCACTCGAACCGCCTTTACCCTGATCACTCAGTTCGGATACTCCGGGAAGCTGGGTAACGTGGATCTCTTCACCAACTATGACAGCCTGTCGTCGGAGACCAAACAGGAGATCGAATCCGAAGTCCGGCGTCTGGTCGAGGAAGCTCGAATACGCGCCACCAACATCTTGACCGAAAGGCGGGCGGAACTGGAAATCTTGACCCAAGCCCTGATCGAATACGAGACATTAACCAAGGAGGAAATGGAGAAGGTCTTGAAGGGTGAAAAACTCCAAAAGCTGGAGGCGCCACCCATCCTGACAGGGCCGCTCACGTTACCGGAGGCCCTCCAATCGCCCAGTCTCAATTCTTCCACCACGGCTGATCCGCAGCAGCCCCCGACATCATCCGCAGGGCAGTCTGCTGAAGAGTAAACAAGCAACACCAGCCCTTTCTCTCCATCCCACCCCCTTAACGATGCTCGTATTTTTCAATCTCATATGACCCATTTCCGTTTTCTTGGCCTTTCCTAGCTCCCCCCTCTTCTCTCTCGGCTTTTTGTGTGTGTCTTTTATTTACTATCTACCAAATGCAGCAGAAAGAAACCTACTTCACCTTACCTTACCTACCTACTTACCCACCCTATTGGAGCCTTTTTGCGATCAATTCCCTGGCATCAATCAAGCCTGTTCTAGGTCCTCACCGCTAGCCACTTCCTTGCCTTGCCTTGCCTTGCTTGTTCTTACCTACCATCTATTCCGTCCAGCCTGTCTTGCGTTCCATTCTGTCAGTTGTATTCGCTGCAGTCTAGCTGTCTTCCTTCTTTGTCCTTCCCTTTTCCGGAAGGGATGATGGAGGAATGTGAACAGCTACCTGCCTTCTCCTCCTGATCCTGATTGAACTATTGAGCGACGAGGCGGTAGTGTGATAGCATACCGGTCAAGGTCAATTTGGCTGCCCTGTCCTATATCCTGCTTGTATTGTATTGTATTGTATTCTATTGTACCTTACTGTACAGATGTACATAGGTTGCATCGAACTGGGTAAAAGTGCATACTGATTTGCCTACTACTTCCCTTACCTACCTTGCCTATTTTTCTGTCTAGATATATCGTACTTGCGGTGCAGGTTTGGGCGTCGTTGGGGCTGTCGTTGTGTCAATGGTTGTGGGCTTGGATGGGTTCGGTTTTCACTACAGGCTAGATAATCTTCGAGTGGCGTCTTACATTCATGTTAGGCTAGCTATATCAGTAGCCTGAACTTAACGATCAGGACTTGATTTAATCTTTGGAACCCCAAGTCAACCCACCTTAATCCATAGCATAAATGAAATGTTATCTATCTATAGAAACAGTGAAGCGAAGGAGAAAGGTTGAATGAACCGTACCAATTCGTAGCTAATCTAATCTATATGGGCGGCTGAAGAGGAAGAAGGCGGCCTTTATCCTTCATAGTGTGTAATTGATTGCTTGATTGCTGCTCTACATAGCTGACTAGCTGGAGAGAAACATTATTAACTTCCAGCTAGAACCCTGATTTAATCCGTAAATAGTAAGTCTCAAACAACATCCAGATAGATAAAACACCACAAGAAGAGCAACCAACCAGTCATCCAATGAGTAGTATAGGCCAAAAAAAGGAAAGGAAAAGAAAACGAGAATAAATAATAGATAGGCCACACCCCGGATTCGAACAGTCGAATCAATCTATCCTACTAGATACCTATGTACTTGCCCCGGGGGGGGGGGGGGCATCGACCAGTAAGATCGCAGCTACCCGCTGCGCTACTGGGCGCGCTCCACCGGAGTGGGATCTGGTTGGTTGATATTCTCCCGCCCCGCACGCTGAATATCCTAGACTATCTACTTTGTACTACTTTGTACAAAGTAGGCCTCAACGGATTCTATACCGTGTACAAAGTTATCAATATACTGACCCCATATTGCTTCTACCTTGTACTCGAAGGATATGATTGACTACAGATCTGCAGACTGGCTTACGGTGCAGCTCATAGACTGCCTGCCTATTAGATACCTATATCTCTAGTTAATAATATCTACCCACCCCAACCGCCCTCATCCTCATCCTCATCCGAATCCGAATCATCATCGTCATCCTCCTCCTCCATCTGCCTCTCTCGATTCGCACGCATCTGCCTACGAAAATAATCCTCCCGACGCGCCTGCTCCGGCAACCCAGGCATCGACCTCTCCGAGAACCCGTATCCATCGTAAACCGCACAGGGCTGCAAACACAGAGAATAATGGCTGCCCAGCATCTGTTCGATCAATGTCCCACCGGTGATGAAAGGAGTAGTGGAGAGGATCTTGAACGCCGGTCTTAAGGCCTGGTTAGTCACAAGTCGATTGAGGATAAGAAGGACGTCGCTGAATTCATCAGGCCCCCATTGCCGGGATGCAAGCTCGGATATCCCGTCTAAGATGCACACGATGGTGGTGTGTCGGGGTAGTTGCTCGATGAGCTGGCTGAAGGTGTGGCAGAGCATTTTCAGGGAGTGGGCTTTGATTTCGGCGACGAAGTCCGGCGTATTGAAGAAGTCGAGGTTGAATTGGTGGTTATTTGTGTGGAGGAGGATCTGGGTGATGAGGGAGCGGATGAGGCCATTGGGTCCGGGGATGGGGTCGTTCTGGGAGTGGCTGCTCCCGTGGAGGCCGCAGAAGTGGTGGAGGACGATGTAGTGGTTTTTGTCTGCGGTGTTGTGCAGCTGGAGGGCGAACATGGCGCAGAGAACGGACAGCGCGGTGGTCCGGCCAGGGCCGGGAGTCTCGAAGTTTCCATGGACGAGCAAGGTCGCGCGTTGGTTTGAGGCCATCCATTCGGCAAACTGGCGTGACGCGAAAAGCTGTTGTGCCTGGGCCTGGGCTGAGACCTCGAACTGTGAGATATCCTTTATCACCATCTGTAGGTCGTTTGAGGGGCACTCCTGGTCGACTCCCAGGCTGTCAAAGAGCTCGATGTCACTCAAAAGTGGCTTCGGGTGCTGGTATGGCGGTGGTGGTTGTGAGGACCCTGACTGGGTGGGATAATCTACGGTGATTATGCAGAGTCAGTAATTGTCCTGGTCAACGCAAGAAGAGTAAGTGGTAGGAGGGCACCTACACGGGCAAGGGTTGTTATCTTGGAGGCTCTGGCACAAGGTATTAAGGATACAAATGCCTGAAACTAGTTCCTGAACCCGCTCGTACAGCCAGGTATTCATCTTTTGTGAGTCTTGCTTCATTTCATTCAGTGTTGTTTCGCTTCTTCCTGCAATCGCTTTGGTCGAAGCCACGTCGCCTCTTGTCTGGATGGCTAGGTCGTCTCGCACATGGTCCAGACATTGGCGGAATCTTTGGGCCTGTTTCTGGACCCCAGCCAGGATCCCGTCGATCAATTTGGCTGTATTCCCTGCTGCGAAGAGCCGGTCAACGAGCTTCCGGGCCCGTTTGCTGATTCGAGATTCTTGGCTCATGCTCCCATTCAGGAGGAGGATGAGACTTGCCAGAGCCCGGGCCACGGTATCATAGAGCTCCCTGGCACTTTCGCGTAGGGCTTTGGCAGACGCCCATTGGTTCTGTTGTGCCTTGACCGAGAGCATCAGCTCAGGGATATCTTTAAATGCCCCGAGGATTTTCCCCCTATTGCTCGAGTTCTGCTTTGCTATCTACTGCCTCACTTTTGTCAGAGATGGGCTCTTACTACTGTTTAACCATAGACCCCAAAAAATGAGAACCAAGTACAGGAAAAAGAAGTTCACACAACACAGAGCGAGACACACAATGAGAGAGAAAACTCACACTGAAAATTATCGTCAACCCTGCCGTCAAAAAGCCCAAGCCATAATCCGAGGGGATCAGTCCGAGCCACGGGGTGATTTGGTCGGAGAAATCTCCTGCACCGCGAACAACCTTGCGCAAGGCCCCCGATGGCCCACGGGCTTTTTTGGTGTATGCCTCTTGCGCATGATCGAGTTCTGACATGACATTTTCAAACGTGCACTTTTCGATCTCGAATCGGAATTCCGGATCGACCGAATCATTGTATGCTTTCAATGATTCTTCCAGGTCGCTGAAACCACCCGTGTCATCTAGAGCTCATGCGTAACAACAGCACAGAAATGGACAGGGGGTTCGAACCTGGCGCCTGGGAGGGGCTCGATTTCTTCACTATCTTCGTTATAAACGGCCAGTGTGCCAAACGCTTTATGGTAGTCTGCTCCATTGTTCAAGGCAAAGGTTGCGGCCGCTCTTTTGTGGGACTTCTTTGATTCGTTAGGACTTGATAAGTGGTGCAAGAATTTCATTTTGCGGAAATGAAGTGGGATGAATGCGTGGAATGCGTCTGGCGACTTGCGGTAAATTTTGGTCAGATATAGGAGTAAAATTGATATTAGTAAAAGCGGTAGTGGTATGATAGGGCTATTGAACCGAACTGAAGCATGAGGTCAGTGGTATTGTCCAACCCCAACCCTCATTCTTTTACCTCAAAGACCTGCGTACTGTAGAGCAGGGAGGGGGGGGGGGGGGGGTGAGAATTGAGGAAGAGCCATGGGATAGTAAAGACGGAGTACAGAGTACAGAATAGTTCATGGCCATGCACATCCATTCGCAATGGTTCGGAGACACGCAATCAGGCGTTCCCGCTCGGGCATCCATGCGTGCGGCTGAGGGCTTCTCTCAGCTGAATCCTACCAAATACCCCCACATGCTCAGAAGATTCGCATATGCCTATGCCTAGGTAGGATCAGTGACTGATCAGGACAGGGGTGGCAGCCTATCAAAGGCTAGATACATGCATAATTGTCGAGAAATGTCTGCTTTCGGAGGGGCGGATCGAGCGGACCAAACACCCTGTGACCCAGTTGCCAGGCAATCTAGACAGCCAGTGGGTCTTTGAAAGGTCCGCATTATTGACCTGCAACTGGAGACAACCATGCATGTAAGCTGGCTACATGTGGCCAGGCGCCGAACTGATGCCCCCCTCTGTGGCAAACAAGATATGGGCTGGCTCGCTTCACAGGCAACCAGTCATTTGAACGTGTATATGAGCAACATCCTATGGAGAGGGCAGGAGCAATCGAATGAGTTGCACTGTAGATACTTACTATCTGCCAAGTCCGGAGGAGTTCTGCCAGTCATCATGGATCGCAGGCTGACGTGGTTGCGATAATCCTTCAGTCCACGGAGGTTTCAGCCAGCCCCTCGTACTTTTGTATGATCGTCCAGAAGGATCTGGTCCGTGTATCAATCCTCTAGCCTCCAGGCCCTTCGATTGGTCGAGGCCGGGCCCGGGGCTAAGATGTTGGAGTGCGTAAGTATATGCACGTCTGGACGTAGTCTCATCCCATGGGGGGTATCCAACGCCGTCCAGCGTCTACTCCGGCGCGCGAATAGTTCGCCTCCTGACATAAAGTAGTTGTCCACCGCTTTATCCGACGAGCTTCTCCAATACCCAAATTTTATTTGATCGACGCCTGGTCTGATCCATGAACCCCGGCGGTGTTTTTGCCTCGACCAAACAAACGCCTCGTTATCCCCCTCGAGAAAACAATAGCAGGCATGGCATCCGCAAGCCAGCCAAGTCACGAGAGTACGGTGCACACGCTCTCCGATCATGAGAAGGATATTCCTCACGTCATCCTAAGTGCTACTGGAGATCGGTCGGAGTACATCCAAGCATTGGAAAAGCGACTCGAGGAGCTGGAGAATAAGGTCCAGGGGCTGTTAGTAGAGAAAAGCAAGCCCAGCGAGAAAGAAAACAACCAAGGCGGTGATGGAGAGTCGCGCAGTAGCCCCGGCGACGACGAACGGTCAGAAGCAAAAGATAAAAGTGAAGATGGAAAGTCAACCACAAGCGAGGAACAGGAAGATGACAACAAAAGAAAGGAGGTTCACCGATCCATCATCCCCAGGGCGCAGAAACAAAACCCGGTGAACTTCTTCAACCGATTTCCCAACCAAATTCAGATCCCCGTGGTGGAGGTTTTGATGGTGGACACCACGCTATACGCAGCGTATGAAGAAGATGAGGAGTTCGGCCGGAGGTTGAATGAAAGCAGTGCGTGCGATGCGTTGGAAATGATACAAACACAAACAGATGTCAATCCGTATAAGCCAGACGCGTCGATGACAATAATCCGCATCAACTCAGTCTCAGTTGTTAAAGAAATCATGCAAATTCTCAGTCCGGATCGAGAATTCAACACCCCACTGTCATTCGAGTCCCCGTTCCGCGCTTTGATCCAAAATCATGACACGATCAAGGAAAGGCTAAATGAGTTGCCGGTCAATAATCATTCGGATAGCAAAGAGACAGAGACCAGTTCGGTCGATGAGGATCCCCAACTCAGCACCTTATTACAGACCTACATTGAGTTTATGGAAGAAGAGGTCATCCCTCTGCACCGGACCAAAAGCAACAAGGTCCGATATAATGACCTAGCCTCCGTCTTTCAGCTAGGAGACAGCATTTACGTAGCCAACACAGGCAGATCTTCCAAGCCCGATCCCGAGATGTTGGGGCAACGAGATTATCAACGCCTGTGGAGGTTGTATCGTATAGTGAGCGGAACCGATTTCCAACTCAAGTGCTATGCCATAGACTATGATGGCGAAGCCTATGTCTGCGTTAAAAGGACGTTCGATATCCCGCAGTTTACCGGGGAACAAGAGATATCGAGCTTGCCGGTATTCCCTCTTCGGTACGCGGAGAATGCAGAGAAGATCAAGGACGAGTGTCGGGAGCAAGGACGGAAGTTCCTGGAATACTTGGGCACCAGGCTTCTGTCCCACAATGGCTGGGCATTGACCCCGGAATCTAGTGTTCAATCGCATTCGCCATTGCAATATGTCACTAGTGATGTCGTAATCGACATGGCCGAAGCACTCAAGGCGCATCCCAATTGGAAGCCAGAATGGAAATTTCCCAAGACGACAGGGGACCCTCGTTTGCGCTATGCAATCTCTATCTGGAACTTTTCCGAAAAGAATGTTTTGAAGTATGATTCTCAGGAAGGTACGTTCTGGAACTATGAGCGTATAGGGAAGGTTGAGTACTGTACCAAAACCGATCCCTTTCTGTCAAGCTGGTTCCGCGACCAAGGGAAGACATACAAGCCGCGAGGCGGTGATCTCGAGCTGCTCCCACGCCGACTATTTTCATACGTACTGCAAGACAGGAAGTTTGTGGCAGTGGATATCCGGAACTTGAAGCCGGTAGATGACCATGGGACCCATTCAGGCTTGATAATCGACAAGAATCACGAGAGCATGCTGCGTGCACTGGTTAGCTCCCATTTCAAACGGAAAGAGCTCCACGACTCGCTCGGAGCGTACAGCATGAATCAAGATATCATCACAAACAAAGGAAGGGGACTGATCATTCTGCTATATGGTGTACCTGGGGTAGGGAAAACATCAACGGCCGAGAACATTGCGCATTCCTGGAAGAAACCGCTTCTTCCCATCACCTGCGGGGATCTGGGAACCCAACCTGATGCTGTCGAAACAAGCCTGAAGGAAATATTTCGGCTGGCACAACTTTGGGATTGTATCCTCTTGCTCGATGAAGCCGACGTTTTTCTCTCAGAGAGGACACCGGCTGCGTTGGAAAGGAATGCTCTTGTTTCAGGTAAGGAATTATCGATTCACTCTGGCAGAACGAACTGACCCGGGGCGTCTTCACTGCAGTGTTTCTTCGAATGCTAGAGTATTACACGGGAATACTCTTCCTTACTACCAACCTGCCCGGCAGTATTGACGAGGCTTTCAAGTCCAGGATTCATATCAGCCTTTACTATCCACACCTCAAGAGGGACACTACCTTGAAGATATGGGACATGAATTTGCAACGTCTGGCAGCAATTGAGAGCGAACGCGCCAAGGTCGGGCAGCAACCGTCCCTCACTATTGACAGCAAAGGAATAAAGCGGTTCGCAAAAAAGCACTACCGCGAAAATGAAGATGGGAAGGGGCGGTGGAACGGGCGACAGATCCGCAATGCCTTTCTCATCGCCTCAGCTCTCGCTCATTTCGAAAAGAAAGATCTTAACACAGCAGGTATCACTTCCGAGACTTCTGTCACGTATTTTGATATCAGGCCTGAGCATTTCGAAGTGGTGGCGGATGCTAGCATGGGATTTGAGCGTTACCTGCTCGAGGCCAGGGGCCGCACAGCAGGCGAGAATGCTTTCCAGCGCGGACTCCGGGCAGACTATATCCTCACATCACCTGAGAAGCTTAAGGAATCGCCTTATGTGCCAGGTCACGATGATCGTCAGGGCAGTGTCTCCACAGGGCCCTTCTCCCCTGCCCCGAATCAGCACTGGAATAGCTTGGCACAAGGTACCGGTGGAGGATATGTCCCCAACCAGCAACAAACATGGCAATACAACGAAGGTCAGCACAAGGGACACCAAGGAACCCAGGGAATGCTCTCTGCGGAACAATATGGTGCCCAGCAAACTATGGGTGCCAACGTCAATAGTTTTGCAGGCCAACCGCCAAACAACATTGGCCCTCAAGGATCGCCATCGCCGTGGAATACAGGCGTACAACAGCCTTCTCCTTATGGAGGCCCCGTGCCTAACCAGCCACAGCCCTCGGCTTATGGAGGCCCCGTGCCTAACCAGCCACAGCCATCATCATATTACGGAGGTCAACACAGTGTGTACCCAGGCCCTGCGGGAATGTTTTCTCCAGGTCAGCAATTCAACTCCCAGCAAATGACGGGAATGGGATCCCACGACAACAGATATGCGGCATCAGCAACAAGTAACGTTGGACCTCAGGGATCACCATTACCAGGTCATCGGTCTTCTCACAAGGGACCCTCTGGTTATCCCGCCAGGGCACAGGACAACGACACGGATGATGATTCGGATAGATGATAGCGCTTCAAAGAGTGCCTGGCTAATGGATGAGGGTGTAAAGCCAGACGAAGCCCTTTGGATGAGGTAGTTGGGGTGGAGGAAGTGGAGGAAGAAGAGGAAGAAGAGGAAGAAGAGGAAGAAGAGGAAGAAGAGGAAGAAGAGGCCGCCTCAACAGTCAACAGTCACCTGACTGACACACGGTGCGCCAACAGAGTATTCGCAGTACTAGTACTCCGTACATAGGCAGCATGTACAATATCAGACAGAAATTGGTCTTGTTGAAAGATTAATTAGAAACATTAAGAAACAGTATGTATATACAGCATAAACATCAGACATCAACCATCAAAAAAGAATCGCGCAGCATGAATGAAAATCTACTCGCTTAATTTGCAACGGTGATGGTCGTGAAGAAGAAAGAAGAACATCATATCATGCACCGCACCATACCATACCACTGTGTCAATCTCGACCCGACGACCTCTTTTCCATCAGTCAGAAAGAACACCTCATGTCCATAAGTATGTCATATCGTATTTCTTTCTCATTTCCATTGGGTGGGTTTGAACCGTTTTGCTGACATAAAATCATTAAGAGAAACCAGAAGGAGAAGAACAAAAATAAAGGCATTTCTTTAGCCTCGAGCGTTGTACTTCTCGTTGAAAGCGTTGACGGCTAAAAGAGAACATTAGCAGCTGTATTTGCAATGCAATGATAATGGGAACAAAAGGAAGGCATCACTCACCGATAGCGATCTGCCGATACAGCCAGTTCCGGGAACTTTCATCCTGCACGGGAATAAAAGGACCGTTGGCACCTCCCTTGAGCGTAATGCTCATACCCGTGCGCTCCTTGGAGATGGTTTGGATGTCCGTCAGTCGCATGTCCCATTCGGTTCGGAGCTTCTTGCTGCGCACGAGGATGAATCGGTCGTATGTCAACATGACCAGCATGTCTCGGCCCGGGAGTTCCAGATGTGCGATATAATCCTCGTTGAAGAATTTCCCGTCGTCGGCCGTCTTCAGCCAGAATTGTCCGAGGGCTTCACGCTGCGAGTAAGGCCGTACAATACCATCGGTGGCGATGAACCGGGTAAGGCGAACACGGTCAAGGCCTTCGGCATCGAATACGGTCGTGGTGTTTCGCACGCCTTCTGCTAAGTCTAGAGAAGAGTCAGTACGTCTGCTTACAAGAGTCTCATCGGGTGGGTACATACTTGAAGCAAGATCGAAGGCGCCGATCGCCGGCTTCGTAGCCAAACCCAGAACACCCTTTCCAACACCCTTGAAGAACCCTTGGATACCTTCCTTTTCAGCGCCCTGCAATGGATGACGGGCAAGTCCTCCGATACCGCTGGCTAAGCTCGTTGCGAAAGCATTGCCGCCCGCAGTGATTCCATAAAGGGCATGCTTTGGCCGATTCCGAGACTTAGACATCCGTCGCTGATCTTGGAATTCTTTGTCGAGGGTAGCGGCGGCAAGACCCTTGGACATACTTCCGGTAAGCTTGGCCATACTATCGGAGAAACCGAAGACAGATTTCTTCACAAAGCTCGTGGCACCCTTGGCAATTCCGTAGCCCAGCTCTTGAGGCCTGTCAGTCATGACCAGTCCCTGGTATGGCTCGTAGAAGATTGCAGCTACACCCGAGCTAACGTTGTTGAACAATCCAACGGGATTGCCCAAGAAATCAGCGGAGCCAAGAATAACATGCACTTGACGAAGGAATTCTTGCGTGTAGTGCCTCTGGATGTTACTGGCAAGCACCCCGAACGAAACACGAGCGTTCTCCAGCATCAGAGCATTCAGACGAATGGGAGCATCATTGACGTTACCCATTGACATTGTCATAACATGGACAAAGAACATCAGGGGGTTGGAGGGCTGTATAGCATCTTCGGCATTGACATGCTCGGTACGCATGAAAGAGATATCCAGCTGCATAGGCTGCAGATGGAGAAGCTCGAAGTATACGTCTTGAGCAGTGCCTTCGTTTTGTGGCTCAGGAATGTTCAGGTCTTCGTCGCAAAGCTTCCCTTCGTGCTCTTCAGACCATGAGGCACCGGGTACCTTGACAAAGTCCAGCATCGCAAAGATAAAATCTTCATCGAGCTCCAAAGTCATCTGCTGCAGAAGAACAGTGGCATACTTAATATAGAGCACACCGTATGAGTCGTCTTTCACGCGCGTAACCATTGTATGGAAAATCGGGTGCGCTTCCATTTCTTTTCCAGTCTTCGGGACAACACTGGGATACAGCAGAATCGGGAAGATGCCTCCGTAGAGTTGATTGTCAATTTGAATCCACTTGATCGTGGTGTTCAAAGTTTGATAGACTCTGGATTCCCTGAACTTGATCTCAATTTCGCGGAATGTCAGGTATAGCAGCTCCTTCAAGTTCTGGTTGATCAAGGAAATGCCAATTCCTCCGAGGCGTAGCTGAGCCTTGAGGTTGACATCTGAATCAAGCTCCTTGACCTCAAACCCGGTGCTCGTGCTCAGACTGCTCTGAGAAGCATGCCCTTTCTGCTTGTAGATACTCTTTGATGCCTTGAAGTTCGACAAGACCAAAGTTTGACTTGGGCCATCCGCAACAATGTTGATGTCGATAATCTTTTGGGCTTCGCCGTGCTGTGTTGGCGGTACCCTCATAGGTATGAGGTTTCCGATTTCAGCAAGCTTGATATGCCTTTCTTTGCCTTTGCACGTCAATACTAGAGATTTATTCTTTGTAGCTGGGTAGTCCCAGGCATAGGGCATGATGCTTCGCGGAGGTAAGCGGTAGCGAATTGGTCGCCAGCCGTGGGTCCTGTCTTCATCTTCATCGTCGTCTTCCACATTGGGATTCTAGAAATTCGATTAGTTTCACTCTATCCTCTCAAAATGGGCGAAATACTCACGGCTTGGTAAAAGATGAACTCCATGTCACTCTCGTTCCGCATGGAGAATGGCCAGTTACGAGGTTCGAAGCTGAAGTGTATGAAGAGTGTCGCACCCTCCATTATGACATCAACCTTGATGAGCTTCTGCCGTTGGTTTGCTTTCGCAAGCTTGACATGTACCGTTCCAATATCCGCAATGTTGAAGGGAGATGACCACTGGTTGTTCACACCCGGGAAGCAGAGGCAAAGCTGCTTCTCCGCAACTTGGCGTAAGAAATGCAACGGTATCAGATCACCGCTCTTAATCTCTAGAACATTGGATGAGCCAGGCTCTCGAACCAGAATATCCTCGTTGAGCTTGTTCTTCAGGATAAAACGTGGCGCAATAGTCACGACCTTGGTCATTTTGTATTTGCCTTCACCTTCGGCGACAGAAACTCCCGAATGGAATTCAGACCTTCCATTCTTATCGGGAAGAACGACTTCGAATGTGCTTCCGATGGCCTCGAAACTCTGGGGCTTACTCCACGCGGAGTCGCCAATTCTCACCATGGACCGGTTCTTCTGGTCTTCCGTCTGGTACGAGTACATGTACGGAAGCGCCCGTCCACCGTGCCTTGGGTCAGCCATGAGACCCTGACCAGCCGCCGATCGGGCCGACTGCAAGAAGGCCTTGCTTTGGATTTCCATGGGAAGACCTGTCTTGTTCAGAACAAGGTAAGGGCTGTAGATAGAAATCTTGAAGGCACCACCGCTGTCAGGAATGTTGAAGTAATGGAGCTTCAGTCGAAGCTGAATTCCTCGGTCGTCCTTCAGGGAAAGCACGCCCTCCCTCTTGTAGTCTTGGGAATTGCCATTGATGATTGCGAAGTCGCTCTGCTTGAAAACAGTATCCTCTAGGTCAACGCTTAGGAGCAGCAGATGAGACAGCTCAACAACGTGAACCGGGCTAACGCCACCCTTGCGCAGGAAGTTCGTCCAGTCCTTCTTTGTGTTCTTGTCATAGATCCGATATTTGAAGTCGTAAGGGAGGAGGTTTTGGATCTCGACCGGGGCAAATATCCGGATACGCATGTAAGGATACGCGCCTGTCAGGGAGTCCCGGGCGTTGTAGGCAGCATGCAGTTGGAAATAGAAAGGGGGAGCCTGTTGTCCGCTTTCACTCTCGCACTTAATTGTCCGAGTAGGCCGACGTAGAAGGTCTTTCCAATGAAGTTGCTCCTGAGACCAATCATAGCCAAATCCTTGGTCGGGGCGAATGACAAGGGAGTGCATATATGCTGCTCCAACGGGCGCGGGCCTTGAGTCACCAGGAAGAATCTTTTCAATCTTCAGCAGATGACCGTCATTGGGGTTAAATACACCCAGTTCCACGGGGATTTGTGTGCTGTTCTCAACGACCAGTGGCGAGCGGAAGGTGATGTACTTGACATTGTCGGCACCCAACTTGACCTCGACAAGCAGACGATGAAGAATGCCGTCTTTCTTGGGCTTCAGGCTGTACAGGATCTCGCCTTCCCGAACAACAGGAATGCGGCTTATGCTGTCGAAGCCACTTCCTTCCAGCTTGACCCCAACAAGTCCAGCATGTCCTTCCGGTGCCAGCGTCTCACGCATAGCAGTGGAATCCTCAAAACGCCAAGGATATTCTTCTCCATCTGTCAATCTCGCGGCTGGCCCTTCTTCCTCTGCATTGACATCGGCCCAGACATGCAGGTCGAACCCAGTATGGTTACGGATCCGGTAGGGCGCATCAGCACCTCTCGGTTTCGAGAGGACATCTTCATCAGTGGAAAGGAACTGGAAGGACTTGGATGCCAAGGCAATTGTTGCTGAAGTAACCGTAAGCTCCATTGTCTTATGGGAATAAGCATCTATGGAGAGGATTTCCGGATCAACCTCTCTCGCCACGTGAAATCCTAACTGCCAGGGCTCTATAAGGGGCTCCCAGGCGGACTTGGAGAAGTTGTACACGTTGACAAAGGTATCGAAGTTGGCGTCGGCATTGAGTGTCGACGACCAGTCCCGAACATCCACGTTGAACTTCTTGACGCTCCAGTCGAGTAGCGGGAGGTCATGGAGATCTCCTATGAGAATCACCCTGATACCGTCGACCTGAGCGGACAACTCCTCCCGCTTCAGAATAGCGGAGCGTTGCGAGACTACCTCCCGATCCGAGCTTTCCGCTGCACCGCTAGGGTGACGTTGGTTCCTGGAAACCACGGCTGCTGAATGCCTGCCGCTCGAGCGTCTAGAAGACTTCGGTTTTATACTCTTAACTTCCGTTATCTTCTTCGGCTCGTCATTCTCGACTGGCTGCGATCCTTGAGCTCTCATTTCAGAGGCCTTGTTGACAATCTGGATCGCCATCAAGATGTCACGAAGAGAAAGACGCAGAACCAACGGTTCTATGTGGGCATGTATAGAGGTCAAGGAGGACCCTTTCTCTTGTGGACGGCTATCCATAGACACCTCGAGAGTGAAATCATCCAGGATCCGAAGTCTACTAGTCTCAAACTTGTCCATACGGCACAGGAACATCCCCACCTTGGTGATCTGCAGGGTGGAAACATTCTGACGGGAGAATAGCGCCTGTTTCGTTCCCAGAACGATGGCCTCAGTATGAGTGATGGCAGGATTCGCGATCGTGATGACTTGTGCATCAACAAGGTTCACCCTGTATGATATAGTCATCTGTCCGGCGGCAGCAGTTGTATCACCACCATTTGAAGGCGCGGCTGTAGACGCGTCGATGCTATCAGCAGTGCTAGTCCTTGGCTCCGATTCATCGGGCGATTCGTTCCCATCTTCTTCTACCACGGGCTCTTCTGTAGCGAATGCCGAGTTGGTAAAGGACTGCAAAGCAGACAAGTAGTCCAGAGCGAGTATAATCCGTGGACTGTCGATAGTCAGCATCGCTATGAGATGCTTATTCGGGCCTGGGGACATTGAGACGCTAGCCATGAATTGCTGCTTGACATCGTTGTTTATCAATGACATGATCTTTCTGAACTTGTTTGTGTCCTTGTTGCGGCTATCGCGAATAGAAAGCGAGTGAATCAAAAGCTCAGACTCAAGAGAGCCATCTGTGAGCATGCGCAGCTTGACTCGGGTGTCATTCAGTGAGAATTTCGATAGACTGGAATCTTCCAAGCGACCGACGGGGGCCTCGTCGCCAGCAAGAATAAGCTCTAGTCCAACACTGTCAACCTTGAAGATCATGTCAAGCCGAACCCAGGTTTCATCGCTTAGGCTAGTGCCTGAAGACGCGGTCTCTTGGGGTTGTCTGTTCTGGGCTGCCCTAGACTCGGCTTCCCTTGAAGGCTGTGTCACCGACGAAGGCAGAGATTCCATGGCCTCTAGCTCTTGCTGCTCCGAATCGGTCACAAAGGCGTTCGGCACCCTCTTCGAGAGATCTAACAAGAATTTGAACTGCTTCTGCGATATCCGAAGATTGATTGGAGACATGGAGCCTTCAACTTCCATATCCGGGCGCGGATTGTCTTGCTGATGCTCAAGATAGCATATGCTGAAATCGAGATTGACTTTCTGGATCATCTCCAGTTCCTCCACTGTACCCTCGTCGAAGTGGAACTTCGAAGTCAGCCGGATGTTGCGGATTCCGGAGGAGATCAAATTGACAGCCGGGCTATCTTTGTTTTCGTCAAGAGGGACGAAAGTATTCTTCGCGTAGATCTCACCAAGGTGAGCGGTCACTGTATCATAGGAAAGATCTTCCTTCATGGCCCCCGGGAAGACCAAGATTGGAGTATTGACCACCACATCGAATCGCATCCGCGATGCATTCTCTTGAAGCTGGTTGGCCTGGTTCGCTGCAGCCTGCCGGGCAGCGTTGAAGATAGCCTGCATTTTGCCGAACTTGACAAGGAAGTTGATAATCTTGCGGTAGGGCTCTTCTACGAAATTGATCTTGATTGAGCCTGATCTGAGGAAGACTTCGGAGTCGTATCCCGGGTAGTCTGTGCTCTCGGGATCAAAGGTCTCATACTTGAAATCCGCGAAATTCTCGCCCTCGATGGTCAAGAGTCGGCGAAGATCGGAGCTCTCTGACGCGCCCGTATTGACATCGTCGATCAGGGTCAAGCTTCCAATCCGCGATTGGATCAGCATGGAACGGCCTACAAGGAAAATTCCCACGTCGGCCGTGTTAAGGCTCAGTGTGGCCAGTCTAACGCCATCATTATTGAGGATGAGCGCAATACTCTTCATGTCAGCTTTGATGCGAATCTTTCCACTTTGCTGTGGCTGTTCCTGAACAGTAGTGACATCTTCAATATCTTCGTCTGACTCGGAGATTCGATTGCTTGGTTGTTCCGGGCTTGTGAAAGTCAAAAGAACGAAGTCCAAGAGCGTCAGGAGCGTCTTTCTAGTGACGACAAGGTTTATAGTCGAGACTGAAATATCAAGGTTCATCGCTACACCTTCGTAGGTAGACTGGAACTCCGGAGACTCGGGCTTTACTTTGACGAACTTGAGATGGAATAGATCCTTGTCTTCATCGGCGTCGAACCCTTTAGAGGATAAGATCCTCTTGAATTCCGGAACCGGGTTTTCCTCGATATAATCATCCACACTCAAGGCCTTCAAAACTACCTCGGCAACCATGTCGAAAGGCCGCATGTAGAAGTCCAATGCAAATCCTTCAGCGACCAACTCAACTAACAGGTGGTCGCGTAGCGGATCTTTCGCGTCAGAGCGAGACAACGAACCGCGAAGACGGCCAACCGTGAACTTGAATTCGAAGTCCCGACGGTGTATGTTGATGGGCTTGTCAATACTTTTCTTCACTTGTTCTTCGTCGGATTCATCGTCAGAATCTTCATCAACAGTAGGAAGCTCCCTAATACTGGACGGTTTGAAAGACGATGACCTAGCTCTGTTGCCAGAGACAGACGTTTCTTTCGCCTTGTGGGTTGCGTTCTTTGACGGGTCATCGACATCAAATTGAGGAATTGCAATGTCGATCAATTTCATAAGCCCTTTGTACTTTGTGTCGGACATGGAAGCATGTAACTCTGGAAGGTGGCCGGAAATGCGAGTCCTGGTGAGCTCAGTGACCTTTGGTACGATACACATTTCCAAGACAAAATCCACATTGATGCGATCAATGATGTGCAGGTTCCGGGTTTCATTGTCGGTAGTAAGCTGCGCCTTGGTGGTTTCAATTCCTGGGCCAATAAGGACCTGAGTGGAGTCAAGCTTGATCAAGAACCTGTCGTAGAGCAAGTGCTCAAGCTCCTTGTAATCACCCTCGTCATATTGGCGCTTCTGCTTCGATTGGAGGTCTCTCATAGTCTGCCGATCGACCAACTCGCTGTTCACACTGATGTGACCGGCATCGACAATCAAACAGAGTGAGCTCTCTTGGGTGATACTCTCAGGGACAATGATCAGAGGCGCATTAATATCGAACTGTGCATCGACTTTCTTGTGCTCCTCCAGGGCAAACTCCAAGCCCGCTCGGGTTTGCTGCCGGATGCCCTCTACCGTTGCACCCGCTGTATCCAGGAGGGCTCCAATTGACTCCATGTGTGTCTCGGGTGGCTCAAAGAATTTGACAATCTCGACGATGAAAGCAGGATTGTAGATGACTTCAATACTCTTTAGCTTGACCTTCACTACCGAATCTGCATCACTTTCGAGGGGGTTCTTTTCGAGCTCCAGGTGGAACAAGCCATTTTCATAGTCGGAGACATCATCCCCAGTCTCCGAATCCAACTCTTCGGTGCCAGAAGCCTGGGATAGACGATTCTTCGGCTGCGGTAGAGAATCTTTGACCTTCACAATTTGCGGGAAAAGACTTCCTTCGGTGGTTCCATCGTATACTCGCAAGCCACCGAGGTTGACATCAATGTAGAAGGAATCGGGACGTTGTAAGGCCTTTGCCCGAAAATTGTCAAACACTAGCTTCATGACTTCGTTCGCTTTCCCGTGGGGGTCGCGTTTCAACGTGAAGCTTCCGGCTCTGAGTCCAGAATTGACCTGGAGTTTAACCCATTCTCGTGGAACATCAACGCTGTCTGCAATCGCCTTCTTCTCGTCCCAGTCAATGGCATTGTAAAGCTCCTGCCGTTGCTCCTCAGTCATGGTAGTCTCCGCGGACTCCTCTTTCTTGGCACCCCAGAACCATTCTGACCAAGTCTGCTGCTCCGCAGGCTTCTTGACGCCGACATTCTCTTTGCGCAATTGATTTCGCGCCAGTGATCGCCAAAAGCGAATATCCTCATAGTTGAGCTTCCTCTGCAGGCGTTCGAAGTTGGCTGCATCTGCGCCAACCAAGTGCCCTTCCCGCTTTTGCTTCTTGAATAAATCAATGTAGGCAAGGCGATCGTCTCGACGTTCCTTGATGTAGTCCCAGGTCCAACGGCGATTCCGTTCGTGGATCTTGCTGAGCACGGCATCTCCAGCGAACTTCAGCCAAGCGCGAGGGTCTTCCTTCGGTCTGCATTTCGGTTGGAGCTTCCTATATTCTTGGTGGCGGATAAAATAGTGGAAGAGATCCACCAGCATCAATGCATCTCGGTATTGGTTGTCATCCAGGACGAAACTCAGTTCATCAAACAGCAATCTAGCCTTGATCGCCGGTCTGTCGTGCTCTTCAGACTTGTCCAGCTCCAGGCCAGCACGGCCGCTGACCGGACGAAGCATGAACTGGACATTGTCCTCGTCAATGCCCTTTCTCAGCCTGTCAATCAGTTCTGCATGGCCAATCCCCTGAGCTTCTGCGCCTATATCTGAACCCCGACCCGTACCCAGAAGTTCTGCATCAGTGCTCCAATAGACAGCAAGAGCGCCAAGGATAGCCAATTTGTGTGTTGTGCTAGAGGTCGACTGGATGAAGGTGGGGTTCCACTCGGAGTCGGTACTGACGGCACTAAGCTCCTTCAGTGTCACACCAATGGCGAAGGGGTGGTGTGGCGATGCAAGAGAGTCCTCATAACGGATGTGCACGTTCTTGATGGAGATCTGAAGATTATCAACCACAGCCGTGACCATGCTTTGGGTAAAGCTTTGGTTCCGACGCTGCTCTTCCTGGCTCATGCCCTCCGAGTTCCGCTCCTTCAGGATCTCCGCGCTCTCGATCTTCTCCATCTTCAGAGCGTGTGCCCGTCTCTCTTCCTCCGCAGGGTCGTAATCTTGGTCTTCCTTCGGAGCGGCAAGAAGGAGGACATCTTGAATATCGACTTTAACAGGTTTCCCTCGTAGGTTCGACCAGGGGATCGACAGTGTGAGCTCTCCGACATGTCCCTCAACAACGTTAAGTGGAAGATGCAGTTGGTCGAGCGCTTCCCGTCGAAGTTCCAGGTTGCGTAGCTTCACATCGCCAGACCAGATACCAATGTTGAGCTGCTTGGCATCGAAGTTCTTGACGTACATCCCCAGGAAGCGGTTGAGCAAGTTGGCGACCAAACCTTCCAACATGGTTGCGAGAGGCGGCCGTAACCCGGGCCTGGGGTTTCTGCGTAGAAGCCGAGAGAGGGGAGGGGGTTAACGGAGAGTGACTTCTGGTGATGTTGGTCTGGAGAGTGAGGTGGAAGTGTCAGTGGGGAACCGGGGAAAAGAGGGGCACCCGAGAAAAAGAAACAGGGAAGGAAAGACCTCGCTGTGATGCGCGAGGTTTAGTTGCACTCGCAAGTCGTGGAAAATAGAGCCATGCAGAAGGTCGGCTCAGAGTGCACACGATACCGGTGCGGGTTGCAGGACTGAGTGGAAGTATACCGACAAGTGCGGAGAAGACGAGGGAGACCCGTAGAAGGCTAGCTGACGTATACCCGCGAGGGTTCAGGTAGGACGGGGGAAAGTGAAGGGAAGAGGGGAGGAGGCCAGGTTGGGTATCAAGGCCAGGCCGGTGAGCCAATTGCGAAGGAAGTGGGTTGGAGAGAGACTTCGAGGGCGAGTTGTACCTGAGGGACAAGTGCTGGGCCCGACGATGACAATAATAATAGGGGGGGGGGGCTGCTTCAGCGCAAATGCCGTGACGCGGTACGTAGAATCGGCGACCACCTCAGGCACTGACTTACCCACGACGGAGTGACGTCGATCCCTCTGCGGCTGCCATCATGGCCTGAAGTGAACACCAGGCCTTCCACATCAGGCTTAGCCGTCTAGGGCTGCAGCCCTCGGGCTGAGTCAGCGCTCGTGGGGGGCTGGGCCAGTCATGCCTGAGGCATTCAGGATGACACCTGCGGGGGTGGTGTCTACGGTGCACCGCAGGGCCGACGTTACCGCACCTCGACATAATATCACCTCATTCATTCGTGGTCTCCAGTTGTTTCCCCAGCCAACCATCTCCACTCCCACGAGTTAATCTCGACCGATTTCTGGGTGAATACCCTCGTCCCCGCTCTTGCACCCCCTTTCTCTTCTATTTCCCAGCTCAATTGGGTGTGTATCCTCCGGAGGGTTGGGATCCGAGCTTTCCATCTTCAAGCTGCTAACCGCGGGTATCGGGAAAAAATTAGCTGTCTAGACGACGACAATGCTGTACAGAACCTCTGCTGCCCGCTCTGTCCTCAGGGCCATCTCGAGCGCCAATGGCTCGGTCACCCGCTCGGCCCTGTCCAACAAGGTGTTCAAGGCTCCCTTGACCTCCTCCGCTTGTTATCCCGCTCGCCCGACCTCCTCCCCCAGCCTCTCTCTGGCTACCCGCAAGCCCGTCACCACCGCTCTCGTCCGCTATGCGTCCACGTCGTCCAAGGTGAGCTGAGCTGGCCCGGGAGGGTTGCACCGGCAAGGCGACTCAATTGCTGATCGAAACTAAACAGGACGGTGAGGAGGATGTTGACATGATGGCTGGTATCAAGACCGAGGCTGTACGTTTCCGATACTATCCCATGTACCCCATGCGGGGGTCCCCCGAATCAGTGCACTAATAGGCATTCTTCGCCATCGACAGAAAGTCATCAAGGACACCTTCAGCCTGGCTGATGTCCCCAAGGAGGCTCTCGCCCTCGGAATGGCCGGTGTCATCCCCTACGTTGCTACCTCCCTCCAGACCGTCTACCTGTCCTGGGAGATCAAGAACGCTGCCATTGCTGGTGATGGCCTCATCTTCTCCGGTCAGAGCGCCGAGCTGATGCTTCACATGCTCGAGCCCATCCAGGTCGGCTACGGTGCTGTGGTGAGTAGCCAGATCCCATCCCATCCCATCCCACCCCACTCCCATCCACCCGACCCTTCAACCTAACCATCCACGACGATAGATCCTGTCCTTCCTCGGAGCCATCCACTGGGGTCTCGAGTGGGCCGGATACGGCGGCAAGCTCGGCTACAAGCGCTACGCGGCCGGTGTTATCGCGCCCGCTGTGGCCTGGCCTACTCTGCTGCTCCCCGTTGAGTACGCCCTGATCACCCAGTTCCTCGCCTTCACCTTCCTGTACTACAACGACGCCCTCGCCGCCACCCGCGGCCGCGCCCCTGCCTGGTACAGCATGTACCGCTTCGTCCTGACCTTCATTGTCGGCGCCAGCATTGTCGCCACCCTGGTTGGCCGGGAGCAGATCTCCGGTGTCCTGACCAGCGAGCACACCATCAAGGACAAGATCAGCGCTCTGATCTTCCTGCAGAAGAAGGAGAAGGAGGAGGTCGAGGCCCGTCGCCGTGCCGAGATCGAGGATGTCGAGTAAGGGACACGCACACATCCGCCACCCACAAGGAGAGAGTTCAAGAGTTAGAGAGGGAGTCTGCGGCAGCAGAGGGGGGAGGGGAGTGGAGTGTGACAGTAGAAATCACGTCGTCGATTACTTAGGTTATATTGGTTGGTTGAGTTTCTTGTAGATTACCAGTACATGCGCGATCAACAAACCCAGCCCGACGCTGGATCTTTCATTTGTCCGTTCTTCAATTGCACAAGTAGCTGCAGTAATAATAGTAGTGGTGTGGTAGCACAAACCCCGCAAGGAAGCACCGGAGATAAGCATACATACAAAGTACAGAATAATAAATGCACATCTACTACCTACTTTGATACTAACCCACCTTACTCAGATATCTAGATAATCATGTCAAAAAAAATTAAAATAAAGTCACCCGCCAATGCCAGCCAGTACTTACTTTAGCTCTATCCAATCCATTTAATCATCCATCCATCCATCCATAGGCTACACCATACTCCGTACAGAATACGCAGATATAACCATAACAATAAAAAACCTCCGAGAATTCTTCTCCCCGCTGGCAAGGGGTAAAACAAGGAAAACCAACCCGAACCAAACCAAACCTAGTAATTAATTAATTAACCAACCAACTAATCAAGCAGCCAAAAAGAAAGAATCATAAGCAAGCACATGGTTTAATAAGTCCGGATTTTAAGAACTAATACTATTTTAATATAATAAGAATAATATCCCTCCCCGCCCCCCGAATCTAAAGCAGGTACGGAGTAGGTAGAGTAAGTAGAGAAATAAAGAAATAAAGTAAGTCGGCTCCAAACCTACTTAAAGTAGCTAAATTGGCAGGGTATATATATAAAGAAGTGGTAAAACCAGGATATCATCTCTACATCTTCATCTTTGAATAAGCAAGCAAGTAGTCAAGCAAGCAATTAATCAATCGATCGATCAATCAGTCAGTCAGTCAGTCAGTCAGTCAATCAATCTCAATACTATGTATGGAGTAATAACCTAGTCTAAATAGCGATTGTCTCGACTTGACCACAGCAGAGTGCAGAGTGCAGAGTGCAGAGTGCAAATACAAATGCAAATACAAATACAAACTGCAGCCCCAGCCCCAGATCCAGACCCAGACCCAGACCCAGACTCAAAGGTACTTACCTATCTACTTACTGTAAGTAGATACTGTAGATACATACATGCCAGCAGAGCGGAACGGTTAGCGTAGCGTCAAGTTAACGCTTCCGCAATCCGCAATCCGCAAAGACAAAGGTAAAAGGTAAAAGGAAAAAAAGAAAAAAAAAAAAGAAAAAGGGAAGGTCAGACGAGCGAGCCGAGCCAGGCCTGCCTGCCCGCCGCCCTGGGGAATACGGGAGTGGAACGGGGGGGTCCATGACTAAGGTAAGGTAGTTATTACTTTAGTGAGTGATAGTTAAAATTGGAGGTCAGGGTAGACTATCTACTACTATAGGGACCATGATAAGGCGCGACATAGCAGGTTCAAGTTATACATAGGTACGGTGGTGTTGTCGGTGTTTGGTGTCTGTTTCTCTGTCTGTCTACCAGTTATCTATATCTGTGTGTGCGCGCGTGTGTGTATAAAGTATGTGTTGTTTGTTTCCTATTTTGGAGCTCGGAGAAAAGAGGTTATGTTGGTACTATATGTACAGCACTCCGTACCAAGTAAACGAGTCAAATGTGAGATGAATTGGATGGACACATAGAATTCAATTACATGTCTCATGTCTTGGAGTTGATATACAGATCCTATTATTGTTGCTATTGCTCCTGCTATCGGAACTAGAAACCAATATGTCAAGAATAGGTCACTCCATACTCCATAGTGGAACTTTAATGTGGCAGTGGCACATGGTAAGTAGTAACTAAGGTAAGGTAGTCTAAAAGTAGCACTAGAGACAGGTATCTAGTTATCTAAAAAGCAGTAGTGCAAAGTAAGTAGTGGTCGAGCGCAGATCAACCAACAATGACGACTGAGCCGGGCCGGGCTGAAACAGGTTTCGGAGTCTGACGACCACCTTTCCTTCCTTCCAATCTACTTGATTCACTGGTTTGCTAGCTAATACTTTTGGTTAGCTGGTCTGCTATAACTGTTGATCTATCTACATAGTACTAGATAGTAGTGGACTATTTACTTTGTATGTTATGTTGGCTTATGCGTGTGCCTTAGGCAGAGTACCTCTACTCGGCAGTATTTCCAGTGGACCTTTTAAATACTAGGTACGAAGTATATGCGGAGTATATAGGAGACAGTGGACGAAGCAATTACCTCAGAGTTAGCAAGTTCCCCACTAGGAAACCCTATGATAAAATGGTAAATGCAGTCTACCATGGACGGTACCTAGGTGAGGTAGGGTGGGTAGGTAGGTAGGTAGACAAAAGTAAGTGTGTCGGCCCGCTCTCCCCAGTCCAGTCCAGCCCAGACCTGTTAACATTACATTACTAAGAGCTCCGACCAACTCTACCAAGCCCCAAACCAAAACCAGGGTTGTTATTTCCCTTCCGGAAACACTTTGCATCATTGGCAGTCACCGATTGAGGTCATACTGGGGACTAACTACTGGGAGGGTGATTGCATCAAACCGCACGCTCCCCACTCCCGAACCGGTTGATCTTGCCCACTCCATTGGGACCACAACGGTCCCTGGCGGTTGCTTGTTCGTATACCTGAATAGGGATAGAGGGTTGATTGATCGCGTGTCGAGGCTCCTGGCTAATAATAGTGGTAGTCACAATAGTTTAGGTGCTACTATTAGCTTGTAATTTGTGCCTGTGGTTGCTTTCGCTGGTACTGTCTGGGTGTGGTTTAGAGAGGTAGCTTGGATGTTGATGTGGATGTGATGTGGAAAATCCGGTCAAAGACGTCACCACCCGTGCCTGCCGGGCCCGTGGCTAAGTCGAGTCCACCAGCGGACGGGTACAGCACGATCGACCTCGGGAGAAGTTTACTAGCTTGAGCTTTTAAGGGGGGGATACGTGGAAGAGAATAATAATGAAATAATGGATAGATCGATATGGGGGAAGGAGAAGGAGAAGAAGAAGGATAATAATAATAATAATAATAATAATAATACTATGTTGGTTCCCATGGACCAGGGAACATGTCATGGAAGCTAAGGTAGTGAGTGAGTGAGTGAGTAGTACACCGTAGCTCAGGTGGAGGTCTGGATCGATATCGAGGTCGCCAGATTTGATAATCGAGAAATCCTGCACCAGACTAGATAGATACTTCCCAGAATCCAGATACTAAGAATGTGGCTGGACGTGGCCGGCAGAATTAATCCCGTGGGCGCTCCTAGACGGAGAACGCGACTCCCCAGCCAAGCCGAGCCGAGTAGCCGGCTTGCGAGAATTTCTCCGTAAATCACAGGGCCGAACGGGGGTCGCTGCCAGTCTGCCTAATTTCTCTAGGTTGGGAAGGCGATGCGCTAGAAGGATGCAAGTCAGGGGAGAGGCGGTGGTCTAGAAAAGCACAGGCGATGGCGAACACGAGAAAGAGAGGGAGAAAAGAACAACGCATCATTATTGGGAGAAGGTGAAGGATGGGAGGGGGGGTGTGGCAGACTATCTAGGTTGTAGTCAGTTGATTACTTTTCTTCATGTTCATGCTTGTGCTCATGCTCAAGCACCGATAAACGGAGGAAAGAGGGCTGAAGATCCGGATGAGCAGAAGGACAAAAAGGAGAATTATCCAGTCGGTGTTCAAGTGATCAGAAAGAAAAAAAAAAAAGATCGAGCCAGGGGTAGCCAGACCCCCGGTCTAGATTCTGGGCAGCTCGAACGGCGTTGAAAACGGACTAGTGGGAGAAAAATGGACATTGTCATGTGCTCGATCGACGGCAATCTAGTACTTTGGAGTCGAGAGAGTAGCACAGTGGGAGTACTCCGTACCACCGGACGGAGTAGCAGCAACAGATGATACACGACAACAGTGACATCCCGTCGGAGGAACTTCCGCAGAGCCCCTCCTTTGCGTGGTTTCTTTTTCTCTTCCCTTACCCCCCCCCCCCCCCCCCCCAAATTGCGACAGCGCCCACCCTCCATCTAGGGCCGAACCAGCTGGTCTACATAGTAGTACATACCGACTCCGAGGGCTGGCGGTCGATAACGACTGCGATCCTGGGCAGGGATTGCTGTCAAGGGGGCGGGCAGGCAGGCAGGGTGCCACGACGGTTGCTGTCGGGGAGGGCCCGGAGATCCATTGGGTTCCAGAGATGCCGGCCATATGCACGTCGATCTACCTGAGACTCGGTATATATACCTACCACGCATTGCATCTGAGGGATGGTTGTCAAGTCGGGCAGGCTTGCGTATTGATGTGCGATGCATAATTAGTTCGGAAGCATTGATCTCTCTCTAGTCTCTAGCCGTCCCATTTCTTGGTATCCATGGCACGTCTGGATTTCCGGAAAGAGGAATGATAGATCCGAATCGGCATGCGCTATACTGGGCGGGAGACGGAGTCGTATAGATAGTAGTACTCCGTAGTAGTAGATACTATCTCTCCCTCGGCAATCACATTATTAATAACCACGCGAGAAGAAAGTCCATCAATGAAAGAGGTCGGCCATGTTTCAGGACGCAAATTGAGCAGGTACGCCAGCCCTTAATTGCTTGTTTTAACCCCAAATCCATTCCTGCTGCTCCATATGGCTTCGTGTTCGCGGGTGGTTCTAGGCACAGACACTAGCTCCTGCGGCTTGAGGGATTGACCTGGAAACAGAAATCCATGGAATTCCCATGGATCCGCCCGCCGGCCTTGTCAGGTGGGAGATTGGGAGCCAGCACTATTCTTAGCGCGTCTCTAATTCCGGAATCCTCTGCTGGGTCGGATACCTTGCCGATGAGGTCGAGTAGTAAGTAAGTAGGTCGGGATACCCGGTCGTGTATGTATGGAGTAGAGTGGCAGCCATTGATTGAATTGAATGAAGAGCAGGGTCCCAATTAGATCCATGCAACAAACAAGCAGCAGAAAAGAAGCAACTAAAACGATACGCGCCTGCCAGGTACAGGAGTAGTAGTAGCAGTAGTTAGTTAGTAGAAGTAACAAGTAGTAAGCCGTAACGCCGATGGACGGCCCTTCAAAGAAAAGAAAAAAAAAGTAAGCTAAGAGATAAGAATGGCGAGTGACCAGGGGTAAACCTTCCCAAAATCACATCCGCGTAAGGGGGGAGGAGGGGAGGGGGAACCCTCCAGCCGGGGAGACCAAGAGGCCAACAGGCCAACAGGCCAACGGGACCGGGGAGGGAGGGGCGGAAGTCAGTGCTGACGACGGGCAGAGGTCGTCTGATCAGAAAAAAAGCGAGCCCAGGCTGCCCAGAAGGGGATGGAACTGGAACTGGAAGAAGGGATTTCCCCCACGCCCCCACTTCTCCGCCATGGACGAACGGGGATTCAGCAGATTTCCAGATTGGGGCCTGCCGCTAGTCCCGTCTCGGCCGCTGGGCCTGCCAATTCGGCCAGTTCGCTGGCCGCCTCTGGCCGTTCGGTACGGTCGGTATTGTGTATAGGCCACCGGCTTAGCCCCGTCGATAGCGCGGCGTGGCAGGTACTGGTACGGTAATGGTGTTCCGTCCGGGTGCCGCCTAGACCCAGGGGATTCCCCGGAACAAGCTATGCATGACCCAGATCCCATCTGGGAAGGTTAGAGGGACTGCCTGCCTGCACAGTGAACGACTGTTGAGGGACTCGACCAAGTCGGTCGTCCGCCTCCAGGCTGGCTGTCGGAAATAATCAAATAGTCATAAACCGCGAGCACCACCGTCCATCTCATAGTCCCTCAATCGATCACTGAAATAAACAGTCCCACTCCCTCGAATTGGATAAAGAGTCTCGCTCGTCCGGCCTCCAGCGACTTTCGACCACTTTCTCTTCTTTCTTCTTTCTTCTTTCCCTTTCCTCTCCTCTCCTCTCCTCTCTTCTCCCCTCCTCGCCACCCCAATAAAACCCACCCAGTCAGTCGGGGCCAGTGACCTCATCCTCGTCCATCATCCATCCATCCATCCATCCGTCTTAGCCTCTGTTCGTCTCCGCCTCTGGGGCTGCCCAGTCCGTCTGTTTCTCCAGATCCTCAGGCCTCGTTCGGGTTGCTCTCCACCCAATCGTCGGTCACGGCTACGTCACCATCCACCGCGCCGGGTTGACTTGGTGGTGGTTCTGTACGCAGTTACGCAGTTACTCCGTACAACGCCAATAATCTGCTGGCTTGCCTGCCTGCCTGCCTGACGGCCTGCCTGCCTTGCTGCCGCCACAGCCGTCGTCGTAGCTCTCTTCCTCTCCCTCGTCTCCTGCCCCTCGTCGGTCTTTAGCACCCGACCCAAAAGGGCCCCGTAATCAATCCCGCTTTCTTCCCCCCCCCCCTTTTCTACCAAACACCGCCACCATTTCTCCAATCATTTCTTCTCTTTTCCAGGCTCTGCCTTCTTGGTCTCTTCTGTCATCCCTCTTTAGGAAAGCAGAAGACGGAGCCACCGCAGCAACCGCAGCAATGCATCCTTCACTCTCCCAACACCAAAAATCGCATAACCTCGCGAGCCTCGCCAATCTGAATCCCATCACCCCCGCCACTTTTGCTTCCCCCAGACCTGCCCGCACCCCTCCTATCAAAACCGCCAAAATGAGGAACCCCTTCGATATGGAAGACCTCGACTCCGCCATCGAGCAGGAGCATCAGAATTCCTTCAACGACGTGCACACACACCAGTCGCATGACGGCAACCGCTCCCTGCTCCAGGAGGCTGAGAACCGTTCCGATGGTGACAACCTGAAGAACCGCTTCATCGGGGCCATTGACACCGGCACCACCAGCTCCCGCTTCATCATCTTTGACTGCACGGGCGTGCCCGTGGCCAAATACCAGATCGAATTCCGTCAGATTCACGAACATCCAGGGTAAGTCTCAATCCGACGATGGGCGCTCGCCCGATCGGGGTCGGCTCATGATCTCATTTGTTCCTTTACAGGTGGCACGAACAAGATCCGTTCGAACTCGTGGAGTCTGTTTACACATGTATCGAAGAGGCCATGAAGACGTTCCTCGCCCTCGGCCACTCCAGGGACGACATCGAGGCCATCGGTATCACCAGCCAGCGAGAAACGACCGTGTGCTGGGACTGGGAGACGGGCGAGCCCCTACACAACGCCATCGCATGGCCCGATACTCGAACCACCGGGCTGGTGCGTGAATTCAAGGCGAAGAAAGGTGCCGATGAGCTGTTAGGCCTGTGCGGTATTCCTCTGTCAACATACCCCTCGTCCGTCACCCTTGTGTGGATGCTCCGCAATCTCCCCGAGGTGAAGAAGGCGTATGACGAGGGTCGGCTTGCGTTTGGTACCCCCGACGCCTGGCTCCTGTACAACCTCAACGGCGGACCGGATGGTGCCCGTCTGGTGACCGATGTCTCCAACGCATCCAGGACCCAGTTCATGAACCTCGAAACGCTCGACTATGACGATCGCCTATTGGACTTCTTCGGCATTGATCGGAACAAGATCCGACTGCCGGAAATCCTGCCCTCCTCGGACCCTGAGGGTTACGGGTGGGTCAGAGGTGGCCCGCTTGACGGCACTCCGATCACCAGCTGCCTTGGAGACCAGTCTTCGGCGATGGTTGGCCACTGTGCGTTCACCCCCGGGTCGGCAAAGAACACCTACGGCACGGGATGTTTCCTCCTCTACAACGTTGGCGAGAAGCCGGTCATCTCCCAACACGGCCTGCTGGGAACGGTAGGCTTCCAGATGGGCAAGAACCGGAAGGCCGTATATGCGCTCGAAGGCAGTGTGGCTGTTGCCGGCAGTGGTATCTCATTCCTGATGAACAACATGGGTTTCTTCCGTGATTCCCGCAAAGTCAGTGACCTTGCGGCTTCTGTCCCTGACAGTGGTGGCTGTGTTTTCGTGACTGCCTTCAGTGGTCTGTTTGCGCCGTACTGGATCGACGACGCCCAGGGAACTATCTGTAAGTCCGACCGTGTACCCTTCCCAGAGAATCACGTTTACTGACTGTGAACCAGTCGGTATCACGCAACACACCCAGCGTGGACACATTGCACGCGCAACCATGGAAGCGGCTTGCTACCAAACCAAGGCCATCCTGGATGCCATGGAGATGGACAGCGGACACAAACTGGCGGAATTGGCTGTCGACGGCGGCATGAGCAATTCCGACATTTGCATGCAGGTGTGTACCTCCCTCACCCCTCCTCATCTTCCCTTCAACAATCAAGTCTAACCCTTCCTTCCCAGACCCAAGCCGATATCATCCAAATCCCGGTCGAGCGACCAGCCATGCACGAGACGACGGCGCTGGGAGCCGCCATCGCAGCCGGGTTCGCGATCGACATCTGGCAAGATTTCGACGACCTCAAGAACATGAACCGCGCCAACCGCACCACCTTCCTCCCCCACACCTCCTCCGTCCAGAGCAAGAAGCTGTACCGCCAGTGGAGCAAGGCTGTCGAGATGTCGCGCGGCTGGCTCGACACGAGCGGCGCCGACGAAGACGAAGAAACCGAAAACGGAACCAACGGAGCATGATCGGGTCCGGTTTACCCTGGCTGGTAACCGACTGACTGACTGCATGTTCTGAATAATTGTCTGTTTTCCATTTTGGTTTTGCGATTTAGCGTCTTGGTCTTCATCATTTACAACTTTGTCTACGTTTTACGTTCGGGGTTCAGGCATGGCTATGGCTATTTACTTACTACACTACTACTTCTACTTACTTTGGTTGGATTGTTTGGTTCGATCTGATCGATCTATCAGCGGCGAGGGGGTTGTTTGTTGGTTTGGTTCAACTTCGGGGAGGGAGAAGGATTAGAAACAACGTCCTTCAATCTCACCTACCTACCTACCCCCCCGGTATTGGTTTCATTTCATTTAACTATTACCCGTGGGGTTGGTTATACATAACAGGGCTGCAAACGGCACTTGACTTACCTATACATATTCAAGAAAGGCATTGATATATTTCTTTTTAGATAGATGATAGTAATCGGATGGTGTCTTGATGACTGATGAGTCTTTTTTTTTAGTATTATACTGTGATGGTTATTTTATGTGTGTATTGTGTATTTGGGCATTGTGTGAAGAAGTGATAATTAAATAAAAAATATGGTATCATCATAAATAAGTAGGTAGGTACTAAGCTAAATGACTGTATCAACATAAGTGAAGAAGAGGTTCTAATCTCCGCTAACATGAAAATGAAAAGAAAAGGAAAGGGGGGGGGGGGATTGAAAAGAGGAATACCGCCAAAGGTAGATAAGGATAGGATAGGATAGGTAGGTAATATCCGCATATACTATACACAGCATAAGAGAGAGATAGATAAGTATGGATACACCAATCCTACCTAGCCCTAGCCGGCTAGCCACGCATACACACATATACACACGCGCGCGCGCAGCCAGCTAGGCAAATAGGTGGATGAATGGATGGATGGATGGATGTCAAAAAAAAAAAAAAAAAAAACACCCTACCTACATACTTACTTCCCCTCCGCCCTCTCCACCAACGCCTCCTCCAAGCCCATCGGCTCCCAAGTCTCCTTGGCCCGCTTATTCTGGACCCAGACGACATCGCCCTGCACGAAAGCCACGACGCCGCCTTTTCCGGTAGCGCTGGCGGTGATGCGGAACAGAGGGAGGCCGTTCTGCGGATGGGCCTCGCGCAAGGGTAGCATGATAAGACCCTGTTCGAGACACCATGATTCGAGAATGTCCTTGAAGGCGATTTCTTCGAGGATTTTGGGTTTGCGGGATGGGGGGTCTGTGGGGGGGAGGGTGGATTTGGGTGGTGCACCTGGGATAGAGGTTGTGGTGGGGAGAGGTTGGGTGGTTCTGGTGGTGGGTGTTGTGGTGGTGGGAGGGGGGAGTTCGGCGGCGGCGCGGTCGCCGAGCTGGGAGGCGAGGTCCATAGTGCGGAGGGCAGTGTTCCATTCGTCGTCGACAATGGAGAGGTCGTTGAGATGGGAGGGGATCTGGCTGCGCCACCAGGAGAACCATTCGGCGACTTCTTCGTAGTTGGGGTCGTTGGTGAGCCAGATGTAGAGGATGTTGTGGAACTTGGGGAAGAATTCGGCGACGAGGAGGAGGGCGGAGACGTTTGGTTTGAAGAAGGGGGACCATTTGAGGACGTCTTCGAGGGGGGCGAGGTCCTGGTCCTGGGGGTTGACTTCGAAGGAGTCGCGAAGGTGGCGCGCAAGACGGGGGAGGAGGTGGTTGCGGAGACAAGGATCGAATTCGCTGCCCAGCGCGTCGCGCCACAGCTCGATGCCCGGGATCAGACCCTTGCTGAGGTCCCAGGTGTCGAGGACGACCCGGAATTTGCGCTTCGCGTCCGAGAGAAGACCCGTCGGTTGTTTGGGGTTGGTGTGCCGGTCGTCCAGGTATTGGAGCCAGGTGAAAAGCCACCAGGGGAAGCGGGAGTTGTGGGAGGAGGATGAGGAGGTGTGGCGCCGGCTGCTGCTGCGGGGCTTCCATTGCTTCAGGCCGTTGGTGAGCTTGGGGACGACGAGCTGGTCGAGGACGTTGGCGTAGACGAAGGGGGGGAGGAGTTCCTTCCAGGCGACGATGAGGGAGGTGGCTGGGGCTGGCTCGAAGACGTCCCAGTCGTTGAGGAGGGCAGAGCGCACGCGCGGCAGCCAGAGGGTGTAGATCATGGTTTCGTAGGGGGAGGTCGACTGGCGCTGAGTGGGTTCGGTTTGGGTCTTGCGCAGGAGAAGAGGCTGCAGACGACGCAGGTTGGAGACGAGGTAGGTTGGGTCGTTGAGGGGCTCCCATTCCTCCATCGCTTGCCGGAAGAGAGGATGGATCGCGGCGACGGCGGTTTCTGATAGTCGGTATTCGTCGATGTCGTTGCGGTATTTGATCTCGATCGATTCGAGCTTGTCGGTGATCTCGTCCAGCCGGGCGCGGGTGTCTTCGCGTTGGAAGATCTCCAGGTCTCCGATGGCTGCGACGAGCTCTGTCAGCTGGTCGGCTTTCAGCTGGTTGGTGTCGAGCTGGTCCACGATCTGAGCCTCCTCCATGTCGATATAGGTCTTGCGCTCCGCCAGCCCCTTCCACTCGTCCGCAAAGGCTTCCAGGTCGTTCCGCGCTCGCTGCGCAATCTTCCAGGCTTCCCCCTCGCCTTGAGAGACGAACCCTTGGGGTGTCATCAAGCCCGCGGTCGATGTCAGCACCTTCTGTTCCTTCCCGGTAGCGTCGATCAGCGACTTGAGCACGTTCGGAACCTCCAGGCCCTCCATGTCCTTCTCCATCTCGCGCGCTGTGCGGAACTGGGGCTTCGCGCGAGCCACCGGTGTGCCTGTTCCACTGCGGCCCTCTCGTTTGCGCGCCTCCTTCTTCTTCTGCCGTCTTTTGCGCTCCTCGTCCGAGCTGTCCTCGATGGTCTCGCCCCGGTGGGCAGCCGCCCGTTTCTCCTCCTCGCGCGCCTGCTTGGTCTTCTCGCGGACGGCACCCAGACCGGCACCCGTCGGACGGGCCTGAGCCTCGATCGGATTGATGATACCCTGCCCCGTAGAACCAAGACCCTGTCCTTCGACGTAGCCCATCTTGGCCATCATGCGCGCGGCGAACGAGTTGGCTGCTCCGCCTCCGCCTCCGCCGCCTTTGCCGGCATTGTTGCCCCCTCCTTTCATGGACGACTGCACCGAGTTATTCCAGGGGTTGCGACGCGTGCTGCCCAGGCCGCCGTGGGAGGGAGGCGATTCGGAGCGCGATGACGGGCGGGCAAAGCCGCGAAAGCCCATGGCCGGGCGGTGGTCTTCGTCGTCGGAGCTCATGTCGGCTACCTTGCGTTTCTGGCCGGCGTAGGGCGAAGACTCGGGGGAATCCATGGCCGGACAGGGGAGGAGATGCGCTGAAGCTTTGAAGAAGCAAAGCAGCGACCTGAGAGGCGGAACGGAAGGTGAATGGGATAAAGATCATCTTCGGTGACGGGCGGTGGAGCCGATCGGGCGACTTCGGGGCGGGGAAATGCAGCTCCGGGCGACAATGACGTTCGCGGGCTCTCAACTCGCTCATCCGGCTTCCTCCTTCTTTTCTTCTTTTTCTCCCTTCTCTCTCCCCTCTTCTGGCATTATTGCAACTCTCCCCTCAACAATATCCCTCACCATGGCTGCCTCTCTCTTCCGCACCTCTGCCCGCACTGCCCTGCGCGCCGGAGCTTCGGCCACTCCTCAGACTGCCGGTCTCGCCGGCCTGACTTTTGCCCGCGGCAAGGCCACCCTCCCGGATCTCGCCTGTATGTGTCCTGCGATCGAGCTTGCGGAGGACGTGTGTCCCTGACTGACCCCTGCAGACGACTATGGCGCGCTCGAGCCCGCCGTCTCCGGCAAGATCATGGAGCTCCACCACAAGAACCACCACCAGACCTATGTCAACAGCTACAACGCCGCCATTGAGCAGCTGCAGGAGGCACAGGCCAAGAGCGACATCGCGGCCCAGATTGCCCTGAAGCCCCTGATCAACTTCCACGGCGGTGGCCACATCAACCACACCCTCTTCTGGGAGAACCTGGCCCCCAAGAGCGCCGGCGGTGGTGAGCCCCCGGCGGGCGCCCTGTCCACGGCCATCAACGACAGCTTCGGCAGCCTGGAGGAGTTCCAGAACAAGATGAACGCTGCTCTTGCTGGAATCCAGGGTAGCGGCTGGGCCTGGCTCGTCCGGGACAAGCAGACCGGCAGCGTCGGCATCAAGACCTACGCGGTAAGAGAGGTGGCATTTGGGAGCCACAGCAACAATTGGCTAACAGCTTGCAGAACCAGGACCCTGTTGTCGGCCAGTTCCAGCCCCTGCTGGGCATTGACGCCTGGGAGCACGCCTACTAGTGAGTCACCCTACCTATCCTGTACCCCCAGCAGCGGCTGACCGTCCTAGCCTCCAATACCAGAACCGCAAGGCCGAGTACTTCAAGGCCATCTGGGAGGTGATCAACTGGAAGGCGGTGGAGAAGCGCTTCGCCGCGTAAACGAGCCCGACGACTGTATATTGAGCAGCTTGATTAGCGATTGTTGATCTATGTGTAATGTACTGGATTTTGGGACTAATCAGGGCTGCGTAGAGCCCTAATGCACGAGTGTTCCGTCATCATCATGATGTCCTCTGCAGCATCATCACCGTACAACGTAATGTTACACTGCACCGCCACGGTGGCTGAAGGCGGGAGGGGCGGAAGAGCCACTCCGGCCGATCCGTAAGACGTAACCATCCATCTTATCGTTGTTTCCAGCTTCAGTTTCTCTTTCCTCCCTCCAATTCCCACCCACCATGTCCGCAGACAGCCCCGGAGAACGGCGCGGCTTCCGGGCCTTCTTCGCCAACGCCCTCCGGCCCAAGAAATCCCGCCAGGTGCTCCGCAAGGGCTACAGCGCATCAACGCCCGACCTCCGCAAGGACTCCCTGCGGCCCAGCACTGGCACCACCATCACCGCCAGCGACGATGTGCCTCCCCTGCCCTCGCTCGCTCCATTGGAGGCCCATCGCCTCAAGTACCGCGCCCTCAACGCGGGCAAAGACACCCAACTGGGCGAGAACCGCGACCACACAGAGATCCTGCACGCCATCGGGGTCGGGGAGATAGATCCGTCGGACCCCTACGCGGACGGGCACATCCACGACCACCGACCCCCCGGGGAAGCCACCATCGCCAGCCTGCCCCCGACCCTCTGGACCCTGATATCCTCGTACCTCAACCCGGCCGACCGCGCCAGCCTGGCCTTCACCAGCAAGACGCTACTCTCCCGCCTTGGGCCCTCTCCCTTCGACGACCTCGCCCTCCCCTCCAACCGCGACTACCGCTCCGACTTCCTCAGCACCCAAGACGGCCACCTCCCGCATCACCTCCTCTGCTTCCCCTGCGGCATCTTCCATCGGCGCACCCAAGAAGGCACCGAGAAACTGCTCCCGGCCGACAAAGTCAACCCGCTCTTCAACTGCCCCAACCTCCGCAACGCCCTCCTCCCCCCACCCCGCCACCGCATCACCCACAACCGCACCCTCCCCTTCACCTTCGCGCAACTGACCCTGCGCGCGCACCGCTTCTCCCCCGCGCACGGCATCCCCGTGGAATCCCTCTCGCGGCGCTGGCGCCGCGACGGCTGGTCGCACCACAGCCGATTCCTCATCCACAAAAACCACCTCCTGATGCGCGTCACCAGCACCTGCTTCGCGGACCCGGGGCTCCCGCCCAGCTCGCAGCGCATGCTCCTCTACTCCCGCGAAGACTACTGGCCGTATTTCTCGGCCTGCGCGCACTGGCGCGACGGCGAGCTCATGAACGCCTGCAAATGCGCTCTCGGCCACATCCCGGTCCCCCGCGAAACCACCGCGCTACAGGGTCTGGAACACCGCGCCAAGGACGTCATGGCGCGCCGCATCCACAACCCCAACGCCCTGACTACCCTCTGCGGGAAGTGTCGGCCCATGCGGCGCTGTCCCGAGTGTCCGTCTGAGTATCTCATCGAGGTCAAGTTGACGGAGGATCGCAGCGACGCGCGCGCGCTGGTGTTTCGGCATGCGATTGTCGTGACGCGATGGTGTGATCTGGGCGATGGACGGAGTCCGAGGCTGTCGAGGGAGTGGGCCGCTTGTGAGGGGTTGCCGGATGGGGAGGGGTATGATTCGTTTCAGATGCTGGGGAAGAGGTCCATCTCGGGCACCTTTGAATCCATGATCACCGATGATACGTTACCCGGGCAGAGGATCGTGTCGATGAATCCGAAGGGGAAGAAGTTGGGGGAGAAGGGGACGGGGTGGTATTAGTTTGCCCTACCTGTTTCTTTCTGGTCAGCTAGGCTGGATTGGGGTGGGGTTCTGTGTTCGTGGTATGTATGCATGCATTTGTGGATGGTGAAATGGGTTCTTTGTTATCTAGGAGTTAGATGATGGATGGTTGATGGGGTTGCATTCGGTATGGATATGGGCATATACTATACTACCTTTGTAGGTCCTATAGGTCCGTCCCTATGGTATTGTATGGTATGTATGGGAGTAAAATTGACAAACGGGCTATTTGGCCTGGCATGGCGCGAGAAAAGGTGTTACTAAGGGTTTAGTTTACTGGTTGGTTGGTGCTGGGTACACACAACTACTATCACTGACATTATCATTATCACATAATCTAAATCTAAATCTAAATCTGAATCTATACATAGTAGTAATTATTATATCAACATCCCTTCCAGTTAACTCTACATAATATGTATCTTAATCCATACTTCCAAGCTAGCTGAAGGAGATAATCAGAAATAAGAAGATTGGTTGATTGGTTATCTGTATCATACATAGTATATCTACATATATGTGTGTGCGCATGTATATACTCACCAGATACTAAGTATAATAACTAACTCACTATCCTCAAAACGCTACTCACTCCCATGATTACATATTGTATAATCAACCCTCATTCTACAGTTCTAGTTCTTAGTAGTTATAGTTACAGTAAGATATAGTTAGGAAAGCAATATATCTATCTATCTATATCCCTACACCCCAGAAGAAACATCTCTATTCTCCACCCACCCAGAATCCACAACAGCCCTAACTAGCAGAAGACAAACAGACAGCCTATTCAATAGATAGTAAACCAAAAGGGATATTATATAATATATAGTACTAGTCAAGTGAAGTCTCTTTTCACCACCATCTTCAATCTCTATCTGATCTTCCGGGGCTAATTAAGTAATTAATTAGTGCTATGTATATATATATAGTATACCCATCCCCCTCTCCCCTCTTTACCCCCTACGCACTGATTATGAGGAAAGCTTATGTACAAGTAGTATGCACACTGATTTAATTCTTATCCAAACTTGTCTTTAGTTACTTCCAAGGTATTAGGTAAATACCTCAGGTAACTAGATAAGTGGGCTTTGCTACATTACTAATTTCCAGTTTATGTGATACTATAGATAGGTAAGGAACATAATAATACCCTGGATATCATCTATTTTCATTGCGATCATTATCATCACTAAGAAGGTATTCATCCCCCAGATAGGTGTTCATATCCCATTGCATACCCATATCCATACCCATATCCATACCCGTACTTACCCATACCCCCCATTCCGATTTCCGTTCCCATATCCATTCCATTCCCATACCCTACCCATGCCCCCTTAAACCCAAACATACCATAAAACAACAAACAAACAACAAACAAACAAAAGCAAAGATAACCTAAAGAGAGAACAAAACCAAGCTCGCATCCAACCCCAACCCCAACCCCAACCCCAAACCCACCAGAGAATTTATTTTTCAAGATAAAAGGACAAAAGAAATAACGAAAGCCATATGTAAAATCATAAACATCGCCCTAAACATGAAATGGACAGAAGCATAGCACAGCATAGCAAACAACAATATCATGATATGCCAGATACCATATTTTCTTTTCAAACAACAACAACGAAAGTAACAGCGGCAGTAAGAAAAGGCAATTATAATAGTAGAAAAACATATTTTTTTTAAAGGGACAGACAGAAAGACACTCTTCTTGCCGTGAGATACTGGTACAAGGGAATCGGAATCAGAATCATGCATCATGCCATCTGAGACAAGACGACAAGAGAACAAGGCAGATAGATAGTAAGTAAGTGAATAACTCATGGGGTATCATGATAGATAAAGCAAACACAAACAGACTGACTCAACAACACGAAACATAAAACCAGCAAGCGAATAAACGACGATATGTCAGAAAGGGAAAAAGAAAGACAGAAAGACAATCATCAAAACCAACCAACCATATCATAACCAGCATAACCAGCATAACAACTAGATAGATATCAATCTACCCCCTCCTCGACCTCCGATCCATATACCTCGGTCTCCGTCCCGGCTCATCCTCCTCGGCCCGCGGTTTCTTCGACGCAAAGTCCTCAATGGCAATATTCATGGCCCCCACATCAAACGTCCGGGTTGCCTCCGGGAAAGTCGTAGAAAACTCTGATGTCTTCCGCATAGCGGATACGAGAGGAGGCGGGGCGGCCGCAGACTTCGCCGGAGGATTGTGATGATGATCGCCGTCAGTTTTCTTGCCCAGCCCGCTGGCTCCCTTCATCCATCCAAAGATGCCGAGAGAGCTGCGTCTCTTGTGTTTGTCGTTGTCTTTGCTGTTGGGTCGGGTGTTGCTGTTATTGCTGTTGTTGCTGTTGGCGGTATTGTTCAGGAAGCCGGATTCGGTGAAGGAATGGGGGATCGATCGTTGAGTGACAGTATCGGTGGATGTGGTAGGTCCAGGGCCATCGTCGACGGCGTGGCTCTTTTTAGTCAACTTAGGGTGTGCCGGGTTTCGCGCTTTGTGGATGACCGGGGCGGGTGCACCATCAGCAATGTCCATGCCTTCGGGCAGGAGAGAAGGCTGGAGACGACGCGGGGGAGCGGAGCGAGCGAAAAAGGGAGGTCGAAGGCTGATTTTCCGGCCGATCATCCGGCGATCGTCAGACTCCTCGGTTTGCAGACCCTGGTCCAATGAGCGCAGGTCAAGCGTAGGGATCATAGGAACGTCCGAGTCCCGGATGTTGGAGTCGATGCTGTGTCGACGACCCAGGAAGGAAGACTGGCTGGGAGTCCGTGCGCCAAGTCGAGAGCTTGCTGCTTTATTCGGAATTTGTAGCAGGTCAGATGATTGCTTTCTTCCATTGGGGTGGGGTTTGGCTGCCTCGATCCAATCCTGGGGAGTCAGAGGTGGCGATGAAGACAACGAGCTGGCGGATTCCTGTAGCGACTCGCGACGTGCCATTGAGCCGTAGTAGCTGTTGTCGAGCTTCGAAAGAACCCTCTCGAGACCTTGTCCGTTCAGTAATTCGTTTCGACCGTAGGAGCTGTACCGCGAAATATCGACTGGCGTGTGGCTGTATAGATGGCCATCTCGGGATGTGATGCTATTCAGCGGGAAGAAAGTAGGCGACTCGTCCCCGTCAAGGCTGGTTCCAGAAGGCGGGACATCGCCCACGTTAGCGACCACACTATCGACAACCTCGCTGTTTCCCGAGCTCCGTTTGGCTGTAAGCTCGTCTGCAGAGCGCGGACGACGAAGTGGATAGCTCATGGCCAGAGCGCGGTCAACAAAGCTCTTCTCCGCTACGATGCTGCCATTGGAGCGATTCGGCCCAGCGTATGCGGTGCTCATGGTGTCTGGCGTAGGGGGGAGCCCAGAACTTCCAAACACACTCTCCAGTCGTGTTTTCTGACTCGAACCATTACCTGAGCCACTCTCGAAGCTGGATTTGTCGGCTTGTTTGAAGAGATTCGTCGGTCCCATCTCCTGTCCCGGGACATCACCCAAGAAGATGTCGCGTTGGGGTTGAACCCAATGGTCGATATGGCTTTGCCTGGCCTCCTCTGTTCCATCACTGTCAGTCGAGTCTCGCTTTTTGACCGAGATGTCGACTTGATCAAGCCCATTCTCGCCGTCATGTGGGGGAAACAGTTCACTGCATTCGCTCAAAGCACTGAGTCGCGGCGATGGGGGATCCATTGTGTCGGTCATCGACTGCAAGCTCTCCGACTTCGTGATCTCGCTCATTGCAGAATGAGACTGGGTGTCAGCGGGGACATACAGGCTCCGAAGGGCTGTGGCACCCTTGGTCACATCCGACAAGAACGACGGTGTTTGCTTGAGGAAGCGGGAGTCCGGGGATATCCGACGGTGCCGTGAGAGCATGGCTCGCTTTGAAGACGTTCGTTCCGGTATATCCACCGTCGTAGCTTGCGTTGGGGTCGTAGCACCGGGGCTATCGTCATACGAACGAGCCGTAGAGGGTCGCGAGTCCGCACCAAGCTGCGGCCGGGTTAGTTTATTTTCCAGGAAACAGATCATGTCGACGGCCTCTGTGATTGCGTGGTCCCGCCGGTCAATCTCCTGTCGTAGCTGTTCGTTGGACTCGCGCAGTCGCTGGTTGTCGGACTCGGCGTCCCGGAGCTCTTGTAGCTCCTCTTCTAACCTGTGCAGACGGCGCACCTCCTCTTCCATTTTGTCCATCCGGTGCAGTTTCTTCTCCATGGCGCCCATCTGCTGCACACGATGGAAGATTTCGAGCTTCAAATCGAAGTTTTGTTTGTTGAGTTTAGAGACATACTAGAACTCAGTCAGTAACAAATCAACAGAAGAAAATAGGGGCTACCCGCCTCGCCCATTTCACGCATCCCCATCTCATGCGGCTGTCTCTGCCCGGAAGACAGCGCAGTCTGAATCTTCCGCTGCTTCTCTGAGGCCGCCTCTTCCTGTGACTGGGATCGAGATTGGGATTGGGCCGGTGATTGAGATCCGGACTGGGAGCGGGAGTGCGATCGTTCCGGCGTGCGGGGAGCGGACGGTTTCATGTCTTCTGATGCAGCACTCTTGGAGCTTCGCGTCGCACGCTGCTCGTTGAGCAGATCCTGTAGGAGAGCCGAGGACGGGTTCACCAGCGGCGGGACGGGCTCCGGGGTTCCTGACAGACGTTTGTCAGTCGGCGTCTGGCCCCCCACGCTCGACATGGCTGCATTTGTAGGGTTATTGCTGTGCCTACCGGACCTGGATCGCTGCGGCGTTCGGGGGGTCGCAGTTCTGGGAGTGGCCGACATGGGGGATGCGTCATTCAACCAAGATATTTCTGAGGATTTCGGACGTGAACTCAGGTGCGACGGGGGATCCATGGTGATGGTTCCCTTGATCCGGGTGAGGGCAAGAGGCTTCGGGGGGGCGGACCTATCTGTCGGGTCTTATCATGCAGTCAGTAACCAGTAGCCAGTAACCAGCCTCTTGGTTATCCCTTGGGGGAATCAAGGGATAGACAACTCACGCTTCAACTTGCGCCCGGGCTGCAGGGACGAGGTGTTGGGGGGCGAAGAGGAGGTCGGGGAAGGGTAGGAACAGTGTCGCAGGGAAGAAGGGTTGCTCGACTGCGAGCCGGTGCTCCGTCGCTTGGGGTTCCTTTCCATGGCTGCGAAGTTGGCCTAGCCAATGCGCATCACTGACACGACGCAGGACGCCAGTTAGACTGCAGTGGGACGCAGGATCGTATCCACCGAATGCAGGTGGTGTAGCAGGATCGGACTGTGAGTCGACGGATTGAGCAAGGAGAAAAAGCAATGTCTCGCCTGGAGGAGGAGAGATTGGGGCAGGCGCGGCGATTGGTGAGGATTAGCGGCCCACCGCGTCCAAGCGCTGGCGGGAAGGATGGGGAGGGGGGGAGGGGGGGAGGAGAGGTAAAAGTACAGCGATAGGGAAGGGAAGAGGAATTGGGGATGGCAGAGGGAAATGGCCGATGGGAGACGCGTGAGAAGCGCGGAGGGAGATGAGGGGAGCGAGCAGAAGAGGAGAAAAGCGCGTGAAGGGATTGTGATTTGTGACGAGTCGAGTCGACCGTGGATCGGAGCAGCCAAGAAAGGGGACAATGACAGGACGAGCATCCCCACCCTGCACGATTCACGGGGGATCTGCCTCTAAGCGATCAGGATCTCGGGCGCGGCATGCATGCGTGCGTTGGATGGGAATGTTCCCTGGTTGCCATGCGACGGGGAGGGAGGATGAATCCGAGCAGCAGTGGTGATGATGATGGGAAGGGTAGAAGAGTAGAAGAGAGGGGAGTGTCGATGTATAGAATTGTACAATGAAAAGTAGTTAGCCAGTCCGTTGTAAAGCCGAATCCCAGATCCAAGCAGATAGGCTCCCCCTCCCAGGCACTAAACTAGCATCCCGGGGTGGTCTGCCCAATGGCGGGCGGGAGGCCGTCCCTTGCCCGCCCATCGGCAGGGGCTGGCCGGGCCTGCCAGGCCTGACTTTTGAGTCGGTCTCTTGTCAACTTCCCGCTGTCTTTTCTCTTGGAAACCAACTAAATTCTTTAATTCTTTTGATCTTTTGATCTTTTTGTCTGTCCTTCCTCTCTTCTTTGTTCTCTTCACTTTCCATACTCTATCTGAATCTGATGTATCAACTCCCCTCCTCTTCTCCTCCCCTGGTCTCACTCTTCAGCCTTCCACCCGCCCCACCCCTTGTCCCTCCCCACCCATGGTTATCCCCGCCAGCCCGACAATCACCGGCCACCATCACGGTCGCTAGTCTCAGGTACACACCATCTCGCCCGTGGCAGCCAACGTGCGCCCCATCGTTCATCCGTGGTTAGGGCCTACGCGAGTAACCAATACCCAGACACGGCGCACTGTGCACAGTGCGCAAAACACAGTACTACCTCTCGGAAATCCCCTCCTCAAGACTCCGGTGCAGATGACCTGTCCTTTGCTTTGGACTGTCTCACTGCAGTCATCGTCTCTGACCTGTAGGATCAGAATTTCCCCAAAAACCCTCGAAATCAGCCTTCCGGGGGATTATTCCGTCTCCGATCTGTCAGGATCGTGTGGGCTTCGCCGTGAATGATGACGACATGGCCGGTTCTTGACCTCCGATAGGCGGACTCGAGTCCGCAGCCTTCACTGCCATGACAATATAACTAACTCTATTTATTCGGTTCTTCAATCGCTTAGAGACCGAATCAATCAATCAATCAATCTGTACCACGTAGTTTGACACACTTGCAACCTTAAAAAGGTCTTTTATCAGGTCTACGTCATACCACCACCACCACTAGTAAATCTTCAAGTCGTATCATATCATAACGCATTTCATTGCATTCCTCGAAAACCACACACATTAATCAGAATCAGCTATATTTTCATAACGGCGAGCTCAGCTCAACCATCGCGTTAACCTTTCCCCCCCCCTCGAGCCATCTATTTCTTCTTCGTCTCTCCCGCCCAGATGCGCGTCTGCTTGGCACTATCATGAGCAACCCGGAATACTAAACCAATCAATTATCAGCCAACAGAACCACCAGAACGAACATCAGATATCAGACCTCACAAAGCAAAAAGTAAAAAGCAAAAAGTAAAAAGCAACACAACACAAAACAACATAACATACACTGTCTCTCCGTCTCATCCAACCCACGCAGGAAATCCGCGCCCTGTCCCAGCGCGCCCTGCGGGTTGTGCGCGTGGTCTGCGATCTCTGCAGCCCGCTTCTTGAATGTCTGGACACCGTTAGCCACGACACCCCATCCTCCCCATCTTCCCCATTCAGCCCACGACAAGAAAGATCGTTGAAGAATATACATTACTCAAAATCTCCACCATCTCCTCCTCCTCAAACAGCTCCAGAATGCGCTCACTCAGACTATAGAAATGCGGCGCCAGGGACCGCAGGTCCACCGTGCGCGGGTCCGCCTTGAAGGCGTTCATGACGCGTTCCGACAGCGCGGAGGGGATGTCCAGCGTGACTAGACGAGAGGTTCCCAGGCGGGCGCTGGAAGGCAGGCAGTCAGTCAGTGAGTCAGTCAGATACTCCCTCAGACACTCCTCCCTCGACCACAAATCACAAAGGGTACTAGAAGATCTCACCCAATAGAGAGCATCTCCCCCAGCCATAGCGGGAGATCGATGCGCGTTCCAGCTTTGATCTGATCAATACCACCCAGCATCAGCATGTTCCATCCCCCCAATCCTACTCCAATCCATCCCATCCAGACAGACATAGTCTTGATGTCGCATGGCTGGCTAGCATGGCATGACATTGACTTCGTATCTTACATTTTCACCCGGATTCCCCTCGAGCACGCCAAGCCCGGGCACGTCGAGCTCGAACGTGCAGGGCAGTTTCTACCGCAGAGTCAGAACCACCACAGACCGCACTCAAACGACGCAAAGACTTACTTGGGCGTCGGTCAGAATGGCGTCGATATCATAGTAAGACATGTCGAGTGAGAGTTGCAGTCTGGGGACCGACCGACCATCTCCAGATCCTAGGTTCAGTTCAGAACTCGTCGCTCGCTGGGCGAGGCGAGGCGAGGCGCGTCCCGCACGGCGCGCGGTCACGTGATGGGTGCATTTCGAGCGGCCCACCAATGAGGGGGGAGGTATTTACAGTGGGGGGATGGGTGTAAATATTACTGTTATGGGTGTGGGATGGGGTTAGATTTGATGGTTTTGTGGATGGATGGAGAGGAATAAGAGACCTATTTGTATGTGAATGGTAGATTGAGTAGAGGCCTGAGGCCTGAAAGCTTGGGAGTTTGAGGAGATTTCCCAGCCAGCCATGACGTCATCAGGATAGAATAACTAGTTATAGATACTTAAGATAGACAATGCCAGCCGGCTATTATTTATTTATATTGTGAAAGAAACCACCAACCATCAAAACAAAATCCAAGCTACATGGCTTCCATTATTGTACCTAACCCCACCAATCCCCCGTCCTTCAACATTAAATTACTAAATAAGCCCACGTGTCCCCCGTACCAAGCTACCTATAAATTCATAATAAAAGACAATATTAATCCCTGTTAATAAGCCACCCCCACTTTCCACGTGCTATACTAACTTCCAAAATCAAATCCCAACAATCACCTGATCTGCCAGCATGCCGAGTAGATAGTTGAGCCGCACGGGGATTAGAATGCTTAATTACGCTTATATGGCCCTGGTATCTGGTAAGCCGCTGACATCTAATCCGTGTTTACTGTTTAGACTACTAGACTATCTAGTTATCTAGCTGGACTAGATTGATCCTAGAGTACGGATTATCCAAGGTACATAGACTCAGAATATCTGCTACAGCCAGCCAGCCAGCCAGCCAGCCAGCCAAAATGACCAAAATGACTACCGTCCTGATCACTGTTGCGAATCAAGGTTGGCAGATATGATTTGGAGTTCTGGTGTCAGTATTTAGAGATGGGATAGATGGGGTTGTGTTTCTTGTTACTAGATTTCTTTGAATGAAGATGGTTGAAAGAGAGGTATCTGTTTGGGTAAGGGGGTGGCGCTAACTACATACTATTAGTCTACAATGGTATAATTGTGTTGTGGTCTTTACTAGGATGAAGATTCTTTGATGTGATTTTCTTATTATGGTTCGGGAATGGTCGATTTTAAAATAAGATAAAATTAAGGGGAAAAAAATAAAAAAAATAAAAAATAAAACACGCTTGATGCATCCGCGAGAGAAATGAGAGGCCTGTCTGGAAGATCAGACGGGGGATTCCTTTGTCCCCTTGGTATCTACCTCACCGAAATAACCACGGAGACAAAGAACTCTCCCCGCAGATTATCCAGATCAGGCACCCTAAATACTTAACAAAAAGCCAAAAGAAATCTAGAACGGACACACAAACTACCTACCAAGGTAAACCACTAGGATCTTCTCTAGGACCGTGCCCGAATTCCAGCGCCCTCTCCCGCTCCCTCTCGGCCTCTCGGCGGAACAACCCACCAATGCCGCCTTCAACAGGGGTAGCAATTGAAGGACTCCACCCGCTATGCACAGGGTCTGGCCGCGGGTAGCCTCTATCGTATACAACAAAAGGCTCCGGCGGGTGAAGCCGAACATATTCAGCCAGCATGACCTCGTACGTGGCCCACTTCATGTGGGGGTGGGACTTGCCGTATAGGTTCCACAAACGGCGAGTGGCCTCCTCAAACGCGCTGACTGTGGGGATACGAATGGGACAGCGTTGACCTGGAGGAGTTACTCTTTCGGTAGGGGCACCGGCTATCTTTTCAACCCGATCATCGCTATCAAGCATGAAGTACGGATTGTTCAGGGAAGGCTCTCCGTACCATGGCTCTGGTAGGTCATCGAGAAGGTCTCCTTTCCAGTACAGATGGAGGATCGGAAAGGGGGTTTTTCTACCGGAGGGGATGTGGAAGTGATGGGCGGAGGTGAAGGGCTCGTCCTCGTCACGAAGCTGCTCACATTCCGTCCCACAAGGGCACTCCTTAAGCCCCATTTCGGTGATGATTCCGACTGCTGTATCCATCAGTGTGTTGGGTATTACCCACGAAGAGGTCTAGAGCCTGTTAGTTTGTGTTTGGGGTGATATAGCCAAAAGGGAATGCTTACTTTGACTTCAATCTTAAGGCCAAACAGTGCCAGTAGCCCGTCACCAAAGTAGACCGCAGGCACCTTGTTTTTGTCCATCGCGCGGGCTATTTCGTCGTTCAACAGGCCCGAGAAGAAGGCAGATGACATCTCCTCGGGCTCGTTAGCGGAGAAAGTCACCGGGATGGTGTCGGGAGGCATAGCATTGGGGATGGGAATACCAATGGCCGAAGAGATATCTGGCGGAGAAGGACTGTCCATGGCGGGAGGACAATCCGTGGCGGGAGGACTATCCGTGAAGGAAGGCGCATCCATGGGGAAGATCGGATCCATGGCTGGAGGAAAGTTGCTATAATGGGATGTATAGTCGTAAGCTTTAGAGTTCTGGATGTTTCAGAAGCAGGCAAACGGGTTACTTTATCCTTTTCGGAACCCCCGCATAAACCGGGATGCTTCAGGTTCTTCCTGGGGCTTGCCTCCTTTCTTGCGGTTTTCTCCGGTTTCCAGCTCTGCTTCTAGCATGGGTTTTGTGACTTCCCTCTCCCCATGGGTCCCCGGGCTTCAATGAGGAGCATGTTGATAACTGCCGGACGAGGAACCCTCCCATCAGGTCGGCCCCGAGTCTGACATATCATCATCAGATCAAGTAATAAGTCATGATAAGGCAAATCCACGAAGCCAGAAGATTTTTATCTCCAGCTGACGGAGGACTTCATGCCATCGGCTGTCTCTACTCAGGAGAGCTCCATTGGCACTGTGCTCCCTGGCATGGACTGTGCCATAGCCAGAAGGTAATCCGGTAGAGTTTTGTCGGATCACGGACAATCTGGCTGGGGGGGTTCTCTTTCTTTGCCAGTCACGTTTCCTGGGATTGTCCCTCTGCTGGAGGCCGCATGGGGATTGCATGGATGGTAGGCAAGTTCTTGCTAACAACGAAGAGGGAGGACGAGGAAGGAAGAGTTGGATGGCTGTGGTGCAGGCCCCGCAAGCAGTAACTGGCAGGCGTTGAATCCTCAGGCACCCACCGACAGGAGCTTCTGTTGAGCGCCGCTCATTCACTGGCGTTGATGTGACCATCGTTTGTTTACATTCCTATCTGATTTCCCCCCTCAATTGACTTACTATCCACGTGTTTATTCCTCGCTCTTTGCTATCCAGGGATCGAGTATATACATCTGATTGTGTTGTAAAGATGAGAAAAGGGAGATAAAGAAGCAGGAAGGCCAAAAAGAAGGCGCAAAATAAAAAAGACAGAAAGCCGGGCATCAGCCCATACAGTCAACGGAACTCATACCGAGGAGACGCTTCCAACAAACGCTCGAATTGGGGGAAATCCATTTCACACTGAACGTTAAACATCTCCGCCCACTGCGTGCAGGTTAACTCGCCAAGCTCCACCAAGGACTGCATTGCCAGGTGCAGTGTCGTCCCCTGTGTAGCATCTAGGAGGATCATTCCCCCTTCTCTGACTAGATTAGCCAATATTCTCACATCCGTAGCATCGTCTTTGTTTTTCGTTCTCTCTCGGTACCCACAACATGCTGCTTTGAAACCCAAAAGGTCGAGTGGTAAGAGGATGGGAAGTCGACGTAGGTCAACATCTTCGATGTTGACCAGTCCTTGAGGCAGATAAGGTACCTAGACCGAATAGGTTAAGCCATCGGCGTCTAGGCAAGAGATCTATAGAGGCATTTACACTCACAACTTCTGGGGGAACAAAGTCCACCTGAATCCTTTGGCTCCCAGCCTTGAAAAGAAGCGCTGGAGCAGGCATCTCAAAGAGCTTTTGCGGGGCTGCTTTTAACACGGACTTGAGAGTGCTCCCCGAAATAGGGGAGCAAATCAGGATGTCGACATCCTTACAGTTGAGTAAGTGAACGTGAATCAGACGGGGGACCCGGGGAATCAAATCTATCTGAGTAGGTGCTCGGTTAGGAGCATGATGAAGGATTGCTAATCCCCCCTATCATGACGACCCGAGTGTTCTGATACCCCGGCAATTGATTCAACTCTGGGGTGGATTGTAAAATTCCAAGTATTTCGGCAGCAGCAGCCTTTAGCTGCGGCAGCGTTGGGTCTTTATGCTTGTACTCGACATAGGCAGCATAAATCAGAAGAATAAAGTAGAATATGGACGAAAGAAAGTAAATGGAGTGTTGTGGCGGTAGTGGTGGTGGAAGAGAAGGGGGAGATGAAGGGGAAACTAGATGTCGGAGCGGGGTATTTCTATAGCTCAGATTATGAATGACTGAGCTCTGTTGAAGAATTGCTCTACGATAATGGCCTACGTTACTTGAGGTGGGATGCGGGCCAAGCAAACGGGCGTGGGAACCGAGTAAATGTGGCTTGCTGGCATACAACTGTTTTCCATGACCATCAATGAAGGAGGTCAATCCAGAGAGAGACAAAGCTTTAATTCATGACAAGAAAATGAGCGGTCAGGGCTTGCCTGTTACTTTCATGAAGAAACAGCAATACATACTCTGGAACACTGCCTGCTGTGCAACCCTCGAGTTACCCGGGTCGCAGATACTTAGTTTCAGACAAATACCTGGGAACAAAATGGTGACAAGACAGGCAAACAAACCAGAAATAGAAACTAAATTAAAAGAACAAACGGAAAAGATGACGAGGTAGTTAGCAGTCAGCTTTCGTGCGGGCTATCATTTCCACATAGACCTTGCATGGATCGGTGAACATTTCCCCCGCGGAAAGCTCTCTATACCGCGGTGGCCCCTTGAGGTCCTCTTCGATACAAAGCTCCATATAACGACGAGCCGGCGGTTTGATATCATCACAGTTGGGCAGAAGCGTGTTCTCCACCCCCATCTTCCGGCAATACGCGGGATACCCTGCAATCGAGTTGAGATCAGCTGTCCAAACGGACAGCAACCGGTTACTAAGTTTTCTAATATTCCGCAGCGTTATCTGGAACATGGCCTCGACAAACCGCGGCAGCGTGGGGATTTTGACAGGATAAGAACTCTCCCGCCAACGTCCACCCAGAAAGATCTTGTCTTCAGGCAACCGAGGGTCTGTCACAAGCATGTAGTTTGGGTCATCAGGGGCCGGCGGCCCTACCAAAGAACATCCGACTTTCTGTACAGTTGCAATCTGTCGGCCCCAAGGTCGCCATCGTGGGGCAAATGGAAGTGGTAAGCCGAGAAGAAGGATTCCCATGTGCGAGTGAGATCGTCTATCAGCCTTTTGCAACTTGGCCCTTGCTCACAGACCAAAAACCCATTGGAGCACAGGGCCTCGCATGCCCTTTCCATCAGGTCGTCCGCGATCACCCAGCAGGAGTGCTATACCGATTGGCTCGTGTTTAAATTTGGGGGCACGAGAGAGAGAGAGAGAGAGACATACCTGTGGCCAACTATCAATTGCATATGTTCTCAACAACCATTCGCGTACAAGAACACTAGGCACACCGGCCTCGTCGAGTATACGGGCAACCTCTTCGTGAAACCCAGCAAGGATGGTCATTTTGAAAGGGCAATAGCAACGGCAATCGAAGGGCGTTTATCTGTATCAGAGTATCGTTTATGTCTTGTGCAGCTGAGTATGATTCTATCTCAGCAATGACAGCAAGCCAGTGTTCGCCTTTTATACTGATCTCTGGGGCCGCCTGGAGTGGGAGGCATTTTCCTCCTGCCCTCTGACCTGTTTTACCACTTCACGTCTGATACCCACTCCTGGTTAGCACTATGCTCCAATGAGAATCTTCAAATTAATGGGGGGGTTCGACCTGAGCGGAGTAAGTCCACCAATCCACCAGACGTGCATCTTCAAGTTCGACTGAGAGTTTGGTTCGATATCACTGTCTTCCTCCGGCACTGTTCTACCTGACATGGAAGAACATATCTGTGCTAGAGAAGCTTGATTTCCCTCAATTTGTATAGATTACCTTCCTTTGCTACCCCTCCGCTATTCTTCTTCTTCGACGGTGGTGGTTGTTCCGCGGATCACGACAATCGCCTTTGTGTGAATGGTAAAAGCCTTCCGCCGCATAGGCTGGTACCGTACCTATAATAGAAAAGTGAGAAATCGAGTGAATACATTGAAAATCATAGCTAGACACCTCTCACTCTACACTCACTGAACACGCTACCACCCTGCCATTCACCGGTTAGGGCTGGATGACTCAGCCACATCACATGATGTAGACTATCACGTGCCCCCACCGCCCAGCGGATCTTCTTCGTCTTCTTTTCGCAACCCCCCCCGCTTCCTCCACGCAAACACCTCCTGTCTTTCAAGTTTGAAGGCCCTGCCCTTCCCGATTCTCCCAGGGACTTTCTCCTCCCGATGGGTGCATCCATAGACTCCGCCCTGGACAGTGGACGCTGTCGAGATCGCTGACCATGGCACCGGCACCGGCACCTCCGAGCGGGTCGGCCGCCTACAAGAAGAAAGATGGCACCCTGACCATAGCTCAGGACCGCCTATCGATCTCTTGGATCCCCGCGGCTGGCGGCGCCGCTGGGACGATCACCCTCCCAGTGGCTCAGATTACCAGTACGTTGGTGCCTGCTGGCTTCTCCCGCGTGGGACGGTACTGACGACGACCGCACCAGATTTGCAACAGACCCCCGCGAGTAGCCCGAAAGTGATGCTGAAGATCTTCGTCCTCCCTCCGAACGCCCCGGCCACTTCCCCCGAACCCTACGTCTTCTCCTTCACGGCCGGAGCGACCGCGCGCCCCGAGGCCGACGCCATTCGAGATGCGCTCAGTGCCGCCATCCAGTCTACAAAGACCCCCAGTGCCCCCGTGCAGGACGGCGTGTCCCCCGCCATGGCGATAGCGAATGCGGTATCATCGGCCGGGAAGCTGAAGAACCCGTGGGACGACGACAAACGGCTGCAGGGGGACGTGGAGCTGCAGCAGTCGCTGCTCAAGTCGAATCCGACCCTGCAGCGCATGTTCATGGAGTCGTTACACACCAAGCCGGATACGCTGTCCGCTGGGCAGTTCATGACGCAGTTCTGGTCCACCCGACTTCATCTGCTGCGCGCACACGCAATCGAGCGGTCGCAGACGCGCGGGTCCTACAATGTGCTGTCGACGCTGAAGCCGCGGGTGGAGGAGAGTGTGACCAAGTTGAACATCAGCAAGGAGCAGATCCAGTTGATCTTTAACCAGCACCCGCTCGTCAAACGCGTGTACGACGAGAACGTGCCCAAGCTCAGCGAGCAGCAGTTCTGGTCTCGGTTCTTCCAGAGTCGACTGTTCAAAAAACTGCGCGGAGAGCGTCTCTCCGACACGGACCCCACCGATGCGGTGCTCGACAAGTACCTCAAGGCAGATGAATCCGGGAATCTCCCGCGCGATTCGCACGTTCCACACTTTTTGGATTTGGCCGGAAACGAGGTGAACAACAGCCAGCGGCAAGGCAACCGCCCCGACGTCGACATGCGTCCGTCCTCTGTGGAGAAGGTGCCGATCATCCGCACACTGAACAGCCTCAGCGAGAAGATCATGGCGAACGTCGCGCCAGCTGACGGAGAGACGCACACTCCCGTGGGCGAGGACGACGAAACGTACAACGAGCTACAGCTGCGCGATCTGCGTGGCGATGAGGAGCACAGCCGCATCCTTCTCCACGTGAAGGATCAGAGCCGCTTTTTCTCATCGCAAGCCAAATCGGCCGACGACGAACAGAGCAAGCTCTTCGCCCAGCAAGATCCCGAGAAGATCCTGCGGGATCTGCGCGGGGACCTGGGACGGAATCTACCACCGGGCGGAACCGCGCCGCTGGGGAAGCTGGTAGAGCCGGAGGAAGACGAGGACGACGAACACAGGCACGACGACGAAGTTGGCTCCAGGACCAGTCTGAAACGCGCATCGACGCAGATCCTCGAAGCGATCCGGGACCGTCGCGCCCAGACCGATGCATCTTCCAACACGGGCACATACGGACTGACGTCTGCGCTATATGACCGACTGACGCTGACGCATGCGACGACGACGGAGTTTTTACATCAATTTTGGCAGGCCTTTTTATCTGGTAATCCGGATCGTGCGGGGGAGGTGGCATCTCTGGTCGAATCGCTCAACCGAGCGAGGGAGCGCATCAGGGCGGTGGCGCAGGACGCAGAGGCGGAACGGCAGGTAGAGGTGGACCGGCTCAAGCGGCATGCGCGCGAGGTGCTGGAGGCGACGAAGAAAAGGCTCCGGATCAACCTGGACAGCGTGGCTGGGGGGGAGCAGGCCGTCAATCGCTTGCTTGGGCCGACGATCCGGGCGCTGGAGACGGCGCTGGAGAAGTATAATCAGGCGTTGGCGGAGGAAATGAAGGAGGCGTCGGCGATTGTATGATAGAATAGACTAATGGGTGTATCAGTAATGACTTGCTTCGTGCTACTCTAGCGTGGCTTGTATTGTAGTCTGTACAGCTTGGTTTCGCTATTAGCATGATGGCTATCAAAATATAGCTATTAGCCTGCATAGCTCGTAGCTTGTACATTATGGGGATTGTATAGCTAGCTACTAGCTTCCAGCTGTATAGTGGATAGCTTGGGGTATAGCTTGTATAGCTTGTAGCTGAGCAATCGGCATGCCGAGCCCTCCGCTTCGCCCGCGACCTCGGCCCGCTTGGCGCGACGTGGCACCCTCTTCTCCTCTCCTCTTCTCCTCTTCTCTTCTCCTCACTTCTCCTCTCCTCATACCACACCTCAGCTCACCACCACACACACACGACCACGCAACCCAACAACCAAACGAATCCATGTCCTAACCCTACCCGAGCGCCTCCACCACCCCAGCTCACCTGCCAACCCCAAGACCGCGCGACATCGAAACACAGAAAGAGAGGGACAGAAAGGGAAAGGAAGAGAGAGACAGAGAGAGAGAGAGAGAGAGAGAGAGAGAGAGAGACAGAGAGAGAGAGAGAGAGAGAGACAGAGAGAGAAATAGAGAGACAGAAAGAGAGAGACAGAAAGAGAATGCTCACCTCCGGCCTGACCAACGCGCCCATCTCCAAAACCCTCCTCATCTACACGATCGCCTCGTCGATCGCGCTCGCCATCCTCGACCTGAAACACCTGACGTCGATCCACGTTGTCCCGCACATCTGGCAGTATGGCCAGTTCTGGCGCATCCTGGTGTGGCAGGTCGCGGGGTTTGCGAATTCCACGGAGGCGCTGTTCGCGGCCATGTTGGCGTATCATTTGAGGGTTGTCGAGAGGGGGTGGGGGGGGAGGAAGTTTGCCGTATGTTTATTTTTTTTTTCTATCTTTCTTTCCTTTCGTGTTATTTTCGTTTTATTTTGGAATTGGTGGGGTCTTATCCGCTGGGGTTTATACGGGGTGTTATACTGCGACAAGAAAGAGAAAGAGAGAGAAAGAGAGAGAGAGAGAAAGAATGCTAACGAGTGACTGGATACGACGAAATGATAGACCTTTCTCCTAACAACCCTTCCCTACACGACCCTCCTCCCGCCCCTCATCCTCATCCTCGTCCTGAAGCCCCTCTCCCTAGGCACAATCAACTATCTGCCGTCGGGGCCCGTGGCGACGATCTTTGCGCTGTTGGCGCAGTATCATGCTTCTGTGCCGCGGACGTTTACTTATCGTGTTTCGACTTCGACGAGCGCACCCACCTCTACTACGATCACATCTGCAGCCACTGCGGCCACGGCTACAGCTACAGATACACCTTCTACATCCACATCCACATCCACCGCAGCTACGACAACCCCATCCCCCTCCCAATCCCAATCTGCCACCCCCTCCCCCTTCCACTCTGCCCAACAACCAAAACCAACCTCATCCACATCCCTCACCCTCCTCCTCTCCGACAAATCAACAACCTACCTCGTCGCCGCGCAGCTCGCCCTCTCGCAGTTCCCGGGGATGTTACTCCCCGCCGCGGTGGGGTGGTGCGTAGGCTGGGCGTGGCGGATGGAGGTGCTTCCGCTGCCGGGGCTGGGAGGGACGTGGCGTGTGCCGGCTTGGGTGGTGGGGGAGAAGGAGAGGGGTGGGAATAGTAATGGTAATGGTAATGGGGGTGCGGGTGGGGCAGAGGGCAGGTATGAGGATTTGAGGAGACGGTTGGAGGGGGAGGCTGTTGCCGCGAGGGGGGCGAGTCAGAGTGGTGCGGACGTTGGGGGTGGCAGTGGGATGGCGGGGAGGATGAGGAGGGGGGGTGGGTAGGTAGGTCGGTACTATACATAGGTCGGTAGATTTGGTTGTTTTGCGGGCGTGCGTTTTGGGCTTGTAGGATATGATAGGATAGGATAGGATGGAGACTGGATTGGAATGAATGTGTTTCATCTTTATGCCTGTTTCTGGATATATCTACTTATGGAGGGATGGGTTGTAGCCTATTGGCTGATGGGTAGAGTAGGGTAGTATGGATATGGATTATAGGAGTATAGTCTATGCTTGCGTACAGAGCATGGTGTGTATGTACTATCTGTATATATGGTACGATTAGACATGGAGACATGCCGTTGCTGTAAGGTCCATCCATGATCTCCTTTCCCTCGAATAGTAGATAGCAATCATACACAATAAAGAAAAGAACTAGATATACCGATCCCCGAACAAGCAGACAGAACGTACGACTAAGCTCTCAACAATATATAAATAAAGATGAGACATCCATCCATCCATTCATATAACCTAATATTAATAACCTTAATTATACTATACTTTCTTCTTCCCACATCCAACAACCATCACCCATGGAGCATGGCCCATGGAGCATCATCCATCCATCCATCCATCCATCCACTTCCCCGGCCACAAAAAGAAAATCACCAGCCAACCAGCCCTATAACAGCCGAACTACCCCCCCCCCCCAAAAAAAAAAAGAACAAGAAAAAAACAAAAAAAAAAGAAATGTCCCCGGGGAGGTTCGAACTCCCGGCCTTGGGATATCCAAGAAGTTGCGACTTCCTAGTCATACGAATGAAGAACATATGAGACCCACGTGATAACCAACTACACCACAGAGACATTTGTTGATGTGGGGGGGTGACTGGATTTGCATTCTATAGTAGATGAGGTACGGATAGGGCATGATGATATGATATACCCGTATATCTAGTACCCCCATCACATAACTACTAGTTAGTAGTTACCCACTACTATACATCTACTACCTCATTTATACATTCCCACCATGTATCATGTGTCATAAGTACTATAGTATATATAATAAGTACTTAATATTACTGAACTAAACTATCATGATGATAAGAGTCATTATATACTGTGTCTATATCTATATCTATATCTACCTCGGCTATTATATTATATTATATTATATTATTATGGCTATTATATTATGCTACTTTAAGTTCGTGGTTATGTTGTATAGTAATAGATAGTTTGCACGAGGATGGATAGTGGATATTGGATATTGGATATTGGATAATGATAATAATAATAAATATACCAGACGTGTCTAGGGTGTATGTTATGCGTCATTGTCATAGACACTCTGTCCTGCTAAGTTTGAATCTAAAAATCATCGGAAGTAGAGAGTAACATAGAATCAAATAAAATAAACCCGGTAGGAGAAAAAGCTCGCCCATCTATACTCCGTAGTGTATATGTATGTATGTACACATCTGCCAGCACCAGCACGATCACATCCATTTACCAGTAATAACTCCCTCGTATTTCCTATTCCACTATCCCATCCATCTATCCATCTCCATCCCCACCCAATCTACACAGCAATAACCAATGTAGTGAGGAATCACCGCCCACTCCGACTCCGCCGCATACTCTCCTTACACTCATTACAATACCATTTAACTGCACAAATCATTAGCACACCATCTTACCACGCCACCCCCCTCCTCATCAAACAAAAGAAAAGAAAAAAAACTCACCATTCTTCCCAGGCGGTTTATTCAACCCCACACAGGACAAATGGAACCACTCGCGGGGACACGCATCATTATCGCACGCGACCATCTCCCCGAAACTAATCTCATTGCAATAGCAATACCTCGGCTCGCCGTCCTCATCCTCATCATCGCCCTCATGGAGAGACTCGTCTTCCTCCGACGCGGCGCGCGCGGGCGGCGGCACGGCGGGCACGCTGCCGTTCTTCTTGTGGGAGCGTTTGGCGGGCGCGGGATCGGTGCTCCGGGTGGGACGGGTGCGGGGGCGGGTTCGGAGAAGGGGGCCAGCACGGGGGTGGAGGTTTTGGAGGAGCGGCCTTTAGGGTTGGGGGGTGGGTTGGAGATGGGGGGTGCGGGGGTTTCTCGGGGCTCGATGGACGGGGCGGGTTTGCTGCCTTCGGGGTCTTCGCGTTCGCGTTTGGTGGGGGGGAGAAGGGGCGCTGGGGGTTTGGTGCTGATTTCCGGGGGGTTGTTGGTCTTCGACGGTGGGTCGTTGGGTTTCGAGGTTGGAGGTGGGAGGGGGTTCGGTTTTGGAGGTTGGCGTTTCTTTGATGGCGGCTTTGAGGTCGGTGGTTTTGCCTGTAGGATGTGGTTAGAAAGGTGATGGTTGGGGAGGGCGCATGACGTACTGTTGCTGGCGACACGGTTCGATGCCGAAGACGAGGGCCGTTGGCGGTTGCTGTTTGCGGGCCCAGAGCCCTGCTGAGTTCGAGATGACGGGGGTCGCACCGCTCCAGGGCCAGGACTGGCGGCACTCCGTGGGACGGTGGCCGCAGTGACGACAGGCGACGGGGCCAGAACGGGTGAGTCCACTGCAGCGGCATTCGTCGTGTTCCTATACAATATCAGCATAAAAAAAACCAACAAGACACCCCATATAACCCAGATAGCCTCCCAAATAATCAGACAGACAGAGACGTACCTCTTCCTCGCCGCAGCATTTGCATTCGGCGCGCGCGACCTCTTCTTCGTGGCATCGGCATCCTTCGAGACAGCCCTCCCCGAAGCTCCAGCGCCAGCACCACTAGCGGAGCGTTCCATCGCGGCGCCGGCATCCCCAACCGGGGGCCGTTCAACCTTGCGGCGCTTGGCCTGCCCCGACGCCGCACCACCCTGCCCATGCGCACCACCAGCACCACTCCCCCCAGCACCACCCTGCTCCCCGCGGCAGCAGCAGCAGCAGCAGCCGCCGCCGCCGCCCCACGAGCCTTCCCACCCTGGCCCTTCCTCGCAGCCCCAGCCGTAGCAGCACGAACATCATCCAAATCCGAATCGGCATGCGGCCTGCGTCGCCTCGCCATAACAGCCTCGCGGCGGGCCTCACTCCTCGACGCGACCTCCGCCTCATGGATCGCATGCACGAGATCCTTCGTCGACGCGGCCTCGCGTCTCGGCCTTTCAGCGGTGGTCGTCTTCGCGACATTGCGATTCGAGTAGGCCCAGTGGGTGAGACTGCCCAGACGGGCCTCATCGCTGATCTCGCCGGCGATGAACGGGAAGATGGTGTCGAGGCGGGTGAGCTGGCGGTCCAGCTCGTCGTTGGCGTTGGAGATGACGTGGTTCTTCTCGTCCGCGGTCATCATCAGGTCTGAGAGGGTGTGGCGGACGCGGTCGAAGAGGGAGCGGCGGGTCTTGCTTTCGGGGGTTTCGGGGGGTTGCGTGAGGTCCTATTATTCCGATAGCGTGAGCTGGTCATTCTTTTCTTCTCTTTCTTTCTTCCTTGCTCCCTCCTCCCTCCCCTTCTCTCTTTTCTCTTTCCTCACCCACCCCACCCCACCCCACCCCCCTCCCCAATCCATTTCAAAGGGGGGAAAAAAAAGAAAAAAAAAAAAAGAAAAAAGAAAAACCCACCTCCGGCAAAAGATCCTCCCTCACCGCACCCGCAATAACCGGCGCCGGATTCCCCGGAAACGGCACGGGCCTACTCTCCGACGCGGCCTGCAGCAGCAAGAGCAGATTATCCTCGAGGGCCCAGGCCTTGGCATCGACTTCCTTGAGGAGGGAGTTATGGCGACGGAATTCCCTCGGGAGGGCGGTGATGGCGTCCGTGAAATGCGTGAGGGCCGGGTAGAAGCCGTGGGCGACGGGGGTGGCAGACGCCGGGTCGTTGGAGGCATGGCCGTGGCCGTAGGCGAAGGACGAGCGGCCGACGGTGCGCGAGGTGCGCGAGGGGTTTGTTCGCGTCTGGCGCGTGGATTGGCGGGCGGTTTGGGGATGGGGTTGGGGTTGGGGTTGGCTTTGGCCTTGCCCGTGGGGGAGGGCTGAGGTGGTGGTTGACATGGTGTGGTGTGGTGGGTGATTCAGGTTGATGGGGAGGGAGAAAGAAAGAAAGAAAGAAAGGAAGGAAGAAGACAGACTGGCAGACAGGCAGACTGGCTGCAGGCTGCAGGCTGGCTGAGAGCCGATGCCGACAGACTCAATCGCAATCGGGGAACACAGAGAGAGAGAGACAGGCTGCTCGATGGGTTGGGTGGACGACGAGGCGCAGAAGAATGAATGGATGGGGGTGAAGTTGGAGCGTCGAGGCGGCCGTGCGGAGAAAGACCGGCCCATCAGGTGATTGGTGCCTGGGCCCGCAGGCAGGCTTTTCGCTGACTCAGACTCGGATCCTTAGTTATGACGTATGCCATACAACGGGGATTTTGAACATTTTCGGGGGACATCAAAATGGAGATGCTCATGATACTCGGTTAATCAATCATGAACAAACATATTACTTCAGTTCCACTCCGACTCCCACTCCCCAGACTCCCGGCTGGGACATTCCTACGACGTAGTATATAGTATAGTATAATTCTAACCCGAACTGAAATAATCAATAGTCTTCCAACAAATCTTAATTTACACGAGTGCACAAGCACATGCAATGCAGGTAGGTAGGTATATATGGCGGAGGCAGAGGCAAAGGTGGAGGCAGAGATGGAAGAGATATATAGCCAACAGAGACCAAGACCAGGACCAGGACCAGGACCAGGACCAGGACCAAATTCAAGACCAAGACCAAAGTAAACCACGCATGACTGTATCGGCATTGTACACTATGCTTAGACAAAGAAAAATCATACAAAAGAAGAGCAGACCGGACGACCGGAATGAAACGAGTAGACGCTAGCTCCCAAACCCAACCAACGACCTAACCACAACCACAATCACAACCAAGACGATTCAACGCGATTACTCGCCCTTAAGACGGTCCTGGTGCACGGTGAAGGCGTCCTCCAGGAACTCCTGCTCCTCCTTCAAGTGGACGGACTTGAGACCGGTGGCGACGGAGGCGCTGGGGGCGCGACCGGCGTACAGCACGTGGCGGCGGTTGTGGTGCTCGGTGGCGTTGAGCAGGGTCTCGATGCGGGGCTGGGTGTAGCTCCAGGCGCCGGCGTTCAGGGGCTCCTCCTGGGCCCACACGATGTTGCGGGCGTTGGGGTAGCTGTCCAGGTTCTCCTTCAGCTGGGCCCAGGGGAAGGGGTGCAGCTGCTCGACACGGGTGATGGCCGTGTTGCGGATGTTGTTGGTCTCACGGTGCTTCAGCAGGGCGGCGTACACCTGGCCCGAGCACAGGATGACACGCTCGATCTTCTCGGGCTCGTCGATCTCCTTGCCGTGGGCATCATCGGGGATGATCCAGCGGAAGTGGGAGTCGCCGGTGAAGTTCTCAATGTCGGAGCGAGCGATCGGGTGACGCAGGAGAGACTTGGAGAAGAAGAGCACCAGGGCTGGGATGGTTAGCAAGCATACAGGCACTAAAAAGAGACATCAGACTTACGCTTGCGGAACTGGCGGTGGATCTGGCGACGCAGGATGTGGAACAGGTTGGCGGGATCCGTCATGCAGGCGATCTGCATGTTGCAGTCCTGGTGCTGGCGGTCGAGCTTGTCGCCGGAGGGGAAGAGGCGGGGCTCCTCGTTACAGAGCTGCAGCCAACGCTCCATTCTGCCGGAGGAGTGCTCGGGACCCTGGCCATCGTAACCGTGGGGCAGGGACACGACCAGGCCGGAACGCTGCAGCCACTTCGACTCACCGGCAGCGATGAACTGATCGATGATGCACTGCGCGTTGTTGGCGAAGTCACCGAACTGGGCCTCCCACATGACAAGAGCGTTGGGGGAGGTCAGGGAGTAGCCGTATTCGAAACCGAGACTGTTGAAGGTAGGTTAGCCCAATACACTTTGACACGGGGACGAACAACGTACGCTCCGAATTCGCTCAGGGAGGAGTTGGAGATGACAAAGCTGCCCTGCTTCTCCGAGATGTTCTGGAGGGGAGTGTAGGTGGCCTCGTTCTCCTGGTCGTGCAGAACGGCGTGGCGCTGAGAGAAGGTACCACGCTCGACGTCCTGACCGGAGATACGCACGTGGTAGCCCTCGTTGACGAGGGAACCGAAGGCAAGAGCCTCGGCGGTCGCCCAGTCGATGTTCTTGCCCTCGTCGACAGACTTCTTGCGGTTGGACAAGATACGCTTGAGGTTGCGGTGGAGGGTGAAGCCGTCCGGACCGCCGCTGATCTTGTCACCAACGTGCTGGAGGAGAGGACCGTCCACGCCAGTGGGGAGGTGAGGCAGAACCTCGTTGGCCAGCTCCTTGGGGGTCTTGAAGCCGTTCCAGGCGGAGGTCAGCCACTCCTTGCTGGTGGGCTGGTAGTCCTTGCTGCGGTCGAAGCTGTCGTTCAGCATGCCCCAGACCCACTTCTTGTGCTCGTCGATGTCCTCCTTGGTGAAGGAGCCCTCCTCGATCAGCTTGGCGACGTACGTGTCGAGCTGGCTCTTCTGCGCGGCAATGCGCTTGTACATCAGAGGCTGAGTGAACGAGGGCTGATCGGTCTCATTGTGACCCTGCTTACGGTAGCAGACGATGTCGATGACAACGTCGGTCTTGAACTCGGCGCGCCAGTCGGCAGCGACCTGGCAGACGTAGTTGACCGCCTCGACGTCGTCCGCGTTGACGTGGAAGACAGGGGCGTCAATGGACTTGGCAATGTCGGAGCAGTAAGGGGTGGAGCGCGAGTAGCGGGGGTCGGTGGTGAAACCGATCTGGTTGTTGACGATGATGTGGATGGTACCGCCGGTGGAGTAGGCGGGGAGCGAGTGGAAGCCCATGGTCTCGTAGACGACACCTTGGCCGGCGAAGGCGGCATCACCGTGCAGCAGGACACCCATGGCCGAGTTGAACTCGGTCTCGTCCTTGTTGTAGTGCTGGATGGAGCGGGTCTTGCCGAGCACGACGGGGTCCTCGGCCTCCAAGTGGGAGGGGTTGGCGACCAGAGAGAGCTGGACGCGCTTGCCCGAGGGGGTCGGGCGCTCGAAGTTCATACCCAGGTGGTACTTGACGTCACCGGAACCCTCGTCGGAGGGCTCGGTGGAGCCGGCGAACTCGCTGAAGATGGACTCGTTGGGCTTGCGGACGACGTTGGAGAGGACGTTCAGACGACCACGGTGGGGCATACCGATGACGATGTCCTTGATGCCGTAGTCGACACTGCGGTCGATCAGGGCCTTCATACCGGGCACCAGGGTCTCACAACCCTCCAGACCGAAACGCTTGTCGTTGGGGAACTTGGTGGCCAGGAAGGACTCGAAGCTGTGAGACCAGATCAGGCGGTCGAGGATGCGGCGCTTGTCGTCGACGGAGTACTTGTAGGGCTCGGGGATCTCGAAGCGGTCGCGGATCCAGTCGCAAGGCTTGCGGTCGGGGATGTGGATGTACTCCACACCGTAGGAGCCGCAGTAGATCTTCTCGCAGGTGGCAATGATCTCGCGCAGGGACATCTTCTTGCGCTCCTCGGTGGCGAAGCGGGGGAGGATACCGGGTCCGAGGGTGAACTCCTCGTCCAGATCGCGCTCGGTGAAGCCGTAGTGGTCGAGCTCGAGCTCCTTGGGCTTGTTGTAGCCGAACGCCTCGGCCTCGCCGCGGATGCCCAGGGGGTCGATCTTGGCCTTGTGGTGGCCACGAGCCTGGTAGGCGCGAACCAGGAGCTGCACCTTCAGGTGATTCGTGACGTCGGTCCCGGCCGCGAACGACAGACCCGCACCAGGCATCTCCTGGGGGACACCGCCAGTGGGGGTGGGGACGAGGGTGGGAGGGGGCTGGAAGGCCTGGGAGACGGGCATCTTGCCATCCTCCATGTTCTTGAAATACGTCTGCCACGAGATGTGGACGCTGGAGGGATCCTTCTTCCAGGCGAGGTACATCTCGTCGATGTAGTTGGCGGTGTTGCCCGAGAGGAACGAGTCATTGGCGTCCTAGAGTCGTGGGAAGCGCGACAGTCAGTAGGGGCTCTTCCCAGGTCGGGGGTTCTGCGCGAGGGAGCTTACCACACCCGTGCCCTCCGCGGACGAGGCATAGCGCTTGCTGTTGGACAGGCGATCGACGATGGCGAGAGGGCGTCTGGTGGTCAGACCCAGTTTTGAGGAGCGGGCAGAGGCAGCTCTGGCGGTAGAAGTGAGGGAGAGAGACCTCCGGCAGGCGGAGCAGGCAGGACCGCGCAGCATGCCGCCGCTGGTCGCCTTGATGGCGGTGGTACGAAACATGGCGGGAAATTTTCCAGAAGCGTAACACGAGCTTAAGAAGAGTGGCACGAGGGATGCGAGAGTCGCAATGAGATTATCACGAGAAATAAAAAAAAAACTATATGGGTGTTGTGAGCGGGCGTCCAGGCGGCGCGGCAGTTTGAAGCTGCGGGATTTTTCAGACAGACGGATGAAGGGAACACGCACGGGGTAATGGGAGGGGATCAAGAGAACAACACAGGTGTCGACTATGATTGCCGTAGCACCTGGACAGGAACGGGACTCATTAGAGAGCGCAAGGACGCTCTAGAAACAGGGAGTGGGGAGGAAGAAACCTCGTGGAGAATGGAAAGGGAGGAGAGGAGAGGAGAGTAGGAGAGGAGAGAAGATGGAGATGGACGGACTGGGAGGAGACAGAGAGCCTGAGAGGTTTGCCGAGATGGACGGCTATGACGGGGCAACGTGTGGCTGGTGGCTGAAGTTACGCTGTTCAGCGCGGGCCGAACGTCCCGGTTGCGGGTATTGAGTCAGCAACAGCACCGCCACACCGGCTATGGGATTGCCCGTCCGGGTCTTTGCGGGTGGGCACGTGGTGCAGTACAAGTACAGAGGCACATACAGTAGTTATACTCCGTCCAGAAGACAGACACACACTAAAATCCTATATTGACAAACAAAAGTGGTATATAGATTAGATCCAGCCAGATCAACCCTCCCATGAAGCCGCAGCAGAAACAAAAAATAGCACACACAAAACCACCAAACAAATCATTACATCATCATCAATAAGTTAATAGGGATAGATCGCGGCCCGTGGCTGCAACCCGGCATTAAATATCAGGCATTACAATCATGAGGTATATCGCAGTCCAAATGCCCCTGTAAACAGGCAAGCCAATATGAGCTATATACTCCCGCCCCGAGCCGGCGATAACCAGGTCGGGGGACGGGCTGGTCACACGCATGTCGACACCTCGCAGATGACCACTCTAGTAGGTCGACTTCACGCGGATCAACGTCAGTAGGAGCTTCGGTCACCCGCACTTCGGGGACCCACCCGCTGATCGGTCGCGCTCTGCGGCCATTTGAGCTTGGTATTGTTATTGTTGTTGTTGTTGTTGTCCGTCTCCCGGATGGGCGACTCCGTCTGCCCAAACACGTCCGGAGGGGCGGTGTATACCGTCGGGCTGGCATCGGAGATGAAGCTCGCGCGGTTCGACGACGTGTGCAGATGCGGCGGGGGACTGCCGCTGCTGCTGCGGAGACTGCCGTTGCTGCCGCCCCAGGCACCGCGGCGCAGTTTCATCAAGGCGCTCAGCGTCATCTCGTCATCCATGGCCCCGAGGTCGACGAGATGGGCCAGTCCCGGGCTGGACAGCGGGCGCGAATGGGCGGCCCCGTGCGCGGTCAGCGAGATCACCGAGTTGCGCGTACTCCATTCGCTGCGCTCCGTGATGGGGGTCAGACTGGGCTCGCAGAATTTGCCTCGGCTGCTGAAGCTGCGGGTGAGGCCCTCTTTGCCTCGCGGACCGAAGTAGCCGCCGTTGGTGAGTTCCCCGTTGCAGCCGCCATGGGCCTGGGCGTAGAAGCCAAATTCATGGCCATATATGCCCTCGTCGTCGTTCTCCAGGGCCTCCGCGTTGGCGGCGGCGATGATGGGGTCGTCGAAGAAAGTGGCGTCGTTGTCGTCGTAGCTAAAGTCCTCGAACACCTCGTCGAAGCCGACCATGTCGACGGTCTGGCTCAGGTGGCTGTCGTCCGAGATGAGTCCGGAGGGGGTGTCCATGGTCTGGGCGGCGCTGTCTTGGCCCAGGGACCGCTCGCTGATGCTGGCAGTGTGTCCGAACCGGTCGCTGGTGGCGGCACTGTTGGCCGCTTGGGCCAGTGCGTTGTGGAACGCTTCCAGGTTGTGCTCCGACAGCACGCCGCCATGCGCCTTGGCAGCCCCCAGACTGGAAAGACTTTCCAGGGTGGGAGCGTAATTGCGGATCGATCCCCGGCGGTAGTCACTGGCCATGCTGGGAACATGCCGCAGTCCTCCCTCATAGCCCGGCTCTGGTGCTAGCTCTTCGTGTTCAGTAACGATGTCCAGCGAGTCACCAGTCGGTTGGGGAGGGCGCTGGACCGTCTTTCGCTCATACAGGTGACTCGTCTCATCGTCGAAGATCGACTCATCGAATTTCTCGCCCGCGTCATCGGTCGTGAGATCCCCAAACTCGCCATCATCGAAATACAAGTCATCGTCGTCCACCGGCTGCGAGGCCTGCGGTGCCGTGGCGTCGGTCGTGAGATCAAACTCGCCGTCGTCAAAATACAGGTCATCGTCATCATCGACCGGTTGCGATGTTGGCGGTGCACCTCCTGCTGGCAAATTCAAAGAGAAAGGGGCGGCTGCTGGGAATGACTGGAAGTAGTCACCAGTCTCAGGGGGCATTTCACTCTCGGGTAAAGGAGCAGGATCCCCCGAGCTCAGACCGACCTGAGGCTCCTGAGAATTAGACACCCCGGGGGGAAGCGGACTAGCAATGATCGGAGAAAGGCCCGGGGCAATCCAGGACCGGTTGAGAGCAGGGCCCGGGCCGGAGAAGTCGGCAAACCCGTCGTCGTCCGCATCGACATTGACGCCGGGGATCTTCTCCTCAAACCCATCCAGATCGTCCAGCAGGTCGTCATAATCATCATCGCTGAACTCCTCGCCCTCCATGCGCGCCTTGGCCCTTCTCGCAGCCTCCTTCTCCTTGTGCTTCTCCTCCAAAAGCTTCTCCTGGGCGGAGGACTCGACGCCATTCATGTCAAAGCTGAATCGCGAGGCATTACTCTTGAGATGCTTGGGCAGGCCGGTTGGTTGGTGCGGTATGACCTCGATGGTATCGGCCTCCTGGACAGTCGGCGGCGCAGGAACCGACGGGGCAGGCCGAATGTCCTGTTTAGGCGGCGATTCCGACGCAGCCTCCTCTGGCAGCTTCGAGGGCAGCCTCCTTGCAAACACCGGAAGCGCAGTCGGATCGCTGTCGACGTTCGTGGGGTCCGTCAGCAAGGCGGACTGCAGATACGCTTTCTTCTCCACCTGCAGCACCTTCTGATCGTCGTCAAAATGCTCCCTGAACACGGGGGAATACTCCGTCTGTCGCCTCCTGTCCACCTGGTCCTGACCGCCCGCACCCCCGTCCCCATTGTAGACAGCATCCGAGCCGGATGGATCGTGGCCCCGCCGCAGCACCGGCGCGACGGACAGGTTTCGTCGTGTGCGCGGCGCGGAGAAGTCGTGAACGATCTTCCCTCGGATGCGCGGATCATAGTCGTCCGGGATGGCGGGGACCATGTTGCGGGTGCTCTTGCTCGGCTCCTCCATGCGCAGGCTGGTCAATTGGGACGAGCGCCTGCGGGCCAGCAGCGACATGGGGTTCAGCAGATGCAGCCGGGTCTTGCCGGATCTGTGGTGCGGGGGTTCTGTAGACGGGTCGCGGTCGCCATGGCGGCGGCTGGTGGCGGCTTCATATTTGCTGTAGTCCTTCTGCGACGGGGTCGTCTTGTCGGCGGGGGAGCTATCGGGGGAGGTTCTGAAACGGAAATGGCCGGAGGAGGAGAGTCCGGGGGTGGAGGATCGTTTGGACGAGGCGGAGGAGCCGTCGGAGGACAGATGGTGGGAGTGGAGCAGACCTTTGCCCAGGGAGAGGCGGAAGGAGGAGTTGGACTGGGAGGTGGTGATGGCTGGGTCGTGCTCCTCGGGGCAGGAGTGCGGTCGGGGTTGGTTTTCTGAGGCGGGCACGGCGGGGACGACGGAGATGGTGACGTTTCGTTTGGTGGCGTCGAGATTGGGCGAGTCGCTCGGCGGAGGGGTTTGGGACTGGGTTCGGAGGTTCACGATTTCGCCCGAGGATGAGGCTGCAGGAATGGAAGCGGTGGTGGTCGGGATCAGGGGCAGTTGGGGAGAATTGCTGGGTTTGGAGGGGGGCGAGGCACTGGATCGGCGATGATCGCGACGCCAGTAAGAGAAAACGGTGGAGGGGGGCATGGTGGTGGGTGTGCCTTGGGGGGGGGGGGGGGATTTAGGATGCGAACATGGAGGCCATGATGAGGTGAACGCGCTGGCAGTAGTGGGGAGAGAGAGAGAGAGAGAGAGAGAAGCGCAGAGGTGGCAAGTGAAGGGATGAAAGATGAAATGAGATGAAATGAAATGAAGTTGCGTGGGGCTCGTCTTGTCTCACAGTCTCACCGGCCAATCCAGCCACGCGACGAGGGTTTCAAGCTGAACGGACGGGTCATCACGACAACAAGAGTAGATACAGAGTAGATACAGAGGACAGAGGAACAGCATCTCGAATGATGAATCCATCCGACAGGGGCAAAAAGCCAAGCCCCGCCAGTCAGGAACGGATCGTCGTCGGGAATGCAATCAATAATTCTCAGCAAGTCTTTTGAGGGCACGCAAGCATGCGCCCGCATCCGGAAAGCCCCCCGGGCTATTATTCTCGGCGACACCACCGTCTATCTATCTATCTGGTATGTGGGATGGATGTATAATTAGTTAGTACACATCATGTCCTATGTTCCATGTTCAGCTGGAACCGGGCCATCTGCCAGTATCTCCCCTGGACCCGCATCAACGCATCGTGGGTCCCTCGCTCGACGATCTCGCCGCGGTCGAAAACCAGGATCTCGTCCGCCTCAACCACCGTCTTCAGGCGATGCGCCACGGCGATAATCGTGCGCCCCTCTACGCGGGCGTCGTGGAGGGCCTCTTGGACGAGTTGCTCCGAGGCCGTGTCCAGCGCGGAGGTGGCTTCATCTAGCAGACTGAGATACAGTTAGCCCATCCACTCTGCCAATATATATATAGTATTAAGTATATAACTACACCAGCTACTGAAACAGAACTTACAGAACCTTCGGCCGCCAAAGAAGCGCCTTCGCGATAGCCATACGCTGACGCTGCCCCCCGGACAAAGTCGACTCGGAGGTCGCCACGGGCGTACTCAGACCCTGAGGCAGGGAGAGGACGAAATCCGCGAGCCCGACACTCTTCAGCGCAAGCAGGAGGTCGTCATCGGAAATGACCCGTTCATCGCCGTGCAGGCACTCGCGCAGATCATCTCCGATCAGACATGGGCTCTGGTCGACCAGCGCCAGGTACCGTCGGTAGGCAGTCGGATCATACGCATCGATGGACGCGTTCCCCAGCGCAATGCGGCCCGACTCGACGGCATAGAAGCGCTGCACGAGGTTGATGGCCGAGCTTTTGCCGCTGCCGGTGGCGCCGACGAGGGCGATGAAGGAGCCGGCGGGGGCGTCGAGACTCACGTCGTTCAGCGCCCGGCGGGAGGGATGGGTCGGGTATCGGAAGTTGACGTGTCGGAGGGCGAGGTCCTCGATGGTGCGTGGCATGGAGGTGGTGGTCGCGACGGGATGCTGGTGGGGGAGGCATGGATCGCGATGGATCAGCTCCTCCCATCGAGCCGCGGCGGCATGGGCGCCGGCGATGTCGGGGGCCTGGGCGAAGAGAGCCGCGGCGGACTGCGACCCCCAGACGGTGGCGGCGAAGCAGATGAAGAACTGCTGGATGGTGTACTCGCCGGTGGCGATGAGATGGGTGCCGCCGTACCAGAAGACGAAGGCGATGCCGAAGATACGGACCGAGGTGGTGCCGGCATGCAGGGCGGCCGACTTGATGCAGTACGCGGTGTTGGAGGTCTGGTCCTGCCGGCTCTCCCTCTGGAAGGCGTCGGTGATGGAGCGCTGCAGGTTGAGGACGGTCACGGTCCGGATGGCGCTGAAGGCTTCGTGGGCCACGGCCACCGCGTGGGTGTCGCGCTGGACGTGCTTCTGCATCTGGGCCGAAACGTAGTACTGCAGGAAGCCCGACACCGCGATGAACGGCACTGTCGCCGCGGCCACGAGCCCTAGTTTCCACCCGAAGATGCAGCCGACGGCGATGCCGCTGGATAGCATCACCACGCTTTCCGCCACCAGCCCGAGTGACGTGCCCGACACGCCGGTCATCTTCGGGATCCCCGACGAGAGGAAGCTGACCAGCGCGCCGGTCGAGTGGTCTTTGTCGTCGAAGAAGGGAAGGCTCTTCTGGAGCAGGGCCTGGAAGAGTCGCGTGCGGGCGCGCAGCGTCAGCTGCGAGGCGGACACGGCGAAGCCATAGCCTCGGATCGAGTAGACTGCAAACACCACCATGCCGTGCATCAGATACATCGTCGCCCAGAAGCGAGCGTCGTGGCCGCCAGTGCTGAGACTTGGGCTGATGATGGAGATGATGCCGTTGCCGAAGTAGATGGCCTGGATGGGGCATGTCATGCCCGCGAGGACACTGAGCATGATGCCCGCGATGATGTAGGGCATCTCCGGCCGGTTGAGGCGCCAGACCTGCTTGATGCCACTCTGCGAGGACATGGACGGTGGATCGGGGGGGGCAATGGAATGAACATCGACCGGGATGCCTGCGTCCTCTATTTCCTTTACCGGTAGAGGCGACTCGTTCTCGTCTGATCCCCTGGATTGGAGTGCTTGCTGTCGCACCAACTCCTGGTACAGTGGAGAGGAGGTCATCAACTCGGCATGGGAGCCTCGATGCAGGATCTGACCGTCCCTCATGACCATGATGGTATCGGCGTTCCTGATCGTCGAGAGCCGATGGGCGATGATCACGGTGGTTCGCCCCGCAGCAGCCCTGCTGAGGGCCTCCTGTACCTCTTTCTCGCACTGACTATCCAGGGCCGCGGTGGCCTCATCCAGGAGTAAGATCGGTGGCCTCGAGACGACCGCACGTGCAATGGCAATGCGTTGCCTCTGGCCACCGGAAAGACCCGACCCATTCGCCCCGATGACGGTATCATACCCCTGGGGGAGATCCATCACGAAGGCGTGAATCCGGGCCATCTCGGCCGCATGCACAACCCGCTCTCTGATAGCCAGTGCATCTAACCCCTGATCCAGGTAAGTAAAGCCCAACCCAGCACAAGAACCCCACCACCCACCTGGACGAGATCCCTCGAAAGCCCATAGGCAATGTTATCATGGATGGAGGCGCGAAACAGCGAGACATCCTGCCCGACATACCCGATCTGGTCCCTCAGCCACGCGACATTCATCTCGCCGACCGGCTCGCCATCCAGCAACACCCTCCCCCCGAGCGGAAGATACAGCCGTTCCAGCAGCGCGAAAACGGTCGATTTGCCCGCCCCGGACGGGCCCACGAGAGCCACCGTCTGTCCCACGGGCACCGTGAAACTGACCCCGTTGAGGACGGTGCGTTCCGGCCGTGAGGGATACGCGAAGAGCACGTCCTCGAATCGAATCTCCCCTCTCACCTGGCGATATGTCTTCCCCGCTCCGTCCAGCGGGTTAATCGGCGACTCCCGCTCGATCACCTCGTACACGCGGTTTGCGGCGCTATTCGCCTGCGTGATATCGACCACGCACGGCAACGCCTGCACCAGCATCCCCCCGGCCACGGAGACCGCGTACATGATCGTCAGTGCTTCGGGGAGGGTGCATCGGCCTTGACGGTAGAGGATATCGGCCTGCCAGAACTGTATTCGTCAGTTAGCCAGTGAGTCAACCAACCAGTCAACCAGCCCTAACAACCAGCCCTAACAACCCCCGAGCCAACCCCAAGAACCAGCACCAGACCCCAAACCACCACCACCACACCAGCCCACCCATTCCCCCCCCAAACCGAAACAAAAAAAAAAAAAAGAAAGAAAGAAAGAAAGAAACCTACCCCCAACCCAGACCCCCACCCCCAAACCAAAAACGCACCACCGACAAGCATCCCAAAAAGCATCCTCTCAGTCCTTTCCCCGCTCGCCACCATCTCCACCCACCCCCTATACCTCCGCACCCACCTCCCCTCAGCACAATACGCTTTCACGGCTCTCACGCCTCCACGCCCAAACACGCCCCCACCAGCCCCCCGCCCTGTCCTCCCCCCTGGCCCTGATCTTCTGTAAGACACCGATCCACCCACCTAGCCCAGCAACCAGCCCGACCAAGGCGACCGGCTGCGCGAGCATCACGGCCGCGAACCGCGGGTTACGGATGAAGGCGATGGCGAGGGCGACGGTGAAGCCGGAGGTGGCGGAGAGGAGGGCGGGGAGGGTGCTGGAGAGGGCGGGTGGATGGATTGGGAGGGGGTGGTGAGGAGGGGGGTTAGGGGTGGGGATTTTTGCTGGGTGTGGGGATGGGAATGGGAATTGGGACGGGGGTCAAAGAAAGCGGGATTTTGAGAGAGGATGGAGGTGAGGAGGCGGGTTTGTAGGGCGTGAGTGAGGGATTGGGCGGTTGTTGTTGCAAGGAGGGTGGAGAGGAGGGTTGTGAGGAGGGGGAGATTGTTCCTGTTTTGTGTTTGCTCACTGGGGTTAGTTGTTATGGTGTACTACTATATGTAAGATGATCGAGATGTAAGAGGAAGGGATGTAGATAGATAGATAGATAGATAGATAGATACTACAAATCCATAGTTATATGAAAAAGAAAGGAAAGCAAATGAGAGAAGAATGGAAAGTCAAGTACAATACCAATAACAACTAACCACCCCGCCAACCTCTGCACCTTATATCTGATCTCATCCACACTCAACGAGGACCCATGTTCCATAAACTCCCCCGCCAACGTCCCAAACACAACCGTAACAAGAGGCATGGCGGCCCCCGCGACGACCGCGCACCAGGCAGCCAGCAACAGGGCGCATTTCTGGGCGGGCGCGGCGGAGCGCAGGACGGTGAGGAGGGTGGCGCTGCTGGGGGGAGTGTGGATTTGGGAGTGGAGGATCTGAGCCTGGTTTTTGGCTGTAGATGGGTCAGTGTTGATGTTTATGTAGGGAGTCTGGGGTTGACTCTTGTTGTGGTGGTGGTTGTGGTCGGGATTAGGGTTAGAGAGTGTAGTTCCCGCCCGCGCGATGGGCTGGATATCGTCGAGGAGGATATCCTCGGCCATCGCCATCATGTCAGTCTTTCAGTCTCTGGTGTTTTTTTTTTTTTTCTCATCAGCTTTTTGATTTAGGGTGAAACTAGTATTAAGAAGGATGTGATAAGATGTGAAGGACAGGTAGGATTAAGAAGAATGTGATAAGATGTGATACATGGAAAGGATGCAAGGCAAGGATGGGATAGAACCCCATCACATGTACCCTTTACCCTGTACCCCGTAATACAATCAGCATCCAACAGCAGGAAGTATTTGCTTTTTGTGGCGGCGCAATAACTAGGTATACACACGCCAGGTACGGTGCGAGACCAGAATCTATCTTTTGGCGGATCCCGAGCAGTCGATATGTATGCATGATCATCACTCATGTATCCTAGAAGGGAAAACGCCAATGGACAGCTAGATCGCTGGCCCAATGATTGGGGTGGGGCGGATTTGAAATACGACGTGTCTTGTCTGTTGTTGTTAGCCCCTTCTGGCTCGATACCTTAAGGCTCAATTAGCCTGTGTATATTTCCTGAACAATGATATAACAAACACACCTTGTTTGTTAATATCGTGGTAAATTCTGTCTTGACCAGGTTTAAGTGTTTTGACAGGCCTCTTCTGTACGTACCTATTTAGGATTCTAAATATGCAGCTGCAGCCCTAGCATGCCTGGTTTGGAATTGTGACATGTTTCCTAGAAAATGTAGTTATGGATGGTCTGTGTCAGTGGACAGTAAGACAGTAAGACAGTAAGACAGTAAGACAGTAAGACAGTAAGACAGTAAGACAGTAAGATAGTTCCTTAAGCACACCCTATATGTCTGGAATAGACAGACTAGATAATTGACTGTTACGAGCCAACCCCCCCCCCCGATTCATCCCATCCCATCTACCTCATCTCCCAAACCCTACCCACCTCACCCCAAATCCCCTCCCAAACACCCCTCCTCGTCTTGAACAAAAGCCACCAATCCCCGGCACCATCCCTCCCAATAATCCTCACCACATTGCGCGTCGGATAGCCGCGACAATGCTCGATATCATTAATATACGACGGCCTGACCCCACCCGCACTGTTCCCCACCAAAGCCCCCCCAAAATCCAACCCAAAGTACCCCGCCTTGTCCTGATTCGTGCACGCAACAAACACCTGCCCGGGCTCCCCGACAACAGCGGGGGTCCCGGTCCAGGAAGCGCGCTGGTACGCCGTCATGGCGTGGACCTGTTCCCTCGTTCTGTGAGCCGCAAGGGCGCGACGGACGGCGAGGGCGGTGCGGGCGAGGGTCTTGTCAGACAGGATGTCGCCGGCGGTGAGGAGGGTGTAGGAGTAGAAGAAGGCGTTGCCGATGAAGCCTGCGCCGTTGCGGGGGAAGAGGTCTGGGAAGAGGGACCAGGTGTTGAAGACGGTCATGAGGGAGAGGGGTTTGTGCGGTGGGAGGGAGAGCGCGAGGGTGAGGGTGCGGAGGTACCAGGCTGTTAGGAGGTCGTTTTCGGAGAGGAAGGGGGGTTTATCGTTATGTTTTGATTGGGATTGGGGTTGTGAGGGGGGGATGTTGGGGTTAGGGTTGTGGATGGGGATGGGGAGAGCTCCGCCAACGCGGCCTCGCGCATCCGGGAGATGCATGTCCCCGGGAGACGGATGGGATGCTCTTCCTCGGAGCGGAACCAGAGGAGTTCGAACAGATAGCGCAGACCGAAAACGATCAGGCCGAGGCCGCGGAGGATGCGCGGGTAGTGGACGAAGGACTCGGGGTGGGTGGATTTTCCGAGGTCGCGGAGGGGATCGTGCGAGAAGGGGACGAAGGGCGGGATGGTGTCCTCGCGGTGGTTCAGGACGGCGAGCCAGGCGTTGAAGAACGAGGTGCGCGCGATGGCGTCGAACAGGGTGTGCACGTAACTGGTGGTCACAAGCGTGGTGTCCTCGAACAGCGCGACGTGGATGTGCAGCTGCGGTCGGTCGGTGTAGATCCAGTCGGACAGCTGGTGAGGGCTGGTGGGATGGCGCACGATGGGGGCAAAGATGGCGGGTGAGGGCAGATGCAGGCGAGACTGGTTGTGCCCGGCCTGGGGGAGCTGTGAGGCCAGCGGGTGGTCGGCGATGTCGACGGGGTAGGTTGTCGTCGTGAAGATGAAGGCCGGGCGCGAGGGCGTGTATTCCGCCGGGATGTGGTATTCCAGTTGTCGGTTGTCCTGGGGGTGTTAGCTGGAGGGTGATTTTGGGGGGGGGGATGTTGCTGGGGACTGGGATGTACATTCATGCGCAGACGCGCACCGAGTTGCCCCCAGTCCCCGATCTCCATCAACCGGGACAGTGCGGCCTCGAGCTTGGACGCATCCAGCACGGCGTCGAAGCGGAAGGTGAAGTCATGGCAGAGGTTGCGCAGGTAGTCCAGGTCGTCCCAGTATCGCAGGGGGATGATGCGGTCGGTGGGCACGGTTGCTGGGCGCGCGCGCCCGAAGAGGGAGAAGAGGCCCATAGTTAGGGTTACAAGGCACGTAGTTGGGGTGGTTTTATCATCCATCTATATACTTACTAGCTGGTCCCGCGCAGTTCTTCAAATCGATACATCAAGGTCTGTGGTAGCCGGTTCCATGCTCCATCCATCAGCAGTACTTAGACATACCAGGTGGGTCCAAATCTGATCTCCTGTCGAGTGAATCACTGAATAGGTACTAGTGCGAGTGATTGGTTGTAGATGTGATGTGATGGTGATGAGATGACATCTCCAGCCAGTAAGGCGAAAGAGCGGTATGCCGGTTCAGGTCACCTGCAGCAGGCATCGAAAGAAAGCAAACATATCTGACTCGTTGTGCAGTGGTGTGGAGTGAATCTTGATCGGACTTATCCTGTGACTTGTATACTCCTTCCTGTATGCTCCACTTCTATTCCGAACATGGCCCGTTTTGAGTACATGATTATAGACCTCTCACATGACTGTCCCTGTCTTCCGCGGAAGTATTTGTCAACAAAGCCACATCTAGCCGATTCAGATTCATCGCACCGACTGTTCGTATCTTTCACCATCCCCTTTCACCAGAAGGACCCAACTGACTAGATCAGATTCTACAATGCCCACCCTAGCTTCCAATTCTCCGTTCCTGGAAACACTCTGTCTGGAGTCCGACCCGGGCTGGCATATCCGCAGAAGCCGCCTCTTGCACCACTACGGATCGGTATGGGCGATCGATTTCATCTAATGATAAGAGCCAACCCGCGGCGATTATTTTCCACGGGGAAACCGACTTTGAGATAGTAGAGACACGCGATCGATCCTACTTCCTGCTTTACTCCGTACCTAGTACCGAATTTGTGGATGGGGACGAATCAGGAGTCAAGTCTGAAGGTGATGGAAATGCGTGACCAGCTACGGCAGGTTTGTCTGCTTCTCATGTCATCGACATGTTCCGATTGTATCATTGAGCGGAGCGATTTCCTCGGGACACGTCACGAGGATATACAATTTTCACCGAGCAAGCATGTAAGCTGCAGGTCGTGGCTTGCATGTAGTCCCTAGGTAGGAAGTGAGTGCTTACAGCCTCGGAAAGGTCCGAACGGGGCTATGCTACCGAATGGAGCTGCATGACGACGAGCAAGGAACCAGAAAAATGGTCAACTACCTAGTGCTGCACGGATCCGAGAATCAATCCTACGGTCCACTCACACATGCCAGCATATCATTATCACCACTCCCTTCCCTGCACCCCCCGCAGATACCTCCCCAGCGCCATAAGCGGAAAATAATGGCGATAGCAATCATACCCCAGGTAGAAATGATTGGGGAACCCCGTCCCTGTATACACAGCTTCAGGCCACGAAACGCCAACACCGCCGCCACTCTCCTCCGGGGCTGCCGCGCACACCAACCAGTGAATGCCGCGTTCAATCGCCGGATCCGTGACGGGCAAATGCGCCAACAGGCCCATTAGGGCCCATGCAGTCTGCGATGCGGTCGATGCCTGCTGCTGCTGCTGCTGTGGCTGCTGATTTGGATCGCGATACGAGAGCATGGGCTCACCCCACCCCCCATCTGCATTCTGCTGCGTCTTCAGCCATCGCACGCCTGCTGATACTAGCCCTAATACAGACACAGACACCGTCACGCGCGCATGGTTATCAACATCTGTGAAATACGCCAGCCCACACAGCGCGTGCGCCGTCCCGTAGAGGTAATTGCATCCCCACCGACCAAACCACGACCCATTCGTCTCCTGCGTCGCAGCCAGGTACCAAATCCCGCGGGCAGATGCGACACGCAGCGCGGGGAGGAGACCGGCCATACTGCCACTACCACTGCCACTGCTAGCGCCAACATCTTTCTTAGTGGAGAAGGAGGAGGAAGAGGAAGCGCACTTCATCATCAGCCCGAACGCCTCCAGAACCCGTCCGGTGATATCCGCACAGGACGTATCACAAAGACTATCCATATCGCTGAAGGGGATCTTGTTCAGGAACAGCTGATCGTTCTCGACATCAAAGGCCGCCCAGCCGCCGTCTGGGTTCTGCATGCCCAGGATCCATGTGGCGGCCGCGACCACCGAGTCGGACGTGATGCTGGCCGCGTCATGCTTGATCTGGGCTAGGATCACCGCCGCCGTGTCGTCCACGTCCGGGTACCAGCTGTTCGCGTACTCGAAGCTGAATCCCCCCGGCGGGAGCTGGGGGCGATAGATCCGCCAGTCTCCACTGGCGTGCAGTAATTGGCGGGTGCGGATCCAGGCGATCGCGCGAGAGAGGGCTTTGCGGTTGGTCTGGTGGCTAGTGCTGGGGATCGAGTGTGAATGTGACGAGTCCGAGGCAGAGGCAGAAGCAGAGGCAGAGTCACACAGCCCGATCGCCATCAGCGCGGTGTCCCACACAGGGGAGACGCAGGCCTGGATCCGCTTGCCCCTTTCGTCCTCCCACGCGAAATTCTCCAGGGCCTGCAGGCCGAGTCGGACAGGGGGGTCGTCGAGGGCGAATCCTTCCAGCACGAACGCATAGACGCTGGCGTGCATGGGGGGGAAGATGCCCCCCCAGTCGCCGGTGGGTTCCTGGCGCTGTAGGATCCAGCGCATGCATTGGCGACGGGCGTAGGGGCGTAGTAGCGGGATGGAGCGCAGTCCGTTTAGCTGGGACAGGAGCTTGTCCACGACGCTGAACGCGAGGCCGACCATGTCGCGCTGGGACAGCAGTTCCCAGAGTGACGGGCCGTAGGAGACATGTTTGTTCGTGGGATCCTGCCACAGCTCGTCGAGGTCGTAGGGCAGCGCGTACACGGGCCGATGGTGGCAGATGATCAGCAGAGGGGCGATGGTGCCGCGGGCCCAGGAGGCCAGTTTGTAGATGTTGATGGGACAGACAGAGGGCAGGAGGATCAGCTCGACGGGCAGCTGGGGCACTGCGTCCCATGGGAACAGGCCAAAGGTGGCGAGGAAGATGCGAGTGAATACTCGGACCCCCGCGACGCCGCCGGCTCGGAGGACGAAGTCGCGGGCTCGCTGCATGGCTGGCACGGAGGGGTCTGTTCCCAGGATCTTCAATGCCAGATAGGCTTCGGTGGTGGTCGATACATCGCCTGGGTGTTCGGGCGCCAGGCCCCACGAGCCGTCGTCGTTCTGCTCGGACAGGATATGGCGACTGTAGGCCGCGCCGTCGGCCTTCAGATCGAGCCCTAACGCCTGTCGGAGGAAGATGTATTCGGCGGTGATGGTGACGTTGGATTTGAGCTCGCCGCACCAGTGGCCGTCGGCATGGACGGATTGAAGCGCATGTTCCCTGGACAGCTTGATGGTCTGCTCGACCTGGGCAAGAAGGGACGCCATGTCTCTTGTCTGGGGCTGTTGGGTGCCAGAACGGAACGATGCCCATCGGGTAACTTATACCCCTTGATCTGCGGGTATGCAATAGTTACGTACTGGTAGTTTCCGGTGGGGCTCTCGTCCCTCGCATATACGAACTGAGCTAGCAGGATGTAGATGAGCTGATTGCATGGGGTCAATGGAATAATGTTTGACAGCATGTGACGGCTGCGATCTGACTCCTTGATGAGATCGGGGCTGAACCGAGATGTCTCCGCTTTACAGCGCATGCGGCATCATCCTGCTGGGTTTCTGGATATCTTTTAATTGAGCGTTTAGTCCGACACAATCCTACAGAGTCCAAACTCACAGTCACAATGGCATTCCCCCTCGAATACCTTCTCCCTCTCTCTCTCCCCCTCCTCCTCCTCCCCCTCGCTGTCATCCTCACAATCATCATCCTCCTCCACAACCACAAAGCCCATCCCCATCCCCATCCCTTCCACTCCCACCCCCCACCGAACCTCGCCACTTCCTCCTCACCCTCCTCGACCCCCTCAACCTCCACAAAGCCCTAACTCTCTCGCACCACTTCCGCAACCACACCTCCCTCGCCCACACGCACACCCTCTTCCTCACCTATGGCCTCACCTACCAGACCTCCCTCCTCACCCACCGCCTAACCTTCACCAGCTGCGCCCTCAACACGAAACACATCCTCTGCACTGCCTTCACCGACTTCGACAGCTCCCCTCTCCGCAAACCCCTCTTCACGCCCATCACGCCCCATGGGATCTTCACTCTCGACGGCTTAGCCTGGAAGCGCAGTCGCGAGCAGCTGCGCGCCCGACTCTCCAACCTCCGACGGACCATCGACCTCTCGCTCTGCGAGGAGCATTTCCGGGCCTTTCTGAAACATGTCCCGCCGGACGGAGGCGTGTTTGATGCCCAGAGGGTGGTGTTTGCGTTGTCGCTGGATCTTCAGACGAGGTTTTCGCTGGGAGAGTCGGTGGATGCGTTGGGTGAGATGCAGAGTGAGGAGCAGAGAAGGTTTCTGGGGGATTTGGCGCGGGTGAAAGAGCGGATCGTGAGGGATGGGTTTAGGGGGCCGTTGAGGCATTTTGAGGGAAAGGGGGCGTTTTGGAGGGCTTGTGCGAGGGTGAGGGGGTTTGTGGTGGAACGGGTGAGGAGGGATATCGAGGGAAGAAGGAGTGGTGGTGTTGGGGATGGGGTGGGTGTACCGGAGGAGGAGATCAATCAATCTGCTGATCAGGCGCTGAGTATCCTCCTCGCAAACGATAGCATGAGTACCACGCTATCTGGGATTCTTTATTGTCTTGCGAAGGATGAGCGTGTGGTAACGAAGCTGAGGGATAGTATTGTGGATTCGATTGGGCTGGAGCCTCCGACGTGGGCGCAGTTGGGGGGGTTGCAATATGTGCGGTGGGTGATTCAGGAAGGTGAGTTTTTCTCATTTGTACCAACTAGTAATACTATATATAACGCGTATCTGGGTGGATGGGTGGGGTGTCTGTACACCTGGGAGGATGTTGTCACAGAGGGCTTGTTCGGTGTATACTATACTAACTCCCTCCTCCATCGTGACTGATCAGCAATGCGTCTTTACCCACCTGTTGTGCTCAACGCCCGCGTCGCTAATAAAATGACGACCCTGCCTACCGGTGGCATCTCCTCCACCAAGAATAACACCAACACTACCGACAGTCAAAACATACCCATCCTAATCCACCCCAACGAGATCGTCGTCTTTTCCACCTGGTCCCTGCATCGCCTGGACCCTAGCTTCGGACCGGATCCTGAATCCTTTTACCCCGAGCGCTGGGAAACACGGAACCCTGAGTCCATGCCGGGATATATCCCGTTTAATAAGGGGCCGAGAAGTTGTCCGGGTCGTGAGTGTTATCTTTTTTCTACCTACCTCTCTACCTATAGTACCTAGCTACCTGGCTACCTACCCACCCATCCACCCACCATCCCATACCCATATAACCCCAGAATCAACATCAACACAACCCCACTCCATCTCTCTCCCCGGCCACAGAAAAAAAAAAAAACACACCATATACTTACCACCTACACACAAACCAAACACCCACTAACCCTCTCCCCCCCCCTCCCGGCCAAAACCGGGATGAATTCAATAGAACACTACGCGACCATCATCCTCACATACCTCGTCACGCGCATGTTCCAGACCTTTTCCACCGTGACAGACTACAACGCCGGTCCGTGGCGAGAAAGGATCAGCATGACGTTTGAGAATGCGGATGGGGTGTTGGTGGGGTTATCTTGACTATTATTATATTGTATTTTATTTTATTTTATTTTATCTTGGTTTAGTTTTTAGTTTGTCTTCCGGCCATCTATCTAGGATTTACTTGAACTGGGGATAGGGGTTTTTGGTTGGTTTGCGGTTGACTGGTTTGGATGGATAAACTAAATCAAATAAATATTGTAGATAGATAGTAGTACTAATGGGGATGGTTAACTAGTTTATTTGGAGTAGGCAGTGAGTGAGTGAGTTCAGTTTGGGTGTGGATGTCTATAGCGTAATACTTACCTACACACAAATATAATATCTATCTACTTATCACCTACCTACGACAGAAAGAAAGAAAATATCAATACACCCAAGGGAAAGAAATACATACTCTATCCAAAATGATTGTCTATTTATATCCCCCCCCTCCCCCCCCTTCTCCCTCTAGTGTTTCCCACTAATTAACTACAACCTTCCTATTTAGTAGTAACCTACCAACACCGTCGAAGACAAATAGTTACATACTATATAATATAAAAAAAACTATCCATATCCGACAAGCACCGTACCTAGTCTAACACCTTGTACTCACTAACCTGGATTCAAGACCAGAATACAGAATTGAATATACTAGATCACCCATCCCTCCAATACCTAGTCTCTATTTGAAATTTGAACCAGATTATCTATACCCGATATATCCGATAAAAATTCCACCCCAGATCGCTATAAACAGCAACCAGCCAGTGGGTTTGTATGCATATACTATACGTATGGCGAGGTCAGGGTCCGTACTCAGTCCGCATAAGAATGTAATGTAGATATATAGGTATAGTAGATGGGTAGTAGGTAAGTATATATATACTAGGTGCTGTAGCACAAAGTGGACAGGACTCCGTATCTACTGATAACAGACAAACCCAGTCGGCATGAGGTGGCGGGAACGGCAGGAAGAGTAGACAGGAGAAGAGTATAAGGACAGGGGTGAGTACGCGATACTATCTGCCTGCCTACCGACATATGTAGATCCTACCTACCGAGAGCTACATACCAAGACCATGCAAAAGAATACAGTCCAGAAGACTAGATAATAACCATAATACCACGACCGAATCACTATGCTATGCTACATACACCAGATCGCTATCTACTCCCTAAAAGAAATCGCTCATGCTGCAGGGCCCACATGCTAATAAGAAAAATGCTAAGCTAACACCGCGCCAATACCCATTACCTAGTACCCAGGACCCGCAAATTCACACAGACTGAAACTCGACCTAGACAATGCTCTGCCTCCATCGGTCAATCATCTCGCGCTGTCCCGGCTCGATCACCGGCCGCACCACCTTGGCCTTGCTCGCCGGCATCGCGTAGCTGAGGTGGTTCATGTTCAGCAGGGCGTCGCTGTAGAAGGTGTTCGGGTGGACCATCCCGGGGCCGTATGGAGGAGCGCCTGCGGCGGGGTGGCCGTAGCCGGCGGCGACGTTGGTGGGGAATTGTTGCAGCGACATGCGGTGGTCCAGAGTGCGCTGGGGCGGGGCACGGGCGGCGGCCGCGTCGTAGGTCGACTGGCGGTTCACTGCGGTCGGGCGACGGGCGTGCAGGATGTCGGCCATGCTTCGGCGGTACCGAGGCAGCTTCAGGGTGGAGTTTTGGCGCGCCTCCGCCTCGGCCTCCTTCTGGAGTCGAGCGCGGCGCTGGGCGAGAGTCTCATCCTCGGGTGCCACCACCTTCTCCTCTGCTTTCTCGGGGTCCTCCCCGACGTGTCTGATCTCTGCCAGGATCTCGGTCGCGAACTCACTCTCGGCAACGGAGCTGGGCTCTTCTTCGTCTTTGGACCTGAGTCGTTTGAGACGCTGGGCCAGGGTTTCGCCCTCGTCGCCGCTGTCCTCGTGCTCGACTGGGGCGGGTGCGTTTGAATACATTGTGACGGGGCGCAAATCGGGGCTGCGCGGGGCGGGTTCCCCTCGGAGTCTGGCACGACGGTGGCTCAGGGGCTCCGACTCCTCGATCTCCCGTCGCTCCAGGAGACCCAGCGGTCGCACTTCACTCAGGGGAGGGGCCTTGTCCGGAAACAACATACCCAGCGGCACGTCATCGTCGTCCTCTTCCCCGTCCTGGTTGGCATCCGGGCTTTCCCACGCCAGGGTGACGGGTCTCTGTCGGCGGTGCTCGCTCTGCTTCTGCGCGACCGCGTCGAGCTGGAGAAGCGTCGACTGCAGTCCGACCATCTCCGGGGCCGTTCGCTGCCGCTGTTTCAATTCACTCTTCCGGAGCTGAAGTTCTGCCATCAGGGTATTCGGAGGCCCGGTGAAATCGCCAATGGGACCCTCCAAGCCTTCCCCTTCCGCACGAGAGCCAGCATCAGACCCCTCGCGGCCATCCTCACGCAGCGAAGTGCCTTCATGCACATCGGCAGCTTCGCCTTCTGTCTTGTAGAAGCGATCGGACGTGAGCGACACTTCTCGCAGTTCTGGGTCGGACAGGTTCAGGTCCAGCCTGGAGCCCAGCGTCTTGGCCAGTCCTGCGGTGTTGATCTGACCCGTGAAGGCACTGACCGGGGCATGCGTCGAGGCATCGAGGATGCTGTCCAGCGTCGCGACCGCGGAGGCTTGCGTGAGCTCGACATCCACCGCCGCTGACGGCTGGTCGAAGAAGACACTCGCGCGGAGCTGCGGGGGCAGGTTCGCTGGCTTGCCATGCCCGGCATCGTTATCGCCCACCTGGCCAGCCATCCACCGGGCCGACTTCCGGTTCTCCGAAGCCACCGCTCCGAGAAGCTGCGTGCGACGCTTCTCCCGCTGCGAGTTGTTCCGCTGGGACAACCGGGGCGGCAGATTGAGCATCATGGGCACCGGGGCCGGGTAGTAGACCATATTCTCAGCCTGCGGGTCGTGGTAGGTGTCGGGTCTGCCCGCCAGGGACCTGGTCAGGGACACCCGCCGGGCCAGATCATTCTCGTGCGGCACATAATGCACGCCGTCAAAGTCGTTGAAGAGGACCCGGGCCTGCTGGTACGTGTCGGTCGACGCCGCGGTGTATGTCCGCTCGAGCTCCTCTCCCAACTCCTGGTTGTAGTAATCCTGCTGGTACTCGGGCTCGCTCTGCGCAGGCGGCGGGGGCGGAGGAAGGTAGGGCATGGCAGGCACACGGGAGGTCGAGTCGCCGTAGAAGCGGGCAGGCGCGTGCTCGGCCACCTGGGCCAGACGGGACGCGGACTGGATGGAACCGTGGCGGGAGGAGATGCTGGCGCGCAGGCCGTCGTGGACGCTGGCGTGGGTGGAGTTGGAGGCGGAGCTGGAGGAGCGACGTTTCTGGTCCTGGTCCATCTTGCGAATCTCGGAGCCAATATTGGAGCTCAGACTCATGCGTTCAGCGCTGCGCTCGAGCCGCTCGACATTATTGAGGTAGGCGCCTTGCAGCGATTGCAGGTCGGGGGTGGGATGGCTGAGGGGGACGGGCTGGTCGGTAACGGGGGTGCGGAGGGTCGGTTCAGGGTCGGGTTCAGGGGGGTTAGCGGTGCGACTAGTAGTATCAGGGACTGTCTCAAGCGGAGGGACGAAACGGGGACTATTGGCAGTTGGGTTCGGAGCAGGATCGGCGGGCAGTTCGTAGTCATCATCCTCGACCATATCGTAACTGGTGGAGGTCATGGAGCGGATCATCGAGCCCAGGCTCTTCCTGCCGGAGTCGTCGTGGTCGGCGTCCAAGGGGAGCTGGTGGAAGGCAGCATTGTGCAGCGACGAACGGCGGGAGTGATCAGAATCGGTCGCGTTGGAAGCCACCTCGTGGTCGGCCTGGGAGACGGCGTCGTACGCCATGGTCTGCAACGGGGGAAGCAATGCTGAAGCAGTTCACGGCCATGAAGGGGAGGGAGTGAGGGAGAAGTGAAAGGAGGGAGAGAGGGAGGGAGGGAGGGAGAGAGCGGAGAGAAAGAAGAGGGTGGTCAGCCGGAACGGTCAAGACTGGGCAAAGATAAGAGAAACGGCAGCATGCAGGCCAACGCCCTTGCGAACAAGGAGATCAATCAGGAACAACCGAGCCAGAGGGAGAAAGTCAGTAAAAAAGAGGAGGCAGCAAGGACGCGCCGTGAATTGACGGAAAGGGAGAGAGAGGGGAGGGGGGAAGTTCATCCATCCATCGTGAATTAAATTTCACAGCCGTACGTACGGTACGGTCACACAACTCCCGGCGTTCTAAATTTGGGTGGATTGGGTGGATTGGGTGGAGGGGCTTGCAAAGCCTGGACCGGCGGTGGCCCGCATTGGCCGATCCGCTTGCAACAACTTGCAGGGTTGCAGCGCCGGCGGCTTCAGGATTGCTTTACTACTACGATCAATCTATCTATCTACCTTTTCCGTACTCCGTACAGAGTATCTACTACCCAAATTGCCACTTCTACTATCCGTACTACCTCCAGATCAACTAACTACCCAAAAACTCTAAACCGAACCCGTAAATTACCAAAGGTCCGGAGAATACCAGATTACCAGATTACATTACCGATATTGCAGTTGCAGTTGCAGTTGCCGTCCGCGCGGCAGCCGCCAGGGTCCGGCTGAGTCAGCCGCCGCCATGCCGGTCTGGGAAGCTGCTCGTCTGCTCTGCTAAACGTTTATCCAGTGCCCCTGGATCTGTGGGAGGAATTCTGCATCGTGGCATTTCTATCTATCCGACGACCCCGTCAGTAATTTGTTAATCGGGTTGATTGTCAGGGCCGCCCCAGTGGGTACGGAGTGAGTAGATAGCCTCCTAGTTGATACATAACACCCCACGACGTCATGTTCGCACCAACCTAAGGTTCGACTAAGCATCAGGACCAAGGCAGAATCGCCGCCCGCGTCCGACGTGGATGCCGCTAGGAGCGGGCCAATCTGGAGGGCGTCGGCTGTCATGGCTATGTATGAGCGACTATGACGGGATCGTCGGAGGAACCTGAAGGAAGGAAGGAAGGAAGGAAAGGAAACTGGTTTGGGTCTGCTGTCTGGAGAATGAATACGAATACGTCTGTTTGTTTCTACTGTGTCAGCCGTAAGGCGTGACTATACACATTACAGCGCAGCGTACAGAAGCCGCGGCAGGGATATGTACTCCGCTAGTCCATACATACATGTATGCCGTATGGATGTGGGTTGGGTTGGGTTGGGTTGGGACTGGGTTTAGGGCAGCGCCATGCCTACTAGTATTTCACCGTCTGTACTGCAAGTGCCGGTGTGGTGTGCCTTGTGTTCGCATCCTCCTAGTACTTACCTATGTATATACTTACTGTACATAAGTTTACAACAAACACTGCATATGTACTCCGTATATGAAAATAAACTCAACCCCTCAAATAATGCATACCCCCTCTTTACTATACATACACATATAACATACATATACAGAGTATGTAAGCAAGTAAGTAACAAACTTCCCCGCGATCATCCTCCACAGTGGATGGATGGATGATTTACGTGGATCACACCTAAGACACCCCCCCCCACGACAAAGCCAGTCACCCGAAGGAACACCCTGGACAAGAGGGAGGGGGGGGCAAATGAAATGGCCCAGCGCCCTCGGGAAAGGAAACCCTGTCGCCGATAGGGTTGACGCGCCGACCGGTTCTTATTGGCATGTGGTGGCTGTTGTGAGACGATCAGGAACAGGCCGAGCCGCGGTGAGCCACTATCTATACCCACATGTACACACTCCAGGATTTCTATTTGAAACAGGATGGGTATTCTTTCTACGGAGGGATTGGATGCGGAAATAGGTTGTAACTTGAAATGCGTATTAAACTGATATTCTGATTTTTGATGTCTACTACCTGGCACTGTCGTGGCATGTACTATAAGTGTCCGAACAAAGGAGGTTAGAACTAACATGATGATAAGGTACCAACTCATAAAGAACTTCTAGACCGCCAACTGCCAAGGGTTCAGTTCTCTACCGTGTTATGTATCCTTGTCGCTAGGTTTCCTCCACCATTATCCCTGCATATATATATATATATATATATATACCATAAACTTAATTCCTCTCCTACGGCAGTATGGTATCTTTTCTTAGCAATCCTAGTCAGCCAAGTCTATTACCATCATGATATAGATAGACAGGGTTCTTCCCTATGACACGTATCTAGATGTCCAGACACTTTTTTTTCAGTCGAATGGTTTTGGTTTCCAATATCATGCACTCATTCACCCTCACCCCTTCTTAACCCAGGGTAGGAACTTAAGGGGTGTGTTTCAGATTCAAGACAATATGGCGAGTGCTGACCGTCCGTTCTCAAACAAAATACATTCCATCCAGTCAAGGCAGTCAATTCGCCAGTAAATCCAGTAAGACCAGTAAGACTAGTACTTTCCATCCCCCTTGACCTGCACCTCCACCCTCTGCACCCTGTCCCCATCCCCCCCCAGCCTCACCCTCCAAGCACCCCACATCATACTAGTTACTCAGCACACACCCAAATTAACCAACAAGCCCACTCTCCTCCCCGAACTCCCCAGCGCATAAGAAACCGTACTAGCACGAAGAAATAAAAATACACAGCAACCGCCTTCCCAAAGCCCGACGTCGTGATACTGAATGATACTGGGTTTGACAGGGTTGGATGGGGTTGGATGGGGTTGGGATTGGGTGCCGTCAAAGCGAGTTCGACCGAGGTATATACCGATTATAGAGCCGATTTTGTTGAGGGCGAACCAGATGGCGATTCTGTAAAGGGTAGGTAGTGGTTAGGTGGATGGATGAGTTTGGTAAGGAAGGAAGTAGAGATCTAGGATAGGATAGGATGGAACCGGATACCCAGCCTATACCAGGTCAACATCCAACCATCCAACCATCCAACCATTTCCAAGTGGAAAAGAAGAAAGAATGACGTACAGAAACCCCACAAGTCGCAGCCCCAAAAAGCATGAATCCCTGCGTCCCATACACGCTATTCACATACAACGACGCCGAGTAAGGAGTATAGCCCAGGGTGCCGATGACGAGGACCCATTTCAGACTCCAGCGGTTACTCAACACCGCGAAGACGGGGCTCATGAAGACCATGATGCCGAAGGTGATCACGTTGGAGGCGTTGACGAAGGTGATCACGTTGGAGGCGTTGACGAAGAAGGGGGTGGCGGGGCCGCCGGCTCCCAGGCCTGGATGGGGTCCGCTGCATCAGAGGAGAATGGTGATTGGGGAGGCTACTTGACAGGGCGGTCCGTATGCCTGGCTGTATGAAGCTGACCAGACCGACGATGATGGCGTTGAAGAGGAAGAGCGTGCTTCGATAGAAGGCATGGAGGCGGGATCTACCAGAGGACACACTTTCCCCAGACATAGTATCTACTGGGCAAGAACGTGGTTGCAAAATAATATTTCGACAGCAGAAAGACTGACGAGCTGCTGCGCTTCATAGAGTATCTAGCAATAGACGATAAGAATGCTGCATTCGCAACAGATCCTATCAATAGCGTGACCATGCCTCACAGCTCCACCTTCAACCCCCACGCCGGAACAGAGCATCGCAGTCGGTAGATGCTACACCAATCCCGGAGTTTAAGCGGCATCGGGGCTACCCTATCCCATTCGACAATGGGCAAACTCACAACAGTGTGGACGGCAATGACAGATCCACAGTCCAGGCCCTATCCGCATGCAATAAATCGGCTAGATGGAAGTGATCGGAAAGACAGGGTTTCTGCTGCACGACGAGGTCGCCGAGTCTGACGTTCGCCCTCGACCCACTCGTGTCGTAAACCGTCAGAAGTATAGATAAAATATCTCCGTGATCTATGGTTCAAGGACGCCTGGACTGACGTGACGGGACGGCAGTCAGGCAGCATGGCGCCTCTGGATCTCTCTCACGCGGTCCTCGGTCACTGCTCGCCCCTCCGCCGCACTGGAGACAGTCACACTATCCAGCTCTGCAATCACTCGCTCCCCAGACCTGTCGATGAGCTGGACTCGCTGCCGCTCGGACAGGTCGCAGGCCACCGACTCCTCCGTTGTCCCGATGTGATCCCCGCCCCCGAAGTGATAAAAGTGCATGGCAACCACAGCGACGATCTGATACGCGAGCCACACTACCTGGGGCCCAATGGGGGCGAACACAAACGCAATCAGTCCAAAAGGATAGAGCATAGCATACAGGATTACCGTGGTCATTGAAATCACTTCTCGCGCGCGGTCCCCTCGCAGGCCTCGTCGACCGCGAATGGGATAGCCGTAGCGGTGGAAGAATTGAAGAACGAGTTCGGTGGGGCCTTCGATGAGAAAGAAGCCCTGCGAGGTATCGACCACCTCACACAGGATTCGGTCCTCGGGCATCAGCTGTCCCTCCTTGTCCTTCTTGGGTCGCTTGATCGGGGTCCGTCGAACGTGACCAGCGAGCGCGACCAGTTTCAGGGTGAGGGGGAAGATGTACCAGAGGGTGAAGCCACTCCTGAACGCCGTCGCCGTCACCAGCCCGAAGAAACAGGACATGCTCTCGCTCGCTGCGATGCCAGCCACATGGCGGGCTGTCAGAGGGCCACTATCCGAATAGTTCACCGGGCTGTCGCCATCGATGACCGAGGTGTTGGATCTCGAGAGCTTTAGAATGAGCACTTGCTGATAGTCTCGAATTTTCGGTTGCAGTCTGTCCAGGGATTCCTCGTCTTCCTTGGTGAGAGGCTCGCGGCTGCCTTCGTCCAGTCGAGCGTGGTAGGTAATCAGGCGCATCACCCCGATCCAGAAGTCGTTGCGCACCTGCCTTTCCTCGCTCGTAGTGCCATCAGGGTTGCGAATGATGTAGCGACGTCCCGTGTCCCTGTAGAAGATGGTCCCCAGCATGTCGCCGTGGAATTTTCCTTTCCATAGTCCCGAAAGCGTGAGGGTCTCCAGAGCCTGGACGGCCGTCCGATGGACCGGACCACCCATGGTCATGATGCACGAGATCGCAATCAGAGATCCGACATTGGTCGTGTTGTAGAAGCGCGAGGGCCAGAGAAGACGTTCGAACATGGAGTGCGAGGAGACCTCAGTCCCCAGATAGCCGACCACGGTGCCCAGGGCAGCAAAGATGGACACGGAGTACCTCGCTGCGACGGTGGCCATTTTGGGTTTGTTGATGAGATGAAAGAATAGGTAATGATACTTCGGGGAAGCTCCTGGCCCTGAGCGATAGCCGGGTGCACAGGCTACGCGGTGCGTGTGGAGAGTAAGAAATGATGCATCGCCGTCGGATGTTGATGACTGCAGGCATGGCGGCTGCCAAACTGGGATGGAAGTCGTTAATGAGGCAGGAAGGGGGGTGGCTTTCCTTCCTCAGGGGGAGCTGTCAGGTAAATCACATAAATGACATCCACGCATGGCTTGGTAGGAGTATCATGATGGACAGACAGGTGCAACTGGTCTGAACAGCAGGATGCATGGATACACAACAACGGGGGTGGACTATAAGGTACATGTCAGCACCTCCCGACCCTCCAATATCTCATCCAGACCAACCCACTCGGAATCCTCACTTTGGGGGGGGGGATGTTGCTTTGGGGGTTGCGGGGATGGTGAGGGAGAGGGGGAGGGATGATACTGATAAGTGGAGGGGGGTTGTAGAGATTGGTTTAATATATTGAGTTGTTCTGGGATGTGTTCTGATCTATATATCTCTATATACCTGTAGGTTCTCATGCCGTTGTTCAACCAGACGTTGAGATGATGTTTAATTGACACGGGAGATTTCGAGCTCATCCTAGAAGACACAAGAGTGGTTAGTTCATGTTTTTGAAGTCAAGACCTGTATACTCAACATACCTCACAATCCCCAGGTACAATCAAAGCCTTCAGCCCCCAGCTTTCATACTTGGAGCTCCCACGCACATATTCCCGGTAGGCGGGCGCACCCGGACGCACCACATTGTCCGCAACAACCAAAGCCCGAGGATGAAGCAAACCCAGCTCCTCCGCCACCTGCAAATCATCCAGGTAAAGCTCCTCGACGTGGTCAAGGAAAAGAAAGTCAACATCAGAGAGCTTTCCCTCCGCATTGAGCCGTGTGAGCGAGTCAGCCGCGGGCCCGACGACGACCTTCACAATCTCACTCAGCCCCGCCAGCTCCACGAAGTTCATGGCAATCGAAGCCATCAGCGGATCCGCCTCGAGACTCCACACGCGGAGATCCGTCGTTTCTGGGGTGGCCTGTCGCAAGGCATCGGCGAACAGGATGGCAGAGTATCCGACGTAGCCGCCCAGCTCCACAACCACGGTGGGCTTCTCTTCCCCGATGAGCTTCTGTAGTTTACCTGCCTTGTCGGCGCCGATGTTGATCAGGAAGTCTTGCTTGGCGGCGAACTCGTCCATCAGACTGAGGACGGTGGACGGGGAGTTTCGGGCCTGTGGGAGGGAGGGGTGGTCGTAGATGTACTTGAGCAGGGCGATCTCTCTGCCGTCGTGAGACTCCTTGTAGCTGTCATCCTCGAACTTGCGCAGGGAGGGGTACTTGTCGTAGATGGCTTCCATGGTGCGAATTGGGCAATACAGGGTTTTGGGGGGGGAGGAAGTAAGCGGAAAGAGGTGGACGAACGATGAAGGTCAGGGCATGGGCAGAACACGTCCGTTTAAATAGACGGCCACGGACGCTTATGCTGACACTAGACCAGGGCTAAGCGAGGGGAGTGAATGTGACCGTGGGCATCAGACAACAAGGGATCAAGTAGGGTTGGGGTTGTGTTGACGCGGAGAGGGCGCGGGAGTCCGATAGCCCCGGTGCGCCTTGATTCGGTGGCTCGAGTGCCGCGGTGGATCTCATCTTTTTCCGCTTCAACCTCCCTCCTGCACAGTTACGAGAAACGGTCCAAAAAAATCGTTCCTAGGATAGAAGACAAGGCGCTGTACAAATGCATCCTCTGGCCCATGTTCATCGCTGGACTAGAATGCCGCGAGCTGACCCGGACGAGGATTGGCTGTTGATTTGATTGGTTCTTCTTTCGACGACCTCTGTCACACAACCTGCAGGAAATGAGGCCCTGATTCCACTTCCTTCATGTCGGACAGCAGATCGGCCATGAAGGGCCACAGTACCACACCACGTTATCTGGGCCTAGCCATGCAGTCAGCCACAGCGTTAGTTAGTTATCAGCTGCAGACACTCGGCCCATTTCCTATCAGCCCCTCACGTCCACCGTTCCCCGCACTCATCGGCAATCCCTTCATTCTCTCTCTACTCCGAAACCGATGTCTATTCACACACCACACATGCCTAACATCCTGGTCCCCTCAAGATGCCCTCCATTCAAACTTATGACGTAACCATTATTGGTGGCGGCCCCGTGGGCCTCCTCCTTGCATACCAACTCACCCGCTTCGGACTCGGCGTCTGCGTGGTGGAAAAGCAAAACAAAGCCAGCCCGGAAGGCCGCTATGGGCGCGCCATCACCCTGTTCCCGCGCACGTTGGAACTCCTCGACCAATTGGACCTGGTGGGTCCGATCTTGCAGCAGGGGTTCGCTTGTAGGAGCAGTGTCACTTACAAGGATGGGGTTCAACAGTGGGTGGCTACGTCTGAGCGCTTCTCCTGAGAGGGGTTGCTGATTGATGATAGATTGCCTGGAAAGGTTTGGACGTTCATGGAGAACATCCAGGGTACGGTGTTTGATTTCGCGCTCGTATTGAGGCAGATGTTTACGGAAGATATCCTGCGGGAGAGACTGGGTCGGAGGGCAGTTTATCATGACTCGATGGAATGTGTGGGGTTTGAAGTGGATGAGGGCGATGGAGACTATGCGGTGAATGCTAGCTGTGTGGGCGTTGAGACCGGGGAGAGGGTGCTTATAAAGAGGTACGTCGATCTTTCATGATATACTGATATAATGATATACTGTTGAGAAGGCTCATTGAAGACGTAGTAAATACCTCGTCGGTGCAGACGGAGGACACAGCTTTGTTCGTCGGCATGCCGATATCCCCTTCGACGGGGACTCCTCGGAGGACCAGTGGATCCGTATTGATGGGATTGTGGAGACGGATATGCCTATCCATCGGGCTTATGGGTGAGTATGAGCAGACGAATGAAGAACGATCCTCTGACTTACTACTACTAGAGCCATTGAAACCACAACTCACGGCAACGTCCTCTGGGCGCCTCTCGACCACGGCGCAACCCGCATCGGATATGCATATACGCCCGAGATCGCCGCCAAATACCCCGACGGTGCAACCGAAGAGGTCGCCGTCAACGAGGCAATCGAGTGTCTACGCCCTTTCAACCTCAAATTCAAAGAAGTACACTGGTGGACACTGTGAGCCTCCAACCACCCCCCCCCCCAAAACACACCAATTTGACCCCTCCCAGATACAAAATCAGCCAACGAATGGCCCGCAGCTTCTCCTCCCACCACAACCGCATCTTCTTGTGCGGCGACGCCGCCCACACACACAGCAGCGGGGCCGCCCAGGGGCTGAACACCGGCATCCACGACGCCGTCAACCTCGCCTGGAAACTGGCTCTAGAGATCGCCGGCCTAGCCCATCCCGACGTCCTGGACACATACACCACCGAGCGCCAGTCAGCCGTGCAGCGCCTCCTCAACTACGACAAGGATATCTCCCTCCTGATGACCCATAAATGGCCGGCCTGGTACGATGGCGATCCGAATGCCGACCCGAACCTCCTCCTGGGAGAGATCTTCGAGCAGGCTGCGCCGTTCAACACCGGTCTAGGCATTTCCTATCCGAGTAACATCCTCAATAGGGTCCAGAATTCGTCATCGAGCGTTCAACCCGGTACCCGCGCTCCGGACACTCACCTCACCGCGCCAGGGACCTTTGAGTCGGTGCGGCTGCATCGTGTCCTTCGCAACCAGGGCAGGTTTCATATCCTGCTCTTCACCGGGACGGAGACTAGGTCGGTGATCCCGACCTTCCTCTCTCTTCGGGAGTATCTCGTGACTGTCTGTCCGGAATTAGAACGCCACCGTGCCGTCGACTGGCTGACGATCTGCGGGGCGGTCGGTTGCTCGCCGTACGAGGTGCTGGGGATCCAGCCATTCGGAGATACCTACTTCGATGCGAAGGGGGAAGGGCATCGTGCCTATGGGGTCGATTTGCAGAAGGGGGGCGTTGTGGTGATTAGGCCCGATGGTCTGGTGGGGTTTGTGGCTGGGCTGGAGGGTGCGGGTGTCCGGGACTACTTTTCTGGATTTTGAAGTTGGGGCTGTAGATAGGGTGGGGGGTCATATTGTGCGTGCGGATTGGATGAAGATTCGGATATAGGAATTGTCGTCTGATGGTCTTCTTGGCCGTGGTTCGGATTCCATGGAGCCTGTTTCTGGTGCTGACTCCGGAATGCAGACTTAGGGTTGATCCACGCGGGAAGACCATCTTCCTTCTCAAACTATTCCTTCAACCTTCACCCAGGCGAATTCATACAGATATCTAGAAACCGAAAGACTGATAGAACCTCTCTCGTGGTCATAAGACTTATATAAATAGTAACCAAATATATACACTACTCAAACCCCCTCCTCAGATTCTCAAACCGACTAACCGGATACACGAGGGTATTCTCACTGCCATCCAACCCGCCCATCCTCCCCAACGCCTCCCCAGTAATCCTCACCAGACTCCTCTCATGACTGACATGGTGATCACCACTCAACTCCCACCACATCGCCCCACCCAGCCCTCTGCCCCCAATATACTCAACCTTCATCCCCGCCACCTCCGGCGTATCATAACTGACCATCTTCCTCTTCACCGGATCAAAGCACCAACTGGCCAGCAGTCTGCCATCCACCACCTCCCTCCCCTCCCCGGGAAGATCCTTATAATCCCAAACCCCATTCTCCCACGACCCCTCCCCGACCCCCTGAAACGCGCGTCCCGGCCCATCCGTATTCTCAAACGCACGGCCATACAACGGCATCCCAAAGATAATCTTACTCGGATGCACCCCGCCCCGGATATACGCATTCACCGCCCCATCCGCATTAAACGGGGTAGTAGTAGTAGTAGTGCCATCCCCGCCAGGCGCAGGGAACACATTCGCCATATGACCGGCGGTGCTATCCCAGCTGCCGGCGAAATCATAGCACATGAGGTTCCAGAAATCGAGGAAGGGGTCCATGTCCGCGATGCGGAGTTTCTCGTAGTTGGAGGGCCCGCACGGCGCCGCGATGGTCAGCAGGAGGCGTTTCCCGTGCAGGTGCTGCGCGGAGTAGCGGTCCAGTTCGCGGCGGGTTTCCTCGAGGAGAAGCACGAAGTGCGCGGCTTGCTCGGCGTTCTGCGGGTATTCCCAGTCGATGTCGATGCCGTCGAAGCCCAGGTCGGCCAGCAGGTGCACGGCCGACCGCGCGAAGGTCTGTCGGCCGCATGCCGTGGAGGCCGGTGCCGCGAAGTTGGAGCTGTACGTCCATCCGCCGATCGAGAGGAGGGTTTTCAGGTGCCGGTGCGCTTTTTTCAGGAGGTATAGCTGTTTGATGCATCCGTAGGCGTTTTCGCCCGGCTCGGACCAGGAGTCGTTGGGATAGTGCTTTTCCAGGTCGGAGTAGGTGTCTGTTAGGAAGCTGGGTGGGGGTTAGATTTGGTGAGGGGGGCAGGAGAAGGGGAGGGGGGCGTACACTTCACCGGTAGGGCGGATGTTGGCAAAGGAATCTGGGGGTGCGTTAGTTGGGGTTGGTTGATGGATGGGATGAGACAGAGGAGGCGTACAGAGAATGTGCGTGATGTAGTTGGCGGGAATGTCTTGCGGTTGGTAGTTGCGGCCGTAGATGCCCTGTTGGGGGGTCAATTTAGGATGCTTGGGACTTTGGAAGGTGGAGGCAGGTATTACCCAGTTGGTGAAGTATGCGACGGTTTTGAACCCAGTTCCGCTGGGACCATTATTCCAGGGAGCGGGGGAATGGGCCATTGGCGGTGGTGGCATCTGAGGCATCTGAGGCATCCGCGGGGGGATGGGCGGGGCAGGGGTGGGATTCGCAGTGATGGGACTGGGGATGGCATTGATGCTGGCAGAGTCGCGAGAAGGTGCAGGCTCTGGGATGCCCCGGTTCTGGGGAGCTGATTGAGCCTCGGGGATATTCAGGACCTGCCCTGGGAAGATAAGATCGGGGTTGGTGATCTGCGGGTTGGCGGCCGTCAATGCGTCCAGTGGAACACCGTGATCCTGAGAAATCTTCCAGAGAGAGTCGCCGCTGGCGATGGTGTATGAAGGCATGTTGTGGGAAGACGATGGTTTGAATGAATGCAGAATCCTGCGGAGTGAGGCGTGTGGGATGATTGATATATAGGCAGCCTCGCGCACCGCCGGGCTGTGGCGGGTGTTTAGGGATCTGCCGCACCTTCCCTGGCTGGGTATAGCGTACACAGCCCACGCGTATTTTTAGATTCCCAATTGGGCATGGTGTGCATCCCACAGCATGATGTCATGACACTGCACTGGGGAACAAACAATAAGAAAACCTTAATATCATATGTGGTGTTTGGCAACCTCTCATTTCTCCTAATAGAACAGACAGTGTGCTTATTCCTCCACCCTCACCAGTCACCGCTGGCATCTCAAATTTAGCTCCTGAAGGCAGAATGATTCTCGTAACTTGGGTGTCTTTATCAGGGTGTGCGTGGAAAACCAACATCTCTTTCTTGTGATTATTGAAAGAAGACATTCGCTGGCAGCGCAGTAGTTTAAGAGTACTCTAATCATAGTACCATACCACGTTACCACTCCTACTTTAGCTGTCTAGGTACCTTTCAATCGCGCAGCTTTGTTTCGCACATCAGTCCCAACTCATTGAAGATCTACCCAAGGCTTATTGACATATTATCTATCAGCCAATCCAAGAATTCCTATCCCCGCAACATCTCAACGCCTCGGCGAAAAAAAAAAAAAAAAAAAACCTCCCAAGTCTGCCCCGAAAGATACAGAACAACCCAACCCCTTTCAACCCATGTACTAAGTAGGTAACCAAACCACCATCTGTCCGACAATACATGGCACTCACCAGTAACAGCGCAGGCCACAACTATCCAACCCCTCGACAATAAATAACTTATCCTACCAACCACACACATCCACGGAATAATTCCTTCTAGTTCCAACGCCGCTCGACCAACCGCCTACGCCCGAATCCCCAGTCCGAAACCGAAACCCAAACTCAAAAAGAAGCCACCCAGATGATCGTGATCATGATCATGATCAGATAGATAGATCACCGATCCGTGATCCGATTCAGGGGGGGCGTCGGCCCCTCGGAACGAGACCGAGCGGACCCGAACCCGAACCCGGACCCCGGACCGGAAACCCACCGGGCTGAAAGCTTGGCACAGCCGCAAGAGGTTTCCTGGATTGTAACAGGGTTTTGAAGCTATCGGCCTAATTTTGGGGGGGGGGGGTAGAATTGATTGAGGTTTATGGTATGGAAGGCTCACAATGGTGGATGGGATGCGAGATGTCGAAATCGGAACGGAAGTTGAGGAAAGATAGGTAGAGGTAGAAGAAAGATGAGTCCCGGTTTCTCTGTATCTTTTTTTTTTTCAAATTCTGTCCTTGGAGGGTTTTCTTATTGACTATTACTAGCAAGACATATTGGATATTTAGGTGGTAATAACCGCAACACTTATTATTTGGTTCTGTGGGAGCAGATTTATTCGATTTTTCGATTCTTTTATACGTATCAAGTGGAACGAGGGCTTGGCATGATAACAGAACAAGATTTAGCCCTTTAACCCCTGATTAACCTGGATCAGTCTATATATAATCCCATATATAACTTTATATATATCTGATTATTATCTGATTCTATATCTATATAGCCCAACTGCCTGCGCAGCAGTATTATAGAATCAGATCTTTATTATATTATTATTTTAGATCTAATAGTTATAAGCCTGAATCCTGATTAATTACTCTATTTGATTATATTTTATATTATTATTAAAAGAAGCTTTTAATTAAATTATTGAACTATCTCTAATTAATCGAATTAATTAATTAATTTCTAAATATCTGGCTGATATATTCTAGCTATAGCTTTAATATTTTTAATTTATTCTCTCTAGTTATATAATATTTTTAATATTATAAAAATCTTTAAAATATTTATTATTCTGCTTATTTATATAACTTTATAATTTTTTAATTAAGAAGTATAAATATATATTAATTTAGATTAGAATATATCTACACCCGTAAGCAAAGAAATATTTATTTTAATTATTATTAATATAATTAATAATAATCTTCTCAGAGATTCCAGCAAGAAATTACTATACAGAATTAAAAAAAAGATTTATAAAAAAAAAATTATTACTTAATTAATACTTAAGATAATTAAGAAGATTAATTTTATAATAATAAAATTAATTATTAATAAATTTAATTCTCTGATTCAGAAAATAAAAAAATTATAAAAAAAATTTTAAATTCTGTAGAAATATTTTTAAATATTAGATTTAATATTTTAAGATAATTATAAACAGTACTATAAGAAAATTTGCAGTAATTTATAATATATTAATATAAAAATATAATTAAAAATATTAAATAAAATTATTATTAAAGCCAAGAATCTTAATATAATTAATATATATAAAATAAAAGAATTATTAGACTTTTTTTTAGTAATAATAAAATATACAAAAGCCTGAACAGTATCTAAATAGTTTAATTTATAAAAAAATAAGAAATTCTTATTAAAAAAAAAATTAATAAATTTTCTGAGTATATTAAGATATAATTAATAAATTAAAAAGATATATACTTTGCTCTAGATATATTTTAAGAAGTTAGTAATATAATTAAAGAAGATTAAATAATTAAGAAAAATCAGAAAAAATTAAAGCAATAGAAATAACTTATTCTAAAAAATTATTTTTATAAAATAAGATATTAATTTAAGAAGTATTATTATATTATTAAATTACTGTATTTATCTAATTAAATCTTAAAGCCAAAGATTATTAAGAAAATTTAATAAATATAAAAAAAATTATTTATAATAAAGACAGTAATAAATCGAGCTGTTAAAACAATCTAGAAAAATAATATAGAAAATAAGAAGATAATTATATTAATATTTATTAAAAAAAAGACTAATAATATTATATCAGACAGAATTATATAGATTATTAAAAAGACTCTTTATTATTTATATAATTTATAAATTATAAATATAAAAGTAGATATTTATATCTATAATAATTAAAACTGCTTTATTAAATATCACGCGGTATTATCAGAATTATTTATATATATAAATAAATTAAAGCTCTTAATTCTAGAATATAGTATAATTATTATAAAAATATTAAAAAATAATAATTTAAAGATATAGATTAATTTATAAAAAATTATTTATATCTCTAAAATATATATTAATATTATCTCTATAATAAAAATAAGCAGAGCAGATATTTATCTTTATTAATATATAAAATATCTAAAAAATCAGATTAAAAAGAAAGTTTATATTTATTATATATTATTTAATCTAGCAGTTATTAAATATAATTTTTAGAAGAAAAAAAATTTATTAAATAAGATTGAAAAATAAATTATAATATTAGCAGTAGCAGAGAATTATATTACTAAAAATAAAATAATAATTATAAAAACTCAGAAATCTATATCAGCAAAACTATATCAGATAATAATTATTAAAAAAATCTAGTATAATTATCTTAGATATATATATAAAAATATTATTTAATATCTTAAAGAATTAGCTAATTATATTAAAATTATTAAAAAATTAATAAAGATCTATAAGATATATAGACTTAATAAAATAAATAGATAAATATTAAGATAATTAGCAATATCTGCTAAAGAATTATTTAAATATTTGTGATAGGATCTACTTGTCAGGGTAGAAAGCCTGTCGACTAGATAAGAAATCAATCATAAAATATCATATATTTGTTTAATAATAATAAAGATAGTCTATATTTATAAGATAGACTAATTCTTAAAGAATTAGTAGCTTCTTACAGAGAGATCAGTATCTTATAGATATTAGAAAGATATAGAATTACTATTAATAATTTTATAATTCTTATAATTACTATAATATATTATTCTAATAATATAATTCTTATAATTATTATAATATATTATTCTAATAATCTTTATTCTAATAGCTAGATTATTCTATTATAAATAGCACTCTTCTCCGCTGGGACAAGCTATTTAATTTAGATATTAAAAATAATTTTATATATTCTTAATTTAAAACAGTAAGAATTCAATAATAAAAGATAAAAAACTTATAAAATATATAATATAAATAAAATTATATATTATTTCTATATAGCTTTATAAATATTTAATTATATTTATATAAGTAGATTCCCTGCGAAGAAATATAAATAAAAAAATCTCTTATATTATATTTATATAAATAAATTCTCTGCAAAGAAATATAAATAAAAAAATTTTTTATATTATTTCTCTTTCTTCTTCTCTTCTATTTTATAATTATTATTTTTTTAGTAATTTATAATTATTTTCTTTATATTTTTTTATTATTTTATATAATTTTTATTATTTTTATCTATATTATATCACTGTTATTCTCTTCTTTATTAAATATTAGTCTTATTCTTAATTACTTTATAATAATAAAAAGAACAGTATATTTTAAGCAGAATATTCTTATTAAAGCCTGCTATAATTTCTGTATATACTGTCTAAGATATATAAATAATAACTTTAATTCTAAAAAAAGTATTTTATATAATATTAATTATTTATTAAATATAAAAATATCTATTCTGTATTATTTTTATTTTATAAAAAAAAAGACTTATAATTCTGTAAGTTTTATATACTCTATATTATATATATATAATTTACTAATATTTCTTAAGTCTATAACTAATCTGCTAGAAAATACTTATAATTTTATAAAAATTATTAAATAGACTACTCTAATTCTAAAAAAAAAATATTAGAATAATAATATTAAGCAGATTATCTATAAAGAGATTTATATTTTTATAAAGATATTTAATAATATAAAGAATATCTATACTTATAAATTCTTATTAAAAAATATTAAGATTATTAAATATATAAGTTCTTATTATAATTAAGAGATAAAGTTTTTATAATTTTATTATTAATATTCTATTAGAAATTTATTACTAAGTATACTAAATTTATTAAGATTTATTATATTTTTTTAATATAGTTAGTTTCTTATTCTAATCTCTATATCTTATTAAAGAATTATTATATCTATAAGATAAAAATACTATTATATTTACTATT